AAGACAAAATCAAGTAAACTGAAACGCTCGAACTCCAGACCCAAATGCGCGGTGCGACTCGCAACTCCGAGACCTTTAGCAAAATATAGACGGATTAAAAATGGAGTGGACGGGAACTTATGGCTTCTTCTTAACGTGACTGCTTCCTGACTCCGAGGGAAGCTCGTCGCCATCAATGATGCGCCAGAGACGACGGGGTGAGAAGTTGTTGCCGAATAGGTAGATGCACACGAACCAGGCAGCGAGGAGGTTGGCGAGGTGATGGAGGAGGTAGGCATATGAGACGCCGTAGATCGCCGAGTAGATGGCGATTGCGAAGAAGATCATGGAGGTGATGTGTCGGAATCTGGTTGTGATCCGCGGGATCATGGCGCCACTGGTCATGGTCTCTACGAGGATGAGGAAGGGCATGATGGAGAGGACGTTGTGGTGAGATGAAAAGGGCATGAACCAGTGCACGACGAGGTTGTGTGCCCAAACCAGAAGAACCAGCACGTTGATAGGCAAAATCCACAACATCAAGATCAAGATCGAGTGTGCATAGTTACCGAAGTTGAGGTGCGAGGTGGATCTGGTTTCCTTAGCGTGCCACTGTGCCCTCACACACGTAGCCAGCTGCACAATACAGGCAACCATATAGGCGAACTGGTATGGGATGACTGTTGAGACAAGGACTAGGAGGATAGCAGTATGGACGATGCGTCGTCGAGGCGTTGGGGTATTAAAGATTGGCAGGTTCCCGCGGTCCTCACGCCGGATGTAGCCTGTTTTGCTATGCAAGATCCCATATACCCACGAGAAGATGTTGACAAGGGTCAAGGCGAGATAGTTGACCAGCACGCAGACTCCAACACTGATAAGACCAAAAACAGGGACTAGGAACCAGAAGAAAGCATCTTGAGATCCCAGCAACAGATCGTTCTTGGTAAAATCGACTGGAGTCTCGGTGGCATTCGTTCGCCAGTGGAGAGTCTCGTCGGTTTGAGGTAAAGCTTTTGTGGTGGCCAGGGAGGTAGCCAATAGAGACATAGCCACCAGTAAGAGTGGGAAGGAGGATCTCAAAGCACGGTCAAGGCCATCAGTAAAGGAAATAAAGTAGCCAGACTCATCGTAGACCTGGAACTGCTTGCGAAGAACAAGAGCAACGACAAGCAGCGGGAACGCAGCGAAGATGGTTCGATAGCGCATGACCAGTTCTCCAAGACTACTAGTGAGGTCAACTTGGAGGGAGATATCAACCGTAGAATCCGAGCTTGGGTCCGTCCACAGGTGAAAAGACACGCCTCCAAGAGCAGCCTGCTCGCTAATCGCTGGCGGCATATAGGGTGCGATACCATGCAGGTTCACGTTGACCTCGTTCACATTAACGAAAAACTTAGACTCATGAGGGTCAGAGACAGACTGTCGAAGCAACGGGGCAAATAACTCCTGCTTCTGTGGGTGCCGGGTTATCTTTAACCTGTAGTCAAGCAGACTGGAATGCAATGCAGGAATCTTGACCTCGGTGAGCATGGGCCGGTTGGCAGGTAGCCGCATCTTCAAACCAGCACTCAGCAAGCCGCCTAATCCAACCTTAGCTCGGATCATCGCATCAGAACTATCCGAGAACTCGGCAACGAGGAATCCGGGAGTCGGAACGCTGGCCTTGTCCACAACGGCTACGAATTGATGTTCCGCAAGACCCTCCAGATCATACTGGAGGTATGAGAACGGCGAGACACGCTCGTAAGCATGTTTCGACGAGAGGGTCGAAGCAGGCAGGTGAATACTGTCTTCGGCTGCGCTCTTACAAGCCAAGCGCGTCGAGCCAACTGTACCACCAGAGAAGTCCAAATTCAGTGGAAAGTTGGTTGACCGGCCGTTGGACAGCGGGAATACGCTGCAGAACAGAACCTCGATGTTTCCATTCTTTTCAAGTGTTTGATCCGTGAGCAGTGTGAACTTCTTACCGGAGACACCCTGGGGTGGAATCGGCAACAGACGCACATCCGCACCATGCTGCAGGCCGAGCTCGCGTAAAATCAATCTTTGACCCTGAGCGAGAATGGTGTTTGCGTTATCCTCAAGGGTCAGAAGAGTATTTGCTTCCTTCTGTGGGAGAGTCCGCTCAGCTATTGGCTCCAATCCAGTTAGATACCACTTCTTTAGAACACGCATGCGTTCTGCTCGTGGTTTCGTTTGTGTTGGGCGTCGAGCATCGACGATCTCAAATAGAGACTTGATGATCGCCTTGCGGAACTGGTCACACCAAGTGATCGACAGGTGATCCATCCCAATCCAGACATCCGGGATCGACGATGTGAAAACGGTGAACCCGTGCGTCTCTGGTACGAGGGAAGATATACTGGCATAGTCGGAAGGCACAACCGTGTCACGCGCACCACCAGCAATAGAGATGAGGGTGACATGCCATAGGGGGTTGTTGTTAGCCCAAGTTTGGGCATAGGCATCGCGCCAGTAGTCGTTGATCTGTTTATAGGTGTGGACAATGTCGGAGTCAAAGGAAACCGGTGGTTTGGCGTGTGGCGCAGACATGGTGATAATCGTATTGACCGAATTGGCCTGGTAGTTGGCCATAGTCAAAGCAGTTCGAGCGACGATTCCACCCATCGAGTGACCGATCAAAATGACAGAACTCGGGTCTGGTAAGCCGGGATCTCGACGGGTTCGTCGGGGGTCGTGGTAAAGTGATAGAATATAAGATATCGCCTCGTTCACGTATTCCGCCTGGTCTAGCAGAGTCTGTCCATGGAACGCCGCCATATCCTCATTAAAGTCGACCATGAAAAAATCCAAGCTCCGTGTCCCGGCCGCATGTCTGCTCTCATCGTGTCGAACCACATCGTAGTAATGGCGCGAGGCCTCTGCGGCCAAAGATCGGACTTGTCGGTAGCTGCCAGCATTACCGGGGAGGAAAAGAACGGGGACGCCATTCAACTAGAAACGAGTCAGCCCAGCTCAGCCCCATCTCACTATTTCAGATCACCATACCCCGATGTTATCCTGCGTGTAAGGGTCCACGCCTTCTTCCCGATACACGAAAAGGTTGTACTTGCTCGCAAAACGGGTATGTTCCGTATCAAACTCCAACATGCGAATGAAGGTCGGACTCATCATCGGCACACCGCATCCATCACCGCCGACCTGACGATCGGTAAACGAGTGGACAATGGAGATCAAAAATGCCACAGCGACACAGGTTGTGAACGCTGTGAGAATCGAGCAGGACCACGGACTGCGCAAACGGGACTGTCGCAAGTGACGACCTTCGGGTGAGGGAACCTCCATCGGGAGCCGAGGAGAGCCCAATGGCATGGTTTTGGTATCGTTGGAAGGTTGGGAGGACGGATTGCGCCACATGCTCGAGTTCCGGGAGCGCGGCGTCGCGCTGCCGTCGCGACGAAGATCAAAACTGGTACCGCGCCGGGCTATCTGGGATCGCGATTTTTCGTCTAAGGCGTTGGAGCCATGGTCATCTGGGGTTCGGGAAACCGAGGAATCTTCGTCCTCGACAGGGGAGCCCGACGAGCGTCTGTGCATTGGAGGAGGCGGAGCCGGCTCATCCAGCACTCACGAGCACAGGGACCGGGTTTCTTGGCGCAGGGGGGGTTAAGCCTCGCACACAAACCCTCAGGGCGAGTCAGGACAGAGGATGGGGGAGGGAAAGGGAAGGGATGGAATGCGAGGGAAGACGGGAATGGAAGGGCGGTTGGCGGTTTGTCTGGGCCTTGGCATGGAGAAAAAGTCCCTGAGGGCCCTGATTATTGTGGATACGCAAGGACTGAGATGTCGTAGTATAATGTAGTAAAGGGAGAGAGAAAATGAAGTTCTACTCTGGTTCTACTCTGGTAGGATCTGCTCTTTTCTCTTCGACGCAATTGGCAGTGCAGGCTTGGCATGAGACATACAACTTGAACATACTACAATGGAACAAAGCCCCCATTTTTACGGTTTAGACTTAATCAGTTGGGCCTAGATACCCTAAATCTTTCCTACAATTCTGACCAGCAAAGAAATACGTGGACATTTACTGGCCAAAGTTGAGGAATTTGTGGGCACAGCAGGCAACCGTGTATCGCCGGTTAACAGTTCCTGCAGGACGCGTATGTTCCCCAGTCACACCGAAGAGCTATATTTTTAAGCCGAGATCTGAGCAGCTCAGGGTCTAGATTGGTCAGAATTGATTAAGTTAGTTCTATGTCTCAGTCTGATTCGCACTGACCATAGGGCACTGCCACTGTCAACATTTCACTTAAAGACTGCAATCCTCCCACCCTTCTATCCTCCTAATGAAACCAATATAAACTCTCCAGATCCCAGATGTCTTCATAATCAGGGGCTATTGCGTGATTAGACCCTGGACTCCATAACCTTTGCTCCATGTGTGGGTTATTTGGCTACTTATCTATAACTAAACCTAAGTCGTACCTAATTCTAATTAACGTTAACTTTGTACACAACTGTCTTTAGCCGCTTCTTCAACTCATCCCTGCTTATTTTGAGTCGGACAAGTGCGGGGCTTCATGCTATAAAGAGTCTGGAGTCTGACCCCTTTGCTCTCGCCTGTGAGACACCTCCACAATTGACACTTTGACCTTAATACTCTAATGCACTTGAAGGACGACTAGAAGGTGGGTACAATTTTATTCATTGCTCTCCCTTCTATGGAATGAAGATACCTTTCAACCCAATGACTAGCCTACTGGGCTAGACTGAGTGAATACAATTAAGCAGATTCTGATACTAGTGTTTTGATGTCGATATAGTTGATGGATATATATAGAGCTAAAATTAACCTTCTTTATTTCCCAGAGAGAGAGAGACATTGTCCATCGCGGAGCTGCAAGAGCGAATAACGAACTCGGACGCATCCCTGGAGAAACGTTACATATAGGTACAAGTATGGCCCTGAAGAAGTTATCCATGAGCAAGAATCCGAGCTGAATGTCCCGAAACCAATCTCATTAATCATGCAAAAATCAAATCTAAAGACCACGAATTCACTCAACAGTCTCAACCCTTCCCTTCTCCTCATCAGGATACTTCTTGTCATCAAATCCCCGGTGAGCAGCAACCACTTGCAAATCAGCATCATGCTCAGCATCAAAGTTTCTACCCAACTTCTCAGGACCAGCAAAAGTGATGAGAATAACATAGGCAAAAACACATCCCATAAAAATACAAATAACCTTGCCATATTCATACCGATGCTTTGACTCCTCAGTCGGCGGCAAGGGGAACCGCTCACCAATAGTGGACTCGATAGTCGAACTGGCAGACGAAACAAGGTTTCCAAGCTGGTACGCCGTTCCCACAGCGAATGTGCGGATTGGGCCAGGAGACAATTCCATCAGATGGATAGGGATGACACCCCAGGCGCCTTGCACCATGAATTGCTCAAAGTACGCGGCCGCAATGACGTTCTTATTCTGCACGAAGGTGTAGGGGTACAACAACGCACCACCCACAATCGAGATGACTATGATTGAGAAGCGGCGGCCGAAGATTTGACTCGCCCAGCCACAGAGCGTGCCGCCAGAGAGCGCGCCTAGATTTGCCACCACTTGTGTGACTGTGACTGCGTTCTTAGAGAAGTTGAATTGGTTCTCCAGCATTGTTGGATAGAGATCCTGGGAGCCGTGAGACTAAACAGAGGAAACAAGTCAGCAATCAATACTTCATGAATGCAAGGAAGTATAGCCACAGCTATATCATGGGGGGGGGGGGGATGTGCAACATACCATAAAGTTAAAGCCAGCCATGAGCAACACCAAATAAATGAGAATAAGCCAATGACGCTGCAGAGCAACCTTGCCCTCGGACAAGAAAGAAGCAGCAACACCACCCCTCATCTCCGCGCGGGTCTCTTGTCTCCGCTTAAAAGTCTCCGTCTCACCAAGGAACAGCCGGAAAATAATGATCAGAACCGGCGGACAAGCCGCAAACCAATAAAGCGGCCTCCACCCATGGGGAGTGGTATCAACCAGCGCGCGCGCGAAAGCCGTAGCAAGCAGATAACCAAAAGCATAACCCTGCTGCAAAAGACCAGAGATAATACCACGGGCTTCAGCAGGGCAGTCTTCCAGCGCGGTAGCAGCGGCGTTACCATACAGACCGCCCATGGCGATACCAAAGAGCGCGCGACAGGCGAGGAATTGCTTGTATGTTTGGCAGAAACCGGCACCTAGCTCGAGGACGACGAAGAGGAGCTGGTTAACGATGAAGGGCCATTTGCGGCCCCAGCGGTCGGAGGCTATGCCGAAGGTTATTGCGCCGACGGAGCGTAGCATAAGGACTAGTGTTATGCCCCATGTTATGTCTGTTACTGATTTGTTGAAGGTTTCGGCGAGCTGGGAGGTTGTTAGGGAGACGGTGAAGAAGTCGAAGGAGTCCCATGACCAGCCGCAGAATGCGACCTGTATTTTTTGGTTAGTTTGATCATGTTTTGTGCGGGGAAGATTGTTTCAGCCTTGTGGGATGGGGATCGGCATACCAAGAAATTTAGCCATTGTTGTTTGTTTAGGAGGGTTAGGGCTTTGAAGGGGTTTGGCGCGGGGTTCATTGGGGGTCTCAGCGAAGTGAAGCGTGTCGCGATATATTGGCCGACACTCATGTTTTCCTCCACGTCTGGTGACGCGGTTGCGTATGGGGGTTTGCTCTCGGTCTCCATGGCTGCTACTGTGAACACTGGGTATAGCAGAGAAGAGGAGGGAGAGGATGTCCGGTACTTATACAAAATTATAACGGTAATAAGAAGAAGGAAAGATATAAACAACTGCGGGGGGAGGGCAAGACTCTAAATACGAGAGCCAGCCCCGGATCCCCAAAGCTAAACAGCCACAGGCAAAAGAAGAGCCAAAAAAAAAGCAAAAAGTCAAGGCCAACTGGTCCGCTAGCAGGGATACAACCACCATTCGCTTGGGTCAACCTGGAGAGAACTGTGGGAATGGATCCAAGCCCGCCGATCCCTTCTTGACCGAGACTTCCTAGATAGACTCTGTGCCTGCTCTCAGCCAATCCAGAGAGAAAGGGAATTTGTGTTTAATGGATGTAAGGCACGATATCGGAGCAACGAGGTGACCAGCCCTGCTGATTGGTTCTGTCGCCGTTACATTCGGACGCTTCCTCTGCCGAATCTGGGGAGTCACTCGGGCAAAATCTGCTATAGTGCAGCTTTAGGGCTTAAACTAGATCCTTTCGGATGAAACACTACATGTCAACCCCGGCCAAGACATTCTCCGGATCTGTGCCCAGACCGGGGTTGTGGAGAAGCGCAATCGCATGACCCACAACCTCCCACCTCGGCATTCAGTATACTGTATCCAACAGGCTATATGATAGAGAGTCACGTTGTGTTCCCATCGACCCTGACAACCACGTGGAACCAGGTCAACCTTGGACGAGATTTAACCTTTCTCCCGTCCGGGGTCGAAGCTTGGCACTGCTTCTCCAGAGTAAGCCGTGGGCTTAGCCTTCGGTGGCTTGGAGGGCGTCCTCGGACGATGCCCGACAGTGCCATAGTCAAGTGAGCATCCACGGTAGAATATCAGCCGATTAAGTCTAAGTCCGTGTCTACCGTGTCAACCGTGTTCTTTTAACCGGCATTATGGATGTGGAATGAGAACCCCGAGACCCCACAATTCCTGCTTGCCCAGTGCCATGCTGTATGTTCCTCAGGCATTTCCGCGGTTACCCGGCTATCTAATGGCTCTCTTTCCCTTGGCATACGCTTTCCCCTCAAACCTACCTAGGTACGGTGCTTCTTGGCAGCAGCCGCCGACGATGCCAATACTTGCCATGGGATTGGCAAAGCTTCTGCCAACCGCGCTCAGACGGTTGCCATCTATGTCATGCTTGCTTTCTTTGTTTTGCGTGTATTTTGCTATTGGCGTTCATGCTATGACCCCCCTTGCCGCTCGGCGGAGGTGCTCAGTTAGCGTGGCGAGTTAGCGTTTCATGGGGAATTTCGATCTTCATGTTGGATTCTGAGTTAAGTGACGCTTCGCTTATATCCATGGGTGCTGTAACTATTTTCTAGAATAAGTACCTGTCATGATTCGAAGGCGATTAACTTGATGCCGCTGTATCCATATGCCGGGTTAGGACATTCACGTGCGCTCTTAGCTGCCTTAGCTAGGAAGGAGACATTCTCATTCGGCCCGGTCGGCCTCGGATTTGGGCTGTAGTACCGTGACTGTACCGTGCCGCCTTTGTGCACGACCTTGGCTTGGCGCAGAAATAAGATTAGGAACGCTGAAGATGATTTTATACTTACGCTAACATCTCATTGAAACCCGGAGCCTTGGAATATAGCTAAGAGGTTGGTTCATATATAAGGGGTCATGCACAGATACAGCGCCACAATGTAACTTATTGAATAGTGCTTTTAAACATATGAAAGCATCGAAGCGAAGCCCTTGTTTAGCCTTTTCTTGGCCTCTTTATTACTTGTTTTTGACTCTCTCTGGTTCATTCGAGAACTTGTCTTGAGAGATTTGAAACCGAAGACTTGACCTTCAACGCATCTCTCTTGTCATGAGTTTTTATCTGTGCATCATTCGAAGTTGCCCATCAAAAGACTTAACGGAGCATTTAAGACCACAACCCGGGAGGCATGGAAGTATTTAGCTTCTAGACTAAAAGGGGGAGAAGAGAACAAAAAAAGCTGGTCCTGTCATCATATAATCGAAGCAAGTAAATCATTTGTTAATCAGAAGGGGAGTTTGAAGTATGCCGGACTGCAGGGCCTCAAGAGCTCTAAGGCTGTTCGAGGTACTACCTACAGTATGCGCCAATGTCCGATAAAGTTATCAATAGAAAGTATGTTTTCAATGAAGGCTGAAGGCTGAAGGCTGATGCCATAAAAGATCGTAGATGAAGAACCTTTTAATCGTAGCTAGTGGGCCTAGACTTGGAAAAGGATTGCAATAAGAGAAGGTCTTGAGATGAAGCCATTGTCATACTCTCAAATCATGTCTATCGGAGTTGCCTACTAGGCTTTAATTTATCACTAGGCAATACATTTCCTCATAGATTCTATAAATATCTTGCCCGTTTCGGAATGCAGCTCGGTTCCTTGCAGCAAAGCTGTGGGGCAACAGTCTTGGCCCTAACCGACCCATATACAGTAAGTGTATACAGTACTGTATGCCTACTGTAGAAATAATTGAGATCAAACTCACATATCATGACGCAGACCATTCTCCAGCCGCATAAGTCAAGCCTCAGCATGAGGCTGTGCAGACGATCCAAGGGACATGAGGCGGTGCTTGGCCGCTAAGCCCCGCGGATCCGCTGATGCCGTATAAGTTATTTATTGTCCCAACCGCCCTTCCTCTATTGTCCTCATTCTCCTATATTCACTTTCCATCCTTTGCACTCTCCTCCTCATCAAACCCTATACATCTCCCTCGCAATGTCGCATTACGGAGGTTCCCAACAAAACCAATACAACGGCAGTGGTCAATACTACGACCAACAAGGCCAAGGGTATTACCCCGCGCAACAAGGCCATCCCCAGCCTCAACAAGGCTATTATCCAGAGGTAATTCGAGCCCGAAATTGAAGGATCCCAATTCATCAACCCTCCATCAAACCCACACGGAGTTTTCTCTCCTGTCCTCTCCTGTACCTCGTATTCGTACCAAGACAAAGGGCTGACAAGAAAACAGGGCCAACCCGCTTACGGTCAACACGCACCTCAGCAGTCTTACGGGCAGCAGTACCAACAGGGACCATATCAAGGTGGTCCGGGATACGGCCAGCCTCAGCAAGACCGCGGTCACTCGCCCTACCCGCCTCAGCAGCAGCAGTACCAACAGGGTGGTGAAAGTTCCTCTTACTATGGTGGTGCGCCACCTCAGCAACAGGGAGCCCCTGGAGCACCTGGAGCTGAGGGTGAGAGGGGACTCGGGTCTACTTTGATGGGTGGTGCTGCTGGTGGGTTCATGGGTCATAAGTTGGGTCATAGTGCGCTTGGTACCGCTGGCGGCGCCGTTCTGGGTGCTGTTGGAGCCAATATTCTGAATAACAAATTGTGAGTTTTGGTCTTGGAGGCTTTTTGTTTGGTGTATGCTGACGTTTCGTTTCATGTAGTGGCAAGGACAAGAAGCACAAGAAAGAGAAGAAGCATAAGAAGGAGAAGAAGCACAAGCGTAAGGGGTCTAGTTCGAGTTCGAGCTCTAGCTCTGATAGTGATTGAGCCCTATGATCATTTGTGATGATTGGCAACAGGACAGGCCTCTTTTTCTTTGATACCATGCTCTCTTTTGTTTGTTTGTGACTTGACGTTCAGTGACCTCAGTGTTATGTTTATCATGATGTGCTTATGTATTCGTAGTGAAATAGCAGTTTAGCAATTGCCGAATTTTCTAGATGAATTCCCATGAGAGTAATATACCACACTAAGTTGTTAATTCGGAATTACCCCGTTTGCTTAATAAGATAGTGTAGTGTACATGTGTATTATAATCTTGTCTGTTAGTATGTTATTGTGACAGCGGTTGATCACCACGCGGTGTCGCGGCATTTCTTCTAGCTGGCTGGGCGGGCTCTTTGAAGAACGCTCCTGAGTCGATGCTACTGTCCAAGCTATAGGACAACGTGGGGACCGGTTTTGGTGTATCCCATTCGAAGCGCCACTTTTGTGAAGTTTCGTTCCAAGACTGCCGAGGCACAAGCGCAGAAACACGTCTCCACAACCGATGCATAAATCTAGTTGTGAGAGCATGAGGTCGACCGTTGGCATAGGGTGCAAAGGTGTTTTCCTTTTCAGGGCCCTGAACCAGCAATTTCAAGATTGTGCTTTCGGGTTTGGCGCCGTTCTCAGAATTCATTCCCTTTCTTCGCTTGACAAGTTTCCAGGGTGTTGTTCCCGACACCAACCCGTCAAGCGTCTGGAGATCCTCTTCTGGTAATGGTGGCAACAGGCCATTCAACGTGGCGAAATACCACTGTCTTCGAATGTTAACCTTGCGAGACTGGGCTAATTCCTTGCCCCAGATATTCTCCTTGGGGATTGGCGGAGATATAGCCTTAATCAAAGGTCTGACTCGGGTTGATGTAATCACAGGGTTTCTCATTTGAGAAAGGGCTAGGCTCCTCACGATTGCTGGAGGTTGCCAGCCGTCATGGAACTTAAGTGGCGCAGAGACAAGCTCTTGGGCTGCTTGGGTGTCCTCTGGGATTCCGGTTTCTCTGGGCCTTAGAAATTCAGCCAGCATTTCATGTCGCCTCTTTCCTGTGCGACCGTATGATAGGTAGAGTATCTTCTCAAGGGGTCGTGTGTAGCCTTCATTTGCGCGTCGTAAAACCGAGAGACCATTTCGTGCCGCATGTACCATCTGAGGACCAGCCTTGGAGCGACGGGAAGATACTGCACGATATCTGTCGAGGACATGTTCCCGCATGTAGGTGCGAGCGACGGGATCAGGGAGATAGGTACACTCGCGCAGTGTCGCGCGTAATAAATGTCGCCATTGCTTTGATGTTGAAAGATTGCCCAGCCAATGTTGTGGTTGTATCTTGGCCATGTTGAAACTCTGAAAGAAAAGTGGCCGATCCCAAAACGGAGAAACGCGAAAACCTTGGCGTCGTGTCACGGGAACTTCGACGCGCCCTTTCGTTCTCCTCACCCCGCGACTTGCCCTGCATTGAGCCTATCTTGATCTCGATCTCGATTGTCGATATTTGACACATTCTTTTTGCCTCGAGGCGTTGAATGGTATTTTAGGCGGTTTCCCTCCTGAGGGTTAGCCACGCGCCTCCTTTCCGCGTCATTCCAACCGGTATTCGGTATTTCTCCCCTTGCTAACGTCGTTTTTTGGTATTCTTGCTGACATATCGGAGGGAAAGACCAGCATGTCCTACTCGCAGGGCAGTACAGGGTCGGCAAATGGAATGGCCTATAACATTTTGAATGCTTCGCAATCTCTCTCCTCCACCCCTCGCGCAACTCCTCCGCCTCCCAAGGGTTCTCAGATGTCCTCTTTTGGTTACCCCAACGGACTACAGAGAACTAGTTTCAATGGGTATGATGGCACTAACGACTATGGGTCGGTAATGTCATACCAGGAGGAGTACAAGCCACAAATTTATCGAGTTCGTGGCCTCCCCCATCCCCACCGAACATTCCACTGACGAGCCTTGAACAGGCGGTTTATTCTAATGTCGCCGTCTATGAAATGGAAGTGAATGGAGTTGCTGTGATGAAACGTCGATCCGATTCTTGGTTGAACGCAACGCAGATTTTGAAAGTCGCTGGTGTCGTGAAAGCACGACGAACGAAAACACTCGAGAAAGAAATTGCCGCTGGGGAACACGAAAAGGTGCAAGGTGGTTACGGAAAATATCAGGGAACGTGGGTTAATTATCAACGTGGCGTCGATCTGTGCAGAGAATATCACGTTGAAGAATCACTTCGGCCGTTGCTGGAGTACGACATGAGCCCTGACGGCTCTGGACAACCTGCTCAAGGCACCATCGATACACCGACAAAAGAACAAGCAATGGCTGCGCAACGTAAGCGTCTGTACAATGGTGGGGAAAATCGCAGCGCGTCACAACCGCAACAAGGAACTTTCTTCCAGAACATTTCAAGAACGGCTGCCACCGCAGTCAACGCCCTCAGCAAAGCGCGCTTCGACTCCCCCAGTTCCAACAGCCGTCGGCCCAGTATGATCCGAAAGCCCTCACAACAGATGAGCAGCCAGGAGTCTGGGCATCCGTTCAGCAGCCAGCAGAGCATGTACAGCATGTCCGACAGTGGATTTGGCAGTCTGCAGAACCGGTTCCAGACCCAAGACGACCATGACGACCTCGCAGAACCCCCGCGCAAACGTATGCGCTCTGCATCCCAATACGCTCCACCTCTCGGCCTTCCTCGTGACCCATCTAACTTGTCCATGAACGACCCTACTCCCACAGAACCTAACGACTCCTTTTACCAAGACATGGATCTCCCACCCCCTCCTATGGATGACTGTTCCAAGCGCGGAATCGAGTCCCTGGCTCCTGCTTCTACTCCGGAAAGATTCCAAAAGATGAAGCTCATCATGACATTATTCCTCGACAAGCGGACCAAAGATTTCACAAACCACCCAGCTCTGGTTCAATTAACCGGCGACGATCTCGAAATTCCTCTAGATGAGTATCGAAACAATGCGCTTCACTGGGCTGCTATGCTTGCTCGCATGTCGCTCCTCAACGCCCTTGTCGCCAAGGGCGTTAGCATCTCTCGAGTGAACGGTGCCGGAGAGACTGCTTTGCAGAAATCAGTGGGCACTCGCAACAACTTGGATTATCGAAGTTTCCCTCGCTTGCTTCAAGTACTTGCTCCAACCATTGACATGGTTGACTATAGCGGGCGTACCATCCTACATCACATTGCTGTTATGGCTGCTACTGGTGGTGGCGGACACGTCTCCGCAAAGCACTATTTAGAAGCCCTTCTCGAGTTTATCGTACGACACGGAGGCATTGTTCCGACTTCGAATGGAGACGCAGCCAACGGGACTAACGGCAGTGATGTCATCTCATTAGGGCGGTTCATCTCTGAGATTGTCAATCTCCGTGATGATCAAGGCGACACGGCTCTTAATCTAGCGGGACGTGCACGTTCGGTCCTCGTCCCACAGCTTCTGGAAGTCGGTGCTGATCCTCATATCCCTAACCACACTGGTCTCCGTCCTGCAGATTATGGTGTTGGTGTTGATATGGTCGATGGAAACTCCCAATCTCAACAAGCAAATAACCGTAACGACACATTTATTGATCAACTGGCAAAGTCGAAGAAAGAGATTCTTGATGGTAGGTTCTCTCCCTTACTCATACCTTTGTGTACTAACAAAAAATCTAGCGGCAATGTCTCAAATTAGCTCAATGGTCGAGGAGACACTCGGCGGCATTGACCGAGAGCTGGCCTCCAGCTTAACTCAGAAGCAAGAGAGTTTCGATCATTGGCACACGAAGATCCGTGAGTCGGCTAAAGCTCGGCAGATCGAGCAAAAACAATATGATGAATTGAGACGTAAGGGCTCCGAGCGTGTTGAGCTCGAACGACGTATCAAGAATCTAGAGAGATCTTCAGAGGGGTTGTTGGCTACAGTCAAGAACACACCAGGGCTAGACCCAACGAGGACGGTGGTTGTGGGTGATGCCGACGTCGATGCTGGTATTGACCCCAACACCTTTGAAGCATTATTCCCCGATGGCTTTGACCCAGCTTCTGGCTTCTCAGAGCAACAGATTGCGTTCCTGTCCGCAATCCCAAGCACCGACGCCCTCAGACGTCAAGCTCAATGCTACAAAGAGTTCAACAGCGGGATCCTCGCCGAAGTGGATGGTCTCAAAGCAAAGAATGCAGTTCTTGGCCAGAATTACCGCCGCATGGTGATGGCATGCACAGGCTGGACAGCAGAGCAAGTGGACGAAGCAGCAGAAGGACTCACGCAATGCGTGAAGGAACTGAACGATAACCCCGTCCCGGAAGACGAGGCCATTGAGATCTTGATGCGGGATCGTGGGCAGGACTGGTAAGCAATTCTCGAAGTCTGATACCTTTTGAGCGTTTGGGCGGCTTGGCTTGGATTGGCTTCGGCGTTGTTGCTTTGTTGCTTTGTACGATAAAATACCCTGGTGGCATACGTTTATGCCCGTTGGCACATAGCTTGTTATTGATGTGAGGAATACACTGTATCCCTGTACACTCGCTTGATTTGGTCCCCGTATCGGACTCGTACCTTTCTTTTCCATAAAGGCTAAAGGCTAAAATGAAGTGAGATTAGCCGGCTCGTGATACTTCTAGGCTCAATGGGCGTGGCTTGGCTTTTGGCGTATCACCTACCGGGACGTCTTCAGGACCATTTAGCCCTGTCCCCCGCGTTTGCCAAGATGCTTTGCTGGAGCTTGCGGATAAATCGCCTGTTGGGCTGGGTGTTTATAAATAGTCCTCAGCGTCATATAGGATATGGAAATTCTACAATCTGTTCCTTGTTTCTCCACATAGACATTTCCATCGTCAACGTACAATATGGCAACCGGATTCCTGAGCGTCAAAGGCGACTCAATCTTCGATGAGAATGGGGAAGGAGTAGTCCTACGAGGAGCTGCTCTAGGAGGATGGATGAAGTGAGTCCTACCTGCCTATGCAACTTGCATTATCTCACATTATACTAATGTTTCTCGCTATCTGAAGTATGGAAAACTTCATCACTGGTTTCTCTGGCCACGAAGCCCAACATCGCGCCGCAATGCTCCGAGTGTTAGGACCCGAGAAATACGAATTCTTTTTCGACAAGTGGCTCGAATACTTCTTCACGGAGGAGGATGCAAAATTCTTTGCCGAACTAGGACTAAATTGTCTCCGCCTGCCATTCAACTACCGCCATTTCGAAGACGATATGAACCCGCGCGTACTAAAAGAAGCCGGATTCAAGCACCTGGATCGAGTCATCAACCTGGTCAGTCTTGATTCTTACACTCAACCCCAGCGAAGCCCTAACGCAGTATGGCTGACTATCATGTATCCGATAAATAGTGCGCAAAACACGGCATCTATACCATTCTCGATATGCATGCCGTACCAGGCGGCCAGAATCCAGACTGGCATTCTGACAATCCAACCGGCTATGCCGCTTTTTGGGATTATAAAGATCATCAGGATCGGACGGTTTGGCTTTGGGAGCAGATTGCTTTGCGGTATAGGGATAATTCTTATGTTGCTGGGTATAACCCTTTGAATGAACCCTGTGACCCGGAGCATGTCCGCTTGCCGGCCTTTTATAAGCGGATCGAGCAGGCCATTCGTGCAATCGATGGAAAGCATATTCTTTGGTTAGATGGGAATACGTTTGCCATGGAGTGGAAGGGGTTTGATGAGGTTTTGCCAAATTGTGTTTATGCTATGCATGATTACTCGGTGAGTTGGGTGTCTTTTTCTTGATTGTGGGTAATGTTGACATGGACTAATGCTTATATCTAGTCCATGGGTTTCCCTACTGGTGATCGTTATAAGGGAACGGCCGAACAGAAGGCGTATCTCGAACGATCCTACTCGCGCAAAGCACAATTCATGACCGAGAACAAGACACCGGTGTGGAACGGAGAATTCGGGCCGGTCTACGCAGATCCAGTCTTTGATGCTGATGTTGAGACAGTCAATCAAGAGCGATATAATCTACTCGGTGATCAGTTACGCATCTATGACAAGTACAACATTAGCTGGTCAATCTGGCTGTACAAGGACATTGGGCTACAAGGCATGATCTATACCAGTCCGGAAAGCACATGGAACAAGACTATCAAGCCATTCCTCGACAAGAAGAGAAACTTCTGGCTTGATAAATGGGGCCGTCGACCTGCACCGGCTCCTGAGGCTGCTTTGAAGCCTATGGTTGATTGGATTGATAGTGTTAGCCCTACTGCAAAGGAAACATATCCTACGTCGTGGAACACTGAGCTGCATGTTATCCGCAATGTGTTCAATACCTTTTTGGCGGCTTCCTTTGTGGATGAGTTTGCTGCGCTGTTCCGGGGAATGAGTGAGAAGGATCTAGAAGAGTTGGCTCTGAGTTTCCACTTTAAGGCTTGTGTTCAGCGTGAGGGGTTGAACCGTATTCTAAGGGACCATGCACATGTGTCTAGCTAGAGGAATGAGCTATAGCTTGAAATTGTGTGATATAGCAGGCATTGGATCTTATTAATTACGGTTAAGTGAAAGGTGGTGCGGTGAAATGGGAGCATCTTGATTTCTAAGTAGGGCGTGGCAACACCACGTGTTCCTGAATCTGGGCCTGATGCTCCAAAAACCACGCACCTTATGCGCACACTATCGATAAGCAGAAAAATCGAAAAAGATCGCGGGGTTGCGAACATTCTTGACTTCACAGAGATTTGACAATGGCTGAATTTCCTGACTATCAGTCTACCTTGAATGGTATCTTTGATGGGGTCTCTCCCCTCAAGGAGCGCCTCGATCCCATTCGATTGGCATCGGACAACATCGTCCCAATCTTCAGCCTGCCCCTCTCTCAAAAGGTCTTAGGCCATGATGCCTCAGATGATGTCCTTGCACAGGTTGCCCAAGGCGAAACATCTTACACGTCCTTTGTCGCCCAGCAGGCACGCACCGCCCTACAGTCCAACGATGACCTGCCCACCGAACAAAAGCAGTCCCAACTCCTACACCTCGGACTTGCAGCCTTGTTCAGCTTTCTGCAATCCAATGTCACCGGACCTCCCCTCGATTTCAACTCGGCCGAAGTCTCACTGCCATCGTCCTTGCGAGCGCAAATTGCAACCCTCAGAACCGTCCGGGCAAAGATCATCCGCGACTTGACTGTTGATGGAGAGGCTGCATACAAGCTCACACCCAACCCGGAATTGTTTGCTATCGCCAAGGCCCTGTTGAGTGATGCTTTCAGCGAGGGACCACTCGTGGCCAGGACAGCACGCATGCGCGTCAACTTCTTGCACCAGAAGATGCTGTCGGAGGTCACGAGCACCCTGCAGGATGCGATCTACAATGACGTAGAGGTGCTGAACAAGGCCGAGTTGAACGCAGACGAGAGGGGACGGTTCCTCCTGGAAAGGGCCATTATCCACACACATCACGGCTTTGATATCAAAGCTCGGGCAGATATCGACGAAGCTGCCGAGGTGCGGCAATTCGAGTTTGCGCTGACCGGCAAGCTCGGCAAGCGCACGAAGTTCCAAAACCGTGATATCAGTCAGCTTGTGGTGTTGGCTAAGAGTGCAGATGAGGCCTCATTATCATCGAAGCCCTCCGGTCCCAAGAATGTGGACCTAAATGATGATACTCTGCTTGAGGCGATCTCTTTCACAGAATCCAAGCCTGATGAGGAAGACAAGGCAATCCAGGGCAAGCTATCGGCCAGCTTGGATGCCGTTGATGCCAACAACCAGCCCATGCTTAACCCTGTGGACTCTGCTCTTCTCTTGGCCCTTGCCTCAGCTATCACCAACACTGCACCCGAGAACGGTCTTACCCGCGAGGAAACGCACCCATATGCTACTCGCGTTCTCGACGGTGGCAGTTCTAACTGGCAAATTTATACACAAGGTCTTTTGGTCCGTAGTCGGGTAGAGGGCTACCGTTCTCGTACCGTTGAGCGTGCTGTTCTGCAAATGCAGGCACTTGTGGATCAAGTTATCGCCGACACTGCTACTTCTGATGCAGCAGCTCAAACGGAATCAGGCGAACCTACAACCTTCTTGCCACGCCCTGAGCAGTCTGAATCTGCTCCAGCCGCCGATCGTCTCGAACACATTTGGATTTTGAACTTCTCAACAAGGTGGAACCTTGAGGCCGAGCTGGCCAAGCGCTGGGTTGACCTTGGAGGTCTGCGTACCGCCCTCGAAATTTACGAGAGATTGCATATGTGGGCCGAGGCCGCACTCTGCTATGCCGCAACTGAGCGTGAGGGCAAGGCAAAGAGCATTGTTCGCCGCCAGCTATACCAGCCTACTGGGCCAGATGAAGATGACGAAAATGAGCAATTCGATGGGCCTGAGCGGTCACCATTGCCGGCAGACGCACCCCGTCTTCTCTGTATTCTTGGAGATATTGACAAGGACGAAAGCTTGTATGAGCGTGCCTGGGAGGTTTCCGGACAGCGATACGCTCGTGCTCAGCGTTCCCTAGCTCGCCACTACCTTGCTCTCACGCCACCTGAATTAGAAAAGGCCGAGGAGGCCTACAAGAAGAGTCTACACGTCAACCGCCTCAACCACGGAGCATGGTTCGCTCTTGGCTGTGTCCAGCTCGAGCAACAAAAGTGGGAAGAAGCCACCGATACTTTCACCCGCACCGTCCAAATCGACGACACAGACGGCGAAGCCTGGTCAAACCTTGCCGCTGCCATGCTGCGCTCATCCGCACCAGAGTCATCCGGCCCAGAGGTTGTCATTGATGAAGCCACCGGCGAAGTCTCAACTCAGGACAATGAGCCCCACAAACGCAAGCGTGAGGCCCTCGCCGCCCTTCAGCGTGCAGCGCAACTCAAAAACACCGACGCCCGTATTTGGGACAACGTCCTCACAGTCGCAGCCTCCATCCCACCTCCATCAACACCCTTCCGTGACCTGATCACCGCCCAAAGACGGATCATCGAGCTCGTCGGTGCAAAGAAGGGTGAGAAGTGTGTTGACGGCCCTATCCTCGCTATGCTGGTCGAATTCCTGGTCTCTGCATTCCAATACGAGCGCCTCCTCATTCACTCCGAAGATCCCTCCGAGGCCCCCATCGTTCGCACGGGTACAATCCCTGGTCAAATCATCACCCTCATTGATCAAAACGTCATCCCACTCATCACTCACTCCTCGGCTCTGTGGCTACTCGTTTCCCGCGTCGAGATCTGGCGTGAACGTCCCTTCGCTGCATTTGAAGCTCATGAGAAGGCCTGGCGTGCTTCTGTCGCCGCTAATGCACAAGGCGCGTTCCAGATGGGCGATGAGAAGCCCTGGTTGGAAGTTGTGCGTGCTACGGAGAGACTTGTCCGAGACGGATACGCCAAGTACGGACCAATGGATCGTGAAGACCAGACTGTTGGAGCAGATGCCGAAGCCGAGCTCGTCGCTCGCGACTGGCGATTCAAGGCTCGCAGTGCCGTTCGCGGAATCATGGGCAAGGGCAAGGACTTCTGGGAAGACAGCGAGGGCTGGGCTCGTTTGAAGGAGTTGCAGTCTGAGGTTACTGGCAACTGAGTACATGAAAAAAAACGGATACTTTTATGAACCATAGAGATTATGATTGCTTTTTTTTGCATTTTGATGTTCATTTGGTTCAAATTTCTTGATTTGGCAACACGAAGCTATGCATACCACGTTACCTTGCTCTCCGAGACTTGCTGTAGACATGTACATGTTCATGTGTAGATGTATCACTTTGCTTCCAGCTTCCTTTTTACCATCCCGCAGAAACTCTCGAAAAGAACACTGTCTGTTCCCTGCGTCCACCGTACCAATACTTGTACCTTTTTGTCTTCTGGCTTCTGGCCTCGGAGTAATCGTAGGTATACGCGTACTCCTAGGTGAACTTGTGTTGGGACATCTTTCAACTTGCCAGCTCCCTCCTGGCCAGAGATTTTCATCTTCCGGCGCGCTTGTCGAGACCAGACATTTTCAGCAGCGATACCAGTCCCAGCCGAGGCATTCTGGTCCCAGCTCCAAAACCAGGTCAGAGAATCAAGTTCACTGTTCAAGGCTGCGCTAGCTGTATCAATTGATATTTCAGGTGCCAATGTGAAGTTGTAATCAGCAGGGAAGGGTAGCAAATGCTTCGGGAATCCAGGTATTCCTCGTGCAGCGGTCTATCAAAAAATAATTAATCAGACATCGAGATGATGCGAAGGAGAAAGCATGAAACATACCATGATAGGCCGTTTATCCCCCCACGACCAAGCCAACGCCCACCGCTTTGTTTTACTCCCCTGCACGAACTCAGTGACGGCGTAATTGTGATTATCGTGCTGTATGAGCATCTCAACAAGAACAGATACACTGCTTAGTTTACCGAGCATGGATGTATACCACTGGATGCGGTCATGCAGAACGAGACTCTCCTCGATCATGCGCTTCACGAAAGCTACTTCTCCACCGCGGGTGACCATTTCCACCTCGGCGCCTGTACATGCCTGATTATTCCATTAGTATGATTTGATTTTTGGCATGACAAATAGTTCGGGGTAATATGTTGTACCTACCGAGAAGGCAGGCCGGGACTTTTGCTCGGCGGATTGAATTAGCTCATCGCGCGAGGTGTAGAAAGGGGGATTACACATGGTGAAATCCAGACTGATTGTTGGCCATTTTGAGATCAGAATAGACTTTGACAGGGATCAGTTTCAGGAGAGACGTACGTGGCATGGCCAAGGTTATTGAGCGGGAAGAGCAGACCCTCAGCGTCAGTGTTGATGACCCGAATTCGGTGCTCGAGCTTGTTCATTTGGACATTGTGCTGAGCACTGTATATGTTGTTGGAGTCGATATCTACCAGGCCAATTAGTGTTGTTTCAAGTAAATTTGGCTAGTGGACAAACCCGTTGCAATAAAAGTCCAACCGGGCCGGGATGTGCAGCCAAGTAGTGGATAAATGCTGATACACCCGGTCCCACTGTGATTGATTAGATGTGGCCTACAGGCGGGTGGAGCGGGACAAGACATACATGTCAAGACCGACGACTTCTCGGCTGGAATCATATCCAGATTTCAATTCGCCGGTAGTGGAATCTAGCAAGTCTTGGAGCCAGAGGATGTAGTTGAGTCTTTCTTTTTCGTCAGTCATGCACAGGGGAGTGACATTGGTATCAACCCTGCGTCGACATACCTGTTTGGTACCTGCAAGCAAAGTCAGTGCATGTGCGTGAGATCGTCGCTGGTTAATATATGTGCATACCGGTGGACATAGCCGATCATCTGGGATCTCCACTTTTAAATGGAAGTCCTGCTCCAGAAGGCTAGTCGTGAGCTGCCTGCATGATATTAGTTTATCACTTGTGCAAGGATTCCAGGCGCCGAATAGCTCGGAAATACCGGACAGCCGCTGGATCACTGAAGTCCAACTGAGACTTGGGCTTCAAACTTGATATCCTGTCAGTGAGAGTCTCTTTTGCGTAGCGATTGAGCGCAAGTCAGTTCACGTACTACTTGGCGAAGTCGCGCGACTGCAGCGCCAAGGCTGCGAAATCGACGTCATTCTTGTAGAGACTTCGTGCATTTTCCATTTTGGGTCTTGGTTTTACCTTGAAGGTCCACTCCCCGTACTTTTGAGAGAATTGATGAAAAGTGGTTGTTGGTTACGACGGGAAAACGAACGATGGGAAGGTAGGTTGATGGCGTCATGTGACTATGCAGAACCCTTGAATTCATGACAATGTAAAATTTATCTTGTATATACGACCGGGAAAAGAATAATCTATCACCAAAAAAAGTATATCACCGAGAATCGAAACCATATATGCACCTTTTTTGCACCGAAAAGCCAAATCGTTAAATCGTCATGGGCTGATGCCTGCTCTGTATCCCTTTTGTTGAACCATATTTCAAAATTTCCTTCTCAAAGTCTTCGAATTAGACCTTGTTTGCCTTCTTCTTGAAGCGCTCATGGCGCTCAAGTCTCCATTGGTATCCCCAGCGCATCTCGACCATCAACAGTGGGACCATGGCGATGGTAATACCCGCGAGTAAGACGAATGCCCACTCAGCAGTGATGGCATCGATAATAGGCTGAGCAGCAGCAACACCAGCAGCACCAATCAGACATCTCATCAAGTTATTGACGGCTGTTGCGCTTGCGCTGGCACCGGGGTAAAGGTCAATGACGAGAGCGCTGTTGATAGTGAAGATGGCAGTGGAGCCATAGGCAATCATGAATTGCAGAATGATAGGGACTGCAAGATGTGTGCGGAGGGAGACGCCATATACAGCAACACAGATAATGAAAATCAATGTGATCCACCAGGTGTTGCGCATGCGGGCGTATTCGATGGGGAAGTCGGGGTGGGTCTTGGAGTTGATGCGGGTATCGATGGGGAGGTTGTGTTGTTGGCAGTATTCGCGCTCGGTTCTCTTGTGGTTGTAATCCATCAGGTATCCAATGGTGTATGAGCCAGTCATACATCCGAAACCATTGCCGAGGAAGGTCAAACCGACCTCCAGGGAATTGAGACCGTACCTCTGCTCGAACAAGTCGGAAGTAGATGAGGTGACCATAGACCAGACAGTGTACACAATGCTGCCAAAGAACAGAGTGATGAATACATCCTTTTCGCCCAAGAAAGCAAGAGGTGCCACAACGGTTTTCCAGGTGACCTTGGCTTTCTTTGCGGAAGGGGTTGAGCCTTCCTGTGCCTCCTTCTGTCCAGTGATGGAGTAGATCAGTGGCCGGTACACGCCCTGGAGAGGAACAGTGCCATTGCCAGCAACGGTACGGAGGGTTTCGGGGAGGAAGAAGATAATGGAGAGGAGGCTGATTCCAGATACGATGATCAAGAACCAGAAGATAGACCGGAACCCAAGGTATTGAGACAGAATACCACCGAAAACTGGGCCCACGCCTTGTCCCAACATTCTAACTCCACCAAAAATGCCAATTAAGCTACCTCGCTCCGCTGAAGTAGTGATATCACCAATGACACCAGCACCAATTGAGATGGTGGCTGCACTTCCAGCAGCCTGCAGGGCGCGGAAGACCATGAGCTCAGCATAGTTTGTGGAAACGCCCAATGCAATATTGGCAATAATGTAGACAAGGAATGTTCCAATAAAGATTACACGGCGGCCAAGAACATCGGAGAAAGAACCCCAGAAACTTGGAGCAAGACCTTGAACAATCATATACACAGTTACTGTCAGGGTTGTTAAGGACATGGAGACACCAAGCTCCTATACAGTTGTTAGAATGATAGCGTGAGGTAATACTGGAGAAAGACGTACCCTTGATATCTCTGATAGGGCAGGGAAGTAAATGTTTGAAGAGAGCGGGGAGAATATGGCGGCGAAGGAGACGATGATGACCAACTGCAATTTGCGAGATCGGGAGAAGACATGGTATGGTGGAGGTGTGCCTGCTTGGGCTTCAAGGTTGATTGACTCTGCTGGTGTTGATGGGATAGAAATGTCCTTCTCATCTTGAGGCGAGAGGCTAGGGCTTGAGTTGACAGAATAATCCGTAACTCTAGGCTCCTTGAGAGTCTCAGTGGAATTGTATTGAGACATAAGGAATTATTATAAAATGGGGAGAAAATTTTTGTATATTTGCAAAAGACACAAGTTGTTGACAATAATGGAAATCAAACTTCATCGGGTCCAGACAGCTTTGGATGAATCGAGAACTCAGAAATGGACTCATGGCAGCCTTTTGTATTCCAATTCCAGCCCAAATCCCCCTGATAAGAATCAGAAAATACACAAATATTAGTTGGACCCATGCATCTGAGAGTCAACTAAGCCTGCTCCACTGTGGATTTGACCAGGGGGACCACAGGCCCATCCCCTTGATAATAGGAAGTGGCAAGGATCCGACAGATCTGGTAAGGCCGACGCAGCTCAATTTGACACGTACTAGCGATGATCGCTGACAAGAATCTATCTGAATGCCTGCAAAAAGAGTCACAGGCATGTCGCTGACGCGTGAACAGTGTTCTCTGGCTTGCATGAATCGTGTTATATCTCCAAGCCTCCATGGCTGACGTCTATCTACGGAAGAGGCGCATTCCTAAGCCTCTTGCAAGCCATTCTGGGGGGTTTAATATGGTGGACAGTGCCCTAAAATATCTTAGGCAAAAGTTTACTAGCCATAGGAATTCCTTCCGTTGTCCGTATAGTACACGCGTGCACTATTAGACAGATGATCGTCAAAGCATGTGCAATACAACAGGTTTCATCCACGGGATAGGAAATCCCCGGTAAAATCACATTTTGACACCTCTAGAACTTTTCTACTCTCGGACTCGGCATCTTCATAGCGTCCGGGTACTCCCAAGTTGCCGAGAGTCTGCACCCGGAGATGCATGATAAGCAGAAGGGTATACCGAAGCCAATCAGGTCTGACAAGCCAAGCCTTGGCAATTTGTATATCGTGGATACGGGGAGAAGAAACATGAAACCCGGCTCTCTCTCCAGGGCTTCTTGCCCCCACGTGCCCCGTGATTGGCAACTATGTTCATCATCTGTCAAGCAAAAGCCAAGCTTCGTCAGTGCCCAAGCAATAGTGACTCAGGGGGGAAATGAAGCAAACCCGGGCAGTTACGTAGATACTAAGCCCCTTGGATCTTGTATAGCAGCCCCCTTGCTGTATGCAGTATCCCCTATCCAATGAAGACCCGCAAAGGGGGTCAAGTATAGTAGGGTTTGGGCAGGAAACCCCCAATGACGATGCAGTATAACGCTAGGTAAGCATTACCCGCAAGCTACTGACCAATGTTGCTGCATTTCAAGATCCAGGGACATCATAGGTGGAGAGGAAACGAAGAATGGGGTCTCAGACTCTTCGGGACAGGGTTCGCGCTAAATGGAGATGATCGACGCATCGAACGGCTTCTATGTCGACAGTGCACAATGGTGCCAATCTACTGTCGATCATCTCCACCGGTGCTTTATGATTGTGATTCTTTTCTGGTCTAGTCTTTCCCTCGCCTCTGCTGTACTCCACTGAGGACCACACGCGCCACGCTTAGAGAATCCTAGCGGAGTAGCCAAGATCTTGTCATTGTCTGCGATTGATTCTTGACCTGCAATGGCCTGCACATCTCTCGGTTGACTTTCGATCACATACTTTCGGGGCATTTCTTTCACGAGATCCCAACTTTCTGCTCGGCTAAGGCTGGACAGGGCTGCTCAAGGCTGATGTATATACTTTCAGTTCACTTCTTGGCATGAGAATACTCTTGATCCCTCAATTTTGATGCCCAACGCCAAGACCCTGAAATTCACGGTGCAGCTCCCACCCCCTGTAGAGCGCCAGCCCCGAGAGATCCCGAGAAATTATCGGTTAGCCGACTTTGATTTTATCCTACGCACGTTGGATGGAATCTTTTACCAGATTGGCCCGAAGTTATAGTGTACTGTAAGCTGATCAAAGGTACGTCTCACTTACTCCAAATGATCAGCATAGTAGAGTCTGGACTTTCTGGCTTGTGTAGGGTTACAATCTCCAAAACTTCCGAATCATATCATACATACATGCATTGGTTCCGGCCGGACGACACGGGAATCTCATTATAAACTTCAAACTGTGCCCAAAAGGGAAAAGCACCCGTCCGGGTCCCTTGAAGAGGATCCACTGGCACCGTCGATTGGACCGAACAGTTGAAGCGCCGAAACTTGCACTTCATATATCCGGTTTTCGGATTGTTTTTCTGCGTCGGGGTCGCCCTCTGATAATGTTAATCAATTTCTTCAGAGTCATTGACGTCAATTACAGTCGTTTCCGCGCACTCCGTAGCTCCCCCGGTTTCGTTTTTGCATACAATCAAGATTGCAGATAACTTATCTGTTTCGTTTTTCTTTTAAACTATTCGTTATATAATAATCTAATTATCTGTTTTAATTTATGAAACAATAGCCCAAGTTCATTGCGGCTTCTAGCTGTCTTCTAGTAGATCTAGTAGATCCCCCTGACACTCAGGACCATCTCCATGGGAAACCACCAAAACATGAATAGTGTAAAATGTGTCTGCCTGTAGTACGACGGCATGAGGCTGTGTTCGATCTATTTGAGTTGGCGTTTCAATAAAACGCATTGGCCACGGAATTTGCAGATCTAATGCCAACCCCTGTCTTGCCTACAGTAAGCTCATTCCTTCACAAACTTTGGTTTAGCTTGAGACTAAAAACTCAGATAAGAGAATTCCAGGCATTTCTACGAGGAATGCAAGTAAGACCGAAAACATTGCGACACAGAATCGCAGCGCAGTATCATCACATGGAAACAAAGTTCCCTTCTTCCACATCGCCGATCATCCATACCCACACATATCCACAAATATCCACCCACGCCAAACACAGAAGAAATAACGTCACGACTAGTATACAGTACTGTACAAATGTCAGCCAGACCGTCTCAGACCCGCTCCGCTCCTAAATTTTGCGTAGCGCGATAACCCACCTTGGCACCACGGCTCCAGGACTGTTGGACCCGAAACGCAAATCCATATGGAACCTGTGGACCGCAGACACTCACGCGGCCTCATCCGTCTCAGCTGTTGACTTCCAACCCTACAGGGCCTGTCGGAATGCCCCTGATCGTCGACAAATGGAGCTCGCGTGTGGGCCTGGCGATTGCGTAAGAGTTCAGTAAGGAACCCCCGATTTGATAGTGTGATAGTGTTGCTTCTGTGGGGAAGTATTGACGCCAACGGTAACGGCCAGATGGCTTTCCAGTGCGGAGCGGGATACAGAGATTCATGGGGGTTGATATCAGCCTATTGATCCCCCCTCGTGCACATTTGACTTGACTTTAGTCAATCTTGACAAAGATCTCGGATTCTTGGCGCCGCAAAAGTGAGGACTTGGCGTGGCAACTCTTTGGTCCAGTCGGGATATTTTTAATCGCAATGCGCAGTGTATAAATGACCAGATAACAGATCGGTGCTATTGTCATGGCTTGTGCAAATCCCGTGTGTGTATATATCTATTTTGAACTGATTTGTACAATTGTGTGCAAGGTATCACTATCACTGGCATATATATATCCATGCAATGTGATACATATGCAGACATACTTTTGCTATTTTTGAATGCCTGAGACAGGTCTAGCGTATTGCACCGGATAAACGCTTTGCATCTGCACAATACTGTACAGTAGACCCTAGATTTCGAATATGTTGAATAGAGGGTGAAGTCTAGCGCCATATACATCGAAGACGGGAAACCATATCCATGACGTATGTTCTTCAGCGGAAAGTCTGTTCCGCTTAACCACAACCCCCGCCGGGGCCTACATTTTCAGTTGTAACTTAGGGCTTTGTGTATTCTTCGGGGTCTCTTTGTTTCAATTCAATTAAAGGTCACAGTATCACACGAACATGGCGTATCAAGTTTCATTATCTCTATCGATCCCAAGATGCCGCATCTACAATATCACTGCTAAGAGGGCCGGGGCCAAAAGGCCAAGAAAGACTTCTATTACAGCCAAGCCGTTCGCATTGGCGACCGCATCGAATGTGCAGGTCAAGGTATGGATGTTGACGGGCATAGCCCGAACGAATATGCATGCTGACAGCGTCTGCATCAGGCGGTTGGGACCCGAAGACCTTCGAGTTCCACCGAGAAATCAACGCCCAGATTGATCAGGCTTTCGCCAATGTCGATCTGAACCTGAGGGATGCAGGAGGAAAGGGATGGGAGCAAGTTTTCCGGGTAAACTCGTATCATGTCCCAATCAAAAACGAGGCCCTGGACGCGATGGTGCGAAACTTCAAGAAGTGGATGCCTAATCACCAGCCGATTTGGACGTGTGTTGGCGTGACAAGACTTGGCGAGGACGATATGCGTGTTGAGATTGAGGTAGTTGCTCATGACCCTTAGAATTGAGTTTGAAGGTGATATAGAGCGAGAGACGAGTTGGTATGAGACCCATGTTGCCCAATTTTGAAATCAAGAATGGTAGATAGGCATTACCACATGAGAAAGGAAATTGGCTCAATAATGCATAGAAGTTTTGATCAGGATGATTATCCTCAACGGCTGCCGCCTCTTCCTCCACCTCTTCCCCCGCCCCTCCCTCTGGACTTGCCCTTTCCTCTGCCACCCATCATGCGGCGACCCGAGGCCTGAACATGAGCAATATCTTGCTTGTTCAGGTTCAATGTTCCTCCCGAGAACTTGCCGACGGAGGAACCTACAACACCACGCTCTCGTCGTCCATTGTTCGACTTGGAAGCCTTGTTAGGCCTTTCGAGAATAATGCCGTTCTCCTTAGCTTCACGGCGACGTCTGTCTTCCTTAGAAGCTGCCTTGGCATTGATGCCTCGTCGGTGCGCATCGGGCATCTTTTGCGCATATAGCGAAGACTTCGCTCCAAGGGATTGCATGCGCATATCCAAAGCCTTAAGGCGGTTCTTTCCAGTGGGCGCCAGATCATCGGCAGATTCGAGCAGGTGCGATTCCTTTAGAAGCCGTTGTAATGCAAGATCGTGCTTCAGATTCACAGCGTCATGGGCATCATCTTCCTCTTCCTTCTTGGTTGAAGGTTCGTCCGGGTTGGTGCTCGGTTTCGCTAGATTAGATAACAATTTCCCGCTCTACAGCAACACAATCAGTACTAGAAACGATATCTTGTAGTTTCGACACATACCAAGAATGCTTTTCGAGTTTTCTTGTCCATCCGGTCTTCTGGTGCCATGTGGGTATCCGTATGTTCCACCACCTCGACTTCGTTGCTCTCGTCGCTGAAGTCAGACAGATCATCTGACCCAAGCTCAGACCCAGAAAGATCATCTTCATCATCCTCATCCTCATCCTCATCTTCATCATCGGAATCCGTAGGATTATCGGACTTGGCGGTATGGCCTGGCAAATCAAGAGGCTCGAATTGAGCTTCGAAAAGTTTTCGGAATACGTCCTGCGCATTGTCTGCGGGAGGAGGACTCTCCTTCTTCTTGGGTTTAGAGACAACAGCGGTCTCGCGCTTCCGTTTTCCGACCATAGTGAATGTGTATGTTGATTATGTAGAAGACTTAAAACATTCGCGCCGCCCAAGAAGTTTTTCGAGCTAATCGCATATCACGTGCGATAAACACGATAAGCCCCTCTGACTCCCACAGCGTCACGAAATATCACAACTTCTTTTTCCCCAGCAATTCAAAGACAATGACCAAGTTCAGACCATGCATTGACCTGCATTCGGGGCAGGTGAAGCAGATTGTGGGAGGTACCCTCAGCCAGGTCGAGGCAGACCTGAAGACCAACTACGTATCCAAGCTCCCCGCTAGTCACTATGCGGGATTGTATGAGAAGCACGACTTGCGCGGTGGTCATGTTGTGAAGCTTGGACCGGGAAATGAAGAGGCTGCCAAAGAGGCACTGAAGACATGGCCAGGTGGCTTACAAATTGCTGGAGGTATCAATGATCAAAATGCCCAATATTGGATTGACCAGGGCGCAGACAAGGTATGCATACCACTCTATGCGAATCAAGAATTTTCGATTGGCATTATACTTGAATAAGAACCCTCACCCGATTCTTGGCCTCGAGGCTGTTTCAAATCCAAGTGCTGTCCGTCGTAGTATAGTCCGATGACGCTAATCATGGAATGCGGGACAACAGGTGATCATCACTTCATTCCTTTTCCCTGCCGGCAAGTTCTCGCTCGAAAGACTTCAGTCAGTTCTGTCTGCTCTCGGTGGCGACAAGTCAAAGCTAGTCTTGGATCTTAGCTGTCGCAGAAAAGATAATACTTGGTTTGTGGCTATGGACCGCTGGCAAACCATCACAGAAATGGAGATTAACCAAGGTATGTCCTATTTTTTTTCAGTACATTGTGTACTGTTGAAGTATATTGTTTACTCATTGACATTTTATAGAATCCATCGCTATGCTGGAACCATACTGCGCCGAGTTCTTGATCCACGCTGCGGACGTGGAGGGCCTGCAACAAGGTGTTGACGAAGAACTAGTATCCAGACTGGCTGACTGGTGTACCATTCCTGTGACATATGCCGGAGGTGCACGTCATCTGCAAGATTTAGAAAAGGTCCACACATCTAGCAAAGGACGTGTGGATTTGACGATTGGCAGTGCCCTGGACATATTCGGTGGCTCTGGCGTGACATTCGATGAGTGTATCGAATGGAACAAAGCCCACTAAATAGAGATAAAACAATAAACATGCAATAGACACCTCCAACCATACAAAAAAGCCCAAAGCATCTTGTTGATGTTTATAGATGACAGGCCTGGACTTGTCCGAAAGCGGCTTAGGGCCAAGCGAGGTCCGCCCGCCTCCGTATCTTGAGACTTCAACCTCTCTCTTTACGACCTTTTGCGACACACTCTCTACAACCTGCTTTCTTTATCCGAACCCTCTTCTCTGAAACGTCCTCTAACGCCACAAATATGAAGCCCGTCGTCTCTGCCCTGAACGCCTGGTCCTGGTACGATCACCCAACCCATCTCCAACTACCGACCCCATCAGTCTAACCTCTGACCCGCCAAACAGTGTCGTTATCTCCCTCTTCGCAATTGTCATCCTATCAGTCCTCGGAAGCCTATACAGCGTACGTCCTATAGATTCCCTCGGCCAACGACCCGACCAAAGGCCCGCCCTCATGGGGTATACGTAATATGACATCGTGCGCTAACAAGAACTTCCCCGACACAGAGCAACAACCACGCATACACTGGATCAGAAGGCGAACCCGAAGATGGAGCCGCAGTCGCTGCTTCAATTTACACCGCTGTGATCGTTTACGCTGTACGTCATCCCCAATACATCGGAGCCAAGCGACCGATCGCTGCACACCAGAGAAGGAGAAAGAGAGACACGAGCAAGAATTGGTTACTGACAAAACTACTTTCTCATGAATAGGGATTCTTCGTATTCTGTGGCTTCCAGGCTTACCTCCACTTGCGAAACAGCAGGGGAGGTGCTATATCACTCCATTGAAGCTGTCACAGCTATGCGTCCTTTTTTCTACGGTGTCCTGACAACGCGTTTATCTATCGATTTGCAATATTTGGGATGAAATCTCGGTGTTTTCTATGGCCAACACGGTGGTCTTGGATTGATGAGTTTGATGTGCCTCAAAGCGGAGAGAGAAATAGCAGGGATGATGTTTGTCCCTTGGAGGCATCCATCTTGTAATGTCTCTTTGATCGACTCATACTTATTCTTCCATATGAGCAAGGATCTTCTTGGAAGGCGTTTGTGGGGCAGGTTTCCCAGTCTTTCTTACTAGAATACGCAGACGATCTACCTGCGACTTGTACATAGATCGCTCGAATTACTACCAGCCTTTTCTTTCTTTTTTGGTGATATCTCATTATGTCCATTTCATGCATCTAAATAGCAAACTTTTGTAAAGACATTTAATCATCATCATTGAGAAATAGCATGATTTCATGACCGCCAACGCCAGTGGATGCAGAACCAGATCGAGAGCTCCAGCTCCAGCACCTAGTCTTTTTTGGTTTCCTTTTTCTTTCTGAGAAATCACTCCTCGTCCTCCCAAGGGTCCAGCATCTTGGACATGTAAGGACCATCTAAGAAGTACCCGAGACGAGCGTAGTAGCTACGCACACCAACACCAGAGATAACACTGATCTTGGTGCTGCCATGCTCCTCACGGGCAATACGCTCTGCCTCCTCCATCAGCAGAGTTCCGAAACCACGGTGCTGGAATTTGCGCGCATCACGTCCGTGAAGCGGCACAGCCGAGCCGTAAACATGAAGCTCACGGACAATACTCGTCTGCTGGCCCGTGAACTCTGGGCGGAAAGTGTGGGTGTCACTGCACTTGCGCAGACGAAGCAAGCCAATAAGAATATCCTGCTTCGGGTCTTCGTATGCCAAGAATGTCTCCCAGCCGCCGTTGGCAGTGTAGTCACGGCGAATCAACTCAATCTGCGATGGGCGGATCTTGTTCTTCACTTCGTTGATACCGACCTCTCGGGTGCGGACGTCACGGCAGGTTGTACCAAAGTCCTTCATGCGTGCCAATGCCAGTTCGCGCAAGTTGCCGTTCTCCACTCCAGATGTCACCAAAGGCATGGGGATATCACGTTGAACTCGATAAATACGGGTCCATGGGGGAACCAGAGCGAGAATGCGTGCGACAAGGTCGATCAGCGCATTGGGAGTGTAGTTCTTATAACGGCCAGTTCGCCACAATTCATACAGACCGGTGCCTCGGATGACAAGTGTGGGATAGAGCTTGAGACCGTCAGTACGGAAGTTGGGGTTCTCGAAGTACTCCTGGAACTGGAAGAGATCGCGCTCCATTCCAACATTGGGCAAATCAGGCATCATGTGGCTGACGACCTTGAATCCAGCATCTTTGGCGAGCTTGAAAGTCTCAGCCACCGCTGCCACGGTGTGACCACGGTTCGTGTCGCGCGCAACATCCTCGTACAGACTCTGGACACCAATTTCCAGTCGCGTACATCCGTAGCGGAGCATGCTGCTCAAATGTGTGTCTAGACAATAATCCGGTCGGGTCTCGATTGTGATACCCACACACTTCACGTTGCTCATTTCGCCTGCCTGCACGGCCTCGTCGACGTTGTCGGTTTGGTATCCGCTCAGTGCGTTGTGAAGCTGCGAGATGAAGCTGTCACGATGATCTTCCGGCAGCGACATGAAAGTTCCACCCATAATGATGTATTCGACCTTGTCCACGCTGTGGCCAAGAGACTTGATCTGGTCCACTCGTCCTCGCGCCTGTTCAAATGGATCGTAACGAGCGCGAATCGCCCGCATCGAGGTTGGTTCATATCCGGTGTAGGATTGTGTCGAGTATTCGAAGTCAGAGTCTGGGCCACCAGGGCAGTAGACGCAAATGTTACCGGTATAGGCGATATGAGGGCATCGGTGAGGTTTGCACATAACCGCCACCACGGCGATACCAGACGAAGTTCCTGCGAATCAAGTTAGTTACTCCCCAGCAATCCCTCCACTTGATATTACATACGAATCGGCTTTGCGATCAGTTTCGGTAGAATGTATTTCTTGTAGTGTTCAGGTACAGCAGCAATGATGGCCGTCAGTGGCGGCTGGGTGGACAGATGGTGTTTCTTTGCGATCGTGCCGCGCAGTTTGTTCAGGTTCACATCTTTCTTGGGCTGCGAGGAGTCTCTTGACGACTCGTACTCTTGGATCAGGGCGTTTGCAATGTCGGAGCACGCTCGCATGAACCGTTCGTTCTCCGGCACCTGCTTTGCCATCTTCTTGGCGTTTCGCTTCGTGATCGCGGGGGTCATCGTCATAGTGGCCATGGTGACAGAGATATCACCGCGCCAAGGCGGGAAGACGTGGATAGAGAAGTTGAAGCTGTTGAACTGTTGTGGTGGGGGTAACAAAAATTGTATGTGGTCGCCGAGGCCTGCGCCCGAACAGCACTCGGATCCGCTTAAGTAAAAGATTGTCCCGAGCGAAAACTCCCGGGCGCGCATCCCGATCCCTTCACCATACCCGAATCCTTTTCTCTCCTTTCATACTCCTCAACACCTCTCCTCTCTACCTATCGCAATGCAGGCCTTCCGCCGTAACACTGTCTCGGCCCTCCGCCAGTTCGGTGCCACCCAGCGCCGGACTGAGGCCACCTCTGCCTACCAATCCACCGTGAACAACCTTCGCATCAACAAGGACACTCGCGTCCTGTTCCAGGGTTTCACCGGAAAGCAGGGAACGTGAGTGCAAATCCCGCAGAGTTCCTGATATTTCTACGCGCTTGCCGCTGACATTTTGCCTCAAAACAGCTTCCACGCAGAGCAGGCCATTGCCTACGGTATTTTCTTCTTTCGCCATCGCAACGAATCACCCATAGCTTACACAGGATAGGCACAAATGTTGTCGGTGGTACCAACCCCAAGAAGGCCGGCAGCACTCACCTCGACCTTCCCGTCTTCGCCAACGTCAGCGATGCCGTGAAGGAGACCGGTGCTACCGCCTCTGCTATCTTCGTCCCGTATGATACCGCGATTCCCATGCACCCAGAATAATTGACTAACTGCAGCTAGTCCCCCTCTCGCTGCTGCCGGTATCGAGGAGGCCATCGCTGCTGAGATGGGCCTCGTTGTTTGGTGCGTGTCAACCCGTTGAAACTTCTTTTTTTTTTACCTTCAAGAGCTTCAAACTGACTGGTCCATCCTTTATATAGCATTACTGAGGGTATCCCCCAGCACGGTACGGCCCATTCGATCATCACATGAAGAACGCGAACTGATTTTTCTGATATAGACATGGTCCGCATCACCGACATCCTCAAGACCCAGAACAAGACTCGTCTGGTCGGCCCTAACTGCCCCGGTATCATCGCTCCCGTAAGCTACCGCCATACTTACAATCGCAATGCGCATCGATACTCATACAATTCGTTTATAGGGACAATGCAAGATCGGTATCATGCCCGGCTTCATCCACAAGCGCGGTCGTGTCGGTATCGTCTCTCGCTCCGGTACTCTGACCTACGAGGCCGTCAACCAGACCACCCTCGCTGGCCTTGGTCAGTCTCTCGTCGTCGGTATCGGTGGTGACCCCTTCTCCGGCACCAACTTCATCGACTGCTTGAAGATCTTCCTCGAGGACCCCGAGACCGATGGTATCATCATGATCGGTGAGATTGGTGGTTCCGCCGAGGAGGACGCCGCCGAGTTCTTCAAGGCCAACAACATCCACAACAAGCCCGCCGTTTCCTTCATCGCTGGTATCTCCGCTCCCCCCGGCCGCCGCATGGGTCACGCCGGTGCCATCGTCTCCGGTGGTAAGGGTGGTGCTGACTCCAAGATCTCCGCTCTCACTGACGCCGGTGTCATTGTCGAGCGCTCTCCCGCCAACCTCGGCAAGTCCCTCCTTGCTGAGTTCGTCAAGCGCGACCTTGTCTAAATTCGTCGCTGGTGATGCATCATGTGTCTTGTTTGCCTAAAACTCTATGCCACGGCTGGGGATTGGAGGTGATATTTGCCATTTATACTATGGGGCTTTTTGGGCTGTTCCTCTGTTAACTGCTCCTGTATTCTTTTTCTCCTTTGTGTTAGAGACCCTTGAAGTAATTACTTTCGTGTAACTTTACTGTATCCCGTTTTGCATGATAGATGATCCAACGAAGTAAATGAGTAGACCATAATTAGCTACATGCACGCATCAACTTATACACAACTTGGTTGCTTCAACGTCCATGCGGCAGAGCCTAGGGGTTGTGCATCTACTGCCTTCCAGCTCGACTGGCCTACGCCCATATTCCACGATGGCACTTCATAGTACACGCAGCAGGTCCCGTCCTCAAGTTATGTATGGTAATTAGTATCATTATTGCCATGTTTGATATTGCTCCAAGTTATTTTGGTGCGAGCGAACATCCTGAGGTGTGGACTAATCACCCAGCATAAACTGATATGAACTGGAATCGGCTAGCTAGTGCTGTAGCATGTATTTTCTAGGGGAAACCTCGCCTTGTCATTAGTTCGTTGCCAACAGGGACGTGACTCGTCCTATTCTGACTTTGGAATAGGAGTTGGTATTTTAATGAGATATTCGCCTGTCTTTAAGTAGGCCATTTCTGTCAAATACGAGATCAAGCAGGTCGACGTAACTTACAGAACAACCAAGCACCGGAGCCGATATTCAACGGCCAAAGATCAGCTCAGGATTGACGTCACAGGTGTTGATTTCTATATACTTTTGGAAAGCGTGATGGTTACTCTGTAAAATGGATTTACATAGTCGTTGGTTCAGTCTACATTGCTGCTGGCTAGCCTGGTTCCCCTGGTCAGCCACCTCCACGGCGTTTGTCGTTTGACTACAGTTAATGCTTACTCACATTCAAAGTGTTGTAAGTACCCTCGTTCAAGGTTCCTCGCTATCAAGCCTTTATACACAGAACATGTGACTGAACTGGGCCATTGTATGGACATGCACTAAGCCTATTTAGGAAGTATATCATTGGAGGCCCCTGGGTATATTCTGACTTCGACGAGTGTGTCGCGTGGACTGAATTGCGAGTACTATTAATAATTTCCCATTTCATCCATGGTACATCTGCTCGGAAACAAGGTGCTGGCAGAGTACCTGGCAGTTCGAAGGGGTTTAGCTAAGCCGACAGCAGCACACCTATGCTCTATAATATGGCCAAACACAATTGTGACTCCCTATACACTTTCGACCGGGAAATCGACGCTTTCTATACTTTTGTGAATACCATGGCTCCAGATAATGGGACATATAAGAGGATTCTGACTCACTCTTTCCTCTCTTCTCTTTCTTCCTTCTTCAACTATCCATTCATATATAAGATGTTTAACCCCACCCCTCTCTGGGTCTGGTTGTACGGCGAGAAGGAGAGTCGTATGGAGGATCTGCTCTGGGATCTCGAAGATGAGGATTCAGGAGCACTTGATTCATACTACACTACATATCGCATCAAGCTCCATCAAATGGACTTCGCCACTGGCGCAACCTCATCCTCTATGGTTCAATACTACAAACCGGATCGAAAGACCGACTTTCAGGTCAAAAACACCTCACTCGACCCCAAGAACCCAAAAGACGACATGTACCTATCCATGCTGGAGAAGAAGAACAACCCAGATTTCGACGGCCTAAAGCTTCATCAACAACTACGAAAGTCCTTCTCAAAGTATATCACACACTCGCCCAACGGCCGCAGAGCAGGACCTGGCTGGCAGTTTATCAAGTAAGTTTATATTCCGTGTGACTCGTACATGGTCACATACACAGGCTAACTCTAACCAAACATAGTCCCGAAGAAGGAGGCGATCTATACAACAGCAACGATAAACATGGCTTCATCATCGACCAAGGGGCCGCAAGTGTCAGTGCTAGCGCATCCCATCAAGTCGTCATTATGAACAGCGAAGACTGCTACAAAATCAATACCCCGTCCACAGGAGAGATTATTGTGCTCCTCCGATGGATGCTGGCCGCTGTCAAGCCCCAAAAATCCAAATCATCAATAAGTTCTCGCAAATACGCAGAAAACTGCCTGTTTCAACATGACATCCCGGTATGTTTGCTTATCCCAATCCCTCATGTTGGCAAGATAGATTTACTGACCTGGACGTAGACAATGGTTATCTCGTTCCTACCAGATTCCAAAGTTCGCATCTTATACGGCTATTTTGATGGAGGTCGCCTCAGAATTGCTCATACCAAGGCAATTGCATTCGATAACGACCACTACGAAGAAAATATGGATACCCTTCTTCAATGGACTTGGCCCATCATCTGCAAGGACACTTCCAAACCTCTTCCTATGCAGACAATCGAAGAGAGCGACGAATCAGACGAGTCCGATCAATCTTGAACACATACCAAGTTCCTTGTCATCTGAAGTTCCTATCAGCGAAGGCAGCTGAAGCATCAAAAAAATCTAATGTTTCCAATTTCCTATTGCACTGTCAGCTATCATATCTTATTATGTTCTATGTTTTATGTGGTATGCACCATGTACTGTTCTCGTTTCGCATCGCAACGCATCGCATGTATTCTTATTCGTTTGTCAACCTGTATCTAGCAGATCTACATTTCAAATCCATCTGGGGATGAGAGAGAACATCATTTCATAATACAAGTAGGGTACAAATAAAGCCAAGGTAAATACTTCGAGACCCTTCTGCTTTTTCCTGGGAAATACTCCCAGGTCAAATTTGTTGCTCCATTATACTAGACCTTAATAATCGATCATGAGAACTTTGCGAGTCACAATTTGCTCCAGTTAATATAGACATCTCAACACCTACCCTATTTCTTAATATTTCCCAAAGCCTTAACCACCTCATCCGTCCCAATGGCATCAGCAAACTCGCCATCAAGACTAGCAACAGTGACCTTCTGAATAGTCTCCGAATCAATCCCAGCCTTGCCAAAAGTAGCCGTGGCATCAGCAACAAGCACAATCCTCCCCTGATCGACCTCAACCTCATTCTCGTGACTCCCATCAGCCCTCAACTTCACAGGCCCATCCCCCAAATACCGATCCACAACCCCCAGATTAGCCGCCATGCGCACAGTAGTCGAAACACAATGATCAGTCGTCAACCCAGCAAAAAGCAGTTGACGGAAGCCCTTCTCACGCAAGTGCGCTTCCAGCCCCGTCCCAATAAAAGACGAGTTGACGCTTTTCCAAAAAATAGGCTCCGACCCATCCGATGCGGGAGTCGCAAAGTCTAGTGGACGAATTCCTTGTGCGGGGTGAGAGTGGTGGAGTAATGAACCCGGGCTGGTAGATGAGTGGAAGATGTGAATGACTTCGAATTGAGAAGAAGAGGGAGACTGCGACTTTGCGGTCCGGAATGCAGTGAGGAGTGCTTGAAGGTTGGCTTCGTAGCGTGGGTTTGAGCGCTGAGTGCCCCAGTGTGAGATTGTTGGTTCATGAGTGAAGGCGGCTTGGTTGTCGATTAGGATTAGGGCTGTGGGGAGGCTGAAGTCCAATTGTGCTGTCATTTTGACAATGGGAGATGCTGATCTCGACTTATGGAGTTGATTTTTTTCGGAGGGTTGACGGTTGATGCTGGGGTTATATGGGGGTCATTTTATATCCGGGGGCTTTTCCGTGACTCACCCGGCTCACTAATCAGATCTATGGAGTTTTCGATTATTCCATCTGTTGCTAGATCAACGCCACAATTAGTAGCAATTGAACAGTTAGTGAGAGGAACAATGGCATGTGCAGATGTGGGGGTCTACTGAAATAATTTACGAAGAAACGTAAGAAATCAATCTTCCAATCTTTTAATTCCCTCTTCCAATGAAGGAATTTTACTCTTCCCAATACCAAGTCTATGCCGCCATTTTGTCTCCTTCTTAAGCTTCGCTCTCATGCGTCGCCTGGGGGCATAGTTGATGGGAGATTCACCTCCAATGAAGATGAACGTGTCGTAGAGAGTAGCACCAACAAGACAGCCACTAATAGTAGCCACCCAACCACCCCAGAACCACCATCCATTCCGAGCAGTGAATGTGTCAGTACCATACCCGACCATAAAAGCAACAAGACGAGGCCCAAAGTCTCGCACTGGATTCAAACATCTGTAAATCCGAATTAGAACTGTCCTCAAGACAAAGAAAACTGGAACAGAAACTCACCCTCCGGTATTGAATCCCAAACAAATACAAAGCACATAGATAACTAAACCAATCACAAAAGAATGCATTCCAGCACCAGGCGGAGCATTACTATCATCACCCATGGCAAAGATAACACAAAGAAGAATCGCATCCGCAATGAACTCCGTAAAAAATGCCGTCGCAGAACTGACATGACTCATGGGCTCAGTATAAAACCCCAGACCGGAACTACCAGCCTTGGCAGTCGGGGAGAAAGTAAGGATTGAATCGCGGTAGATACAGTATGCCAATCCTGCAGCAGTAATTGCACCAAGAAGCTGCGCAATGACATAATAGCAGCATCGTCGACCGGGAAACCCGCGGAATATCCAGAGCGCGATGGATATACCTGGGTTGAGATGTGCACCGGAGACACCACCAGCCAGGTAGATCCCGACCATTGAGCCGAGACCCCAGGACCAGTTTTCTGAGAGTTTGGTTCCGGCGTTTGTGCCTCCAGTTGATATTGCCAGGGTTCCTGTTAGTCCGATGAAGAGGGCCACTGTTGTCTAAAACGGCAGTATTAGTACCGGAATATTCAGAGAGGAGGGTGTATACTTACAGCGAGCCATTCGGCGAAGGGTTCCTTGAGATAATTCCGAATTTTAACCCAATTGTTCAAGAATTCCTCTTGTTCCGTTTGTCCCATGTCCTCTTCTTTCATTATCCCCCCGCCATGACCAGCTTCACTTTCCATTGGCCGTAAAAGACCATCGGGCTGTGTTCCATACACGGCATGTTCGACTGGAGCGCCCTGTTGCGCCGCAGATGCATATGTGGGAGGATGCTGCGCTGGCGAGGACGGTGTTGCAGGAGTTGCAGGAGTGTCATTGGTATTGGAATGGGAATTGGACATGCCGGGTGTTGCGCCAAGCTCTGGTGCGGGCTCTGCCTCTCCGCGAGGCTTGGTGTCGTATGCTTTCTGCTCGGTATGTTCATCGCGACGCATACCGGGCCTCACAACCCGCGGAAGAGGTTTTGCTAAGCCCCAGACGGGCTGCTCGTGGTTTTTGCCGTAGCGCGGGTTCATGTGTCTATATTCTGGATCTAGATATACAGGCCCTTGTTCTGGTTGGTTATCCATCGGACCTGGGCCTGCCAAGGTGTGGGATGGTCCTTGTCGAATGGTATCTCGGGTTGGTACTCTGGTCGAGCCATTTTGCTGAGACTGGTGTCCGTAGTAAAGACTACCTGATTCTGTGGGCTGTCTGTTGAAGGCAGCTCGTGGGCCGAAAGGCGTTGATGGTTGCCCTTGTGGTGTAGATGGATATTCATTCTGGAGCGCTTCTGGTTGTGGGCGCTGTTGAGATGAAGACTTTTGCTGCTGTTGCTGTTCTTGCTGCTGTTTGACTTCCTTGGAATACTGTGTTTTAGGAGGATTGTTGTTGGTACTGTTCAACGTATCGCCAGATGATACCGAATTGGGACTATTTTCACGTTCCTCAATTGGATGGAGTGAAGGCCCCTGTGAGTGTTTGTGGGACGACTGTTCGCCCATATTGAAATTTGACGAGATTAGGATATGCAAAGAACAATCAAAGGATAATGTGCAAGCAGATTTAAGATCAATTGGTGGTACGGTGGGGGCTCTTATACGTTTACAATCCTTGAGCTCAAGTGATAGAGTGATTCTATGACAGACGAGACAGTTTCCAATCTCCTCGAGATCGACGGGGGCAATACAGAAAATTACCTTGGATTCAAGATTTTCTGGCTGTCAAAATATGGGGATATCACCAATCAAGGCTTCGATTGAGCAGTGTTGGCAGGAGATGTCAAACAAAAAAAGGGTTCTTTTGGATTCTCGGCCTGGTGACATCAACCTGACGACCGATATAAACAGAATGTCTTCACATACAAGGTGAGAACCGGTCCCTCAAGCCGGCCAAACAACAACAGAAGATATTTGCCACTGCCCTGGGGTTCCGCAAATCAGATCTCAGATCCCTGGTACGCAACCCGCCAATCGGAAGCTCGGCTTCTCTCAACTTTATTCCCTGCCTCTCAATCTTATACATTTGCACCCATTTTCACTCCGAACCGACTCTATGAGCCCGAATTTCAACATCTGCAGTGCTACCCTCCACCGAAACAAGCCGAGCATGAGTAGAGTCTGCATCAGGGAAAATCTGCGCAGTCAACGAAACCTCTCCCCTCCCTCCAAGAACCTCAACACTTGACCAGTCGACAAAAATCTGCAGATTCACCCGCCCATCAGAATCCGCCGCCAAAGGCGTATGGTAAAGACTCCCAAAAGTCCCATCAAAAGCAACATCCCCGGACCCCCGCCGATCCACAAAAACCTCCTTACTAGTAAAATTATACCCAACAAGCGTCTGCTGCCCAAAATCCGACGTAGCACGTACAGAAATCGCAAACGCAGAAGCCCGAGAACCGCCAGCATCATGATCCGCAAAGCTCAAAGCAACACGGAATGCCTTGCCCAGCGAACCGAGATTCACCGACCCCTTCGATACAGAGTGCCAGGAATGCGATACAAGGCTGTGGCCCGTGATACTTTGCAGATTCCCATGCGGCCGCTGGAGAAGCTCGATCTCCTCGCCAACCATCTCCAAAGATAGTCGACGCGGAAGAGTCATCGCACTTCGCCACGGATCAGTCGGTATCGCAGCGCCGTACTGCCAGTTATTCATCCAAGCAAGGTGGACTCTCTCGCCGTCCGGTAGACCGTTGAAACTAGCGGCCGCATAAAAGTCCGGGCCCCAATCGAGCCAATTGGCGGTTTCATTGTCTGGGTGGACATTGCTTGGATCCGGGGTGAATGTCGTACCGTCGAATTCTCCGATGAAATACTGTGTGCCAGATCCGACTGTGCCGGGGGGTCCGCCGGGGTTAAGGCCTACGACCATGATCCATTTTGAGGAGTAGGAGTCTTGGTCGTTGGGGTTGAAAAGAGGGAGAGGGTAAAGATTTGGGCACTCCCATACGCCGCTGACTGCGTTGCTGGGTCCGAATGTACTGAGTGGTGACCAGTCTTTGAGATTGGGGGAGCTCCAGAGGAGGAGTTTGTGGAGTTTGGAGAGCGCTGTCACTGCGATCCATTTCTGGGTTTCCTCGTGCCAGAATACGAATGGGTCTCGGAAGTTTTCGTACTCGGTTTCGTAGGGCGCTGGCGGATTATGGATAACTGGGTTGGCGGCGTCATATGTTGTCCAGGTCTTGCCGTTGTCTAGACTGTAGGCGACGGATTGGGATTGTTGTTCTGCGAGGACTTCTTTACCACTGGGTAATGTTTGACTTAGAGGATACTGTGTTTGGTATTGTGAGAGTAATTCTTGGATATGATAGGAGTATAGGATGGGATGGTCCTGTAGACTTACCATGGAAGTATACATAGCAACCAGGGGGGTCTTCCCGTCGATGCCGAACCCACTGGTGTTATTGACATCTGCAACAGCACTCCCAGTGAAGAACATCTCCGTCACAGTATAAGGATAGCCCCGCGCAAGTAACGCGACGGGCTGTTCCTCCCAATGGGTCAAGTCTTCGCTTGTTGCATGGCCCCACGACATATTTCCCCATTCGATTCCGCCCGGATTATATTGAAAAAAGAGGTGATAGGTGCCTTCATGGTATAACAGACCACTGGGATCATTCATCCAGCCTTGTTTGGGCGAGAAATGGTATTGAGGGCGGTACGGCTCGGTATAGTTCATGCCAGAGGCCGAGCTGGCCAACAGGCCGAATGCTAATACCGTCTCGAGTAAGACGCCCATGCTAGTCTGTGAATAGATTTTGATTATTTAGTTGCATTATGAGCTGTGTTCTCAAATGATATTTATGTGTTCACCCCGTAGCACGTACCTCTCCCCTCTTGGGTTTACCCCACGGGGGAATCCACCGCTCTGCATATCTTCGGGGAAATAGAAAGTTAGCCTTGCATTTTGGTACTGGCAACATAGCCAGGAGGTGTTATGTCCGGAGCCAAGTCGCTGAAACTCGGTAGTAACCTCGGAGTTCTACGCATTCCAATGCCATATTCGGGCCGTGGCTCTGCACTATGCTGGGAGCATCTGGTGAGCGATGATCTTGTCGCAAGGCCTAGATGAAATCCCTCTGCATAACATACGTCGGAAGAGTCGGATGACAGTCGAGTTTCTCCGAGGAATCTGTTCTTATGCGGATTGCGTCACATTAGACATTGTAGAATTCTTGTATGTACAATTCTCACTAGCCAAACCAAACCCACCCAACATCCAACTTCCAGCCCACTCGGTTTCAAATCTGCTTTCATTTGTCAGTTTCCTGGATATTCCTCGTCACAACCTGACTATAGTCATTCGGCGCAGCCCGATTGCAAGGAATACCCGAATCTTCCTGACCGACAATATTCGTACACTGGTAAACCTCGTCCTGCAAGGTAGTGCCATACATCGGCAAACCAAGCGTACTATTCACAGACTCCAACTGAACATTCTCAAACTTGATCCGCGGGCAAGGATGGACATCCGAACAATAGATCGATGCACCAACATTATACCGCGTCGTCGCCTTGATATTCGACCACGTAATATCCTCAATGGCCATCTTGGACGTATTGCAATACTTGCCATCCGCCTCGGTATAGATACACTGTGAGATCTGGATCGGCAGCGCGACATTTGTCATTTCAAAATTCCGCCACGTAACATTCTTAATCAGACCGCTGCCTCCGCCGCCAGCATCCCCGTTGAGGTTGTTGTCGTCGGCCGGTACGCCTTGCCATGTTTTAATGAACGCGCCTTCCATGCAGTTGTAGCACTTCACATCTTCGAACGTGACGTTCTCGACATAGTCCGGCTTATCGGGATACTGGCCCACAGACCCGATGGTCATGCCGAAGTTATCGTAGCAGGTAATGTTCCTGACATGGAGATTTGTCGTATTGCCCTTGGCAGCGATGCAGTCATCGCCGTTCTGAATCACGGCGTTCTCAACCAGGAGCGTGTCGCTGTTCCATGAGTCGTAGCCGTCGGTGTTGACCGTGCCCCATTGATCGTTACTCGTGGCGTTGACATAGAAATTCGTGATCGAGACGTTGTAACTATACGTCACGAACGTAGCCCAGAACTGTGGCTGGACGATGCGTAGACCATCCACTAGTAGATTCCTCGACTCGAAGAATGTGATACTAATCGGTCGACCGGGTTGGTTGCTGTGGTTCTGGTTCTCTGTGTACCAAGCCTGACCTTGGCCGTTGTACCAGCCGCCGTCGGCGCGGAAGGTGACGTTCTCGCCGCCGAAGAGCCAGGCTGTTGACTGGTTTTGGAATACGACATCGTAGGAGTGAGAAAGCCAGTAGTCAATGTCTGTTGAGAAGCGGAGCTCGCCTTGCAGCGTGACGTCGCAGTTCGCTAGATTCGTCGTGTTCAGCACGGAGTTGATGTTGAATACTCCATCTGTGAAGATGACATCGCCGTTTTGGCCACATGTTTGAAAGGCCTGGTGGATGGATGATGCATCGTCCACTGCTTCCCCGTTGTGTCTGAGAGACTCGGGGTATAGATAGCAGGAAGCCTTGTCATTGACCATAGTCGTGACTACATAGCCAGCGGCAGTAGTGGCCAGAGCCACAAAATGTAACAAAAACATAGTGCTTATGCCAATCTGACTGGTATTGATTTTGCTTTTTGTTTGGCGTTTGGCGTTTTAACGCTGACCACGAATAGCTTTCTTCCCTCTCCACGAATACACCGGGCACCACCGATTAAATACTTTCCGGGGAGTCGAATCGTCCGGTCATTGATGACTGAGTAAACAAAGGGCGCGATGTTACGCTTTTCCCCGCATCGGGAAATGAACTGCCCCTTGATCGCGAACTGAACGGCCTCACGTGATGCCCTTGGCGCTATTGGCGCCTTGCAGATGACCTTTGTTTGTTCGTCGTCTTGAGGTCTGAGGGTGAAGCAGATGATCGGCGTGGGGGGATATAAAGGATCGTCGCGGATTTTATATGGAGTTGCATCGCGTCAACACGAGACCCACTCACGATTTGTGTCGCGTGGGTTTTCGAGGGATGATTTTATATGAGGAAAGATCGGCCGTGAAGAAGTATGACCAGAAGGAGTTACAGGGATGAAGGGATAAAGTGATGTTGGCTCATATGACTTCCAAGGTTGATATCACATCTCCGGGTCAGGAACACAAAGGGTCCTTTTAGGTGGTCAGGAACACACTCTACGCGGACTAGGGTCGAGCGTAAAGCGAAACGATATTGCTGCCGATCTCGGCTCTCGGCAAAATATATTGACTTGAGGTTATGCCGTAATATAGGAGACATGTTGAAAAAAAAGGACGCCAGTAAAAGGGGCCCCCTCGATACCTAGGGCGGTCAAATTGATTTAAGAGATCTTCGCTCTTATTCAGTCTTTTTTGATGAAGTCGAGGTCTTTGGAAACTTCCGTGTCCGACGGCGCAGCATCTCCACTCGCTCGTCAAGGCTCATGTTGACTTGATCCCCAATAGGAATGAGGCATTTCGCGAGATGCTCGTAGTTCTTTCTTAATAGGTTAACAGTGATGAAAATATAGTCAACGTTCCGGAAAACCAGGGCGTTTTCTTCCGCATAGCGATCCTTCTGTGTCAAAAAGGCGACGGGGTGATCTCTCCAGTGGCGGCGGGGGTTCAAATGGTGGGAGGTGTGGTATCCATCATTGTACGAGAATCGGTTACTCTGTTATTTGTCAGCGTCATTCAAATACATTACACATTTAGACCAACTTACCGGGACATCAATAAGTGTGATACTTGACAAATAATCCGAATCAGGGTCAGACGGGTCCACGAACGCATGCTGGCCCCAGTTTCCAACCATCAAACCAAGACGCATGACCGTGAGAGGAAGAAGGAACACAAACAATGTGGCCCGGGAATTGACGTAGTTGTAGAGAGTATAGAGAGCGACATAGTTACTCAACTCCCAGAACGCACATCGCAAAGCATACTTCGTCTGGCCCTTTCGAAAGAAGTACATTGGGAGCTCAAACCAGATGAAGAAGACAAAGCGGCCCACGTAGCAGAGGAAGTCAGGGACGCTGTCACGGTCATAGTGCATTGTGGAGCTCAGATCTTCTTCGCTATTGCCCTCGACGTGGTGGTGCTTGATGTGGTGGTAGAAATAGGAGTTCCATGTGTGGCCGTGCATGGGATCAAGCAGATACGGGAATAGCATGTCAAACAGGTAGTATTTGGATGACAGGACTCCATTCATGTGAATATGTTGATGCTTCATCAGGGTGAATGCGCCGCAGTAGAACAGTTGCATGAACCAATGCACGAAGCCATGTAGATACGAGAAGCGGTAGAATAAGAATATCCCACTTGGCACAATGGTGGTGAAATAAAGAATGAGATGTGTCACCATCACCACATCGGTCTGGACACGTACGACATCTTTCGCCCAGTTTATGTAAGGCGTCAGTACATATTTCTGGATAGGCGCGGGCAGCTTGGCCCGTAGCAGCGGCAGATCCCAGAGCTGGAAGACTGATGGATCAAACTCAGCATGAGAGGGATCATTTAGATTGTGCAGCTTCTGAATGGTTTCCTTCTTGGTGAGGCTGTCCGGCGTTGCCGCCTGGTCTGGATAGTTGTTAGCGGGGCTACTTCATCCACAGTCCAGGGGAGCTCACCTTTGGAGTCGGGTCTGGGGACGATAGCATCGATCACCAACCGATCCTGGAAGGTGAGCTGGGGATCGGTATATGTAGATGGATCCATATTTCAGATGTGGCTGTTGGCCTGACGTTGGGATCTAATGCGGGGAGGCTTAGGCGTGCCGATCCAGAGAACTCCCGAAAAAGTCTACTGTATGTTCTAGGCAGATTCTGGAAATGCTCGCCAAGTTATAAGAATCAGAATGTGCCTGTAAGCCTAAAAGACAACGCGTCAGGGGTACGAAGAGATTTCGGGAGCTTTGAAGTGGGTCCAGGATTGTTGTGTTGTGAAGTCTTCATATCCAAACACTTGCAACGTTCTATTTCCTGAGCTCTCTAGGCTGGGAGTTTTTTTTATTATTGAGAAGCCAGTCTCAGGATACATGCACAGATTTTGCAATCAAGGGATCTTGGATGTTTGGAAGGCTCTGAATGCAAGACCCCTATGTTATAAGTTGCATGCCATAGTGCTTTGTTCTATAAATACTCAGCCTCGTTCTAGCCCTTGGTATGCACCTCTCGCATTGCAGTACGATACACAGTACTTGTAACAAGGAAGCCTGGACATGTATGTATACCTTATGCGAGCCCCTGATCGGAGGCTTTTGGCTCCTATCAGCGCGACCGTGCCAAGACTTCTTTGATCAACTCAGGAACATACGAGATCTTGGATTGCAAGTAGTTGTGCCTTTGAATAGCCCTGTGATACCTTTAATCTGGGTTATAATAACTGAAGGTATACAGCAATATATCTGGATTTTTTTTATACAGCGCGTAGTCACGCACAACACAACTCAAGTCAGGCTTCCTTCGCCCCATGCTTAGTATTATTGAGCTATCAGAAAACCAGCCATTGTAAAATTGAAAAACGTCTGAATGCGCTACTTGACGCGTCTAATTTTTACCTCTACATACCGGGAAGAAGGGATAGCATGTGTCCAAGGGATTTCGGGTATGCACTCACAGAGGGATTACAAGAACAATCAGACCACTTTTGATTTTTCTTGGCACGACCGCGGGTGGCATGTTATTCAAGAGCTTAGTTTTGAAGATAGCTTATGATTGTGTGACAAGTATAAGGATGAGAGTGTGCATGGCACAACAGATTTATCAGTGAGCGATTTCGACAGATTCATTCTTCAGCAGGGTCCTAAGTTCAATGTTTACTTTGTGCAAGAAGAAACAAACCCAACTTCAAGGATGAGTTGCGGCCTCAGGCTTCTATCCCGCCTTACCAAACAATCTATGACTTCACAGTATTGCAGTATCTGCAGAGTGGACCTAGCCTATTTTCTCGTAATTGTGATAATCCAACTTCCTTTACGCCCTTTGTCGGCATACTGACCTAGGGTAGACATTTGACTCGATTGTCACAGTAAACGACATTAAGCATAGAGAGGCGACCTTCCATCCAATTGAGGCTTAGTTGAGAAGTTGCGAATATCCTCAAAACTAAGGAAGGCAGGATCTCATACTGCAATCTCATACTAAACTGAGCCTTGTACATGTGTAGAGGTGACTCTGCGCTCATGCCGAGTATCATGAGATCTGAAAGATGTCACTTTGCAAGCCACCTCTAACAGTTTTCAGTAAATGGTCAATGAACAAAGCGCAATGTCTCATAACACCCTCTGATTAGGTCGCATCTGACCCCAAGAACCCTCCAAAGATCAAGGAATCAGACTAAAGATCAAACTGAATACCCAAAGCCGCAGAAAAATGTCTCACATCCCCTCCATCGCCCATCCTTTAGTTCGCTCTTTAGTTCGCAACCCCAGGGACGCTAAGCCTTGATGGAGTAAGATTTGCATGACCTCCACGCACTACTGATGCAAGTCCCAACTATCCCAGCCCATCGACATCATTGCCATGGGTGATCAGCATACGGGATGTCTCATTGACAGGCGATTTCCCCAGGTTGCAGTACAGTACGCCGCAAATTGCCCGGGGGGAGGCTATACAGAATGGAGCTCGGACGAAGTTGCCTAGAAATGGGGAAATCAGGGAATTGTAGAACAAACTGTGCGGTGTGCAGCATCTCCACAGTATCTGCACTAGAAAATGGCCGAAATCGAGTGGCATAAATTCAGAGTGATCCTCCTGTCGATCGTGTTGCTTTTCGCTGAGCTTCCAAACTTCCCCAACCACCTTTAAACTTCAACCTTTAAACTTTCCAACTTCCCATCTTCCAACTTCTCACTTCCCACTCTTCAAATCTTTCACTCTAATTGTTACTTCTCACCCTCACAATGAAGTTCCTCGCACCTCTTCTCATGCTAGCAGCCTCTGCGGTCGCAGTTCCAGTCGCCAGAGCACCCAAGACTTTCCACCTCAAGACCACCAGCGCCACCCACGCCGAACACAACAACCTCTACGTCTACGGCTACCACACAGGCGCCGGCCTGAACGACGCAGTCCTAACCAGCGACGTCGGCACCGCCAGCTCAGCCTATCTCAATGGCACCAACGTCTTCTTCGACTACCAGACCGAATTCCCCTGGGGAATGATCGCCATCGGCGACACAAACTACGCCTGTGAGTTCTACCCGCACCCGCTCTCCCCGGACATATCCGTTCTAGCTGGGAACTATCGCCACCCTCGCCACCTGAATGAATCACTGACTTTTGAATTTTTGCACAGCCTGGGAACCAATTCAGATCAATGCTGGCACGGGTACCGACGGGTTCTCCGTTAAGAATGGTCTCCTCCAATGGTCGGAGGATATGGGCTTTGGTGGCTGGCTCGGTATGTTTCTTGGGTGTTTGGGCTCCACGCCTCACGCTCCACGCTCCACGGTCTCCACTTGGTGATCCTGTCAGACTAACGCGCTCGACAGTTTGCGACTGGTTCCATAATGCGCCTCAGCTATTCTACTTGTACAAGTACTACGACCCTATTATTCCTTCCAGCTGCAGCAAGGTTCAGGTCAAGGTTGAGTACGCGAAATAGGAGACGGCATGAGTCGGTTCTGCATAGTTTTATGCTTCGCTTTTTTTTTTAGCATGTCTTTTTCTCGTCACGTCTTCTCACGATCTCATCTAGAAGCATAATGTCTCTACTTCATGGTGTTTTACAGGCCTCTGGGAGGTTTTTAATGAATTGATATATATCACCTATTATCATCATATGCTTTTGTTCTATGGACAGTTTTTTTGCTCGTTCATCGTGGGGGATATCAATAATGCTAGGTAGCCACAGCTACAGCGTAAATCATGTTCAACGTAATGCCTTACTTCCTCTTCCTCTTCCTTTTTTTTTTCAGTGCTGATGCTCAAGCCGCAGCCACCTCACTGGCGAGATGTGTCTCCTCGTAATACCGTTTATCCATACCGGCCTGCAAACGAGCTTCCTCATTAAAAGGCCCACGGATCGGCCCGCGGAAATGCTTCTGCACATTCGACCGGAAAACCTGAACAGGGTCCGTTCCCTCCTGGGCACAGATCCACGTTAACCAGCGGTGACCAGTTGTAACATGTGTGATTTCATCATTATGAATGATCTCGAGCGACTGCACACTCTCCGCATCACCGGCCTTTCGGAACTTCTCAATAGTCATAGGATTGACATCGAGACCACGTGCTTCATGGACAAGAGCGATAATACTAATTCTCGCGCGGAGGTCATAAGCCGTCTCAGTCGCCGAGAACCACAGACTGTGATGTACAGGCAACGAACCAAAGCCAGAGCCAAGCTCCTCAAGTCGAGTGCGGAGGAGCGAGAAATGCTTCGCTTCATCACTGGCGACTTTCAACCAGTCATGGAAGAATGTCCGTGGCAGTTCTTGTGCAGTGCCTTCTGTCTGGAACGTTGCAAATCGAATGCAGATATCAATTGCCAGATCAATAGCCCAGAGTTCGATATTAGCTAGCGCGTGCAGCATCGCAACCCGACTCTTCAATGTGCCGCCTCTTCCAGCCTTCGGCATCGCGCCCGGGTTGACAGTCTGCAGATCCTCCCGCGGTGGTTCATCCGGCGGAAGCACCGTCCCCCTACCAAGCGGCATAGGCGAGTCGGAAGCCTCCCTCTCAGCGAAAATAGCGAACAGATGCGTCGTGAGCTCGATCTTGTGTTCGGGATTGGCGGTATTAAGAATATGCGCCGCCCAATCGCACAGCGTGGCGTCGTCGCCGAGGTACTTCGCCATACCCGGATCTTTGGGCGTCAAGGTCAGAGCAGCAGCCGCAGCAGTGACAGCCGCAACAGCAGACGAGTCCAAAGCCGCAGGCCGCGCATGCTTTAACTTCACCTTCTCACTAACGGGCTCGACCTTCTCCAGCCCAACAACAGCGCCATCCTCGACAGGGAAATCCAGCGCGACATATTCGCCGCTCACGTCGACGGGGAATGTGCAAGCTTTGATCCCGACGCTCGACTCGCCGGTCTCTACGTTGAAATCGTATGCGTGCCACGGGCACGACGCGACGTATGCGGAGTCTTCAATGTCGATCTGGGAATCGGCCATTGGTCCGCCAGCGTGCGGACACTCGGCTTCCATGGCGTAGTAGGACCAGCCATCGCTTGTCTCGTTGGTCTTCGGGTTCGATGGGTCGATGGTTGGGAGGCGGAATAGCACTAGTTTCTTGCCTGTCGTTAGGCGGACCACGTAGCGTGCCTGTGTGAAGTCGGATAATCGCCCGCAATTGATCCACATCTTTGTTTCTTTGTGCCTGCTTTGTCTGGTGGGAATGGTGCAAGATGGGAGGGTGGGTTGATTTTATCGATCACGTGCGGTTCTCTATTTCGCCCCACTCTTATGTTTGCTGGTCAGGTTCCTGGTTCTACTGTATGGTTATCTTTTCCTGGCCACTATGGTAGGGAGACAATCTCAGCTCTGCAGGGGGTTTTTAAAATTGGATTGTGCCCGTTTTCTGATCAGTCGAGCGATCATCAGATGATCCTGTATATCTCCATGTGGCGTGTGGGGTTTTGAGCAAACTTCCAATTTGAAACTTAGGCGCGGCCTAGTTTCAAAGGAAAAAACATAGGCGAGAAGAAGCAAATCTGTCTAGGGTTGAAAAGAATGACTCTAGACCCCTATTAGAGATCAAATAATAGTGTGATGACCGGGAATAAACTTCAAACAAAGAGCACCGACGGCGTTAAGACACGTCTCATGGTGGCTTCGTACTATAATCCCTGCTCAAAAGAGACTAAATGGCTTAAATCTGGAATTGTTCAGAACGTGCATGATCCAATTTGCTCAATAGCGGCTGACGTAATGTGCAAAACGTGCCACTTGTACGTAATTTGGGAAAATTACTCCCGTATTAAGTTGAATCTGAAATACAGCACTAATGAATAATTTATGATGTAGTAAGATTCAATGTGTCACCTGTGATATCAAATAATTGATCACCAAATAGGTAATTGAATACAGTATAGGCACTGGATAATGCCGAGTTGGGTATTCGACTCAGTCAATGAGGACAAAGTCATCTATGAATGTGGGTGCAGCATGACTTAGGCTCGAGCAGGGGAGCAAATGAAAAGTGTGTAGTATGTGTCATCCTCAAATTGGATCCTTCTGGAATGAATGTACACGATGTTTTCGTGAGTCTGATCGCTCCTGACTGAACTTTTCATGCCAGTCATGTCCTCACTATGGTACATACCACAACAACGCCGGAAACGATATGCTTATCAGTATGCCATACCACCGACTGTCTGTCAGATTGTTGTGCCCTCTGCATCCGTCCATCCCAATCATCTTACATAGTACAGAGGGATGTATTGGGTAAGTTTGGAATGTGGGCCGGTATCCTCTTAAGTGTGCCTGTTAAATCCATCTACATCCCTTACTGTTTTGAGAGGCTAGGTTGGTGCCTACAGTATATAAGGTCATAAGCTAAGTTATCACAAAGCATCATGAAATGCTAAGATTGTGAGAGTTGATGGAATAGATATTATTTCCACTAAAACAAATATTTTACACAAAAAGTGAAATGAACTTCTGGATTTGCATATTACTTTATCTAAAGTGGGTTGAAATAACTAATCACATGTGAAGGTATCTTAATCGAACCCAGACAAAATAACCATAAATTGATAGATATTCTACACCAGATGTTTTTAAGCAGCCCGACGGACTGAGGGTATCTGTATGCACGCAGGCATCCTCATCACTCCGCGTGGGTTATCCACCTAATTATTCCGGTTGGACCAAGTTTCAAGCCAAGTTCATCTGGACTTGATACCTTGCAAAGCAATGGGCAGAAAGTCAAGATAACAGAGTCAATACGGTATTGTAACCAGAGTGATAGTCGGCGCCTATGTACCCGGGTCTTCCAATCAGGCGTGTGTGGGCCTCGCTTGTAATTAAAAAAAAAAGCTATATAGGCTTGGGGGGAGGAATATTTATAAGACCCCCCTAAGAACTAAAATCACTGCAAAAAAATAGTGCTTACGCATCAGGACATTAATATTTTACGCGTTTCAAGAATCGAAGACTGGCGATTTCTTGACTTGGGGATCCTTTCCCTGGAATTCCGCCCCGAGAATTCTTCGCTCGTCGACTGCCCCAAGTTTTCCGACCACATAACGCTACACATAACGCTACACAATTAATTAACACGTGAGGAAACCTAGCCGAGTGCCATGAGCGTGACTGACTCCCATACAGTCCAAAACCTCCAGGATGGAGGGCCTTAGCTCCATCAAGTGGGGAGCGTATCGAGAGGGCGCCCGGTTCCAGTTGCCGCGATTTGACTCGCTCAACCCCGAAGGTCCGGCCCTTTTAGAGGCATACCAAGATGTCCTCGATAAAGATGAAACATTTACCCAGTATTTTTGCGATGAACGCCTTCAGAGCTATGAACTCGAATCAAACTTGAGACAGCTGCTCGGTATTCGTCCTCCGCTAGTGGACGAGCCGGAAAGCTCCAACAATCAGAATGATGTATCAATTAGTTGGATCAACATCTTCCGACATGGCAAGTTTGAAAAGACAGATGATGACTTCTATCAATGCCGCATGCAGGGCCGGCTTGTCAAGATCGACGAGACGATGCACAAGGCTATCCTCGTGAACCGGTGCTTCCTTCCTCCAAACACGAACCCCTGGGTCAGCGCTGCGGACGTGACAAAGGAATGTGAAGTCAATGTATCAATCGAGGGAGACATCCTGAATGAGCTTCATCGTCAGATGAAATGTATCTATCTTACCCCCCTTGTGATCGCCGAAGGCACATGACATGCTAACAAAAGAAGATGTCGAGCGACTTAAGCGACTGCAGCAATCGCTGAAGAAGCGTCGTTATAGGCTGCGGCGCGATCAAGGCCCAGAAGCTTCGTCATACAAAAGCTCCGACACGCCTCAAAGTTTTCGAAGCAACTACCCCAGTCCGACCGATTCCAGCCAGAAGCTATCAGTCCTATCTCGCACTGCTATAGATTCCCAACACAAGTCCCGAGTCTCCACCTCAGTTGAGCCATCTGTCGATCTTATGAATCCAACTGTCTCGGTTGAGTATCCGGATGAACAGGGACGCAGTGCATCTCCATCCTCGTCAGATGCATCCACTGGGGTTGATATACCTTTTTCTCGCAACCAAAACAACAGAAAGAGGAAAAGTATGAGTTCAGACCTTGAGCAGACTGTTGACGAGGGTTGGTCTTCACAGAACCAAACGCCGTTGCCACATGATACTTCCACGCCATTCATCTCCGCTTCCAAGAAGACCAAACTGGCTGCTTCCGAGGAAAACACCACAATGGTCAATGGTGTTGATGCAGCGGCTAAGAGCCGCACACCGGTTCCAAGCAACAAGTCTGCTTGGCTTGCTTCTGTTCCTAAAGAGTATCAGCCGGCTGCCGCGAACAGCCATACTATGAATGGAAACGGCAAGACGGTATCTGAGAGTCGCGATACAATGGGCGAAGGTCGCAGCGCAGTGGATAAACGCAAGGGTGCGATGGATATAAGCCCTGCCGAGACACCGAAGCCGATGACACCGACTCAACGCGCCAAGCAGCCCGCACCTAACCACGCAACACCACCCAAGAGCAAGCGAGCCTTGAATGGGGTCGCAAGTTCGTTACGCCAAGAATATGAGAATGCAGGTCAGCCAATCGACATAACCTCAAGCCGTGCCTCGACCCCAGGCTTAAGCCAGGAAGCCATGAGACTCGGTTCCGAGATGGCTGGATGGCAGGAGGGCTTCACACCAGTTCAGCCGCGCCCCAAATTAGCAACTACGAAGACGAAGACCAAGCCAAAAACCAAGGAGCCGAAGAAAGGTGTCCGGGTCCGGAATAACTTCACCCAGGAAGAGTTCGATTTCGCGCCGGCCTGGCTGAAACCCAGGTTTGAGGCCGGCATCTCCCCAGCTCAACTCGAGCAAGAATATGAGGCCAGATTCGGTGTTCTGCACCGTCACAACACCCTCAAGCTTTGGCTGGACCGACAGGAAGCAAAGTCTGGTGTTGTCCCCACCAAAATTGTGGTATTAAAGTTTCGATCCCATCCTCTCCGGAATCTTTCGAGTGACAGTTTATAGCCAACGACGGAGCTCCCACACGACCGCCCGGTGTCCCAAACTCCCGTCTCTAGTTTCCGTCCTATCAATCCTTCGTCCTACGTGTCCCCGTATTCCCACCTTTCGTCTCAGGCCTCTCCGCAGGCGGAAAACATGCCCTCGGCGCCACCGCCGACCTCGATGCCGACTCAAAAATTCTCGCTGACTAAAATAATGCCTTCCTCTATCGCACACTCAACCTTGTTGCCAGCCCAGAGTTTCTTGCTGACAGAAAACATTTCCCAATCGGCCGAAAGACCGACTCCACTACCAACCCAAAATCCTTCTTCCACAGAGATAATGCCCTCATCGGCTGCCATTACAAATAACTTGCCAGCCCAAAGCTCCTCGCTGACGACAAATACACCCCGGTCTCCCAGACGACCAACCTCAACACCAGCTCAGAGATCCTCATACACGGAAAACAGGTCCACTTCTTTCTCACGGTCCACCCCAATGCCGAACGGTCTCCCCAAACCAGAATAAGCCTCCAAAGCACCGATGATATCTTTGAGAAGTGCAAAACACTCTCAGCCTCCTGGTAAGGACCAGTCTTTGTGCGATAGCAACATAGCCATCTGATTCATTGACTAGTCTAGCAGCAGGCCACCGGGTTGAAATGCCCTTTTATTCCAGCTTTTTACTGTATCATACCCTCACATTTATCGAGCTGTCTTGTACCTGCTTCCCATATGCGCGATACCCACCAATTCATACCCAGGTGCCTTTTTTGTCGGGCTTTTGATTAAATTCAATGATATTATTACAACCAGCCGAACTTTGCAGTCTCTTAGGCGGTGGAATTTCATTATCCTAGCACCAAGTGACAAGACTACGCAAAGAAGAAATGGAATTGGATAACTTTTATCCCTTGAGATGTGGTAATCCCACCCCTCCAGCTGGAAATATAATGAAAGATCGCTTGCTACACTGGTAAAAACCTGCCATGATGGCAAGACATGCATCAAGTAAGCGGGGATAACATGACACGCCCTCGACATATCTGCACATCTAGTCTCATTATAAATTCCTCGCACTGTACACATGGCTACAAGTAGAGAAGGGGGAACTGACGTATGTGTCTATGTCTAATTGGTGGATAAGACGAACCCTGCTTCCCTCGCGAAAGGTGCCTTATCGCCTCTGATAAAGATGCAAGGAGTCAAAGAGATGTAGAATGGCTAAGCGACACAAGCAAGCTCAAATACATCACATACAATGAATGTCGGCTGCCCGAGAAAGATTGGTTCTTTGAGCATATCAGAAGCTAAATCGGTCTCATGCATGGTCAAATGTGTTCTTTTATATCTATAATCAAGGGTAAGGCTAGAAGCACAAAGTAGAGAGCGTCTAGCCAGGAATTAAGATCTATCGCAAAATTCTAACATCAACAAACTTGGTTTTCGTTATTTCATCACTAATGTCTTGCCCCTTGCTCCCACCAAGTTGACACACCATTCTAGGGAGTTGTCGAATTCTTTATGCAGACCATGTTCGTACAATTGTCAATGTCGCGGAGTAGAACGTCCAAGCTTAACAGAACTCCACTCAAAGGAAACCAGATTTGAAGAATATTAGAGGCAGATATAATACTTCTATACTAGCCGTCGGACAGGTCTACTCTACTGTGTAGAGTGAGGATATGATATTTTGTCTACAGAAATATGAACTTCAGCTCCAGAAGTCTTCCATGATACCGTAAAAGCTACCCAATAAAGTTTTCAAAGGAAGGTGCATCAGTATAGTCTTTCTTTGTTCTACAGACTTGGGATGGTCTTGATGACTTTGATATTTATTGCCAATCATGTCATCTACACGACACTTCCACTTCAACAGCTTCCTTAACTTTCCTGCTTGGCTTGACTGGTATTTATGATGATTATTTTGATACACAAAGTGTATTAACTGATGATTGTCTCTCACGAACGGGATCCTTTCCCTCTCTATCTTTATTGATCTTCGTTGGTATGCATAGGAACCATGCTAAATACTCAAGAGCATCATCCAACGACTCTATCTTTCAGCTATGGAACATGAATCTGTTCCAAGGACCCCTTGATCAAGCTTCGACCAAAAAAACATAGACCTTGAATAGATCGAGGTCATCACTCGAAACCTGCAAGAGTGTCTTGCTTTAGGACAGTTCTATGATGAAATTCTCTTGAGCAAGAAGCACTTGGCTTCAAAAACAGTCGAACCCACCAACCCCGAGTTAGGAAACATCCTCGCCAGACTACTTGGTGGCCCTCTTAGTGTCTAAGCGAATGCGCCGATTCCCAGAGACCAGTGCGATGGTCGAAGATTTTGCACACAGAGCTTAATGAAAAGGACTTCAGAGGTATACTTTCTTTTATCAAAGTCATCTATTCCGATATGATACTGTCAACCGACAGCCACAGAGACAGCGACGACTTGATTATCTTTGAGTTTGAAAAACACGCAGTGATTGCACTTAGGGTGAAATAGAACTCAATCGATACATTAACTTTCTAAGAGCAACTGCATTGCCAGGCTTTCTTTTGTAATCTATGAGTTACCTAGGTAGTCACCGTGCCGCCCTGAGTGGCTCACGGGCGACCCTGAGCAGCTTAGTGAGAAACCCGATAGCTCACCCTTAGGCCCTGGCTATTTGGTCTATTCCATTCTATCTTGCTTGTCTATGCTTCCGAATGCTTCACAAATGACGCTTTATATAACATTGTCCTAATCAAAAAATCTCTTAGCATACAAGTTATATTAAATATGGCACATTACGGTTTTCAGATGATAGAAACTCATTTAGGGTACGTAAGTATCCTGTATTAAATTCATAACGATAGATTAAGTTACTTGTTGATTTCTAGGTCATCGATAGTGTTGATGACTATATTGACAAGTATTGAGAGGTAAACATGAGCTATCCATCAGGCTCAATGAATCATTCCGTCATAAGAGCAAGCGATTCAATTAAGAGATAACGTTGTGCAAAAACAACGATCCACGGAAAGTCAAAAGGTATCAAAATGAAGGAAATTAGAGGGCGAGGGCAAGTCCAAGGACACCAGCACCGGCAACGAAGCCCATGGCAACACCAGTGGGGGCAGCACCGCCGTCAGAGGGAGAGGCAGAAGCAGAGCCGGAAGCAGAAGAAGAGGAAGCAGAGTCCGAGCTGCTAGCAGTGGAAGAAGACTCGGTGGTAGTAGCAGTAGAGGTAGTAACACCAGAGCTGGAGCCAGTGGAAGAGCCAGTGGAAGAGCCAGTGGAAGAGCCAGTGCTAGAAGCACCGCTGGAAGTTGCAGACGGGCTGCTAGAGCCAGAGCTAGAGCCAGAAGCGGAACCGCTGATGCTGGAGGTAGCAGCGGCGACGGCAGACGAGTAAGCTGTAGGTGATTCCTCGATGATAGCGGAGGTGATATAAGGCTTGACGCTTTCCGGGACATTGGAGTACCAGTCGGGATAAATGCTAGAGATGATAGCGTTCGAAACGACGGAGTTCACATATGAAGGGTCTGTCGCAATCTCAGCCAAGACGGAGCTTGGAATGGCGGTTTCGAGGGCTACGAGAACGGAGTTGGGGATATCGTCCAGCTCGTCGGTTCCTGAAGCTTGGGGAGCTGGGGAAGCTATGGCTGTGGCCGAGAGGAGCAGGAAGGCGAGTGACTTGTACTGCATTTTGATAGTGGGAATGTATGAAGTATAGGAAGGATAGATGGTATGATGGAGAATTGAGAAGAGGAAATGGAGAGCTTTGGACCGTAAGACTTTTTGTAAAATCGGGGGCCTCAATGCACTAAATAGCCCAAGGTCAATCAGGTCAACTAAAATTATCGCAAGGCTGAGGCTGATACGTTGGTTGCTCAGCCCACCGCATCACTTTCTCCACTGCGCACTTCACATCCAATTGTCTTTTGGCCCCAAACTTGCCGATCGCAGGCTTTCCAACTGCCCGTGTCGTGATCCTGCGCCCCATTGTCTTGGCTTGCTCATAGGTTCGCCGTGTTGTCCGACTTGGAGGAAATTACGAACACTGCATGTAAAACAGGTCCGCGGACCTTGGCCGAGAGAGGCTAAGCCATCGGCCTCCAACTTCACTCTAAGTGACAAAGATCCCCGATATTCAACCAAATTGAATTATGTCAGGCCGGTCCGAGTTCGGACTTCATTTCTCTGACACTGAAATTCGTATTCTCCAAGACAGCATTGCATGCACGTACGCCCGCTCAACATCTCCATTGGATTGCAAAGGGGCGTGATGACATCAGATCCTGGAGAAGGCGATCGCAAACCAACGAAAAGGCCCCCCAAATATTGCTGCCTTTGTGCATCCTAGACCCTTGGCTTTTCCTCTTCCCCGCCTCCAGGCCTCCGAGATGGATCTGTCGGGTCGATCCGAAGAGTGACGCTTGAACGACGCATTACGCACTCCCCGAAGTTATGCATTCGCATTGTTGGCGACAGACACCCGTCGATCAGGAATCTGGGGTTACATGTACGTTACTGTTCGCCCGAGATGTCCACAAGGTTTACATCCAGGCTCCTTTATTTTCGTTGGGCATATGATTTTCGCACCCAGCGGTCAAGTTCGGAGAGTGCACCAACACGCAATAACACTTGCAAGCCAAGTTTCAACGGGTTGCATGTCATCGATTGGACATACAGTATTCGCCCACATGCGTAATTTGATTCTCGGCATCCGTAATCGAATGTTCTCCAGACTTCCAAGTGTTGTTGACAAAGACCGACCTCGGTATATGACGTCATATCAACATGTTATACTCCCTTTCAGGTCTTGCGAGTTCTCAAATTATGAGTCAGTGCCTAGAATCAGATTCTCAGACATCCAAAATTACAAAAAGCTCCTTGGCGCAATGGCCAAAATTAAATGATACCATCTGCTAATGTGCGACGATCTGCAAGTGCTTACGCGTAGTCTTATAGATCCCTGCGTCTTCTGGCGCTTTGGGTTTCTTCAAGACCCCAAATTAGCCAACTGAACAGAACTTCATGGAATAGGCAAATAATATAGTTCCTGACAATATACAAGAAATATTGTAGAAGCAGCCATGCTGTATGATCAGCGCCCGTGTTCGTAATGCCAGATTGGCGTGGGAAGATCTTTCCTCACTCATGCGTTCAAGAGAGAACCTCTACATGCTAATATCAGCAAACATTGATTCTGATAGAGTGAGATTAATTGATGTAATACATTAGACATGAGACAACTTCATTCAATAAGAATTATCAAGATAGCAATCCACTTAATTCGACCTGGACCCTAATTGTTTCTGGCTATAATGGTTATATGAACCGGCAAGCTTGGCACGGAACATCTTTCCATAGTAGATAAACAGCAAATTACCCACGAGGCAAACAGTGACAATCAATCCAAATGTTACATAGAACCATGTCAGTCCAACTCGATTGCACCAGGGTTGTAGGGCGAAAACGAAGATTGTAGAGATGAGATTACGAATGAAAGTGACACCAACGACCGAGTCAGCAATAATCTAAAAGCAAAATCGGACGTTAGCAGAAACACCACAACTCCAAACAAGTATCATATCTCACCTCAGTATACGAATCAGTCAGATAAGTAAGTGCAGCACTGCTAGCCGGCACAACACCCACAGAGCTGACTCCCAGTCCAAATGCCGGCAGAAGCCAATGACAGCCGTTATTCAGTCCAATGCCGAACATGAACAGACCCGCCGGGACTAATGGTGTAAAGGCGAGGGCCAACCAAAGTCGCATCTCCGGTTCGAAGACGCCGCCATTCCTCTTTGCGAGGTATAGGGCAATCCAGTCACTTAACGGTCCACAGATCAAAGCACCCAATGTGGTACCGATGAATGGAGGCAACCCCATAAGGCCAATCTGAGAAGCGCCGAAATTGTATGGCGGCAGCGTCATCACCGATGAAAGCGTTGTCACTGGGACTGTCGTACAGGCTGTCATCAGTCCATAGACGAGTGCCATAAAGAAGACACCTGGGAAGGTGAAGAGAATTAGAAAGGGTTGATAGCAGTGCTTTGCAACCTCGGAGAATGGCACCGGGGAGTTCGTCCACAGTGCTAGTTTCTTCCAGTAGCCCTTCACGGGAATTGAATAGTCAATCTCCACGGCTTCATAAGAGTGACCGTCTTGCATTGACATGGACTTCTCTAAAGCCGATGGCTCGATGTCCTCTTTAACAGGTGCAGGCTTAGAGTCCCGCCTCTCAGGAACAGGAACACCCTCAATATGAGATGCATCAAACATGGTCTCTTCATAAAGAAACACAAATGAAACAAGTCCCACACCAAAGAGAATAGCCATCCACCACCAAACCCATCGCCACCCCTGAGATTGAGTGATAAAGCCTCCGGCCAGAGGCGCCAGCGTGGTACCGACATTCATGAACCAGAAGTAAATGGTATTGGTTAGACCTCGCTGATGAACGTAATAAACATCAGCAACGGTCATTTGAACCAGGACTTCGGCGAGTGCTCCAACAATACAACTGAGAATATTGACCAGCATCAGGTCGGCGATGTTTTCCATTCTCGCGGACCAAACACTAATTCCACATTGTATGGCCATGCTGAATACGTAGATCGGTCGGCGACCGTACTTCAACGTGAAGGGTACGAGGAAAAGTCCTCCGACACAGAGGGCGCCGCATCCTGCTGCATAGCTGTCGTTTAAGATGGCATAGCTGAAGCCCAGTTCTAGGTTGACAGGTCCCCAGGTAACTGTTGCCACGTCGATTCTTGAGATTGATTAGTTTCTAGGGGATACATCATTGGTATTTGTGAACATACAGTGCGAGGACCATGATGACATAGTAGCATACTAGGCCGAAGTTGAGATTCTTGCGCCACATTGGCCAATTCTGGTGTGAATCAACTCGTTAGTACTGCTGGCAATTCATGTCTTGCACGTGAAGAATACTCACCAGTGGATCGTTGGGGTCTCTGGTAGGCTTCGGCTGTAAGATTACTTCCGCAGTATCGCCCGTCTGTGAAAGATCTTGTTGTTGGCATTAGCGTTGTGTGTTCACTGGGGCGAGGACAGGGGATGTGCCTCACCTTCAATCCGCACCGTCCCAGGAGGCCATTCTGGATCTAGTGATGACTGGCTATGAGGCATGACTTCGGGTGAATGAATTTCAAATGTATGGAGGGGCACAGATCCAATATAACAACGTAGGTCTGAAAACCGAAGTCACGGCTGCTGAGGGCTGGCACCCAGCTCGTTATATCAAATCTTCTTCACTGTGTGACGCTTTGAAATCCATTAATGATGAGTTCACAGGTATCTCTTATCACCGTCGGCTATCAATGTTGGCGTTCTGCGGCCATTCACAATCGAAAGTAGAGACGCAATGTGGAATGCGCTTTGTCTATAAGGGGAAGTTTCAAGCAACGTCCAATCGGTGGCGCCAATTGAGCAAGCTTATCATCCCTTTAAATTGATCTTCCATGCGGGGGAGGATCTTAATGATAACCTCGCAAACTCGGGGTAATTGAGTTTACCTAAAATTCCTATCAGACTGGCTTTGACTAGTCATGCGTCTAAATGCGCAGTCCTCTCTCGGGACCCAATGAGCAGCCGTTGCTTGTATGGGAGCACTATTATGGATCAACTTCTCCATTAAGATGGCTAAATAGGCAAATACTCCTGTGCAATGTAGAAGTCTTCATGTCTATGCAACCTTATGAGCTGACTTGAATGTGAGAAAGACACTTATCTCCGGATACGAAGGCAAATTCACCAGGCAGCCACTATTTGCACACAATCAGGTCATCTGGCATCTAGAACTCGCCTATTCTTCGCCCAACTCTTGATTAACCTCTTTGGCCCCGGAAATCTCAAGCAGATCAGCCAATGGCGTCAATTAGCGCCGCTCCACCGAGCGGCATTGACGGGGCTCTGTTTCGCAGCCAATCACTGCTCGGTTTACCGGCCGGTCCCGTATCACTTCACTCCAGCTACAGCTCTTCTTGACCACTCTTCCCATATCTCGGTTATCCACACGTTGAGTAATACAAACTCGTCCCAGAATCTTTACTGGTCTACTTGCATCAAAGGAAACTTCTGGAGAACTCGCCAGTTCGGATGTAATTGCTACTCCGCGCTCCCCGCATGAAGCAATAAATAGTTCAGGCATAGCCGCTTTCTTACTCCTGCTAGTGAAGTACCGTCCATTAATTCTCGACAAGATGGCAACTATTTTCAAGAACGGGCGTTTCTTCGTGCCCTCGGTCTCGAATAATGTTAAAGACTTTGCCGAAAGCATGATCATTGAGGACGGCAAAGTCTCATATGTCGGTCCTCTAGATGAAACAATCAGCACAAAAGATGCGACGGTGATTGACCTACAAGACCGAACCGTGATTCCGGGTTTCATTGATGCACATGTGCACATCTTACACTACGGCCAATCCCTTCGCAAAGCCGATCTCATTGAATGCACATCCTTGGAACAAATCCGCAAAACGATCAAGTCCTACGCAGAGACCCATCCCTCCGTCCCTCGCATCTTATGTCGAGGCTGGATTCAATCCTCTACGAATGGTGTCGCCCTAGCCAGCATGCTAGATGGCATCGACTCACGCCCCATCTTCATCGACTCCTTCGATCTCCACTCTATGTGGTGCAGCTCAGCAGCCCTGGATGAAATGAAAGCCCATACAGCCCCAGATCTACCCGGAGGTAGAATCCACCGCGACGAAAACGGCAAGGCATCAGGTCTTCTGGATGAATCAGCCCTCATGAACCTCGCCTGGCCCCATCTAGAAGGCGTCACCTCCACGGCCGACAAATTAGAAGCCCTAGACACAGCCGTCAAGGCATACACCGCCGCCGGATATACCGGCTTGGTAGATATGGCCATGGACGAAGTGACCTGGGAAATCCTCAACCTCTACCGAAAAGACCACACAATCCCCTTCCACATCGGTGCCCACTGGCTAGTCCCCTTTGCAGCCGACCAAAATGCCAATTTCAAATACGTCGACCGAGCAATCGAACTCCATAAGAAATACAACAGCCCCGACTTTTGTATTCTAGGAATAAAACTCATCTGCGACGGCGTGGTCGACGGCTGCACTGCTGCGCTTATGCAGCCATACACAGGCAAATCAGACCCCGTGGACCCAATCTGGCCAGAAGATATGCTCCAAGAAGTTGTGGAACGCGCCGACAAAGCTGGAATCCAATGTGCGATTCATGCCATCGGCGACAGAGCAGTCCACCAAGCAATCAACGTCCTCTCTCGAGTCGGCAGTCCAGGAGCCAGACACAGAATCGAGCACTTGGAACTGACGACATCCGAAGATGCCAAACGTCTTGGCCAGCTTGGTATCACGGCTTCCATCCAGCCTGTTCATTCGGACCCGATGCTCTTCAAGGCTTGGCCTGGTCTTGTTGGTCCGGATCGTTGTCAGCGTGCGTTTGCTTATAAGGAGTTCTTGGATGGTGGGGCTCCTATTGCTATTGGCACTGATGCCCCGACTGCTCCCCATTTGCCATTCCCTAATTTGTATAATGCTACTACTAGGCGTTCTGCGTTAGAAGTTGAGAGTGAGAATACTGTGAATCCGCATTTCGGGCTTGGGCTTGTTGAGGCTGCTACGGCTGCTACTAATGGTGCGGCTTACGCGCGCTTCGCTGACTCCTGGACTGGATCTTTGCAGAAGGGGTTGTCTGCAGACTTCTTGGTTGTTGATACGCAGTGGAAGCCTGAGGCGTTACTTCAGTCTAGGGTCTGCCAGACTTGGTATCGGGGGATGAAGGTTTTTGATTCGCAGGGTTGATTATTGAACAAAAGATTTAAAGGTCAAACATAGTCAGTCCCCATATCATCTACTGTATCGGTCATACAAATGCTTTTCAAGTTTCTTACTACTCATTGTATGCGGGTGTTGTTAAGGTGGGATGGATCATAGTGACATCACCAGCCCATTGCACGGGGTACTTTCGCCTCTCGAAAACAATTTATGCTTGATATACCGCTGTCAAGTGGAATGATATCAATTTCTTAATTTACATGTCATCATCAGTCTCATCACCATAGCCATCTCTCGCTTGGTTTCAACATTCACACTTCCGATGTGGTCGCAGCCACGCCATATGTACTTGTCCTCCAGTTAACGTTACTCGCCAAGCTCCTCGGGGTGGGCTTGAAGTCCACGGTCGGCAGTCGGATCAGACAGTAAGCTACCTAGTAGATATTCTAGTCAGTCGCGTAATCATGTGTTGGCCCATCAAAGACAAGAGGTGCATACTATGCTCTGACATCTCCCGCTGAGACCAGTGCTCAGTATTCTCGTGCAAATGCTCCAAGGCATTCTGGTGCGCTAGCTCTGAGCACATTGTATGAGGTGATCTAGATGGATCAGTCATAGGTTCGAGAAAATTAAGTCTGAAGGGGTCATTCATACGGTGCAACATCCCTATCAACGAAAGCATCCAGTCCTTTTGTAGCGGGCTTTGTTTTCTGTGGCTTATTGCTTGCGTCGAGAGAGTTGCGGCGTTCGGCGTAGTTAGGGTCCAGAGGGTTATTGTCGATTGTGGTGGTGACCATTTTGGTGGGTTATTCGATGAAGATTCAGCTGTAATTTTTTCAAGTAGGGTTTTGCGGTAAGTTGTTAAGTTCCTACAGAAATAGATAGCGTTCCCGGTAGTTGAAAGAGAATAAGGCTTGAGGTAGTTGAAATGCGGGGAGCTTAAGCTTGCCTTTATTGCCGTCACGGGCTGGTAGTGGCGAACCTATGATATAAACACTTCACAGCAACCTATCACAGCTATTCGGACCCTGGTCTCCAAACTGATCAACGTCATCTTCTTTCAATGTGGAAAGTGGTTTTCTGAGTATACTGTATTGACAAATGCATTTTCGTTATTCACTTTGACATGAGATATCATGTTGCTCCCATGACTTAGGGGGCAAGAAGCGACTGTATCTAATTCGAGGCTACATAAAATTGGTTTGATACCAGAGACACTCTGAATCTTTGCTTCATAAATATTGTAGTGGGGGAATTGCCTACTGCATGAAGTAGCGGTCTACGGATAAGGCCTTTATGACATATTAAAGACCTCTCTACGCATAGTGAGCAAGATAGACACATCATTCTCTTCATACCACCCCTATGTGCTCCGTTTTATAGTCCTACCCTGCCTTTTGTTAAGGTTTCCCTGTGCTCTCATTGCCAGTATCGTAATAGCTACACAGGCGCTCATATCGAGTTAAAGTGTTTGTCCCGGGATCCTTTGAAGTGTTTTGAATTGGGAATTGACGAGAGAAAGCGTAAATCATGTAGCTTATGGCTCTCTTTCGTAACCCCCGTCAACACGGCCTCTATTGCCTCTGGTGCGTCAATGATGGGGCCATGGTCGGTCAGTCGGAAGAACACATTCTTCTTCTCCAGAATTGAGTTATTAATCTCCATGATCATTACGATGAGGTCTTTAGACGGCGAGTAGAGATACCAATAGTTGATAGCACTTTTCTGCCAGCATAGAAAGCATGGAATGCTGAAGGGGTATGCATGCGTAAGGAAACTCCTGAGGGTTCTCGTCCTAGGAAAAGGTTAGCTCATCTGTTACTTATGAGTCATGACTTGATGTTCACACCTAACCTACTGTCGACTTAAGGGAGATATTCAAATTCTCTCGCAAGTAACGGTCTCTAAATCTTCTTTAGAACAGAAATTAAAGAACATTTTGATGGTTGATAATAGATTGCGGTATTTAGACAAAGCGAGATTTTTATAGAAACATTTTTGGAACGCGATGTCTTTTTCAACGACCTCTGGCCGAGAAAGTCCAAGTGGCTATCTTTCTCTTCACTTCCTTGACCGACAATACGACCTGCAAGAGAGTTCATTCGCCTGGTAGTCAGCTGTTGTGAGCCCAACCAGGGCCCGTTCAGTCTCTTCTCGAATTCATAGAAAGATAGCAATGAATTTTATTTAACCTGATTTGCGGTGAACATTCATGGTTTTACTCACCATTCTAAAACTTACTGCGGAAAGGTAGTACATAGATGTCGTACTACTGCAGACTTTTTCGAGAAAATTTTACAGTGCGGTCTACGTGACTGCAGATCTCTTTCAATCTATCTGTAATTCGACAGAAGTGGAAGATATAAATCAAGCAGAGAACTTCTGTGTAACTTTCGGAAATAGCGGTGCTTGAAGAGTGTACAACAAGCATGCAAATGGCGCGATAAATATTCTGAATACATATGAGCTGTAAATATCTTCCCATTCAAGAACCTGCGTCGACCGCTGATTAGATATTCGATCATACTTCTTCTATACATTTTACAACAATAGTAACACATGAGGCGCTTTTATCTTATCCCGTCAAGTTTTCAACTCACTTCCAAGTTCCAAATCGGTTGAGGTGCATCGAAGCAGAGTGGATATACATACTTCTGTATAACTTTGACTGATAGTGGTATCAAAATTGCTATGTTCCATTCTGGTCACTTCTACCGCCCAACAAGTTTCTTATAAATATACTCATATTACCTTCCAATCCCCAAGTATAAGACCTTTTATCCTTGTTCAGGGCCATCTTCTAGAGTTATAACTCCACCAACCATGGCTTCCCAACCACTTGAATGTCCTTTCACCCCGGTGATCATCATCGGTGCAGGGCTAACAGGCTTGGCCATGGCATCTCGGCTCAAAAGACAGCTGAAATACGACGATTTCGTAATCTATGATCGAGCCGCTAGGCTCGGGGGTACTTCGTATAACAACAGGTGTACGTTCCTACTCCACCACTTGACTCAGTTGACTATCTACTTGTAACTAAACGAAGGAGCAGACCCTGGCTGTGGAGTCAACACACCGGCATCTTTTTACAGCTTGTCGAAGAGATTCAATGTGACCGAGCATTTCGTTGGTAATACGGAGTGGGTGGGAGCGTCCTGGCAGGACGATGAAGCTAGTTGGCTAGTCAAACTAAAGGAGACTTCAACTGGCCGGGTGTTTACCCATCAGTGCAAAATACTGTTATCGGCCATTGGAGGGCTGTCGAATCCGAATGAATGCAGTATACCTGGCACTGACATATTCAAGGGGGTCATTGTTCACACCAAGGCATGGGACTCCAATATAACATGCAAGCAGAAGAACGTGATCGTCATAGGCAATGGATGTATATTTCCCTCTCTACTATCAAATATGGCGTTCTTTGCTTATCATATTCATAGTGTCTGCGACCCAAGTGATGCCAGAGATTTCAAAAGAGGCCAAGATGATCACACAATTTATTTTTGTTTGTCTATCATCAATTTACAACTCTATTTCCCAAGCTGATCCAGGAGATAGACACCGCAATATTACATTCCCGGTCAGAAACCCGCCATCAGTACATCATGGAGAGCCATTTTCCGCGAAATACCAGGAAGCCTTCGGCTTTTACAATTGATGATTTTCTGTTTTCTTGAGTCTTTAATATTCCAGTTCGACCGCACCTGGCTTGGGGCAAAGATGAGAAACAACATGATCGAAAAACACCGACGTTATATCACAGACTGTGCACCGAGTAAGATTACCGCACCAGTGTCAACCCATAGGATTACGCTACTTACGCGTCACTGGTAGGAAAATACTGGCCTCTCCTATTTCCGAATTATGAATATGGTTGTGAGGTAAAGTATCTCTTACTCATTGTTGTGCCACTGGGAATTGGACTAACAGCAATTTAGCGCAGGATTTTCGATAACGACGGCTACTTGGCTTGTTTGCATCAATACAATGTTCACCTGACCAATGATAGCATTGTGTCTCTACTAAAAGATTCCGTACTGACAAAGTCGGGGGCCATACATCCAGCAGATATTATTGTATGTTTCCTGCCAATCAATCTTCTTGTCATCTTTCTAATCTTGGTTTTCTCAATTCTAGGTATTTGCTACAGGCGTCTCTCCAACACAGCATAATATCGATATTTGTGGGCGAGATGGCTTTAGTCGTCAGGAACATTGGAAACAGTCCGGCCATATGCGAGATTTTAACACGGTCGCCATGTCCCGTTTCCCTAATTTCTTCAACATATTGGGACCCAACTCTGGCCAGGGACATACACCAACAGTAAATACATCTGAAAGGCATGACGCAAGATTTGCCATTCATTCCCATATACTAATATCGGGTTAGCTATTTCGATCTTGTTATCCGTGTTATTAAGCCGGTTCTCCAAAATGACGCATCAACCGTTGAGGTGAAGGATTCGAGTGAAGAAAGCTTCAGTAAGAACCTCAGGGCTGCATTGAGTAATACTGTCTTGACAAATACATGTCGAAGTGTGAGCTGAAAGCCCCCATTTCCTGTTCCAATTCGTGAACTAAGTGTTCAGCAGTGGTATATCAATCCCTGGAGTTCGCTCAAAATGTGGTACTCAACCCGCTGGAGTGGCATGAAAGACTGGTTATACGAGGCAGGCAGACCCTTGACTACTTCAGACTTCACATGATCATTGAACTGACTGATGTTGAGTTTAGCCTCCTACGCCTCTGGCAGAGTCTCAAAAGGAACACAGTCTGCAAGCTCTGAGCAATGCTATTCCTCAACATTGCTTCAAGTCATCTGGCTTGATCTCCTTTGCTTACCTTGCTCGTGATTTTGCATACGCCGGTCTTCTAATTTACTGTGCTTTGCATATCCAACTCCTTTCCCATCCATGGACACGTGCGATTTCTTGGGCAATTTATAGCTTTGCTCAAGGATGTGTTGGCACAGGGCTATGGATAATTGCCCATGAATGCGGTCACGGTTCTTTTTCTTCGTTTCCCTGGCTCAACGACATCGTCGGCTGGATCGTACATTCGATTCTGCTTGTTCCTTACTTTCCTTGGAAAATCACCCACGCACGGCACCACCGTTATTCCGGTCATATGGAAAAGGATACTGCGTTTGTTCCATTCACCGAGGGCGAGTATGCAGCGAAACGTGGGGTTTCCATCGAAAGGGTTAGAGAGCTCACTGAGGATGCGCCACTGGTAAATCTCGTGTATCTAGTCGGCCATCAGCTGTTTGGATGGCCGATGTGTCTTTTCTTTGCCGTGAGTACAGGAAACAACAGCACTCCCGGAGACCGCAAAAATGGCCACTTTACTGCTAGCCATTTCGACCCCTATAGCGCGCTGTTTACGTCGGCGCAACGGATATCAGTCGCCTGGTCGGATCTCGGGGTTGGTCTTGTGGGATGGGCGTTGCTCCGCATGAGTTCAGAAATTGGGCTTGGAAATACTATCTTGCTCTATTTTATACCCTATCTTTGGGTAAATAGTTGGATTGGTACATTTCCTTATACTTCCCCATGCATGTGCTATCCACTTACATGATTTCGCACAGTCGCCATCACATACTTGCACCACACGCATCCATCAATTCCACACTACGCAGGACAAAACTGGACGTTCCTGAAAGGAGCTCTCGGCACCGTCGATCGCAGTTTTGGTTTTATTGGGAGACATTTTTTCCATGAAATCATCGATTATCATGTTATCCACCATATGTTTCCCAAAATCCCATTTTACAAAGCGGAGGAAGCGACCATCGCAATACGACCACTGCTGGGCCCCAGTTATCAGGAAAACAAAAAGGAAAGCTTCGTACTTTCTCTTTTCAAAACATTCCAAAAGTGCAAGTACGTGTCTGATGGTGCCGTCTCTCCCGATGAGAAAGGTTCGGGCGTTTTTTACTGGCACAAGCACAAGATGTGATGAGGGGGAAGTAAGTACAATGGGCAGACAGACTAGATGACACAGTTGCAGCGACAAGAGCAAGGCCAGAGACCTGGCATGCGGGCATGAAAATAATATCTTATTGATTATATTAGAGGGTTACAAGTATCATGAAAAATGTATAGATCTCACGCAGCGGCGAACTTCAAGAATTACCCGGATTGTGCTTTTTCGGTATTATAGAAAGATATAATTGACCGATTCTGCCAATGAATTTGAATATCGTGTAGAATCTTGATTGACTGCAGATTAGGGTAAGATGAATATTTGCAATGAATAATGTGATTGTCAATCACCAAGATGATATTTCTTGGCTAACCCTTGGGAACTAAATGGTATAATATAATCTGTATGCTTCTCGAAATAATGTCTTCTCAATACCCTAGCATCGACGTGGTTATAAGAACAATAATTTCAGGGCCACTGAAATACAAAGATGTCTACGCCATTTTGAGTAGATAAAGGAGACGCAGGAATGATGAATTGAGCAGGCTAGAAATTAACTGTGGAAGTCTATTAGATTTCCCATAACTAAACAGATATATTGAGCAAAAATACATCCGACGCGCAGTGTAGATGCATACCGAATTTAGTCCAAAGTAGTCTAAATGGCAGCCATATCATTAATATAGCGGGCCAGGGACATAAATGAAAGAAGAGAGATGCAGGATATATTGGAAGATAAAGAACATTTAAACAATTTCATCGGGCTCAGCAAACATGCTGTTTTTTTGGTTTATCCTCCGAGCATCTTTTCCGCCTTTACTTCTTCCTTTTGCTGATGCTTTTTGCGCCGTCGGATTTGAGCTGTCGGGTAGAATACCTTCTTCAATATCACGGTGCAAAACATTTACATTCAGTTCCCAACAAGCCACGTCGCTCCCATTTCTCAATAACGAGAGCCTCTGAGCAAGTTCTTCCACAAAGGCAACACTCCTATGCCGCCCTTCTTCGCAGCACACTGTCACAATGAAGGACATGTCGGCGTCTTCAGACGTGTCTCCTAGTTCCCCATCTGTGCCTTTGTCGTTTTCGTTTTTTATAGACAATTCTCTGGGCAGCAGAGCATGATATGATTCAGTGAAAGATTGAACAACCTCATCATAGGTTTTCGAGAGGAATTGCTGCACAACTTCATTTTTCAGAAACTCCTTTCGGAGTCGTGGTGAAAGGCCAGTGGTCATCGCACGCAGCTTCCGAGGTGGGTTTGGAAGATGGCGAATGTTGAAAGCTAAGATCTTAGATTTCTCCTTTTGTTCCTCCGATGGCACAAAGGGGCCGTTTGAACGGCCGTACGAAGCGAGCAAGACAGCAATTGATGGGTGCCTTGATGATAGTCCGGGGGAAGATTTCGGCTCTTGTGGTGTTTCCATTGTGACCTGAATATTCTTTTCAATTTTATTTCGAGTTTTTCTTTCTCAATTAGATCTGAGGGTGGTGTGTCAATCTTGACGGTACAGACGTGGACGGAAAACCAGCAATACCCTTCAGGAGAATATATATTGTCCCGCTGGCGAGTGACTCATATGCGGCTGGACTTCCACTACCAACGTCTTTAAAACTTAGATTCTGAATTAGGGGTACTCAAAACTGGCACAAAAAGAGTTAATAAAAAGCTTCAGTCGAAAAAGGTCGACCAAATAAGCATTATCCTGACTATCTTGGCTATGCCCTACCAGATCTCTCATCTTGGCAAAGGCGAAAAAACATACAGTGACTTGCAATTTTGCTTGAACATTACAGCTCTCAATTGATGATCCAACAATATGTACACTGTCCTTATAAATGGGCAACGGGAGCGCACCCGATCTAGATTTTCTGACCTACTTTACCTCCGCATATTCTTATAATCACCGGAAAGTATTCCGCGGAGTAGCTGTGGGGTGCAGAAAATGTAGATCATTTAGCTAATTGCATCGACTAAGATTTAACCCAAAGACGGGCCCAAGCAACATAGCAGACCAACCACGTTAACCAGAGATCTCGAGCACCTCGGTGCCAACTCCCACTAGTCCCAAAATGGTCATTGTCTGGAGAACTCGACTCTGTTCGGGTCCCCAACTCAGCACGACCATTGAAAAGTTTTCTTCTTCTTTGGCTGGTATAAATGGAGTGCTTCACTAAATTTCTTTGCGAGGCGCCAAGTAGGGAAGTCTGCATGCGTGAAGTGTCTCTACACACGAGTTGAAGTTCTGAGACGGAAAAGGAAAAGTGATATCATACCCTCGATCTTCAACTTTGGTTCACAGGAGTTTGGCAGAGGAACTTCGACATCCTGGGATTTGACGAGCATTCTCGTCAAGACTTGATCTGACAATGGTCTTTGCTCGAGGGGATGTCTCGGGTCATGATGATCAGACAGTAGGTAGGTGCATGTACCCTGACCAGTCCACGGGATCTGAATATTGACAGCGGCACAGATCATCAAGATCCCAATTTGGACATTCAAATAGTCTTTTGGGATGGACCTCGGGATCCGGGAAATCCATACAATTGGTCTCTGCGCGAAAAATGGCTTCTCACAGCCCTGGCCGTGTTCACCACTTTCATCACTATGATGAATGGTACTATCATCACAGTAGCTCATGAAGCTATCAACGAGCGCTTCAACATATCCGACGCAAACTTTCCACATTCTTACTGGCCTGTCACATCCTGGGCCGTAGGCGGCGGATGCTTCTCTCTGCTCGTTCTCCCACTGATGGAAGACTTCGGCGTGCGATGGGTATTCCTCGGCACGTACCTGATCTTCCTCTGTTTCGTCATCCCGCAAGCAGTAGCGCAGAACTTCGCCACATTAATCGTGACGAGATTCTTCGCCGGAGGCTGTGTCTCCATTCTTGCTAATACCTCGGCGACTGTCATTGGGAACGTATGGGATAGCGAACGATCCCGAAATGTGCCTGTTAGTCTGTACATTGTCGCTTACCTAGCAGGTAGCAGCATCGGTCCTGTGATCGGGGCTGCTATTTTCCAGACCCTGTCGTGGAGGTGGATTGGCTATATCCAGTTGATCTGGTATGGCGCCTTCTTCCCCATGTTCTTCTTTCTGTTCCGGGAATGTCGTGGAATCGCCATCCTGGGACAGCGGGCTAAGGCTTTGCGCCGTGAGGGCAAGAATGCATATACCCAACACGAAATCGATACCCAAGATCAGTCTATGCTGAGCATAGTAGGCCGCAGCGCGAGCAGGCCTCTCATCCTCTTCTTCACCGAGTCAGTGGTCTTTGTATCGACGCTCTGGTCTGCCTTTACTGTTGGCACGCTATACCTATTCACTCAATCTGTCGAGCAAGTCTTTGCTGACCTGTACGGCTGGACACCCGCACAAGCCGGCTACGTACAGTCAGCAATCGTCGTCGGGGAATGCATAGGCTGGGTACTAACCCTGTTCTCCGCCAAACTGTACTTCGACTCAGCATCACGCAACACCGAGATTCCCGGAACCCCTATTCCCGAAGCAAGACTGTACCTCGCCATTGTGGGTGGAGTGTTTGGTATCGCCGGTGGAATGTTCACCTACGCCTGGACGTCGTATCCGGATCTGCCGTGGATCGCCCCGGCCATCGGTCTCGCAATGGTAGGCGCCGGCAGCGTTATTGTGGTCACGGGTATCTCCGACTATGTTGTCGATGCGTATAGCAAATACGCGGGCAGTGCAATCGGGATCATTGCCACCGGCGAAAATACTCTGGCGGCGTTTTTGCCGTTGGCTACGATGAGCATGTACTCAACTCTTGGCCTTCGGTGGGCTAGTACTTTGCTAGCCTTTATTGCGTTAGCTCTATCCATTGCGCCAATCCTGGTGCTTATCTGGGGCAAGGATATCCGAGCTCGGAGTCCGTTCATGAAAGAGGCAATGGTCGAGAAAAGGAGAAAGAGCTTTGACTCTGTCTAAGCTGGCTAGTCTTGCTTCTGTACATAGAATTCTATTCGGTCATACTGCATATACAGGAATTTCTTCAAGAGTCTGTTTCATGTGTTCCAAGTTTGGACTCAAGGTTTAATTTGTTTCACATGTTCATGCAGGTGAGAACCTTCTACATAGTACCGTCGGGTTCCGTGAAAAGCGTGAGGGCATAGGTAGTACGGAATACAGAATGTCCTGTAGGTCATACTGTAGAACAGGCAAAATCCGCCATTTCGACATTGAATGATCTCAGAAGTGTATCGAAATCGATAGAAGCCTCGCTCGGCGAACGATACCCCTGCATGAACAGCAAGTCAAGCAAACAGTGGACTCGGTGGACTCAATTTTCAATCTCGAACACGAGATAACAATAGAATGGCCCACCCGGCACTATTGACCCAGGAAGAAAAAAAAAAAAGAGGAGCAAGAAAAGCCGCAGTGGATAGAATCGCAAGAATCCCCCATATCATTCGAGTCAGGGGGGAAAGGGAGTCAGCAAGCCTTCAAAAAAGAGCCGGAGATATTCCAGATTGCGGTTTAGAACGGACATGGCGCCACTAGCCCGAACCAAAGTTCCCCCTAAACGTGCACTACGCACTGTGTTAGCATGTTGTGGCATAGCTAAAGTTATTGTTGTTTATTATTCTACGCTGTTTTCGGGGGAAGATCGTAATGCCCCAAAACACGGACCAGATGGCGTCCTGGAAAACAAGCCCATTCCATGCTTCCATTCCGAAAACCCGAAATAATAACCGAGTGGCTTATTCAACGGTCTTTTCTTCTGAACTGGGGATGTTAACCCGGTTCAAAAATCCAACTACCGTAGCCCCTTTTCTTTCCTTGCTGTACTGTACTGTTTATGGTGGTCGGTGATCTATTCTCCGAATGAGGCTCCATGCAGGAGAGGAGGAAAAAAAAATACCCAAAGTTCATCCACTCGTCCCAGCAACCGGACCCGACACTAGTGCACTAGAACAGGGCAACGCCCCCACGTTTCTCAAAACGGTTAAATCGTCGAACTTCTAGATCGTTTCAGGGCAGACGATCAAACGGGCTCGAATCGCAGGATGCCTTGTGCTATCCTAACAAGCAAGGCTAAAGAAGCTAGAGATGCGAGAAAAAGCGAGTCTAGTCCTGTGCCAGGTTAGTCCTCAGGGGTTCAGAGCGAGGCTGGCATACCCTGGTCGGAGTTGAAACCTCCAGGCCGAGTCTATATTGATCAGAATTGTACTCCATACCTTTCGGAATCAAGAAAATTGGACCATGCGTAGTCTCGATTGGGTAGGGCTCCGCGAGACTAGGTCATTGAACTCCATCACATCGCCCTAAAAATACTTTCTGGTGCCTGCTTTTTTGTTGAATCTGAAGCTTGACGGGGCTCTCCCCCCATCACCCCCCTGGGGCAACAAGAGACAAAGTTTATCTTGGTTTGATCGACTTTGTGTCCGAGGTGTGAGACATGGTGATGGTTTCATAAGATAGATCTGTGTACAAGCATACGGAGTGTTCGGATTCATTCGGGAACACCAAGCTCTTTTGGGGTAAAGATATGAAATCTCAACTAACCGGTGGGTTCGGTACGGGTGAAAAGCTCCTGAGCTTCAGATGCCAAGCATTGATGCTGGATTCCCAGCCTTTTGAAAAAAAAAAAAGAGAAAAGGTATAACGGAAAAAAAAACATCGGTTCCTAGATTGGACTTATGACATGAGTGGCCCATGGAGCAATAATCAGAAAATGCCTGTGAATGGCCTGATTTTTGCGCTAACACGTGAATCACCTGATTCAAGGAAGTTATAGGGAGGCAGACATGTAAACATGTATATCTGCACGCTGCATGCTGCATTCGACCAGTCCTATATGATCAGTATAGTCGGATATGCCGGAAGATAGAAGATCCAACAGCCACAACCGTTGATACGGGGACTTCGGAGAAAATACCAGGGGTCGCTCAACCGGGAGTGGGACGGTTTCAGTGGCTGCATGTAAGCGCCCACTGAGACTCTGAAACGAGAGAGCGGGTGCTTCAGGTCCCAGCGCCAGTTTGATGAGCCTTGGCTGGGTCCACTCCACTCCCGTTGGACTCCAAGGTCGATTCCCTGTCTAGAAGCGTGCTGAAAGGAGAAGGTGATGTGAATATCACTGTAGACTGGTCACTTCCATACTTCGTACTGGTGGTAGGGGTTGAGGGGGGTGTTTTCTTCAGGAAATACAGGACAGGAATAGCTCCTACGTCAAGAGGTCCAGAGGGCAAAAAGGTGAACAAGTAAACAAGTGAAGAAGTGGGAAGGAAAACAGTCGGGGGCAGAGAACTAAAAATGGGATGCCCGTACCAAATGGTAAAATACAGCGTAATTAACAGCTTTCCTGGCCCGCAACGCTATGACTAACACTAACTTACTAGTTTCTGACCGGTCAGGGCTCTCTAACCGCCTTACTTCTTCTTCTTCTCCCCCTTCTTCATCTCATCTTTATCATCCTCTTCACTTTCGTTTCTATTTCCGCTGTGCGAGAATATACTATACCCAAGAGCTTACCGGCTGGTCCAGTGAAATCTCTCATCTTTCTTTATTCCAGAGGCTGGTTCCTCTTCCCATATCGTGGCCGCTCACATCCTGTCTACATTGGACATTGCAGCGTTGACATTCGCGCTTCTGATCTCTTTGCATTGATCTATTTTGGTGAGTGCTGATTCGAAGTCTCAGCCGCAGCACAGTGGCAGAGAATGCGGTTCTTTGATCCAACCCGCTTCTTTGTTTGCGCAGGTGTTATCAACTGCCCCCTCCCGGTCGGAACTGACTGGTTATGCAGTGCGCATTTATAAAAGAACAACAAAATGTATCCTCAACCAGGTGCCCCGATGCCTCCGCCGCAAAAACCTGAAACATTTATGCTCTCGACCGAAGCCCAGCAAAGTCTACCGCATGATGCGCAGGTTGCCTTGCAACAAGTGGATAACTGTATGTTATTAATGGTCTTTGCGCCAGAGCATTGTATTGATATTGGCTAGTGAAATACTTCCTCCTGTCTGCTCCTGTCGACTGGCCTCCCGATCAGCTCATTCGCCGTTTCTTGCTTCCCACCGGCGATTATGTCTCTTGCGTCCTCTGGTTAGTCTTACCGCAGTGAGTGACTAGGGAAAGTCATTGACCATCTCATAGGAGTAACCTGTTCCACATTTCCGGTACCGATATTGTCCGATGCCTCGCATTCCGATTCCAAGCCTTTGGACGCCCGGTCAAGAACTCGAAAAAGTTTGAGGAAGGCATTTTCTCCGATCTGCGAAACCTCAAGGCTGGAACCGACGCGACACTGGAGGAACCTAAGAGTGCGTTCCTGGATTATTTGTACAAGAACAACTGTATCCGGACGCAAAAGAAGCAAAAGGTGTTCTACTGGTACAGCGTGCCCCACGACCGGTTATTCCTGGATGCACTGGAACGGGATCTGAAGCGCGAGAAGATGAACCAGGAGGCTACTACGGTCGCAGTCAGCGAACCGGCCATGTCCTTTGAATTCGATTCGTCCCAGTCTCTGTACGAGCAATTGACCAAAGCTCAACAAGCGAACTCGTCCTCGTTTGCTGCCCACGCAAGTACGACATATGGCCAGCCCAACTCCCCCGTGGTTCGGACCGTTGACGCAATGCCTCCCCCGCAGATGGCTCCCCCAGCGATTCCAATGCTCCAGGACGACAATGTGAATCCGATGTACAGCCAACATCCGATGCCCCTGTCGCACACCTTAGTCCAGAGCATTATTAAGCGCGAGCAGGACTTCGGCCCTATCCAGTACGATCGCAACGGAATGCCTATTCACCGCGTCCACCAACGTCATTCATCTATGCCGACCTTCTACGAGTATTCGCCTGCGCCTTCGTTTGTGTCTTCGCAATACGAGGACTACAGCAACCGGGGACTGTCTTTCGAGCCAGTCACCCCGCCACAACACTCGGTCGGCCTGGGATCGGAGCCCGCTTATATCGCCAATGAAGACACAGGACTTTACACAGCGATTCCAGATATTTCCAGTGGGCACGCATACAACCCCATGATCCAGCTGCCTCCGTCGAATCTGGCTAGCGCTCATTATGCTCCGGCTCCTCGGTCGTACTCCTCGAACCCGTACTCCGTCATCGAGGGATCTCCGACCTACAAGCAGCGCAGGCGTCGATCTTCCATCCCGCCCAACTCTGCGAATGTCACCCCCGGCACTCCAGCTCACGTCCAATCCACGACTCCATCCGCTCAGCCAATTCCCTACGCTGCTCATAGACCTAGTGACCTACGCCGCTCGGTATCTAGCTCAGTGGCCCCGGTTGCAGAGGGCGATGAGTCCGCTCAAGATCTCGCTCGTACATACCCAAGTGCGATGCTCCCTCAAAAGGATCTTATGCGGGAGATGTCTCGACATGGTACTCCTCTGCAGAACCTCGACCAGAGCACTGGTCAACACTCAGTTCCAATGACAAACCAACCGGATGATCTTACTGCTTTGCCGACCAATGCATCTATGGAGGCTGCAGTTTCAAATGGGACTAGTCGAGAGCGTTCGGTACCGGGACCTGCTCGGAGAGCGAGGAGTGCCACCATGATGGAGCTGGGACCTTACCCCCAGAAGTCCCACTCCTGCCCGATTCCCTCCTGTGGCAGAGTGTTCAAGAGATTAGAGCATCTTAAGAGGTAAGCTCACCTCCATTCTATTTTTGCATCAGCCCACATCGCCACGTCGGTGGGGCGATCTGCACCGTAATCGTACGGCAACTGACTTCTATCTAGACACGTGAGAACACACACTCAAGAGCGTCCTTACGAATGCCCGTTTTGCACAAAGGCCTTCTCGCGGTCTGACAACCTCGCACAGTAAGTTAAGCCATATAATTTTTCGCGTTCTTTGTATTAACTTTACTAGACACCGTCGGATCCACGAAGCGCAACAAGACGGTCAAACCATCGTCCCCAACGACGATGACCTAGAGAATGATGAGAACGAGTATGGTTCGCAAAGGGAGAGCATCTCCCCGCCCCAACCGGCTCATACTATGATGAACATGACGAACATGACAATGCCAGCTCCTATGACCATGCCATCCGCCATGCCCAACATGGTTGCTTCACACATGATCGCTCCACAGCTTCTGCAGCAACGCATGTGAGGATGACGGAGTACGATGCACCAACAAATCTTCAGTTGATGCTTCCACTCTGCCCCTTCTGTGATGTCTTTCATTAGGAATCTGGGGCGTATACAGGCGTCATTGGTCTCGGGTTTATATCGCCTGTTTAATCGCACATTGTCACATCGACCAATGCGGCCCCGCACATACCGCGGTTCCTGTATAGCCTCTGTGATATTGCATCTCTGCTTCTCTGTTATTCTTTTATTCGTGTTGTTTATCTTTGCTGGATCGGTTCGGATTTTGATTCGCGCTGTGCAATTGGGTGTCTACAGGAATCATCAGCCACTATATATCTGGCGTTGGCTTCTTTAGTCCCCCTTTGCATGCGAACTGGGTTACTTTGGCAGCCACTTACATCTCATGCTGCCTGGCGGGAACGGGCACCCGGGGACGTGATGCGGACATCTCAATGCCCGGGCGGATGGACTTGGGATTGATATTGGAATTGGAATTGGTATATGGAAATATTGGGAAAGCTTCTGCTTTTCTCTGTCTTGGGTTATCAGGCATTATCCAGGAAGAGTGGCTAGGCTGGGATATTGGGAAGGGCTGTTTCGTGTTTTAACTACAGCTACGGCTATTTTTTTTGTTTAAATTATTCATCATATCATATATAGACAGTGACATATTGTAACGAACTCGAATTGGATGTTAAAAACTTGAAAATTACCCTTCATATTGGACAATATTTTAATTCGACTTGTTTGTAATGGTGGCTTGTTTGTTTACCCTGTAGGATGTCTATATATGGAAACATAATCACGTGCTGCTGACGTCGCTCCTGAAGACGTGATAGGATGCCACTCATCGCCGATCTCATTCCATTTCATGCCAGACCGACTACACAGTCCTGTCTGACTATCACATCACATCGCGCTGAGACCTAGACCTGTAATACGTGTCCACTTCCATGTTGGTTACATGTAATTTGCGGCCTCTCCCCGAGTTGCTTTTACTCCACACCAATACACACAGTACAATACACTCGTTGGATCAGAGACCTCGGAATTTCATCTACAGGGGGGCGCAGTAACACCTGATCTGATCCGACAAGACAAGACAAGCTCAGCCACATTCCGGATTACCCCACGTCTCGGCGGTTGGAAGTACTCCACGCTTAAGTCCAGAAGTCCTATGTGGTATTATATCCGCGCACGGTTCCTCATCTGCGACTAAGGGTATTTCTGTTTTTATCGCCTTCGCCGGCGACACTGCTTACCGTCATAATTAGGATTAAATCAAGGCCATAATCTTTGCCCTCCGAAGATCTAATGGGAGAGGTTGGTGGACGGCGTAGCCCTGCTGAAGAGGGATCGCCCCTTATGCCTTCTTCTCCGGTTCGAGTTGGATCAGGAGATAGGCATGGTGAAGGAAATGAAGATGCGCGGCTCTTGAATGGTGGTCTTGATCATGAGGGGACCAAGGGTGCGTTGTACATGTTGCTTTTGACTTTGTCCATTGGTGGGTAAGTATAAACTGTCTTGCTTTCGATTCTTTGGAACCTGTAAGCTATGAGGTGAATGCTTATGCTATTCTTTTTATCTTATAGGCTTCAAGTTGTATGGTCTGTTGAACTGTCCAATGGATCGGTGAGTATACAACCCACGCATGGTTCACTTTCATAAACAAAATCACTGACCGCATGGTATAGCCATACCTCTTATCTCTCGGAATGAGCAAAGCCCTCTTGGCCTTCGTCTGGATCGCCGGTCCTTTAACTGGTGGACTGGTGCAGCCTTATATCGGCATCAGAAGCGATAATTGTCGTATGCCATGGGGCAAGAGAAAGCCGTTTATGGTTGTTGGCTGTGCAGCTACTATAGTTGCATTACTAGCTCTGGCATGGGTGAGGGAAATTGTGGGCGGGTTCCTGTCGATTTTCGGCGTGGATTCTGGTTCACATGGGACGAAGATTGTCATTAATATCGCGGCTACGATCTTGATGTATTGTCTTGATTTTGCTATTGCTACCGGTATGTACCGTGAAGATCTAACCTTGGTGGCAATGAACCTAACATGGCCATGTTCATATACAGTGCAAGCTGCAATCAGGGCATTTATTGTCGACAATTGCCCAGCACATCAACAGGAATTGGCTAATGCCTGGGCAAGTCGACTGATAGGCGTCGGAAATATCCTAGGTTACATCTTCGGCTACCTAGATCTCCCAAGGCTCGTCCCGTTCCTGGGAAATACCCAGTTCAAGGCTCTTTGCGTACTAGCCTCAGTCTTCTTGAGTGTCACTATCGCTATCAGCTGCGCTTACATCAAAGAGCGTGACCCGCGACTCGACCCACCTGTTGAAGACAAGCTTGGGATCATCTCGTTCTTCCGGCAGGTCATTAAGTCTATTCGCAGCCTGCCGACGCAGATTTCTCGTGTTTGCGAGGTTCAGGTTGCTGCGTGGGTTGGCTGGTTCCCGTTCCTATTCTACTCTACCACCTATATCGGACAATTATACGTTAACCCGATCTTCGCTGAGAACCCCAATCTCTCAAAAGAGAAGATCGATGAAGCTTGGGAAGATGCTACACGGATGGGCGCGTTTGCTCTTCTCATATATGCTATCATATCGTTCCTCGCAAATACTCTCCTCCCCCTTTTTGTGGCGCCTACATACAGTCCTGCCCCAAAGACATCATCGCAGCCAGCCTCTCTGAGCGGGCACTTCAATGAGGACGAAGAAGAGACCAACAGGAGAGTATCAATCTCAGGCATGCCAATAGGCACTGCATCCGAACCACTGCTCGACGCTACGCCACGCCACGAGGCAGAAGGCAAGCCGACTTGGCTTTCACGTCTACAAATACCAGGCTTAACTCTTAAACAGGTCTGGCTTATTTCCCACATCATTTTCGCCCTTTGCATGTTCAGTACCCTTTTCATTTCCTCCCACCAAGCCGGTTCCGCGTTCGTTGGATTGGTCGGTATCCCATGGGCTGTTTCACTCTGGGCGCCTTTCGCTCTTATCTCCGCTGAAGTTGCTCGCAATGATCCTTCCCGGCGTCATCGCCATGTCGCTAGGGCTTTTGATGAGCCCAGTGCTTCCGGTAGTACGGATGGCCAGTATCAAGCCCCTGAGGCTCATGAATGGTCCAACGAGCATGGTGATCAGGAGACTGCTGCTACTGATGATGACATTGAGCATGGTCATTCTAAAGAGCACGACGTAGCTCAGGCTGGTATCGTCCTTGGGCTTCACAACATGGCTGTTTCATTCCCGCAAATTTTCTCCAGTCTTGTCTGCAGTGCTATCTTCAGGGCTGCTCAAAAGCCTAGAGGGGAGCCTTGGGATGATAGTGTCGGGTGGGTGCTACGTTTTGGAGGGTGTGCTGCTTTGGTGGCTGCTTGGTTGACGAGGAGACTCCGTTGATAGAGACGTGAATGCATTAGAACTTGATAGAACATACATGTACTGTGTCCACCTCACCAAGGGGGAAGGGTGAGAACATGTGGGCCTGTAGAGCAATAACCTAACTTATAACATGATCATTGATGTTGTGTTGCTAAGTATGGACTTCCAGCCCCTTGGCTGTTTCCCGTTTCTTGGCAGTTGCGCGGCTGGTCCACGTGTGATATTTCAGAATTACAATAACCGAACATTACACATACGTTATCTCCGGGCGCGGTATCCCAGCCCTACCGCCCAATTTGACCGCCTGTAATTTGTCCTGTTCTGTTCCATACCATACCCCCCATCCAGGCCATCTGTCTGCAACTCCGGCCCCAACCCCAACTCCGCGCGTATCAACCTCATCTCGTCGCAAGTCCCATCCGCTCGGATTATGTGCGCCTGCTCGTCACATCTACAACTCACTGTGGGAGTGAACTACCAGTCTGCGCTGGTCCTCGATACCTCCTAAGGCGCCGCCATGGCGACCCAATTCATGAACGATGCCGTCCACGCCCTGCTCCGTATGTCCCCTCTGATCGGCGCTCTTGAACACCGCGTTCTATTTCTACATAAAGAATGACTAGCTAACATTGTATTTCTATTCCAGGGAGAGCCGCTGAGGACTCAGATCCCGATGGTATGCGTGCCTGACTTCCACCCCTCTCATCGTGCCATCATCCCCCTCCCGTCCGGCTGTATAGCGCTCTTACAACTGCGGTGATTTAACTATGACTTCTCATTGCAGATGCCCCCGAGGCTGGAAACAAGGAGATTACGAGCTCTTGGGCATTGTTCATTATGATCATGCTCTTGATGTTCGCTCTCTTTACTAGCTACATGCTTCAACAGAAGAAGATCCAAGCTGTCCATGAGACGGTTCTATCTATTTTTGCAGGTATGCTACATATACTCTGAGCTTCGATGCACAATGCGCAGCGCGCAGCGCGGATTGGATTGCAAATACTGACAGTTGCTAGGCATGTTCGTCGGCTTGATCATCAGGTTAACGCAGTCAACAATGCAAGATAGCGTCGCTTTTGATTACCAATTCTTCTTCAACCTCCTCCTTCCTCCAATTATCCTCGCCTCCGGATACGAACTTCACCAAGCAAATTTCTTCCGGCATATCGGCACTATTCTCACGTTTGCTTTTGCTGGTACCTTTATTTCGGCCATTGTGCTCGGTCTGGTTCTGTACCTTTGGACACGGATCCCGCTAAATGGGCTGAACATTTCCTTTGTTGAGGCTATTTCAGTTGGCGCGACCCTCTCCGCTACGGATCCCGTTACCATTTTGGCTATTTTCAACCTGTACAAGGTCGAGCCGAAGCTTTATACCATCATTTTTGGCGAGTCGATCTTGAACGATGCGATTGCTATTGTGCTGTTCGAGACAGCGCAGAAGTACGCTGACAGTGAAGCCGGCTCTTTGACTTTCCTCAATCTCTTCGAAGCCATTGGACTTTTCTTGCTTGTGTTCTTCGGTAGTATGCTGGTTGGCATGCTAGTTGGAATTGCAACCGCGCTCGGTCTCAAGTACACCCATGTGCGGCGCATGCCCAAGATCGAGAGCTGTCTTATCATTCTCATTGCTTACGCCAGTTATTTCTTTTCCAATGGCGTGCATTTGTCGGGCATTGTCTCGCTTTTGTTCTGTGGCATTACCCTCAAGCATTATGCCTACTACAACATGTCGCGTCGCACGCAGTTGACTACGAAATACCTGTTCCAGGTCATGGCTCAGCTGTCGGAGAACTTTATCTTCATTTACCTCGGTCTTGATCTTTTCGTTGAGGCTAACCTGCAGTTCAACCCATTGTTCATCTTGGTTTCTGTGTTTGGTATCTGTCTCGCACGTTATCTGGCTGTGTTCCCGCTCTCCAAGGCTATCAATTGGTTCCTTCGCTATCGGGCCCGCCGCCGTGGTGTCGAGGTTGCTGATGAGCTCCCATTCGCATACCAGGCCATGCTATTCTGGGCTGGATTGCGTGGTGCCGTCGGTGTTGCGCTGGCAGCCGGTCTCTCGGGCGTCAACGCCCCAGCACTTCGAGCTACGGTTCTGGTCGTTGTCGTGTTGACCGTCATCATCTTTGGTGGCACCACGGCACGAATGCTGGAGATTCTCGGCATCCGAACTGGTGTGGTAGAGGAGCTTGACTCAGATGACGAGTTTGACATTGAGGTCACCCACGGAGGAACCTACTACAAGCGCTCCGATACAGGCCTGGGCTACACCCCACGCCGCGCCGACTCCGTCATCCCCATGGACGGCGTTACACCTGCAGCTCCACGTGCTGGTCTCGGGGAGCGAACAGACAGCTACTCAAGCGGCAATAACCGCCGCCCGAGCCCACCACACACCCATACGCGTATGTACTCCGCGGCATACAGCAACAAAGATCAATCCTGGCGTGACCGTTCCTCCGCCGCGACTCTACTCGACGGCGACGCTGTCGGCCCAGGCAGCGATGATGAATTCGGCCTGCCACCCTCCGGCTCCAGCCGCGCCAACCACCCCGTTGACCCAGACGAGTTCGAGGTCTCCGATGACGACCTCCCACCCGCCGCAGAGGGCGCCTCGCGTCTCCGACGATCAGCCTCCCAGCCCTCGAATTCGCCTCACGCCCCATCCCCCATCGCAGCCTCGACCAGCGTCTCGCCTTCCCGACCGGTGCCAGGTCTCACGGCTCGCGAGGCCCTGCGGGATCTATGGTCTGGTGGTGCTACCGGTGATCACGCAGCTTGGTTCCGTCAACTCGACGAGGATTACATCAAGCCTACGTTGTTGCTAGATCAGTCGAACCATAAAGGACCCGGCCCTGGAGCAGTTTGAATTTGAGTTTGAGCTTGAGTTTTATACATTAGGATGATGGGGTTTTCTTGCATGTTTCTTCGATCTGGATGTATATTTAGCCTTTCTTGTTTGGGTCTGCATTCTCATGAAGGAACGTTTTTTGCTGTTTTGTTTTGTTTTGTTTTGTTTGTCTACTGTCCGCGGTTTGGACTGTATAATAACAGCAACATGTATCTTAAGAAGACAATTAAGATATTACAATTTTGAAGTCATTCATATATCCTCTCCTGTTCGCAGCATAACAAATAGTATCCAAAGTGAAATCCCACTCCGCATTTCAGCCTACCCCACACATCCCCAGCCTATCTCCCCTCAACCTCGGACACAACCTTCCAATCACCCACACACTTAACGCCGTGACTCAATAGAAAGAATCAGAACAGATCAAATTTATACATCAAAGCAATAAACATCACGTAAATTTAACTCGAAACACATTAAGAAGATAAGCATAGCTTCGCCCCTTTCTCCAACATCTCCAATTGTTCTTATCGACCACTCGGAACCAGCTATGCTATCTCTAGCATGAACTCAGGCAGACGCTGTACCTGCTTGTATCTGTATGGCGCCATTCTTGTTTGGGGTCGACTTGCGCCCGTACCGTGTTTGTTCAGCCACGAAGCAAGTGGCTGAGATACAGCGAGAAAGAGATGGCGACGATGGTGTAGCTTGGTTTGTATTCTGTGGTCGGAATATTCCATTGGTTCAAATTAGATTGGAATCTGTGACGAGATTGATAGACTCGGGTCGTTACAGCAGGTCTGATTATATTACAGTACGTACGGTATTACTTCTGCTGTTGTTGTCGTATAGTAAGTTAACTACAATATAGTAACTCGCCCGGCGTATTGTGCTAGTCTACCGCATGGGTAACCTATTTCATATCCTATGTAGTCGATTTCTTCTGCCACTTCTTGGGCTTTCCTTTCTGTCTATGTGCTCAATCCTTGCTGATTTCTGCTCACTAAGTAGTAGAAGAATGCTGGATCGTTTGGTTATCATTGATTAGCTAGTCGCCCTTATTTGAGTAATTTATCATTATATAAGCTTGTTAGCCAAATAATTCTGACTGAGGAACTGGCTACTAAGTAATACCTTAGGTAGAACCTAATTGCAAACCCTATAATTCACTTAGGATGACAATAGGTTCTATCGTAGGTCAGAGGTCAAGTGGATCTTACAGGTACAACACCCCTAACGATGGATTGATATACATTAATGTTAGTAATCAACGACATTCATGGTGCTGCAGGGTGAGGGTGCCTATCTGATTCCTATCCCCATCCTTATTTGACCACTCGTCTTTGACCTTTCCCGTCGCGCCGTTTGCCCTGAGCACCATGGATATCATGCTTCAGATAGCGAAATCTCCGGTACCACTCTATTTATACTTAGAACTTAGATGATTTTGCTAGGCTCACACAATATAGGTTTTTCAATTTAGCGAAAATTGCATCACCGTGACAAAAGATATGCTTCTAAATAAGCGTCGTTCGACCGTATACCGCTTAGAACTCGAGGAGCCCCGTTTTGGACTTCGAGGGACAGTCATCGTCAAGCAACAGAAAACAAATAGGAAGCTGAGTTTTGCGCTGAGATGCCTGCCTATCAGAGGCTACAAAAGCTTCAAGGGACTGTAATCACAACTCTATCTGGCGAAGGCTCTTTCAATGGGCACCCTGCCTTGATTTTTTCGGAGATCAAAGGGATTACTCTACGTGAAATCGCAAACCTAGTCGAAGCGAGTGTCAAAGAAAGTATTTTGAGGTCTCGTCTTGAGAACGCCTTCCGGGAGCTCTACAAGTACGGAGCCGAGCATTGTGACCTGGATCTGGGTAATTTTCTGGTCTGCGACAATGGACAGATGATGGTTATCGACCTTGAAGAGGTCAAATTTCCTGAAAGACAGCAAGCCTGGGAACACAGCATTAATTTGGGTAGTGTGGATTACCTGATGAGCAGATTCAGGGATGTGAGATATCCGCGTCGTGCTCCGTCACCTGTCCTGTATTGGATGCCTCACACTGGGGCTAGCGATGATAGGAGCGGCTCAAAAATGCCCGGTTCTGCTGTCCCATGAGACTAATGATTTTAGGTACAACAAGCTCACGCCCCGAAGGGGAGTAGTAGCCCATAACGGTTCTCAAGGATAGAAAAGACCTGGTTTGAAGTTGGAACTTCTATGACGGCAAGGGACTGACAAGATTGATTTAAAGGTGGTAATAACTAGGGGAGAATCTACGGAGTATGCAATTCACTGTTATATCATCATCTCATTTGTGTGACAGTCTGTTGGATATTGTATGTGATGTTCGCTATTTACAGTCATTCTCGAAATCGGCTTGACCAATAAGCACCGAGTAACTCTTTCCAAGTCCCACTGCCAAGCCATTAGCGCAGATCAATTATTTGAGCTGGCTGCGTTTAATTGAGAGACACCGTCAATTCGCCGGGTTAGGATGGACTGCTCTGGAAGAAGCGGGAATAAGTCCGCAGACAACCCACGAGAGACCTGCGTACATCCCCCTGCCAGACATTGCTACTCGAGATTAAGGAATATCGTAGCCGATGATAACATTGGACATCGACAAGTTCATGTTATTTCCTTCTTGGCCCGTGTCAAGTACCTTACGTTTAACCATCTAAACCGTTTAAAGGTAGGGGCTGTCAAAGGTCATATGGCCACCGCTAATTTATATCAAGTAGACGCATCTTGCCAACCTGGGATAATCCTTGTATCCGTAATACCGATACCAAATAATACTCTGTCATGTAACAAAAGTATTTGGTCGTTGGGCCCCTGACCCACTTTTCATTACTGCCAGCCAAAACTCTCCCGAATTCATGCAATGCAATAACTAGTATGTCATTCATCATACTGAATGACATCGGAACCCCAATGAGACATTGCACCTACCAGATATTTGAATATCTCGGTACTTACATAGCATTTGTAATGACTAGTTCGTCAATCGCGAGGTTTGAATATCTAATTAGTATAGGCGGTCTAGAAAGCGGCAGGACAGAAGGTGGAACCCTAAGCACTGTACGACCAGCCAAATACTTTTGTTACACCACTGTACATAAACTTCGCGCCTAATGGAGCCAAAACCGGCGAGGCCGAACCCCAAATCGAAAACGCAGGGCGCCCAAAAGTGAAGAAATACGGTACGTTATCTATGGATACGATGTCCGAAGATAGGCTTAATATAATACAGGCACGGTCTAGGGATCCAAAACGCCGGTAAAGTTCCGCTTCCGCGTTATGCAGCACAGGTAGATGTACAAGTTAACCCCTCAGTTAAGGTATCCCAGATAGGTAGATTAGATAGCTGATCGCTTCATAGCCTGTCAAAATGGAAGTTGGCTAGAAGCTTATTCGTATGCCTTGTTTGCATCCCTTGTTCGCTGCAGGCGCACGGATACTGCGTACAAGTATTATTATAAGCTGGGCTATCGCGCTGGCTCGTTCTTTTATCTCTTTCATCTTTCTATCTTACTTGATCCGGGTGCTTGTTTTTGCCTCGTACATCCGAGTGGAATCCTATAAAGGATAGCTGTTGTCAGATGAGCATTTCCAGATCTTTGTTATCTTTCTCTCTCCTTGTTTCGACTATTCGATTTCGTGGTCTATATTGAATCTGCAATTGTCGCAATCATGGCTGATATACTAGAAAAAGTCATGTCCCATAAGAAAGCTGCTTCGGTGGCTACAGGGCGTGAATCGAAGCCGCAGGCTGGGGATACGGAGCTGCTGGGTAAGTTTTGTCTAATCTCTGGCTAGAGGGTGCCGATGTGGTTGAGACTAACTGTTGGATAGCAACTTTGGGATATAAGCAGGAATTGCGACGCCATTACTCAACCCTTCAGATTTTTGCTGTTGCGTTTAGTATCATGGGTTTGTTGCCTTCTATTGCTTCGACTTTGTCGTTTTCAATGCCGGCTGGTCCGGTTGGTATGGTTTGGGTGAGTGTTGTGCACTATACCAATTTGTTGAATAGACTATTGACTGATCTCTAGGGTATGCAATTCTTGTGAGGGTTGATATTTCTGGTGCTAATATATGACAGGATGGCTGGCAGCAAGTGTCTTTATCTTTATTGTCAGTTTGGCAATGGTAAGCTCTGCTTTTTCTATACAGCATCAGGAAATCGCCCAGAGCTGACGATATTTCAAAGGCCGATATGGCATCTGCAATGCCTACCGCCGGAGGACTCTACTTCTGGACGCACTACTACGCAGCGAAGAAATGGAAGAACCCACTCAGTTTCCTAGTGGGATATAGCAACACTCTCGGGTTAGTAGGAGGAATTTGCTCCATCGATTGTCAGTCAATGCTTTCTTTCCTCGAGACGGAAGCCTCTATTAACAAATCTGTTAGACGGATTCGCGAACATGCTCCTCTCAATGATCTCCATCGCCCGAGACGGCAACTGGACAGCTTCGAGATCAGTCATCTACGGCACATATGTGGCAACAGTCGCCGCACACGGTTTTATCGCCATCTTCTTTGGGCGAGTAATGCCCAAGATCCAGACGCTGTGTATCTTCCTCAACATCGCTCTAGTCGTCGCTACCTTTATCGCTCTGCCGATTGGAAAGTCGCAGAACAGTCCGCCTGTGAATTCCGGCTCCTATGTCTTCGGTGATATCGAGAATTACACTACATGGCCCACTGGTTGGGCCTTTATGTTGGCATGGCTGTCCCCTATCTGGACTATCGGCGCATTTGATTCTTGCGTGCATATGAGCGAAGAAGCAACTCATGCTTCCCGTGCTGTACCACTGGGCATCATTAGTTCATCTGGTCTGTGTGGTATCCTTGGGTTTGTTTCTCTGGCCGTGATTGCTTCTTCGATGAGTAAGGATATCGAGGGCATCCTGGGCTCGAAGTTTGGTCAGCCCATGGCTCAGGTGTGTTTCATCTCCATTGCTTTCTGTCGACAATGCACTAATCATTCGGCCCAGATCTACTATGACGCCCTCGGCAAAAACGGCGCTCTTGGGTTCATGGCTGTGAACATGATCGTTCAATTCTTTATGGGTCTTAGTATCGTTAGTTCCCAGAGAATCCAACAAACAACCTAGAAGGTACACCATTCCCTAACAAGACACAGGTCCTAGCCGCGTCTCGCCAAAGCTGGGCCTTCTCCCGTGACGGCGCCCTCCCCTTCTCCAACTACTTCCGAAAAGTGAGCCAGCACCGCCTCATGCGCTATCAGCCCGTTCGCATGGTCTGCGGCGTTGTCGCCGCATCTATCATCATCGGCCTTCTCTCCCTGATCGACCAGGCCGCCGCAAACGCTCTGTTCTCTCTTGCCGTAGCTGGCAACGACCTCGCCTGGCTAACGCCTATTCTCTGCCGCTTACTTTGGGGCAACGAGAGCTTTGTTCCCGGTGAATTCTATACCGGCAAATATTTCAGCAAGCCTATCGGCTGGGTTGCGGTTATTTATATGGTGTTTGCTATTGTGCTTTGCATGATTCCTACTGAGGGGCCTAATCCTTCGGGTGAGTCTGACCCGTTTCTTTGGCTTGTTGGTCTGGGATGGCTTGCTGACTTACTTGTTTAGCTTCGTCTATGAATTATACGGTTGTTATTAATGGGTCGCTTTGGGGTTTGGCGTTGCTTTACTACTATATTTATGCTAGGAAGACCTACAAGGGCCCGCAGACTACTGTTAGTCCTGAGGATGAGGGTATGGCTACCCATGTAGACATGGATACAAAGTAGATATTTCAAGGTCAGTGATTAGATTTACTAGGAGAATTGCAAAGAATTTCTCATAATGATGCAAGCTGATAAAATGTAGCGGGAAAGCTCATTAAATTAGTGGCTATCTACAATTAATTGTTCCTCACTAGGATCAGAAAGAAACATGCTGCATCGTCCTTTCTTAAGTTGTCGATAGCAGGTGATTAGGAATATTTATTCCTGGTGCTCTTGTGCCAGGTCCAGGTCCTATCTATACTGACAGGCGCCATGGGTTTTATGCAGTGCCACAGGCTGACTTATCTGTTTCAAGGCAGGACCTTGATTGAGATTATACTTTCGGGTAAAATATGCATGGGTGATCATGCAAGTTGAGTTGAATGTAGGTAAAATGGATACGATTCATTAAGCATTGACGCTTCACTGGCATAAAAGATAGACAACAAAGAGAAAACTGGCGTCATAACACCTTCTTCAGTGCCTCACTTGGATGTCTGTATTAGAGGAAAAGTTTCAGAAATAGAACTCCGCACCGTGTTCGACCGGCTGAAATACTGTATTGCACCCAACGCAGCTTTCTCAGCGTCGATCTCACGGAACTTTAGTTTCTATTGCAAACAATCTATGCAAAGAAATAGATTTACTCTGGGATCTCGAGGACATAGCGACCGGCAATCTTGCCTTGTTCTGTAGAAGTGATTAGCATACGTTGAAATATAGTAAAGACCATGGAGCATACCCATTAGCTCAAAGACCTCTGGCAATTCCTTCAGAGGAACAGTCTTGTACGGGGCATTGATCAAACCACGCGCAAAGAAGTCAACAGCCTCGACACCATCCTGGCGGTTGCCGACGTAGCTGCCCTTGATGTTGATCATCCTGACGACTGTGTTGAAGACGGGAGCCTTGAGGAAGGCATTGGCAGGCATACCAATAGCAACGATCGTGCCACGAGAGCGAGCATACTCTACAGCCTGCTGGAAGGGCTTCTCCGATACAGCAAGGAGAAGCACGGCGTGAGCACCCAGGCCTTCGGGGGTAGCGGCCTTGACGTCTTCGACGAGGTCCTTTGACTTTGTGTAATCAACGTAGGCCTAAGAGAAATATTAGCCCAAGCTCGAATGCAAGTTAGAAAAGCGCGATATTATAATGTTACCTCAGCACCCAGCTGCTCACACATAGCACGCTTCTCCTCGCCACCGTCAATAGCAACCACGCGCAATCCCATAGCCTTGGCATATTGCTGAGCCAACGAGCCAAGACCACCACCGGCGCCAACAATAGCAACAGTCTGACCAGGCCTCGCGCCAGACTCCTTCAGACCCTTGTAAACAGTCACACCGGCACAAAGAATCGGCGCCACAGCATCAAGCGCAACCTCCTTGGGCAGCTTGGACACATGCGCCGCCTTACCAATCGCGTATTGCTGGAAGGTGCCGTCAACCGTGTATCCAGACAGCTCAGCATGAGGACAGAGGGGCTCATCAGAGGTCTTGCAGAACTCGCAAGCCAGACACGATCCATTCAACCACTTGATACCGGCGTGGTCGCCAATATCAATACCATGGGCCAATTCTCCTTTGGCAACGACGATGCCAGCCCCTTCATGGCCACCTACCAGGGGCTGTTTGAGGGCCAGGGGCCAGTCACCTTTCATGGCGTGTAGGTCAGTGTGGCAGACACCACTGTAGCGGACTTTGACGAGGACTTCATCAGGACCGGGCTTTGGGACGGGAATTTGTTTGTAGACCGGTGGTCCGCCCTTTTTCTCAATTACTTGAGCCCACTGCATCTCTGGGATGGAGGGGGACATTGTGGTTGCTGATGTTGATGTTGATGTACGGGAAGGGTGACGTGAAGATTAAATGGGGAGGAAGTTGAAAGTGGAAAAAATGTAGAAGTGGGAAGTGTAAGTGTAGAAGGGTTGAAATTAGGAGAATTGAAATCGATGCTGTTGTACAGAGGGCCAAGTTCTTATACCAATGGCAAGCCACATTGCCTGACCATGACCATGATATCCGGCTTTGACACCGTCCGATCGAATGGGCCGGTGTTCCGACAAACTACCCTGGCTCGGTGGATTTGGAGTCAATTACTTACCTGGTCCATCCGCATTTGTAAATGCGCCGTGCCCTGTCCTGCCTAGCCGTCTAGAACTCGTATACAGCTTGAACGGGGAGTGATAGGGTCAATCACTGGGAGGCACTCCACAGTATCGGCCGGAAGGGAAACACCATGCACTTCCCAACCCTGACCTCTCTTGTCGCCCACAGGAACCCAGTGCAGCGCCTACAGCGCCTCGTATGATATCAACAACAAAACCCTCCGATCTAGCACAAAGTCCGACTAGTTGTTGAGATGTGATTCGACTGTGCCGGATCCGATCATCCTGTTTCTCTTACCCCCCACGTTATGCTGGGGAGTGGAGGACGTCACCACCGGGCAGAAGTACAACGATCGCCACAGTGTTGTATGCAGGAGTATATGGGAGCTCGATTGAGCAGGATTATTAGGCGGGATTACCATGGGAGACGTTCATCGGGGGCAGACGATAATTATATGCCCACTGCGCGAACACCTTGGGGGAATCGCGATCTCATGACTGTGGATCCGATCTAGGGAGATGACATGCAGACTGGGAATGGTTTGGTTTGGTTGGAACTGTAGATGTGGCTATTAAGGGGGGAATTGTTTCTGGCATTTCATGTTGAGAATCCTGCCTGTCTATGTTCCAAGACACTAGTTGTGCCAACTAGAATGACATAGACAGATAATCCTGCCCATCTGTCAGCTAGAAATAGACCCTATGTTATTATTATATTTAGCCAGATCTATGAGTCGGCCTATATTCTGTGGACATGTTCCTTTTTGACAGTGCTGGAGCTATGGACGCACAGTGGGAGTTGCTGTGCCCCGGAATAATGGCGCAGGTGATAAGACACCGGAATCTCATCTTAGTTCTTGGGGGCACATTTCGAGATGGCAACACCTGAATAGCAAACCCACGACCGCCGTTGACTTCGGAATCGAATGCAAGTATTCAAGTTCGCATATGTCCTGGAATTACCACCACCTCCGCCTCTCCACCTCCGAGAGCTTCAGTGTGTTTGTATGGACTCGGGACCGAGATCGGAGCAGTGGGAGTCGACGGGAAGCAAGAAAAGAAGATGCGAAGAAACCAGACCGTAAAGATAGAGTAGAGAAAAGCTAAACAAGAGCAGAATCCCACCTAACAGAGTGGTGGTAAACACCGGATCTAAGCCCCGGCTGATACCCCAGACGAAGCGATTCAGAAACAGAACGCAACTTCCCCCTTCTCCCCCTTCCTCCCCTTCTCCCCTCTCATCTCCCCCGACTTCATCGTCGTCTCAACGTTTGGTCAACTTGCCACTTTTTGGTTTTCCTCCCACGTTCTCTGACCTTCGTCCCCCTCTCCTCCCTGCATCTCGCCTAGGCCCGGCCGCGCATTCTCTTTCTTGGGCTCCACGGAAACTTCTCCTGCATCTTTCCACCACAAACGAATCCATCCGCCCACCAGGTATTTCTGCCCTGCTTTCTTTCTCCCTCCCTTTCTTTCATCAGCCAATACTCCGAAAACCACACCTACACCTATGAAACCAAAACCCACTGACGTCGCGTCCACGCTAGACCTCCGAACCCCCCTTGACAAGTGTCTCGGACACCCAGGATTTCTCCCAAGTGCTCAATTCCTTTGACCTCAGCTCCCCCCGAGTGATCAAGTCTTCGACGCGCTCGACCCGCACCGGGGACCGCGGCCATCATGACGGGCGCTCCGCCGTACAACGCCCAGTCCCCGACTCAGCAGCATCGGTACGCTGCGTACAGCTCGCCCAACAAGAATCATCAGTATTATCCAAACAATGAACAACCGCCGCAACAGTTCCATCAGCACCCGCCGCAGACACCTCCCGCATTCCCGCCGGCTGTCGCGCGAAGCCCTCACTTTTCACACGCGTCCCCAATGCCCTCATCGCTGGCGCCCTTGAACGGAACTGCGCCATCGCATCCCCCTCATCCGGAATCCTCGTCGCAATTCCAGGGACACCCAGCCGGGGCCCAACTTCCGCCGCCACGCCCTTACTCGGCCTCCGTTCATCCCGGCAACGGCATCTCACCTTACGCCACATCGCACGGCCATCCGCCCAGCCGCCCAGAAGGCCATTCGCAATCTCCTACTAGAGAGTCCGAGTCTCCTTACCATGTGAGAGGCAATGGAGTTTCATACGGGCATTCGATGATGCGAGAGCCGAGACCTGTTTCGCCCCAAGAAACCGTGCGAATCATCCCAACCCCCCAAACGATTTGTGGTTTGCTGACCTTGTTTTGTGTTTCACTTAGAAGCCTGCTAGAGCTGCGGATCCGATGTCTTTCGCCAGTATCTTGTCCGGACCGTCAGACGACCAGCCTGCCAGAAAACCATCACCCCCGCCTGCTTCCATGCCTGTTCCCGCGCCTCATACCCCTTCCATGTATGAACACAGACACATGGATCACCTTCATGCGCCAGGAAACGTGTATCCTAGGATAGAGAAAAGGGCAATGGAGCCCTACATGGATGGCCCCAGAGCACCACACGCTCCGAATGGGGTCGCCAAACCCGAATCGGAAATGCTCAATATCGTACCTCGTCCAGCACCTCGGAAGCCGTTCCCACCTGGTGTAGACCTGGAGCAAGTGAACCGCGCTGCGGCTGAGATCGATCAAGCGGAAAAGAGCGATGTTGAAGATCCTGGCTTCGATGCGGAACTTGGCCGGTATCGGGACAAGGGCTACAAACGCTCACTGGACGCCAACCGCACAGAGCAAATCCGGAGAAAGGTAGGGATACAGAAATTCATCGATCTCTTTTTTTCGTGTATACTAATTGCGTTTTTAGCGCCGTCGCAACGAGTTCTTGATTGATCTCGGCAGATCCTTCGAAAAGCAGGCTGTCCTTGGCACCGAACGATTCCGAACGCTCAATGAAGGTGCTGTGATGGCCGAAGTTCAACAGAAGGAAGTTCAGGACGAGAAGGAGCGCAAGAAGGATATGCAACGGAAGCGCCGTCGTGAGAACACAGTGCGCCAGGAAATGCAAAAGAAGCTGGAGGCTGAGCGTAAGGCAAGCAAGGCTTTAGAGCCTGGAGAGAAAGCCAAGTTCTTGCGCGAAGCTGAGCGAGCGCAAAAGAAGATCCGAACTACGAAGCGCGCCCTGGAAGGTGGTAACGCGGCGGATGAGCTCGGCGAGGTCACTCCGTTGGCTCCTAACCTTGAGGGCGGGACCGTCAGCCAGTTCCACATTGGCCGCTCCTCCCCCAGTCGACGCCGGTCAGGCCGTGCTGGCCCTAGTACTCGCCCCAAAAAGTCTAAGGAGCAGAAGGAGCGCGAAAAGCAACTTGCCGAAGATGCCTGGATGGACGGTTACGGTGACGATCTGTACCTCACCCCAAGGAGAGATGCCGGGGCATCGAAAGAGGGTACTCCGATGTCTCAACTGCACTACGACAGTAAGGGCTACAACCAGATCTATGAGCAAATTTGGCGCGATATCGCACGCAAGGATATTCCCAAGGTGTATCGTATCAAAACAACCTCTCTCTCTACTCGCCAAGAGAACTTGCGCAAGACGGCGCAACTGGCCAGCAAGCAGTCTCGCAAATGGCAAGAGCGTACGAACAAGAGTACCAAGGACACACAGGCTCGCGCCAAGCGTACCATGCGTGAAATGATGTCCTTCTGGAAGCGCAACGAGCGCGAGGAGCGTGATCTACGTCGCGTGGCCGAGAAGCAGGAACTTGAGTCAGCCAAAAAGGCAGAGGCTGACCGTGAAGCCAACCGACAGAAGCGGAAGCTCAACTTCCTTATCTCACAAACCGAATTGTACTCCCATTTCATTGGGCGTAAAATCAAAACCGATGAGGCACAGGGAGACGCCGCTGTCGCAGCTACCGGGGAGACTGTTCAACCAGGCAAGGAATCTGCACACACGGTCAACCTCCCTGACAGCGTGGCTAACCCTAACGCCAAAACTACCGCCTTCGAGGATCTCGACTTCGATGCCGAGGACGAAACAGTCCTTCAACAAGCCGCCATGGCAAATGCTCAAAACGCCGTGCAGCAAGCTCAGGACCGTGCTCGGGCTTTCAACCAAGAGGGAGATAACATGGCTGCCTTCGATGACGGCGAGATGAATTTCCAGAACCCGACTAGTCTGGGTGACATTGAGATCTCTCAGCCCACCATGTTGAATGCCCAATTGAAAGAGTATCAGCTGAAGGGTCTCAACTGGCTTGTCAACTTGTATGAGCAGGGCATCAACGGTATCTTGGCAGATGAAATGGGTCTGGGTAAAACCATCCAGTCTATCTCCGTCATGGCTTACTTGGCAGAATTCCACAACATTTGGGGTCCATTCCTGGTCATTGCGCCTGCATCGACCCTGCACAACTGGCAGCAAGAAATCACTCGCTTCGTACCAAACCTCAAGGTCCTGCCGTACTGGGGTAATGCCAAGGACCGTAAGATTTTGCGAAAGTTCTGGGATCGAAAACACATCACCTACAACCGAGATTCAGAATTCCACGTTCTAGTCACCTCTTACCAGCTCGTCGTTCTTGACGCTCAGTACTTCCAGAAGGTCAAGTGGCAATACATGATTTTGGACGAAGCTCAAGCCATCAAGTCTTCTTCAAGCTCGCGATGGAAGAATTTGCTAGGCTTTAGCTGCCGTAACCGTCTGCTCTTGACAGGTACCCCAATTCAGAACAACATGCAAGAATTGTGGGCTTTGCTTCACTTCATTATGCCTACTCTGTTTGACTCCCACGATGAGTTCAGTGAATGGTTCTCCAAGGACATTGAGTCCCATGCTCAGAGTAACACCAAGCTCAATGAAGATCAGCTCAAGCGTCTTCACATGATCTTGAAGCCCTTTATGTTGCGCCGCGTGAAGAAGAATGTGCAGCAAGAACTTGGCGACAAGGTCGAGAAAGACATTTTCTGTGACTTGACCTACCGCCAGCGTGCCCTGTATGCCAACCTTCGCAACCGTGTCAGCATCATCGACCTCATCGAGAAGGCTGCCACCGGCGACGACACCGACAGCAGCACCTTGATGAACTTGGTCATGCAATTCCGAAAAGTTTGTAACCACCCCGATCTTTTCGAGCGCGCAGAGACCAAGTCTCCATTCTCTGCTGCATACTTCGCGGAAACTGCTTCGTTCGTGCGCGAGGGAAACTTTGTTGATGTACGATACTCGACTAAGAACCTGATTGATTACGAGCTGCCGCGTTTGTTATCCAGTTCTACTGGTCGACTTGATATTCCTGGCTCTGATAACCCTCGTGCCGGTTTCCAGAACAAGTATCTCTCGCACCTGATGAACGTCTGGACACCTGAAAATATCCAGAAGAGCGCCAAGGAGAATGGCGCATTCTCCTTCCTGCGTTTTGTGGACACTTCTGCAGGAGAGGCCAGCGAACTGTCACGCCTTGGTCCCTACGAGCGTGCTGCTAGTCGTCGTGGCAAGTCAAATAGGCTCTCTGGCTTGAATGTCATCTATGACGAAGGCGAAGACAAGGAGAACTCGGTCCTCTCCCATTCTATGCTGAATATTGTTGAACGAAATGATCGCAGTGCTGTACGAGATATTGCTGTTGAGGGTCGGATGCGAGACTTGATGACCGTCTCTCGTTCGGCTTTCGAAGGCCAAGGCCTACATCTAATTGAGCCATGCGCTGCTCCTAATGCTTCCGCGCCCCCTATTTCAGTGTCTTCGTCTGGTCAACAAGCATCGAGAGAGTTCAATAACGCTTTGTTCAATACATCTGTCCGACAAGCGCTGTCTGTTCACGTCAGCAGACAAGTCGAGGAGCAGATCCTCGCCCAAAAACTGGATCCTACGCCTTATTCTCGCCCTTCGATGTTGCCGGCTCCACTCTCGCTCAAGGGACGTTATAATCACATCGAGGTCCCCTCGATGCGTCGCTTCGTGACGGACTCGGGTAAGCTGGCAAAATTGGACGAGCTTCTACGAGAACTCAAGCCCGGTGGCCACCGTGTTCTTCTATACTTCCAAATGACTCGCATGATCGATTTGATGGAAGAGTATCTGACCTACCGCAACTACAAGTACTGTCGACTGGATGGAAGCACCAAGCTGGAAGACCGTCGCGACACTGTCGCCGACTTCCAGGCAAACCCCGAGATCTTTGTCTTCTTGTTGTCAACTCGTGCTGGTGGTCTTGGTATTAACTTGACTGCCGCCGATACTGTTATCTTTTACGATTCCGATTGGAACCCTACTATCGATTCACAGGCTATGGATCGTGCCCATCGTCTGGGTCAAACTCGCCAGGTTACCGTCTACCGTCTTATCACCCGCGGCACCATCGAAGAACGTATTCGCAAGCGTGCCCTGCAAAAGGAAGAGGTGCAGCGTGTCGTCATTACTGGAGGTGCCTCCGGTGGTGTTGACTTCAACACCCGTGCTCGCGAGAACCGCACCAAGGATATTGCTCTGTGGCTTGCCGACGATGACGAAGCCGAACTCATCGAACAAAAGGAGAAGGAAGCCATTGAACGTGGCGAGACACTTGGCGCCAAGGGCGGAAAGAAGGCCGCTGCGAAGCGCAAGCGTGATCTTACCCTGGATGACATGTACCACGAAGGTAAGACTACCATGTTCAATTATAATGTGAAATGAACATCAACTAACCAACTTAATAGGCGAGGGCAACTTCGACGATGCTAGCGCAAAGCCATCAGGTACTGCCACGCCCGCAGAAGAGCCTCTTGACTCGCCATCAGCAACACCGGCGAAGCGTGGTCGCGGCCGCGGTCCAGGCAAGGGTACATCAAAACGCGCCAAGACCACAAAGGAGCGTCTGCGTCTGATTGACGGCGACGGCGGTCTTGATTAATCCAAAAAAAAAACAATGACTGTCAATTAATGCAAACTGGGTCTGGTGTTTATGTCAAAGCTTCGATATCTGTTTCTGTCTTACATGTCTGTGTTTTTATCTTACCTTTTTTTTAACCGTTCTCTTTATTGGCTGCTCCCATTCTTTTTCCACTTGTTTCCTATATCATCGTCTTATTTTTATCACCTGCCTCCTTTTCCTCTTTTCGTTTTTCTTTCAATTGGCAGACATACATGTGAACGTGTGAAAACCTGCTCTGTATTATCATACAACCCCTTGACTTTTGACGTTGGCTATGCTAAGTTCCGGACTGTCAAATTTGACTCTGGACATTTGGGCTTTTCAAAACTTGAAAGCCTGCCTACTTTGGTGTGATGGTCCAAGGGAACCAGTTTCTGGGCTGGTGGCAAGGATGGAGAAACGGCCATTCACAGTGTTAGACCTAACTTGATCCCGCTGGATGTGTTGTGTATGCCTATGTGGACATGTGTGGTATTATGTGTCTAGTTATCGTGTCTAGGTGTGATAGGTCTTGGTGTGATTCGATCATGTTAAGGGGTCTTTTACTTCTTTTTCTTTCCACTGTTTTTTTTTCACTTTCCTTTTCTTGTTTGAGACTCAAAAGGGCGTCGAAGATGTTTAAGTTTAGTCATGAATGTCAATGTATTGGTTCGATGTACTCAATGCTTTTGGTATCTTCTAACACAACTATGACTCTTCGAAGTTCTTGTGTAAAAATTAAAGTCTCTTGTAGGATTTTCTATATTATTATGCTTAGATTGGGGTTATTATCTCCTGTCATTGCACATCCATTCACCTCTGAGCCTTCACACCTAGCAAAGCCTCAGCATTCCTAAAAGCAAACTTCTCCAAATCATCCCCAGCAATCAATCCACTTTCCTTGACCCTCTCAAAAAACTCCAACCCCTTCTCATTCATCGAGAAAGGATAATCAACACTATACAAAACCCGCTCAATACTAGTAGTCTGCAACAAACAAGCCAAAGGCGGCAGCGCAAACATCCCACTAGTCGTAACCCAAATATTACCATCCCAAACCTCCTTAAACGACCTCTGCCTTCCAAACCGCGCAGAAACATTAATCACCCTCTCCAACTGAAACGGCAGCATCTCACCCATATGCCCAATAACAATCTTCAGCCGCGGAAACCGATCAAAAAGCCCACTTGCATACAGTCGCAGGACATGTCCCGCCGTCTCGGAATGCCATCCCCATCCATACGCACTCAGCGCCACAGCAACAGCATCGTCATAATTGCCCTTGTAATACTCAACCATCTCCTCCGTCGCCCACGACGGATGGATATAGATGGGCACATCTAGCTCCTCTGCCTTCTGGAATACCACCCAGAACTTCTCGTCGTCGTAGAACTGGCCGTTGATATGGTTGTCCACCAAGGCGCCGACGAACCCGAGCTGCCGCGTGCATCTTTCTAGCTCGGCTGCGGCGGCGGGCGGGTCGTTCATTGGTAGGAGGGCGAATCCTGCGAGCCGCGTTGGGTTTTGGGAGATCGAGGCGGCTAGGTCGTTGTTTACTTCTGCGCAGAGCGGTGCTGGGTAGGTGCCTGGGGCGTGGGAGAGGACTTGGAGGGTGATTTGGCCGTTATCTAGGTCTTTGATTCTTTCTTCGCCGGTGCTGTCTAGCTTGCGGACGATTTGAGGTGGGAAGTTGGCGAATTCATCGTGTGTGCTTGCTGCTCGCACTTTGGGGGAGAGGTAGTGTTCTTCGAGGGTGATGAAGGGTGGCATGGTGGTCTGGAGGTGGTAACTGGTAGGGATAATAGGTATAGATATTTTCTGTGAGTCTGGTATTATTTGATACTTGGGTTTATTTGTTCGCCTGCGATCAATTCATGTCCTTAAATACGTTGGATCTCATGTCGGTGACGTCGGTCTTAGCTATACCCGCCCGAGCTCCGAGCCCTAAGTCCGAAGCTATAGAGTCGATCATCATAGTATAGAAAATCTCACGTCAGATATGAAGCTTGTCGAACTTGTCAGATAATTAAATTCTGTGGTATCGCTAAGTCGGAAATTCTATCCTCGCTGTCTTGGCTCGATTGTCGGTTGGGCGGGAGCCTAGGTACAACAGGGGTATAAAGTTCTTATATAGCTCTAAATCATTCTCCTGCTTTCTTGAAAGATCTACAAACTGAATCACTGAAATATCAAAAAAAAAAAAAAAAGACAGAAGAAAATGCCAAAGGCAGAAATGATGCATAAAACAGTACATAATTGAGGGGCCTAGAATGGAAAATGTCTAATGCTGCATCGCGGGCACCGAATGCATTTTTGTGCCCAAACATGCAGCCAATCGATGGCCCAAACGCTGCTAGTCTCCACGGTATAGGGAGAAGGGTATGTAGGCGTTGCCAGTAATAATTGCCTCTCAGAGGGTTGGCGACGAACGTAGATGTGGGTTAAATTGAATCTGATTATGATGATGGTAATGAAAAGACTGGTCTATCAGGGCCTGACTGATATCCCCTGTTTCTCTACTAAGCCGGTCCCCCTCGTATTGATACCTGCAGGATTAGGTTTCATGGGACAGGGAAGGAAGTCAACATATTCTATTAATACTGGTCTCTATGGAAGCAGAAGTGATTTTCATCTGCCTGATACCGCTCCGTTTCGTTATCTTCCGGGTTGTACTTCTATCGCTTATGACTGTCTCCAGGAGCTTCTCCAGTTCTAAACGCTATACGGTCGTAAGCTTATTCAGAAGCGTATGTTCTTGTCTTTAGTCATGGTGATACTTTTCCCGCCAAAATAAAAGATATTTGTAGCATGAGATCCATTGTGTTAGGGCATAGGACGTGACAAAAAAGGTAAAAGAAAGGTGGGGAAGCTCTGTTTGCATTTTCTTGATGCCTAATCAACCAGGCACCCAATGAATGAGTAAGCATGTCCTGTTCTTCACGTGACACTCACGTGCTCTTCACGTGCCACCACCTTGCCACGTCGGCAAGGGGCATCCGTGCCTCAGTGCCTCAACCAGTCAAGTGCTTGCATTTCTAAGCCGAGTACCGGATGACTCAGCCCTCCCCCGCCCAGACCGATTTTCTTCTTCAAATGTGGTCCCGCCGGGCTCTCGGGCTTTGATCTTGTGTCCTCCTTAATTCTCCAGGAACCCTTCAGACGGTTCTACTCTCGCTTCATTTTGCTTCAATTCAATCATGGAGGCCCTTCTGCAGCAGTCTCGTACTATGTGCCCTTTCCTTAAGCGGACTTCGCCCACCACTTTGCGCACGCTCTCGACCGCTACTCGTCCCAGCAGCAGCCCCGGAGGTGGCACTATGTCCAATCTCCAAGTCCTGGGTCGCCGTTGCCCCGTTATGAGCAAGGCTCTCGCTGTTCAGAGTGCCCGTCTTCACGGCACTAAGCGCTTCACCTCTTGCGCCGCTGGAGTTGCTGGCATGCAGCCTCTGCGCGTACCGACTGGCAAGCGGGCATTGCACACTACCGGAGGTCATCCCGCCAGCTTGGCTTCTGGGGGATACGAGAAGAATGAGCGAGGTAAACTTAATTTCTACAAACCTTGTGTTTCGATTGGTTTCTAATCTGACTGCAGGACGCCCTGGTCTGAACAAGCCGATTCGCTCGTCCCCTGCCGCCACAGAGGCCGCTCTCCGCGGTCCTCGCCCTGATGCACCTACCACCGGTACTTACAACTACAACGACTTCTACAAGACCGAGCTTGACAAGAAGCACAAGGACAAGTCCTACCGGTACTTCAATAACATCAACCGTCTCGCTCAGGAGTTCCCTCGCGCCCACACTGCCTCCGCCGAGGAACGTGTGACTGTCTGGTGTTCAAATGACTACCTCGGCATGGGCCGCAACCCTCAGGTCTTGAACTCTATGCACAAAACTCTTGACACCTACGGAGCCGGCGCCGGTGGTACCCGTAACATCTCAGGTCACAACCAGCATGCCGTCGCACTGGAGGACACACTAGCAAAGCTGCACGGAAAGGAGGCTGCTTTGGTGTTCAGCTCTTGTTTCGTGGCTAACGATGCTACTCTCGCTACTCTCGGCAGTAAGATGCCTGACTGCGTGATTCTGTCCGATAGTCTGAACCATGCATCCATGATCCAGGGAATCCGTCACTCTGGTGCTAAGAAGATGGTCTTCAAGCATAATGATCTGGAGGATCTCGAAGCCAAGTTGGCCTCCTTGCCACTTAGCACCCCCAAGATTATCGCTTTTGAGTCTGTTTACAGTATGTGTGGATCAATTGCACCCATTGCTGAGATCTGTGATCTCGCCGAAAAGTACGGCGCCATTACCTTCCTGGATGAAGTCCATGCCGTTGGAATGTATGGTCCTCACGGAGCTGGAGTTGCGGAACATCTTGATTACGACGCCTACGCATCCCAGGATACCGCTTCCCCTCAAAGCACCAAGGGCACAGTTCAGGACCGTATTGATATTATCACCGGTACCCTGGGCAAGGCCTACGGCTGTGTTGGTGGATACATTGCAGGCTCAGCCGCGATGGTTGACACCATCCGCTCCCTCGCTCCCGGTTTCATCTTCACCACCTCCCTCCCACCCGCAACTATGGCTGGTGCCGATACTGCCATCCAGTACCAGTCCCAGCAACCCCGTGATCGGGTTCTGCAGCAACTGCATACCCGCGCAGTGAAGACGGCTCTTAAGGATTTGGATATTCCTGTTATTCCCAACCCGTCCCACATTGTCCCTCTCCTTGTCGGTGACGCCGAGCTTGCCAAGCAGGCTTCCGACAAGCTTCTCGAGGAGCACGGCATCTACGTGCAGGCAATTAACTACCCTACCGTTCCTCGCGGTGAGGAGCGTCTGCGCATTACCCCGACTCCAGGCCACGTCAAGCCCCTTCGTGAGCACCTGGTCCAGGCTGTTCAGGCCGTCTGGAACGACCTTGGTCTCAAGCGTGCTAGTGACTGGCAGGCGCAGGGTGGCTTTGTCGGCGTCGGCGTCGAAGGTGCCGAAGAAGCCAACCAGCCCATTTGGGAGGACGCCCAGCTGGGTCTACAGGCTGGCGAGACTGTCGAGGCTGCTGTTACTCGTGAGTTCACCGAGGCAGCTGCTGAGGTCACCCAGCCTCTTTTGAAGACTGCTACCCCTCTGACCGAGAAGGCGCACTCGGCGATGTCCTCCACCCCTGTTGGAGTGGTCGCCTAAGAGTTGACACTCGACTATTTTCGGTTTTTGGGGTAATCAAGTCTTCATTATTCCCGTCCATTCTTTTATCATAATATCCAGGCGAGCGGGGTTATGAATCCGCTTTGCAATTATCCCAACCCTGTTGGATTCATTCTTGTTTTGTGTCTGCATTTCTTTTTGCATGAGATGTAGTTACCTCTTGTTTTAGACTTGGGCTTGTATATATGTGTCATTTGGTTACTTTGCCGAGCACATGCTGGATTCCTTGTTGTATCTACATATACTGTTGAGTGGCAAGTTAAGAGGTGGACCGAGCTTGAATGAATGAACAAGGTTACAGAGGGACATACTTTTATTTACAGTAGTACAACCTTCGATCCATGTAGGCTGTGTGACTTTCGGGTCATTAATCCACTGGTGCATTGAAATGATTATTTATGTTCGTTTCCCTTGCCAAGTGGGAAGTTAGGGCTGTATGACATGATCAAATATATATCCCAACGCAACTAACAGACAAAGTTTTCGACTTTCCACTTGAATTAAAGACCAAGTAACTAATTGCTCAATAAGATTCATCACTCGTGCTATCTCATTCGTTACCTTAGGATTCTACAATATCATTTCATGATGGGAAGTACCAATGTGTTGACTTGAACTTAGCAGTAACGAAAACCAAAGTAAAGATGAATGACCCAGTCAATTCTTTTGGCTATGTAACATTGTCTCATTGATATAGAAACAGATAATAAAAAGTGACAGAAATTTTGTAACACATGCGCCAATATTCCATGAATAGCAAAGACAAGAAACCAAGAGGTACATCCATATATGTCCTCAAAGTCAGTCTCAACCATAACCTCTAATCAAACAACCATCGATTGCCCTACTTGCGCGCACCACGACTGACCTTAGGGAACTCAACAGGGACACGTAATCTCGCAACACGACGAGCATGAGCCTCAGCCTTGCCACCCTTGATGTTCCACTTAGCAAACTCAGTCTCACGAGGACGATCAATACGACAACCCAATTCGCGGAAATACTGCTGAACAGTGCTCGAATCCAGACGCAGATCGTCACGCAGATCAGAGGGGTCCGTAGCAAGCTCATTAGGCGCATTTCCACCCAGAGAGCTGGATCCACCGTCGCGGGCAGGCTGGGGCGGAATATGCAGCGACAAAGCACAGATAGTCGTGTGCAGGAGGGTGAGGTCGTTCTTGGAGACGAAGCCACCGCTCGGCGCGAACCGGCGGCGCACGGCGTCGATGACCGACTCCGGGAGGAGGTCTGTGGATGCGGAGTCCGTCGCAGCTGTAGCTGTGGCGCCGGCTGCGCCGGCCTTGGTGCTGGAGCCTGTTGTGCTGGAGAGCAGGCGGCGCAGATCCTCGCGGGGAGGGAGACGCTTGCTGCCTGGGCCGCCGCCCTTGGCGCTGGCGCCCATGCCCTTGAGGGAACGGCCGAATTCGATGAGGAGCTGGATGAAGCGCAGGACTTGGAGGTGGGTTGTGTTGTCTGAGTTGACGACGGGGCCGACGCGGCTGGAGACGAAGCGCGAGACGGTTGTCACGCCTAGGCCGGCTTCGACTTGGGCTTTCCATTCGTCGACGCCGTTGAGGGCGCGGAGGGTTGTCGCCCCGCCTGGGACGAGAGTATCGATTGTGTAGACGTCTGATGGGTGCGAGACGTTCAGGTTGGGAGTTGGGAGGGGCTTGGCTGCTTGCACTTCGGCTTGCACGGCGTTCATCTTGGCCAGGCCGGAGGCTGTGTCTGCGGGCAGAGTTGAGATGAGTGCTGCGCCGGATTCGGGGACGGAGCCTGTGGGGGCATTGGAGAGCTGGGCGTTCTCGGCCATGGATTGCACGGCCTTGCGGGATTGTTTTGTGCCGAAGGTGTTGGTTAGGGCTGTGCGTTGGGCGCGCATGGTGTTCTAGATTAGGTGTTAGTTTTGCTTCGTCTGTAAGGAACGGGAGTACAATGCGCACCATCTCTTCATCAGAGTCTTCATCAACGGCCTTTCTGCTGCGAACTGCTCCGCGGAGAGTTGTCCGGCGCACCTCGACAACTTTCCATGTCTTGTTCTCTGGGTCCACGACTGCAACGTAGTGCTTCACCTGGGAGTCTGTGTCGTCCCCTGTGCCTTCACGGCCAACGAAGTCCAACTTGGCGTGGTCTCCGGACTGCAGGAGCAACTCCGAGTAGACAATTCCTGGGTTTCGGGATGCCGCCGCAGCTTTGGAGGCAGTGGAGCGGTTTTTGATATATGGGTTCCAGCGAAGGGATTTGGCGCTTTGAAGACCAGGTGTATCGGCTGCAATGCACAAGAGCTGTTAGATTGAGTGTGCAACATGGTGGAAAAGCTTTTGCACTCACCAATTACCGGAGCCAGCTCGCTCTTATCTTCGACAACGCTGGCAGCCAGCGGGGGAAGCATTTGAAGGCTTGACTTTTTGTTTGGGCGCTCATTCTCAGAGGAGCGCTTGCGCTTGGTATCTGTCTTGGTTGACGGCATTATGGCGTTACGATTGGAGAGACCCGACAAGATCTTAGCTCTTGAAGTTCGAGAATCGACTCTAGCGCGGTGAAAAATGTCCTGGACTTGTCTGGCAGAAAAATTTACAGAGACCCGCTCGGCGGTGAGATGCCCCACGCACAAACGAATATTTGACGTACTGAGCAGCTCAAGTCATGAACGAGGTGCATACAAATAGCTGTTTACATTTTTACAAATTGAAGTTGAGTACTCATGAAGTCATTGATTCATCTGCAGGAGCTAAACCTAGACCTCCGAGCTATTCCAGTTATTTTGTTTGGTATAAACTCCCGGAAAAACCTCTCCATAACTCCGACCACCCCGTAAGAATAGTCGTAGCATGTAGAATTGACCAGTCACCCCAGTATCGTGCTCATAGACCGATGTGTTGCACCGATCCTCCAACATCCACCTGAACACATGAGCCTCTCCGAGTGATAACCATGCCCGACATCAAATACCGACGTTGAATGAATCCGAGGTGCTGGAAGATGGTGGAAACTGTCGTGTAAACAGCGGATTCCGTCGATGATTTGCGATTTCTTCTGAAAATGATAGGTCCGAAATCTTGTACAGGCAGGTAACTCGATAAGCGAAAGGCGTGTCACGAGAAACGAAAGTCACATCGTGTCGTCAATGGTCGTGTTCAGCGTTCAAACATGAGCTCCGACATGGAGAGCTGAGATGGAGGGGGCGAGTAGTTTATTTGCTGATGGATTGGTTAGTTAAGGTTATTCGAGACGAGACGAGCTTGCGCGAAGCTATCGCATGGGTGGCGACTCACGATCTGGCACGCATCTTTCTTCTCTTGCGCTTGAGACGGCGAACGCGCTTCTTTCTCCACTTATCTCTCATCTTCGTTCTGCTGGCTGGTTAGCAAAGCTCAATGGCATCAACTCGGGAGGGGCAACCCACGATTTGCGAAAATGAAATGGGGATAGTAGAAAGAAAGATGCAGAGTGGCGGCCCAAGACGCATTTACGTATGGTGCGGCTGACTCAGCCGCTCTCGCTTAGACCCCACACGTGACCCCAAGCTTCCATCAGTGACGACACTTGACCATGCCCAATTAGGCAATTCGGTAGGGTTTAGCTTCATCTTTTACTCCAGTTATTATTTCGTTGACGGCAATTTCTTTGCAGGTGATCATGGGAATTAGTAGCTTGTTATGCTGCAAGATAATCATGTTGAAGAGGTGCCTCTAGGGCGTTATTATTATTTATATCATGTATTATGTACCTCCCAGCGAATCATAGCAATCCAAGCTTGGGTATAGCGGATTGTCTGTTGAAAATATCAATCCAGCAAATGGTTCATCACTCATGGTGCAGCTTTTCAAAGATTCAACGATTTTCGAATGTTGGATATCAAACAAGTAGCAAGTTCAAACTCGAAAGCATCGCTCAGTATGCATATCGGTAAGTAGGAGCCAGATCACCGAGGTATTCTTCCTCATCCTCCCCAATGGAAGTAGGATCAACTGCAGCTCGATCACGCTTCTTGTTTTCCCACACAATTGCAATGAGATAGGCAACGCAAGCTGCGATAGAGACGCAGACGAAGGATAGAGAAATGATGTAACCGGTTCGGTAGTCGATCTTTCCATTCTTCTCCACGAAAGACCATGTCGCGATGATACCACCGATGTTACCAAAGCCTACCTGCCAAGCAGTTCCCACGCTGCGCCTGTGGTGTCCTCCTAAATTCATGGCGAACCAACATACAATCACAGGCATGGCGGCGTAGCAACCGCTAGTGACTAGAAACAGAGCACCATACTGCGCATTTGTCTGAGCTTTGCTGGTGATCGAAAGCAGCATTGCAAAACCGGCAATTGCAATGAACATTGGAATCAGTGTGAATGCGAACCGCTGATGCATTCTATCGGAGAAGAACGCGATGATCATTGAGACACCAAAGGATGCAGCCCAGGGAGGAATGGAGTAGAGCTGAGTTTTGATAGCTGGAAGAGAAAGTTAGCGGAGATACGTTTCGCGTAGGTGAGTAATCTTACAATCGTATCCGTAGGACTTGATGATAGTAGGAGCGAAGTAGGCGTAACCTGTGACCATGCGTCAGTGGTTGCTCAAAACTAAATAAGTTATGGGGGCTTTGAACTTACTGTAGGCGGGAACAATCAGACCGAAGTACATCATGCCTCCAATGAAGACCTTGTCTGCGAAGAGTTAGCACGGGAAAAATTCAAAAGAATTGAGCATGAATTACAGTCCTTGAAAACACTGAACACTTCCTTCTTGCCCATGCGAACATGGTGAGCAGCCTTGCCAACATCCTTGGCCAATTTGGCGCGCATGTAGGTGCGCTCTTCTTCGCTCAGCCATTTCACATCCTCGGGGAAATCAGCAATGAAGAAGAACAAAATCAGAGCAACAACACTGGTCAGAACGCCCTCAATGATGAAGACCCAGCGCCAGCCACCGTAGCCACGAATACCATCCATCTTTCCGATTCCACTGGCAAGCAGACCACCAAAGGCACCAGCAAGACTGGTGGAGCTGAAGAAGAAACTGAAACGCTTCTGAGCTTCTGAACGCTTATACCACATGCCCATCAGATAGAAGCCTGCAGAAGACTGTTAACACATCGTTGACAGATGTAAAATTCCGGCATCAAACTTACATCCAGGAAACATGCCCGTCTCGAAGACTCCCAAAAAGAACCGAGTGGCCATCAGTCCACTCCAATTGCTAACCAGCCCTTGGAAGACCAGAACCAGGCCAAACATGAACATACAAGCCGATACTGGAAGCAAATGTCAACAACCTCATCTCCGCAACCAGAAAACAGCACCCAATCACTTACACCAAACGTGAGGCTTGAGCTTCTTCAACAGCATATTTGAAGGAACCTCAAACAGAATATACGGGACGAAAAAGATCGTGAGCGCACTGTTATATTTCGTTCCATCGGTAATGTTCAAATCCTCCTTGAGACCCAGAATAGCGGCATTACTGATATTAACACTGCGCAGCAAAACAAAGTCAGAATATAAGCGCGCGAAAGAGGGGAAGAAAGGAAAGCGCAAAGTCATAATCATACCGATCCAAAAAGGCCAGCAGGTACAGAATACACAAGCAAGGCAGAATATGCCAATCAACCTTGGCCATCAGTCTGCGCTCGGTCGTCGACGTAAGAGGAGGGAGTTCATTGTCATGCTGCGAGCTAGACTGGCTCTCGCCATTATCAAGAGGCTCCTTGAAATCTGCGCAAGGCGGGGGAACGCCCAAGTCGTCAGCACGAGTAGGGAGCGGAAAAGCGCCGCGGAAGTGGCTCAAAGGGGCAGAAAATACGAAATCCGGGGTAGCTGGCGCATCGCGCTTTGAACTTACCTGTGGCACCCATTGTGAGGGATTGCGCCTGTAACAAGCGCACTGGTTTCGAGTCGATTGAGAGGGGTAAGAGTGTAGAGATGCACAAGGAAAGGAATAAGTTTCGTGGGCCGGGGTTCGAGGTGCAGATCACCGGGGGCAGGGATGTGATTACCCGAGGCTATTGGGGCCAATGCAACGCTGAATTGGGATGCAGATCTGGGAAATCGCAGACTCGGACTTACGGAATTGAAGTGTATGAATAGAAAAAAGAAAAAGAGGCAGTCAGTCATATATGAAGGAAAAAAGGGATTGAGTCACCGTAGGTCGCAAAGCTGTAGATCCACCGCAGGCCCGATCTCGGCCTATAGTGCGACGGTGGTTTTTTATGCAGTCAGCTGCATGTTCTATTCCGTCTTGTTTTATAATGATCTGCAGTCAGCAGAATTTCATGTCTGGCATTGGTTATTTAAATGCAGCATACTATCTTTGCTATATCTCCGAAGTGGTCTATTCTGCTGTTCGATTATACTTGGGGAAACCCGTCCCCGCAAAAAAAAAAGGGCACGGGGACTCCGGTTCGGCCACTGACTAAATGGTCGGAAGTCTTGGCTTTGGGGGGTGTTACATTCTACGCTACTTTGAAATCGTCACTTTGATGCTTCAATCCTGAGATGATAGGCAGTTCTCTGGCAACTTATTGAGCTATTGCGTGGATCCTGCACAGACCATAAAACCTGCAGATCAGGAGTCCACCTGGTCCACTGTTCAAGCGAATGGGAGATCTTTTGCTCGAGAGTCCCTCAACATGCATTTCTTCAATTGAGATTATGGACTCTACGGTATCCACATGCGCGGAGAGTCATCCGCTAGCCAATTGGTAGCTGAATGTACGATAGCTTTTCGACCATGGCCAATCGAGCATGAGGAGGCTATCTCGGTGGAATTTTCAAATTTCCAGACCTTGAAACTGCATCGTGGCAATTTCTCGACATGTTAATGTCACTCTGAAGGGCATAATTCTTTCCTACGCTTGGGGATTGAAAGGTCCTTTTGAGAGTATTCAAATAAATACAATGGAATGAGTCAAATCTTTGAATAGGATTACCAGTAGCACCGGATACGACGATGGCTATATCTCCAGCATCTGCAATCAGAGGTCATCCTCCGAGATATATCTTGTATATCATGCAATACAACAACACAAAGATTGACACCCAGCATTCCAAAAGCCTGAGCATTAGACAAGCCTTCTATACAATTGTCCGCCAAGACCTCTTCAGGTGAGCGGAAATCTTCTATACTTTCCGCATAATCTCTCATCTCGCATGTCAGCCATCTCAATGCAGGGAGCTGTCCTGTAGAGACAGCATGATAAATCCCAGCCAGAGGAAACCCGGGCCCACAACAGCGAAACGTCAAGAATTCTAGACTTGGGGGAAGCAATTCTCCCCAGCGCCAGGGGTCAACTATTTTTGCAGATTTGCAGTCACCACCTTTATCTCCCACCAGCATTCTGGGCGTGATAGTGAGACTCTGAAGAGCCGTGAAAGGGGTCAGATCGACTTCCTCGTCCCAGTCATGATACAAATCCAGATCCAGGCGCTGGAGAGAGGATGAATGAGCCTGGAGAACGTCAATGTATTTGCCTCGGTCACTCTCGCATCGGAATCCGTATTTCGACTCGGTGGGTTCCCCTTTGAGTGTAAACCTTTTCAACGCACGTGGATATCGCAACATCAGTTCTAGCTCCTGGCTTGAGATATTGCAGTTCAGCAGCTCTAGCTCCTCTAAGTTCGTGGACCGCAGCGCAGGGGGATGTATATCTGGATAATCCCATTTCGCCGATACTGCAGCACCCGTGATGCTGACTGTGGTTAGGTCAGGGTGGTAGAAGAGTAATTCGTATGGTGTCAGAGACCATTCATAGTCGCGGCGGTAGTCAAAGCCGAGGTTGACTGCTCCTGTCAGTCTTACTCACATGGATTTGATCCGAAGCGGCACTTCAGATGGGGTGTTTTGCTTACTGTGACGAAGTGCGGGGAGAACTTCATGCGGCCGACAAAGGACACCGATCTTCTGGGCTTTGGAGCGGTTGAAAAAATCAGTTCGCAATGCCAATGAGCCCAGATTTATTAGCTGTGTAATTGTTGAATCAAAGTCCTCGGAACAATTTTCGTCCTCAACCTCATCCGTGGCATGTGAATGAATTTGTAGCTCCCGCACCAGGGGTGCTAATTCCAGACGCTGGGAGATTGCCCATGAGAATTTCTTGGCACTTTCATAGCCCACTAAGCTAACAGATCTGTACAGATTAGGTGTGATGAACGAATAAAGACCGCGGCACACAAGGCCAAGACGGCAAAGGTCAGCCGCAGATGAACAAGCCTCATCAATGACAGCCTCAAGAATTTCAGCGGGTAATGATAAAAGATGAAGGCTAGAGGAATCCATCTGCAGGGGCGGCTGATCTCGAAGCGCTAAGCCAGGTTCGCCGTTCGGGCCTGATTTCGAGAGTGATGAGTGGAAATTGGGAAAAGAGACCACCGCTAATGAGCAAAGTCCCCCACCCTCCATGGCTGAATCAAGTTCAAGATGCAGAGCGGAAGAAGTTAGAGGGAATCTTGAGTTCGGCTTTAAGGCAAACGCCCATGAGACGCCTCTTATGCGGCCATCATCACTCTTTGTCGTGTGGGCCCTGTAAGATTTGTCTTTCCGTGGCAAAACATATGTATTTGACTTCGCTATCAGCTCAATCGGCCCCTGACAGTCTAACTTTAGTTGTCCTAAATATATGAGCCCTCGACTGTGATTGCATACGGTCCTCTTGGCAGATGAGCTGTAAGTATTTTTGAGTCCCAGCCGTGATACAGGTATCAAAGCCGGTGCGTTTGCTTTTTCTTTCATTCATTTAGGGGAGATAATGCCGTAAGACTCAAAAACAAGTAATCTCCCAGAGACTGATGCTTAATACTACTAAGACTAATAAAACAAAGGTTTTCGTTCTAATTCACCTAACATGTTCTATGGATTGACGAACATGTTGGGTGGATCGACGTGCGATTGGATAAAGCTCAAACAGAAAAGCGGACACTTGATCCCCGGAGTCAAACTTGTAAACAAACTTCTAGGGGCTTTTTGTACCCAATAACTCTAATAGAGTGACAGCCCTTGAAAGATAAGCCTCAATGACGAACTTAATGTTATGTCCCAAATTTGGACTTGGTCAGCTGTGGTGCCCACTGCCACATGCACGACCCGCTTCAGATGACTTTCAGTTCAACCAAGAGCTTCCTTTTTTTACCCAAAGAGGACATGTTATGTATCAGTATCTTAGTATTGAAGATTTCGCCTTGACTCCATTGTTCAATCAACGCTTTCTAAAAGTGTAGCTAGCGAATGAGTGAAATATGCATTCTTACAAAAGCCCACAACCCATCTATTCCACAGCAATAACCTCCATCTGCACATCTGTATTCTCCATCTTCGAAACCATGATCGTAGTCCGTGGCGGGGCAAAAGGCAACTTCCGCTTATAAACCGCGTCGAAATCCGCAACACCCTGATAACAATCCCTGAAATAAACCTACCAGCAATGGTCAGCCAAAAAAAAAGAAAAAAAGAAAGACAAGAAAAAGGCAACTAGGGATTCTCTTAAGAGCTCATCCGAGTCATACCGTAGTCTTCACAACCCTATCAAGGCTAGATCCCGCAGCCTTGAGGATGATCTCTATATTATAGAAGATCCGCTCGGCACTAGAAGAAGGCGGCCCAATAACAAGACCAACACGAGGGGCAGCCGCAATCTGACCAGCTACATATATCGTGCCGTTGACCTTAAATGCCTGAGACTGTTCAATGATTGGTTAAAAATGCGCTTGGCAGGTCAGTTGGTGGAGGAAAACCCGCTTACGGAGTGGCTAGGTGCTGCAGGTGATGGAGGGATTAGCCAGGTCGCGCACAACAATAAAATTGTGGATATCTTCAGGGGAAGGGACGGAACTCACGAGACGGGGCCGCGGATGCTCGTATACACTCAATCGCAGTTGCTCTACGGGGCTGGATGGTGTGGTAGTCCGGCGGTGGGTGTTCTGGATGTTCCTGCTGTTCGTCCGACATGTTGAAGCTGAATGAAAAGCAAAGTGAATGTTGTTGCTCAATATTTGGATCTCTATTTTTTTTCTCTTAGTTTGTTATGTGGCTGATCAAGGGGGAAAAACTTGATCTTTTTGCACGGTCCTTCGATATGTGAGTGGACGGAGTGGGCCTATCACGGTGTTGCATAGAGCCACGGGGTCAGTATAGGGCACTAGACTTGGTTTATTAATATGCATGAAATAAACACTAATTTTAAGGGTGTTTCATCTGCCGGTTAATCTTTGTTCCATTTATTGTCAAAAGCACGGCATTCTCTCAACTGTCAATGTTGTACGTCGATTCGATGCCAAGAAATCGTATAAAAGCTTAACTTATACAAAGTGACCCGAAGTTCCCCTTAAACACTCCTTGGTCATTCTATCTATACTCCAATTTCTGTAATATGGTCAGTGATCAAGCATTTGAAGTCATCCGAGCCATAATAGATAGTGAAGTCATCATTGGGCGAATTGCCTGTGCTCAGTCTCTCTCCACATTGCCAGTAGAGGTCCGCGCTAATCCCTTCAGTGTCAAGCGCAGTTCGCTGCCATTGACCTTCGATGTTGCATTTGTCGGAGGTCACTCCATATTCCTCCACAATACATGGCTTATGTGCTGCTGCGCAGGCTTTTCCATGAGCCGTGATCCATCCATTTCCAAAGGCATTGGCAACACCCCCTTCAAAGTGATATTGATTAGCAGGTAATAAAATAGGAGTAAAGGGAGGTAGAGAATAGGGATTTTGATTAACATACAAGTCGAAGGATATAGATGCAAGGTTCCAAAATCGATGGTGTCTATTTTCAGATTCTTCGCAAAGTCAAGACCCTCGGCGTATGTATAGGGGTAGCTCCCATCTGAGTCGACATCTAAACCAAAGCCCTCTATGCAAGATGTTAATGTTTGAGGGCTGTCTATCATTGAAACATCACTTACCATCTCCAATACCAACCATATGCTGCGCATCAATCTTCTTAATGAACGCACTGGTAGAGGCAGCCCAATTATAAATCACCGAAGTGTCACAACCATTGCAGCGAGGCTCATTGGCCAACTCCCAACCGAAAATTGCCGAAGAATGGCTATATCTTGAGACAACAGCTTGAACATACTTGCGATAAGTCTTCTGAATCAATGGACTGGTATACCAGCTCGTACTGTTACCACCGAACGCAGTAGCGTACGCGTTGAAGCCGCCATAGTCAGACCAGTTGTTGACAAAGTTGATGATAAGCTTGATACCCCGTTTTTCAGCGGCAGCAACAACATAGTCGAGACGTTGCAAGCCGTCAGGTCCAGTGTTGATAGTCGCATTTCCATTCTGAAGCAGCTGGAAATACACCTTTCCCGGGGCAGGCTTCGTGTTCACATCGTTGAAGCCCCAGATGCGAAGGATGCGGACCCCAGAGTGCTGTAGGTGATCAAGTACAAGATCAACGTCAGTGTTGTTGGTAAGAAATCCGATCCAGTAACTGTTCGTACCGGCGAAATAGTTCGCCTGGCCATCGATCGTGAAATTTAGACCGTTTCTACCGGCAAAGCTAGCAGATACAGCGTTCGTGTGGTTGTTTACCGGAGCTTGTTAGATGACTATCAGTATTCTGAGTCAAAGAAAAATTTAGGATTCGGACAGTTACCACTTCGTGTTTCATTCAATTTATGATGTGGAACTCCGGCCTGTTGGTTGACAGTGTATGATGCCACCTGGACAACCAGGCAACCGACGGAGATCAGAAGATGGAAGAACTTCATCGTAGAAGAGAAAAGATTACTGATTGATAGGAGTTGAAGAACACCAGGCTTCGTCGTGAATTTATATGAACTGCTCAGGGAACTGTCGATCACCAAGTGTAACTCCGAAGCTCCTTGAGTGTTGTGGACACGGGAGTCTCATGTATAATAGTTTCACTTTATTGAAATGAAATGGCATCTTTGTATACATTATATGCTGGTAAATGCATTTCTAAAATGTTCAAAGGCCCAGCTAAATCTTCTGCAGATCCAGAGAAGGCGGAACAGTCCATTTTAGGAAAGGAACAGGGACAAGATGTAGAAGCTACCGTCAATATGCTAGACGGCGGATAGAATAGGAACCCGCGAGGGCATCTTTCCAGAGCACTATTTGTGGACCAGCTCGATACCCTTGAAACAGTAATTTCTAGAAGGACACTAGAAAATCCATCGATGAGCCTTGGAATCTCTAAATATATCAACGTTATGTCCGGGTATTCTATTTATTCATAAACTTTTGGCTTTGCAGACATGACCGATTGAGGAGATCGAACTTAATTGCACCGAGGATAGGCCTTTTCTGTTGCCTGATATCACGCTAATGTACTTATTTCTCCGTGATTTTCCCGCGCGTGTTAGTGAGTAGGTGGAGACGGGTAGATCATCGGGATATAGTAGTTTCAGACAGACCATTTTTGAATATCTTTAAAGGGTATACTCAAATGGACATTAGTCAACTGGTCACTAATCACCGGGTTTCCTCATTCTTTTCGATCCGATTCAAGCTTAAAATCCGTCCGATCTGAGCATTTCTTGTTGCACTGAGCTACAACGACAGAGATACGTATTCTTAATGCACTAGACAAAGACAATAGAATTACCGGAAGTTACAGAAATTCCGATATGATGCTGCTCGAAACAGAAGGAGTTGAATTCCAACGTCCCTGTTGGACAAACTCTTCGTGAACGCTGCAAGGATAAGTAGAACACCAGGCTCGGTACTTCCCCACTAAATAACAACATTACCTGAACTCTATACTGAGACTTAGCTCTAAAGAAAGCAGAGAGGTGTTATTCCCGCCTACCAACTACTCAAAAGGGGTTAGTTGCCAAGAGATTTTCTCCCGCGTCCATAATGGACACGGAATGCCCTGACTGAATTTGGAATGACACCTGGAAGTGAACATCACAAGAGTCTCAGTCAATGTTCCAACCTTCTATCGGAAGACCTTTCACTATCTGACTTCCCCAGAAAAGTATGCGACATTCCCCACTTCGGCTGCGTTGTGGCTCCTGCATGGACAGAACACATCCGACTTACCAGTGAGCAAATGAAGAGGCGAGATTTGTGCGTTCAAAACTTGCCAAGAACGACATTCAGCTTGAATGCCGTGTACACCATTTAAAAAGGTTCGGAGCATCTTCGGAGTAAACACTTATCACTGAAACCTTGTCTACTCGACTTGAACGCGTTCGAATATCCTGATCATACTTGTCTTTTCATGGCTGACCCTCGTTGTAGAATATCTTGGGTTGCTCAGACTTATACCAGTTGCTATGTTTCTCTCATTCGATGCCCAGCCAGAGGAAAGTGACCCGGGCCTGCGTAACCCGAAACATGCAAAGCGCGGCGATAGACTCGGCCGGCGACAATCGATGGTACGCGCCTGCAACTCCTGTCGTCGTCGAAAAATAAGATGTACTGGCGAGAAACCCTGTGAATCGTGTCGCTGGTACAAAACACCAGAGCTGTGTTGCTATCCAGAACGTCGACAGTCGTCAAGGTAAGACTCATTACATTATAGGCAAGATACGAAGAACAAACATGTTCTCTGGTCTTGGAACATGAACAATAGAAACTAAAATAAATAGCCACTCAGATAGATCACCAACATCATCAAACAACTATCCGGTTGCACTGAGAAGGCTCATTCCAAATACAGCCCCCGAAAACAACGTCGATTTACCCCGAGAGAAACTGTTAGATTTGGTAACTACAGGCGAATCTCAAGATGTTCAGTACCAGGAGTCACCGACCGCCGCCGCATCAATTCAAACACACAACTCCGCACTATCTATGGGGGAGCCAACTCTAGAGTCTCTGCATTCGATGCCCGAGGAGCTCCTTGATGAAGGCCAAGGTCCAAGCAGGTCAGACTCAATGGAAAATATCTCAGATGATGTAAACGCATTATCATTAACCGCTCGACAACCTGCCTCGTATTTGGGTATCTCGTCTACTCAAGCTGCTATGAAAGTCATCGCCTGGCTTCATCCGCAGTTCAAGACATCCATATCCCGCGTTTTGCCCAAATACCAAAACAAAAAAACAATGAAGTCGATGCCACCTATAGGTATACAGTCTGGTATTCCTCCTACAGAAATGGAATTGCTCGATGCGTACTTCACCGACTTTCATCCACTCGCACCACTTTTAGACCAGAAGAGCTTTCGCGCCACCCACTTGGTCGGAAATCGAAAGGACAACCGATGGTTAGCATTGCTCAACATAGTCCTGGCACTGGGTAGTATCGCAGCTCCAGGTCCAGACAACCATACTCACCAGGCATATTTTGAGCGTTCGATGAATCTCCTGAATTTAGCTACACTCGGGACTCCTACCCTGGAAGCAGTCCAGACTCTAGGTCTCATCGGAGGCTGGTACTGTCACTATACCAGCCAACCTAATCTTGGATACTCCCTGATGGGCGTGTCTCTCCGCATGGCGGTCACCTTGGGAATACAACGAGAGCCTTACGACGGCCATTTGGCACTTGATCCTGTCAGGGCTGCCTATCAAGAGTTCAAACGCCGTGTGTGGTGGTCACTTTGCTGTTTAGAGACATGGGGTCACGAGACACTCGGCCGGCCGTGTATGGACTTTTTTGCTCCCAGTATCACTGTCTCCCAGCCACGACTGCTTGATGAGGTTCGTTTGATCTGCGCCAATCTCCCCGAACTCCCACTTTACACTTTACCGTATTGAACACCACATTCCTGTTCGAAAATAACTCCTTGTAGGAAAACTATCTCCACATACTCCCCTTGATCGAGAATGTCGAGTTCGTGAAGATTGCTTCAAAGATACAGGAGTCTTTAGCTGGTCTACCAACACTCACACACGCAGAGACATTCGACCTAGACTCCCAACTTCTTCAGTGGTGGAACAACTTGCCCCCAGCTCTTAGAGATTATGAGCCCTGTTCCGAGTCGCTACACACCGCGCGAACTGTGATGCGCTGGCGTCTTTACAATCAACGCATGCTACTATATCGCCCAATGCTTCTGACCTACGCGATGCGACGAGTTCCTTTCATGAGCATTCGAGAGGATGAGCGTAATGCAATACTCAAGTGTCGTGAAATTGCAGAACGCTCTATTCAAGATATTTCCATGGCGACAAAATTGAATCAAATGATTGGCTGGAATGGTGTCTGGTTATTATTCCAGGCAACAATGGTGCCTCTGGTTTATCTATCTACTCGGTCGAAAAATGACGATTCCGTCACTACATTTGAATCTTGCAAAACACAAGTCGAGACGGCCATGCTGACGCTTGACCGTTTGAAGCCTTATGGACATACGGCGGAGCGTACATTGGAGGTTGTTTCGGCAATTCTCGAGGTTTGTTTGCAGGGCAGTGAGGCGAACGCCCCCGAGAGGGCTGCAGAAAGTCTTGAAACTCAGGATATTTCTCATTTGAATGATTTTGATTGTTACCCACCGACTTCTGCAGATCGAGTTTGGGATTGGACTGTTACGTCTTTCGAAAATATTCCCCCTGAGTCAATGTGGGAATACCTCAGTTGGGGTGCTCAAGACATGTGGCCTGGGGTTACTGACGTTGGATTTGATAATCCAGCAATGTCTTTCTTTCAGTCTAGTGAAGGGAATGTGTAAACATGCTGCACCATTGAACAAAGAATTAAAGGGCTAAGAAATCGCATCCCATTTTCCAATGTACATTTTCTGATAAACCGTGATACTCTTCTTCGCTGAGTCTACTTTCTGCTGGCTCTAAAAGATTGAACGGATTCAGTTACTTCCTAAATTATGATGGACGTCTTTTTTTACGGAAGATGGGGAGTGCGAAATTTCGGCTACCGAAAATGTGTTTACAGAACCTAGACATAACAAAATACTTGCTTTTAGGAACATTGCTTCAAACAGTATATTTAAAAGTACCCAGAAAGTTCTAAAGCTTTAATTAACATCAAAATCAAGCATCTTTAGTTTGCAGCACCTCGTCTGTCTCCGTAGAAACTAAAATCTGGCGTGCTTGGGTGCTCTTCTTCCTGGGATTAGGAGCATCAAAAATGTCCGTGAGCTCCTCAAGAGTCCGTTTGCATGTTTCGACGGCAAAGAAGTATATGAAAACGGCCTGTAAAATATTCCAGCCGGCCAAGATGATATACGTATGCCATGTGATGACAGCCATGGCGTTCCCGATTCCAAACTGGTTCACGAGCAAAGCGATATTAGTGAAGACGGAGTATACAGCCATTCCTTTAGCACGAGTCTCATATGATAGACACTCCACGGAATACATAGCTTGCAGTGGAGTCCACCCAAAGCTATAGGCAAAGCCTATGAGAAAGATGATCACGATTGAAGCTGTGGCGGCCGATGGTTCTTGTGTGTCTGAGTACACACCTGTGGAAGCTGACAACCCAGCAAAGCCGAGCTGAGGATGTGTGAGTCAGTAAGGAGTCAGTATGAGAAGAAAAAACACTTACACAACAAGCTATAGATGCACCGATTAGCATAGGTCGTCGCCGCAATGTTGGTGCAAAGAATCCACCCATGTACGCCCCTCCAGCTGAGAGAACCGTGAAACCCAAATTGACATCCAGGACCCGACTTGTGTCTGTGATACCGGCACTTTTCAAAAGACCACCCATATAGTAGGTTGTTACGCCTCCTTGCGCCCACTGGCTAAGGAAGGACGCAATACCAACACACACAAGGCGCCATCTTGCAGCCTTGGTATTAAGGAGCTCACGGAAGTCCCAAGACCGTTTATCAGAGCCTTCAATATTGATTGCCTCCTCATATTCGCGAATTTGAAGAGTGACAAAGGCGTTTTCACGACTACCCTCGCCGTGATATTTGGTGATGACGTCCCAGGCCTTCTCGCTGTGACCATGACTATAGAGCCATCGAGGTGACTCTGGAATGAACCAGACGAAAATAATCACAAATGAAGACGAAATCAGTTGACACCAGATAGGAATACGCCATGCACGGGAGTCGGGGTAGACCAGACAGCCTCGGCAAGCACCAGCAGCGGCAATAGCTCCAACAAAATATTGGCAGTTATAAAGACCTGTCAGTACATCGCGGTAGGCAGGATGGCTCATCTCGACCACATAAGCGGGGGCGGCGGATGCAGCAACAGAATATCCAAAACCTGAAATGCCTTGTCAGCTACTACATCTAGAAAGCTAAAACCGTATCAAGCTGGTATATTCGAGGGGCTCCATACCTAGGAAGAACCGACTAGCGAGTAGTTGATTCATGTGGTTGGCGGTACCTCCCAGAATAGTGCCGAGAATGACCACGATCGACCCGGTAAACATGCCGAAGCGTCGACCGAAGTTGTCGAGCAAGTAGCCCACAAAGAAGAGCGCGCTGACACCTCCAATCGTATACATTCCCTGAATAAGAGAAGCCTGAGAACCAACCAAGCCTGCCCCAAATGTCTCGCGAAACTGCGGGATGGGAAGTAAAGAACCCATGAGGGAGCCGTCAAATCCTAAATCGAGTCAGATGGTTGTGATACATTCTGCAAAATGCTATTCCTGTTTTACCGTTCAGGGCTGAGCACAGGTATGCCACAGCCATAAATCCGTATAGCTTTCGCATCTGCGGACTCCACGGATTTGGAGGATGAGATCGTCTGGCCAAATCCAAGGCCATTGATCCCTGGAGAACCTCAACTCTGATCCCATCGGCGCTCTCCTGGTGGTGAGCTTCGCTTCTTCCTTCTTTCTCAGAAGTCCGAGCAGGTTGCACCGCTGTTGTCGTTGCCATGATGCCAACGTGCCGTATTGTGATTTTTATATCAAGTACCACCAGCTTCACAGATGTTCTGTACGTGGATACCAATCGTGACAAAGTAGAAGTAGAATGGCAGGTTTATGTATCCCGTTTTTTGTCCCCCACTGCTCAGTAGCTCCGGCGTTTGGACTTCATCCTTGTAGAAAGAAACCCTTGGTTGATTCGCCGGTCGTTATAGCGTGGTGGATCCCCTTCGCGAAAACAGGCAACTATATGGCATGAGCTCGTCCTCGCCGATCATGATTCGGCTGTGTGGGGAGTCCAGGAAGTGGAAAGAGTACCCCAGATGGAAAATCTCAACATGCATGCATGAAGCTGCGCGGAGGTGTCGTTTCCTGCGACGATCATTCGATGTCTCCGCCTCCTCCTTGACCAAATAGGCAAGACTCCGCCTACCCCATATTCCGCGCAATTCAACAAATCAACAGGAGCAAACTCCACCGTTGGAATCACATAGATAGCCTCGGCATTTGTACCAACGCGGATTTTTTCAAGTTCCGGTATTTCTTTCAAAGCGGAAATTTTAGGAAGTTCTCGGCTTCGGACTTGCAAGGCCCACTACCCGAGTCCCTGGAAGCTCGGTTATGTTGTAGGCCCCTGCTCCTTGACGACTATTATACTCGGTCGATTTGTTGATTTGAGAGCAATGCCTCATGCCTTTTCTGTAGAGAATAATAAAATTTAATTTAAGAAGTTGCATGATCTTCTCATACTTGCTGCCAATTTCTAATAACAATCTTTTTGACGATTATCCAGTTGGCGCAATTGGCTGCAAACTCCAGTTGCGAGTGCCAACGATATTTATTCTAGGGTGCTTCTTCGCCATCAAACAAACATGAAGTCCCAAAATATCTGTGGCATATTCTTATTTTGTCAATATAATTGGACTCTTGCGAAGATAGATCATCCAATCACCGAGGGGTTTCACTTGATTTTAATAGGGTTTCAAACTGTTGCCCTTAAGCAGAGTGCTATATTCATGTCTTATGTTGAAACTTGCTATACATTACCTCGGAATTATGTCGGAAAATTTGAAAGTTAGTATAATGCTAGGAATGGAAATGTCAGCAGTCACAATCTAGATACGACACGATCCCTTGAAAGCTCTCACAGACACGGCATTTCAAATTAAGGATTTCTTCTCCTGATTTCCAAATACAGAAAGGAAAGAGCGTTGAAACTTAGCTGATCTTTGCCAATTTCCGCACGGGTTGACAGGAACGGGCTTAGTTGTCTCATACTTGTTCCCTGACCACGTAGAACACATTTAAGCTAAATGGTATATAAGATGCCATATAAGTTGACTGTTATCTCTCACAACAGCATCTCATATTTGCGACAAGAGCTTCATTCTCATACACCTTCAAGAACGAACCACATTCTTCATTTAGCAAATCACAAGATGCAGCTTCTTTCCATCTTCAGTGCTCTAGCCCTGATCCCTGCCGTCATATCGTCCCCGGAGACAGGAATCAAGCTTGATACCCGCGACAATGACCGCGGTAACTATCTTGTCTCTGGTCTTGGAGCTCGTAAGCAACAGGTGACTGGTGCCGGAGGCAACACTCGCGACCTAGCCATTGCGATGCTGGAGACAGACCACATGACTACGGATTACACATACGGTATATTCCAATCTATACCTGGAATCCTGAATTATGTGCTGAAAAATATATTCATAGGTGACGGAAAGACCGGCGATGGTACCAACTTCGGAATCTTCAAGCAAAATTGGTACATGTTGCGTACCTCTGCGTCTGAATTCTTGGGCATGAGCACCAGCCAGGTTTCCGAGGGCGCAATTCTGAAGTCAGTATTTATTACGTTCATCTAGACTTCAAGAAACTGGTGTTCGCTGACATACCCGAATTGTAGCTCTGACTTGGGCAAGGACATTCAGGCTCGCCACGACGGCGAGAGCAAGTATGGCTTTGATGTTTGGTTTGCTGGTCATCGCAATGGACAGTCCGGAGTTGAGAACCCTAATAGCTCGGATATCCAAGGTAAGTCTGCCATCATTCTAAGTTAATACCTATAGACTGCTCAACTTACACCGTGAGCAGGATATAAAGATGCGGTTTCGTGGATCCAACAGCAGATCGAGAGTGATGACAAGTATCAGAGCGATGATACTCGGTTCTGGGTCCAGGTCCAGGCCATCTAACTTTGAAAGCTTCACCCTGGGAGGGTAGTTTGGTTGATCATACTCCACTGAATGATGGTTTGCATCTTGGAATGCTTTCAAAATCCTGATTTCAGGAGATCACCTTCCATGCCCAACACGTCATGTCCGTGAGTTGTTTTGGAACAGAATTTATGCATCTTCCTTGCAGCACTGTGATTTCTATTTAGTGTGACTCTGTCGCACGTTCACTCTTTAGTCAGAATGAAAATTATTGTTCTTAGGTTCTATGATTAGGGGCGTTGTCCATAATATGCAACTTGGAATATTCACTCGTGTCTCCAGCTTTTTTTCAAAAAAGTAACTACACAGCCATATCAAGTCCATACACAGACCTTTACAATATGGCATCTTTCTAGTAAAGCTTCCTATAGCTTCCATTGACAAGCGGAAGTTCTAAGTCTGATACCCAAGTAGACTCGCATTATTAACTTATCTTCCATACTACAAAGGAGTCATTGCGCCTAGTTTTTACTGTTACACATAATGGTCCGCTCGCCAGGTGCACTTCAGAAGAAAGAGAGTATGATGGGGTATGTGTACTTTATAGTATTTGCTTCAAGTATTGGTCTGGCAATTTGACCCGCGTGCTGCAAGACACGGACATCCTACCTCCCAGCTTTCAAACATCGCACTCTCAACAGTCCTTTTAAAAAGGGCGTTCAACAGTTGATACCCAAAGGTATATCTCACGCAGAAGGAAGAACCCAAGTTGTCACAGACTGACTGGGAACGTTACCGCTCCATTGGTTTCCACTATTCAATGCCACAGTGAGATAAACATCGTTACTGAAAGTATTCTCAATAACAACCGTGCGAGATCCATCAGGATTCAACGAAGCAACAGACTGCACTCCGCCACCGTTGGAGTAGGTGTAGCTTCCAGTGCCACTCAGAACAATAGCACCGGGCGGCATGAACTTGCTAAACTGCGCCATCATATAGTACGCAGTGTTGAAAGTATATCCACCATTAGCGATAGTTACCAGACCTTGGCAATTGGCACAACCACCGCTTGACAGATGGGGCCCATCCTGGTTATCAGTGCCAAGTGTCCAGGCTGTAACGCCGGATGCCCAGTTCTGAAGGGGTCCCATGGTGAAGTCGGCAGCTTGGTTCCATGAGGCTGAGGCAGGAGTCCAGCATTCGGTCATGTATTGCTTGACATTTGGGTTTGTTTGGTGGAATGTGGTTAGGACTGTCCAGTCCACGTTGGTGGCGTAGCAGTGCCAGGCGACCGAGTCAACGTACTTGCTAGCGCCATTGATGACGTTCTGGGGATATGATGGAACATCTAGACGCGGTGTGTTAGTATATGCAAAATTTGTAGAAGTATCGGTTGGAGCATGCATACCAGTGTTGTGATCGTATGCCCAAATGTCAGTATCCAAACCAGCGTTGGCAAGGGCCGGCCCAATGTAGTTCTGGATGAGCTGCGCTGACTCGTAATCAAACACATACATCGTGGGATATCCGCCCTGGCTGTTCAAAGGCTCATTTTGAATGGTAATCGCGTCGATGTGAGCTCCAAGCTTCGCGTAGGCTTGAATGTACTTGACAAAGTACTGCGCAAAGGCACTAGCATACCCGGTGCTGCCAGTACCAGCACTGGTCAAATATCCATCGTTCAAGTTGTTGTTGTTCGTGTTGCCATCAATCACACCATTCAGCTTCATCCATCCCGGTGCACTCCAGGGCGAGCCGAGAATCTTCAGACTGGATTGCAAGGACTTCATTTTTGCTAGCATCGTAGCCATGGCATTTCCACGGTCGCCCAGATTGAATCCGGCCAGGGTTGGGTCGGCTGCGTTTCCATTATCATCGTATGTATATGCCGGGTCACCGGACAGATCTGATGCTCCGATAGTATGCCGCATCAATGCAAAGTCTGCACCGGCACCCGTCATGAGATTATTCAGAAGTTGTTGCAGGTTGGCGCTGGACAAGGTATTGAATGAGCTAACTGTCGCGTCGGTGACTGCGGCTCCGAAGCCTACAATTGTTTGTTTGTGTCCACTGGATGTATCGTCCACGGTCAATTTCCATGTTGATTCAGATCCTGGACTGCCGGTGCCTTTCACAGGGGCAGCGATCGAGGATAGTTTGTAGTTACCACCTGAATTTGAGCAGTAAGCTGAGGCGGAGGTGGCCCGTTTTTCAGGGGAGGCACCTGTCAAGCCTGAAAGCAGCAAGACAGGAAGAAGAGAAAGATGCATGTTAAAAGAGGTCCCGTAGAGATATGGACTGAGTGCTTCTTTCCAAGGCCGAATTGATTGGCTTTTTAATTCAATCTAGTTGTTGTGCGACATAGGCCTCTTTATACCATTGCACTCAATACAGAGTATCCTAGACCATTTCCCTAAAACGTGGGTGCAATTGTTGCGCAGAACTGGGGCTGAGAATTGCAGGATCCGAAACTCCGCTGTAAGCTGAACAATAATACGACAGTACCAGCGACTAATGCAAGCCACAGTTCCCGTTTGGTGAAGGTCCCTGAGGCTTGTATGCCTCATTTGCCGGAGTCATTGCCAATCCGAGGATAGTTCTATCTTCAGGTTCTTGTTTCCCCGCATTGTGCAGTAAGACGTCCAAGCCATTTTCATGCAGTATTCGTTTTGCGATGGCGGATTCCCGGTACACCAGAGTGTTTTCGGGGTTCACTTACTCCGCATAAAAGTCTTCAAGCTGAAACACTCCTGAAAGCTGCACTGACGTTGGTGGCCATTTAGCGCTATCGCAGGGAACGAGAACGAAGCAAACTTGTCTTTCAGAAACTTTGCAGCTAAAACTTTGCCAGCTTCGGTCAGCAGTTTCTGTCAACCATCAATTTACCTCAATACAATTACATAAAAAATTTAATTCGTCGTCGTCACGGAAGCCGAAGGTCTTGGTATAGGTGGATAACCATTTATTCATGGCCCGCTTGGCTCGCTGTGAACTAAGGGCTTCGCCTAGTGGAATAATGACCCAGGTGCCTATCGTTAAACGCATAGTAAGAATTTGACACTCTCTGAGATAGAAGATGGGTAGTATACAAGACCTATACGTGCAACAAAGCAAGGTGTCACAAGAGGTGGAAGATATGTCAGACTGGCGATCACAACGATTCAGGGGTATATTCAATCTGTGCCAAATACTCCAACCACCTCGCTGGGGGCCTTGATGGTTCCAACTCTTCTCTTCTAACATATCTCGCTTGCCTTTCTACAATTAAGAAAGTTGTTAGTTGAGTTGACTAGTTCCTAAGGTTTCCCGCAAGTCGGTGTTAAACGCTAGCTAGACTAAGAAATCGGACGTCTATGATCTCGGCTATCTGATAAAAGGCATGATATATAGAAATGTGTAGATAAGGAGAGCTGTCGAATAGCTTACTACCTCCCCTCTAAGTGCTGTTATAGAAGCCTATACTTAGAAAAAGCCCGAAGAGCGCCACAGTTTAGATAATAGTTACGCTATGTTGACAATATCAAGATTACTACTTAGCACCATATAAATCATGTTCACGTTGTTCCGTATAGGACTGTAAGTGGACAATTGAGATTGTTTAAATAGGGTAGTACTTGCTTCGTTACTAAAGAGAGTTGCGATATCTAGGTTTACAAGATTTGGCTTACCCTGAAAGTAATTCGATACATCGAAAAAAAAAAAAGAATAAGAGAGCTAAGTGCATAGTCCGTGAAAATCGAGCAAAAAACCCTACTAATCATTGTCACAGACAATGGCTTGTACAAAAGTTCAAACTATCTGAATGACCGGTCAAAGCCTATTCCCTAGATCGATGCTACTTTGCCCGACAAGAAGGTCTCAATGTGTACAGTTCACTAATTGACAAGGGACTTCGTTTCTTAGCTTATATCTCGGTCAGCTTACGGGACTTAAGCAAAAAGAATCATTAATACGTTAAGACATAGCTTTGTGGACTAATCCATCTCTGGTGTTTCGGAAGTCACACAATCATGCAAGCCATGAAGACAGGATCTCCCTTACCCACGGTCAAAAGTGGAGAAAAAAACTATATTTGAGAGATATCTCTGCACCGAAGGGAGTACAGGTGTTTTGAAGCAGCCCAGAACTTGAAGCGTGATTTGTCAATCTTGCTCGACACTGCATCCGATGGATGGGTTCCTCTAAGCGACTGGGATGCAGCGAAAGCAGGAAACAAAGCAATATTCAATGGAATGTTGGAAGCGGTACTGACGAACAATGATCCGGATGGCGATGAGCCCATAAGGGATGAAAAAGGCCTGCGAGACATTTGGCCCTTTGATCTACCGGAGTAATTAATCGTCTTTCGTGGATCCAGTCTTCCATGACAAGATCGATATTCATGCTCCGTTCAGTTGAGATAACTGTCGGTATTGCTTTGGCCGCGGCCGTTAGGTACGATGAACAAACATCTTTTAAACGTCACCTAGTACTTCACTAGTTAAGTTAATCTTGATCAGTGAAAAGGGCGTCCTACAGGGGAAATCGACTTTGCCTGTCTGCAACGACCAGGTCGGCAACTGGGGGTAGTAGAACTATAGAAAAGGAGAGCACATATAAGTGCTTTGGAAGAGCAAATGTGTCTGTTTTGCTTTAATGCGCGACTCACAAACACGTTTTATGATGGCCTCAGGCACTTCGGAGGCCCATAAAAGCTCGGACCATGATCATTTATGCATAAATTATGAAAGCATTGAGTTCGGAGTGAGCTATTAGTATACATATGCTCAGTAATGCAGTAGAAATGATAATAGTCCAATAGACTCATTGATATGTCACTTCCAAGATTTTCATCAGTGAAAATCCGGCAGTGGACCCCTTGCAATAAAAAAGTGGGCGCGTGGAAGAATACAGGGAGCTGGTTCGGCTGAAACAAGACACAACAGCTTATATGACGTCAGCACAGTGGGAACAGGTCGTCGGTGAGTTTGAACCCCTCCAACTGATAAACCGCCGGAAGTTTTGATCATTCTTACAATCATCTTCACCATATTTTAAAAATGAGTGGCCACAAGTTCCCCGTTGATCTCAAGCAGTTCAAGCAGCTCAAGCTGGACCCCAAGTCCACGTCGCTGTCAGCTGAGCAGAAGAGCGATCTGCTTCACAACATCAACGTTTTCAGAGATGCCCTGATTGCCTTCACAGCAACTGGTGCCGCTCGCGGTGTGTCCGGTCACACTGGCGGCCCCTTCGATACCGCACCCGAGGTTTGCATTCTGCTTGCCTTCATGAACGCCAACCCTAGCAAGTGGGTTGATGCTCTCTACGACGAGGCCGGCCACCGTGTGGCAACACAATACCTGCTGGCCGCACTGGACGGCAAGATCGAGCCCGACCACCTCCTGAACTACCGTGATGCCAACTCCCACCTCCCCGGCCACCCCGAGCTCGGCTTCACCCCCGGTGTTAAGTTCAGTTCCGGCCGCCTTGGCCACATGTGGGGCCTCGTCAACGGTATTGCCATGGCCAACAAGGATAAGAATGTGATCTTGTTGGGCTCCGATGGATCCCAGCAGGAAGGAAACGACGCCGAGGCTGCCCGCCTTGCTGTCGCCCAGAATCTTAACGTCAAGCTCTTTGTCGATAACAACGATGTCACAATTGCTGGACACCCGTCAGAATATCTCAAGGGCTACGAGATTGCCCGTACCCTCGATGGACACGGTATGAAGGTTATCCGCGCTCAGGGTGAGGATGTAGACTCCCTCTACCCCGCTATGTGTGAGGTTGTCAACTACAACGGCCCCGCCGCTGTTGTCGTCGACCGCAAGATGGCCGCTGGCATTGAGGGCATTGAGGGCGAGTGCCACGCCCACGATGTCATCACTGTTGATGTTGCCCGCAAGTACCTCACCAAGCGTGGATACAGCAAGGAGCAGCTTGCTTTCTACGATGAGATCAAGCCTGGCACCAACCCTCACACCTACAAGGGTTGCTCCACGGACAAGGGCGCCAACCGCACTATCTTCGGTGATGCCGTCAATGGCATCCTCGACGGTCTCAGCAAGGAGGAGGCCAAGGCCCGTGTCATGGTCATCGACTCTGACTTGGCTGGCTCAACTGGTCTCAAGGCCATCGGTGCCAAGCATCCCGAGTCTTTCGTTGCCTCCGGTGTCATGGAACGCGGTAACTTCTCCGCCGCCGCCGGATTTGGTTTCGGAAGCGATGGTAAGCGCCAGGGTGTCTTCTCTACCTTCTCTGCTTTCCTGGAGATGTGTATCTCTGAGATCACCATGGCCCGCCTGAACGACTGTACCGTGCTCTCTCACTTCTCTCACAGTGGTGTCGACGAGATGGCCGACAACACCTGCCACTTCGGTTTGAACCACTTCTTTGCCGACAACGGTCTCATGGATGCTCCCCAGACTTCCCTGTACTTCCCCGCCGATGGTGAGCAGATGAAGGCAGTTGTCAACGAGGTCTTCTGGAACAAGGGTATGCGTTTCATCTTCTCCACCCGCTCCAAGGTCCCCTACATCCTCAAGGAGGGCACCGACCAGAAGCTATTCGGCGAGGGCTACAAATTCGTGCCCGGCAAGGAAGAAGTCATCCGCAAGGGTTCCGCTGGTTACATTGTGTCCTACGGTGACATGCTCTACCGCTCTCTCGACGCCGTTGAGAACCTGCGCGCGCAGGGTCTCGATGTTGGTTTGATCAACAAGCCCACTCTCAACATCGTCGACGAGGACGCCATCAAGGTCTACGGATCTTCTCCTTTCGTCCTGGTCGTCGAGTCTATCGCCCAGAAGACTGGTCTCGGCTCCCGCCTTGGTACCCAGCTCCTAGAGCGCAAGCTCACCCCCAAGTTCAAGTCTATCGGCGCTATCAAGGAGGGCTGCGGTGGTCTGTACGAGCAGATCAACAGCCAAGGTCTTGGTCCTGCCGATATCATCGCCGCCGTCAAGCAGGTCTCCGGAAACTAAGCTTGATTTTGTGACGTCTGATGTGAAACCTAACGACTTTTTGATACGATAATAAAACTTCTTTCTGTTCTATGTAACCGCTTCGACATTTTCAACCTCGGAAGTCCATTGATCGGCTTGGCTTATCTGTGTGAGCATTTCATCTTTGGAGTGGCTTTTTCCAGAGCCATTGTAGCACAATATCTGTCGGCATTCCTCCTGTCAAACAATCTGCTCAAGAGGGGCTTCGAAACTTGAATTGTTGTAGATCTTCCATCTTTATATCTTATATCTGCGATCAATATCAACGAGATGCTAGAACACTTAATGAACTCGGATACTTTAAAATTATTTTCTTTCTCTGATCTCTTCTTACGCATGCTCTTGCTACATTAAAATAATGAAATCGTGGTTCAAACTGGACTTACTGCTTTAAAGTCACTCAAGAACCCAACCTAAAATATTAGGACATGCTGAGACATCAGTATAGGCGAATTAGGACAAAATCATACCGATTGCACGAAAATACAAGATAGGTGAGAACTCTGCTGACTGTGCTAAAGATTATTCGATATTCTCCTCAACAAGGTCTTTAGGTAATTGTACTACTTCGGGCGTTTGAAACCTAACTTAACCTCTCTTCCATTGTCTATCCTTTGTCCATGTTGTGAACTCTGACTGAATTAACCTGATATTATTAAGGTGGAGGATTAAAAAGACTGATGAGCTCTATTGTATCTAATCATCTCTAGTGACCATTGCCCACATACTAAGGTTCGCATGATTCGACACGAGATCCAGCGGTATCTGTCCCATATTGTTCGCTATCATGAATGACTTTTTTGAATATCACGATCAGCAAACCTCTTCTGACAATATGCTGGGTTGACTGGAGATTCAAGCAGTGGCCTAGATCGCTGCGATTGAGTTCATCTGAAGTTATGGAGTATCATATAGGCCCCTGTCTTTGTTATTGGGCTATCATCGTTCACACCCAGCATGCTCAAAGCGCCGACAGAACTTAGAAGACACAATAGTAATGAATGCACATATCATCTCTGATCTTTTTACGAGTCTTGTTACCGAAATTCGTGAGAGCCTTCGCTACTCAGTGGAGTGCCGTTCGACCATATGGGAGAAGGTCTTGGATATTTGCACCAGAGTTTCGCAGTGCTAATTTTATCGTATAGCACCATTTTCTAGGCAAAAGACTCTCCTTTATTGCCTTCTCAGGCATCATCAGATTGGCACAGCTACCGGAATCCAATGGAGATGATTTTACTCCCAAGTACCGATACCTGCACAGGACAAAGTTCACTCTACCGAGGGAGTATCAAAAGCACCCACACCAAACGTTGCACGATTTCAGGGATATCTGACGTTAGCTTCGCGTAGCATCAAGAGCTGCTATATATCCACTTTCTTATAACGTTTTACGAGATCAATTCCACAAGTGGCAATAACAAGCTAATAAATACTTTAATTTCTGACTGTCCAGACCTTCCCAATCTCGTTAGCTTCCAACTCTGCGATGAGCAATCCCATTCTATCGCGGCCTTAGCCGAAGCCCCCAAAGCAAAAAGTCTGCGAGCCTTAACCCCGATTCGCAATGGCGGCAATTGACGCTTTTCTAGCTCGAGCGGACCCCACATCTATCCGCCCTCTACGCTGGTGATTGGTCGATTCTGATATTTTAGGCTTGGCATATAGCCGATGAAGGCAGACTAGACCAAAACGGGCATTAGATCTGTACGTCGAAGCACGCAATCTGGCGAAATCATTCGAATAGGCTAGGGTGACATGAGTGAAGTCGAGCGTGGGAGAGTGTAGTATTTCAACTTTATGGAAAAGCTTTATATAACGCGGTGTCCTGCTTGTTGCGTCAATATCCATCTTTCATTTCTGTCCGCTGGTTGAGGCTGCAATAGGGTTCTCACTCCCGTCCGAACCTAAACAATACGCAAAGCCAAAGCATGGCCGATCAAAGTTCTGCCTCGGTTTCCTCCGAGGCAATCCCAGTTCAAGATGAGAAAAGAGTCTGGTATCGCTCTACGCTGTTCAATGCGTTTATCATTGGAGGCGTGGGCTTCATGGCCCCAGGCTTGTGGAACGCCATGAATTCCCTGGGTGCAGGAGGCGCACAATCACCGTTTTTGATTAATGCAGCGAACGCGCTGGTGTTTGGTCTTAGTATGTGGCTTCCCTTCATCCCACATATTTGTCTATTTGTGCAATTCTGACTTTCATGTTCAAAGTGGGCTTTTTGTGTCTTTTCGGTGGTCCGATTGCCAATCGTATTGGTCTTAACTGGACTTTGATGCTTGGTGCTGTGGGATATCCGATTTACTCGTAAGTGCTACTTGCTGAATTACGCGATATTTTGAATTGAGTTAGAGAGCTGACTTGGATTGCAGAGCTGCCTTATATACCAACAACCGCTATGTATGCTTCTCGCGTATACCATCCGGGGGTCTATACTGATGAATTTCTGTAGGGCAACGTGTGGTTTGTTCTTGTTGGATCCGTAGCCTGTGGCATTTCGTGAGTCGCATTTTCACTCAATTCAAAAGAAAGAAAAAAACTAATATATCATTTACAGTGCTGGTCTGTTCTGGGCTTCCGAGGGTGCTGTCGCACTAGGATATCCCGAACCCACCAAAAGAGGTAGATACATGAAGTGAGTTCTTTTCTTTGTTGAAAGTCGTGATCACTTCTCGATGGTCATTATGCTGACTGGAATAGTATCTGGTTGTGGTTCCGCACAGGAGGCCCCTTGTTGGGCGGTGCTATCGTCCTTGGATTGAATCAGTATGTTTGTATACACCAACATCGAAGAGTCCCACTCACATTCGATTAGTTCCGGGGATGCCCACAGTAAGGGAAAAGTTGGATACGGTATGTTTCCCCCACAGGAGATTTCAATATTCAAGCTCTAAAATCTAACGACTTTTATCAGAAACATACCTCATCTTTGTCGCTCTTCAGTGTCTCTCAGTTCCTCTGGCTGTCTTTCTTTCGCCGCCTGAGAAGGTCCAACGTACGGACGGAAGCAAGGTCAAGATTGTTATCCAAGGATCATGGCGTGCTGAAATGGTCGAGCTTTGGAAGGTTTGCAAGAGAAAGGAGGTTCGTCATCGCATGTGGAAATAGTTGTGGAACGCGTCACTAACTTTCATAGATCCTTCTACTTCTTCCTGCCTTCTGGGCCGCGTACTTCAACCAATACGTCGGAAGTAAGATTTTATGAGCTCTGAGATAACGATTTCATTACTAATTCGGCAACAGACTTCGAAACCTATTACTTTGGCGTTCGAGCTCGTGCCCTGATCGGATTCGTTGGCAACTTCTCCAACCTGATTTCTTCGGCAATAATCAGCAGATTCTTGGACTATAGCGGTATCTCAATCAAGAACAGGATCAAGTATAGGTAATACTTCATGCAATCGTCTTTCATGCTCAACAAATGGCTAATAATACAACAGTTTCTTCTATGTGATTGTTGTTCACGTCATCGCTTGGGTCTACTGCTGGGTCATTCAAGAGAAGTACACCAAGAACCCTCCTATGCTGGACTGGGCCGACAAAGGCTTTGTTGAGGGCTTCTTCGTTATCATGCTTTGGAGTGAGTCTTTTAATCAAACATGAATGATGTCCTCTTACTGATCCCCTTTTTTGCAGATTTCTCCCAGCAGGCCGCGCAGAACTTCCTCTACTATCTTCTTTCTACTATGACAGACAACATTTCCGAGCTTTGTAAGTCGAAATTGCAACATTGAATGTTCATATCACTCATACTCTCTAGCTCGATTCTCCGGTGTTCTTCGCGGACAAGAGAGTTTCTCGCAAGCTGTTTCCTTCGGCATCAACACTCGGGAATGGCATGGTGGTAGAGTTCCACTTGCTGTCAACACTATTCTCCTCGGTAGGCAATTCCAATAGATAATCAGCTCAAGCAACATACTAATTTTCTCTGATACAGGTCTCGCCGTTTGGCCTACTTGGTTGGTCGTTCGGGATCATAAGCCCATTGAGCATGACAAGGAGGCTGCTCAGCTGCCTCACAGCAAGGATGAAGAGCAAAGCATCAACTTGACTGATAAGAAAACGTATGTTGTGAGTGAGTCTATTGCAACAAAATAATTAAGGTGCAAACGGGATTTCAACTTTGCCAATCGACAATCATGGCATTTACAGCTTTAAAATAATGATAGTTATGAGCGTACATTTCAACAATGATAATCACATTCAACTTGTGCTTGCCAAACTTTGAATATCTTCTGTAACACAACATTGAATAATTGGCAAGATGTGACCCTCCTATTCAAGGTTGCTGCCATTGCCACTGTCGTTTTCTTCACGCAATTTGCGAGCCACACGACTCTCACTGTCTGGATCGAAGTACGCTATAGATGAACATAAAGTTAGTACCTGAATCTGTGATTGAATGATCTTTGAATACTCACGCTGTTCTCCAAAAACAGTTGTTCTGATGCCGCGTCTCAGCCCCTTATACGTGCCAGGGATGACTCGATGGAGAGTACATCTAAACAGAACTTAGCGATTGAAGTAAGAACAATGGTCCACTCATTCATAAATACCGATTATCCCACATAGCAACGCTACCAACAGCCCACTTCCACCGGACATAGTGATCATCGGCCGAGTGGATGTGATATGCCAGAAAGTCGAGAACCTTATCTGAACGTCCACCAAATCCATTAGAATCGCCAAGTTGAATAAACCTGATTGGACTTACCCGATTCCGCTTTCTTGAGTTCCGCAAAGCCAGTAACAAATCCCGGATTCACGTTCAGTGCCTTGAGCTTCGTGACGGGGTGGGTTCGCACAGCTGGGTGATGGGTATCGATTGGAGGGCGGTTAGGGCCAGCGCCCCATAAATCCAAGATTGTATCATCTAGCTATATCATGAATATTAAATCGCTGGATGAGATTTGGTCTGAAAACGAACACTGCAATCTTGATGTGTGCACCGCGTGCAAACCATCGAGAAATCTTTTGTATGCATCGCTAAGGGCGTCATAAAGACCATATTGTGAGACCTGGGAGGATCGGTCAGTCTCAAGAATTGATTTCACCTAGGCTGATAACTGACCCAAGCTGTATCTCCTCCGACATCAGGGTGTTCTTCCATTCTAAGCAGCGAATAGGAGGGAGCTTGTCTTGGTTAATATGCAACCCGAACGAGTCAGTTTAGTACATACGGTTGATCTCAAATGATGTATCGGCGTGGAAGTCTCCGCTAGCCTAGAAGAGCATCCTATGTGAGTGACAGCCTTTATGTTACGCTCGATTCGTCTTACCCATGGTGTGTAACTCAGGATCTCCCGGTGATCCTCTCGACTTCCTTGGATATTAACAAACTGTTCTGTGGTTAGTACCAATCACCGACGACAAACGAGGCACACTTTTTACTTTTTGATCCTAGAGTATGTTAGTCAATCAAACTTAATTGTTCTTCGGGGGAAACCACTTATTATACCTTTTGAGCAGGGTGTCTGTCTAGAATTCCTGCAGTCATGTTTTCATGAGCATCAGGCCATCAGCCGTTCAATCCGGAATTCTTACCATAGTGTTGGAACAACTCCACTTGCTTCTCGGTAGTAAGATCTTGATCGCGGAAGAAGACAACTCCTCGTTCATTAACCAGAAGTGCCAGCTCATCAAGCTGGGTTTCATTTAAATGGCTCAACTGGACATTTTCCAGAACAGTGCCAAGTGATTCGGTCAAATCCACTCGCTTTGCAACAGAGAACAATGCTTGCTTTTCCGGGTCCGCGAAGAAAGCTCGATCCAGAGGTGGGGTGAATGGTTCGCGCAAGGGTTCCGGAGGGATGTGATTCTTAATTTTGTCGTTGAAGTGTGGATGGAGCGTGATGGGAAACCCGGAATCCGGCGATATGTGCTTTCGCGCTTCTAGATGAGCCATTGTTTATAGTATTGAGAGATCAGTATATCATAGAAGCGTGGAGGCCTCGATTCATGCGGAAAAGAAGAGTATTTAGGCATATCGACTTTGGTCATCTCATACGCGACAGCGATTGCGTCAAGGCGCCATCAAAATGAACGGACCTACTTGATCCAATGGCAGTTGGAATTGCCATCTACTGCCTTCACACCTAAGACATAAAAGGTCAACTTAAACGAGTCTGTTATAGCTACTGCGATCTTGCGGGATCCGCTGGAATCCCTCATTCTTGGGTTGTGGATTTAGATACCGAGACCATAATTTCTTGGAGATCAGCGGATGTGTATGTTTTCATAGAAGGCAAGACGTTGAGTCTCGCGGTAAAAATAATCCTCCTCATTATAGGATGACTGCTGTAGAAGACATCCATTGAGCGGCTTCGAAAGAAGATCCACAATTTCCCTTGGTTTTCCCCGCGCGGACTTTCCCTCTCTCAACGTCCCCAAAAGTACGCTACTGAGATGAAGTCATAAAGTCCCCTGCGGTTCCTAAGAATCTAGAGCTGTGCCAATTGCCTCGGAATTTCCCGAGCTCCGCGGGGCTTGACCTCACAGATCCAACGAACATGGAGAATGGAGACGAAAGACCTTATCGGTCCCACACAAAGCCAGCATGCATTCCCTGTCGCCGGAGGAAATCGCGATGCAAGATTGAGCCCCACTCAGACGATTGTCTCATGTGTCGCGTACATGGCACAGAATGCGCATTCCCTGACGGCAGAGCCAAAAGAACACCTCAAAAAAGGCGTTCCTCGGAGGTTGCCCCAGTACTACCACCTCCATCATTAAGAGCACCGGCGACATCTACTCAGCCGCTGGGATCTCCTCTGGTGGCCTCGCCTCAATTCTCCATACCAACGCAGGCACAAAATGATCAGGATACACCACTCTCCCTGGAAGCTGAAGACGACAATCCCCACATCCTTGGTCCAGCGGTGACGGGTGATAATCATGTCTTGGCTGATTATCTATCAAACATCTCCGGGGGACAGGGGATCCGCGAGATCCGTCCTGTCGAGCCGGGCAGCTCCTCGTCTCCTGTGATTTTTACAAAAGTCCAGAAACGGCCATTTGGCCTGACCTGGAATTCCAACCCAGCACTGCATAAATTGCAGATTATTGAAAAGCTCGTGGAACCTTGGGGCCCACACCTCATTGATCTGTGAGCCTACACCACCCTTGCCACAGCGTGGTTTCCGGGATTCATCGAAACTAACAGCCTTTTTTAGGTATCTGAAGAGGATCAACCCCTGTTTACCCTTACTGGATGAGAACTCGTTCCGAGCGCAATACACCAATGCGAGGCATCGCATCTCGCCTGCGTTGCTAGCATGCATATATGCCCACATGCTAACATACTGGCACTATGATCCGCTATTATCGCGTGAAAGATGCCCGGATGTTCGATTTGTCTGGAACCTTGCCATTGAAGCCTCGTATTCCGAGCTGCATGCTTCTGCTGGAATATCCACCATCAAGGCCATTCTACTTGATGTAGGTGGTCGCCCAACCACATCAATGACAGGAAACGGTGTCAGACTTGCTTCAGCAACTGCGCTATGTCATTCCTTGGGGCTGAATCGAAACCCCTTACCATGGGATATACCTAAAGCTGAGAAATATTTGAGAATGAAGATATGGTGGTCCATCCTACTTCATGACCGCTGGTAAGTCTCATGAAGAACTCCAACGGATATTGCGCGTATTTATGTTTTTTTTTCTTTCTGTCTGCTTAGGTCCAGCCTTGCATATGGCACACCACCTCATATCAGAAGATCTCAATACGACGTCCCTCTCCCCATACCTGAATATCTCTCGGGCTCGGAACGAGACAGTGAAGCCAATGCGGTTTTTATAGAGCTTATGCACCTGACAGAAGTGCTGGACATTTGTTTAGAGGATGTATACAATATCCGCACTGCAGCAGATCATCCAACCAAGAACCTTGAACTGGAGCTAAACAAGTGGGTAGATTCACTCACCGGCAATATCCGCAGAATTGTAATCCGAGGCTCGAATCTTGACACACCCGGGGCGTCGAATTTACGACTCGCATATTTAGCAACATGTCTTCTCCTTCGACGAATCGACCTAGATCGCGAAAGAAGGTCACAAGAGCCCGACGGGGAGCAAATGGCCAATCGTGTCATGGAAGCCCGCAGAACGGCGGAAGACATTGTGTTTCTGGTCCAGGAACTCGGCGAAGCACAGCTCGGAGACTTTTGGCTTCCTGTCGTCGCGTTTACATTCTCATCAACCGTGACATTCTTGATCCGCTGCGCACTGGAGACAGAGCAGGCTGCTGGTCTATCACAAAGTACTTCGCTGCGAATGGCGAATGACTTTTTGGATTCTTTACGGTCACATCAGAAGAACTTCGGGTGGGACCTCGCTGATATATGTTTAGCACAGCATTCGGATGTCGTGGAGAAGCTCTTGAAATCCGGACCGCCGGCTGATACTTCTGAAGTGGCCAATCCTGAAATGGGCCATCACTTTATGCCGGATATGTCCTTTGTGGATGATATGTTTCCTAGCATTTGGGATACCCTGCAGAGTATATAGATTAGATACAGCACAGAATGGAACATCAACAGTTTTTCATCCTGGATTGTTATCGCGATGTATGCAGGTGGGTCTGGAGTTGGCCGCGGTTCCGCGGCGAAGACACCAACAATTCAGGCTTCAATACTCAAACTGCATTGGTCCAGTTTGCACAGGTGATGTGCCGGGGGTCAAAACTCCACTCGATAAGATATGAAAGGGGCCCAGGTCGTGTTGAATGAGGGGTTGCAAGTAACCAGACTCGTTCAACTTCCTCTACGATACAGTTCAACATGGCACCTGGCATTACCGACAATGACAAGGCTGCCACAATCTCTGAAACCCAAGACGTCCCCCTCTTATACAACAATGTAAATCAAAAAGACCTACAAGAAAAAACAACAAGATACCTTCTCAAATACGGCACAGAATTCAACAAAGATGTCATCTGCGGCAGCAAAGGCCTATACGTCTACACAGCATCCGGACATAAAATCCTAGACTTCACATCGGGCCAAATGTCCTGTCTCCTCGGCCACGGCCATCCGGAAATCGTTCAAACAATCACAGACCACGCAGCCAGCCTCGACCACCTCTTCTCAGGCATGGTCTCACCCCCGGTAATCAGCCTCGGCGAACGGCTCTGCAACCTCCTCCCACCAGGCCTAGACAAAGCATTCTTCCTCTCAACCGGCGGCGAAAGCAACGAAGCCGCCATAAAACTAGCCAAAGTCTACACCGGCAAATTCGAAATCGTCGGACTAGGCGCCAGCTGGCACGGCGTGACCGCGCAAGCCCTAGGCGCGCAATACCACTTCGGCCGCAAAGGCCAAGGACCACTCATGCCCGGTATGCTGATGCTCCCCTCGCCAAATGGATACCGGTCGATCTTCCGTCGGCCAGACGGATCGTACGACTGGGAAGCGGAGATGCAGTACGGCTGGCGAATGATCGACATGCAATCGTGCGGATCGCTGGCTGCTTGTATCGTGGAATGCATCCAGTCCTCGGGTGGCATGCATGTCCTGCCGCCGGGATATCTGGCCGCGCTGAAACGGGAGTGCGAGAAACGCGGCATGCTTCTGATTGTGGACGAGGCGCAGACGGGCGTCGGCCGCTGCGGTGATTTGATGGCTATTCAATATGAGAATGTCGTGCCGGATCTGTTGACGCTTAGCAAGACGCTTGGGAATGGGTTGCCGCTGAGTGCTGTTGTCACTAGTGCTGAGATTGAGCGCGTGTGTGTGGAGCGCGAGTTCTGCTTTTATACTACTCATGTTAATGATCCTCTTCCGGCGGCTGTTGGGGATAAGGTGCTGGAAATTGTGGTCCGAGATCGTTTAGTTGAGCATTCGCGGGCTATGGGGGTTATACTTCATGATTCCTTGAATGCCTTGAAGGATAAGTATGGGTGCATTGGGGATGTTCGTGGACGGGGCCTTATGGCTGGTGTTGAGATTGTTGAGGATCGAGAGACGAAGATTCCTGCGTTGGCTTTGGGCAAGGCTGTTGGTGATCGTGCCTATGAGCTAGGCTTGTGGGCCAATCTTAGTAGTCATCCAAGCTTTGGGGGTGTTTTTCGAATTGCTCCGCCAATCACTATCACTGAAGAGCAACTGCTGAGCGGTTTGCGGATCTTGGAAGAAGCATTTGCTGTCACTCCTGGCACTATGCCACTGTGATTTTACCTTTGTCATATGCCGTTAAAGTAATATCCTAGGCCAATCTCTTACTCCAGGTATACTGATCTACCTGTCCTGCCAGAAGTAAAAGAAAATGTAATCTTGATTGCCTTCCAAAAAGCCGAGAGCCGAAAATGAAAATATTGAAATATAGACAAACTGACAGGTAAGAGAAAAAAAAGGGTATTTATTGTAGAGATAATCACACATATCGAAGATCAATGTTCAAGATTCCTCCAAGACTTCACTGCGTCGCCCGGGACTCCTCCGGGGCTGAGTCTCCGTTATTTGCTTTATTCCAAGCATCATCAAAGGCCGAATCAGCCAAGGCCTCATTGGAGCTCGGCTCCTCAGGCTCGACCTTCTGTGATTTCTCGATCTCATCATCAAGCACCTCAGGCTCGGCCTCACGCTCGACGAGCACCTGCGAAAAGGACGACGACAGAGGTTCGGAGTCTACCAGATCCGTTTCCCTGGCAGGTGCTGCCGCCTTATCCGTGGCACCAAGAAGTTCCAGATCAAAGTTCGAGCTGTAGACCACGGCAGAAAACGCCTCAAGCTCTCGAACATTCTGATCCATAGCGACTAGATACTCATTCGGTGCGTGGGTGCCGTTGCCAATCACGTGTGCTTGGCGGGCCATGACCGCCAAAAGGTTGGCAAGCTTTGTCTTGCGTTCAGCGTTGGCAGTTAATGGTATAACTGTGGCGACGGAGTCGAAAGACATGGGGGCAGTCTCGGGGGCACTGGTAGGCGCCTTGAATGCATCGTTGGCGCATCTTTGGTCTATCAGGGTAGAGAAACCTTCGTTGTTGAGAAGGGTCAAAACATAAGAGAAGGAAGGCGAATCGATCAGATCGGCAGTCTCATCTAGCAAGTGCCGCAGCTTGGACGCTGTCTGAGATGAGGTCGGGTCTGCCACACCTTCAACCCCTGACTCGCGCAGCACGTACTCCTCTTCCTCTGCTGGAGGTAGCAAGCAGGACATCCACTTCTGATTGCGTCGCTCATCTTCTGTGCTACCTTCTACCTTCTTTCTGATCTGGAGCGTCAGCTCGGAGAGCTTGGCCAGGCTGATGTCTTCGCGTGGGTTTAATGGTCCGAAAACTTCTTCCACGGCAGCTTGGACTGTTCCCATCAAGTCTTTCCATCCGCGGTGGAGTAACCACCAGCTGAAGGCGAGGTATCGTCGGTTGGTTTCAAAGTCATCACCCAGTGTTTGGGTGAGTTCATCATCGTGGTCTTCCAAGCTGATAGTTGACTCGTTGACAGGCGGCGTAGCGAGAGAGATCACACTGGAGAGGTAGTTCCGGCGGCCAAGAAGATTGAGTTGAATGCGAGTGAAGATAGTAAGCAGAGAGAGCGTATAGATCAAAGTAAACGACCGAGTTACAGCTAAAACCAGTCAATATTTGATAAGTCCCCGTAGATGACCAAGATGCCATAGACACGAACTCACAGCTAATCTTAACCTCATTCCACAGTTGAGTCTTGTTCCGTTTGGGTCGGGGTTGTCCCTCCGAGTCCACGGGAGACTCTCCAGCCTGGCTGGTATGCACAAAACTCTCCGTCTGGAAGCTCCGATCATCGTCTGGCAGGCTAGGCGACACCGAGCTGAGATCTGAGCCCGTCGCCTCGCCAGCATTCAACCGAGCCAATCTCTCCGCCCGCTTCTTCTGCAGTTCCTTGGTCAATTCCTCGACGGGGAGTGCCTCGATTATATTCTCGGTAGCTGTCGGCAATAGCGCCAAGACGGTGTAGGTACAATCGGTTTGGTTCTGCTCGAATCGCCGGCGCAGACTATGAAATTGTCAGTGATTCCGATCGTGGTGGATCTGATCGGTGTGAGCCCGCCCTAAGCTCGCGTGCTTGCGAGCAAGGTGACAGGCCATCGCCGAAAATCAGAAATACTCACTTTTCGCGAGCAATCCGATCACTGCTCATACGCTCCCGAGCTTCAGAGATCTTGGATAGGACATACTGTCCGGCCAAGTAGCCAGCTCCAATCACCCCAGCCCCGATCGCCAGACCCTTGCGATTGCGCTGGAACCAGCGCTTCGTCGCCCCGATCATGTTGATTGTGTGTGTTTCGTCTCTCGGGGATATCAAAGGCGATGGGAAGATTCAAATCATGATGTAGGTGAGGGCGATGGATTCTGGGGTCGGGAGATGGGGACAGGCTTGGGCGGTGATCGCCCTCGGCCTCGGCTAGACAGGTTAACGTGCAAGGTAAACATATACGTCCCACAGAGAGAAAGAATAATGCCGGCTATGGACTGGACCTTAAAACTTGAAACTTGAAACAACGTTGATTCCATTCAAAACACTATGTAAATGCCCCATTCGCTCCAGTCGCAGTCACGTTCTAAAGCCCCCCGGATTCGGCGCGGCCATCCCGCAACAATCCGCTGATCGCAGCTTGGACCTGTCGTCACTTGTTTCTGTGCTTGACTTCTGTCCAGTTACTGACTTGATTCCTACGTTCTTCCAAGGGGTTTTGTCATTTTCGCCTCCTGTTTACCTTACGTCTTCACGAGTTCGAAGATAAGATAAGCGGGTCCCGAACGCCGATACAGGCCGCCCCTCTCCCCCATACATCACTCCACCTTCGAGCTTACATGTACTCTCCCTTCTATGATCCCCCATACTCAACTTGAACACATATATCCTCGAGGAAATCACCTGCCCGCGACTGCACCCAACCGACCCAGGTTGCGAGCTGCGTCATGGCGGGGATGGAGCCCCGCAAAACCCCTCCGGAGTACTTCCTGGAGATCTTCGCCGACACAACTCACGTACGAGACGTCCTAAAAGGTAAGGCGCAGTGCAATTAACAAACCAGCCAAATATCCAGTAATCCGCCCACAAAGCTCAAAAGACTAAATCATTTGTTCGGCCAGGTGTCCTCAACCTCATCTTCTTCCATCGCTACTTTCCCTCCATCCGGCCGGTCACCTTTGACGTCCTCGACTTCACCCTCCCCGCAATCAATGATGCCGATCTAGAGACGCTGATTGAGTCGCGCGTTTCCGCCCTTGTCCGCCAACATCTCTCCTCCGCTGCCGGGGGCCAGGATGGTCCGACGGCTGGCGGGGGAGGGGGCGTGCGAGGCCGTATCGCGGTCGAGTTCTACGAAAAGAAGCGACGTCGTCCGGGTCACTGGTTTGGTGGGCTAACTGGAAAGGGCGAGGAGGAGGTCTGTTGGGAGATTTGGACGCTGGATGTCACTATTGCGACGCCGCGCACGGAATCTGGTATGTATCGTCTTTCTATAGTTTGCGTACCTTACCTCCCGGGTCGGTATCGGTTTTGCTAATCTGCTTCTTTTTTTTGTTTTAAGAGCGTGCCAAAGTCCGCAAGGCAATGGGTAACATGCTGCAGAAGGCAGCATTGAAGATCCTCGCTGTTGTCAACCGTGATAAAGATCATATCCCGCCTATCACTACCAGTGACTCAAACCCGTTCCCTTATCGGATCGTTGTCAACCCTCGCGCTGATGGCTGGGGTAACCGTATGGGGCTTTACTGACTTGCCATGGTGAAATAAAGGTCTGGATGAGGACATCTGTCAATCGTCCAGGTCTACCTTTCCTTTTATCACTTATTGTTACAACAAACCGGCGGTGTTCTGCTCAATATTTTTTGACTGGGGCGACGGACACTGATACGACTTATGAAACGTTTTAAATGCTGCAAAATGGTTGTCTTGCAGAGTATTCGGGTCTTGCTATACTAGGCTTGTCAAATCTCCGGCAATGGACATGGGGAGTTCGTTGGCGTTTACTTATTTGAGATATTGGGATGGTGGTTTTGCAACATGTGCTTTGATCACGGAGCGTATGCTCCTTTAAACAAAAATACCATATATGAATATCTTTAATAGTTTTGAGTTAGTAATTTACTCACTTTTCACTTGACATCACATGGCTGTTCTCATTGCACTGAGTACTATCAAAATTTATCATCAGAGCAGGTCATTTGCAGGGATGTTTCTCATGTATCTATACGAGATCTGAAAGTAAGAGACCTGAAAGTAAGAGATCTGAAAGGTAGAAATCTGAAAGCAACTAGACCCTTCATTGAAAATGTACGGACTAAGAAGCTCAACAACAACATAATGGTGAAAAAAACCAACATGACATCATATTCATCGAATATCCAACCCCGGACCCGTCACAACATCCTACAGGCCTCTCTATATCATCGTCGCTAGCACCTATGTATTCATGGCGGCAGAACCTAAGCTGAAACCAGCGACTTGACTTCGCGCGGAGAATCGGATCCGCGATTTCCAACTAACAAGATTCCGCGGAGGGTATATTGTCGAAGCGATTCTCCACCGTGTTTTCAGACAGCAAGCCTTTAAGTAGAGTGGGGCTTGCTGGCGGCCTCGGCCTGAGCGCGGAGGTTGGAGGAGGTGCCGGAGCTGGAGAAGAAGCGACCAAGAACGGGCTGGAGGAAAGACTGGAAGACAACTTGGGCACCGCTGTGGAATTGGTTAGATATCTATATTCATCGGATTCAAGGAAGGTTAACTTACTTGGTCTGGGGAAGAGCCATCCAGAGGATCAGGACGAACTTGAAGATGTAGTAGAAGGCTGTTCGTTTGTTAGCACAATGGCATTGACATTGATGTCGCGCGGATACTCACGGAACCAGTAGGCGGCGCTGATGGCACTCTCAACAACGGTCAGGAAGGCAAACACGACCCAGTACTATAAGAATTGCAGGTTAGTATGCTCTGCAAGCGGGAAGACGTCACGTGCACGATAAGACAGGACAGTGATCTCATCCGTCCGCAATATCGCGACAGCAGCATGTCGAGGGAAAAGAGACTTACGGTGAGCCACTGTGAGAATTCAAGGTTAGCAAACAGCACACGAAAGATTGCACACACATTAGGACAAATTTTCTTACCTGAGTGTCATCCTGGGTGTTGGAGGTGAACAGGGCCTGGAGGGAGTAGTAGCCGGGGACGAGGAAACCGGCGAAGTTGACGAGGAACTCGCCAGCAATGTTGAAGAAGACAAGGAAGAAGTAAACTCCGACCAGGCCGAGGATGGCGTAGACCTTGGGGACGTTGGTTTGACGCTCAAGGTTGTTCAGGACAGGGTACTTGGAGAGCTGTAGAAGGACATGATGTCAGCTTTGAGGCTAAATGCAGACACCCAGAAGCAGGGATAGCAAAAATCGAGTGATCACGATCAAGCTCGGTTGATCGATCACACTGCTCAGTTTGCGACCTGTGGCAGTTCCAGGTGAGGAATTGGCAGGCGCCAACAAAACACACAACCGCAACGTACCTCCTTGTCGAGCTGGGAGATGGTGTGCTGAGCACGGTCCTGGAAAGAGGCCATTATGGTTGATATGTTTTGACTGATAGGTTACAGGTCAAGGAGTTTGGATGGCAGTGGAACGAGGGATGGTGAGAATGCGAGCTGGCAAGCTGAGACGGAGCCAGGCTGCTTGTGCGTGTCACGTGACCACATGACGTACTCGGCTCCATGTGAAGCAGTGAACAAGTGCTTTGTCATTGGCAGATACACTCCGAAGTCACTGTGCGAGATAAGTAGGTTGACTATGCAGTGACGACAGGTGCTTGTTGATGTATCTGGACTACGGAGTATATGAAGCTATTTACCATCACAGGATTCTGGACTTGGGTTTATTGGCGTGAAATTTGAAACAGCTTGAAACGAAAACAGGAGCCCAAAGTAGAGATTCCCTCACGCAAGTCTAAATCCTACATGACGTGTGCGGCGAGTATCCTGATACGTGAAGACCGGTTTGGATAAGCAACAATTTTGGGAGATTTTGCTTTTTCTGGCATGAAACCGGGGGAGCGTATCTTTGTGGGCCTTGACCCCTGCAGCGCTTGGTCCGTTCTCGAGTCGTGATGCATCCCATTCTCCGCCTATACCGAGGCCCCAATTACGCAAGGCTACTGTGATTCACACCAATTACCTGTAGTGGTGGATATGTCGCTTGGAACAGATCAAATGGGCACGATCTGGACACATCTGCACACATCAGGAGATATTCCTCCATACCTCGGGGCTTATACCTCCACGTGATATTGGTCACGTGATCCGGTATTTGGAATGAGTAGACTGCATATGTTTGTCAATGGAAATAAACTTGAGAAAAAGGAACCTTGCACACCGCCAGAGACGATCTCGGAGATGATGTGATTGGGGGGGAGTGTTCGAAATCCTATCTTTCTCCTCCACAAAAACCCTGTGCAGAACCGACTAGCCTAATCTGTGCCACTTCCTTTTCCTTCTGAGCCTCAACCCCCATTCTCCTCGAACCTTCATCGGACTATCCGAACAGAAACAGCTGCTATAACTGCATATCGCCCTTATATCCTTCTGGCAAGCGAAGACGTGAATCAGACCACCTCAGTACCCGCGGAGTTTGAACCGCGATACCACGTGGGACGATCAACACAGCCATTGTTCTCTACTTCCCGACATCAACACCTTTGATTCCCAATGCGGCCTCAGTGAGCTCCTGAAACCTGAACTGATGGCTCAATGACACATGCTAATTGCCTCTTCCTTTCGTTTTAGACGCGAATACCATATTGTTGTTCTGGGCGCTGGTAGGCAATCGGCCTTTGGTCCCGAGCTATTTCCATGGGGTACAGGCTGACCGCAGGCATTCCTTTGCGCCATGAACAGGAGGAGTAGGAAAAAGTTGCTTAACAGGTCTGTTTCCTGCCTCCTTTGCCCTGGCCCTGAGCTCCCAAGCTGACCGACCCTTAGCGCAATTCGTCCAAAATGTTTGGATCGAAAGCTACGACCCGACGATCGAGGATTCATACAGGAAACAGATTGAGGTAGATGTAAGTTGACTCTGGTCAATGGGGAGAGATGATTGGTTGCTTACACCGGGGATAGGGTCGACAATGCATACTGGAGATGTGAGTGTGGTGGAGCTTGTGGTATGGTATGCTTCGATATTGACTGAACTTTCCCAGTCTTGATACCGCCGGAACAGAACAATTCAGTGAGTCACCCAATTCCATTATACTCTGTGACAAGCTCGAAGCTAACAACAGCTAGCGGCAATGAGGTAAATCTAGGCCCAACCCATCACCATACCTGCTCCTCCTTCGGATCGACTCCGAAGCCCCCGAAAGAACCGAACTGACACCACGTCTACACAGAGAACTCTACATGAAGCAGGGCCAAGGCTTCCTCCTCGTCTTCTCGATTACAAGCATGTCCTCCCTAAACGAACTCTCCGAGCTCCGCGAACAAATCATTCGAATCAAAGACGACGAAAAAGTCCCAATCGTAATCGTGGGCAACAAATCCGATCTGGAAGAAGATCGCGCCGTGCCCCGAGCTCGTGCCTTCGGCCTATCCCAGAATTGGGGAAACGCGCCATATTACGAGACCTCGGCCCGCCGCCGCGCAAACGTGAACGAGGTCTTCATCGACCTGTGTCGTCAGATTATCCGCAAAGACTCTGAGGGCTCAAGGACCAGCAGTGATCCGAACCGCCGGCGCGATGGTCCCAGTCGTGATCGGAAAAAGGAAAATAAGCGGCCCCGAAATCGTCGTGGGCCCTGTATCATTCTTTGATTGGGGTTATCTATCTATACCTAGAGGGGTCTCCGGAAGACTCTCGTGTCTCTTTTGATTCCCATTTATCATTTGGGAGCCTCCTCTGACTTTCTTTCATGCGCTACGACCTACCTTTGCCATCTTCTTCCTCTTCTTCTACTTCTTCTCACATGCCCCCGACGCTACTATGCATGTCGACATGTCATATATGACTGATGTTCCTTTCTTTACTACATTGCTGATATGTCTCTATCTTTTCTCCCCTTCTTCATAGACAATGCCTCACCGTGTTTGATCATGTATCTTTCTCTTTTCTTTTCCTTGGACTGCACACTTCGTGTCACCCCTTGCTTATTTTCGACATGTTGCGTTTTGGTTGAACTGGGCTTAAAATTTCTCGGCGGAATGGATAAAAGTGTTTGGCTTTTTCTCTTGGTACAATTTTGACCAATATTTTCTTCATCTTCCAAGAGCAGTGTTTATACGTTCAATCTACACTTCTAAGCTTCCCGCGATAAAGAGGTCATTTGACATTGAGGCATTTGCATCATGCACTTCACTGTCATGCCACATCTACCTTTCGACAGATCATCTGCGATATAATGCATTCCAATCTACTATATTGAAGGGATCTACATACGGAACACACCGAATCTGGTCTGTGTATCCGGTTCAGGCTTCCCACCCACAGCAGCATCAAGTCCCAAACCAAGCATCTTTCTCGTTTGAGCAGGAGGGATGACACCATCATCCCACAGCCGAGCCGAGGAGAAAGTAGCCTCTGACTCGCGGTCAATGCGTTCCTTCAATGCCGGATCAGCTGTTCGACCCACAGCCTCCATAACCGAAGACAACTGCTCGGATCCCATAACGCCGATCTTAGCGTTGGGCCACATGAAGAGGAGACGGGGCGAATAAGCTCGGCCACTATTATCATCATTAGCATACAACACCTTCGTCAAACATGGTAGATGAGCATGGATATTAAAAAATAAGACTTACCACATTCCATAATTACCAGCACCAGCACTGGATCCAAAGACAACAGTGAACTTGGGCACATCAGCGCAAGCAACGGCAGTCACAAGCTTCGCGCCGTTCTTCGCAATGCCCCCCTTCTCGGCATCAGCACCAACCATGAAGCCGGAGATATTCTGCAAGAAGACAAGGGGGATCTTCCGCTGGGCGCAGAGCTCAATGAAGTGCGCGCCTTTGAGCGAAGACTCAGAGAACAGAATTCCGTTGTTCGCAATGATACCCACGCGATGACCATGGATACGTGCAAATCCAGTAACCAGCGTAGACCCATAATCACGCTTGAACTCGGCGAATTCACTGCCATCAACAATACGCGCAATCACCTCATGCACTGGAATTTGCCGACGCAGATTCGTACCCACGATTCCATTCAGCTCATTGGGATCGTAGAGCGGCTCCTTGATAACAAGTGAATCCCCTTTCCCATTCTCCAACTGCAAAGCAGGTGCCGAGTTCGCAGTCGGATAATTGAGGTTAGCAACAGAGCGACGCGCAAGCACAATGGCATGCGCATCATCAACAGCCAAGTAATCCGTCACACCAGAGATGGTAGAATGCAGCAGCCCGCCACCAAGATCCTCAGCAGAAACCTCCTCGCCGGTAGCAGCCTTGACAAGAGGCGGACCGGCCAGGAAAATAGTTCCCTGATTCTCGACGATAATCGTCTCATCACTCATGGCAGGAACGTACGCACCACCGGCCGTACAAGGACCCATCACAACGGACAATTGAGGAATGCCCAGCGAGCTCATCCGCGCCTGGTTAAAGAAGATCCGACCAAAGTGATCCCGGTCCGGGAAGACATCCGCTTGATGCGGTAGGTTTGCACCACCGGAGTCAACGAGGTAGATACACGGCAAACGGTTCTCTTGAGCGATGGCCTGTGCGCGTAGATGCTTCTTTACCGTTATGGGGTAGTAAGTGCCGCCCTTGACTGTGCTGTCGTTGGCGACGATCATGCAGTTCACTCCCGACACGCTGCCAATTCCGGTTATTATGCCACCGGCTGGCACGTCTTCGTCGTAGACTGCGTGTCCAGCCAGGGCGGATAGTTCCATGAATGAAGTCCCTGGATCGACGAGGGCGGAGATTCGGTCTCGGGGAAGCATTTTGCCACGGGAGATGTGTTTTTCACGAGCCTTTTCAGTTCCACCGCGGGCGATCTTGCTATGCAGGGTGCTCATTTTGTCTAGTAGGTCTTGCATTTGTTGGCTGTTCTCGATGTAGTCGGGCGAGGAGGTGTCCACTGCTGTTGGAAGGATGGAGAGTGCTGAGGCATGGTGTGGGTGTGTATAACTTGCTACTGTTCTGTATGCTGGACGGGTGATATTTGGCAGGGTAAATGCCTTTTGGTATGTGCGTCCGAGTCGTGAGCTCAAGCTCCGCAGGACGAGCGGGGAAGGGGCACGCATTGTGGGGGTGGGGAAATGAAGCTGAGGGAAGTTGAGGTCTCAGCTGGGGGAATCAAAGGGATCAGTGACCATATTCTGGATGAGATCTGAAGTATGTTATGAGTTGATGGTCAAGCGTGAAGCTGGGGAACTTAAGAGGAGGAGTTTCCCCAGATGCGGAGATGCGACGATTGCCGCTTCTACCCGAGGTCTTCACTGTGAAAGACGTGTTGAGCATGCGAGCATACTGGAAAGAGGGCAATTGCAATTGAATTTAGAAATAGACTGCTGGAATCTATCTTTAGTATGAGCTGAGTTCTTGTCTTCCAGATTTCAGGGAAGTTAAAAAAATATCGCAGTGCAGACAGCACAGGAACATTCTTGAGACGGACCCCGATTGCACGCCGAGGACTGCCGCCCCCGACTTATTTAAGAGCTCCACATCCTCTTCTCCGACAATACCCCAGATTCTACAACTATTTCGCCTGCAATTATGGCCTCACTCGCCCTCCCATCCCTCCTACGCACATCCACCCGCGCTCTGCGACGGACCACAATCCCCGCACTCTCCCCATGTATCCCCCGCAAGATCTCCACGAAGCACCCAGCAGGCTTTGTGCCCCCAACAGAAGATGAATTACTAGAGCTTAGAGAGCGGGTGCAGGATTTCACCAGTATGTTCGCTTGGTTTTGTTTCGTCTTCGCCTTTCTGACTTGGTTGTAGGGCGTGAGATCCCTGCCGAGCTTGCTGCACGCACTGATGAGCTCAATGAGTTCCCTGCCGAGATGTGGCAGAAGATGGGTGATGCTGGGTATGAGCTCTCGAGCTTATCTGTGCTATCATATGCTGATATATGTCAAGGTTCCTCGGTGTTACTGCGAATGAAGAGTACGGTGGTTTAGGTATGGGCTACCAGGCTCACTGCGTCGTGATGGAGGAGATTAGTCGGGCATCTGGTGAGTCTTGCTTGATTTACCCACTCTTGAGACATGTATCTGACAGAAGCACGCTTAAAGGAAGTATTGGTCTGTCCTATGCAGCCCACTCCCAGCTCTGTGTGAACCAGATCTCCCTCAATGGCTCAACGGAGCAAAAAGCACGTATTCTCCCAGGATTGCTATCCGGTGAAAAAGTCGGGGCTTTAGCTATGTCAGAACATTCAGCAGGGTCCGACGTCGTCAGTATGAAGACTACAGCGAAGGAAGTTGATGGTGGCTGGATCTTGAACGGAACTAAAATGTGGATCACCAATGTAAGTTGACTGATGTAGATGCTTTGATAGCCTCTTTGCTGATTTTTCTTTTCTTTCCCAGGGCCCTGAAGCCGACTATATTGTCGTCTACGCTAAGACAGAGCCCGAGCTAGGCTCCAAGGGAATCACTGCCTTCCTGGTGGAAAAGTCCTTCAAGGGCTTCTCTTGCGCACGCAAGCTAGATAAGCTGGGAATGCGCGGCTCGAACACCGGCGAGCTAATCTTCGAAGATGTCTTCGTCCCTAGTGAAAATCTCCTAGGAGAAATCAACCGTGGAGTCAAGGTTCTCATGGAAGGCCTGGACCTTGAACGACTCGTCCTGAGTGCAGGACCACTAGGGTAATTCCCACTACTCTCATCAGACACCAAATCTAAATTAACAATGACCAGAATTATGCAAGCAGCACTCGACCTCGTCCTGCCATATACCCACGTCCGCAAACAATTCGGCATGCCAATTGCTCACAACCAATTGATTCAGGGTAAGCTCGCAGACATGTATACCAAGCTTGCCGCCTCACGGGCATACACATACGCCACAGCCCGGGAAGTCGACAATGCAGCCGTGGCGCCTGGCGAAATGAACATCCGCACGCAAGACTGCGCCGGTGCAATCCTGTACGCTGCCGAGCGCGCCACTGAATGCACGCTCGATGCTATTCAGTTGATGGGCGGCAGCGGATATATCAACGAGATCCCTGCTGGACGTCTTCTCCGCGATGCAAAGTTGTATGAGATTGGCGCTGGTACTAGCGAGATTCGCAGGATGGTCATTGGTCGTGCATTTAACAAGGAATATGCTTAGAATGTACTTTAACGGACTTGGAAAGGCTTCACATTTTAAGTCTCTTGAGATATTACTATATTCCCCGTGGGATGCAAATGCTTATATAGATAACTAAATGCATATTGATACATGTCGCTTTCGTCGTAGATCATCGACAGATGGCACTGAACAAGGATGAAATGGCCGTGCATCCCACCCTACCCCATGCAAAGTCCTCCGCACCGTGCAGAGGAGAACAAGTCTACTTCTTCTGCCGAGCTGACCTGCGCACAGCCGGTCGAGTCGAACCGCCCTTGACCTCAGCTTTGGCAGCATCGCTCCCACCCTTACGAGACTCAACTCTCTTTGCCCGCGGCGCCTCATCCTCCCCGCCAGCAGGATCATCATCCTTCTGCGCCGCCGCCTTCCGCTTCCACCCTCTCTTAACCGGGATGACGACCTTCGGCGGCGAAGGCAGATTCGCGGAATGGGCGGAATCCAAGTCCGGCGTCGTATTCGAGGCATCGCCGGTATCAAGGCTCGACCCATCGTGCGATGCAGAATCATCCATTTCATCGGAACTGTCCAAGTCGTCCTCGTCTCCGTCGCCATGCATGTCTTCGGGTTCCATTTCATTATCCGCCTCCGACAGCGACGCGTCATCCACAGTGTGCGCTTCCTCCACTCGCCTCCTCTTCAACCGCGATTTATCCAGCGCAGGCTGTGAGTGCTTGAACTCCTCTCTCCAGTTCTTCAACAGCGCGACTTGTTCGCCGGTATGCGGTTCGTAAAGAATCGCAACGTCCTGGTCGCGGTCCAGACTGGGCGTCTTCCAAATGACACCCTGGAACGACCCGACATCCAGTACGACAGGCGATTTGATCTTTGCTGCTGCAGTCTTGGGTTTCTTGCCCTGGCGTTTTGTTTTTGCCGGCGCAACGACCTTGGTTCCGATTTCTCTTACGAGTCCTTGATCGGCTGTCGGGTCAACGTCGTAATAATCGTCTGATTGGTATTCCAAGTCGGCGAAGTAGTCTTCTGTGTCGCTGTCCACGTCGAGGAAAAGGCCTGTGGCATCGTGGTACGCGGAGGCGGCGAGGTCGTCCTGTAGGAACGGGTCATTAGGTTGATGCGCTTCGTGGGAAGAAAGGACTGCACAGGTGGCATCAAAGAGACACTTACGACTAGTTCGGGAACTTCGTCTGCGTACTGGTAATCGTCCACCTCGTACTCGTAGTAGTACTCATCGTCGGACATGTTGGAGTGGATACCGTGAAGAAGAAAAAAAAAGGCGGAAATGGATCGAGGGGCGACGCTTTCAAAGAATGCGATATAGATGGAGTTTAGTGACAGTCTGAAGGGTATAGATGGTATGTATAGAGCGCATCAAACGAGTGTGCAGCTGAAGTGAAGATTGAGATGATCTTGAAATTGGAGATGGCCACTCTGCTAATGTAAGCCTTGGCGTTGACCAAATGAACCACATTCCGGCAATTGGTGAGGATAGGGTTTCTGTGCATCCTATATATTTGGCTATTTCTACGCTGGTTGACGGGGTTTTATTGAGTGTTTTTAGGATCTGGTATCTACCTAATTCTACAGGATTGTACAATATTATTCTTTGTAATGTCGACGTCAGCGTCTCCGATCTATAAATCCCTACAAAATATTTGAAAACGTTCGTTACTCAAGTGGATTCTATTTCTAAATCAAACTGTCTAATAATGACTAGTCAACTGTTGTTCTTTGGTTTGTTACTGAAATTTTATGGAATTAATTGGCTGACCATGGTATACTTACCCTGAACCCCCCAATCCTGTAGAAACTTCCAAGTTTGACTTCGAAACTTCTCTAGTAAAAACCATCGTGTGACTATTCCTCAGTATCCAAGTAGCGTTTGATCAAGGAAAAGTTGCTAAATTAAGACTGTATAGTTGCAAACCCCGGATTGTTCCCCAGATCCAAGGTTCAGGTACACATACACTTGGATCCATTTCCATCTCATTAAGCAGCGTCGAGGGCTATTTTGAGTCATAAACTATAAACGTAGAGTCATATACTCCCCCTTCTCCCCCTCTTCTTCTTCTCTTTCTCTTTCTCACCTTCATATCCATCAGCATGTATATCAAGTACCAGCTCCTCATCAAGTCTCGCGACGCGAGCATCGGCTCTTTCATCCTGAGAATTACAGACTACAGCCGTCCTTCTGAGGCTTCTCTTTATCGACTTGCCAAAAGGCTTGTCGCCTCATTGCTTAGGTAGAAAGCCGAGGGCCCCGGTCTATACCTGAGCATTGAGAATCCACACCCTACTGGGGATCTGGCAACAAACATGTTGGTTCGCCTATAGTAAACTACCAGGTAAGCTTGAAGTAACATGGCTCATCGATTGCATTCCCGGTGTTAACACTCTGGAACAGAATGCATCGACATTAGCAGCATGGCTGCACTGTGGAGTTGATCCTTCGATCCTCCTACGACAACACCTCACTACATCTTCGTGATCAGGGTATCATTGGAGGGAAGTTGGATGGAGGATCATGAGGAGAACATTGGAGGAAACTGGGTTGAATTGATCTCTTCCGGGGCTCGTGTTTCCCGGTTTCCTTTTGTGATTTATTGACTTTTTATGCTTTTTATGCTTTCTTGAATTTCATGATTTTCTTGTTTTCTTGATTTTTTGACTCTTTTGATAATTCTGATCTGCGGAGGAATCTCTCTCTCATCCCCGTTCAGACTGGATGTCTCCCAGCTGAACACTCAACTATGTTGAGCTTTCGTCGTCAAACCCCACTACGACGAGGAGGCACTCTTTCCAACTGGGTCGTTTATCCCACGCGGTTTCGCTCAGATTGGTTTTAACGAGGCCTCAAATCAATCAGTCAATTTCTTGGAAATCAGTGGAGGACATTGGGGACAACAAAAGACCGTCTAAACAACGGCCTAAACAACGGCCTAAACAACGGCCTAAACAACGGCCAAAAAAACCGACGATATCAAGTCTCCACACAAATGCTCCACAACAAACATCAAATCAAAGCATTGGAGCATTGGGACTTGGGGGAATTGGAAGAAAGCCAGGGGGGAGGGTTCAATTTATACGGGGTACTCTTTCCAGCTGGTTGTATTTTCCCAAAGGGTTTTCTTCCAGTTGGTTTTAACGAGGCCCCGTTTCGAATGAAATGTTTAGATAAAAGATGAAGAAGGGGTCTTTGTCTGTTTCTTTAATGTGTGCTTGGTTTTCTTTGCGAGGGGTACTCTTTTTCCAGCTGGGGGTTCACCAAATGGGTTCACTTCAGTTGGTTTTAACGAGGCCCCAAACTTGAAAGCCATCGGACTAGATACGTTGCTGCGTGATTCAGGAGTGGGCATGGACTCCCTCTTCTGGATTGTTCAGTGACAAATTGACAAGTTGATTACTTGATTTTACTCTGATTTCTGTAGATCTTTGTAGATCTGAGAGAGTGGTTCATTTTAACAGTTCCATTGGGATATAACTAGGCAGCCAATCCTCTGGTCTTATATCCATATTATCTTTTTTTCAAAAACTAATATGTTTCAGCAACAACTGGGATCGTTTGGGGAAAGGAACCATCAATGAAATTCGCAGAGTTATTGAACAAAAGCCATGAACTCATAACCCAAGAGACTCGGCATTGCCACTGTATATCCTTTGGACCTCACTCTTTTCAAACAGTTGCTCCAAATTTGTATCCATCGTGTGACTAAGTCCTTCGACCGCATTCCCTGGCGTATAAGGATAATCGCTACCGTAAAGCAAACGACTCGAGTCACCAATTCTCAAGAACCCATGAATCAAATCCGGGAACGGCAAACCAGCAAGATCAAAAAAGAACCTCGTGCGGAACAACTCCTTGACTTGCTCACTGGTCAACCTCTCACCGGATTTAACCAGGCCCATTGCTGTAAAAGCCGTGAATCTTTCAACGAGCGGCGGCAAAGTTGCACCGCAGTGGGAAACCAAGAACGTGAGATTCTCACATCTCGACACGGTCCCCGACAACACCAGGTTCACCACAGCCCTAGTCGTGTCGAAGAAGTATTCCATCATCGGCGTCGGGTATTGAGGCAGGGGTTTGTCTGCTTCGGGATTATCCACGACGCAGCATTGCGTTGGATGCATGAAAACTATGGCTTTTCGCTCATTCAACTTTCTGAATACTTCATCGAATCGTGAGTCGCCCATGTAGTAGCCCTGGGCATTTGTCATGACGGCAAAGCCGACTGCACCAAGCTCCAACGCATGGTCGATCTCTTCGAGCGACCCTTCGACGTCGGGCAGTGGCAGTGAGGCAAAGAACTTGAATCGATCTGGGAACTTGCGGCAGATCGAGGCAATCTCGTCATTGGTCTCGCGGGTGATTTGTCTCGCCAGTGCAAAATCCCCGGTCTTCAAATGAGTCCCTGGGGATGTGATACTAAGAATCGACCGCTTGATTCCGAGCTTGTCCATGAGTGCGATGTGACTTTCCGGTGACCATGCCTGATGAGGCGTTAGACTTGTATAGCTGGTTGGTTGAAAGCAAGCTTACCGGAATGCATGGCATCCCATCAGGTTTGTCCCAGCCAAGTTTTTCACACCATTTTCTCCAGCCGTCTGGGACAATGTGACAGTGAGTATCGATTCTTTCCATATTGACAGCCTTTCGGTATTGAAAATATGGTCTCTGTGCCCAAAACAAGGCTCAACCTTATATAGCTGAAGTCGGAAGCGTCGGCAAGTGTAGAACAAGCACCTGAAGTGGCGGGACCAATCCACTGCGGGACCTTGGAACAAAGCTTGTTGTGGGACATGCATTAACGGTGTACATCGCTTTATATGTGAGCGTTCCGGTTTGGTTGGTATAACTTCAAATGCAAATTATGACCTCAACGCTCATGATGTTGGAAAAACAAAGTCTAACGCGACATTTTGCTTCTCTCGGGGACCCAAAATTCGATTCAAATTCCGATGAATTCCAGAATATCGCCGATCTCCATCAGGTCCACCACGGAGGTTTTGTGCTCGTGTCGCCGACATCTCCGTACTACCCGAAATGGCAATATTCATGTACAGACCGGGTGGAAGCGACAATAGACCAGCAAATTTAATTTCATAAATAGTACTATGCACATAAGGGGCAACAAATTATGCTTCACCAAGTCCTTACTAGGCCGTCAAAGCTTGCTATACGTATCCCACAATCCCGTACATCCCAGCCAGTCGAGAAAAACCTCATTGAGACCTTGTCTCAAAAGCTCATCGCCCATATAATATCTCTTCTTTTTATCCCACACAGCAGTCCCCAGAGTACTTTGAAGTGGCTTACCTTGACGAATGGTCTCCATGGATTTCTGCATGTCCATCCAATACCCGCTATCCGGACTCCACTTTCGTTCGTCGTCTGTGGAAGACGCGAGTTCCGTAAAGCTCGGTAAATGTTGAACAGTCTGCCAAATTCTGGGTGCATCGTAGTATGCAGCCTTTCCAAATTCTTTCACCAGTGCTTGCGAATATTCGGGGTCGACCATCTGCCGGGAGGTCCGTTGCAGATATTCGATTTGATTGTGTATGAGACTTTGCACTTCGCCTGTTCCGTGCGCATAGTTGTGTTCTTTCTCTGCCTTTTCAAGATAGAGATTTAGTTCGTCTCTTAATTTTCGGAGACGATAGTGTGCCCATTCGGGGTAAATGGTGCTCATATCAGCGTACGGTCGAACATTCGTCATGTAGCTGGAGTCATAGACATTTGGCATCTTGGATCGGTATGAAGTAATGGTGGATATGCGCTCTTTTACCCCCTTTGCTCGGGCAGCTAAGTGTTTCACTTCCCCACCCTGCAGCATCACTGCGTGGCCGATCTGAGGTCCTTCAACCTATGAAATATTAGACACGCTCAGGTTACACTTCGTCAGGTTAGTGTCACATACCTTTTGAGATTCTCCATCACCTTTCTGAATATATGTCTCCCCTCCAATCATCCCCTCTGTGTCACTCAACATCAAGACACAAACGTAGGGATATGAGTCGTCACTTCAATTGGGTTAGCTCCTCCATCCGATTATTCAACTGAATGGAAAACTTACTGCCAAGGAATGATAGCACTGGCATCCTTCAGCGGATCATAGGCTCGGTCCTCGACACTCAGCTCGAGCTTTTCCAACGATGGCTCAACGTTCAGATTACTCGCCATTTCCGGGATCGTCCTCCCTTCAACTTGGATGTTAGTGTGTCCTATTTCTGTAGGCATCACAATCTCCAACGGCACGTCAACCGCATCAGAGACTATCCTCATGGTTTCGGGGTGGGTCCAAAAGTCATTCACGAATTTCGACTGCTTGACCGCATCCCGCAGGACCAAAGTGCCCGGAAATGGGGAGCTTGCACATTTGCCAATGACATCTTTCTGGAACAATGCCCTTCGATAGGCTCTCACCCCTTCGGGCGATAGTAGTGGAAATGGCACTGTTCCCGCAACAGGCGATGCATTTGGACTTTGCTTCAAAAGCAAGTCTTCTAGTGTGATCTTCTTGGAGGGTGGTGTATAATCGAGATGCACCTGTCGAGTCAAATCTTAGATTTTTCATTCTTCGTGTGCTTTGCAGTATATTGCGCCTGGGTGCACGTACGTTTGGGTCAAAGACCTCTTCTTTGTTTTCAGATACCTTGTCAGAGCCTCGACTCCATCTCCTCAGCAAAGTCAGTGGATTCATAATGGGTATGATGTATTGACCAGATATTTACGAGTCAATATTCGCGGGCTTTCTCTATGTCTTGGAAGGCCGGGTAGCAAGACTAGCTGTGCGTTTGCATTTGAAATAAAGATGAGAAACAAGTGCAACCCAATTCTTAAGAGTCGGGACCGCCGAAGCTCTTACTCAAGAATTATTGACTACGCTTCGAACGCCACTATACTTATCTAGGAAGTTCAGTCCCGAGTGTGTAGTCGGATCGCATATCCACTTTAAGGGATTGATGCTCCACCGTGTTACAATTCCCGCAAGCTGATATGCCCTCGTGAGCTGCTAATGCACTGTTTCCCCACAATCCAATCTGTCACACAGGGTCCCTCCATCAGGAGAATCCTAATCTTCGTATCTGCCGAAAAGTAACTCATTGAGGCGGTCTTATCTTCAAATATTACTGGGCCTGATAAGGAAAGAACCTCAGATTCGTTCACTACGTAGGACAGCAATTTGGAAGGAACAAAGTCACACTGTTTACTTGGAAATATTCCCGTCAATGGAAGGCTTAGATTCTCTTTCCGCCGTTTTCTTTCCCTGACAAACTTTTTTCTCATTGATCATGGCATCCAATCATCCACCATCTCGTGATGATATCGAAACCAAGTCCTCAGCCATCGACCAACTTACGTTGAACGAGGACACACATGACTATGCATTGGGTCAACTCGATGACCGGTATATCGCTACTAAATGGGAAATCTGGGCTTATTATGCGTGCGTTGTCCGCAAACATGTAAGGAGACATGGCTAATGTGGGAACAGCTACTACATCGGCAATAACGGATTATCTTTGTTTAGTGAGTACCACTTTGTCGTCCTTCTACGAGGGAAAGTTTCTAACAAAAGCCTCCAGACTTTGCTCCCACCGCTTTCCAAAATCTACTCTATCAGGCAGCAGGCGATGCAAATGGACTTCTCTTCGCGGGAAAGTTTAGATCCACCGAAAGCATAGTGCTACTATGTAACGGAATTTCATTCGCCATCCAGATCGTCATCTTCCTCGTAATAGGAAGTTTCGCGGATTTTGGAAACTGGCGACCAAATATCCTCATCGTGCTCTCGATCATTGCCTATGCGCTGGGCTTCGCCTGGCTGGGCGTCCATACGGCGGATAAATGGCAAGTGGGCGTGGGCCTCTATATCGTTGGCCTCATTTCCTATCAGACCACTCTTACTTTCTGGACTGCTGCTTTCCCGTCGCTTGCGCGAAACACGGCTGAAATGAGACAAAAGTCCGATGATTACGCCAGTGGTGGTATCTCGCGCGAAGAGTATGATTTTGCTGATACGATGAAAAGGAGTCAGCTTGCGAACACTGCTTTTTACATTCAGTCTGTTTCCGAGATTGTTATTCTTGCCATTATTGTTGGTATCATGTTTGGTGTTGATGTCAATGCCAGTGATGCGAAAAACAACTGGGGCCTCAGTGTCCTCATTGCCTTTGCGAGTGGTGTCTGGCTGCTTGTTTCACTGCCGTGGTTTTTCTTGGAGAAACGGCGGCCGGGCCAGGACCCTGGATCTCGAAATATTGTCCTGGCAGGCTTATCACAGTTATTCTATACAATGCGTCAAATATGGAAGCTCAAACAGAGTTTGCTTTATCTTGTCGGTAAGAAGGAGCCCCTTATATTAATACAATAGGTGATTATTGAGCTAATTGGCACTCAAAGGATACTTCTTACTTGGTGACTCCTTGAACACTACGGTCACTGTAATTAGCACATTGCAAAACAGCCTGGTGGCGTATAACACGCTACAACTGACATATCTCCTTATTGTGGGAATCGCAGCTCAAGTATGTTGCATCACGTTGTCAGAGGTCCATTTTCTAACAACATTCTAGGCAGTTGGGATTTATGTATTTTGGGCCGTTCAACAGCGCTACAAATTGGGTACAAAGACTATGTTCAATGCCATTGCAATTGGCATCGTGCTACTTGATGGCTGGGGTATGATAGGAATTTGGACCGACAAGTTTGGGTTCCATCATGTGTGGGAAGTCTGGGTAAGTGATAGCCCTATTATAGTAGTTTCTCCCGAACACAAAAGGGGAATGGGATAAACACTCATACTGATAGCCCACGATAGGTTTATCAAGCTTTCTATGGCTTGTTCATCTGCCCGTGGTACAGCTACTCCCAAATCATGATCTCCGAGGTAACACCTCGAGGTTATGAATTTCTGTTCTTCAGTCTGTTCAGTATTGTCGGTAAGACTTCTTCTTTCATCGGACCTCTTGTGTCCAGTGCCATCATAGATGCAACTCCTTCTGGCAATGCGTCCACGCCTTTCTATTTCCTGTTTGGACTTAGCGTGTTGAGCTTTGCAATCTTGTTCATTGGAGTTGATCTCAAGAAGAGTCGCAAAGAGCAAGATCAATTCTTGCGAGAGAAAGTGACAAGACTGGAGGTTGAAACAAAACCAGAATGAGATAGAGTCTTAATTCTTTAGCTTTAATATAGCTCAGTATTACTGGAACCTCCTTGGAAATACCACTTAGTCAGCACGAATTCCCCAGGCCAAAAGCGGGTGATTATGTCATTCTCGGCTTTCCCCGCAATCTCGCTTTGCGTCGGCTCAAGAAGAGCTTCAAGACCCTCGCATTCCCTTTCTTTATTTGATCTCTTCATGAAGCCTCGATTATGAACCTTGACCTACCTAGCCTCCTGTGAACCCATTTGTGGCAGCCGAAAGTCTGCCGTCTAACATCATGACCCTCTCATCCCTTCTCCGCATTACTCCCCGCTTAACCCCGACTGCGGTCCGCAGGACAACGCGAGCTGCATCCTCGGCTACAAATATACCAAAGACAAAGTCGTTAGATTCAATTCTTATTGCTAACCGAGGAGAGATTGCGCTGTATGTTTTACTCTGGGATTATACAGGATTGGTGGTACTGACTGCCTGCTAGTCGCGTTGGGCGAACCGCCGCGGATCGTGGTATCCGCGTGACAACCCTTTACACCGACCCGGATAGCCGAGCACAGCATGCATTGAGCTCTCCCTTTGCATTCAATCTAGGATCTGTGTCTGCATATCTTGATGGTGACAGGATTATCGAAATTGCAAAGAAGGAGGGATGTCAAGCTATACATCCCGGCTATGGCTTCGTAAGTGCCCAGACATTATACAGCATCAGATGGTGGAAATACTTACAGATATATTCATGAATAGCTCTCCGAGAACTCTGCATTCGCGCGCAAATGTACCGAGGCAGGGTTAGTGTTCATTGGCCCTCCGTACACAGCCATTGAAGACATGGGAGATAAGAGGTTCGTGCAAAAGCTACTGGGGTAATCAGATCTTCACTGACTCGAATTTCACAGTCGATCCAAAGAAATCATGACTGCAGCAGGCGTCCCATGTGTACCTGGCTACCATGGTCAAAACCAAGATCCGGCCTTCCTCGAAGAGCAAGCTGATCAAATTAAATACCCCGTGTTAATCAAGGCCATCAAAGGAGGTGGTGGTAAGGGAATGCGCATCGCCAGCTCTAAAGCCGAGTTCCAGGCTCAGCTCGAGTCGGCTAAATCAGAGGCAATGAACTCCTTTGGAGATGATAATGTGTTAGTGGAGAAGTACATCACCACACCTCGCCATATCGAAGTACAGGTTTTTGCCGACAAACACGGCAATTCTGTCGCTTTGGGAGAGCGAGACTGCAGTATTCAACGTCGACACCAGAAAATCCTGGAGGAGTCACCAGCGCCTCATCTCCCTGATGTCACAAGAAAAGACCTCTGGGCCAAGGCCCGGTCCGCTGCATTGGCAGTCGGCTACGAAGGTGCTGGAACCGTGGAATTCATTTTCGATAACGACAGTGGTGAATTCTTTTTTATGGAAATGAACACTCGTCTACAGGTGGAGCATCCTGTGACTGAGATGGTCACTGGGCAGGATCTTGTTCATTGGCAGATTCTTGTGGCTGAGGGAGCCAAGCTCCCCCTCACTCAGGAGGAAGTCGAAGAACGGATTGCCCAGAGCGGACATGGTATCGAAGCTCGAATCTACGCTGAAAATCCAGAGCAGGGATTTATTCCTGATTCAGGACGCCTTCTCCATGTACGGACTCCAGCTACTTCTGACGATATCCGCATCGATGCCGGCTTTGTCGAAGGAGACGATGTCTCTGCACACTACGACCCCATGATCTCCAAGCTTATTGTGCGAGGCGCGAACCGTGAGGAGGCTCTTCGAAAGCTAGCCGCTGCTCTGGAGCAGTATGAAGTTGCAGGACCCGTCACCAACATTGAGTTCCTGAAGACTATCTGCAAGAGTCCCGACTTCATCGCCGGTGAGGTTGAAACCGGCTATATTGAAAAGCACCGCGAAGAATTGTTTGCTCCAAAGATCATTGAGGAAGAAGTTCTAGCACAAGTCGCATTGGCATGTCTACACCGCGACATCGGCTCGGGAACGCGCCCTTCTGCCGGTGTCGCTGGATCAGCCGTGGGGTTTACCCCTAGCTACCAAGAGCGCCAACTGTCCTTTACAGAGAGTTCCCTCCCCGGGTCTAGCGACGGCTCCACATTCAATGTGCGGGTACAGCAAACTGCAGATGACACCTTTAATGTGGAGGTTGGCGGACGAGTCTTCGAACAAGTAGTCAGCCACATGGACGCGACATCGCAAATTGTCACCTCCTTTTTCGCACACACTCGGCTGGACACCACCGTTGTCCGGGACGAGGACACCATCATCGCCTTCCAACGAGGAACTCAATACCGACTCACCGTGCCCCGAGCCAAGTGGATGGAGAAGGCCCTTGGAATGAAGGATGTGACTAACAGTGTTTTGGCCCCAATGCCGTGTAAGATCTTACGCGTGGAGGTACAGGCTGGCGATACAGTGGAGAAGGACCAGCCTTTGGTCGTTATTGAGAGTATGAAGATGGAGACGGTGATCCGCAGTCCACAACGGGGTACGATTGCCCGGGTGGTGCACCGACAAGGAGTAAGTCACGCGCTCTCCCCCCTTGCCCTTGGAATTTGGGGCCCCGTGATCCCTTTTTCTTTTGCTTTTGCGCTCTTCTTTGCAATTCCCCTAGGTCTAGATCCTTGTCGGGTGATCCTGGCTCCCCTATAGGCCTGATTTCCCTTCTGCGATTCGAGAACCTCTGACTAACGTGTACCTTGCAGGATCAATGCAAAAGCGGAACACCGCTGGTTGAGTTTGCCGATGCTGAGCATAGCGATTAAATGGGGGTTTTTGTTTCGGAGTGTTTGTTGCTTTTCAGGTTTCCAATAAGGGGGATGCAACATGAAATTTTTCAATACAGACATCTTGAACCATTAGATAGGGTAGCTTTGGGAATATCGCAGACCAATCTCAGATTAGATGCATTAGCATTTCCCCAATCTTAGCTCCAGTTCTCCACATGTGGAACTAAATACCCCAGACCATCGTCATTGCTAACATCGCCACTTGAGGGGAAATTCCCTGCACCATACGGAGTACACAGTACCACATCAATCTTCTGGGGTGAATTGGTCCAATATTTCCGGTGGCAAAATGCATGACACAAAGATGATCGCAGAGTCAAGGTCTCAGCGGCAAAGGCGGCCGTGTTACCCCCCGAAATGCAGAAAGTGACTGGTCCCTTTCTCTGCACATACAGTATACAGTATGTGCTGTAAAGGTACAGAGGTCTATGTAGGAAGAGCTGTGAGATACTCTCCGGATCTTAACCACCGAATATTGCGATCAACCAGACTGAAAAAAAAAGTGTGTTCCCAAGCTACAGTACAGTACAGGAACAGCAACAAATAGCTGAATCGGGGGGTTCCAACAGCTCAAAACCAAACACAAAAAGCCATCGGCTGACATCACTTCGCCTCATATTTTGGAACTCGTAAATTTGTCCGAGACGCATGAATTCTCAATTGTTCAAGCACGGCCTCCATTGGCCCTGCTTTCACCGCAATTGTCACATTCCCCAGCTCCTTGGATAAAAATAAAAAAAAAGGAAAGCTCCGATGACTTGCTTTCCTTTTTAAAAACCCGTTCCATCCCCTGGCTGTCCCTGGCGCCCTTTCCCCCAGATTTTCTGTACCTCTACCTCTACCTCTACCTCTACCTCCAAGCTCACATCATCTACAGCTCAGTATATCTGAAGCTGGACCCTTCACAATGTTCAATCCAAGAGTCACTCGCAATGCCATCAGAGCTCTGAACACAGCGCGCCCAGCTGCATTTGCAGCCTCACGGCCTGCTGCAGCTTTCACTCGACCCTTGTCGTATACACCGACTTTGCAAAAGAAATCCAATGACCCCTCAAAGGACCCCAATGAAGCGGCTACAACTAGAGCTCCGGAGGGTGCATCCGGGGAGCACGAGGGCCAGTTCGCTCGTACCGATGAGAGCGTTCATATCGAGTACCCTCCGGACAGTGAGATGCCCGCCCAGCCTGTGGTCCAGGGCCGCGGTGGCATGCACTTCAAGCGTACCCTAGCTCAATTCTCACTGGAGAAGAAGGTCAGCATGGTGACGGGTGGTGCCCGTGGTTTGGGTCTTGTCATGGGACAGGGTCTTGTCGCATCAGGCTCTGATCTAGCCATTGTTGATCTGAATAGTATGTTCATGTTTACGAGGCCCAGATCTTTCGTCGAACAATTGCCTGTGAAGCAGAGCATCCGCTAACGTCTACTCTATAGAGGACGAAGCCGTAACAGCGGCCCAGTCGCTCATTGACCAATTCAGAAAAGAAAACCCGGGTATCGAGGACTCAGAGTACGTACATAAATACACACATACAAGCATACCACTTCACCAGCTCCAAACCCCCAGCACAGAATCTAACATCCATCACATCACAGCATGCCCACCGTGACAGCCCACTACGCCGACGTCGCAAACCCAGACTCCGTAAACGCCGCCCTCACCGAAGTCCTGTCGAAGCACGGCCAGATCGACAACCTAGTCACCTCCGCCGGCTTCACCGAGAACTTCGACGCAATCAACTACCCCTTTGAGCGCATGCAGAAGCTATGGGGCGTCAACGTAGACGGAACCTACCTTTTCGCCATCGGCGTCGCCAAACACCTCATGGAACGCAAGGCCCCCGGCAGCATCGTCATGATCGGCTCCATGTCCGGCGCCATCGTCAACGTGCCCCAGCCCCAGGCCCCGTACAACGCAGCCAAAGCAGCCGTGCGCCATCTCGCTGCCTCGCTTGCTGTGGAGTGGGCTGGCCACGACATTCGCGTCAACTGCATCAGCCCGGGATACATGTTGACTGCTCTGTAAGTTATTCCCTCCAGTTGTTCAAAACATCCGGTCTACCTTTACTTTGGGGAGATGCGAGACTAACTCATTGCCTTTCTTTTGGCTGGTAGGACCCGCAAAATCCTCGACGAGAACCCCCAGCTCCGTGATCAATGGACTTCGCTCATCCCCGCCGGAAAAATGGGTACGCCCGAGGACTTGATGGGCGCCGTTACGTTTTTGCTGAGCGATGCTTCCAAGTACATTACCGGTGCGGAGCTCCGCGTTGATGGCGGGTATACTGTCACCTAAGCTCGGTGCAAAGAAACATCATATGTATTTTGTTCTAGCTTGTGTTTTCATCGTTGCATAATGTACGGATTTTTTATTTCTCTCGAAGGCGCGCAAAATATCAGTTTACTTTGTTTTGATAAGAAGGGACCAAAGAATGAGTCTTGAAAATTGGATTTCTAGCATTTTTGTCATTCCACTTTAAGACGTGTTCGTTATTCTTAATGCTGGAGTCATCCCCAGCTCTCGAATATAATTTATCAAGAGTCTAAGCTCTCAATGGCAGGTTGAGTCCTTGTCTTGTCCTGATCGTCCAGGTAACGTTATGTGGAGAGTCCAGCGGAACCCACTTCTCTCCACCAAGTTACGCCAGACCCGATATCCAGTAGACCCGCAACCCCTGGATCAAGATCTGGATCTGGATCTGGACCCTGAACCCCGGAATATAAGACATCTTGTACACAGCCCCTTGATTCAAAAGCTTTTGGGAATTGGTTTGTATGCCTTACTGGTCTCTGGTGAAATATCTGTATATCTGTACTGTACATGAACATGGACATGAAAATGAAGAAATAACTTACGTGACATGGATACAGCAATAGAAAGACACCAGACCAACGTTGACATTCGCTAACTCGGTTCAGCTCTGAGGAATTCCCGCGGGTTTCGAATTCCCGTTACCGGGACCGGGACAGGCACAGGCACAAGGGGGAATGTGGCGTGTTGATATTGAGTGGGTTGATTGGGGTTTGGTGGCTTTGGTGGCTTTGGTGGCTTCGGTACTTGGTGTGGTTAGTTGGGTTCAATTGGATGGGTAGTTGGATGAAAGATGGCAGGGAGTTGAGGTTAAATTGTGGGAAGTGAATCTATGGTGTTTTGTTGTATATCGACACCTGGTGATCTAGGCATGAACTTCTAGGTTCGAGCCGCGTCTCAACCATGGGACCTTGAAGGCTATTGATCTATAAGTTATATGTCTACTGTGAGTGGACTGTGGTGTTTGGGGTGTTTGTTTGGCTTTGGTGTGGATGGTTGATGGTTATAGGCTAGATATGCAGTATTCTGAGCAGGATGTTTGGGTAGTATTGTTGTGGCTATGCTATTAGAGGGCACTGTATGCAATCGAAACTTTGCTCTATGATTCTAAACTCTAGTTTGGAAATTTGAGACTATAGATCAGTGGTATCCTAATGATGCTTTTTGGTCTGACGGAGCAGTTCAGATTGTTCCGTTGCTTTTTGTTAACCCATATCCTAGTTTGAGTGTTGCAATTTCTAATCATGATCAGTATCGTAGCTGAGTGACAATTTGAGGTCTTTTGTATATACAATAGTAACAATTGACCATAAATAGAAAAAATTATTAAGTCGTAGGTGCAGAGCCTTACTACCGCATATATATATATCTTCGAAGGGAAATGTTGTCAAACTAGCTTCCCAACCAAGATATATATATTGATAAAACCTCATGTACCTAGGAATGCCTAATGTGATAACCACTCTAGAGTAACCCAATAGAGCAGACAGCACAAACCATAATCAAAGGGAGCTTTAAGAGACAGCACAGACGTCATCACTAGGTCCACCACGATACCACCGCACCCCAGAGACACAAACCAGCCAAACAAGAGGTGAGCCCCATGGCAGAATCCATCAATACCGCAGGAAGCAAAAAGACAATAATTACTAAGTGAGGAATACGGAACACGGAATACCGAACGATAAATGAAACACCAAACCGGCAAACCGTACCGGAACAGAACGGTCTAGAATAGCTGTAACGATACCAGTAACGAATGAATCATGTGCAAAGATAGGCTGCAAGGTTTAAAGCGCAAGGCGCGTTTGCATATACGTATGCAGGCCTCGGATTGGGTCGATGGGCGTGGTATTGTACATGAATTGGTGGCGGAGGGAGCTCGGAGCTACGGCAGTGTAACGCGCGACTTGAGGCATTGGAGCTCTGTCCCGCGAATTCCAGGACCAATTCGACGAGTGATCTGCTGAGAAATACTGTACCAAGACACAGAACAGCCATTGGCTTCTTGATGAAACGAATGGACCGAATAGGGGGAGGGAAAGAGGCTGGATCACATGCGGCTTGGCACATGCAGAAATACGTTTCGGCCCAACTTTTGCTTCATTGGAGACCCGAAAGAGGAAGAAAAACAAAACGCGCTAGTGGAGAGGCCAGCGTGGCGGGAAGAACTGGAATTGGGGATGAAATTGATGGAATGGATGGATGGACACAGATTACGGCATGCATTATGAACTAGATACAAGGGAATGGCAGTCTATTCCGCAAAGTACAGAAGCACCGATTCACATTTTCACCAGCACACAACAAAAGGATTGCATACATCATTGACATTGGAAGGCATCGTCATACAAAGGAAATTAAATCACACAACTTAAGAAAATAAGACACGATTCATCATGATCCCACAAGGGAAAATTTACAGGCGGGAGCCGTGGATGACCTTGTAGTCGACGACGAGCTCGCGGCCACCGTCGTTGATGACGAGGGCGCGGACGGAGCCACGGCCGTCAGCAAAGGCATCGCTGATGCGCTTGAAGAGGCCACCCTGGGTGATGACATCGAGACCCTGCTTGACATCGCCGGACTCGGTCATGGCGACGAGGCGGTTGTCATCACGGAGGTCCAGGATGCGGTAGGTCTTGAAGACGGGGCCGAGCATGGTCTGGACGACAACGGAGGGAGAGGGGTTGGCGACGAAGCTAGACTCCTCCTGCAACTTGCGAGTGAAGAGGTCGACACCGAGGTAGCGGTGCTGGCCGGTCTGGGGGGAAACCGAGATGCGGATGACCTGGCAGGGGCGACCCTGGAGGATGAGGATGTCGCCGATGCGGATGAAGTGGCAAGGGATCGGGACGGTCTCGCCAGCGTTGCCGCGGTTGCGGGGCTCAACAATACGGACAGCAGCCTGGGGGGCAGGTTCTTCGCTAGCGTAAGTTTCCTCGCGCTCATGGTGGTGGTGATGATGGGGGTGCAGGATGTGATCCGCCGCGCGCTGAACGCCACGGCGGAAGGAATGGTACTGACCATCGTCGTCGTAGTAACCCATCTTGGAGGCTGGGGTGGTAGTCTTTACGGAGGACTTGGAAACCTTGACTTCGGTGGGAGCCGAAGACGAAGAAGAGTAACGGGATCGGGAAGGCTGGGCCTCACGAGTGTAGTTGTCCTGGGATTGGTAGTCCTGGGACTGGGACTGGTACTCTTCTGACTGGGACTGGCGGGGCCGGTCGTAGACAGCAGTGGGCAGACCGTAGGCGGAGCCTTCACGTTGAGAAGTGTAGGAACCGACGGGGAGGGACTCGTACACAGGGGCACGATCAGAAGCGAAGCTGCGACGGATGTCACGTTCAGTTAGGTCGAGTTGGTTATCCTTGACCTTGTCGTAGACTTGGGTACGGTCCTGGTAATAGGACTGTTGATAGTTGGGGTAGCTGTGTAAGAAGGGAAGATATCAGCCCATGCTCCACGGGTACCAGAAACATAATAAACAAAACAGCCAGTCACCGCTAATTGAAGTGGATCCCGGTTTTAGTGACACGTAATTTTAGTCTGCGACTAAATCCGTATTGCCTCTAAACCTGAAAAGGAGATCTCACAACAAATAGTGACTCCACTAGCTGAGCTGTGGAGCTGTGGCGCTCCCCAGCCCAACCAAAACCGACCAAAACACAGGTAACTGTAAAAACAGTAACAATTGTAAACAAAACACGTACCTAGTGCGAGAGACCTCAAGCGGGGCTTGGAACTCGGGAGTTTGCTGATAGTAGTCCTGACGAGGGGCTTGGGCGCGGTCTTCGTACTGAACACGCTCGGGGTACTGCTCTTGGTACTGAGGACGTTCCTGGTATTGAGTACGCTCTTGGAACTGAGGGTGCTCTTCCTGGAACTGAGGACGTGGCTGGAATTGCGATTGGCGCTCTTCCTGGAACTGAGGACGTTGCTGGAATTGAGACTGGCGCTCTTCCTTGATAACGAACTCTTCCTTTCCTTGAATACGAGGAGCGGGAAGGGGAGCAGGACCCTGAGTATCTTCCCGTTCGACGTGCGAAGGACGTTCGAAATTGACTTCTCCCTCTACTCGCGTCTGAGTAGTTTCAGAGACAGCGTCACTCCGGTACGACGACGGGAAGACACTGAAGGGGATGGGAACGCGGGCGTCAAAGTCCAGATTGCCGGACTTGAGGTCTTTTCTCGAATGCCTTTCGAACTGTCGCGAAACAACTCGAAAGACTAGACAAGAAAAGACTTAGGGGGCAGTCTTTCTCGAGGGGAAGGTAAAGAAGAGTAAGATCTTCTTGATAAGATGATTGGAATGGAGGGGGAATAAGCTTAAGCTTTGGGGAATGTAGGAATGGAAAGGGAAGAAGAAAAGGAAAGGCGCAGCTGGCGAGTGCAACGATTATTTATGCCTGGGGATTGTTTACGCCGCCTTGCCGGTTTAGGGTTTCTGCTGATCACCGAGGTTCACTCTCTCCTTGATATAATTAATTAGACTTGAACGTTTTACACTACAGGGCATTGACTGTTTTCAATTGGCATTTCCAGTCTTTTGAATCACTTTTCTGTTCGTTTCTAGTACCGAGTTCTCTATGCAATACGGAGCTCAATACACACCGTCAGAACCCCGTTCACATGGGGGGCTGGCCAGCGCGTATCATCTTTCATCCCCATAGCAACCTCCGGGACGAATCGGACACTGGGTCCCCCCCGTGGCGCCGATCGTGTTTGGCTCCATCACATCGGCACAATGGGACACGGGGTTCAGTGGTTCTTGTGGTGCGGAGATAATCGACCCTCGGCCTGGGAAGGGAGGGGGGAGAATTATGCGGTTTGCACTTATGATATCCGGTTTCCTGCTCTGAAAATTGCGATCAACTCGACTGGTGGCCATTGGCTCCATACCCGAAACACACTGGCCAACGCAATTGCCATGCAATACACTGTCAATACATGCACTTTGCTCCACTGGAAAGTGATTCATCAAGATCCTCCCCCCGAGACCTGAGACCCTCTTTTGGGTCGTCCCCAGCCACTTGTCCCCAGCCCAACCACCTGCTGGAGCTGGCGCCAGCGCATGCAGTCCGTGTCTAGACCCTCTTGCTGCAACGAGGCTGGGAGCTGCAATGGCGTGGATTGGTCATGACCATGTGCTATTTCTGCTTTGCAATACGAGAGGCTGGTCTTGTGTGATCGCTGTGATGAGAGCTCTTGACGGCGATCCCGAGTCTCCAGCCTCGGCCGTATCTCAGTATCGCCGTTGGATTCAATGCACTCCAGTGACTTTATCCACACCAGCATGTTTAACTGATGTGCCCAATGTGGACCCCCCGGTCATGCTAATGCATTGCTCCATCGCTGACGCACTACTGTACAATACAGAGGTGTATGCATAATGTGACTTGGAGCTCTCCGGCAGTCTCGGGATTTGAGACGTTCACTTATCAGCGACTAAATAAAGCCGGTGAAGAGCCAATGCCTTATGCCGAGATATAGAAAGGTCTCCCCTGCCAGCTCCTGGTTGATGACCGTTACTCACCCTAGTCCATGCAGGTGAATGGGAGGTGACGAAATTCTTGGCAGAGCCAGTGTTTGACCCCGAGTCCTCCAAGGAGCCTGACCCAGTTTCAGACTTGCAGTACCCACAGAGGACATACAATACTAGGCATCGAGCCTGAAGCTGATGGACAAAAGAGCAGTGATATTGGTTCCACTAGAAAAAGAAAGAATTCTTACAAAAAAAAAGACAAACTGCCGTAAATAGGCCCTGACTTTTCCCTAACACCAGAGACCTGCGCCCCAAACACTCAAAAAAGCAAACAAAAGCAAGAAGTCTTGAGAAGAGTGACTATACTGAACAGCGTATCAAAGCATGGAACCCCAGATAAACAGAATAGAATAGAGCAAACATAAATGACCGAGTCACCAAGCAACACAGAGCAAGATGATCCAGTCTATCCTCGATATCCAATATGAAGATGACGCCGGACCGGTATGGAATGATATGATATAAAAACGAGATAATCGCACAGTCTCCCAACGAAAGAAAGCAGAGAAGAAAAGCAACAACTCAAAGCGAGTTCTATTGTACATCAGTGGCCTTTGATTATAAGAGCAAAGCAGAATCGAATTGGATCGAGAGTGGGGGTATCGTGATGCGACGCAGGGTAGCGGGACAAGCTCCATGAATGAGAGTGGGACAAGAGAGACCACATGCGGTATGGAGGGCAAGTGGTACAGCAAGGATAGATTAGCGCTCTCCAAACTTGCCATACTCTTGCTGCCACTTGAGTAAATGGCGCGTGAGAACGTCCATCATCTCGACGCTGCTGAGTTTATTGAAATCTTTGTCATGCGTCGAGGTATCGCCATAGCCGCCGTCAGTCGTTGCAGGCGCGGACTCGCCGCCGTCACTGCGGCCCGAGGCCATCGCGCTGTCTATTTGGTCCACCATGCTCTTTAGCAGGAGGCCTTGAGCGCGGTCGCCGTTACTGGTCGGTGTGGAGGAGTTCTCGCCAGCAACAGCCATTTCGACTTGCATGCGCGAGATGAACTCGAGAATTGCGGCTACGCGGCGCTTCATCTCATTCATGGTTGTTCGCTGCGGGTGCATATGTCGTGGCTTGCTTGGCCGTCCAGACTCTCCACCGTTGAGGTGCGTACCATTCATCCCGGCGTATCCAACTCGCGGGGAGTCACCGCCAAATTCATGGGACTGACCACGGCGCGGTGAGTTGGCCATATATCCTTGATCCACGCCATTTCCATTTGTGTCTCGGTCCTTTGTATATTGGTTTCGTCCGACACGGCCTCGGCGCGCGGAAGGACGACCGGACTTGCGAGTCGACGGGCGAACCGGGGTGGGCTCTTGAGGAGTGGGGGTGTTGGGGCTTGCTTGTGTCGGTTCGGTTTCAATCGGCGCGGTTTTGGTAGGTGATCCAGGTTCAAGTTCGGATTCTGTGATAACTATGAGCAAGGGAACGTTTGCGAACGTGGAACTGTAGGATTTACCTTCTCCTTTGCGCCGGTTGGTCCTTTCTTTCCGGCGAGTAGTTACTTCAGGAGCTTCTGCGTCACCCTCATCGGTGTCTTTGGCGGGATCCTTATCGAGTTGACCTCGAGAGGTGGCCCTCTGCCTTCGAGTACCGTTGACTGCTGATTTCTGCTTCTGCTCATCATCTGAAGGTGGGTGGGAGGCAGTATGTTTCGATGCAGCTGCTGGCGATGGAGAGGCAGTTCGTGGGCGCTTTGACCCTTCTCTGTTCCTGGGTACCCATCAGCCATGAGCAAAACAATGTCATTGAGTCTGAGTATACGTACGTCACACTGTCACTCCGACTTCGTTTAGTCCGACGCGTAATTGTCTCATCCGGATTGCTCTTGGAATCTTCCTTGCTTTCCTCAATTGCGCGCCGGATCAATTCTTCTTCGTCATATGCAGCATCCCGGCTGTTCATCGTCGAGCGCCGCTTGGGGTTGGAAGCGCCTTCACTATTCCGCGACTTTCGGTCCTTCGAGCGTCGAGAGGTGTCTCTTGAAGATGCCCGGGAGGATGGGGCGGGCGAGGGCGCCTGCACTGGGGTTGGTGTAGGTGCTTGTACAGGTGCGGGTGTAGGTGTGTGTGCAGGTGCAGGTGCAGGTACGGGTGCTGGTGGTGCTGGCGGTGCCGGCGGAGGCGGCGGCGGCGGTGTTGGCGAAGACACGGGTGCGACTGGTAGGTAGGTGGAGGATCGTGATCTGAGAAGATATCAGCATGATACTTGGAGTGACAGAGTATATAAAAGGAAATTGCAGCTGCTGGAGTGGTCCTGTCCGAGGCCGTCTCTAAGAGGCAGCCCCTCCAAGCAGCGAGGCCAACCATGACAGGGAGACAGATGAAAAAAAAAATTCAAGAGAAGAAAACGACGAGCTGGAGACACAGGATCCGATAATATTTACTCACCCATTAGATTCGCCTTGGATCTTGTGCAAATCCTTCCGACACTCCTCGCAGAAATATTCGTCAGGACTCGTCGCCTCGTCCATGATTCCCACACAGCCACCATGCTGCCACACTTTGCACAAATCGCATTGGATGAACATGCTACCAATCTCATCTGCCATGATATCAGATGGATCAGATGGTATCGGGACTGACTCCAGCTTGATGGTGCCGCGACCGAGGGCCTCGCGACGAGAAGGAGGCAACCCTGGGTAGTCTTGTTGACCACAGAGACACCGGGTAACCTCTTCCTCCTCGTCGTCTAGGTCATCCTCGTCTTCTTCGCCAGGTACCTCATCTTCATCTTCGTGAGCGCGCTGGCGCTGCCGTGTGTGTGGGAGGTCTTTTGAGGCGCTTTCAGCGTCATCGATGGACTGGGATCGGTGGCCGTTGGAATCGTGAGGGGAGGCATTTTTGTGGTTTGATCGGGTGCTTCTCTCTCGAGTAGAGCTGGAGGAGCTGGAGGAGTTGGTTTGTTGGATGAGGGCAGGAGAGGGCTGGGAGGTGCGAGCCCGAGAAGAGCGTCGAGGAGTCATGGCGGGGAGGAGGGCTTTTCCTGAGTAAATTGGAGTAGAAGAGAGCTCAAGGAGCCGAATGAGAGGGATTAAAGTGAGGTAAGGAAACGATGGTTGGTGTGGTTTCTGCACAAACTCGAGCCACGCCGTTTGCGAGGGAGCTCTTTGCGCGCGATTGAGAGCTCCTGGAGGGAGGGTCAAATCGAGCAGGACAATTGGGGAATCGCAGTAAGATCAGAGTCAAGTCACAAGGCTCGATGAAGAGCCCGACGACTACATAGTCTGAGAAGTGCGTGTGTTGGCGGGGAGAAAGAGAAGGAGAAAAGCGCCGGAACGGGACTCCAAAAGATCCCATCGCCGGTTTCCCCGCTCTCGACGCCTTTCAACGCGCGAATCTTTCACCACGCATTCTGTTCGTGTTTCTAATTTTCTCTCCCCAATGCCTCTCGGAGGTCTTTGATTTGGGTCTAATCATTGCTTTTGCCGTTCTTTGGACTTCAAAATTGTTGTGTACAAGGCCTTTGTCCCCACTTGGGTCTGTTCCTGAAATTTGCAGAAGGACCACAAGGAACATCTGGCGAAGCTCGCACTCCAGCCGTTGACAAAAGGCATACTATCCTTTATGGTCTTGCAAATACTTTATCCTATAGACACACAGTGCAAGCAACTTGGAAAGGGCACAAAAGGCAGAGAACCCAAGGCGAACCGGGAAGGCTTAAGCCGTGTTATCCGACCCTGCAGTCATTCGTCTGAAACCAACATATCAGACATCCCGCAACCCACTGCACTACTGATCTGCTTACTCTACTGCAGTTTATATTTGCCTCCCACCTTACCTGACAGTGACAGACATCCCCCCGAACCCCTCCCCTAAAGCTGGTAGGGCTAGCTTGACCGATATATCACCCGAAATTCATCGCACCGCTTCCTCCGATCCTCTTGAGAATATACCTCTTCGTTCCTCCGACGTGATCCTGGACCGTGGACGAGTCGCAGGAAATATGAGGTGACTCCTCCAACAGAATATCGCCAAGGTTTCGACATATTTGACCGCACTGGAATATGGGCTATACCTAGGCAATTGCGAGCCGCATTGGTCATCACTCTCGGCGAATCCCCGATAGCTAAAGGCTGCCTTACGCAAGGCGTCGAGAGTCCGATGTTCGTGGATGCAGGTACGGTAGGAAGGACGATCGGAGGGCATACTTGTAGAGGGCAATGAAAGGGCACAAAGAGATCATGCTCGATCTAGCGTTAGACGAAGATCACATAGGAGAATATATTCCACCCTCCAATAGATGAGTATGCGTGGGAAGTCATTGGGTCGACAGGTTTTCCTAAAGGAGATTAGCGTGTAGTGTTCCGAACTCCCGTGACTCGTCTCTTTCTCTTCACTTCCCTCAACCCCTCTTAGATATCCTATTCGTGATGATATCTGGCTTCGGTCTTTGAGTCATTTTGCTTTGGTCGACCGTTCTTTCTCTTGGTGAGTATCTCCTCTTCGTGGGCAGGTCAATATTTGAGATTGTGGACAACGCGGGGGTTCAATATCTCGCCAAATATACCTGATCCTCTCCGGCTTTGCGACTTAGAAGCTCATAGTTCACAGGCTTCTTCAATTTCCCCATCCGGTACAACATCAATTTTGGAACTATTGGACCTCTCAGGACAGATACGGGTGGAGGGGGACAAAAGGCCAACGAGCTAGTGTATCATCTCATATGCTAGTATCGGTGGAGGGAGAGGACAATTTGCATCATGACTACCTTGAGTATGTCAAGTCCGGACTATCGGCCAGGTAGCCTAGAAACCTCCTCGGAACGGCCTCACAGTTACTGACATGGGAATGAGTAGACGGGGCGTTCAACTCGGCCCCTGACACACCTTCTACCATCTATCCTGATCGTCTGATCCGTCCCCTACCTAAACGGACTCTTCGTTCTCGTCTCTCGTCCGATGCCGCCGACACGATATTCTACCCACCTACGCCGCCGGCATCCCAGATATTCTATGGTGTTTCGGAGGAAGAGGTAGTGAACGAGTCTAAGGTGTATGTACAGCAGACTGTGGAGAGTCATGAGCTATCTCCAGAAGTCGATCATACATTCGAGACAGCTGTAGAGTTGGAGAGCGGGGATGAAGATGGTCCGGTAGTTGTTCGCCGCAGTGCTGGTTTTCGCTCCTCCTCACCTTCCTCTTCACACCCCGAAGGCCCCCCCAAGTCTTCAGGCCCGGACGGTTACGACGCATTTGAGAACACAAATAACAAAAAGAAACGGAAAATCCCCACGCCGGGGAATTTGGGACATTCTGCTTTGTCACCAGAATTCGCCAACATGGGGTTGACGAGCTCGACCCCCGCACCTCCTCCCCCCGAAGGTCCTACGGGTACATATTATGGCAGTGGAAACCCTGCATCTCCGCTGGCTGGGATATCTGGCTCAGGACGAGGTCGGTTAAGTCGGAGCACTGTTCGCACTGGCAACAGTAGGGGCCCGTTGTCGGCTAATGCTCAAAATGGTTGGATGACAGCTCGAACCCCACGACGCGATGGCTTGATGTCGTCCCCCGGCCCAACTGGTGTGTTTCACATTATACTGTGTAATCATGACTTGTACTAACCTTTATAGGGGAATCACCATCAGATCAGGGAATAATCTCTACCGCTATTGCGAACGCTGCGACGCTATCCTCCCCGCCCCGGGGTCCAAGTAATGTCAGCTTGCTAGACCAGGAAAACACCACTCCTACCAAGACGCAATTCACGTTCACCTGTGAGTCTGACTCTTCGAAGGGCATGGCTATGCAGCGGAACTACTCAATCCCCCATCGATCCCCGACCTCGCCTCTCGGTCCCGCAAGTCATAACTCCCGCGGTTTCTCCACACAAGGAACGCAGACCAGTCCTAGTATGGCTGCATCGATGAATGGTCCACCCGGTACGCAACCACCCGCGCAGGGTGCGGAGCAACACCCCGCAGGACCAAAGAAGAAGCGCTCACCGGGCAGCATTTATGCATTGTCTGCTCGCCAGCGCAAAATTCAACAACAATACACGAATCTGCATCACCCCCCTAGCCTGGAGGACATTTGGATTTGTGAATTTTGTGAATATGAAAGCATTTTCGGCCGGCCACCTGAGGCTTTAATTCGACAATATGAGATGAAAGATCGCAAAGAGCGAAAGCGACTGGCAGAGAAGAAACGACTCCTGGAAAAGGCCAAGATGAAGGGCCGCAAGACGAAGAAGGCGACAAAGAACGCCTCCAAGAACTCCTCTCACCCCTACCAGCAAGGATACGACCGCGCTTCCGTGGACCAATCTTCGGCCACCGGTTCGGGTCTTCACGATGATGAATACTTAGGACATGACTACGACGACGAACATTCTTCAATTCCGGCTTCGGCCCCTGCATCCCCCACCGACCTCAAACCCCCACTACCGCCAGGGAACCATCCAAAGATAAATGCGTCCGCCCCGGGCATCAAAGGTGCTGCTGATTCGGGAGCTAGTCGGCCAGCATGACAGACTTGGCTCCGTGGCCTTTCCCTGGGGTCTCTTGCATTCTGAATTTCGCGTTCAAAGTGGGTGTCTGGGTGTTTTCGATATGGGCTTTCTTTTTTTTGCATGAATTTCCTCTCTCAAGCATGGACCGGCGAGACAAATCATTGGAGAGTGTTTCATGATGGTATCCTGTGTAATTGTAATGTCAGCATAAGCGATATGCATATTTCCAATGAAATCTGAGATGATTCAATGTTTGTTTTTGACTGTAGACTGACCATTAAGCTTTGTCAGACTCTCAATATCTAAAATAGCGTCAAACACTTGATTGGATCTCGAGCTTCGCTAAAGCGCCACGCTGAAACAACGTTTGAACATGAGTTCGCGCGCGCCAACTGAAGCTGCTCCCGTATCTGCAGCCCTGAGGAGCCAATTTTACTGCAGGATCTGTGGCAAGCTATTTTGGTCTGAATGTTTCATCTTCTGACGCCGAGATGAATGTCTTTGGATGAAAGTTGCACGCAACCGACGCCGAGATCTCCAGACGCGCGCTCCAAGAAGCAGTGTTTCATCTCATCTAGGGCTGCAGATATTGATCGAAATAGCATTGAGCTTTGTGTACTCCGAGTCCTGGTCCAAGAAGCACAACGGCTGTCTATAAAGAACACACTTGCAGACAACAAGGGCATGAAACCAGACTTGTCTTTCTTTCTAATCCCATCGTGTGATTTCATTGTTTCTTTTCTTTTGTCAGTTACCTACTTCTATTGATTTATACATTCGATCCATCGGACCTTCTCTTTGTCCTTGCTATTCATTCCTAACAATAGCTCCTTCTTCCTCATATTTGGCATCTGGCCTGCCAAATCCATCTACTTTCTCTTTCTGTTTCTTCCTCTTTTCTCACGACATACACACATTCTCCGACATAATACTTGCGCTGTGCGCTATACACCTTCTATCCCACCAACCGCCTTTCACCTTATATCCAAACATTCACATCCTGCGAACCGTTGACCGGTCCAACCAACCCCCCACAACTCAATGTCCTTCATCCTAGTCAAACTGCTCAAAATCGGCGTCAACGAAGCCAAAAAGCGCCACAAAACCAAAAAAGAAGAACAACAATTCCAAGCCGCCGCCGCCGCCGGCTTCCCCAATACCCCAACCCAGAACAATACCCAATGAGCGCCTACCCACCAGGCGCCACCCCGGGAACAACAATGCACTTCAGCAGCCCTCAAGAGCCGATGAGCAAACGCGCCCGAATGAGCTTCATGCTCATCTCCGCCCTGCGCTTCCTCCAATTCGTCTTCGGGCTCACCGTCATCGGCCTGTACGGCAGAGACGTGCACCACGATCACTCGGAGAAACACATCTGGCGCTCGCAGTGGGTCTACGCGCTCGTCACGGGCTTCCTGGCGACCGTGACAGCGGGCGTTCACCTCGTCAAGCCGTTCCTGATGCGGCGGGTGAAGAATGCCGCTGGTCTCAACGTGGGCTTGCTGTTGCCGCAGTTTGCGTGGGAGTTTGTCCTGGCTGTGCTTTGGTTGGCGCTTTTCGGAGTCTTTGGGAAGATGTATATTGGTGTGTATGCTGTTGAATCTAGTTCTAGTTCGAGTTCTGGATCGGGGTCGGGGAAGAGGGATGAGGCTGTTGCTTCGAGTGCGACTTCTAGTCTTGGTGATGCGGATAAAATTACTCGCATGCGCCATGCTGTCTGGATTGATGTTGTTAATCTTCTTTTCTGGGTTGTGACTTCGTCTTGGGTTTTGATGCGCTGGTTGCAGAGTCGTCGGGCTGCCGCTACCGAGGATGTTGTTGATGATGTTGAGAAGGGGGATGAGAATAAGTTTTAGGGGTTGACTTTCAAGCGTGGATATAAACATTGAAGGAGATGTGGGAGACTTGCTTTGATAGTGGAGTTGTTTCGCATCGCGTTTGGGGTTTGGTGACATGTCTTGGGGGCATGCTCGAGTATAGCCATTTTTACTGGTTTCGCATATTTGTTTCTCTGACAATTTGGCCCCGGAGTCATGGTGTTTGGCGCTTTTGAGAATTCTCAGTGGCGTATCTTTTATCTTATGCACACACATTGTTTCATCAGTCTCATTTCTTGGTCTCGGGATTGTTATTACTAGAATCTGTAGCAGGGAAAGTAGCTCCTAGTTTCAAGGCCTCACTCGAGTGCTAGGACGACGAAGGGAAATGATATCTGGGTAAAATCAAAGTAGCAGTTGGATTATCTCGAGTGTCAAAGTACCATTGGCAAGTTTGATCTTTCAATTTCGTTATGTTGCTAGATCTAGCGCAAATAGCGCAACATTCCATCCTTGTGATAATGGTCAACTTCACTCAAAAGTGGGGATACAGATATTCTCAATATCTAGAGGTCCAGCGATATGTGCTCGTCACGAACCACCAGCGTGCGATGCACAATTATTCATCAGCGCATAGCGTGGTATCGTCATCAAAGTAAAAAAAAGGGTGAAGCCCCGAGCAAGAAACCTTGAGATCTATCAAGCATGACGTTGCAGGGCAGAAGGCCGAAAAACAATCACAGTCTGATTCTCCCAACACTATGAGTCAACAGTGATTCGTCGTTGCCAACCGACACAGTGACAATGGGAGATTCAATCTCTGAAGGACCCTTTGCACGCTCCTCAATAGCCGATTCCTGAGGCGAGACAGCCTTCTTGAAAGGCTGGAGGACAGGAAGGGTCGATTCAAGAGCATCAACATCGCTCCATTCGGCATCAATCTCGCTAGTGGGAATAGCCAAGTCCGGACCTCCGGGGGCCTGGAATGAGTTCAGGTTAAATGAGGGGCCTAGGACCTGCGAGAAGCTCTCCGGGGCGAGCATCGGATGACGGAGCGACGAGCCGCGGGGGAAGGGGATCCCTTGGTCAACACATCCGGGCTTGACGGCTTTCAGCAGATCAGGATCGTCCTCGGCAAGTTCATCGTCGAATTGAGGGTTGGTTGGCTTGCTGGGCTTTGGCTTGGGAGCGATCTCGCGTGCAATGTCGCGGACGATTTCATCTTCGTCGCCCTCGTCGCGGAAGCTCATGTGCTGTAGCTGGCCCAGCTCGACGTAGGAGTCTGGAGTGGCATTGGTTGCTCCAGCTGGCTCAGAGCGGCGGCGTAGAGGTGGGATTGTCTTTGGGGTGGTTGGCTGCGAGGATTTGCGGCGGCTGAAGACGGGTCGCCGGCGCGGGCCGCGGCCGTTGCGGGTTGCCGCGAGGTAGGTCTTCTTTGAATTCTGTCGGGTTGGAACTTCCTGAGTTGATTCGGTCATGATTGGGGTTGGGGGGTTGGAGGGGTTTCGTGTGATTAGTTCGCCTGAGGGTGTGAATATAGCCAGACGGGGTTTCTTTGGGATTTCGGCCGGGCTAGGCTGGGACTTCTTCAGTATGGAGTTGAATGAGCAGGATCCGCTGTCGCAAATGCCCGGGCTCACAGCCTGACGCAATTGGTTAATCTCGGGTTGAAGGTGGGATGGGACGTTGGGACGAATGGTGTTGGTACCTCTTTTTCAACTGCAGTCTCCGGCTTTTTCACTTCCACCTTTTGTCCCAGCAGCACTGGCGTCCTTTTTATGCGGAGGATGAGGCGGTCTAGGGTGTGGAGATCCAAGCCACCCCAGAGTTGCTTGTTACCCCAGATTCTCCAGAAAAGATGCTCAAGACGAGACTCGGTTTGGTCTTTGCTGGCAAGATTGGATGTGCTGTAGGCTGTAGATTACCGGGTCAGACTATGAATATGTAGACGGAAGGAGCGATTCGTTACCTTGCCAGAATTTCTTGTAAACGGCACTTTCCAGTTTCTCCTGCCGCAAGCCTTTGGTAGCAGGCATAGCAGCCATAGTTACCAGGCCCTGAGGGAGTGTTGGCTCCATGTTCCTAGGTCAAACCCTGACAGTGCAGAGGAGATAGAAATGAGCTAAAAGATAATCAAGGCCAGACACAGCAGTATTGACAATATGGACAAGCGCTGAGAGAGTGGATAATGATGATGAGCCGACGTCGAGGTGTGCAGTCATCCTTTGTCCCCAACCGGGCTCGTTGACAAACGAGTACTCTCACTGGGACCCTAGACTAGATCTTACTCAACCACCTCATCTCCAGGGTATTGCCTGCCCTCCCAGGCCAGTGGAGAAAAAGAAACGTTCACCGCTGAAGTTCGATGAGAGTTCCAGGTTCCAAGTTTTAGGAAGTGATGTGTGTCAGCATTCACTCAGACCAGCTTAACACCCAAAGACAGTGCAAAGACAACAAAAGTGAAATCTGGAGAGACAAAGAATCCGGGACCCTTGATCGGGTAGCGGTCAAAGTGCGGAGCCCAAACCCCTTGGATCGATCGACTGTAAGGCTTCAACTTTGCCTCAAACGGGGATAGGGCCGGGATAGGGCCGGGATTGGGTATCGTCCAGCGGAAGGAGAATAATAGTCCTGGTGAATGAATCCACAGCAGCAAGCTGGAGCCCCGAATAATAATATAGGAGGGGCAAGCAGAAAGCGCCTCCGCATCATCACCTTACATTCCCCATTGCGCGTCCCTTGCAAGCAGGGATAATCGCAGCCCTATACCAAATGTGACACGCCTCATCCAACTCGGAACAAATCCGTTTTATTCGAGAAGTTCTACCGAGGTGACATTCCGCTTGATTGCGGTACCCAATGAAGGTGCTGCAGGGTGAAATATGCGGAGAAAAGCTGGGGGGTTCTTTGATTGGATCTGGGGTTGAAGATCTCCCGATTTTCCGCAAACAACGGGATCGGCATGGATCGACGGCTAAAACGTCGGAAAACTCTTCAGTCTGCTGGGGTTTTTTTTATGAAGGGAAGGTATTGCGGGGTTGTTCTATGTCTATAACCGGACGAGGCTTTGGACATAGCCACGATGTTGCTAAAGCGGACATCTCGAGGTATTCGGACTTGTTTTGCGCCAAGTTCTTGGAGAAAATGTCAGGAACGGGGGGAATATATCTGTATTTTTCTCACCCCAATCGCCGTGTGAATTGATTGGGATCCGAATAAAGCGCGGTGGTCATATCATGGAATCATTACCATTGTTGGGGGTTGGCGATAGGCTTGAATATGGGGAGACTTAACGTGATGTGGACAGAGAATGCCTCGCTCAGTTACAATTAGAGTCTACAAGAGAATTTTCATTTGTTCTGTTCAAAGTATAGACATGACATGATTGATTGACCAATACGACGAGGTCTGAAGTCCATCGAATACAGAAGGTCCCTCGATAATATGCACCCGTTCACAGTAGAGTATGTATGACACTAAAAGCGTACCATGGACAGCTTAATTCTCACAGGGCTTCACACGTCACAACAACGTGCTTCATTTAGCTGACCCCGCACTTGAGTCTAGTCTTTGATATCACCAGGACAGGAACAGTCCTTCCCAATACAGTCCGTTGTGTGAGACTATCAATTGCTGTCAAACAAGTCGGGCTGATTAGCTCGATGTATAAAACCTTTATTATCCCAAAAAGCTCCAAACAAAGAAAAGTACCATTACATTTTAGCATCCAAGTATACTACAGAACCTCAACCGACCCTACTACTTGACATCATAATCCCGCAACATGGTATCACCATCCAGGTCCACAATTACAGAGGATGATCAATGTCACAGCCCCAAATGCAGCAGCCTCTCCGACAGAGCCTCAGGAAAAGTGACGACCCGCCGACCACTGATACTTGACCCAGACAGCTGCCCCAGCGAAGGCCGCCTATTCATCATCCGCGATCCACGCACAGGCCTCGTCATCGGCCTAAAAGAAGGCGTCCTCACTCTGGTTCCAGAGGCTTACGGCTATCTTCGCGGTATCTACTGGGTATGCGTCGAGTCCGAAGACATGTGGCTTGGATTCCGCAATGCTGTCTCAGGCACGTATATCGGCCATGATAACATGGACAACTTCATTGCGGATAGAAAGCGACATAAGAGTCGTGAGTCGTTTTGTGTCAGGCATCATCCGAATGGGGGGGGGGGGGGGGGGGGGGGCATGTTCTGCTTGTAAGGTGGGGTTGTGATATGCTCTTGCCTATGCGGGCGAAGGCCGGGACCAAATTGGTTCTTAGTTCTAGGAGGGATGGGGGGACGGCGTGGAAGTTTGCTTGGGTCGCACATTCTATTTGAGAGGGATCTAGATTTGGAAGTGAGGGTGAGAGTGGACTTGAATTCTCTTTCTATCTGATATAGATCCATATTTATAGCTTAGGGTTACGAGACGACGGAGGTCTTTTGTTGAATCTAGTTTGCTCGTATTCAATATGCCTGGTTAATCATAAGAGAAATAAATACTGGTACTTGAACGAACCAATAAGACCCTCATATATCAGACCCAGCATAACAACCACATACCAAGTTAATACTGATACCTGAAACTCAGGTTTTCCTTATCAGTCAGGTCATCAAATGCATTATCCAAATTCATCTCCGAGGCCCTCCAATCCTGCTCCTACAGTAAGAAAAGGAAATTAATCTCGCATCCACAGCGTCCAAAGCAAGACCAACTCACCTGCAACGCATCCTTCCTCGCATTTTCCCTCTTGAGATACCATCTCAACAGAACCAGTAAGATAATAATGCACCCGTAACATCCCATATGAACCGAGAAACAGGTAAAGTACCGCGGCGCATCTTTCGACTGGAAGACTTGTGGTCCGATCATGTTCCCGACAGCCCAGGCGAAGAATAACGAGGCGGTACTGATGGACTTTTTAGTCTGCCCGGCTACATTTCGCGACAGGAGAGACATGAGGAGGGTCGTTGTACCCCAGAACGAGAGGGTGCACCAGTATCCGATCAAGAGGCCGATTCGGGTGGAGTGGGAGATTGGGACAGCTTAGTTATGTTAGCTTGGAGGTTCTGTGAAGTTGATGAGCATGGTGGTTGGACTTGCCCATAAGTGTTGCTGTTCCTGCGATATTCGGAATGAGGAATGCCTGTATACTTGTCAGTGCTGAGGCTCGTGATGACAGTTGGACTGGATTCAGGTACCAGTTGGAATAAAATAGTCTGGTTGAAATGGCGGGAGAGCCAAGCTGACCCCAGAAGAACCACGCACTGAACACCGCCATTTACCATCGAAAGTAGTTCAGTTTGCAGCTCTGTAAATCCAAAATTCTTGATCAGAATCGTTGAGAACGACCCCAGTCCACCGGTGGGAATCTGAATACTGTTCATGAAACAAGTCAGCAAAGCGCTTCTGGTAGAAAGCCCAAAATAAGAATAAGTGAAATAACACACATGACTTGGATCAAGATATAAAGCCAGACTTGCGGATCTTGAATAGCCTCAAGAACATGGGCCCGTTTGAAGTTCCGATTCTGGATACCGGTCTGATTCGCTCGAACTCGTTCAATCATAAGCACTCGGTCTTCTTCCGAGAAGCACTTCGCGCGCATTGGACTGTCAGGCATCCACCAAAAGACAAACATTGACCACACGCAGGTGATAGAACCTAGCAGGATGAAGAGGAATTGCCACGATTTTAGAATTGGGGAATGGACATGGCTCATGCCATAGGCAAATAGTCCGCCGCATATTCCTTGGACTCCATTCTGAAAAATAGGTTAGAGACTTTAGTCAAAGGGAGTCTATTTCGAAGACTGACCATTCCCTAAAAAGGCATTAGTATTGAATTCAAGTCAATGCTCGCAGTGCGAGAACTCACAAACCAGTATGTAACAATGTGCGCCTGTTCGTCGCGCTTGTACCACATCGAAGAAAGAAGCAAGAATGTGGGCTGAGAGACAGCCTCAAAGATACCCAGTAAAACTCGGAGGGCGGCTAGAATTTTGAAATTGAATCCGAAGCAGGTCATGGTCAAGGTCAGGCCCCAGAGAAAAATGTTTGCTGCGAGATACTTTCCAATAGGGACTTTTTGCACGATGATGTTAGTTGGATATTCGGCGAACAAGATACCAAAATAGATGACCGTGTGCAGCCATGAGTACTAGGGCTTATAAGCAGAGAGTTTGGTAGACGCAGACGGGATCCTTGATTCTCACATCTTGTCCAACGAGGTGGGCGTCTTTCTGGATTCCCATGATAGCTGCATAGCTGATAGCATTCTTGTCAAGTGATTGTAAGAAATAAGTGCCGACCATGATGATCAAGACTCGCTTGTTGATCATATGTCGGAGTCGCTTGCTTGTCGCTTCGTCCACTTGTACGCCATCGGCCGCGACAACATATTTGCGCAATTCTTCGTCGACGCCGATGTGCTTGTTGGGGAAGTCCTCGAGATCGGGAGATCTGAGACGCTCCACATGATCTTGTGTTGGTTTGGGGTCGCCCATAACTATTTACTTAGGTGCTTTTTCTGGTCCACAGTCTTTATCCACATATGCAAGACGGATCTTATATTATACCAGAACCCTGGCTGCCAAGCTTGGATTTTGCGGGGTCAGACTTGTCGCAACATGCTTTGTGCAACGATTTGACAGTGTTAGTCTGTACTGTCTGGGATACTGTTGAATTGCCGAGGGCAAGGGTGTTGTCTGGGACAATCAAACCCTAGTTCGAGTGGCATCCGATTGGTTCTGCATATTACTTAGAGTCACTCGGAAATACCGCAGAATGTTTTGGCCTCTTCCCATACCGGATAAGCAATGGAAAAGCAACGATAAAGAGATCCAAACTGCCGAGTGGTGGAGAAATCTGTAGATCAGATCCTGGGGTAACGCGCCAAGGCCGGCCGCTCTTAGGGCTTCAAGCCTTGGATGAGGGGGTTCTTCGTATTGCAGCCGACCTACCGAAAAGCTTCTCCTCTTATTGATGGAATATGGCCTAGGACTTGGAAGTATTGCCGATCGCTTTTCCGGCCGATATCCATACATCATATACAAAAGCGCAAGAAAAGCAACATGCTACCACTTCACAACCCACCCCAGTAACATTGAGTACTATTCCGTGAACATGCCAGATGACGCGCTTTCAGTATTCCTCTCTCCAAATGGAGTCAAGAATATACCGCTTGAGATCAAAACGCCACTTGCCGAGATGAGCTTATCCGATACCAAGGCCTTGGCCCTAAAGCTTGTCGATAGTCTCGTTCACCTCAAAGACGACTCTGGTGAATTCCGCGTCCCGCTCCCTACAGGCGGATTCAAAGTCGATTCCAAGTCGTGGAACAACTGGGAATGGACCCAGGGTGTTGGGCTCTACGGCATGTGGATGTTGTTCGAGATCACCGGCGACGAATCAGTGCTTGCTCATATCCAAGCCTGGTTTGATCAGCAATTTCTCAAAGGCACTCCGACCAAGAATGTCAACAGCATGGCTCCGATGCTGACGCTTGCGTATCTGTATGAACGCACGGGTCGGTCTGAATATCGCGCCTATTTGGATTCCTGGGCGGAGTATATCATGGATGGGATTCCCCGAACCGAAGGTGAGTTGAGTTGACTATTACTCATAAACCCGAAGAAAAAACATATATATCCTTCAATCTCCTCTCGTTCTGTATCCAACCACTAACTAATAATCACCAGAAAGAGGAATCCAGCACATCACCTTCCGACAGGTCAACGAAGGCCAACTATGGGACGACACGCTGATGATGTCCGTGCTCCCTCTCGCCAAGATCGGCGTCCTCCTCAATCGACCAGCATACGTAGAAGAAGCCAAACGCCAATTCCTCCTTCACATCAAGTATCTCGCAGATACCCGGACCGGACTCTGGTACCACGGCTGGACATTCCTAGAAAGACACAACTTCGCCGAAGCCCTATGGGGAAGAGGCAACGCCTGGATCACGATTGTCATTCCCGAGTTTCTGTCGCTCCTTCAACTGCCTGCTGGCGATCATTTCCGAGACTTCCTTGTCTCGACGCTCGAGCAACAGGTTTCTGCTTTGAGGAAATTCCAGAATGAGAATGGCCTGTGGCACACGCTCATTGATGACCCTTCTTCGTACCTCGAGGTCTCGGCTTCGGCGGGTTTCTCTTTTGGGATATTGAAGGCTGTGAGGCTGGGATATCTTTCCAGGGAGTATCAGTCGGTTGGGCTGAAGGGGATGGAGGCTGTTATTAACAGTGTGGATGAGAAGGGGATGGTGCAGAATGTTAGTTTTGGGACGCCGATGGGGCCGACTAAGGACTTTTATAAGGCGATCAAGTTGACTGCAATGCCATATGGGCAAGCCATGACGTTGCTGTGTGTGGTGGAAATTATTAAGCGATTCTTGTGATGTAGGAAAGTTGTCTAGAGATGGAGTGTATAGTTTAACGTCAATCTTTAGAGGTTATAGATATTTGATTACTATTTCCTTGTACAGTATACCACACAGTCCCTCGAGGAACCCAAAATCTACATTATCTCCAATAATCTAGAAATCTTCGGAACATGGATGACTTGATTTGACCTCAGTATATACAAAAGCACCAAAACGACAAAACCTCAACCTCACCAGCAACCAACACAACAATCGCAAAACGGAAGTAAGCGTATGCAAACAGATATCCAAATAAAACAACAACAAAGTCACCCACGAAGAAGGAATAGAACCAAGCATGTACAGTTCCAACGCAACAATCCATGAAATCAACAAACAAACAAGAAAATAGACAATAGAATCGCTTCGACGGAAACCCACCGATGATGTAACAAGGACAGAAAAATCAACAGTAGGGTGCATGAAAGGAGCGAAGGGATTTGGATATCGAGGTTTCCGCCATTATGAACAATTCAATAGGAGAGTAAGAAAAACCAGCAATCTAACGCCAGAGGAGACAGGTACAAAGTATGCACAAAATGAGTATGTTTCATGATCATGATTCCATAATGTCAAGACACGCTGGAATGTAAAGTGGAGGCGGAGGGAGATCGGATAGAGTTGAAGAATTGACTTTGACTTAGGAGGCAGTCTTGCCGCCGCAGTCGGGGATCTTGAGGCCCGTTTTGACTTTACGGGCTGAGTCCATTAGGCCCCATTTGTCTTCCCATTCTTTGCCTGGTGTGTTGTATTGGATTTTCCAGGGTTCGTCAAAGGCCTCAAACCTGTTTGGTTGTTAGTATTCTAATTCCGGTGAATAAAGAGGGGGAAACACTTACCAGAAGTAATCGGTTCCATTATCCAGGGCCTGACAGACCCAGTCGGACATGAAGGTGTTCATATTGTCCACGCTGGCGACTGAACCCGGGGTGTCATCGTCACAGGTTGGGCTTTCGCCACAGTCCTTGCCTCCGCCGCTGGGCCATCCGACTTCGGAAATGACTTGTTTCTTGCTTGTGCCGCTGGTCAAGGAGACATCGTGGGTCTGCCAGAAGTCCCAAGTCCAGGCTGCAGCTACTTCGACACTCACGCCTGCGAAGAAGGGGTGCACATTTGACATGACCACGTCGACGGCATCGACCAGCTGAGAGTTCCAGTTATCACCGAGATCAGAGGTGGCAATTGGCAGTTTGAGGCTGCGCTTCTCGACTTCGCTGGTGACATCCTTGATGTACGATATCAGGGTCTTCTCGGCAGTCTGTTTATCAGGGCCGGCGCGGTAGAGCGCTTCGTTTCCAACAATGATACCTTTGTACAAGGATGTGTCCTTGGTATCGTCGAGAATCTTGTAAAGGTGAGTGAGTTGACGATCGGCACTGGTGGTGTTCGAGTCAATCCACACACCAAGCCAGAGCTTCATATCCGTGAGCTCCAGTCGGTCAATGGCATGCAGAACCATCTCAGTCTGGTTGCAGTCGGTTCCATACAATCGAACAGTATTGGTCAGCTGTGACAGAACAGCCATGTCCCGAGTGACATTGTTCTGTGATGGTGGCCACTTGAGACAATCGGGGTACTGCACACCCCAGGGGGTGTAGTCCACACCAGGGAAGACCTTGTGCAACTCATCATTGTTCATGAGAGCCTTGATCTCGGCCGAGTCCTTCCCAAGATCACCGTTGCTCTTGGAATCATCCGTAGCAGACTGCTCACTGGAAGACTTGTTCTCGTTGTGCCGAGTACCAATAGTCCCCCCAACCGCACCGCCAACAATCGCCCCAAGAATCACAAACCCAAGCACCAGCCCAACAATCCACCCCATCTTCTTGCGCCCATCCATGCCCTTCCCAGGCCCCTTCTCCAACCCATCCCCACTCTCCAATCCACCCCCAGGCACAGCATTGTAAGCCACATCCGCAGTCTTCTCGCGTCCAAACAACCCACCCAGCAGACCCCCAGCAACAGCACCCCCACCAGCCCCGGCCGCCGCCGCCGGCACACCGTGACTACCCCGGCCGTGCGGTCTAAAGTCCTCATCGCCATCATCGGCAATATCATCCGGATTGATATTCGACATCTCCGAGCCCCCATAGCCTGAATGTCTCTGGTACGGCCCATCACTGATGCCCTGATACGGCGCCGGGTACTGATCGCTCGCACCCACGCCGCGCTCCCCCAGATGCGGCGAGGAGTGCGCGGGACTGTGGAACCCCGGCGAGGCGGCCGCGCCGCCTAGCGCCATCCCCGACCCGTACGAGTTGTGGTGGAGGGTTTCAGCGCTGGTGTAGCCCGCGGACGGCACGTACGGATTGTCCGAGCCTGATGTGTTGTAGTCTCGTTCTGCGGGATAGTAGCTGTGACTGGCTTCCTGGTCGAGCGGCATCCCGCGCGATGCGTCCAGGCCGCTTTGGCGGTCGTGTGTGTTGGCAATTCCTAGGGCTATGCCGCTTATTCCACCGCCGGCTGAGGCTGGTCCTAGGTTGTCCACGCCTGGTGTTACTGTGTGGTTTTCGCGGGTGTTGTGGGAATATTTGTGTGGCGGGGGCTGTGGAATTTCAGTGTCGGGCATTTTTGGGGGGGTTGAGAATGTGTTTAGTGTAGATGATTCGTCAAACGATGTGGTGGTGAGTTGAGGTAATGAGTAGAGGAAGAAGAGGAGAGAGAGGTGAGAGGTGAGAAGTAAGATGAGATGAGGTGAGATAAAATGGAAGGTGCGGGTTGAGACTGAAAACGAGTTTACTGCAAATGGAAGTGAGACGTTGGCTTCGAGACGAAAGCGGGCTGTCAAAACACTGGGGTGGGCCGGACAACCAGCAGCGACGGGAAACGAAAAGAAGGAATCGACCAGGAAAAGAAAAGAAAAGTCAACGGCAATCAATCACATCTAATCCATGATGCCAATTATCGGCAATAATTGACGTGAATCTCTCTCTCTCGAATCTCAAGCGAACTTCGCTCTGTCAAGTGGAGAAAAGACCCTGCGAACCCTTGATCTATTTTTGGCTCGGGGATTCTGCCCTCACGTTCTCATCGTCGGATTCGCATTCATCTTCATAGTGATATTCATACTCATATTCATACTCATACTCATACTCATAAGTCATCATGCTAATTCCAAATCCCATCCCTCCATTCCAATCCCTTTGTTTTTTCTTTTTGATTTTCGCGATCCCAACGCCCTTGACACATAAGCATAAGCATGAGACATGTCAAAGAAGCACGCCAAAGGGGGGAAAAAAACAAAACCAAGCCAAACAAAGCAAAAACCAAAGATATAAGAACCCAAAAGTCAAAAGCCAACAGTAAAAAGCAAAGAAAGAAACTATCTACGGCACAACCTCCTCAGCACTCCGCTGCGCAGCATTCTCCCTAAGACCACGCTCCAGGAACCGTCTCTTCCCACGCCGAGTATCAAAATGATCCGGGATCTCCGCAGGATCTTGGCCTGCCGCGAGCATACTGCTGCGCATTTTGTTGCGGTAGGCATCCACTACGCAGAAACCGTTAGCCGGGTCCATGTCTCAGATGAGATCCGGGGTATGGAAGTGGAGGCGAAGGGGACAAATAAGACACTCCAACACACAACCAACCACAACCCAGCAATGACAATAGGCCCATGAAACCAACCAAAAATAAATCAAACCAGGTAAATAAAAGAAAAGAAAACAAAAGAAAAAATAATACTCACAAGACCTCTGCAAAAACAACATCCGCCCGGCAAAAACCCGACTCTGACTCCAACTCATCCGATACCCCAAATCATTCAACAAAAGCTCCTTGGTATGCTTCTTCCTCGATAGCCGCGGCACCTCAACCTCAACCTCATCCCCAGCTCCACCCCCAGCAGCACTCCCACTCCCACTCGCATCTCTCCCAGCATCAACCTCAAGCATCGGCATAGGCACAGACGTGCGTCCGAGCGTCGCATCCGAAAGCGGATCGGCCGCCGGATCGGCATGCTCAGCCTCATCCCGGAAAAAGCGCTTCCCCAGCACGACGTGATTCTCATCGCGCATCTGGATGGGGAAGTACGTGCGGGGGTAGACGGCGTTGGAGGCGCGGTAGGAGTCCGGGATCTCGTCCATGTTGACTTTATCGAGGGCTACTTTGACGCGGACGCGGCAGCCACGCTGGGGGTCGTCTACGAGGATGAACTTGCGGCGTTTGCCGTCGGGGAGGTGGCTGAAAAGGTCGTCGTTGGTTGGGCCTTGTTCTTCCATGTTGTGGGCGTGCGGGTGGGAGTGGGAGTGGGATTGGGTCGCGGTTGCGATTGTGGGGTGGCGGCTGAGCGAGGCCATGCCTGTGTCGTGGAGGAGGGGGGGCATGGATGGGCCGGCTGCTGCGGGGGAGGGGGTTAGGGTCGAGGGGGCGTTGTGGAAGAGGTGGGCAGGTCGGAGGTTTGTCATGGGTCCTGGTCCTGGTCCTGGTCCTGTTGGGGAACGGATGGTGTCGACGGTAGAGCGGTGGTGCAGGGTCGTTGTAGGCGTGCTGGTATTGGTGGTGGTGTTGGTGTTGGAGGTGGTGTAATCTGTGCCTGTGCAGGCGAGCAAGAAAGGGGAATTAGCCTACGCTGTATGTACAAATGGTATGGGGAGGAAGTCCGAAGCAGAACAAGAGCCAAAGCACAAAGAGCGCGGCGGTATCAAATGTAAGACGACAGTGACAATCACAAGGACAAAAAAGGCAAATCAGAACCAAAATCGAACAGGGTATGGAATAACAGTCAAGGCCAAGGGGGGAGGGGGGCATGTTCAGGTGGAGATACATAGTTGGTTTTCTTTCCATCTCATACTTGCATTCACACGCACACATGTCCACACGTATATCACGTTCACACAGCATACACACATACACACATACACATATCCGGTGTAAAATAGACACAAAACTCCCACATATACACATACACGCAAGAGACATATCCAGTCCAACAAAAGGCCCAAGAAGAGAACAAAAAAAAGAATAGAGAAAAAGAAGAAGAATGAAGCAAACAAGGAATATAGGGGAAAAGTCCAATCAGGGTGCAAGGGAATCCAAAAACACATCACATATGGTGAAACATACCGCTAACTTCCTCATGAGGACTACCATCAGGTTGGTGATGATGATGCTGTAGCTGGGGCGGACCCATCGAGATCGGGCCCAAGTTCGGCCGGGGCACAGCAGCCGGCATAGCACCGATAGGGCCAGGAAGACCAGGGCCCGCAGGACCAGCTCCAGGCATGTGGCTGGCCGGAACCGTAGGGACAGACTGTCTGCGATTGATCTTGGCCATGCGGCGCACCCGACGACTGCGCAGCCTCGGGTCCTGGTTACTATTGCGCCAACTGTCGACAGCGCGCTGAATAAGACCGCGCTTGCTTCTCAGCGCTGGATTGAGCTCTGCAAGAGCCCAGCCTACAGCATTGCACTCGGTCTCGTAGACGAGTCGGTTGCCGCGATATTGGTCCTTGCTGCAGCAGGCGCGGGGATACACGCAGTTCTCCGTCTTGAAGTTCTGGTCAAGGGTGTCGACGTTGACGGATTCCACGTCGCAGCGGATGGTGTATTCCATTTTGACGCGGTCTCGGGAGTATTCAAAGGCGATCCACTGCACGCCGTTGCTGTCTTGGCGCACGACGAGGGGAGTCGTGGCTGGGATGGGGCCTGGCGCTGCGCTGGAGCTCCCACCTAGTGGTGGGCTGGAGTGGATATTACTGGCGGACATGGAGTGGCTGTTTGTTGCGGAGAGAGGTGGGTTGTGCATTACTTGCTGTGGGGGAGTCGGTTGCTGGGAGTTGTCGAGTTTCATGATGGGGCTGCTGGTCATGGTGGTGGTTGGGATGTGTGGTGATTGATGGGGGGGCATTTGCGCTGGCGCTTTCTGCGGCGGCATCATCATGGATTGCGTTGTGAGGGGGTGTGTTGCTGGGGAGAATGATGGGCTGCGTACGGCGGCTGTACAGGGTTCATGGGCGAGTAAGGTGGGTAAAACATCTGCGGCATCTGAGGCGAGTGGGCGTAGATATTGCGGCCATGTTGGTCCAGCGGTTGAGAAGCTGCTGAAGCTGGGGAGGATGATTGGAGAGTGTGATAGATGGGAGGATAGGGTCTCTGCATTTGGGCGGTGGATGCCATGAGGTCCGGTGGTCCTAAACTCTTGGGATCAGTGGTGTTCATAAGCTATATGCAAGCTTTGGCATGGAAAAACTGCTGACAGCCGAAACAGGGCTTACCGCTGGAAGCGTAATGCGCCGAGGGAGTCGTGTAAGCAGAATGGCTGGTGTAGTAAGGTGCTTCTTGGGGCCCGTAGTGAAATCCGTTCCCTAGTGTGTGGGGAGGGTATGCAGAGATGGGGGAAGGCTGAATAGGCGAGGCAGGACCTTTCTGGGCTAGAATTGAAGATTGCGGTTCCTGAGTATGAGAACTTGAATGTCCGGGATGTCGAAGCTGTAGCAGGACCACATATCAGTGACTGAACCTAAGCCCCACGGAAAGATGTGATGAGACTGGTGACACAACCAGAGAACGTGGACGAAGAGAAAGAAAAAGAAAGGAAAGTCTCGAGAACACAGCCAGAACCCGGAGTGACCACAGTCAGGATTTGCAGCGACTCAGAGGATGTCAGAGGTTGGCTTGGGCCATGGATGCCTCGAGCAGGGATTGCCTTAGCTGCATACCGAATGGCCAGGGCGGGAAACCAGGATTGTCCGTCCAGAGGCAAACAGAAGCATGATTTAGTGTAGCGCTGACGGCATTGTAGCTTCTTCTTCTTCTCCTTGTTCTTCCGAGGCCAAGTAGATGCTTCCAAAGCTACAGGCGCTTCAGGTATCCTTTGTTGCGCTCCGTTGCGCCACCTTGGCGCATAGCTCATATCGAGCTTGGAAAGGCTCCCCAAAGAGCATCCCAATGGATTTGAGGTCCATGTTCAAGGCATGCCAAGTTGTTTGGGCTTATGTGTTTTGATTCGGCCATGGAATCGCGGACAGTCCGGGTGAATATCAAGCATGCGACACACAGACATTCCGACGAGAAAGAAAAGCCAAGCATCACACCCCATATGAAAGAGCATCAAGAAGATCAAAATGATATTGAAGTAGGAAAAATCTCACAAGAAAGAAAAAGAAGCTATCATGAAACGAGAAGAGACACAGAGACAAGAAATGATACTCACGGAATGGTCAATAGGATCTTCCTTGTATTTCGTCCCAAGGTCAGGCTGTACCATGCCGGTGAAGGACAACTCTCTCAGGCCAGGATAGAATGTCGAGAGAGAAGAGAACTGGGATTCAGGTTCCTTATGGTTCCTTATGGTAAGTCACGCGTGGGGGCAGGAATGGCAGATCCTGGGCTAGACAGAAGCTGCGCAACACTAGGGGTTCAAGATGTGAAGGCAAGTGGAGGGTCCAAGGTTATTTAGCACCCGTGAGCCCCCATTCTTAGGAGAGCAAACCTCGATGAAAAGAGTCGAAAACGAGTCCAGAGGAAAAGAAAAAAAGGAAAAAAAAGGAAAAAGAGAAAAAGAAAAGAGACGAAAGAAAGAAGGGGAAAAAAAGACAGATAAAAGCCCAAAGAGGAAAGGCGAGAAAATCAGTCTTTGAAGGGAGATTACTCGAAGCCCTGTAAAGATCCGAAAGGTATTTCAACGGGGGGAGGGGAATGATATGCAGCATGCAGTTAGACAAAGAAGGTGGGGAGTGGGGAGCGAATCTAAAGATTCACGATATAATTGTTAAAGCTCGGAGCCGGTGGAGGGATCATGATACGTCAAATAATGCAATCGCAAGTGAGACCTGATCAGGATTCTGATTCATGCTAAGCAATGGGAGGATTAAATGAGAGAAAATGGGATTTAAAAAAAAAGGGAAAATAAAATATTCCCAACCTCAACTAGTGCTGGACTACTGTAAGTATACGGGAAACTCCGTTGAGAAGATTGGGTGGACCTCGGACTCGAGGCTAAAGCTGACGTCGGATCGTGCAGAGGCCAGTTTCAGGTACGGAAATTCTCTTCGGAGTATAAAGAGAGGATCGGCAGAAACAAAGAATCCTTTTGGACGCGTACTGTGCGTTACACCGATCTTGACAACTGAACGTGTTGCCACGGCCCAATTGTAGGACTTGAAACTCGAAACAGCCTAACGGCGCCATTCAGCTTCTATGCCGAGACTGGGAGAGTGGAAGTCATCCTACCATATACTGCATACGTCAACTAGACATCTACTAGACTCCAAGTCGTATTGGTGGACTAGAACCTAGAACCTAGAACCAGCATCCTAACCTCGATGGCCTCCACCCGGGTTCGCTCTATCCCGCATCTAATTTAGCGCATCTTAGTCGATCTTGGCGATTGAAATCACCTTTTTAAAATAATAATAATAAAAGAGAAAAAAAAAAGCAAACGAGAAAAAGCCACCATTTCCTCCCTCCCCCCTCTCTCCCTATTTTCTCCGTACAATCGGCCGATGCATGACACTCCTAAGCATTTTCCATGCCCCCGTGCCTCTCGCCATGTGAAATATCCGACGAACGTCGCGCCTAGGCATATGCATTCAAGGCCAGGAGGTCGGGTAATAAATGGAGAGGATAACGGGTTCAGGCACGGGTAACCCGGCTGCGGCTCTCTTTGAAGCCCCGACTAAAAGAGTAATGGCGACTGTCGATTGCGCAGTGACTGTGCATGAAGGGAAATTACGTCCTTGTCCACTTCGGGGGATTCTCAGGATTCCTTCCCTTCAAGGTCAAAATATAACTGCTTCCAGAAGCAGGCTAGTTCCGGAATTTGCGGCAGCTGGGGAGGCGACAGCTGAACTCGCAGGAAAGCCGAAATGTGCCAATGAAAAGCGTTATATCAAGAAGACTTTCAGCCTTGAAGGTTGGAGCTAATCCTGGTGCACGGTGTTTGGTGCCCCCCCCCTCTCTCTCCCCTTTCCGGGCGTGGGTCTACCATCTCTCATCGATTGGCGATAGGATGTGATCGATGCAGGGTGCTTGGGGGGGGTCCGCGGTATTCCGTCAAGCCGTACCCGTAGTTCCCTTGTTCCCTTGGAATATTATTATTATTGTGATTATTATGATGATTATTTTGGGAGTCGGAAAGTGTGCCGTGGAAGTATACGAACCACTTCCCCCTGGATCCTTTGATGTAACACCGTTAGAATTTGGCCTGGTCATTTGGGGGCGTTTTCCATGCAGATTGAACCCGATGAAGCAACAGCAACAGCATAACTTTTGGGACGCATAGCCTTCCAACGCGTTCTATAGCAAAATGACCTCGGAGCGCAATCAGCCGACTAGGGAATCACACTTTTCATAGTTACCGGACCTTGCCACGTTGGCAGCCCTTGCTTCCTGCAGCCTGTCTCTCCAGAACTAGCTTTCTGCGTCCACTTTATCCGCAATAAGAGTGAGAAGTGAGAATGTCCGAGCTATCGGCAAGGACTCCTCCCGTGGTCCGATGATAATTCGACAATATCAAGCGACGCTCGGCCCCGCGGCCGTTGTGGCACTAAAAAAGAGAATGGCACGAGGGAGGGGGCGGGTGAAAGCCACAATCTAGTCGATCGTTCCTATAGTCCGGACTTAGGGGGTGTAAATGTGATAGCTTCTTGGCAGACGTCGCGTCCATGGAAATTAAAACATGCTCTCTGGGTTTCTCTTTAGTAATGACTTGAATGACTTGAATTGCTGTGATTACGTTGATCCGATCGTCCAGGATGCCCCCCTTCCCCCCTAAATTAAAGTTGTCATACCCTTGTCTCTTACCCATGCGGATATCGGCCACCGTGCTTAGTTTGCGATGATCTACCCCAGGGCCGTTCAACGGGTCTTTCCTGACGAATCATTCCCTGATGATTAGGACGACGATAACATATACCGGTATGTATACAGTACTGTACAGGAGACTCGGTTCCTTTTATCCTTGAATCCTGTTTTCCCATCTATCGGCCTCGATCCTATTGGAAATAACAAAAACCACCCAGTCCAACCAACATTCTCCGCACTCCGGATCGCCCTAAGACGGATATGTCCCACACGGGATCCCTCCGAGGGGTAATGATTAATCGGGGCAAATACCTTCAACGGTCGTCTCCGATTCTTTGTCTGCTGTATACAAAATTAATAGGACGCTTCAACACGGCCCCACCACCCGGATCCGAGGGATGGAGCTGTGAACGTGGAGTCGCACGACTACCGAGCAGTATTCGTACAGGCGAACAGTCCAGATCAAAGTGGATGCCTAAAGGCCGTTGCAAGTGTGGAAATGATAGTCAGAGCCCATAAGGCAGATTCCGCCCAATGGCATTCCTGCTAATAAGGGTACTGTGCTATGTGGTCATAGAGTTTCACACCGAATCTTCTACAAGCAAGCCCCAAACCTTCCTGGAGGTATACTCGGCCTGGTCTCACCGTAGGGAAACTTTGTGAGCCATCCACGCGAAACAGTATTAGCCTGCAGTACGAGCGCAGTAGCGTGTCGCATGGCCGGAGTTAGTCAATTTGTTTCAGAGTCGCTACCATTCTGGAAAGGGCTGGTTTGCTCCCCCCCCCCTCTTTCCAGCCTATTATCTCACTTTTTCCCTCTGTTCCATCTCTTTCTCTCTGATATATGGGGCAAATGGGAAATCTGAGATGATGATCGCTGTAGAAAAGGTGGGGTGGGGGGAAAAACACACCGTTCCCATGCTAAGAAAATTATACTGCAGCTCGTTGACTTCGGCTTGGGTTTTAGAACCCGAGAGCGAACATGGAACGGGCCATCGTAGCCTCGCTTGGTATCAATAGGGAAATTGACATGCACTACGCGCTGTATTGGAAGTATCCAATTGTCTGTACTTCAATTTTGTGTCTACGTCAGACCCACAGCGTCGACCCTGATACTTTACATTAATTATAGCTCTGAATCTCATCTTGGCCTGGCAATGACACCATCGGACGGAGACTAATTGTGTCAAGAGGCGGAAGCAGGGGGGGGGGGCGTTTGCTTTTGCCCCCATGTGCCACGGCGATCATAGACATGTTTGGGATGGTCGCACATTGGAACAAGGAAAAAATAAGTGAGATTTTATTTCTTAAGAAGTGGCTTGGGATAAGATTGGCAAAGCCGACGAGATTCAGAACAATTGAAGATCGCTTATTTCGTCATAGGATCGGCGAGTTTCTTGTTGTCTGTCAGCACTATATCACAATAACCCTGGGATTCTATACGAGAGTACGAGCTCTCCTTCTCTCTAAACGAGCTCTTGTCCCAACTACAGGATACAGTTCCAGCACTAGTAGAGCGTAAAACCCACCCATGGATCAACAGCACAAGGATCAATCCCGACAAGCGAGAGCGGGAAACCTCCAAGCTCCCCATGCGTGGATCCAGGCCGAGAAAACAAGCTCTCCCATCCATTTAATCTATCCTGGGCCAAAAAGGTCTCGTTCGGGAGATCTCTCTGGATCGTCGTTGGCTTATTTCCCCCAGTGGGGTTTAGCCGTTCCAGCCCTCGCCACCAGATGAACATGGGACATGACTCGCACAATCTCTTTGACAATCTATTGATTGTAACCCTACTTGTCGGCCTATTTTATCCCTCAGCCACTCACGTCCACTCATATCCCCCCCCTCTCCCCTCCCGTGTCCATCATACCTTGGATAAAACATCCTCAAATCAAATCAACCCCTACCGTGGATCATAGATCAAAGATGCCATCACAACCATGGATCAGTGCAGTGGGAGTCTCCAATCCCCAATCCCCAATCTCCCGTCTAGCCTCGGAGTCTTGTTTCTTGTTTCTGTCCTGATTTAGTCTGGTCTTGTGTATACACGCGTCAATTAAATCCCGCATAACAATAAGCCCGCGAGCCGAGACGAGGCGGAGACAGAGAGGGGGTGGGGATACAGTAGACGAGAGCATCATCGGCTTGGCCCGATAGTGTCTATGCCAGTTTAGGTCAATAGTGCTGCTTTCATTGTTTGCTTAAGCGCTGATACCCTGGCCACCTACCCTGTCCTCTACCCTGTCCTCCTCTACAACTGCCCTACAGTACAGTACTGTACTTGCATCCCTGAATGACCCATAAGACCACCCTCCCCTTCTATAGGCAGGATTAAATAAACATGCTGTAGCGCCTGTCGCTGAAGATGAACGCTTATCTAGATAGTAGCGCCAAACGTGTCAAAAGCCCCTGCTGTACTCCAGCATGCACCATGCCTCCACGCACAGGTTGTGTTCAACATAGCCTCAAACAGATAATACAAAACAGTTCCCTCGGGCAAATTGCAAGGTGGTAGCAGGGGGGGGATACGATCACACAGGAAGATTATGTCGTACAAGCCTCGAACAGGAGGGCCCGGGGCTCCTATACTGCTATACTGCACCCTTTCCACCACGTAGCACTACAGTATACAGTACATCAATACTAAGCGAGAGGGAAATAAAGTAGAGAGAACCCACTCCGCCTGACGTTTCCCATCCAATGCCCATGTCCAACGGGTATACGGTACAGTATCAACATCAAGACCATCTTTCAAAATCAAGTCATCACTTTACCAGCCAGACAGTCGGTGATAGGACACAACGCACGGAGTCCGGTACCTACTGTAAAGTAAACCGATGCGTGGCAAATGAAATGCACATGTACCACATTCCCAAGACCCTCTAGTATCAGCCCTCGGCCATCTCATCTTATACCCGTTCACAGTCCAGTCAAGTCCCCAGTCTACAGTACACCATTCCCAAGCTTAATTCTTGCTTATCGCCCATCTCCGTGCCATCCCATGTCCATTCCTCGTCTGCTGGAATTTGATTCCGTCATCCCCAGGACCCCTCGGTGAAATTGTCAATCCGACAAGGCGGACTCGCAAATGTTTGCGCCAGACGTGGCGTGTGTCTAGATCCTGCAGCCACTATGCAACTACCATAACACGCGAGTGTGCGTGATTTCCACTCACCCCTTTTTTTCGTCGTCTTTTTTAATTCCTGCTTTGGGAAGAGGAGCTCTCTCTTTGCTTTTATTTTTATTTTTTTGGGCATTTTTTTGAGTTCTGGATTTTCCTGTTTGGTTTCGGGGAGATCAGGCGTGATCTCGGGGCTTGGGTTTCGGGGTGGATGCATCGATTGAGGCGCTATTGGCTATTTTCCGGGTGGGATGGGGCTAATATACTGTACAGTGCACTGGACTTTGCTATACAGTAGCAAACAAAAGGGTGCCAGAAAGAAAGAATAATATAAGTCAACAACGTTGCTTGTTACTAGACCAGTAAAGACAATTGCAATTTCGGGCGTTACATTTCAACACTCCCTGTTCCACTCTTAATTTTCAATGGATTTGCTGTCCTCATCATGAGAAAGCGCTTATGTATCAAGTTAGGCTGATAATTTAGCTGGTCTAGCGCCGTGGGACTGCCACAAACATACAGTACTGTACAATGGCCCAACGGTCAACAGTCAAAAATAGAGTCGATACATCCAATCTCCGTACACTATGCCATAACAAGTGAAGAGCGTCTAGTACAGTACTAGTCAAAGACGTTTCCCATTTTTCCATCTGAAAAGGGCAAATGGCCCAAAAAAAGAGATATGAATAAGACATAATTTAAGTGAAGTAAAACGCGATGACTCAATCTGCAGAGATTAACAGTTACATCAAATTCCCAAACGCCCATAGCTACCCATGAACAGCAACCCTAGTCCAGATTCAGGCGAGCCCCCAAACGTCGCACAAAAGCTGAACTAAAGGGCTGTGCTGGCTGTCTCGTTTCGGGAAGACTTGGGACATGCCATGCCATGCCATGCTCGCTGTACTGTACAGTACAGTACAGCATGCAACAGCCGATCCAGCCCCAAACTGCACAATTCAGAGCTGGTCTCGTGTTGGTTCTTCTGGTTGCTGCACTTGCTGCGCTAACTTGTATGGTACATGCCACGGTACATGCGCAGGCGCAGACGCGGGTGCAGCTGCGGACGCCTAGTGCCTCGGGTCGTGCCTAGTGCCTAGTGGCCGGCCTACGGGCAGTACTGTACGGACAGTAATGTACGGTCGACAAAAGACAGATCGCCTCTTGTGCACTTCTGGGGCTGAAGGGGCAGTGTAGGGTTAGTTGATTGGCTGGGCATGATTCCTTTGCGGCGCGTCATGCTCCTGCCAGTATGCGAGACGCGTTGATTTGGGCGTCTATCAAACGAAACATGACATATACATGCAGCCAGCTGACAGGTACAACTATGGACTGTGCATGGACTGTAGAGCGGTGTGTCTGTGTCTGTGTCTGTGTCATTATCTGTAGCCCGTGGCACGGAGAGACCGCTAAATGCCGTAGCATGAGATAGATGAATACCGGCACTGACTCGTGGATGGACCTCGGATGTTCAGGAGATACGGAGGGAAGAGAAAGGGGAACCGATTCTCGCCGGCTGCAGGGACTCGTCATGCGGCTTGGTTGTAGCCGTCGAGGAAGGATGCATTAGTTGCTTTCGCTAGACTACTGTACTGTAGAGCCAACGTGATAACCAACGGTCCAGGTCCATTTTTGTTCCATGTTCTTGGCACAAGGGAATTAAATCATTCAGGGGTACTATGGACATAACATTTGATTGTCATTGAATGCATTTCGCTAATTTAAAGCAGATCGTCGTAATTTTGGGTGGATGGGTGGATGAGTGATTTACGCCGGCGCAACGGACGGACTCATACGGGGCCTGTCGGGCTCCGGCAGGGAGTGGTTGGATGTGTGCGGGCGCATGGGTAGAGATGGCTTCTGCTCGTTGGATGCCGGGGGTGCTTCGAGCTTCTTCGGGAGCTCATCCTCGCCCTCGTCTTCGTCATCGCTTGAAGATTCTTCGCCCCGGCGGCCGTGACGTTGGGTTTCGTCTCGATGTTGGCGCTTGTCACGCAGATATTCCTGGCGTCGGGTTTCTAAACTCAAGTTAGTTTTCTGGCTTTGCAATTGAAGCTTTTCCCTGTGGGGGATTAGAAATTGTGACTGACCTCGAACTTCTTGTGTTTTGGTAGCATATGCCTGGATCTCTTCCTTGGACAGGACTCTCAGGACGATCACATAATCTGAGCGTTCCTCGAATCGTTCATTCCCTGCTTCCAATGCTTCGGGGTTCACCAACCGCCGGTCGATCTTGGTCCATCGAGCTCCGGGTGGGATGCCCTGCTTGTGAGCATCTTTGAGAGGTGCAACTCCTTCTCTGACAGGGTTGCGCTCCTCAGGGAATGCAGGACGAGGCGCCTTGAGAATTCCCTTGGGAGGAGCCTCGGGCTCTTTTGGTGCCACTGGTGGATCAACCGTCACGGGTCTCCTTGGGTCATCTTTGGTGTGATCAATTGGTGGCGACCGGCGAGTCTCACTAGCATGGCCATCCTCCAGCATACGAGGACGAGAGCGAGAGGAACGGTGTCCACGGGAATGATCTCGTTGGTGACTACGGCGGGAGCGATCCCGACTGTGGCCCCGGTCGCTCTCTGAGGTGTCTTCGCTGCTGTGTTTGCGGTGCGCTGAGGCCGAAGGCTCGCGTCTATATTTTCGCAGGTCTTCATCAGATGTTTCGCCAGCATCACTGTGCGCGCGTTGTCGAGAATGTCTTCGCGATCGACCATGGCGATTAGCATCCGCTGGGTCCAGATAAGACTGCTTGGTTCTTTCGCCGCCAGGGGTTGCTTCCACAATCTCTCTCGACGACGGGGCCTGGACTGCACCGTGCTCTCGCTTGTCACGGTCCTCATGGTGCCTGTGTCGGCGTCGGGAGGGACGCTCATAGTCTGAAACGTCGGAGTATCCACCTCCTAGGGCCGCCGTTCCAAGCCCGACCGCGGCCCGCTCGCCATCGTGCGGTTTCAAATAGCGATCCTCGGGGTAGTGGGGGTCCCGACTATCATCACGATGTGATCTGTGATGGCGGCGGCGGCGGCCATGCTCACTATGCCGAGGTGTGTACTCATCCTCAGAGTCGTGAGCCACCGGAACCAAAGCTTGGTCATGAAGCCCAGTTTTTGATCTGTGGCGATCACGAGAGTCATCTCGTGTCCGCGTAGAACTTCTTTGTCGGTCGCGGCTGATTTTGTCGAGGCCCCAGGAAGTGGGAGGCGGACCGTGATGTCGGTCCCTCCGTGCCAGCCACTGGGGGTTATCTTCAGCCCCAGTAATGCTGAGGGGCCGATCGAGCGAATGTCTCGATTTATGAGAGCGAGCCTGGACTGGATAATCCCGATCAAACTGCTCGCGAGGTGTAGTGTATGAGTAGGCATCAAAATCGTCAATATCGTCGCCTTTCCTCAACGCATTATATGCTGGATAACGACGTGAGTGGGATGGTGCATGTGCATGTGGTCGGTGACCATCGTAGTTTCGGTGGTGCACCTTATCCCGCGACCCCAAGTGGCCAGTATCGCTTGCATAGTCAGTGCTGTAGATTCGGCGATGCCCAGGGTGCAACGCCGAAGCCGGGACCAGATGGTGACCCGATTCCGAAACAAGAGGACTTGAAGCGTGGCCATGACTTGATTGAAGCACTGGCGACAGACGCTGGTGAGATGACGATGGCACAGCCAGTCGTGTTGGGGTCTCGTACGGGTTCGATCCTGATGTGGTATTGCTTCTGTGTCTGGGGGTAACAGTGTATTCGGTTCTTTTCTTGGTGGCTGAATTCGGGTCATGGACTCGATGGGAAGACACAGGGTGGGCTTCCAGTTTGGAGGGACGACTCGAGCGATGGCCATAGGCACTAGCATAGCCAGCATCGGATGGGTAGTCGTCGTAATAGTGCCTGGTCGATTCGTACGGATCATAAGAGGACCCCATCTGGACCATGCCAGTGGACGCTCGCATGGGATCAACCATGGAGTGCCGTGCTCGGCTAGGGGACAGGGTACGGTAATGGCTTGTCATATTGAGGCCTTCCAGCGGCACAGATGCAAATTTGACGGACTCGATAGATCTCGATTATATTGGCTTCGGAATCGGGTGTGGCGGTCTCCGATCTCCCAAGATTTGGATCTCAAACAATATGATAGGGCTCGCCTCTTGTAGGAAACTCAAGAGGGATCGGAGGTGAGGAATCCGGCAAGAGATTAAAAGCTGAGGAAATTAGAGGGGCCGCTGGGAACACGAGGTGGAGCCTAACAACTGCCCAACTCACAACAAACAAGCTCGGACGAAGTTGAAGCGATTCAGGAGATTGAAAATGAAAATGGAAGTGTGGATGAACAATGACGCAAAAGTGGGTTGGACGCTGACAAAACGGTCGGTCATTGCCGGTTACGTTAGCTGGGGCGCGCCTCCCAGGGCTTTCACTTGGTCTCTAAAGAGTCGAGAGCGAGACTCGGTTTCATTGTTGAAATTGAAGGTCAAGTTCAATTAGTATAACTTATCCGTGGATCAAGAATGTCCGGAAACTGGGGCCGTCTTCGAAACCATGGATGCAATTCCCACCTTTAACTATGAAACGATGCACATCGCTCCCTTACTGTCTGAGGCTCTGTCCCCACACCCGGGCAAAACTCCCAGGCGGTTTCGGATATAGCTCGGAGAATGGCATGATCGCTGGTTTATGATCAGTTCAAGTATAGTCGAGTATGTGTATAGAACAAAATAAAAAGGGCTGACGGGAGGCGAGGCGCTACTTCTATAACCCTAGTTGGGTCTCTTTTCCTCCCAATTAACCTTTTTGGGCCTCGAACCACACAGGTATGCGCTGTACAAGCAGACACTACTGAATGTAATGACATTACTATATTTGTAACATAGAGGACTGTTTCAATTCAGTGAGGGGCTACTGGATAGAGAGAGAGATGCTACATTGTGATGTACTCAGAGCACTGTGTGGTTTCATTCTTCGAGAAACAGCAACAAAGTCCCGAGATCTCGGCTTTTCTCAATGTTCGGGCCCGAATGCGTGGATCTGAGGCCCAAAGAACACTAGACTGCCATCAAGTAACGTATTCGGTCTTTGCTTTGCTGACCTCCTACTTTGGCAACTCTTTGTTTACCCAGCATTTACCCACTTTCTAGCACCTCAGCACAATCAAAGCCATGCAGAAACAGCGGTGTGAAAGGACTTGACACTGGACTGTGTTCCATCCTGAGGAACAACAATGCGAGAGGGCAAGTCTGCAAATCCACTTGCACTCGAGATTAAACGCCCTTGCACATGACCTCAATGTCTCCCAACAACGTCAGAGTCCACCCCAATACACCCAGTTAATGAGGCGAGCCTTAACAATAAGACAGAGCGAATGCTCCCTGGTGAAATTGCCTCGTACCCGCGGGAGGCTTGCAAGACGCCCCAACCGAGGCAAAGGAAAATAGTTCCCCACAAGCGACCTCCCCAAGCAACACAAACAAGCCAGAACAATCACAGCCAATAAGCAATTCTCAGACGGAACTTGGCTATGGTTCCACCAAGCGCTCTAAGCCACCATCCGGCCCGCCTGTTGGGAATGGGTCAAGCCCTAACAACGCCCATGATGGGAACCACGTCATGAACAGCAGTTCTAGATCTTCTAACGGAGGTGACCGATCGTTTTTGAACCTCATCCTCTCCGTACAGTTGCCAACAAACGAACTTGACTACCACCCAGGTGACGAGAGTAGCCAGGCGCGATTCGGCTGTGTCTGGCCCGGGTCGCGGGTGATCTGTATAGAGTGGCTACGTACAACGGATTCTGTTCGTTCGTTCGGTGGTTGAATTGCGTTCGGTTCACTGAGCATTGACGATCTTGTATGATGCTTTCCCTCGGTGTTTACCCAGTTGATATTGCGACCTGTCTCTTCTGGGTTTTCAGCTTTGTGGCTGTTCATGCTGGGTGTTCTGTGTGTTGGCAGTTGCTATGATGAAAGGCTTGAATCTAGTAGTCTTGTTCTCCTGATCTCGTGTGTATAAAGATTGGTCGCTACGGCTGTCTTGGAGTTCGTCTTCAAGCTTCATCACTTACAACTTACTTCACATCGAAACTATCACGTCTTTGCTGTTATATCAGACCTATACTTGCGTCGATAGCTAAGCTCCTTGACTCGACAATTCAACATCCAAAGCCAACACATCTATTTTATTAATTTTACCATCATCTTGCAATGTCTGCCTCTATGTTCAACATGCTCTATACCGAAGAGGCTGCCCCGAGGCCAAGCATAGCTTGTGGCTTAAGCGATTACTCGATCGATCAGATGACAGAGTCTGGTCCCATCAATGTGGATACATTGACATATTCGCCCGTCAATCGTGTGCGATCTACATTAAACGCGTTTCCGGATACTATGCTGCTCCTCGCACCTGGATATCTCTCGACTGGTGCCCCAAGACAACATGTACAGGTCTGGTGGGACTGCTGCGGCTGTCATAATATGGTCAACCCTGCTCTTGCGTCAGAGAAAACATGTCCAATCTGTGCGCATAAGAACGCCGGTTGTTGCAAGAACGTGAATGTTCCCTAGACTACAAGTCTTGTGGGATGTAACACTATGTCTACAGGTGTTTCTTTGGTTCGCCTTGTGTCAATACACTTCTCGGTCTTGGAATTTGTTTGGGTTCGATCTATTTTGTGATATAGGAATTGAGATTGGACTTATATCGATGTTGCTCTAGGTTATGTTTCCTTGGAATGGAGTTGGATCTGCAATGCTATCTGGAATTTGGTATATATATTGATATTTGGGGAAGAATATTTTACCATCATCATACTAGACTGTTATATATTTGAGCATCGTTTGGTGATTTGACGTCATTCTTGACTAGCAGCTACGACTTTATTCTTTTCAACACACATATATTGAAATTAGAAAACCAAATAGGCTGCTATACTGAACTAGGCAATGGATATTGAGCGTGGTATCATTTTATATCCTAAGGATCGTCCTCGGTATGTCACAACACAATCAAACAATCCAACGCCAACCAATGCTACATCTAGAGACCCCTTTCTATGTATTATGCTAAGCCCAAAATCCAATAAAAACTCCAATGCAAAGCATGCAAATCAATCATTCTTCTGTTCCTCCTCACGTTCTTTCTCAACCCAGTACAGCCTCATATTCCAAAAGGCATGCTCCGAGGGCCCAAATTCAGGCAGACAATATGAACCTGTGGAATCAACAAAGGTCTGCAAAGCTCCACCAGCATCCGCAGTTGCATGCTCAAGTGGGCCACCGAAAACCAGCCATGGCTTGGAAGGTAGCAGAAGTTCAAGATGTTTCTTCTCTGCGCCTGGGCAGAAAAGGAGGGTATTTTTTGTAATGTGTGAGAACGCTTGGGGGTGGGCGAGGACTTCAATGTTGAGCTCGGTGAAGAGAGCCTGGTCCAGGTGGTTGAAGACGGGGTCCTGGGCGTAAACCTTGATAGGCTGAGATTGGGAGGTGGAAGTGCTTTTCATTTGTGCTGAGGGTTGTTAGATTCGCATGGTACTTTGTTTGAGCGAAGAGCTGGTGTGGAAAAGGAGAAGGGTATAACGTGGGTAGATGGAGGGAAGGGTCGAAGTATAGTTATGAGACCATGTTCGACACGGGAGAATGGGAGGATACACAGCCAGGCAAGTATAAAAAGTAGCTCGGAAGAAAAAGACTGAAAGAACACAAACTCACCCGCAACCATATCCTTCATGCTCACCAAGGCAGCAAGCTGGTACATAGACACACTCCGCCTATCAGTCCAGCCATCACGCAGGAACCCACTCGGACTTCCGAGCCCAATGCATACAATGGCGTCCACAGGGCTATAGTTCAACTCGGATTGGGAAGTAGCGGAAGCTTGTTCACGCCTTTCTCTCAGTTTCTTCTCCAACACCCCCGCCAATTTGACCCAAGTCTCTGACCCCTCCCATCTCTCACTATGCTCCTGGAACTGGGTCTGCAACTGGGCGATTGTCAGTCGAGCTGGTGCCTCTGCAGGAGCTAACACAGGCTCTAGGGATGGGTCGGATGTTCCATTCGTGCTGTCTGGCCGGCTGCGCAATACGCGCCGCACGTTTCCGCCGCTTGTCACATGGGTCCAGCCGTTCTCGTCGGTCACTTGGGTTCGTTTTTGAGGCTGTTTTGTTCGTCGCGATGAGCTCGGCATGGTTGGTATAGGGGTTAATTATGATAAGGTAAATCAACGATATAAGCTTGGTGAGACTAACATATTCACTGGTGAAGCTTTTTTTTTTTGGAGTTTGCGGGGGAAGGCTTGGCATTCCGAGATGAGTTTCTTAGTAAATCAGTGTTCAGTGAGTGATCACCTTGTAAGAACCTTGGAATACTGGCCTTTACTGTACACTTAACATCAAATGCACTAACTCACCACTACTGTACTATTCGTGATGCCATCTACAGTAGTACCACTGCATCTCATGTTCACACCGTAAGCGCCGTTGTTCCCCTCCTGGACATTAGTGTCTCCCTGGGCGCTTCCCTGTCAGCAAATCACCATGCAGTATCACGCTCTAAGTGATGGCACTTGCAGCTGGCTGTGATGATCCAGGCTACCCCTGCTACTCATCACTGGTTCCCAATCACTCCTGCAGGCTAAGTCACATTTGGTTCGTTCCTAATGTCTTCCCCCTCAAAAAGACCGATCAGCCCTCGAAAATCATCCGTGGCTTGGTCCTGGAGCTTCATCTGTGGTTTTGGTTTGACATCAATTCTCTTCATTTTGACCTACGATCGGATAAGGAGAGTCTGAGACTGTCAGCAATTTCCATTTGATTGTTTCATTCTCTTGCTGCCGCCCTATATATTCGGGACGACACCTCGTCTCATACCTCTCACCATGAGCCTACAACAATCCGTACCACGATGGGCCTCTGTCCTCCTGCTGTTATGTCTAGGCCTGGCACAAGCTCACACTGTCATCACATACCCTGGTTATAGAGGAAACAACCTTCACACCAACGGAACAGTCCAGCAGGCGAATGGCCTGGGTGTGGCCTACGACGTGAAAAATGGCTCGTACATCTTCCCCTATGGCATGGAGTGGATCTACCCATGTAAGACCAGTTGATTCCGACCATGTTCATGTCAGCACCACTAATCCCATATTTTGCAAGGTGGTGGCATGCCCCGATCAACCAACCGAACCAAATGGCCTGTCAGCGGTGGTGCTGTCGCCTTCCAGCCGGGCTGGTTTCCGGGCCACCAGACTGCCTTGATCTATGTCAACCTTGGATTTGGCGAGATCCCGGATAATATGAGCCACCCCGTTGTATCGCCTTTCCAAATCACGGGCCCGAGCAACAATCCATACCCGGGTTCCGTGTGTCTACCACAGGTTCCTCTGCCTGCCAATATCACCGTTAGCCCTGGTGATTATGCTACTATCCAGGTCGTTGAGACCGCCAAGCATGGTGCTGCCCTGTTCAATGTATGTGTCACTCCTTTGGTCAAGTGGCTGGTTATACTGACATGACTTTAGTGCGTGGACATCGAGTTTGCAGAAGATGGCGATGCTTCTGTCGAGGAAGTGACTCGCGACAACTGCTTCAATTCCTCAGACCTCAGCTTCCAGTACATGTACACCACCAGTTCCATTGGCTCTGGTGCGGGCATGCTCCAGCCCCCGAAGATGTCCGCTGGATTCCTCGTACCGTTGTTGACTGCTGTCGCCTTCGGGATGTATCTGTAGAGACGGTCCGAATTTTGATTGCATTTACGCGCGCTTCGCTGTTCTTTCTTTTGCGCCATACCCCTGCTTTTATTAATCTATGACGCTTCAAAATCAATGATGATACTGCATGTCTTGAATGGGATTTATACTTGATGCTTCGGGTCTTTGAACTCTTATTGGCGTTGACTGGTGTTGGGGCTCTATACTACTTCACAGAACGAATATGTTCCCTAAATATGACGATTCTCACAACCATGTTGCTTTGCAATTATCATAGTCCGTATATATATGTTTATGCCACATGGGGTACTCACTTAGTAACTACTTCAGGCCTCCAGCTAACTCGACAATCGTTTGCACTACCTCTTGCGAGCCTTCCTGGGGTGTCCAGTGTCCAACCCCATCCAGGAACCGAAAGATCCGAAGGTCCGCGCACGAGACGCCGTTCTTCATCTTCTCAATGGCACCTGGCTCCTGGTAATTACCCCAGTCCAGCTTTCCAGAGATAAAAGCACAAGGCGACTCGATTTTCTTTCCAGCAAAGACCTCGAAGTCTTTAGTATATCGACCGCCAGCAGCTGTGCGCACACGATACCAGTTCAACCCGCCCTGGAAGCCAGTGCGTCCATACTCAGCCGCATAAACAGCAAGCTCCTCATCTGGTAGCCATGAATGCGAAGACATGCCCTTCGTCGGCTCCTCGGCCATATCAATGGCCACCGTGGCAGGCATAGTCTCATTTAAAGGCATAATATAATAGCCGGGCAACTTTACCAATTCCTCCGCCGACCACCTGTCCAGCGGATGAGGTCTATTCCCCGGCCAAGAGCCACTTTTCAAATGGAAATACCCTCGCAAGAAGCGATGCATCTCCTCCGGCTCCAGATCCGACATCTCAGGACCGGCCCGTGCAGTCGAATAATACCACTTATAATGCTTGTGCTCCAGCTCCGCCAAAGCCTCATGAATTCCCACAGCAGCAGAGCCCTCGGCACCACCAGCACCTTCATGTGCTACACGGCTCTGGCCAGCATCCCCACCACCACTGGCAGTATCAAATGGCACCTCGGGACTCCCATTAAAAGGGTGACTCATAAGCACAACTGAACGAAAGAAATCAGGCCTCATGAGCGCGCACATAGCAGCCGAAACAGCACCGCAATCATGTCCTGCAACACACTGCACGGATCGATAGCCAAGCGCATGCACGAGCAGCACGATATCCCGTACTAGACCGGATAACGAGAACGTTGCAAGATCCACATTGTCGTAGCTGCTTGTGTCCCAGCCTGTTGTTCGCCCAAAGCCGCGCTGGTCCGGAGCGATGGCGTGGTAGCCTGCTTCAGCGAGCTTGGGCAGAACGCGGCGCCAGGAGTAGGCTATTTCAGGGAAGCCGTGAAGGAGTACTATCAGGGGCTTTTGGGGGGCTTCGGGTTGTGACCTTCCTGCCTCTAATATGTGGAAGTTTAGATCGCTTGTTTGGATATAGCGGCTTGTTACTCCCTGTGGGAGGGGGAGGGGTGCTAGGGAGGTGTTTGTAGTCATGATTGGGAGATGTTGATTTGAGTTTGGGGAATGGTCGTAGGAGTCAAGGATAATCAGGATTTCAGGATTTCAGGATTTCAGCAGTCCAGGAGTCCAGGAGTCTAGCACTAAGTATACGGGAAATAGGGGCATCTTTTATAAGCCGAGGGTGAGATGAAGGGAAGAACTATCAGCATAAACTCCAGAAAGCATAAACACACCTCGGTGCCTGATTAAGTCATGACGCAACTTCAGATCTTCTGCAACTTCACGCTTTTCTTCCCACTTTTTTCCTTTTTGCGACAAGCCACAATTCCTGGCTCAATCCTTACTTTCTTTTCTCCTTGACTCCCGGCCTGTTGTCGATCGCTCCGAGTTTGCCGCTCCCCTCTCCCATTTCCAATCCCCTATAGCTTCAGAGCTATCATCACCACGATCTATCTAAGATCCACTCGATCGCCTCATCCACTTCATCCACTTCAATTTCGGAACCCCGGCGCTGCCTAACGCAGTGTCCGGCCGGCCACCTGATCGCTACGACCTCACTCCAAGTCAACAATGGTTTTCGGCCGGCGCAAAAGAAGTGCCTCTGCCCATCATCAGGTGTGTTCTACGCGTTGAGTCCCAGCTCCTGCAATTTATCGGGTACCTGCACCTCTGCATGAGACTAACAGCTTTTTTTTTGAACCAGCCACTCTCTCCGCCCGCGTCGCAATCCGCCCAGTCCGCCGCCAGTCATGCCTTCCTAAGATCTCAGCCGTCAACAGGCAGTCTGTCCTCCGCGGCAGCTGCCGCAGCGCTACGCAACTCCACGCCAACCCCAACATCCATCGGGAATGTCGAGACAAAGCGCATGGTCCAGAGGCGTGCCTCGACCCAGTCGCAGGTCAACCCTGCTGGCGGCCGTCGCTCAGCAAGCGTAAGTGGGACGCTGCGCCGCTCGAGCAGTAACAGCTCGATGACTGCACGTACCTTCCGCGAACAATCCCCCCATCGCCCAGCTACAAGCTCTGGACCAATCGATGTGCCCCCGTTGCCGAGTCTCCCGACGCAGTATGGACCGCGGAAACTTCCCAATAGTCGGGCAATCAGTATGGGGCCGTCGATGCGCTCGCCTCCATCGTCTCCGCCACGGGCTGGAAGGGCGAATCGAGAACATGGACGAGGCTCGCCTATCCATATTGATACACACCAACGCGTGACGACTCTTGGGACGGTGCCAGAGCTTGAAAGATCCGCGAGTCGCATCTCGGCCAATTTCTCCTATCCTAATCTTTCGCGGCCGACTTCCCCTACGAAAGAGTCCGAAACCGAACCGCTGAATATGGCTGGTGCCCTACAGAAGGCTCCTATCGAAGAGCCGGAGCGAGTTTCTAAAAGAGAGCCTAGGGCTCGAGCCTCTGGGAGTATGGAAGCCCCGGTTACGAATCAGGTCAGGGGTCCATTGGCTGCTTCTGCTGCTGCTCAAGCACTCAGCCCTCAAAAGGGTAGTCCCCAGCAGAGAACCCGCACTGAGAAAACTCACGATGAACCGACCGAAGATGAGCTAGATCAAGTTGCCGACAATACGGGACAAAAAGCAACCCCCATATCGGAGAGCGAGCATCAGTCTTCGCGAACTCTTCCTGAGCGATGGCCGTCAACAGTCCGCGAGGAAACAGAGCATACAGAAGAGCCTCTTGATACTCACATAAGGGAAGGAAGAAACCGCATGGCGAGTTCATCACCAACAACCGATCACCTGGAAGCAGTCCCAGAGAAAGCGGGTCAACCCCCATCTCTCCGACAGTCGAACAGCCCTGGCCGTGCGCGTTTCTCGCAATTACTGTCTGTGGCCGATGAGGGAAATCAAATTCACCAACCTCCTCCCCGCTCAGTGTCTCCGTTCAAGTCCGCCTTAAAGCATCCTCGAGGCAGCTCTCTATCCCCGGAAAGAAACCTCAGCACAACGAACCGAGCGCACGCGGCTAGCGAGCTATCGGATGGAGGTACATCAGTGGCATCGGACGAAGGGTCTCGCTTTGGTTCTAAGAAGAAGCCCCCCAAGGTCAGCTTCGACGATGAAGCTGAGGTTGTAGGCGTGGCAGCTAGTCCTCCCACCTCACCAGAGGAATATGTACCTGATTCACCACCCGGCGGCAAAGCCAAGACTCGCATGAGTTTCTTTGGCAAGAAGACCTCAGACTCTGCTACGCATACCGACGGTTTTAATGCGGTCATCAAGCCCCGACAAGCTCTTCCATCGTTTGGTAGCGTTAGAGGGAACCGAAAGGGTACTCTCCAGAGATCGCCCATTCCTGATTTCAGTGACAACGACTCAAGTTCATCCTCTGAGAATGAGGTTGCCGCTCAACCTGTGGCACTATCGAATGACCATGCCATCGCGGGTATGCTCCATAAAACTCAAGATCACGGATACTTCAAGCCCCGTAATGTCAGCCCTCTGGAGCAAATGTCTGTGAATGGAGATACTCTGGGTACCAGGTTGAGCGCAGACAAGGATCCGAATCCCATCGGGATCGCAGACCAGAAGCCATACTCTGGTGTGAGCTCTGACCTTGCCGTGCCTGCCATTGCCGTGGAACCAGCTACGCCCCCCCTAGAAGGCCCAAAGCGAAGTCTTGAGCAGCAAAGATCCAGTATGGATCAGTACAGGATTCCAGGCGGGTTCCCCCCTCCAACTCAGACCGCAATCTGAAATCCACCGCAAAGAAAACCAGTGCCCAAGCTGTTGTTGCGAGTGCTGTTCCAAATCTGGACGACGTGGACACCGAAGGGGAGTCTGGTGATAGTGTTTACAGCGACGCAGCTGAGGATATTGACGGCGATGGATTCGGATCAATCAATGCTATTGTCGACAGTCGCTCAGCCCCCAGGTCGGTGTCAGCTTTCGACACCGCAAGCGAGAGCCGTGACGCAACACCGAAGGCTTCGGATAGAACTGCCATCGTGGATACCCAGTCGCATGACGTGACTGACCAAGCGGGGGAGGTGCGCTCCGTGACTCCGACCCAAGACTCAGTCAGTCGTGAGGTAGAGGAATCCCCTATTTCCCCGATGAAAGCTCGCAATCTTGACTCTGCCTACCCACTGCTTCCGATTAACACGAACTTTGATGCCCCTAAAAATGGCACCTCCCGAACACAAATAAATGGGAAACAACGTCCGTTGTCTGTTGCAGTCAGTCCAACATCTCGTGTGCAAGATCCTCGTTTCTCAAGCAATGAGAGCTCTCCGCGAGATGGCAAGAGCAGACAACGTCCCATGTCCCTTGGTCCTGCGTTCCAAAAGTCACGACCTGCGCCGCGCCGAACACTGTCCAGTGGAAGCGATTCTTCCAGCAGCTTCAAGCGCACTTCCCCTCGCGGAGATGGCGCGCACGCCATGCGACGAACAATGAGAGCCGGTGCTTCCCCAGCCGAACGAAATGAGTCACCAATTGACTATCGACCGATGTCAGCCGGTTCGTCCAATGGAACCGGCACGATGCGCAAGACTCTTCGAGGAACAGGTGGTGCTGGAAACGAGCGGTACTCGTTCTTTTCGACGAACAATAAAGCACCTAGATCAAAGGTCTCCAAGCAGCCTCCTAGGGCTGCCGGCTCTACCCGATTTGCGGATTCGGATGGCGAGGAAGATGGAGCTCGCGCGCATACCTTCCAAAGTCGATTCGAATCCAGCGACGAGGAACATCCTGGCAACAAGACCATGCGCCCGGTCCGCGGTATCCCCCGTCGCCAAGGTGCTGACGATGGCGACTCGACGGAGCTGGACGACAGCTCGGAGGAAGGCGCCCGACAACAGGCAAGGCCAGCTGCTGCACAGCGGTCGGTTATTACTCCTCCCGGATCTCGCGGTGGGAACGAGCCGCGGAGCATGTCCGGAATGGCAGCTGTCGCTAAACAGCGCGGAATGTCACAAAGAGATCTGGAACAATTTCTCCTGTCGCCTCCACGTGGACGAAAGCCAGGTCTTCTCACACGACTTGGTCTGAAAAAAGACAAGAACATTGAAAACAAGATCCGCAAGGCCGATGTTGAAAGTCCCTCGCGAAGAGACACACATCTCGAGCGATCGCGTCTGGAACGCGATCAACTGCGTGAAGATCATGTTGCCAGTGGAGCCTATGGTAATACTGTGACAACCGTTACAGCCGGAAGTCCTGAGCAACCTCACCACTCCAAGCTAGTAAAGAGAAATTCCAAACGAAACACCACAGACCCGTCTTGGCCTCTCCACCCTGACCAAGCGGACCAAGAAACTCTGCCATCAGTTCCAGAGCAAACCGCCACCGCTCCATCATCCGTTCCACAAGTCGAGGAATCCAAGTCACAAATCAATGCTGCACCCACCAGCAATGGGACGGTTCTTGTCAACGGAGATAGTACACGTGGTGCATCTCCTATTGCCAAACAGCCTGGGCCAATTCGGCGTGAGAGCAGGACAGAGTCGTATAATGACAACGCGTCGGAGATCTCGAATCCGGATGACCACGGGCCTTCAGCACGCGATGTTGTGATTGCCGGCTCTGGACGGAAGAAGCGATTCCCAATGCTCAGGAAGGCGTTTGGTCTCAAGGCTTGATTGGATTTATTTTCGTCAAAGCCCAGATCGGTGTCCATAATGTCTATTAATACCCTTCTTTCGCAATTTTTCTTCTTTCTGTTCTTGTTATTTTTTCGATTTTCCCTCTTTTCTCTGTTCATCTTGCGTGCGCGAGAGGTCTTATAGCCTCCAGTGGCTACTGTTGCCCGTCGAAAAATTTGATTCGATCTTCGACGTCATCTAATTTTTAATGACCGATATACGCCATCTTTGTTGTCTACTTGTATCCCTTTTGGCACCTTCTTCTTGTGGGAGTCGTCCCACGTTTCTCTCTTTCTCATTTGGACTAGGAGATGTTTCGCTACTTGGCCTTTCACACCTTTTTCTATTCCCTTCACCTTCTTTGGCCTCTTTCCTTCTCTTTTTCCTTCGCTGCTCTCATATCCAGGTGTGGCTTATTGGACTCATTCACTCACCTTCATGATACCCTCGTTCGTTTTCTCCCCACACCCATGTACTATTTCCCCTCGTTTTTCCTGTGCCTCATTACCGTTCTCATCTGCCCACCGGTGCTATGTTAAGTATATCCCTGGGGGTTCATCTGGTTGTCATAGACAGTAAGCTATAGATTTATTTAATCAGATCAGATGTTGATTCTCCTCATACTTGTGATCAGTAAGCTGTAGTCACCCTAGGGTAACATCTGTCAAAGGGCCATTGTCTAAAATGATACATTCTAGTCTCGATGATCATATAGTTCCCGGAAATTCCAACATCAATTTAGATTAGAGGGATCTGACTTGATCCTCCAACATACAGACCTGGAATAGATTCTTCCATCACTCGGTCCAGATTGCCCATCTTGATCTTGGTTCCATGCCGATCACTATTATCTCCGAGATGAAGAATATCATTCAAATAGAGGAGTATGCCCTCAATCGAAAGCAACTCCAGTCCTTCTTCTAATCGAAGACCACAATGCGCCCCCAATCCCTCCTAACCCTAACCGCTCTGGCCAGCACAACAATAGCCACAACAATCACTCAGCTATCCAATTTCACCACCCCAGTCGACATCGAGAACAGCATCCTCCGGCCCAATGGCAACCTCCTCCTAACAACATTCGACCAAGGCCGCCTCTACACCCTTAACCCGTCCGACCCAACCCCCAAAATCAACCTAGTCACCGCCCTCCCAGGCGCCACCGCAATCTGCGGCATCACCGCCATAGACACCGACAAATATGCCATTGTAGGCGGCATCCGCGGGTCCTACCACTATGACAACGAAACCCTCTACACCGTCGACTTCAGCGACGACCGCGCCCTCCCCGCCGTCGATATCGTAGCGCATATCCCCAATGCCGAAATGCTCAACGGCATGGCCTCCCTCCCCGCCAACCGCCACATCGTTCTCATCGCCGACTCGAGACTCGGCTCTCTGTTCCGCGTGGATACCCGCACCGGCGTGTCAGGCATTGTCCTGACGCATCCTGCTCTCGCTGCCCCGAGCAATGCGTCCCTGCCCATCGGCATCAACGGGCTCAAGGTTGTGGGTGGGTTTGTTTACTTCACTAATAGTGCTTTGAACATCTTTGCGCGCATCCCCGTCAGTGGTGACGGAGGGCGGTTTGGTCAGGTGCAGATCCTGGCGCGTCTGGATGCGGCGGCTGGTGAGGACTGGGATGATTTTGCTATTGATGCTGAGGGCACGGCGTATATTGCGCAGCCGGAGAATTCTCTGGCTAGGGTTACTGCCGATGGCGAGTATAGTGTTGTTGTTGAGGCTGGGGATGGTTTGGATCTGATTGGGCCTACTTCTGTGCAGATTGCCCCTGGGGGCGTGCTTTATGTTACTACTCGGGGCGGGGACGTTGGGGGGTATACTTATGGTGGGCAGGTGGTTGCTGTTCAGTTGGATTGAGGGCTGTTTCTGGATGAATGGATGTGGTTGGTGTTTCCATGTCGAGATTCACTATGCACATTAGCAGTAGAAATGTATGCATTTCACTAATTCTTGTGCTGGAAACACGGCTAGTCTCAATATGGCCTAGTCAATGCAGACCTTGTCGGCTTTAAATGCGCAGCAGGGACCCTTTGATATCGCTTCGCTATAGTAAATAGGAGAGGAATGTAATTTCGGTTAGTTGGCAAAGGCCAAGGCAAATGGAAACGCCAAGAGCGGAAAGTATCAAGCTGGTCAATGCCTTCAAATCAGTTCTTCATTCGCCATTCGCTCTCCACCTTCCTTTCAAACCAGTCCATACGATCTTCAGTAGTCTTAAGGTCAAGGTCCAACAATCCAGCTCTTACGCATCAGTCCACAACCTTTGCCATTCCCATTTAGGGTTCTTCTCCACTATTCCAAGCCGGATGGCTTTGCGATTGTTCCGGTTCGCCCTCTGGCAGGTGCCAATAATGTCTCGGAAATTGGCAGACACGGCGTTTGTACTGTAACTCGACTGAGCTTAGGGCGGTCCCCCACTTCGGATAGTCATTGATCCTTCGAGAACGAGGCCAATCCCAACCCAAGACACTCCACAAAACGCTCATTTAGAGATCACTCTCCGGTTCAGGGCAAAAACCGAGCCATCTCCGTGCACTAACTTTGCAGTCAATCCCAATCCCAGGGGGGCCCAAAACTCGGCTAACCTCCGAGGTAAAGCGGCATATTTACCGCCCCCCAGGAAGGATGAGATAAATCCCCAAACCATTCATCTCAAAATCACTGCCACTATTGATCACTACCGAAATATGGCTGCCACGCAAACGATTACAGTCCCCCACCTGGGCGGCGTCAAGGCCGGATACGCCTTCGCCAAGGGCCAATACGATCCCTCCAAGCCAACATGCGTGCTCATTAACTCCATGTGTATGACCGTGTCTCTGTACCACGACCAGTTCACCAACGATGCCCTGAACGACGCCATGAACCTCTTGGCCATTGAGCCGCTCGGCCATGGCGCGACCAGTTCCCCATCCGAGCACTTTACCTACTGGGATTCTGCCCACATGGCCTTGCAGGTCATGGACCACTTTGGGATTCAGAAATCCTTCGCTCTAGGCACAAGTCAGGGCGGGTGGATCGTGACTCGGATGGCCCTTCTAGCCCCAGACCGGGTATGCACTGCCGATTGACCCGGAGGATAAATAAGAAATTAACCTTGCATATTGGCTAGATTGTCGGTCTGATGCCTCTGGGAACGTCGATGGACTATGAATCCCCGGAATCGCGATCCAAGCAATGCTGGGACCCCGCGGCGAATCTGACGGTGTTTTATGAGAAGTGGACTAGTCCCTCGGCTACACCCGATTTTGTGGTGGATGATGTCTGGTGTGGATTGGTCGGTGGGATTGGCTTTGGTGCCGCTGCCACCGCCGAGCGATCCGCCTTCTGGACGCAGACTTTGAAAGACGTCTACCAGGGCGACGAGGGCCGGAAAAAGGTCCGCATGGCGCTCAATTGCCTGCTGGAGAGGGACGGGCTGCTGCTTCGTATCGGTGATATCAAATGCCCTGTTCATTGGCTGCAGGTGAGTCTGGCATTTCCCCATGTGGGAGATCTGCGCATTGACACACCCATCAGGGCACCGAAGATGTTCCGTTCTCGACGATCGTGCCGGCGGAGCACATCACGCGTTTCACCTCGTCGGTGGATGCGAAACTCGTGATGATCGAGGGCGGCGCGCATTATCTGAATGCTACTAACCCCAAAGAAGTAAACGAGGCCTTGTTGGCGATGGTCCAGACATACGGCTCGACGGCGTAGACTCGAAGATCCTAGATACTATAAACCCCGTTCCATGAACCATGGTTCCAACACCAGTTAAAGTATTAAAGTATTCGCTACCACGAGAATCAAGAACAAGACATGTTGGACTGGACACGGTGGGGGGCACTACTTCCTTTCAATCTCAGATTTCCTGCTTTTGTGAATCAAGCCCTGAGTGGGTTTTTCTTGTTTTTCTTGTTTTCCGCTCAAACGCCCCCTTTCGAATCCAACCCGGGTGTGCCCATACGCCATGCCATGTGGAAACCCTGTCAGTCCTGCCTGGAACAACCGAAGAACCAAAGAAAAGAGAAAATTGGGCCCCAGACGGTTCAAAGTTGGGTTGACAGCTGCTAAAGTTCAGACCTGAGACGCCAAGCTTGTCAGTGTCAAAAGTACGATATCTGGAGCCATTGACAGGACGAGTTCATGCCGAGTTCATGCCGTGGTCCACAATTAAAAAAAAAGATTCAGCGAAAATTATGTATCTATTCCGACCAATGATCACTATGCAAGGGACGTTTAGTGTACGATGATCCAACCAGACGGGGGCCATATACTGTCGCCCCCCACGAGATTCGAGGCCAATAAAGTCGGTTCAGACTCAATTTAATTGTTTCCCAGTAACTTATTTGCTCGGCTTGTTCTGCTGCATGCTTTCCTTTGCGCAATGGCCAGTGATCAGGGCAGTCTGCAGCCATGGACGATAGCTACTGTGGCCTCGGTCACGGTGCTGGCATTCGTAACGGTCTGTCTTCGATTGCTTGCTCGGTATGAAAGAGGGCAGAAGCTGTGGTGGGATGACTATATGATCATCTTCTCGATGGTGAGTTCAATTCCGACCTGATCTTCATCGCATGGAAACTGATCTATACCAAGCTATGGAATTTCCTGGTTATCGGGTTCATCTACACCATGGTTCAAAAGGGTATGGGCCTTCATGCAGGCACTGAGGTCCCCATCGACAACGTGGTGTTGATTGCCAAGTTCCTGGTCGTGGCGGAAGTTCTCTATGTCTTCAATCTCGTGTGGACAAAGTTGAGCATTCTGCTCATGTACTACCGCATCTTCCGCTTCCCATACTTCAAAACATGGGCATACATCATCGGAACGTTTGTCGTCCTTTGGGTCATTTGCATTACCTTCATCTTCATCTTCATCTGCGTCCCTGTCCAGAAGCTATGGTATCCCGACATCCCAGGGCGATGCATCAACCAAGTCAGCACATGGATCGCAAACGCTGTCTCAACAATCGCAACCGACCTCGCCATTCTCGTCCTTCCAATTCCACAAGTCTGGAAGCTCCAACTTCGAATCTCGGAAAAGATAGCCGTGTTGATCGCCTTCAGTTTGGGTTTCTTGTAAGTCACTACTATATCCAAACCCCTCAAAACAAAGAAAGCAACCCATGTCTAACCACACCAGTGTCGTCTTCGCCTCCGCCTACCGCTTCTCAGTCCTATTCAGCTACAGCGCCCTAGATTCATCCTACACGCTCGCCCCAACAGTCGGCTGGACAGCCATCGAAATGTCCGCCGGCATCATCTCCGCAAACCTCCCGACCCTCCGTCCCGCTCTCCGCTTCATAGCCCGTATCCTGGGCATCAACGGCAGTGTCGTAGGCATTTTCAGAAGCACAAACGGAACAAGAACGAAAACCACCAACGGCGCCACGGAGCCTTCACAGACCGTCGAGAGTACTGCTGCTATCATCCAGCCCTCAAAGCATTCGCATCGCCATTCGTTCTATCATCTGCCGGATGATTCGGATTCGTTGTCGGAGCAGACTCGCATGGATGCTGCGCTTAGACCGAGCTATGATCGGGCCAAGACGTTCACTCATGTAAAGGGGCAGAAGGTTGTTGGGAGGCGCTCGGATGAAGATCAGATTCCTTTGTCGGAGATTCGCGTCGATAAGGAGTTTACGCAGACTTCGACTGGTTGAAGGGGGTTGTATATTTTATTTACACTTTGTATTATATTTTCGGTTCACGTCATAGCGTGTTGCCCTTTCTTGTGTTTTGTTTATTACTGGCGGGCCGGGAATGAATGTAGATGGATGTTTATACCATTGGATAACTTGCTTATACCTCGTTGTGTCAGGTCAAATCCCCGTGTCGCACTGTCAGATTATCTATCGAGTCAAGATAGCAAAGGATATTAACATGACATTTATTTTCCTTTGTAATAGTATAAAATCTATATGCTTCTTATCTAGCGAAGAAATCACAGAACCGTAACAGAGTAAGGAACGCTGTAATCAGGCAGAACGGGGAACTGATACATATCCAGGTTCTCCTTTCGAGCAGCAGCCCAAGCACCCAGGGTAGCGAAAAGCTTCGCCACATTCTCCTCCCGAGAGAGGTCGATGGGCTGCAAGTCATTGCCCATCTGCGTGATCTGAAGACCGGCCGCACCAGCGGTGGCACCAAAGTCCAGCATGTTTAGCTTTTGGAGCAGGGCTCCCTTGACCTGTCCGGACAGGATCTGGGCACAAAGGTTTGGTTCTTGGCAGAGAGCACGACCAATGCCGACTCCGTCGACTGTGTCGAGCGCCTTGACCATGCCCTCGACGGTCTTCAAACCGCCGGTCACGTAGGTCTTTGTCTTGCTCAACGCAGGGACGATGAGCTTGGCGAAGTCCAGGAAAAACTAGTTTTTATTAGCGAGGCTCCTTGGACGATTCAAATTCGAACATAAAAGAAAAGACGAGTAGGTCACACTTACTGCTTCACGCTCGATGGTCGACTCCCGCTTCTGGTTAGCCAATGGCCAGTTCTCGTAGGTACCACCAGACAACTCGACAAAGTCAAAGGCATGCTCCTCAAGAGCCTGGCAAAGTTCCTTAGCTTCGTCGGGCTGGAAGCCCTTGGCCTGGAACTCAACACTGTTGATCTTGATACCAACAATAAAGTCCTTCCGAACTCTCTTGGCGATCTCATCTCTAACCTCCAAGATCAAACGCATGCGGTTCTTCAAATCACCGCCGTACTTATCAGTCCGGAGGTTAGTAGTCGGAGAAAGGAACTGGCTCAGAAGATATCCATGAGCACCGTGAAGCTGGATACCATCAAACCCAGCCTTGTCGAGGTATTCAGCGGCATGAGCAAAGCCATCAACGACATTGGCAATATCCTCTTCTGTCGCGGCGCGAGGCTTCGCAAACGAGCCCATCGCATCAGCCTTCAGCTGCACATCACTGGCACTGATTGGCTGCGGCTGCAGGTACTCGGGTGTCTGGCGACCCGGGTGTCCTACCTGGGCAATGATGAGACAGCCCTGGGCCTTTCCGGCTGTGGCGAGGTCCTGGAATCGGTCGAATCGCTCGCCGGAGAACTCTGCCTTTTGCGGGATCACAGGGTTGCCGGCTGCTTCTAGGTGACCGGGGTCGATCATGACATTTCCTGTCAGGTTGATTCCTATTTGGCCTGCGCCCCAGCTCTTGTAGGCTTGGATCAATTCGGCTGAGGGGATTCCCCGGGCATTGACATCCTTGAGAGAGAATGAGGCGAGACGCTCGCTCATGGCTCCTTTCAGGAAGCGGTTTGGTGCTGCGCGGCCGGAAAATTCAAAGTTTAGCGGTTGGCCCAGGGGACTGGGGTCGACATCGGCGCATTCAAGTCGTGGGGTGGAAGACATCTTGTGTAGGTGAGGTTGTGTGTGTATACGCGCTATAAGGAATGGGAGGGAATTGAACTATGGACAAATCTCTTGATGGGATGCGATACTTTTAAATCTTATCGGATTTCCTTTTTATGTGCATATTTTGTGCCCCAATTCCAAGATTCTCCGAGGTTAACTTCTCTGGAGATCATTTATAAGCAGTTCCATACAATTCCAAGTGCAAAACTCCACTGGAAAAGTGGAGCGTTTCAGGCGGAGGGATTGTTGTCCCAAAGCCGATTCTGGATCGTCTTGGGATATGAGATGGTACAATGAAGAAGAAATCTGAGAACGCCCTTATGGTTTGCAATGTGCCTGGGTTACAGTAAATCTGGCATGGACTGTTCTCTTACATGCGTTTTCGTTCCATCTCGGAGCATCAAGGAGGGCGAAAGAAAGCAAGATAGCAGGGACAATCAGTTCCTCGGAGTATGCCCAAAAGAGCATAGAAAATAGTCTGCAGGGCTTAAACTGTACTTTTGTTCATGTGGTGGGCCGGGGGCTTATGCATAATTTCCATCCACTTGAAAAGTCTTCAATCTTATCCAGTGACATCATGTTGTTCTTAGTCGGGGTCGCGAGTTGCTCAATAGGCAATTGAGAGGTATATCTCTCAACGAGTTAGATACAGTCACAATCCGTGATCAAATATTGTCACGTATAAAGCTGCTTTTCCATTAGAAGAGGCTTCGAGGAAGATTTCTTGGCACTCCCGGGACCGACAATATTGATGCCCGGAGTACTGAGTAGGAATACACGCAAAGAGCGGCAAACGATATTAACAAAGCAGGTTGATAAATGTATCGTAGTCTAAGAATATAGCAGTGATACACATCCCTGCTATCAAAAAGGGATTTCGCAAATGCAAACCAAGCGCTAAGCTGACCAAAACAAAAGCAAGTAAAGCAAGGGCACTCAAATACACTACGAAGTCGAATGTGTAGCGGCACCGTTCCCATGCTCATATGGAACAAGACCAGCCTCCTGCTTCAAGCGGGTGACGACGGGCCCCAGGGCAAAATCGCTCTCCATACTGCTGTGGTCAGCACAGGGGCTTTGCTTGATGGGGAGGAGCCAATCGACGATGCTGTATCCCATGACCTGTTGAAGATTTTTGAATGGGCTGCCGAGGTCGAAGGGGTTTTCACCTGGTAGGGTGTGCAGAATTGCAAAGACGTGCTTTTCGCCAGTTGATGTGTCTGTCTGCGGTCTATCTGGAGTTGAGGGGGTTGCTGGGGGGTAGGAAACCATGCGAAAAGTTGGGGCCCAAGGGGAGTCTGTTGTCCAGAGTCTGTTGGTTAGGTGTTCTGGGACTCGGACGGCTAGGGTCCAGACGACTGAGCGGCGATTCAAGTTTTCGATAGTTGTAATATTGAACATGCTCATTTGAATGGAGCTGAGGGTCATTCCTGCTGTAAAGAAGCCGAATAGGGCGGCCCTGGGTCATGTTAGTATTCTTGAAACCCAATAGTAATTTAGCAATCGGTGCTACCTACAGTCCGATGCAAACACACCAATAAGGGTTTGCTCCTCCAGTCTAAAAAATGTTAGCCTAGAACCAGGCGGCACAATTTGTTCCATAGCTAGCTCACCTGGCGTCGTATCTCTGCCGTAAAATAGGCAGACACAATGAGAGCAAAGGAACAGTACAGACAAGTGTAAAAGACAAATTGAATAAAGAATTTGAAGGATGTTTCCGATACCACACCTCCAACCCTGCAGCAAGTCAGTAAGAAATCATAATCATGACAAAAAGACATATGTACCAAGGGCAGAAATGATCCATTTTGCGCACACAGCGACTCAGTTCACGGCAGTGGTGTGACCTGTCTGGTTTGAACGTGCAGCATGTTGTACACCACGAGGGCCGACCATCCTCCTGGCAAACAAAAACATCTTTGGAGTAGAATTTTTCCAGGCCGGAGGAATCTGCTTGGGATGCATCATTACCAGCATTGGCGACCACCCCTCTCTCCACATCCTCCTCGGGTTCCTGTGTCTTCTCGGGTTCCGGGCTTTGGGGCGAGCTGCCTCCCCAGCGACGGTGCTTCGGATGGGAGCGCTTCGAGTCCCTCTCCTTTTCATCTTCTTGTATTCGCTGTGCACCTAGTGGCAAGAACCCAGGATTCCACAGCACGTGGTAATAGAGATGTAGATAAGTGACGACCATCGGAATTAGGAGGACCCAATAAATCGCGAGAATCGCAGCGCCAGCGCCGACTCGCGGGCCTCGGTTATATGATGGTAATGGGTGTATTAAGTAGTCAACTTGGATCCGCACCGTTAGCTTCTTCTTCTTCTTCTTCTTTAGCTTCAGGCAGCTGTCAAGCGCGTTACCCACTGCATAATGGTTTCGTGATGGCGTAGGAAGCGTAGATGGTCGCGCCCAGTAGCACAGGTGGAATGAGCCTGGATACCACGAGATTCACGCGCTTCTGCGCTTGAGACGCCATCGAATATCCGATACAATAACATATGTAAGCGCAAGATAGGCCGGAGTTGGATACCAGGAAAGGTCACTCGCAAACCATGCAAACATCTGACGTAATCGCTTTCAATCCCAGCCCTGGAGGCTCAAACAGACCCATGGTTTGAGGGACTACCGTTTACCCTTGTTTTTTTCTCCCAACGGTCTCTCTCTATTCTTCTAGAATCAACCTCCATCCATGCCGGTTTACCGATTACTCACTCTCACCGGTTTAGATCTCAGCTGCGACCGTCAGACACAGCTGAATGGCTGAATGGCGGATCCCAGTTTCTAGGAATAGCCAATATAGTAGAATCATGAGGTCAGAGTGCACATGGCGATGTGAGATTTGGGAATTAGAAATCAGCCTTGATCGGTGGACGTTTCACGGCATGTTGCTTCGTAATCTAGTAGTGTCATCAAAATTACCTCCAATAGCCGATGAAACGGTATCAGAGGAATGACAGAGCTTAGAGTTGTAGGCAACAGAGGGCTTTAGCGGAACACCTGACCCGAACTATGACTCTTTTCCAATTTCTGGCGTCCAGCGCTGCCTGGGAAAACAGGAGCGGTGGGGATTCATAGCACCAATTGGAGCACGCGAGAACAAGGCATCGAAGGACTCTGAATTCTAGACGGACGAACGTAGACCGTTATTTCGGCTCCGCCGAGTCAGCCAGATTGCTCCGAAGCTCCCAGTTTCCCCCGGGTCGAAGTGCTTATGGAGACGGTGTGCAGTCTTTTGCTTAGCCCTGGAGTGGGTGCGGCGGGGACCCGTTGAGTCAAAACGCCGGGCATCTATGATTCACTTCCTCACCCGGCATCTAGGCACAGGCTGACCCCGGGCAAATCGTAGCCCTGGATTCCTACCCTAAGCCACTCGGGCGATCGTTTGAGAAGACCCATCACCCCGGATGATGTGCACTAGAACAGCCTCTTACCTATGGCCCCAAAATATGACTGCCCTGAATTAATGGCCTATTTTCCACCCCCCTCCTAATCCACATTTCCTAATACGGCGACAAGGCTGCCTGGGGCTGTTGACTGTTGCTGGACACTGCCTTGCACTGCTATTTGATATCTTTAATATTATATTCTTCACGTCAGAATCTTATATAGTTTCTTCAAATTCCCAGGTTTCAAATTCAATTCATCCTCAATCTCCATCCATTCAAACCGAGTCTTGTATACCTCCCAACTATCCAAAGCCATACATCCCGCTCTAAAAGATAAAGGCCACTTGCATCCTCCAAGCTTTCAAACCACCAAGCAATCCAATCTGCCTCTAATCAACAACATCCAAACTACCAAGCCTATAACCATCATGGCTTCTTTATGGTACTGCTGTGGCTGCAACTTCGGCCCTCACAACTCTTCTCTCTACGACTCCTGCATCCAGTGTGGAACACGCCGCTGTGCTCGCTGCACCGAAGAGAAGATCTCCGACAACGCCAACATGGACCTGAACATGTCCTCCTACTCGCACTCCCACTCGCACTCGCACAGCTGTGACATAACATCACCATACCCAGCCGCCGTACACATGGATTCTCCTCACACAAGGCCCCTCAACACCAGGGCGATGCTCCCTCAAGTGCCAGAGCTACCTGGTGTTCGGCCGTTACTCCGTGCAGACTGCACAGATATGTCGTCGGCTTCACTAGCGGGTGTTCGAGTCCACGGCGAAACTTACTTGTACATCTGTTGCAAGTGCGGTGATGGACCCAAGACCTACAACGTTCAGCCCAGGTGCATTGAATGTGACCACACTGCCTGTGGAAGCTGCAACTACGTCAAGTGAGAGTGGTGCATTTGACAAAGACTGACGACTACGATTACAATGGTGAGCCGATTTCCCTGCTCCCTTGGCTGGTTTATTTTTTCATGAAACTGACCCTCCTGCCAGTGTTTCCAATATTTTCTTTACTTTGATTTTCTATTTTTGTCTCTGCATCTCTGCTTATTTCGGATTGGTTTCTATGTTTACAGCGGCATATACCAGGTGTATTTTGTTTGGGGATAGAGTGTATACTTGGCTGAATTTGGTTTAGCGTATGGGGCTGGATCCCTGTATGCCTTGAATGCTGTTTTTTTGCTATTTTTTGCTTGATTACTTGTTGATTACATGACATGAAATATTTAGAATCTATCTTGATTACTTTTTATTATTATTATCCATCTCATTTCCTACACTCTCTATTTTGACTGCATTAGGTCCCCGACTGCAGCATGTAGAATGTAGTCATAGTAGTGCCCAACATGATCTTCACCAGGGAAATATGCAAACCCCTGTTCAACACGAGCCTCACCCCGGGCAAGGGTAAATCCCATAAATCACCCAGCTGATCAAATTTATGGTTGGCTGGAAAGCATCTTGCGGCTCCCCGAAACGGAAGCCCGGGCCTTAGGGCGTCATGCACGCCAGGGTGTCTCGCCCTAAGCCTGCGCCCGGGGACCCTCTTGGGTTACCGCTTCTTGGGCCTCCCATCTGCAGCAAACAGCCCTATGGCCCATAGTAAAGAAGCGGTCTTGCTCTCACTGAACTATGGCGGAGTCCCCGTGTCCGGACCCCATCTCCGCCCTTTCTGATGTCTACCGCAGCCTCAGCCTCCAGCCTGGATTGGATTTGTAGATCTTACTTGCCTCATTCTGATTGATTCACCTTAATATTCTCTAACAGTGATGTTCATGTCAATGTCGATGTCATCGCAGTTTGTCCCACTGAGGCTGTGCTGGCAACTGGACTGTGCGCCCCAAAGGGTCTAGGGCTTGGCTTTTCTCTGCGTTCGCGCTTGTTCCTTGTTCCGCGGAGAATTCGCATCTTCTGCTTGTCATTTCACTCTCCACTTGCCGTCTAATGACATGCGCCCTCGGCTGTTTCCTAAGCGAAACCTGCGCCCCTCTCTTTCGGGCAACACGGGCGCGCGTGCGGGAACGGGGCTCCATCCTTCCCAATAGTATACTACAATACAACTGGACTACTCAAACAAGTTAAACCAGAAACCTTCTAGAAATATAGCGTGTCTTTTTTCCCTCGCATGGGGTGAATGTGTAAACCAGACTCTCTTTCTCTTGGCTCCGCTATTCTGCCTTGTCCTGGCCTGAGTCAGAGGCCCGTCCCGCGCTACTATAGGCCGGAGGTTATAGATCGGGACTGGATGCTTTTACAGTACATTTCCTTCTAGCATGAACGCATTTCCTGTTTCAAGATGACCATCACCGCCCGTCTGAGGAAAGCTAATCCAGCCGTCCACATACTATTATTATCATCGAGGTCGTGTGAAACGGTTGTACGAACTATTCTAAGTCGGCCCCCAATCCCGCAACGCTATACTTAGCACTCCTTCAGCCCGGATTATCCACAGCTTATTGTTCCTTGGCTGGTTGATTTACAATTCCCGCTATTCCTGTCATGTTTGATTCGTCTCGGGTTTCGTGGTCTGGGCTGTTCGTGGTTTCTTTGTTCTTTCGGCCCCCGATTCTCACGGCGGGGCCGTTGGACTAGTGAAGCTGAAGATAGCTTAGCTATGGACCTACACATAACGTCAGTGGTTGGGTGTGCGGCTGGATGACTAGTGGGGTACCGGATTTGCTATGGTAGCTGAGGTGTCAGAAGCTAATACGTTTCGATATTTTGTTTGGCCATTTATTTGGTTAGCGCCGCAGGGTGAATGAGTCACTGGGTTTCGTTGCATATCTTTGATATGTACGTCGCTCATTGCCAGCTGGGCATGTGGTCAGATGGTCAATCGATTGACTCACAGATGGACATAATCCGAGCACATTCTAAGCTATGTGGCACGATGGTTGGAAGTATACTGAGCGGGAAAGACCAATGGTTGGATAGAAAATACATATTGATTGGTGCTATGAATATGTTCTGGGAAAACCCGCCGATATTATAATCGTACAACCGTGCAGATTAGCGGTAATCAAAGAGCTCCACCGGAGCTGCACTACCAGTAGCTGAGAAGATTCAGACGCCCCAACGCCGTTTCGCTGAGTCCCTTGGACAATGCAAAGGCCCAGAGCCTAAAAGAAGGAAAGAAGAAAAAAAAAAGACGTCGGCGTCAAAGAACGCGATCCGCAGAACGAATGCAATTGCAATGAAGGGAAAACCGTGTCGGCTAATGATGCGGAGGAAATATTTCATGAGTGCCCTGAGGGGCCGTGTCAAGCGATTTCATATCGCAAAGAAAGACGATGGCATCATAGCCATTGGGAGACTGAGTCCCGTGTAGAGCGATATACCATGCCATTGAAGACTTTCATGGTGGTGTTCACAAGACGAATGGAAGACAGCTCTCACCTTGACTCCTGAAGAGTCTTGAGATGAAGGAATTGAAAAGTTACAGGGGCAAAACGCGCGACGGGTCTTTGAGGAAGCGCCTACGGTATGCGGCTATTTCGGCGGCCACAGTGTCGAAGTCTTTCACCTTGTCACGTCGCATGTCGTTGATAATCTCTTTCAGTCCAACGATATATCTTTCTTTTTCTTCTTCGGTCTCACCCTCTCGGACGGCGCCCATTTGTACGAGAATTTTGTCGTCTGTTGAGGTTAATCGTACTGTAGTCAGCATGCGAACAGGGCAAAAGAAGCAGAAGATAGATGGGAGGGAGAAATGAAAGGAGGAGTGTGCAGGCACGTAGAAAGAAAAGAGACCAAAAGGTGTAATACGCCAAAGGGAAACTCCGGGACGAAAAAAAAGGTATTGCACGTTGTTCATGTCGACGCACCGCTTAGAGTCATGTCTCGAAAATGCTGACACTCGCAGGACCGGTCATTACAGACACCCCCGGCCAATTCGTATGGGCATAGGTATTGCATTGAATCAATATTATGACTGTAGGTTAGCGAACGGTGGCCGCTCGAAACGTCTTCAGCATAATTGGGGTGATAGCGATAGGCCTTAAAATTTCGTAGAGGACTTTTGTACGGGGTGAATCTCTTTCCCGAGCTGGCAGATGATTCCTGGGTCTAGATAGGAGTTAGTATGGATAACCAAAAGTTTCCTCTGGGAAAGATGGTGTTCATACGCCAAGAGCGCCAACTTGCGAGTCCGGTAGGGGCAATTGGGCTGGCACCTGGTGATCGTTCGTTAGTGCTTCATCAGCCTGAATGATTTCAATTGAAGGCGCAGATGTTGCTGTGGTTTCTACGGGAGCTGGAGGAGATGGAGGGGCTGGGCTGAACGGAGGAGGGCTGTAGCTAGAGCCTTCAGACTGAGCGTCACCTTCAGGCTCGGGTGGTTCATAAGCATCAGACACCACTGAAGTTTCGCGAACAGACCGTTCGCCGTCTTCGTAGTGCTCTGCGTGCTGGTCGACAGGCCCTGGGCTAGATTTGGCTGCCGCAGATGGTGAGCTCACCGACTCGGATTCATCCGATGAGTCAATATCCATGGGCTCTGAAAACTCTGGGACAGGTTCGGTAATATCGACTTGGACGGGGCAGCTAGCGGGTTCATCGTCGTTGGATGAATCAGATTCATCGCTACTGCTGTCATCAGACTCATCCATGGCCGATCCAGCAGAGTCTGTCTGGTATGATGTGCATGTCTCTTGCGCATGTTCCTGGGAGCCAGGAGTATCTTCTGGCTCACGACCAGAATCGTTCGAGATGACGTTGCACAAAGTAGGTGGAGATGATTGAGAAGCTATGGCAATTGTGAGTTGAAAAGTTCTATCAAACATTGTGAATGCTTCCAAATTCAAAATGGGACTTACCATCCGGTGCAGGTGCAGGGAGTTGTTGGTTCTTGATTTCGGCTTGTCGACGAAGCTCATCCAAATCTCCTGATGATAATCCGTTGATCTCATAGCTGAGTCGTTTTAGCTCTTCCACCAGTTGATATCGACCTTCTCTTCCTTTGGTGATGTCTGCTACCAATGCCTCGGCCTCTTGGCGACAAACAGAAAGACGAGACTCGGATGAAGAAATTCCCGCGTCCAGATCAGGAATTCCAGATTCAATTTGCTTCATGCGCAAAATTTTGGACTGCATGCTGTTCAGCTGCTCCTTATCCATTGCAGCAAGTACTCTGATAGATGAATCACTGAAGGAATCGATGATATCGGGGCGGTCGGCGAGACATGAGGAGGGAGGAGTGGGGATTGGGGTAGGTGCAGTCGGGGTATCAGCGACCGCAACGTCCACGACAAAAGATTGTCCACCAGATGACGATGCTCCAGAGTCGTCCAAGGTGCGAGGTGACTGAGTCCGACTAGCAGCAAGTTTCGATTTGCGTCGCAGCTCTAGTTCCGCAATCTTGCGACGCATGGCTTGAATTTCCATATCTTTGAGTAGAATGTCACCTTGTTCGCTCTGGCTGGAGGGAACTTGGGGGGTTGATGTGGAAGCCCTGGTGATAGATGGCCGTGGCTGAACGGGAGGCTCGGGGGCGGTCGCGCTTCCGGATGACACTGGCTCTTCTTCCAGACTCGATTCCATGTCCATGTTTTCATCCTCGTCATCACCATAGAGTGATTCATCGTCACTGATTGCAATGACAAGCCTATCGGTGGGGGTGAAATAGCCAGATACTGGGGTAAAAGGCTTTTTCGGAGGAACAACAGCTTCATCAAAGTCGGATGCACGAGGTCGTTTGCGCTGCAAATGTCGTGACAATGGAGTCGGGTCAACAGAAATATCTTGAGGTTCGGGGGCAGAACTTTCATCGGGCTCTTGTGCTGAGTCAGTCATTATAAGTCCCGGTAGACTGGCAGACTCATTAAGCTCGGGCAAAGGAGGTCGTAGGGGAAGCGGATGCTGGATGACTGGAGCTTGAGGTTGGGGTGGCGAAGAAACCGCGGCCTGGTCCAGCTGGGCTGCAAGTTGCGTCTTCCGAAGAGCGTTGCGCTTGAGTTCCTCGATGCGTTTTCTTGCCAGCTCAGTCTGAGCTTTGCTTTTCTCTTTCGCGGACATTTCCTTTGACGCTGGGGGAGGTGCACTGTACGGCGGGCTCGGTGCTGACTTTACACTTCCCACTGGCGAAGGTGCAGCTTTCGCGGCTTTTGCAGCCAGCATTTGCGCAATAAGTTCCTTTCTCTCCAGTGGCTTATCTGAGCTGGCGGGAGCAACAGCCGATGAGCCCGAAGATTGTGGAGCTGGTATGCTTGCCTTTGTAGAGACGATATCTGCTTTCGCTGTTTTGACTGCCTCGGCCAGTGGTTTAAATGCTTCAATGGGTTGTGTGACCTTGATAGGTTGTGAGTCAACCTTGACCAGAATTTGTTCTGTTGGTGGCACAACCTTTATTCCAACTTCCTCGTAAAGCTGTCTCAGAATAACCGGATTTATGCCCTCTGCGACTAGCTCATTGAAACGGATGTTGTGAGGAGCTAAGCTAAGCAAAGCTCCCTGAGCCTGGAGTCGTAGCTGCGCAGCTGATTTCTGCGGTTGAGTTGTATCTGTTATTGTGCCATTTGCCTCTTGCTTTTGAGCCTGCATCGCATGACGAATTGCGCCGGTGTCCACCGACACTGATAGAGGAGGATTGTATGCTGTATAAATTCAGTAAAGAAAAAACATGATATTCAGGGATCAAGGGAGAAATACGCGATCCGCTGCTCCTCCTAGAGCTTGCAGCTTCTCCATCTTCCAACTCAGAATCCAGGCGCACAGCATGATTTTTTGATGGAATTAATGGCGTTTCCCCATTTTCTTCACTGACTTCACCTTCTTCCATGCTGCTGTCTGCCTGTTCTAAAACGTGGTTTCCTTTGGAGGTTGGTGTAGGTGGCCGCTGCAAGCCTGGTGGGTACATGCTAGGATGCGCCGACGGGGGGTTGGAGGAGCCCGTTGGAAGGAGAGGCGGAGGAAACCCCATTGCTGGGTAAGGCATCGGCGGGAATGGCGGAAGTTGTGACGGATCGAACTGATTGAAAAATGGGAACGGAGGTGGGTAAAAGAGGGCTGGGTTCGGAGAGCCACCTGGGCCAGCGAGCTGGGCGTTTGCGTTGAAAGCTGCCATGTTATTTTCATAGTTCGGTGTTGTGTTCGCCGCAAGTCCACTCGGTGTGCCGATCTCAGCGCGGATGTGAGCGTTTGGGGGAATCATCGGAGCATATGCTGGCCACTGCTGGGCGTAGTTCGAAAAACCTCCATACGGTGGAGGTTGTTGGTCAGACATGTTGGGATCGCGTGGGATCAAGGATGATGGATTCTCTTTTCCAAGGTTGCTCGCAAAGGCAACGAGTCTTGTGGAAGAGATATGCTGATTTCAAACCCTAAATGTCATGACGACTGAGGACGTGATTATTGTGGGAGTAGCGGTGTTAGGTCTCGAGAAAATAGACACAAAACTGGTTCAAGTACGCCGTTGCAGACCAAAATAGGCTTAAATAGCAGCCCACCGATAGAAGAGATGAGCAACTATGATTTACTGGCCAAGAGAGATAGGGATGAACGCGCCATCGATGCGCTCAGCGCCTCAACCAAAAAAGATCGAGTCGTGCACGTGATCTACGCACGGGCCAGGTGAGATCGGCGGGCGCCCGAGGAACGCAGAGTAAACAAACATCATCGATATCGGGGTGCGTCACTCCACTCCTCTTCCCAACTTGTATTTGACACTCCTCTTTCTAACTTACTACTCGCCACTGCCTTTCCCAATAATTTGGACAAGTGTGATTGTACTGGATTATGAGAAACACTACCCTACTTGAATAATGTGCTATTGAAAACAACGACCGCCATGCTTCCCTCTCAGTTAAACAGCTCGCCGAAGCGCGCCAGTCTCTTTGGGCGTCCATCGCCCTCACAGACATCTCAGTCACAAGGAACAAGACCTAAATCGGCCATCATCACACCTTCTAATGGATTAGAATCAGCAAGAGGTCACCTACGGAATTCATCTGTGTCACAACTGTCGCCAACGTTATCTTCGGCTGGAAACCGGGAACGGTCAAACTCGGCGAAGAACAGTCCATCCTCGGGAACATTTGCCCCCAGCTTTATCAAGTCTGAAGAGCTGCGTCGAGGTGCGGATCAGATTCGAGGGGTTGAAGGAGACAATGACTTCTCGGGAAACAAATATGTCTGGCTGCGAGACAATGAAAAGGCATTCGTGCGGGGCCTGGTTTTAGAAGAGTTGGAAGGAGGCCGCATGTTGGTACAAAGCGACGATGGTGATGTATGTATGCCCATGAGACATGGACGAGGCATCAGCTAACATTGGCACAGCAACGCGAGGTGGACGCGGACCAGGTCGACAAGGTCAACCCAGCCAAATTCGATAAAGCGGATGATATGGCGGAACTCACTCATTTGAACGAGGCCTCGGTGGTCCATAATCTCCATACCAGATATCAATCGGATTTGATCTATGTTTGTTCCCCTCCCAAATGTCATGTTGTCAATGAATTGCAGCTGATATAGTGGTCTTGCAGACATACTCCGGGCTTTTCCTCGTGACAATCAATCCGTACTGTCCACTGCCTATTTACACCAATGAATACATCAAGATGTACAAGGGTCGTGGGAGAGAGGAAACCAGGCCCCACATCTTTGCCATGGCGGATGAGGCTTTCCGGAATCTCGTTGAGGAGGGCGAAAACCAAAGTATTCTCGTCACAGGCGAGTCTGGTGCTGGTAAAACAGAGAACACCAAGAAGGTCATCCAATACCTCGCAGCTGTCGCGACTTCCGATACACCTTATGCGCGGTCCGGTGCGAAACAAATTACCGGTCTTTCTCAACAAATTCTACGAGCCAATCCCATTCTTGAAGCCTTTGGAAATGCCCAAACTGTCAGAAACCACAACTCATCTCGGTTTGGAAAGTTTATTCGCATTGAGTTCTCCAGATCGGGTCAGATTGCTGGCGCGTGGATCGATTGGTACCTACTCGAGAAATCGCGAGTGGTGAAGCCGAACTCCAATGAACGAAATTACCACGTTTTCTATCAGCTCCTACAGGGTGCTGACCGCAATACCCGCGAGAAGCTTCTTCTCTCGGACCTTCAAATTGAGGACTTTGCTTACACAAGAGACGGAAATGACTCAATTGTAGGGGTCTCTGATCAAGAGGAATGGAACTCACTGATCGAAGCTTTCCATGTGATGAACTTCTCTGAAGACGATCAGCTATGTATCCTGCGGACAATCGCTGCTGTGTTGCATTTGGGCAATGTCAGTGTAGCCAAAGCGAGTGTTCGTGCAGACCAAGCATCCTTAGCCCCCGAGGGCTACTCAAGCGTGGAAAAGGCCTGTCGACTTCTTGGTATTGAGGCAGAACCCTTCGTTAAAGGCCTGCTTCATCCACGGGTCAAGGCTGGCCGTGAATGGGTTGAAAAGGTCCAAACCCCTGATCAAGTTCGGATGGCCCTGGACGCCTTGTCCAAGGGTATCTATGAGCGTGGATTCGGGGACCTTGTCGCTCGAATCAACAGTCAGCTTGGGCGCTCAATGGCGAGTGACGATAATTACTTCATTGGAGTCCTCGATATTGCTGGATTTGAAATCTTCGATACGAACAGCTTCGAACAACTTTGCATCAATTACACGAACGAGAAACTCCAGCAATTCTTCAACCACCACATGTTTGTTCTAGAACAAGAGGAATATGCTAGGGAGCAAATTGAGTGGCAATTTATCGACTTCGGAAAGGACCTGCAGCCGACAATTGATTTAATCGAACGTACCAACCCCATCGGTATTTTCTCTTGTCTCGATGAAGACTGTGTCATGCCCAAAGCCACCGATAAATCGTTCACTGAGAAGCTTCATGGTTTATGGGATCGGAAGACCCCGAAGTACCGTGCTTCTCGTCTAAACCAAGGCTTCATTCTCACACATTATGCTGCTGAAGTTGAGTACTCGACAAGCGACTGGCTGGAAAAGAATAAAGACCCACTCAACGACAATATCACTCGCCTCTTGGCTGCATCCACTGAGCCACATGTCGCGAACTTGTTCTCAGACTGCGCAGACTCAGATGAAGATGGTGGTAACCACCCAAGAAGCCGTGTGAAGAAAGGCCTATTCCGGACAGTTGCTCAAAGGCACAAAGAGCAGCTTTCCAGTTTAATGGCTCAGCTTCACTCTACGCACCCCCATTTTGTTCGTTGCATCTTGCCCAATCACAAGAAACGACCAAAGATGCTACACGCTCCTCTTGTACTCGACCAGCTACGATGCAACGGTGTCTTGGAAGGTATTCGTATCGCACGTACTGGATTTCCCAATCGTTTGCACTTTGCGGAATTCAGACAACGGTATGAAGTTCTATGCCAACACATGCCCAAGGGATACTTGGAAGGACAGAGTGCCGCCCGCATCATGCTGGAGAAACTTAGTATGGATCGAGCTTGGTACCGTGTTGGTCGAACAAAGGTGTTCTTCCGAGCTGGTGTTCTTGCAGACTTGGAAGAGAAGCGCGACCAGCTCATCCGCACTATCATGTCACGTTTCCAGTCCCTCGCTCGAGGTTTCATTCAGCGACGTATTTCGAACAAGCGGCTCTATCGTGCTGAAGCCACTCGTATCATTCAACAGAACTTCCATGCCTATCTGGAGTTAAAGGGAAGTCCTTGGTGGTGCATGTTTTCCAGGATGAAGCCCCTACTGGGTGACACGAGAAATGCAAAGGAAGTCAAGAAGCGCGATGACAAGATCCAGGAACTAGAAGCCAAGATGAAACAGGATATGGCGGGTCGACAGAAGCTGGACGAAGAGAGACGTCGTACCGAGCTTGAGATTCAAAAGATCCAGCAAACCTTGGAAAGTGAACGTGCCCTCGCACTGGACAAAGAGGAAATCTTCAAGCGCCTTCAGAATCGCGAAGGAGAACTCGCCGAAAAGCTCGCTGGTGCGATCGCCGACCAGGAGAGTCTCGAGGAACAACTTGACGAAATCGTTGATGCAAAGAAGAAGACAGATGAACAACTCCAACTTCGAATAACCCAGCTGGAGCAAGCTGGGCTGATCATCCAGACCTTGGAGTCCGAGAAGAACAACCTGCATTCTCGACTGGAGGAATTGAACAACAAACTTTCCGAAACCGAGACCCTGTTTTCAGGAAAGGATGAACAAATCCAAGGCTTAGACCAGGAGATCAAGATGCTCCAAAGCCATGTCAGCTTGAAAGACCGCAAACTTCAGGATTTGGAAGCCAAGTTATTGAAGACTGATCAAGATCTCGAGGTGAAGTTTGCAACCACCTCCAAAGAACTTGAAAAGTCTCAAAAGCAAGTTCGCGATATGTCAGAAGAGAATCGGTCAATTCGTGACCAGATCGCCGAATTATCGACTACTTCGACCGGCTATGAGGATCTTCTCCGGCGCAAGGAAAGCGAAATGGCCGTTCTCCGGAACGATGTCAAGAATCATGAGGAAGAGAAGAAGAGCATCGAACTCGAGAAGACCTCTCTATCAACTCGCCACGACAATATGCAAGGCCGCCTTCGCGAAGTACAGGCGGAGAGAGATGCCATGCGCTCCGAAAAGACTCAACTACAGCGCGAAGCTGCGGACCTCAAGCGCCTTCTTGACGACAAACGATCAGAAGATGCGGAGGCCGGAGAGAGCAGAAAGCTGCTGGAGGAGCAGGTGCACGACCTCAAGAGTCAACTCTTCCAGGCTCAAGCTGATCTCAGCCGGGAGCGTCAATCACGAGACGACGTCCAGATGCTCTCCGAGCACAATCTTGCTCAGTTGACTCACAAATATGACGAACTCAACGAGTCCAAGATTACCATTGAGAAAGAGATGTACATTCAGCAAGACAGTTTGCGTCGGGCCACCGAGGCCAGAATTGCGGCGGAGACGACACGAAAAGAACTACAGGGGGAGTTGATCAAGCTTCGTGAACGATTCACTGACGTCGAGACTGCCCGTATGAATGCCGAAGCCGAGATTGAGCGTAAGATCATGAAACAGGCCGAAGAGCGTATGACGAGTTCCCGCAAGGACCTTGAGGAGAAGGCACGCCAGCTCGAAGAAGTGGAAGCAGAAAGGTCCCATCTTTCCGTCCAAATTCAAGAGCTCATGCAAACTATCTCAGAATCCGACAACTTCCGTCTCCGCCATGACCAACACAAGGAACGTCTAGAGCGCGAACTCGTGACACTTCGGGGCAGACTGACCGCGTCTGAGAATGATAACAAATCTCTGTTGACCAAGATCCAGCAAAAGAACCTTGACATCGCCCGATCAAACTCAAAGGCCAGTGATAGCAACAGACTCCGTTTGACAAATCTGCAAAAGGAAAAGGCTAGGCTGGATGAGGAAACCAAGAAGTTGACTCGCCAGCTGGAAGACTCTCAGGTTCAGATCACATCCATGGAGAAGCAGAAAGAGAAGTTGTCGTTGAGTCTGGAGGATCTAAATCATGAGGTCAACCGCGAACACAAGACCAGTCGCAACGCTGAAAAGGCTGCCTCTACGGCCAATCTCCAGCTTGCCGAGGCCAATCGTAAACTTGAGACAGAAAACCAGCTCCGCACTCAAGCCCAAGCCAATACTCGTCAAACACAGGGCACGCTCGATCGGGCGAATAAGGAGATTGAGGACTTGCACCGCCAACTGATTCTCTTGCACAAGGTCTTCGAGCCTGAAGCTAGTGAGCCTACACAGTCTTGGGAGGCTGTTCAGCCACACCTGTCGAAACAAATCGACTTGGCTCAGGTCCTTGAGACTGTTCAGACCAATCTAGGTGTTACCGAAGAGAAGTACATGAGAGCCGAAAGCCAGCTCGCTGAAATGCGCCGACGCCATGCGGATGAGATGAAGGACCTCGATGCCAAATACTCATCCTCTAAGCGTGCCATGCTCGAGGAGATCGATCAGAATGAAGTAGCCAACAACCGTACCCCCGCTCACTTCAGAAAGAACTCTGAAAATGCCCTGAAGAGGTTCTCCAATCCCACCACACCCAACCGACGTTATAACGTCAACGAAGCCGCGAATGACTCTGCACGCTCCGATCGTACCGTTGATACACAGGGCTATCAGAGACGAATGGATACGGCTGCTGAACTGGAGGAGCTTCAAAACAAGCTTCAGATGACTGAAATGCAGAACAAGCATCTTCAGAGCCAGATTGAACGCTCCACACCCGGTCGCGATATCTGGCAGGATGAGAGTCCTTCGATCCGTCGTATGCAGCTCCTTGAGCGTGAGAACGGTCGTCTCCATGACCAACTTGATGACTCTTCCAAGAAGGTCTCCTCTTTGGAGCGCAGCATTCGCTCCGGAGAGCTGTCTCTTCGTGACGTCCAGGCCAAATCGCATGAGGAACTATACGATCTCATCAACTCACAGGAGCAATCTCGCCGCTCGCTCCTGAAGGTCCACAATGACACCATGGCTGAGTTCGGTGATGCTAAGTCTCAATTCGAGAAGCTAAAGCGTGCTCGGGCGACATTGGAAGTTGAACTTCGTGATGCCCGGTCCGAGGCGCAAGAATTACAGGTTGGTAGAGATCAAGACGCTGTCAGCCGCAACCAGCTTCTTCAAGAGTTCTCGGATCTTCAGATTCGTCTAGATGCCGAATCCTCACGCTCTGCTGATCTCGAGTCAAGCCTCATGCTGTACAAGAGCCGCTCGGATGAGTACTTCAACAAGCTTGAACAGGCCGAAATCGCTGTCATGAAGGCTTCGCGTGCCGAACAATTTGCGAAGTCTCAAGGTCAGGAAGCTGAAGAGACATGTGCCCAGATCATGTCTGAGCGCAAGGAAATGGATGCTCTCGTTGAGGACCTGCAGCGACAGACCCAGTCTCTCGAGGCTCGAATGGAAGACCAGGCTGCCGAGCTTCAAGGAGCCCTGCAGGCTAAGCAGCGTCTCCAGAATGAGCTTGAGGACTACAGAAACCAGCGAGCCATCGATCTTGAGGACAAGGAGACATCGATGGAACAGACCAGACAAAAGTACCAGCGAGAGTTCTCTACTCTTAACAACGAACTCGAAATGGAGCGTGAGCGTGTTCTCAATGGCCGTGCAGAGACTGCTCGTCTGCGCGAGGAGCTTGAAGACCTTCGCAGCAAATGGGACAATGAGGTCATCAACAGTTCGACTTGGGCCAAGGAGAAGTCCCGCATGGATGTGGTCTTGCAGGATGTTACCAACTCTCGCGACGAGGCGGTCAATGCTCATAACGAGGCCCAGAGCAAGGTTGTTTCCCTCTTGTCTCAAGTCCGCACGCTTCGGACTTCCGTTGAGGATACTACTGCCGAGCGTGACTTGCTATTGAAGGACAAGAAGATGCTTGAAGGCCGTCTCGCAGAAGCCGGTGAGCGACTTGAGGATCTCGCTAAGGGCGAAAGCCCATCCATGCGCAACGCTGCAAGCATGGACCGCGAGTTGCTTGAGCTCAAGTCCAAAATTGCCCAGCAGGAAGACGTTTCGGCTGCTGCAGTTGGCAAGATGCGACGTGCTGATGCTCTGGCCACTGAAATGCAGAAGGAAGTGACTGCTGAGCGTGAGGCCAATGCCCAGCTTTTCAAGGAGAAGGCGGCTCTCGAGAAGTCGCTGAAGGAGGCACAACTCCGTTGTGTCGATCTGGAAACTAAGAGTTACTCCTCTGGTAGCCAGGATGTTCGCTTTTTGCACAAGCGAATCAAGGAGGTAAGATAAAACACCCAGACTCAGTTCTAACTTTCATACTAACCTGCCCGTTCAGCTTGAAACCCACCTCGATGATCAGGAGAACAAGCATAGTTCTGAGCAGCGCTCTCTCCGCAACGTCGATCGCACTGTGAAAGACCTACAGTCTCAGATCGAACGACGAGACAAGATGAACACCCAGCTCAATGACGAAATCAACAGAAATCGGGATAAGATCGAACGACTTCTCGGCAACATTGAGGAGCTCCAACACAACGACTCAGACGCACAGCTACTGGCTCGTCGCGCTGAACGGGAGCTTCGCGAAGAGCGTGAGAAAGCTCTACGACTAGAGCGCGAGTTGGACAGTTGGAGAGCCATGCGTGACCGAGGCGGCAGCAATCTTGCCCGCAAGGTCACTTTCAGCGAAAACGACAGCCGTCGTGGTAGCGGTGTCTACACGTCTAGTGACATTCCCCAAAGACAACCCAGTAACACAAAGGGGTTTTTGTGAATAGGGGTTAATTGATGTTTGACAGACTAATCTGTCTGTTTGGTGTTGTCGCAGTCATGATTACGGATGGGATGTTTTGTATTAATCTTAATGGCGTCTTGCATGCATTTGGGTAAGGGATGTCTCGGTTTTTGAGCTGGCCTCTGTCTTGTTCATATTGCTTCAATGGCCATGCTGTATCCTTTTGAATTTTTTTTGTTTTGAGGGTCTCTGTATTGGACAGTTGTTTTGTTACATGTGGTTGTTATTCAAATCCGTGCTTAGGAGTAAATATGCTCTATGACCTTGCCAGGCTATCTGCAACAGCGAGAATGTAATGAATTACCAGCACTTACCTCCACCTTAGATCAATGTCTCTTCAAAACTTCATAGCGTCTGTGAACAAGCTTATAATTCTTGCACTGAACCATGTATCCAATGTCAACACATCATCTGTTCGACTGTTCATTTTTTGATTCTTTCTAGTTACTGGTATTCTTAAATTCGATTTAGGATAATTTTACGACTCTGCTGTCTTGAAATGACCCCACCAACAGCAATTATTGAATGTAGCCGAATCGAATCTCAAAGCGCAGATATATATCAAAACACTTGCTCATCCTAATCTCGCAAGAAACAAGTCCGTCAGAATCCAGCCCGATGAGCTACCCAATAGATGAGTTAGACAAATATAGATAGAAACAGAAGCTTTGAATTCCATGGACCGACATAGCAAAGGAAATCGCTATGAAGTCGAGGTGAGAAGGAGGGCACGTGATAACCGCGCGGCAAGCGGCAATTGGCGCCAGACCTCACCTCAAGCTTCAAGCTCATGATTTCCTCGTCGGATTCTTCCCTGCCAACGCCCCCCGATACCCGAATCTTTTCGGGTCGCTGACTTGGTCAATACTTCACCATGGTATGAACTGCTCCAGATAAGCAAAGTGCACGAGAAAACGATGATGTACAACCCAGGTCACAATTTGCTAACCCAACCCCCGCTATGTAACAGGCACGAAACAGCGAGAAGGCACAGTCTATGCTGTTCCGTTTCCGAGCGCAGCAAGCAGCAGACCTTGGAATTATTGACATTTCACGCACACGACGCCCAAAGGCCATCACAACCATCGACACGGTGCCAACATGCGAGCGTTGGCGCGGTCAGGTCGTTAAAGAGATTTCCCGCAAAGTATCGCGCATCCACGAGCAGAGTCTGAGCGATTACCAGATCCGCGATCTCAACGATGAAATCAACAAGCTCATGCGGGAGAAATGGGCTTGGGAAATGCAGATTCGTAATCTGGGCGGACCAAATTACATGCGCGGATCCAATCGGGTTTACGATGATGAAGGGCGCGAGATCCCGGGCGGAGGCAAAGGGTACAAATACTACGGTCGTGCCCGGGAATTACCTGGTGTTAAGGAAATGATTGAGGCTGCGGTCCGTCGTGCGAAGGGTCCAGCTGAGGAGGAGACTGCTGGCAGAGGAGGAGATATTGCCACGAGGAAGGTTGATGCCAACTACTTCGGCTATGGCCTTGACGAAGAAGATGGAACGCTGCTGGCATATGAAAAGCAGCAAGAGAAGGAGGCAGTGGAGCACTTGCGTGGTCAAGGGGAGGATGACGCCGAAGACGGATGGCAATCTCTACCCGGTGATGCTGGCGACGGAGTGGAATGGAGACTTCCTACATTAGAAGAGGTGCAAGAAGAGCTTGTGGATAGACGGCGGCGCCGTCTCCTGGATAAGATTTCTTGATCCAGACGCTCCTAGCGTCCAAGCTTCTCTGATTTCAGTTATCTGCTTTTTCCTGGGACAGGCGTTACGGATGCTTCTGCAAAATATTCACATCACAAGCATTGGTTTTTTGTTCGTAATGTCACTCCATCAATTTTCCAAACGATTCGTCATTAGCCCCAAGAGGGATTTATTATGTGTTCGGTATGCTACAGATTGCTAGTTACATCGGGCTTGTTCTTTCGAGTCACCCGTTCGACCTTCAAGGCCTGCGTCATGCTCAGGCGTGTTACCTGCTCGGGATCGTTCCGTCGTCGTTCTTCCTCCTCGAGGTCATCAATCAAGAAGCGGCCGAGATCTCCCTGCCTCCACTTTTGAATGAAGTGAATGGCTGCCCCGTCTAAATTTGGAATGCCTCCCTTGCTAAGCAAACCAGTCTGGCGCGCGAAACTTTCGAGCAATGGCACGACTTCATTGGTCGGCTCTGACCAACGTTTGTAAACCTGCGGGTCATGCATGTTAATATGATACAAGAGATAGTCAACCAGTGTGACTGGCGATATGACGTTATCCTTGACACAGCCACAGAGTGCCAATTTGAGCATACTTTCAGCCTCTGGGACATAGGGCATGAAGACTCCCGGTGTATCAAGAACGTAGACATGAGACCCGCTCTCACGTTCGATGATTTTGACCTGGGTAGCTATCTTGCGCGTGATACCAGGCTGTTGCCCAGTCTTCAGAGCCTTTGCTTTACCAACGCCTGCGTTACGCAGGTTGTTGATCAAAGTTGATTTGCCAACATTCGGCATACCAACAACTAGCACTCGACAGCTGACCAGCTTGTCAGGGGCTTCGGCATCGCTTCGGAGGTGTTTGATGATCTGGCTGACATCCTGGCGGGCGGATGAGCTTGTGAAGAAGACGGCGCTTTTGGAATCGAAACTTTGGAGCTTGCTCTCCGTCTGAAGGTATGTGTTAGTGTGTGGTGAAGCGAGGGGTCCAGCAAGTGCAACTCACCTTTTTCTGAGCAGATGATTTGGGAATCCCACCCAGATCTCTCTTTGTGTAAACAACTATGCGCCTCATTTTCCCCAAAGCTTCCTCGAACATTGGGTTGATTGAGGTGACCGGGGCTCGATAGTCACGACATTCGACAACATAGTCAATGCTGGCCAGCATGTTTTTCATCTTGGTCAGGCCGGCTCGGTGATGTCCTAAGAAATAGGACCTGGGGATAGCCCCATAATGGGGAAAAACACTGCGCGGCACGAATTGTGCCATTGTAGCGCGTTGATGGTGAAAAATGGCTCAGTCCGGCAATGTGCGATTCATTTTAGTTAGACCAGTTGACTGTCGGTCTAAAGGGACTGATTATTCGGACCGTTGAGATAACCAGTTAGATTTGGGTCAGAAAAATCCGTCAAAATGTCCAGGGCGGAAGAATCAGCGGTGAAGACCCGGGTAGGATAATAAATATCCCGGTGACTAATAAGGTAATGGTATCAAATCGCGGTAAATTACAGTACTCAAAAGCCGCTACTGTATAACGGAACCAGTATCTTAGTCTGATTTAATTATTGTTGCGGGGAGGGCGGTGGCTTTTTAGTACTCATCTTTCTTTAAACCACTGATCTACCGAGGAAGATTCAAGGGACTGCTTTTGATTAGACAATAGACCTAGCTGGGGCATTTGATACACTAAGACAGCAGCTGAGATTGGCTTTTTCATGCTCCGTGCCCAGGAAGTATTTCACTGTTCAACGACTGAAAATGACGATCTCCTTAAGCTAGGTTCACGACTTGTCGATCTTGCCGCGATACTGTCCGTAGATCGAAAAGAATTACTACTTGGCCCCACTACATCACTGGCTATGCCATCACACCGGTTGATTCACTAACTGCATAACTAACTGGGATCGGTGATCTCGGCTGAACTGCGGGGCTTCTAACAGCAGTGAGCTCTGTTTATCGACGTCACTCGTTGCTAGAACGGGTCTATACCTCCTCTTATTGGCGCGAGTACAGTCGATGATCTCGATCGCTAACCTTACTGTATCCGTAAATATATGCCGAAGCCGCTGTTTGACTTGGAATTTAAGCGAGAGATGAAACATTTGAATGCTGCTGGCACATGTGGCGTCATTGGTTTATGACCCATTAAATATATCGTAGACTTCTGAGATATCTTGGTGTTTCTAGCTCGTTGTTTGGTCTTCACAGCAAAACACCCCGAGTTTTGAGATCTGGGAAATTGAAACCTAGATAACCGGTCGTCATGAAGGATAAAGTACGTCTCAATTTCGTCGTTTTTGGTGATGAGTCCTCGGGAAAATCAACACTCGCTGGTATGGTTGTGAACTTGTTACTCGGTCGGTCTCGGCCTATCTTGCGGACGACTTGCTTACCAGGAAATAAAGGCCATCTATTGTATTTAACAGGTGCCATTACCAGGCAACATTTGGAGAGTGCAGAACAAGTAAGTCTGAGAGCCCAAAGCTCCTCGTGTGTTTGAACTGCGAGTTAATTCACATCTAAAGAATGCTATCAACAATGGCGACCAGTCGCTCAAATTTTCTCGTGTGATCGACGACAGAGCAGACAGTGAAGAAGATGTCAACATTGATAGCTGTGTGTGGCAATTTGAGACGCCAAGGCAGGAGATTAGTCTGATCGATTAGTTGCTGTGCTCTTGCGCCGGTGTCAATTCTCACCTTTTTTCCTGTGGATAGATGCCCCTGATCCAGCAGCCTGGTTCGCGTACGCCGACACCGCTATTCTCGTCATCTCTGCCACTTATGACTTGGGCAATGGAATCCAGATTCATTCGCCAATCTTTCAGCAATTGATTAGCGCATCTGCTCTCGGCCTGCGAGAAATTATCGTCGCTGTGAACAAGATGGATGCGATTGGCTGGAACGAAGATCGGTGGAACGAGTTTCTTAAAGAATTTCGTCGTGTGATCAAAAAGGCTGGGTTTGACGACAGGGCGACTGTTGTTGTACCCGTCAGTGGGTATAATGGGGACAACATTCTCGAAGATTCTGCTACCATGCCATGGTATAGAGGATGGGCAGTGACACGCCATGATGGGTCTACAACGGAGAGAGGAAAGACTTTGTCAGATGCTATCGAGATTTCCAACCTGTCGGAAAGACGTCCGAATGACCCGCTCCGCCTTCTTATCGATGATGTCTATGAGACAGATGACTCCGATACCATCGCAAATTGCTACGTCGTTGCTGGCACTGTCGACTCTGGGATAGAGTTGAGAAACCCAGCCGGTGACTCGGCCGAGGTGGAATCTCTATCGCTAGTGACGACGGGCAACAACGATGCTGGTTATCCCGGGGACTTTATTGCTTGCACCCTGACCAATATGTCTGGATGTTTTACCAAGGGCCAAGTTGTTGGTAACGCTGCGGAAGACGAATTCTCCTACGCCACCTCTTTCACTGCACGGGTCGTCATTACAGGTAAAGATTACCAGATCTATCCTGGCTATCGGTATACTTTGTGCGGACTCTTCAACACTGCCTGCGAGTTCTCAACGCTGCTCTGCACTGTCAACCCGAGAAATGGTAACACAATCGTAGATTCGCCGGAGTTTATCAAAACCGGCAATACTGCGATTGTGGACGTGGTCCCTGACAACCCAATCTTTGTCGAGAACATCCAAAGTGGCTCTCGATTCGCAAGATTTGTCATTGAAGACGAGGGTGAAATTATCGGAATGGGTATCATCAAAAGCGTCGAGTACTAGGTGTCGAACAGAGATACGAACCAGTGGTTTATTCCACCACTGGTTCGGCTTGTGCAGCAAACCACCATCAAAGCTCCCAAAGAGGCTTTCTTTTTGATATTGGTCTAAACAGTTAAACGTGTCTATTTCCTTTGTTAGTCTGCTGTAATGGATCCGGTTTTCGAGAGGATAACTTAACGACATTCTCTTTAGTTTTGCTTTGTAGCAGCATAATGGAAATCCAATGGCTATTGAATCGCGGTTTTATCGTCCGTCTATCTAGCCTTTGGTAGTTAGTTTTAAACCCCTATAGTAAGGTCATCATCGCCGTCGAACCAGCCTTAGCATTAGTCGCAAGCAACTCACATAAATTGGATATGACCTCGAGTAGGAAGTTTTGAAACAATATATAGAGCTTTCATGCCATTGAATAGCAGAAAGAAAAACTTATGCGCATTATTCTGCGCAATAAACTTTGTCACCGGGATTTCTATACTATCTCATGTTACTTCTGGAAGCGCCATTTTCCCTATTAAAGTGAACTTCAAGTATCCTTAGCTACCATTTGACTGAAATGAAATAACTTGATAAACAAATTATGCAGTCGATTCAGGTCTACTGATCTACAAAGAAATGTAACTAAGTGATGTGTTATAAAAATGCAGCCTTGTTTATCAGGCCGATATATGCCAATCTGCAACCGTTGTTAGAGCATCCTTTGACGTCAGTTCTCTTTTTCGTCACTTACCCTCGTCACTTTTCTATTTTTTTTCTAAATCTTGAGATCAAACAACTCTTTTCTAACCAATCATGTCACTAATATCGGCCTTTCGGCCGCGCTCTACAAGAATTTCCTCCATTCGAGACGCAAGCCGTGCTCGACGACGTAGGCGGCCAAGCAGACATGAACAATCGGAGTTTGACTCTGAGGGCCATCTTCAAGATCCAGATGCTCACTCTATTATCACACCCTCAAAACATACGCCAAGACCTCTACGAATTTTACGAGGCTCAGTGGCTGCTGGTGGTCCGCTTCGTCCATTTCGTTTAGTCAAACAGGACATCGCCAATCTCCGTCGACGGTATTTGTCTGACTGGACAATTTTCAATCAACTGGTGTTTGCCAGCGCTGTGTATGTTTTCTTTACAAATCTTCTACCAGGAATCACTTTCGCGAGTGATCTATATGTCCTCACTGGTAAGAGCTGGGGAACTATTGAAGTTGTCTTGAGCACAGGGTTGTGCGGGACTATCTTTTCACTGTATGTCAATTTGACCGACTCAACGCCACGAGCGACTCATAACTTCATGCAGATTTTCAATTCAACCCCTCACAATCCTTGGCGTGACCGGTCCTTTCTCGGTCTTGGCTGAGAACATCTACTCATTATGCGAGGAGGTCTTTAAAGTGCGTGATACATCATCATATACTGTTCTGACCTCCACGTTCATTTTTCTAATTATGGCCACCAGATTCCTTTCCTTCCATTCATGGCATGGTCTTTGATTCATTCCGGCTGGATGCACTATGTCCTAGCGATCATCAATGCCCATGACTGGACAATGCGCTATGTGACGACCTTTGCTACGGAAATCTTTTCCCTGCTGAACAGTATCATCTACTTCCACAAAGCTATTCAAGAGCTCGAAAGAGCACACGGCAGTTTATCATTCGCGGCGTTTCTCTACGCCGTCATTGGCGCAGTGGGAACAACGCTTCTTGCTATCTTCCTATCCACGGCAGAGAGTTGGAAACCCCTTTTTCATCGCTACATTAGACTGGGTCTGACTGAATACGCCGCTGCAATCTCAATTATTGTGTTCATCGGCTTGCCTTATGTGGGCGAGTTGGCTGACCTCGATAAAATGACATTACCGGTCAGCACATCATTTCGACCAACATCCCCAGAGCGGGAGATTTTTTTCGTAGAGTTTTGGAAACTACCAGTCTCATGGATCTTTGCTTCAATGATCCCCGGTCTAATCATTACGGTATTATTCTTCTTCGATCATGAAGTCAGCTCAATCATATGCACTATCGATCGATATGGCACGCGGAAACCAGGCGGATTTGCTTGGGATATCATTTTACTTGGCACCACTACAGCTCTTTGTGGTATTCTGGGAATACCGCCTTCTAATGGCCTTCTCCCGCAAGCTCCTTTGCATTCTGAATCCCTTATGCACGAGGAAACAGAACAGACAAGTGTCATCGTTGATGGAGAAGAGAAGATTGAAACAAGGCAGGTTAAGCGTGTTTACGAGCAGCGCTGGTCGACATTTCTTCATTCGGGAGCTATTTTGCTCTTCCTGAGCCCCCCGTTTATGAAAGTCCTCGGCTTGACGCCGACCAGTGTGCTGGCTGGACTGTTCCTTTTCATGGGAGAGCAGAGCTTATCGGTGAAGTATGAAGGCATTCAATGAAGATGAAAATAACAATGAACGCTGACTTTTGTTTAGCCCTATTCTATATCGCACTTTCTATCTCCTTACTCCGCCATCTGAGCTACCACCACTCCCACAGTCCTTGCACAACGTGACGAAGCCAGGCCCAGCGAATAGCCAAGAGACGCCGTCTAGCAGCCCATCTTATCTCCCAATCCATCTTTATACGATCTTACAAATCTGCCTTACAGTCGTGATATTTATCCTGACACTAACAAGAGGCGCACCTGCATTCCCAGTGCTGATAATCGCCCTCGTACCCTTCCGTCTTTTGATCATGAAACGCTGGTGGCCGCGTGAAGTTCTTCGATTCGTGGATGCCTGGGCTTGTCGTGAGGGGACACCAGAAGACGAAGAGGACGAAATGTTGAACAAAAGTCGTGCAACAGATGAAGGTTCCGACGGCGATCACTCAATCGGCGAAGGTGTTTGTCGCAGCCACTCTGAGTCTGGTAAGGCATCGCCACTCGCAGAGTCATCTACCATGTCGTCGCAACGAAATGACAATAATTTGGATCTGGCAGACCAGAGGGCACGGAGCATGAATAATGACGAAACGAATCACGAATGGATCGAGCTTGGTAACCATGCGTTTCCAGACGAGGAGCTAGGGCAAAGGAAATAAGTTAGGCTTGTTTCATCAGTGATGCAGAATAATCATAATACCTTGAAAGGGAAACCATATCTTTTCTTTCTACCCCGGTCCTATTAGAGTATCATACGTCCTTCGCCTTAGCCAGATGAGCATGAACAATAGGTGACCAAGGGAAGTGACCAAGAGGCACAGTGAAGAAGCCATTACTCGTATCCGCAATACCAGCAAAGGCATTCCACCACGCAGCAAACGCAGCAAAGATACCACACAATCCACCAGTTTTCTGAACTGCGACAAGGATCTCGCCATGGGAGCTGCATTGAATGTGCGCAATGCCAAGTAAAAGGTAGTTCATGTCCAGGAAGAAAAATAGGAGGAACATCGCAAGACTGGACCTCAATGTGCAGAGCAGCATCAGGGTTGTGAAGATGAACCAAGCCTACGGAAATGATTCTCAGCACTGCTTTGGAGTTATCAACGAATGCATACGTACCAGCATGAACAATCCCATTAACGTCTCATCCTGACAAGTCCCGCCCGCATCCTTTCCAGAACCAGCAGGCTCAAAGTCCGAGATCAGGGCAAACGTAATCCAATAAGCGCCATAGGAACAGAAAGATGTTGCACCGAAAGTATTGCCAACAGCCATTTCCCTGGAACTGTTACTCAAAATCCAACTCGACAATGGAGTGGCAGCAATATAAAATATCAAGGAACATACCACATGCCAGCCAAAACTTGGGCTATACCCCCGTAATTCAACGCCAACGAAACACTGATACCTGAAGCCTGAATGCCCCCCACATTGAGATTAATGCAATTTGAAAGAAACGACGTAAGCGCAAAAGCACAAAGGCCTAACGGAGCTGGATTGGCGAATTTGCGGACGTCGATAACCGGAGCGGGTTGGAGATACGTGCTTGTATTCGTATCGTGTTTGCAATGGGTGTTGCGAGTTTCGGGCGTGCTTGACTTTAACAGGGAGTAGTCATGGCTGACTTGTGAGATTACTGGCGAGCCCATTGGATATTGTGTGCATGGTTCGATATGGTGGGTTGGCGTTTGCGTTGAAGAGGTGGGTTGCTGGACCTCTTTGACGTTGATTATATGCTCCATTAATGGTGACGATAGGCTGTATATCCAGTGTGGGGTATTTGATGCGATATGTATAGTGTGAGATAATGACCAGGAGTGAAAATGGGGAGCCTCGAGGGCAAGAAGTATGAAGAAAATAATAATCTAAGAATGCTTGTGCTTAGGATCGGGGTATAGCACGGGGTTTGCAAGGTAAATATCACTTTTTCCACAACCACTAGCCCACCAGTCTAACCAAATCCCGAATATAATTACTTTTCCACTACCGAACCACGCGAAGAGCACTATTTCCTCCGTGCCACTCAGACCTCAGACCTCGCTAGGTCCGGGAAAGTGCGCGGAATCCCGCGGGTTTCATCATGTGAGAGTGTTATGGCTGGGTGCCGAGCCAGTCAGTGCAAGGATTTTCCGACTATGATTCATGTTTGAGAGTGTAATGCGGAGAAATCCGTTAGACTGGGTTGGAAGGGAGGTTAGGGCACGGGTAGCGCCGCGTGTATTGAGAAGTTTATCCTGAGACGTTGTCAGAGCTGGCTAGAACTTGGATTAGTTTGATCATGGGACGTTAGGTTTATTTTTGGAATCGCCGAGCTTCATTTCACTCTTTGCTTTATATTTTTTGAATGTCATTTAGGTTCTGTTCATTCTATCACTGTGAGTGGGGTTCAATGCCTACACAGGCCAGGTAGAGGTAGAGGTAGTATACTCCCCATAAACAATCCTTTTTCTTCAACATATCCCACCCCCAATTTCCCGGTCCCTCACCTTGGAGGTATCCACTAAGATCCGCATCTTGTATAGTTCTAAATTGATGTCGTTTCAAGCAAAATCCGAGGCCTATCCTCTCTGTACGCACTTACTTCGATTCTGACATAAAAGAAACAGCATGAGGTTCTAAAATATATACTATTCCATCTGTGAAATCAGAACATAACAAAAGTATTGAACATTGTTTTCAACGGAAGGCGGCGGCTTCCGTAAAACGTAATATCTGTGACTAACAGTCTTCCTATTCGGGGCAACCTCGGGAGGCTTGGCCAGTTAGGGCATTTGCAGGCTATGAACTATGGACTATGACCTCGATATGCCTCTCCTTTCCTGCATGTCATCTGCTCTCTATCTTGAAGGCTTAGCATTAAATCTAGTCCAAAAAATGAAAATAAAGAATAAACTCTTGACTAGAGTCACAGCGGGATCAAAAAGACAATTAAAAGCGAGCACGTTGCTTTCTAGATGATTGCGACTAATCGAAAGATGCTTGGGTATCCTGGTTTGTAAATGCACCGTATTGCGCCATGTTACATAAAAAGCCAAACTCCACCGGCCCGCACAACTCCTATGCATCCCAACGCTACTCACTTGGAAAGCAACAGGGAAAACCAGGGAAGATCAGCGGACCGAGCTTTCCAAACCCTGTGGGAGGTGTCCACCAGGGAAAAAAAAAACTGAAGATCGCAGATGCGAGTCTAGGCCCGCCAACCCTGCACGAAGTCATGTAGGCGATCAATGACAACGCCGAAGATAGCGTTCACGCTGTCGGCAATGAGTTGTTCAAAGTGACGGATCGCCTCTTCCTCGGTCATCTCGAGGTGGAAACGTTCCTTGACTTTCAGGACGGCCTTGTCGGGCTCAACTCGGATATCGGGGATGTTGGCATCGACCATCAAACTGAACAAGTTAAGGATGAGGTTGGCGGATTTACGAAGAGTAGTGTAAGCGGTGTAGCAGTACTGTTTGAACTGCAGGTAGTGAGGCGAGGATGTACCACCCATGCCTTCGACCATTTCTTTGCACAGTTTCATCATAGGCGCGAAAGGCTTGGGGTCACGACCGAGAATGAAACCAAAGTCGGCGTGGAAGAAATGGCCGTCCGGAGCAAGGAGCAAATTTTCCAGATGACGGTCGCCAACGCCAAGCAGATACGTTATGACACAGTATCCGGCACATGATTTTATATATGTGTCCATCGTCTCTTTGCGAACACCAAGGGGCTCATTTTCATCTGGGTTGTTGATCTTCAAGTAGGCGAGAATAGATTTGTACTTGGAGGATGCCGCAGAGAGAGAAATCGAGGGAATGAATTGCACCGCACCGGCTGTCGGGTTGGTGGCAAGAATGCGGTAAGGTGTCAGCTTCAGATCGAGGTTTTCTTTCTGCAGAAGACGGTCCATCAAAATAATAATCTGGATGACCAATTGATCTTGGCGAAGGTCATCACCAACTTTGAAGAGCATGGGATAACGAAGACCATCCGAAGTTTTGAACGTCATGAGCAAAGGGGAAAGCGTGGACTTGAAGACGTTGGATTCCTCAGGGTAGCACCCAACAACCGAAACCTCGGGATTCAAAGGTAACGGCAGTGGAGGATCGATAGTTATCAAATCATTTTCAGGATCACGGATGTACTTTTTCAACATGTCGATCTTGACAGGTCTGTTTTCTCGTGAGAGCCGGACATCTTTGGCGACCTTTGAAAGGACAGTCACCATTTCCGCTTGACGCAGTAGTGTCTTTTTGTGCTCAGGGTGAACTCGCTCTAGCTCAGCCATGAAGTAGTATGCAACCCGTACAAACAGCTGTCGTTGAGCGGGAAGAATATTTGAGCCGGCATCATCAATCTCCACTGTGAGATACCAGAACAAATAGTTACCAAGTTTGAAGTTATTTGCCGCTCGCGAAATTAAGAAATTGGCAAGTGAGAAGTCGTGGGCAGCATCATCAGCTTTATATTCGGGAGATTCCTCATACTTCAAAGCCTGGACCAGCTGAAGCAGATAAAGAAGTAGCTCTTCATCATCGGCTTTTCGAAGCGTTTCAACAGCATATGATCGAACGTCCGGATGATCAAAGGTAGGCCCAAGAATCTCCAGAGCATCATCAACATCGATTTCGGTCCACTTCGGAAGAATTTCGATGGCTTGGCGCGATTCCCCAACATCCCTCCAGTTGACCGACTTGACAAATTTGGTTAAGGCCTTCTTCTCACGCGTCAAATGGTACCGGAATCTCCACACAAGATCCTTTTCCTCGGCAGTAAGCTCCTGCGTCGGCTCATAAGAGATTATCATGCTGAGATCATCCCTAATCTTAGGATTCGGCTTCAGGTCTCGATCCAAGATGCCCGTACGATGACTACGGATAAGACGACGATGTTTGTCCTCGCAGGGATTGGCGACTTGACCACATTCCGGATCATAGATTCGAATAACACTGTAGGGGTCAGCACGTTGAATGCCTGGTCCGAAGTGGACCTCCGGGACCGGCTTGAGAGCTGAATTAGGATGGGAAGGCCCGTTCTGAGGATAAGTTGAGATTGGCGGAGGCGGGTACTCATGATCAGCCCAAACGATCGGATGATCAAATCGTGGGAACTCAACGTAAACATCGAAATGTTCATCATCTGGATTTTCCTCGTCAGAATCATCGTCTATGTGGTGTTTTTTCAAGTCCTTGTTCGTAAGAGCATCTAGTTCAAGAGCTCTGTTTCGAGCTGCATTCTCCGCATTGAGCTTCAGCTTCTCCAGCTCACGGAAAAGCAGTTGATCCATCCAGTCAACACGTGGGATTTCACCCATTTCATGTTTCTTGATCAGGACTTCAACTCGTTCTAGTTCTTTTTCTTCGGCTGACGGCTCGGACGGGTCGCGAGCTCGCATTGTTCGGCGTTTAGGCACTGGAACGGACGGGGTAGATGTAAAGGCATCGCCGTCTGCTTCCCGTCGAAGATACATCTTGCACTTTTGTTTTCCCATTTTCAGCTTTCCGTCTTTATCAAACAATGAGATCGTGGTACCACCAAATGGAACATGGCGTATACCATTGGTGGCTAATGGCGATAGATCCCATAGCGTTATCGCAAGCTGAGAGTTACGTTGGGCATCCTTAATGGACATGGGCATCTTTAACCATTCATTCCATACTCGCTGGGCTTTGAAGGACTTGTATTTGGTCTGCATTGGCACACCCATAGGCTTTGAGTCGGACCATAACTGAACGGTTGCGTACAAGTCGGAGGCAGGGTCTTGATTGGAAGCGATAAACTGCAGTTCGGGGTTCTCGTCGAGGACTGAATCCAGGATCTTTTTCTGTTTTCCCTCCAACGAAACACTGCCAACTAGTTAACACAAGATCCAATCAACCAGCAGGGAATAGCATACATTTTGACATGAATAGGAATATCCACATCCGTGGATATGGCAAAGGTGAAGGCCTCCATCTTGCATGGAGACAGTAAGTGGGTGCGTCATGGCAGATAAGATCCGCGGGGAGACCAGCGGTCACGTGCTGACACGCGACGCGCCTCGCCCAAGTCAATGGATTTCGCGCCTTATCATTCCTGAGTGTAGAAAGGCTTTGAACCATCTGTGAGAATCTCAGGGTTTTCATTGCTATCTCAAAATCACTCTTATCGCCGCTCTCTCTCATTTTTCTTTGACTTCTGATTTGGTACCACTAAGTGTCGATCGAGTATGGCTCCGTTCGCCTTACACCGGGACGCAACAACTTCCCACTCGCATAATTCAACTTCATCACCTACATCAAGCTCAGACAAAGAAAATCGGCGACACAATTCAGATAAGCGGGCATATCCCGTGATGGTGCCCTCGCGTCTGAACAAACGACCTCGACTCGCAGACCGCGATTCCAATTCTCAGTCGCAAGCACCCCCGCCATCTCAACGCAACGGGGATACCAGATACTATGATCCAGATCAAGATGCCGATGAAAGACGACGTGTGCGAAGGGAGCTGAGAGATCTCAACAGAGAACTAAATGGTAGGTTTTGTCTGATCTCTCATTCAAACAAAGGGATTCTGACTCGGTATGATAGACTCACGAGGCGAGTTCATGCAATCCGGGAATGACGGTATCTACAAAACGGTTGAAAAGGCCAATGAGATTTTTGTCCAAGTGAAGCAGACGTCCGACGCTACGATCGATTCACGCCTCTTAGTCAACGCCGCAGATTTGTCACACAAGAAAACAGCCCAGCTTGCCCTTGGCGACGCCTCTGCTGGAATCGATGTCGATGAGTTTGTCTCAAAGTGTATATCATTTATGCACCACGGACCTACCAACACGAGTGATGCACCGCGCGGAACACAAGGACGCCGAGGACGACCTCGTCAAAGCCAGCGAGACCCATATGGGAGCGATGAAGACGAGGGCGATGCAATGAACTGGGAGTATTTGGGCCAGGCAGCCTGCTTCCCACATAATGCCAGGCCAGTCGTGGCAGGATGGCTGCTGGGCCCGCTTTCGGTGCAGAAGCGTGCGCGTCAGATGACCCAACGTACAGCACGAGAAGCGATCGATCCAGAAAACGCAGTTAAGCCGGTAGAGCTGCAACAAGGGGACCTCGGTCAACAGGACAGCGTCAATTTGACAACAACATGTTCTCACATCAACAAGCTGCTATCGGAAACTCAGCGAAAACGGGAACGGAAGGCCGAGCAGATGCTCGAGAACGCAGAAGATCCTACCCCGGAGCAGGTCCAAGAGGTTTTCGATGAGTGCGGTATCGCCGACGACGGTGGAATTCCGTTATTTGCTTTCTGCATCAATCCACACTCCTTTGGACAAAGTGTTGAGAACTTGTTTTACGTGAGCTTCCTCGTTCGTGATGGGACTGTTGGAGTTTCAACAGATAGTCGTCAATTGCCAACACTTCGTAAGCGATCTCTCAATCAGAGCCATGTGATAAGAAACTAATTTGGAATCGATAGACCACTCAAACCCTTATGCGCCGAGTGAAGCGCAAAGACAAGGCATCCAAAAACACCAGGCCGTTTTTAGTTTGGATTACGAGACCTGGGAACAACTCATCACGGTTTTTAATATCAAAGAGCCAATCATCCCTCACCGTGAAGAAATTGAGGAAGAAACCGGCATGAGCTGGGTCTAGGCTGGAAGAACGATCTCACGAGCTCGGATGTGTTTGTTAATACTGATACCCCTTTTTTTCACGTTCTATAGACAGTTGTGTCGGTTGAGTGAACATAAGACCTAAATAATGAAATAATGCACCTATCCTTAACCCAGCATTAGTAATATATGAAACAGAAGCTCCCTTTTGCTGAACAATTCGCCCTGGCGGGATCCAAAGTGGAGCCTTGGCAAATAAGCTGCCACAACGTCATCACCAGGTCTGGCCACAGCTACTTTTTTGTATATCTTAGCTTGTTCTCCTCACACCCTCTTGATCAACATTCCACCGCGAGATATCCTCTCTACTCTCCTCTACTATAAAACGACACCACTGAGCCAACGCCAAGGAGCCAAGCCCCCGGATAAAAAGCAAAACCCACGCGCATACAGTTCATCATGCCGCAGCTCTTCCCAGCCAATCCAGCAGCGACCATGGTGATCCGCCATGTGACGCCAGATATAGTCACCATGAGCCTGCCATTCGCGCGATTCGGCCGTCTGCAATTCGGCGGACGAGGCACACTAGGTAAGTCCCTTGCAGAACGCCCACCACATACCATAGCACACCCAAAGCCAGGAACTACAGTAGACACGAAAAAAAGTGGATCATGTCAAAGCACCTCGCCTCAAAGCATATGCCCAGTGGAGCAACTCTTAATCAAAGATCAGCAGCTAACACCCTCCTTACCTCACAGTCAAGCTCTCCACCGGTTCCCTCGCAGTCTTCTCACCAGTCAGCCTCACTCCGGAAGTCCGCGAGACAGTAGAATCCCTCGGTGGCAATGTGCGCTACATCGCCGCCCCAGACCTGGAGCACCACTTGCACCTGACCCCCTGGAAACAAGCATACCCGCAAGCCGAGATCCTAGCACCAGAAGGCCTCTTCGAGAAGCGCAAATCCAACCCAGAGTACGCAGATACCCCATTCGACCATATCTTCAAGAAAGAAGATAAGCTGCCGCGGTCGATCTCGAAGGAATTTGATGCAGACTTTGAGACAGAGTATGTGTACGGCCATGGCTCGCGCGAGCTCGTCTTCCTGCATAAACCGTCGCGCACGGTCATCGAGGCTGACATGCTGTTTAACTTGCCTGCCACCGAACAATACTCCAAGAGCCCGGAGGGTTCAAAGTTGAATTTCTTGACAAAGCTGTTGTTGCCGTTGATGTCGACTAAGCCGCCTGCTACTTGGCATCGCCGGTTTGCGTGGTATATTCTGTCTTCGCAAGACCGGCCTGCTTTTAATGACTCTGTTCGGCGCATTGAGGCGTGGGATTTTGATCGCTTGATTCCGTGTCATGGTGATACTATTGAGACCGGTGCTAAGGGTGTCTGGCGCGACGTTATGGCATGGCATTTGCCTGATCAGAAGGATGTCTAGGTGTCTTTGTTCATGATAGTTTTCGTTGCAACGTCGATGTTTGTCTGACTTGGGTGTTGGGAATATCATTATGCGTGGGCGGTCTGTACTAATTTCTATTTTAATTTTTGAGGTTTGCCGTCAACCCGAAGGACTTCGCAGGCAGCATCAATCTGATATTTTTGTCTCTTGGCTTCTTAGGGTGTGGATCCATTTGCTTACTATTGATTGTAATAAACTTTGGAGCTATATGCAATATTTGAGTCGTACAGTAAAATTGGTATTTCGAATCGTGTCTGCAGTACTGTACAGTATGTCTGCCTAGAGCTTCAGCTATGGATACCACATGCCGATCATCAACAAAAGCACGGCGAACCGGCATAACAATATCAACTCATTCCAAGTAATGTTCCAAGCAAGATTTTGCGATAGCGGGTGATAAGTTAACCACAGAACACCGTATTGTAGGGGGATCATATTAGAGATAGCCCCACGTCATAGGGCTGAGAAAAAACAGTCATATGACTTAATATAACCAAATGTCATGTCGTCAGAGCTGCAAGGTCTTGAAACCGGAAAACTTACAGTACCAGTTAGCACAGTACTTTCTGAACCAATCTGTACCTGTCAAGGCTCCAGGCTATAAACATTTCGAAGTGGAGTCCAACCAAAACCCAGGACCAAATCAGAGCTATCACGAATAGCCCAAGGATCGGCGGTCGTTGGTGGTTTGATTTGGACAGCTCATCCCGTCCTGGATAGGCAGAAAAAGCCACTGACAGAATGCCACACCCTTGTTCATCTCCCATCTCGTATGCCAGCTCACATTTGGACCTCCGTCATGCGGGTAGACTGGGCCTGGGGAAGACAGGGATGCCCGACAGCGTACAGCGTGCTGAGAGAGTCCGGAGCCCAGTGTGTAGTCTAAGCCATACAGATAGGCCCACTCCTTGCGGATCGTTCGACTGCCCCCATGCACTTCTTGCAGAGCCCAGTATTCTCAGCCACAGTCCGCAGCGGTCAAACCACAGGGAAATTGGTTGGGCACGTTTCGATGTCTATTCCACCCAATAACCTCACATTGAGCTCTTCTCGACCTGGTATGGATCTGACATCACAGGCTTGGATCGGCTTCACACTATGGGTCGTGCCTGAAGCTTTACCGTTTTTTAGGTTCTTTTTTTTTTAGTTTTTATTTACTTTATTGGACCTGTTTTCGTGAGCTTTTTTTCTTGCAATCTTAGGCCCTTGCTTTAAAAGACGCTGTCTCGCTCCCTCTTTTTCCGACTTTGCTTGTCTGTGCGACATCTTCGTGAACACGTTATATAGCGGCTCCTGTCCTCCCCCGTACTTCCCTGCCCACGCTACCTTTGTCAGAGCTTGACATATTACAACCCTTGATTTGATCTACTGATCTTGACATCTACCCTCCACGTCACCTTTGACAGCTATTCGATATGCCTGTCATTTCGCGTCTCGTTTCTATCGTCCTCCGCGTCGCGGAAATTGCTTTTGCAGCAGTACATACCCCCCAACCCTTCCCACAACCATTATTGAAACATCGAAACTAACAGTCTTCAGGTGGTCGCTGGCCTAATCGGCCACTACCTCGCTGGCGTCGATAACTCCAGCAATAACGTTGACTGGTGGCCCCAGTCGCGATGGATCTACACTGAAGTCATCGCTGGCTTATCCATACTGCTAGGCCTGATATGGCTGATCCCGTTCTCGTCTGGATTCTTCTCGTGGCCTTGTATGTGCTCCAACCCCTAATGTCCTGAGAATCAATGCTAACAAAAAGCCAGTGGACATCCTCATCTCATTCGCCTGGTTTGCTGCTTTCGGTATCCTCGTCGATGCCCTCCATCATCTGCCTTGCGGCAGTATCTGGTCTTGGCACTTTAGGGGTGAGCAGATGTGTGGTCGGTGGAAGGCCGCCGAGGCGTTCAGCTTCCTGTCGGCTATCATTTGGTTGGTTTCTGGTCTTGTGGTATGTTCTACGACTCTTCGCTACCGTTTCTCTGAAGGAATAAATGCTTACTCTCGATTCAGGGTATCTGGTTCACCTTCCGTGTTCGCCCTTCCACCACTGATGGAACGTAAGTGTTTCCATCCACATCTTGCGGTCACATAGGTCCCTCAACTAACATCTGACATAGTCACCGCCGCCGCCGTTGGGGTCGCTCTGCCGTGTAAATGACCTCACATGGGATATCTGCTCACAATCATCTTGCAAGAAATACTTTCGTTGCTTGGATGTGCTAGCTACCATTGAGCATCACGCTCATGCCATCTTTGCCTTGCTTTCTTTTCTTTTCTTGTCGAGTTCTTTTTCATCATGTGAAAGACAACGAATTACGACTTACGTTGATACCCGGGGTGGACTGATAATTTTGGTGCTTTGCGTATGTCATTTTTGAATTTTGCTTCAATGACTCTCTTTGAATCTAGGATAATACACAATTTTCTCGAGAGTGGCTTTCTTGTGTTGGTAGTTTTTGATTCGAATGGATACTGATACCGGTGAGCATTTATTCGATCATTATATTGTGGTTTGTTGAGAGTTGGGTTTGCAGGGGTTCCAGGATTTGGTAAAGTCTATTGATGGTCAATACGAGATTTTACGAGGTGAGAGGAAGTACGGACTTCGTGTTTGATTATACGAAATCTGTGCGAAATGGGTTCGGGACTTACTATATAGGCCTAACTTGTCCTGTGCGGATAGGACCTTGAATTTAGGCCATGCTTATTTTGGGGGTGGTTCGTATTACAGTCACTTCACATGTTACCTTGGAGAAAGATTTTCTTCCCTGCCACGGCCACGCTTGCAAATACGAAATTACTAAGGTACACGTTACTGAGAATTATGGCCGCTGGCTATACAGTAGATTAAGACATAAATGAGCTATAATAGCCACTACGATGATAAATCAACTAAGAATCGAATTAGGACTGACTCGAGGACGACATTTCTAGCATATTAAGGAGTTCATCACACAATGATGAACTACTAGACTTAAATAACTCGATTATTCTTTCCAGAAGATCTCCATTTGTATACACTTCGTTATCATAATTTCCCTTCAGACACTGTAACTTTTAACATTATTCAGTAAGCAGAACAAGAGGTCCTTACAGATATATGGAATTAAACAGGCTGGAGAGATAACGTAGAAGAATGAGACTAGAAGGCAAACTATCTGAGTTCCTGGCTATATGGCCACCGGATCTCAAACAGTGGTACATTCGGTCGACATCCTAGTACCTCTACTTACCGTGGGTTGAACAAGAACTCAGGGCCATGATCTAACAAAAATAAAGGCAGAGGGCAAGGTAAAATAGGGTTACAGATTGATTCTGGTTCATGTGCATTTTAGACTGATCTGTATAGATCAGTAGTTCAATCGCGACCACGCGGCAAATTGAAAGGAAATGAAGACTATTACTAGATGATAACGATCAATTTGTTCGTTTCTATTAGGAGAACATCACGTAGTTCCTCCTATTTGTTCTCACTTATCCTTATATATTGATGATACTTATAATGTGAATAAGTGCGCTTCTGGCTGCTTCCAAGGTGTCTTTTCAGATAACGATTATCAGGGCTCAATCATACAGGGATTTGTTACCCTAGCGATTGTACCTCCAAGGCTGAAGATATCTCTTCTTCAACTCACGCATTAAAACATTTCATATAGAATCAAGTCAATTTGAGCCCCAATAAAGTCTTTGATACCTTAAGTTTAGGTCACTAGAGCATGCACAGCATTCCATCCACGTTGATCAACGGGCGGATGACTAAAAGCCAAGAAATGGACCCAGGACCGAACGAGATAGGAGAATTCCCTGTTCGACATATCAGATGTGCAGACAATCCAAATAGACCCAAAAATGCAGTTACAACCGGACTCCAATCAGCCCGGGGTAGGCGCGGCAAGCACACCTGCGCCTGCGCCTGCACCTGCAACTCCCCCAGAGTATCCCTTACAGGAGCTCGAGCCCTTCAAAGATGAGGATGATGACCACGACCATGACCATGACGCCCGCGACAGTGAGGACCTCAGCCTTGATTTAGAATTGGGCGACATCCCCCTGCTGCCGTCTAGCATGGAGTATGCGACCGAAAAAGGCGTGTACGAGCCGCCGTTTTCTGGTACGCCGTCAGGGTTTTGTGCCTGGCTCCGCGGGCCGCAGCCTCCGCACGTGTATCACATCAACCCTTGGTTCTCGCGCTTACAGGCTGCGCCGGGGCATCTGATAGATCGCTTTTTTCCTAGACGGAGTTCGAAGATTGTGCTCCTTTTTGGTGGGCTTGTTTTTTGGATTGTGGTTTTCTTTCTCTCGCTCAAGGCTTCTATTGCTGGTCAAGATGTTTTGGGGTATGGGCAGCCTGTGAAGTTGGGGTGTCACCATCGACTTTGGTATGTCTCTTTGTTTTTTTTTTCTTGCTGTTTTCTCTCTCTTGCTTTCGTGGATTTGTTGAAATGGACTTGTGGCTAACATTGACTCAGGAATAATGCGACAAATTGTGGAATGAATGGTGATCTTTGTCGTCCTTTTGAAGATCAATCTTTTGCTTTCCGCTGTCCGTCGGGCTGTGCACAGGCTATTCTGTTGGAGCCTTATGTTGTCGGTGCGGAAGAGTATAACTACCGTCCGCTAGTCATTGGTGGCAAACCGTTCAAGTTAGATGGGCACAACAGTGGCATCTACCGTGGTGACTCGTCGATTTGCGCGTCCGCTCTGCATGCTGGCATCATCAGTGATGCTACGGGTGGATGTGGTATCGTCCACCGCACGGGCGAGCAACAGAACTTCCGGTCGGTGGTTCAAAATGGTATTGAGAGTATCAATTTTCTTTCAAGCTTTCCAATGTCGTTCCGCCTCACCAAGGAGGCGAACTCAACGGACTCGGGTGATACAAAGCTGATTAAGTGCTGGGATGTTCGCTGGCCGTTGTTTGCCTTCACGTTAGTCTGGACGACCCTCTTATCATTGGTTGTGACCTCCGCCCCGGCATTCTACAGTGCCATCTATTTCATCGTCTGGTTTGAAGTGGCTATGGCATCAGATCCACCCTCAAACGGGAGCTTCTACGACCTGATCTCAATCGGCCTCGGCCGGTTCTTACCAGGCGCATTTGTAGGCTTTGTGCTATACCACTTCTGTGTTCGACACACTCTACGCAATCTAGAAGCACACTGGGACAAGACCGTCCTCTGGCTGGGTGGCTGTTGGGTCGGCGCCTTGAACACCGACACCTTCGACAGAATCCCTATCTCCCGCCTAACGCCCCACGATATCCAGCAACAGCCCGGTGCCCTGACAGCCCTGATCATCATCGTTGGATCGCTTGTCGCGATCGCCTTTGGTCAGGCGCATTGTTTCCGTCGCGAAGGCCGCTTCTTCCCAACGCTAAGCATCTACGGCGTCCTCGTCGCAGTCATTCTCATCCTCGTTGCAGTCCCACACATGAACCTACGCATCCATCATTATATCCTCTCCCTCGTTTTCCTGCCTGGCACAACCCTCCAAACTCGTCCTAGTCTCTTATACCAGGGTATCCTCGTCGGCCTGTTCATCAACGGTATCGCCCGCTGGGGCTTCGATTCCATCCTCCAAACCCCCGGCGCGCTCCTCGACGGCGGCAAACTGGGAACAGTTCCGCCGAAAGTCTACCCCCCATCCATTGTTGACCAAAACAGTCTGATCTTCGCATTCCCAAATATTAAACCGGACGCCGACGGGTTAAGTGTATTGGTGAATGACGTCGAGCGTTTCCAGGTCTTCCAGTCTAAAGATGGCAAGCCCATGCCTGACTTTTCTTGGACTCGTTCCGTTCCGAATGAGTTGGAGTATTTCCGTTTTGGTTATGTCCATACAAATGCCTTGGGAGGTCTTTGGTATGAGGACTTTTCACCACCGGCTGTTTGGAGCACCGATGGTGTCTTTTCTTTCCCTGACGCCGAGATTCCTGATGAGTCTTCGGAGGAATAGACGTTTTTCTGGCGGCCAGCACATAGACCTTTTATTAGCGATACTTTTACCAGTCATTATAAGCATATCATTTTGGACTCTCCACCGAGCAATCGTAGCACCGTCAAACTTGCGACTCAAAATCCCCCATTTGCAAGCAAATCAGGGAAAACAGGAGAAACCTTCGTCATTAACACCGCAGAAGGATCTCCGCACCCCCGAGACGAGGCAACCCCGCAGAGACCCCGAAACGCGCAGCTTCCTCGACTTGAACAAACACACAAGAGAAACGAGAATGGGAACAGAATCCGCATCCGCGAAACGAGCTCGCACGCGCAAGTCGCGTGGCCGTGGGTTACGCACTACGAATGGATGGTAGGTTATCGTCAGGGCCCATTCCGATCCCCGCTGCACCCGTGCCATGTCTGGGGTATACTCGTGCTAATGCTGACACTGATGCTGATGTGATGCAGTTTCACATGCCGCAAGCGCCACATCAAATGCGATGAGGTGAGGCCTGTTTGTGGAGCTTGTGGGAAAAATGGTCGGTCTTGTCATTTTGCTCATGAGACTCGGGATGGGAATGGGGTTGAGAGTATCGTCACAACGCCGGTTTCAACTTTCAGGAGGAATTTCCTGGATACTGTGATTGATGGGTCTATTTCGCCGTCTGTGTCTAGAGCTCAGAGTGTGCAGAGCCCGGTGAGACGGTCTAGTCCAGTGCGTGGTGGTGGTTGTACGTCTGCGGTTGAGACTGGGTCTGGGGAGGTCCTGCTTCAAGGTGGAACACCTCACGCTTTGTCGACTGAGACGGTGCATGCTCAGACTCATCCTCAGCAGGCATCATTGTCTTCCCAAGTACCACCTACCCAGGCACCAACTGCCTATGCACGACATGACCACTTTGCGAGTGTGGACTTGACTGCTCACCAAAGTCCCATTGCACTCTATCCAAATGACCTTTCTCCCTCGGATGCCTCATATATCTTACAATCAGTGACTGGGTCATTCTCCTCTCCCGGGCCAACTGTGAATGCAGCAGCGAGCTGGTGGTTTGATCTATTGACAAATGATGCTGCCAGGGACCATCCGCAAGTACCTGCTATACCAAGTGGGTTTACAAATGACGGTCTGCCATTTGAGTGTCCGCAAATTGGCGATCAAGAAAACATCTCTTCTTTACAACGAGCTACACAAGTCCTTGATCTTCCTTACGCTAATGGGACAGTGAGCCAGAGCTCTATCGTTTCACCTGCGCAGTCCAGCCCTGCTGGCGAAGACGAGCACATATGGCAGTCTCGTGAGCCGATTGAACTTTTACCCCGGGAGCATTTTCTGTTTGAGCATTTTGTACAACATGTTAGTCAATGGGTAAGTAAAGATCTTTGGCGAGTCCCATTTTCCAGATTAATTCTAGTACCAGATCGATCTCTTTGACCCTACCAGCCAATTCTCTACACTCGTTGCACATTTGGCAGTAAGTTGGCCGTGATTTCTCAGGTTACATAGACTGAGGATTACTAGATACGCAATGCTGGACTATTGAACGCTATCCTTGCTCTAGCCTGTCGCCATCTATCCCTTAATCCCCGCTTGGATAACGAAGATCTCCCGAACAAAGAAGCAGCTCTACAATTCTACTACCAAACCCTTCATTATGTGCAAAAAGCAATGCAGAAGTCTAGTTATATGACAAGTTGGGAACTCCTCTCAACAACTCTCATCATCTCAGCCTACGAAATGCTGGACAACTCCTCCAACGACTGGGAACGGCATCTAGAAGGTGTATTTCTCATCCAAAGATCTCAGGTAATCCACGGTGAGTCAGGCGGACTACAAGCTGCCGTTTGGTGGGCTTGGCTATGTCAAGATGTTTGGGCAGCCTTTCGAGAAAAACGGAAGACTTTGACATTCTGGACTCCCCACAAGCCCCTCTCGGCATTATCACCACATGAACTGGCTGCACGTGCGGTGTATATCACTGCTAAAGTCATCAATTACTGTGCCGAAGAGGGTGCGCCTGTTGAGGGATATATCCAGCGCCGGCTGGATAAAGCCAAGTATCTTAGAGCTATGCTTGATGACTGGCGAAGTCATTTGACCATTGAGTTTTCACCTTTGCCCGTTAGCTCTCGTGAGAAAACGGGGTGTTTTCATCCTGTCTGGATTCGTCCGCCTGCCTTTGGTGTGTATTGGCGTTGGGGCTGCTTGGCTCACGGTTGACTATTGAAGCTAATTCTCGCTACAGCTGTTGCTATGCAGTTTTATGCCGCAGCGCGTATTCTCTTGATTGCTCACGAGCCAAGTCTTGGAGGACTCACACAGTACTTGGAACGGCAAATTGTCGTTCAACGTTCCGTGGAGAGCATTTGTGGTATTGCTATGACTTTGAAAGACAACGCCTCTAGTCTCATGTCATCACAAGCTTTATTCATTGGTATGCTTCACTCAGTACAGTGAGGAACTTTTAATACTAATCCACTAGTAGCGGGAATATTTACCCAAGAACCTCGTTCCCGAGATGCTATATTAGAATCATTAGAATCGTGCAGGAAAAGGACCGGCTGGCCGGTCCGCTCCTTGGGAGATGACTTGCAACAAATCTGGGGTCTGCACGAACCTACCAGGTCTTTGAATTAACTTAACAATGAGACTCGGTTCATTTATTCGTACTATCGAAGGAGCTCCATCATTTATCTCGAATGCGCTATTCATGCCTTCCCAGCAGACCCACAAATCTCCATCCATCTTACAGTCAAATCTGCCACCTTCTGAATCCCCTCCTCAATCAACTGAGTATGCGGCATCTTACCTACATTAGCACGAAGATGGTCATAGTAGTCATCCAAGACAAGCTTGTTGACATTGATTTTGGTAACACCAGCTGCAACACAGTACCTCATCGTCTCCGACGAGAAACCATTGGTACCATGAAGCACGAGATGAACGCGTCCACCAACCTGCCGACGAATATGCTCGAATCTATCAATAATTAGCATCAGCACAGCCCCCAATAAAGGCAATTCCCAGATCTGACCTCTCAAAATCCAACTGCGGCCCAGCAGGCCCATACTCCCCATGAACATTCCCAAAAGCAGGCGCAAGCGCATCAACCCCCGTTGAAACAAACTCATCCACCTCCTCAGCAGTAGTCATACAAGCCTTCAACCCCTCGGTATCCATAACCCCATCCTCGCCGCCCTCGATCCGCCCCGGCTCAGCCTCGGTAGCAATATGCCGGGAATTGCAATACTCTACAAGCGTGCGCGTCTTGGCGAGATTCTCCTCCTTCTCGTAGTGTGACATGTCAACCATGATACTGTCAAAGGGGAGTTCATCCGCGGCGCGCTTGATGATTTCTTCGGATTGCGCGTGGTCGAGGTGGATGCTTATCGGTACGCTGGCGTGCTTGGCTGCTTCGGCTGCTGTGCGTACTAGCAGGCCGTCTGTTGCTGTTAATGCCCATGGGAAGAATTGGATTATCAGTGGTGACTTGGCGGTTTCGGCGGCTCGTACCAGGCCTAGGATTTGTTCGATGTTGTACGCTATTGCTGCTATCACGCCGTATTTGCCTGCTTCTGCGGCACGGAGGATCGCATTGTGGCGGTTTTCTTGTTGCCAGGTCATTTTCAGATTGAATGATTTGAGAGGTATGTGAGGGGCTTGGGAGTAGTTGTGAGTGCGGTCTCTTTACACATTTTATACATCGTCAACTTCGGGCGTGAAGTGGGGATTTGGAGATGTCCTCGAGACGAGTTCTCCCCCTCTTTCCTTTTAACCGCTTCTCTTCCGACATCGTGTCTTCCCCCCACGCATCATGTCTGAAACTACTGCTTTCCAAGCCCACAACGCCAAATTCCACTCCCTCCTAGGCCTAGCCCCAACTATCCACCTCCTCCACCAAAATGATGCATACCCCTTTGCCCACGAAGCAGGCGTCTACATCCCCTCCACCAAAAACCTCTTCATAACCAGCAACCGATACACAGACCATGAAAACAATCCAAAGATCCAAATTACCCGCATCGACCTCTCCACAACCCCAGTAACAGTGGAAGAACTCGACCCCCAAATCCCAATGGGAAACGGCGGCGTCAATTACACCTCCACCGAGCTCCTAATCTGCAGCCAAGGAACCCTAAACAAGCCAAGTGGACTCTACACAATGTCCACCGCAGCGCCATTCACGTCCAAACTGCTCGTAGGCGACTTTCTAGGCCGCCCATTCAACTCCGTCAACGACGTCGTCGTGCATTCGGACGGGTCGATTTGGTTCACAGATCCCATTTACGGATTTGAGCAGGGGTATAGGCCGAAGCCCGAGCTGCCGTGTCAGGTTTATCGCTATGACCCAGCTGATGGTGGCATTCGCGCTGTTGCGGATGGGTTTGGGAGGCCGAATGGGATTTGTTTCTCGCCTGATGAGTCCACGGTGTATGTTACTGATACGGATCGGCATCATGGGGATGGGACGGATGACCCGGCTCGGGTTTCTTCGATGTAAGTGCTTACCTGTTTCTCTTGTTACTTGGGGTTTAGGGTTAGGGTTAGGCTTGAAGTGTGCTGATTTGCTGTAATAGTTATGCGTTCGATTTGTCGGTTTATCATGGACAGCCGTTCCTGACTAATCGGCGGTTGTTTGCTATGGCTGATAATGGGATTCCTGATGGGATTAAGTGTGATCTGGAGGGAAATGTTTATAGTGGTTGTGGGGATGGCATTCATGTTTGGTCGCCTGGCGGTGTTCTTCTGGGGCGGATTCGCATTGATGGTGGGTGTGCGAACTTTTGTTTTGGAAGGGACGGTGAGATCTTCGCGCTTAATGAGCATCGACTGTGGAGGGTGCAGTTGGGAAGTCATGTTAAAGGGGCTTTGCTTAGGATTTAGACATGGATTGTAGATTGCAGAGATGGACATTTCTCGTGGTCAACTTTACACTAACATACGTACATCACATTTGGAGTTTTTATACAGACTTACAGAGGTTCATCAGATGAGAAGCCGAGGCACTATTCATTTCTTGCTGAACCCTCCTGTGCCATATTCGCATGGACAAACCACTTGGGCTCAATCCACATCACTCAGAACTACTGATCAAGGCTGAGAAATCAACACTTTGCTATGCAATAGACATAATATTTGCCCAAATACTTGATATTGCGCACAATAAAGTCTATGTTCATCTCGAGAACCCAAAATCACTGCAAGTTACTAAACATACCACCATCAGCCAACAGCCCAGAAGCATTAACGTAACGACTCATTGGCTCACAAGCCAAGAACACTGCAGGACCAGCCATATCCTCTGGACATCCAATACGACCAAGCGGAATCCGGGCTTCCAGTGCAGCCTTTTTAGTCGGATTCTTCATATCATGATCAGCAAGCGTGGTATTAATGGTACCAGGCATCAGCGCATTGCACCGAATTTGATCCTTTCCCAGCGAGATAGCCATCGATTGCATCATAGACAAGATAGCCGCTTTGGTGGGCGTGTAATGCGTCTGCAAGCCACCGCCTACTAAAGCACTGACTGAGGAAATTCCGATGATCGAGCCGCCGTGGCCCTGTTTTACCATCTGGCGCGCGGCGGCTTGACAGGAGTAGAAACATCCTTTGACGTTCACGTCGATGCTGTGATCTAGGAGGGCGGGCTCAATTCTGGTGGTATTGTTAGCATGTTTTTTTGCTTTGGCATTGCTTCTTTGCTGTTGACAACTTACTTCAAGAATTCGGCTTGTTTGAAGACTCCTGCGTTTGCAACGAATATGTCGAGCTTTCCCCATTGACTGACAGTTTCGGTAATGAGCTTGGTGCTTGTCTCTGGAACTGTGACATCCCCAGCGAGCTCGAGCACTTTGCCTGCGTTTGTTCCATGTTCCTTTTCAATGGCCTTGACTTCTTCGAGAAGGCTGTGAGTGTGGGATTTGTCGAGTCCTAGGTGATTCACTGCGACGTTGCAGCCTTGACGGACAAATTCTAGAACAATTGCTCGGCCAATGCCAGTTGTACCACCGGTGATGGCGGCGGTCTTGCCTTTAAGAAGGTTCCAGGCGGGAAGAGCCATGGTGAACAAGCAGTGATATTTGAGAGAATGGGTACAATAGATGTTCGACGCAATTTCAGAAATCCGTCAATTGTTTAGGTCGCAAAGTTTAGGTGCAGAACTACGCACCTGGCGGAGATTCCCTCGTTTTGGCCCTCGTCTCGAGGGTTCGGGCTTCCCCCGCCTTGTTCGACTCGAGGGCTTTGATGATGTAGATTGATTGAGATGTCTGATGAGAACTATAAGTAGTTCTAGTCCTCTCTATTTATCGAGTTTGTTTAGAAATAATACCCCATTCCAGTATTCCGACACCTTCATCATGACTTCAGACTCGACTTCTACTCCAGTTGTTCCACAGACCCAGCTCACCCTTGGCTCCAAGGTCATCGCAAGTTAGTACCAGTATATAGTTCCCCACGCGGACCAAGGACTAACTTCACAAAACAGTCACAGGAGCAAACCGCGGCATCGGTCTCGGCGTCGCCGAATGCTGCCTCGTCAATGGAGCCGAAAAGGTATACTCGATCGACATCGGCGAAACAGGCGATGAGTTCGCCGCCCTCTCAAAACGCTTCCCAGGTCAGCTATTCGCCGTGACCGCCAATGTCACACAAGAGGAAACAATCACAGCAGCCGTCGATAAGATCATCGCCGAAGCCGGTGCACTGCACGGAATGGTCGTCAACGCCGGCCGAACCCACCACAAGGCAGCCCTTGATTTCACTAAAGAAGAGATCGAGAATCTGTTCAATGTGAACTTATTCGGTGCATTCTATACCGCTCGTGCTGCCGCCCGTGCTTTCATCAAATTGGGTATCAAGGGCTCGGTTGTTTTCACTGGTTCTATGGCTTCTTACCGTCCGAATAAGGTAAATACTTACATATAACCCTGCTGCTACTACTGGTTGCTTGTGTTGAGATTCTTCATTTCCCTGGAACTAATTGTCTGTTCTTCTAGCGCGTCCCCTCAACACCATACGGCGCCTCCAAAGCCGGAATCCGTAATATGACGCACACTCTCGCAATGGAGTGGGCTCAGTACGGTATCCGTGTTAATAGTGTCTCTCCCGGTCTGGTCAATACTGCTATGACTTACTGGGTACCCCAGCAGCCAGACTGGGAGCAGCAGCTCAAGTACTATGGGGGGTTCCCTCGTCTTGCGGAAGTGCAGGAGCTCGGTGGTGCGTATGTTTATCTGCTTAGTGAAGCTGCTAGTTATACGACTTCTATTGACATCCCCGTGAATGGTGTTATTGGTAGTAAGTTTGCCCTTGGTATATTTCTTTTTTGGGAGTTGCTAACGATTTCAGTCTGTTGAAAAATTTATGATGTGGATGGAACTGAGAAATGTTATTTTATAAATTTTGGAATTGAAATAGTTTACAGATATTCGTATGAAGTGCTGACCCGGTAATGCATGAGTAGTGCGTATCAGGGTGACAGGACGATACCCCGGACCATCAAGTGATGACAAATTGCCTTCAACGCCAACTAAGTTAGTCAGTTAACTAGTTGACCCTGGGCATTCAAAGTTTTCATTGACTCTGTAGATTTGATCTTTCATCTAAGCCTTTCTTTCCGCATCGCTCACCAAGAAAGGATTCCAATGCTTGTGTTTTTAGAGTGCTTGTCTCCCTTCCCTTGTTATGTACCCCTTGTGATCTAGTTTTCATCCCTCCAAGATGCCGGTGACTGGATTTGACCCTCAGCTCTCAGCCCAGCTTCACAACCAGATTCTTGAACGTGCTTGGATTGGGGCCGGACGAGATGCCGCTTCGCTTCCATCCAAGACCTGGTGGGAAGACTCGTCCCCAGTTCCGTTCGATCTCGCATCTCGTCTGAGCCCGAACTTGATCAAGTTCCTGCGGTCGGCAAGAGCTATTATGTTCGATACCTCTTCAGATTTCCATCTTTTCTATTATCTAATGGCGCTCCATGGGAAACATGAAATTCTGCAAGACACTCCTCTTCGGGAGTGGGGCGATCGCTTCGTGTGGTTATATCCCTCGACACGAACGAAGAGTGATGAAGAAATCGGTATAGTGTAAGATGTCTATTTGAGGATACTAGAGCCTGGTATATAAGGCTTATAGGTCGAATAGATTTGATCAAGAAACCGAGCTAGCTTCCTTCGTTCCAGACTGGGAAGATATGTACTGGTCTGATCGGGAACGGTGGCCATGGCGGCCGTTACAACATATCCTACAGACCTATCTAGACATCATAGATGAAGGCAAAATTACAACATATTCCGACCGCGGAAAGGGATGGATAGACGATAGTGTGTTCGGGGTATTTCCTTGGGAGATACACCAATATACCTCAATGGATGTTAGGAGGGCTATCAGTGCCTTTACCTATATTCTTGATACTATACAGGCTCGAATTCCTTCAGGCTCGATCCATGATCATAGCATCGAGCTCTCTCACGAGATAGCTCTTCCCTACTCAGAAACTGTGATGAAAGCTTCATCCATTAAAGTGGACTCCTTTGCCGGACGCTTTCTCTCGGCCCTTCCTACTCGCCAACTCAATTTTCGCTATATTGCTCCCGGTATCCGACTCCAAGATCCAGACGAATTCGGAAATCAGCCCTTTACGGAACCTTCCAGTCTTAATCTACCGACAGAATTCTTTCCTATCCTTCTATTTCGAGCAGAGCAGGAAAATAAGTCGCCCTGGAGTCGGCCCTGGTATCCTGACGGAAATGCCGCTGATATCCCCGCTGGTTTATATATCGAACCTACCAAAGAATATTCTAACTGGTCATGTAGCAACCAGAGTCGACTCCTACTACCGTTCGAGATTGGCAGCAACGGGTTTGCTCGAAGTAGCAATGGTGTTCCATTCCTCAAAAATGCCAGGGGTCCGGGCAGCTATCCTGATGAACTATATCAGTCGGATTCATTCAGCGGCTATAGTGGTTATTTACCTTGGGATTCACGTAGCTCATATCTACACAAAGTGTTGGAGAATTGGGCTGAACGGGTGGAAACGGGTGATTGGCTCGTTGGTCAAGACGGTGTTGTAGGTAGTATTGAGAAGTTCAAAGAGGCCGATACTGAAGGACATTGGAAAGAATATGTTATTCGTTGGTGAGAGTTTTAGTTGTATCTATGTTCAATTCGTGAAGAAGTCAACAACCTTGTTGAAATGATATAATAGACGGTCGAAGTAGTTCTTTGTCTAATAATGTGCAAAGGCCAAGCATAAAAGATGGAACTAACTCAAACTATTCCGAGACGCGTATGCATCCTATAAACTTGACAGTAAGCGAAAATGACATTTGGGATTTTTGCAAACAAGGTCTATGTGATGTGTGAAATATGACGGGGTGAATGTGATATCAAATGTTTTGTATTCTAAATAAAATAGACCAAGCTACAACTCGTTGCACTATGAATGCCTTTTAATATTATAAGAGACCAACTGTCCCAATGGTTAGAGTTAGTCTATGTCAAGCGAAGTGCTTCGCCGTATTCTATTGTGTCATTATGTACCAAATACCCTCAATGAACTCCATGAATGCAATATACAAAGCCAGCATCAAGTCTTCTAGTCTTTGAGGTGGTTTTTACACTTCACCTGTACAATATTCTGTTTCCCGCCATCTTCAACGACTAACGCCGTGAGCTTGCCCCCCTTCAAGCACCCAGAGTCAAGACCCTTGGTGAAAGTGCGAATAGATAGGGAAGAAGAGGCATCATGCCCGTATACGACAGTCATGGTGCCCGAGAGGGGGTCTTCAGTTGAAGACTCAAGAGTTGAGTATAATAGAGATTGATGCTTATCGAACATCTAGAACATGTTAGGTAACCCGGAAAAATAAAATAGAAGTAAGGCATACCTTGGCCCAATTCATGCCCTTTTTCTTCGGGCTAGGCAAATGCGTATCCAAATCAATGGTCCGCATGGTCATCACACTGGACGGATCTTGCTTCTCAAGTTCGACACCCGGTACTAAGCCCGCATGGACGACAACTAGAGGTCCCATGCCTGGGACAGAGCCAACATCCAAGATGATCGGGCAGCTACTCAGCCACGCTGCTTGCTCATCGTTGAGCGAACGAGCGAGGGCACGCTCACGGGCTTCTCGGGATGATAGACTTGACTCTTCGTCATCATCAGGGGTAACCAGAGTATCACTCTTAACTAGCTCCTGTCGGATAAGCAGAATTCGATCCTCGTGGTTTCCACGCACGCAAGAGGCCGAGTATGCACGGGCAAGATCTACCACTCCTGTACTATCTGGTCCTTTGTTAATGAGGTCACCAGTGAAGATGAGGTGATCTCCACTGTTGGGCTTGAAGGAAACCTTTTTGAGCAGAGATTCCACTGTTCAGCTTGTCAGCATGCGGGGAAGTTGGACAAATAGCGAGACACAACGTACACTCTGCTTTGCAGCCATGAACATCACCCACAAAGATCAACCGTTTCCGACGTGACGACTCTGCTTCAACATCTGCCGACCGCGAAGGCACGAGCGCCGGATCCAATGTGCGAATCTGAACTATGTCGTCGAACTGGGGCATGACGTTCGACCCGAACCAGCCACCCGCCTGGATCTTCGTTTTCGAATCAAGCGATTGTAGTAACGAGCTTCGCTCTTGAATGCGCGGATAAAGCAGCACCCGCCAGCTAACCCAACCCACTAAAAACAACCCAACGTATATAAGCACGTAGCGGCGGAACCGCGGCGCGGAAACCACCGAGCGAATCATCTCAAACCATCGCGCGGGTTTCGTGTCTTCCGACGATCTCGAGGGCGGGTTGTAGTTTCCGCCAGGTCGCGATTGCCATGCATTTCTAGCGGAGTTTATGAGAGGGCGGGATTGGGATCGGGATGCTGCATAGGAGGGAGGGCTTTCGGATAATTCGAAATCGTCATCTGCGTCGGACTGTACGCCCTGTGAATCCGGGTCGCGCGACATTATTTTGGTGCGAATCGAGCCCTTTGGCATGGTAATTGAGTTGAAGATGGTGTGTCCTTCACCTCGAGAGGTTAAAAGTGCTATCTCATGGTCGTGAGGAGAGAAACGAAAATGATATTTTAGGCAGAAAGACCTCCCCTGCGGATCTGACGTCTACACAGACCCACTCGGGAGATCATTGCGTACGCGTACGCATACACTCACATACTGCATACTGACTCACGCAGTATCTCATATTCATTACATTCATTGCCGATTTGTTGTGGCTATTTTATCCCCGGTACTGCTCGTACTCTTCCGCTTCCTGTTTCCGGAGGTTCACACGCTGGATGACGGTCGCATCGTAGACCTCTTCTATGGGCTTGCCACCCTTGAGGACCTCCTTCTCGTGGTGAGAAGCCTCCTCCTTGGTCATGCAGACTAAATTGTTGATGTCGATCGGGATGGATTTCTGACCTTCATGCTCGAGGCTCAAATCCATCTTCCATCCATGAGTAGGGTTCTGCCAGGGAATCAGAACGAGCCTGTTCGGCAGGCCGCTGACTGCGCTCTTTCCACGATAGACTTCCTCAACGAGGAATGCAATGTCATCCTTGCTGATAGGGCTACGAAGTCCGATTGTATCGCCGCTGGTAACATGTTTGATCATTCGATCGTGCAAGGCGAGCATGGCAGCCAGAATGCCATCGTAGAGCTTTTCACGCCCCTTGGCGCCCATATTGTAGTCGAGCGGGTAGCCAGTGATGCTGCAGATAACGTGGTTGGCTACTGTGTAGCCAAAGACTGCAGGCATGGTACCCAGAACCGGGAGAATGCGAACTCGGAAGTCAGGGAGTACTCCGAGCTCACCCACTTGGCCCTTCTTGTATTCCTCTTCAGGAAGAGGAAGCAGGCTCGCCTTGCCGGGGCCCGGCTTCTCGGTCGAGAATACAGCAGCAACGCCCGAGGTAACGCCGAGGGCCTTCAGCTTACGCCGCGTGCTGCGAGATAGAGGGTCATCGGTGCTGAGAGAGATATCGCCAACTACAACGCGGGTCGGATCAGACTTGCAACCAGCGCCCATGGATGAGATCACGGGCAGAGAGTTCGTGTGGCAGTAGTGTAGCAAGTCCACCTTGGACGTGATGTTATCAATACAATCCAACACAAAGTCCGGACGGCGTCCCTCCCCGTCCTTTGTCAGAATCCAAGGGCCGATAAGGTCTTCAGCTGCCGACTTTCCGAACAGTTCATTCCTGCAATCGAAAGTGACCCATGGGGCGATCTGTTCCAATCGTCTCCTAATACAGTGAACCTTCGACGTTCCAACGTCGGCCAATGTCGCAAGGGCATGTCTGTTCAGCGAAGAAAGAGTAACTTGGTCGAAATCAATCAGTCGGATCTTGGAAACACCCGATCGAGCGAGCGAGGCAGCGGCATGGGAGCCGACACCACCACATCCAACGACGACGACAAATGAGGATCGAAGCTTGGCGAGACCTTCGTCACCAAGGAAGACACGATTGCGGGCAAGTTGTTCAAGAATAAGATCTGGGAAAAGGCGCAAGTCTCATTAGACAGTGTTTCAAAAGGGTTGCAAAGATAAAATTTGTGTACCATCATCATAGTCTCCTTGTTGCGCTCTGCGAGCCAAAGCTGCGCTGCGCTCATCTTCCTTGCTCAATGGGATATCAGATGCTGCAGCACCGAAATCGGTAAGCTGAAGGAGTATGCGTTAGTCTTTATGCTCTTATCGGGTTCGAGCTTGCCGGGCACCCAGCAAAGCTGGACTGCAGTATTTTACCTTTTCAGCGAGATGTAGATCATCGATATTGGGGATTGAAGCTTTCAAGTCCTGAACCGCCTCTCTTCGCTTATATGTTTGGTATCCAAAGATAGCACCTGCAACAGCTGCACCGGACAAAACAGCGGTAGTCGCAAGCTGGCCATGTGACGAACCAGCCTGACGCTGGAGCCACGAAGACATATTTCCAATCAGTCCCTTTTCCTCTGTATCCTGGGGTTCTGGCTCTTCTATTTCGGTCTGGGTTTTAGGGTTCGTGTTGCGATCAAGCTCGTATCTAGTATCAGGTTCGTCAGAATCGAATCCATAGTCGAGGTCGGCATCGCTGGGTGCATCCCACCACCTGGAAGCTGGGGGAGTCATGGTAGATACAGGGGAACGGTACGTACCATTACCAGTAGCCGATCAGTGTAGGCATTGGCCTTTTATAACGAAATGTCAATCTGAAGATGCGATCATCACTGGAACCACGATTGCTATCACGTGCGTTCTGCGGACCTTAGCCGAGACTCCGACTTGGACTCTCCACCGCATCTACGTCGCGTTGTTTCCCACGCGTCATTCTACTCATGTTTCTTCTCATGCGATAATGTGTTGCTGTTGGTGCACCTGGCAGTAATTCGGGTCTCAATGTCGCGTCAAGGCCCAACCTGCGACCATGTCCCAGGACCAGGGTGCCCAATGTTGAAACTGTTTACCTGCTTGGTCACACCGACATACACACACTATCGCATGTCAAGATGCATGGTCAGACTTGGGTTGGAATCTGTTGCAGCACATATCATCAAGCAATAAGTCTAATGCGCGAACACTCTTTGGCCTCTCACACTACGACAGGTACGTCTCATTGAGCGTTTTGCTTGTATCACTCTTTGTGTTCTCAAAGACCTCATTGCTAGTCGTGATGAAGATACCCAATTCACACCAGAGCTTTTCAGGACATGGCGGCTGGTGGAATTCATCCCCAATATATTTGAGTGGAAGAAGACACCAGGCTATGGTTGATCGAGAATGAACAGAGATCTGAGCGACTGTCATTTCAATCCTTGTTCAACCCTGGCTCATAATTCTTTGATTACCTTTGTACCAGATGTACTGACATTTATCATGGTGCCTAGATTCAATTCTCACATCCCCATCCACGTTTAGCGAACGTTGCAACAACCGCCTGGTCCTCTCTGTTACACTGCGTGAAGCATGACCCAATGAAGACAGATTCGTCATATACTCTGAGGTCCTGTATATGGGCTCTGTCTGTATGCCTTATGAAGGAAACGACGAGTATGCCAATGAAGAGTGACAAAAAGGTAGTTTTCAATCTGAGGGTCTGCCAACACATGGAGTTTACCAGTCTGGAACAAGATGTACTTTTCCTTGCTATATTGTTTTAAACCAGGGGCTGTGGGCTAGCTTCTCCTTTTATGAAAACCTCGGATATTTATGCGCTTATGCCATTTGCTTGACCCTATTCCTCAGTCTGTATACTCCATCAAACATGCTTGTGCTCTCAATCGTTACTTAAGCTGCTTCGACGTTGCTTCGCGTCTCGACCTTGATATTCAAAGCATCCCAGTCGATATCAGGACCCTTGAAGTTTTCGCCAATTAAAAACCAAAATGCAAGAATAACAAGAGTCAAGGCGACCAATATCGGTGCACTCCAATTCATCGAGGCCGTTGTCACAGGAAGACCTGGTGGGAAACAGACCATCACACACATCAGAGCAGACCAAAGTGGCGCAAAGATATTACAAGCATATCCCCAGCGTCCAAGGTCCAGCGGTCTTTTTGGCAGACATTTTTCACGGCCACGTGTGGCCAAGAGAGCTTGAGGCACCGCGTAACTCAGATTCAGTAGTGTTATCGCAGATGTGATGATTGAGTTGAAAGCAGTCGTACTGGCCAAGTAGATCAGCCCATAGAGAGCAGCGAAGATAGTAGAAGCTATAGTCGTACGAAGGGGGAATTGAAGTTTCTCGTCCACCTTGGTGAAGAAACCGGGAAAAGGTGTCCCTCCGTCTCGTGCAAATGCCCAAGCCAGGCGTCCACAGGTCACCCATTGAGGCGGTAGACAAGAAGCGTATATGATGGTCAAGAGTACGCTCAATGCTATGGTAACCCTTTTCGAGCCTGTGGGTTGGTATACGACCTCGATAGCTGGCATTCCGGCGTTCATGACTTTTTCCATGTCCTTCGCGGTAACAACTATAATGGTTATCATTGGTATTGCTGTGCAAAGGCCAATGGCCATGGTCAAGTTCCTGTCCTTGATCAGTACTGTAACGATTGATCAGATATCACCGGGGATCAGTATCAACTAACATGATTTGCGGAAGTCGACGACCTGGTAGACGTATCTCTTCGGCAATATGAATGGCTCCATCTGTACATCCAAAACTATACATCGAGTTGATGACCCCTAGTAGCCATGCAGTGCCACCATTCCATCCACTTGTTCCCGTTCCTGGTCGAATGATGGATGATGCAGAATTGCCATGCTTATGCATGACTAGGATTGTGACAACCCATACCACGAATCCAGAGAGAGTCAGATAGAGGGACAATATCGTGATGAGTGGTATTCGTTCGGGGCATAATAGGAGAGGCATCACTAGATGCAGAACCTCGCAAGTTAGCGTTTTGAGTATCAACCTGACATATGGCACGGACTTACTTGTAATTATTAGAATCGTCAAATACACACAGTATAGATGCCATTGTTTGATTTCAAATTCTGGATGCAGAAATTGTGCGAGTCCCAGAATTGTGTTGGCCACAAGAGATATGCCGGAGCATGCTGCCATCCACCATCCGAGTATAGACATCCAACCTGTGACAAAAGCACCAAATCTCCGAGTATTTTTAGAAGCAATGATATATACGAAATGGTATTGGCCCTATTCAGATTCTCATGGTTAGCCTTTAAGCCAATAGCAACGGGTACATGTACTCACCCCAGATGAGGGAAATGCCGAAGCAAGCTCAGACAGTCCCAGTGTTATAGCCCACTGTACAAAGCAGGCAATTAAAACTGAAAACAAAGCCACTTGGTATCCTCCGTATTTGAGGTTTTGTCCAAAATTACTCAAAAGCCCGACCCAAGAATTGGTGATGCTGGAAAATTCAGTCAGAGCAAGAATTTGAGGATACGGTGACGTCGTACTTAAATGCAAGGCCTAAAGATGCCAAAATTGAGAAAGATCTCTTTAGTGCTGCTTCATGACCTTGCGCACGAAGTACCTCATCGTCCGCCGTGCATTTCGGAGGTTCTGCCTGCGGTTCAGAGTTAGGGTTGCTATCGGCTTCAACTTCCACCTCGATAGGGCGAGTAACCACGTCGGCATATTTCATGCGTCTCATATTGAATAAAGATGACTCGTATAGTAAATTATTGAGTGAGAATTCATTATGGACCGAATGTTCAAACCAAAGTGCCTGGTTGGTTCAATTGGGAATTTCCCGGATTTCATCTCTTATATAATTGCTGTCAAATTACCTGCATTTTATGTCTGAAATCCCCTCTTACTCTACGTTACCTTGAGTCTAGGGTACTGCTGTATCTACTGGACTTAATCATAATTTGAGGTACCAGTGAACTCTGTTCTTGTTTCTTTTTCCTGCTGATGTACTTCCTCCTTCATGTGCAACCCTACTATCGCAGCACAGGAGACCAGTAAAAATCTAGATTATATTCGCTGTTCGTACATGGATACTTTGGGGAGATTCATTGACCGAAGTCCCCAGACCGAGGAAAACACATATCTTTGCGCGAATCTTATTTTTGAAATTGCTCCTCAACCAGACCATCTACGGTCACCGAATCAATTGCAGGTTTTATATAACTCTCTTGCGTATCTCTGGAGACCGGTTTGATACCCGTACGACCATGGTTGCGCTAGGGAGCCAGTGGCCTGCTCTATCAGGGGGGGTCCGAGAAAACTCTGCTAACGAAAAGAACACCCTCTAACGCGCTATTGCAGCGAATTATGACACCTAAAAGCTCCTGGATCATGTTTAGAACCATGGCGGTAAGATCCTACCGGTGATGCTCGATTATTTGGAGGATATGGCGCAGTTTACTGCCTATGTTATGCTGAATCCCCTGGGCGGCGACTGGCGGGCTGAACTAGAGACAATGATAACCAACGTCATTAAGAGAGAGACCCTAGATATACGTAAGGATATCTATGCCCTGAAGGCAACTAGCCTGATAGGCACCGAATCCCTTGCCCGTGGCCGTACCGCTACGTACGCCGCAGCACTACGATATACCCCCGGCCCGGCCTATTACCTTTCGGCCCACGGATCAAACACTACCCCGGGAGTGTCTCTCTCTGAGCTAGCTAGGGATCGGGAGATCACTATCCGGCTCGGGGATACCGAAGGCGTTGCTCACTTCTGCTTAATGAAGAGCTTAGAGATTAAGGAGAGAGCTAAGAAGTAAGCTCTATTAACTATCTACGGTTTTTTAGGTTATTAGGGTAGGGAGCATTTAAAGAAATGATTGAAACAAAGTAGGATTAAGAATCTGCGAGAGATTAAGACTGAAGGTAGGTAAATCAGAGAAATAGATGATTGAATTAATTATTATCTTTTGCTAGGTAATCTTGCTCAATTTAAGTTAAATCTCTCTGTTCTTCTTTTTTGATACATTCGGCTTATTTGCTATATCCGAAGGAATCCTAGGGTTATATTCTTATTGTTATATTTTGAGGTTTCCTCGGACTGTATACAGTTTTCCTACATTCGGTTTTCATGCATTTTTTTTGTGTTCGTAATTCTTCCATGTTTTTCTGTAGTTCTTAGCTCTTCTTTGGAATTCATTGATCTTCCATATTTTTTGTTGTCATGTTCCTTTTTGTATGGTTTTTTGTTTTGAAGTCTTCATGGAATTCTCATGTATGGTGTTTGCATGTATTGTTTTTCTGTTCCAACTTGTGTTGAAGTTTTTATGCTATGTTGTACTTGTGTTTATAACTTCAGTTACGTTTCTTTTTTCTTGTTTCAAGTTCTCTTTATGTGTTTCTTCATGTTCTTGTTCTTTTGTTGAATCTTGTTTTATATAATATTGATACGGTTAACCGGCCTAATCACAAATCGTTAAAGAGAGCCTCAAGATTATATTAGCCACTATAACCTTATCGAATTCATTATACTTTAAACTAGACGACGTCTCGGCTTTAGAATAGCGAAGGTTAGCCTAGTAGTATATATCATAGTATAATACTATAACTTAACCGAGAAGCCATATAGCACCCCCTCGGATAATAGCGTTTAGTTAATATCGGCATAGAGAACAAACAAATCGCGGCTTTAGACGCGACAGAAAAAGTAAAAGCTCAGCCCGTTAGGAAAGATCAACTGGGCCAGCGTCGTGTGTGACAGACTTATCGCGGGCCACACGGTCGAGACTGAGCCGAGTCGCCTATTCCGGTACCTAGAATCTAATCACCTCATAACTGAGATAAAGCAACAGGGGTAGTCGATGGTACCCAGGCTCCGTGTCTGGAATAGAGTTAGGATTATCTTTGGAATTTCGAGGTTACATAGGGACTCGATGAGGGTTTCGTGGGCTGTGACCATTGTAACAATGCATATGTTTCCGTGAACTCGAACAGCCTATGGGCCTTCGGAACCAAACGCTTGTATTAGGTGTTAGTCGATAGTAGCCAAATTAGGACCGATAGAGAAAGCGCCATCACGAAAGGCGGCATAGGGCTCGGGGACTTTGGTGCACCGAACTTCCGAGTCAAGTACGGTATTATTCATCAAGCAGTTTGGAAATTGATCAAGGGTCTATAGGAGCGGATTTACGCTTTGCCATACACGGACTAGCGTGGTCTGGAATACAGTACGACCCGAGAAGCAAACGGTCATTGTCTGGTAATCTATCTTTGCAATGTGTCTGCCTAACCACGGTAATTTGGCTGTACCAGTGAGACATCGAAAAAAACATGGTGGGGACATGTACCGGCCGAATTCGGGTTAGCGCGATCTGAGCGGGCGCTGGAAAAGCTTGTCTGGGGGGTAAACGGGGGTTCGGAATCGGCTGTTCGCTTGATGGCCGATGTACTTGCGACATTAACCCTGCAGCTGTGATTTATGCCTCTTATCTACAGCGTACTCGTACTCGGTGTTTGGATCACTTGGGCTGCGTCCTGGAGGGCCGACCCGTCGGTCATCCGGGGATGATCCACAGTTTTACTTTTTTGACCACGGTTCTCCTTTTGACTTCCTATTTTGAGGGTTCCGTCGAAAACGTCGAATCTATTCGGATAAAGTACATTTCGAGTCGTCATTGGATCACTATGTATCCGTTTCCTACATATATAAGCTTCGGCGCTGGAATATTTGCGTGCTGGCGAATAACTTTCAGCGTGTACAATTCATCTTTATATCTACTCTTTTTTCAGTCGAATAGATCCTTTTGGTCCTATTGAGCAGCAAGGACTAAAGGCGTACCAAAATAATCAACAGGCGTGACCAATATGCATTAGCGCCCAGGCTGCGTACGGCCAGTGCGTCCTCGTCGCGCTTCGGCATCGGTTTTAGAAATCTTGATCAAAGCTGGAGGCTCGTTAGCCTTGCATACCGTATACCAGCTGAGTGGGTCCATTTTGCGTGGATCAGTTACATTCACCAAGGAGCCATGTGAGTCCAACGTGATCCATTGAACTGCGAGAAAGGGTCTGGAACCGACACCAATCCAGATTCGACCAAAATTGCCTCGGCATGAATTAACTTTCTCCTCGCGGAATGTCCTGAGGATACACCCGTGAGATTCGTCAGGGATCTCAGATTTCAGGGGTCATTGGTGGACGGGGTTACCGAATCTCTCGATTTGCCACTCAAAGATTTACCGACTGTACAGCTGACAACGACCGAGCGACTCTATGCCGCTTTCCTTAAGCCGCCAGAAATTGGCCAGTAGCTATATTGCTGAGTTATTAGACGATTCGTTCTTGGCGTTTGACTATCGAGCGCAAGCAGCTTTTCTGGGGGACGCTTTCAAAAGCCGTGTCTGTCTCACTGCGTTGAACATTGGAACTCCGCGACCAATTACATGTCATATTGTGATATTATCGCCCCATCACAATATTTAGCGCAATGACTGTACAGACTTTCTCGACAGGGTTCCCCTCCTGGCCCCCTGGTTTCGGAGATGTGCGAATAGCGAAACAGAACTGACGTATGGCTATATGACACATGGTGTGTTTGAGCTTATCTACAGAAGCCATTGATGCTACGTGCTTTTTACTTCAAACGGAGTGCGATGATTCTCCCAGCTGGAGCACGCGTATTTGCACTGTAGGTGAGATAATACTACCGCCTATATCAAGGGAACCTCTGAGACACAGCAGATCCGATAATGGTTGAGATGATTGCCCAGGCCGCGGAAGGCATGTTTTCCCAGAGTATACTTCAAGATGAGACTCCGTCAGGGCGACGCAGCGCTGGATGTAGCGGGTGCAGGTTAGTCCTTGGCAAAGCAATATCATGGCGGAGCGTTGCACTGACAGCATCCTAGGCGTGCCAAGAAAGGCTGCGATATGCAGTTCCCGGTCTGTGGAAGGTGTCTCCGGCTCTCGCAGACATGCTATAGGGCAGGAGCTGGCAGTAACACCGGGAAGGGTGCTGCATACAGTCGGCTTGGCAATGCTTGGACGGAGAGTGCGCAGGACACAGTGGACCAAGATCCCGGCCAATCTGACGCAGGGAAGTCTGACAAGAAAGGCAGTGGTCGCCCGAGATCCCTGGGCGAGTGGTCCGATATACTGCGTTACTTTACCGACCACGAGCTCATTCGAGGTCTTGTCGCCGCCTGCAGGCTCCAGGTCGCCATCCCACAAATGAACCCTAAGCAAGCTGCGGATATCTATGGAGCTGCGTTGTCCTCGATCCGCGAAGCGATACAAGACGGGTGTCAGGTTGCCGACGATACTGTGTTGGTGATTACATTGCTTCTATATATATACGAGGTAGGTAGCACTACCTTGACGAAGCGGTTTGGTCGTTGCTGATTCGTAGTAGCGATTTTACTGGCCAGAAGGAGGACCCAGTCGCAGCTGGATGATCCATATCCAGGGAGCAATCAGTCTGGTACAAGCTCGCGGGCTGAAGCAGGTCCAGACAATGGTTGGACGTGTGATTTTTCGAAAAGCCAGAGACATCATCGCGAGTAAACCGTTAGACTTGTTTTCGTTGCAATGCTAACGGGAAAACAATCAGCTTGACGTCGCATTCTGCAACAACATAGTACCGCCTTACTTTCTTATTCTAGGCAGTCAGGCAATGGGAAGAGACGTTCTGTACCATGCCCATGATCAGCTTGCAATCCTTGAGACTAGGACGATTGTTCTGTACCGGCAGTATTGCCGCGGCAATCTTAACCAAGCCTTCCTCCAGACTGCTCATACACTTCAACAGGATCTCACGTACAGGCAAAAGACGACTGTCCGCCCGCCATCCAATTCACGCAGGCACCGTCAAGAGAGCCTTTTGATTGATGATGCGGAACAAGCGGAGGATGAATACATTACTATGATACAAGATCGATGGAGTGGTGCTAAGCTACACATACTGCAGCTGGTTGTTTGCCGCGTTCAAAGTGCCATCTTTCGAAAGCTTTGGAACAGCTCTGCTGTTGGGTTAGAAGAACTCGTCCCCTGCTGCCAGAATTGTCCCACTCGCACTTCCCAGGTTATGTATAGCAGCGCAGCAGAGGTCATGGATGCCTTCGGATCTATATATCTGTCGATGCCTTCGCCACTCGCCACACTGGGAATGCACGGCGCAATCATCACGGCATCATCATGCCTGGAGAGCGAGATTGAGGAGTCAATGTTGGCATCTGGTGGCGTACAGAGCGACGCCATCATCAACTCAACGCAGCTGAATTCCATGAGGAGAAACAGTCGGTGGCTTACAGAATGGTCAGAGACGCTTGCAACATAGCATTACAGGAGAAATGCGATATGGATTGTGTGAATCGGTCGCGCCCTGCAAACGGTATTCTTTAGATTAATATCGTTGTAGAGATCACTTGATAGGCTGTCTAGTTCGAAAAGAATTCTCTCAATGAAGAATCGAATTTGCGCTGTAGACCTAAATAGTACGTATGTGTATCTTGTTGATCTTCACTTTATCAACGCTGTCATGGTTGTGTTCACCGGCTGGTCCACGCCGTTGGTTTTCGGGGGTAACACACCGTCAGCCATATGATCGGGAACATCATACAATGCATGATTCATTCTCCCATCGAGAATGGCTTCGTAGATCGTAGCAATCCAGTTTCCGATGATCTTTCTTGGCCTCACATTCTCGCCGTATATGACGGTGTCCTCTGAACCTGGGTGCTCACCCAGCCCCTGATGAAATGGCACGGCTAGCTCTTTCCTGACCATGTGGTAGAGCGCCTGTGACCCGACTCCAAGATACTGTTCCGTGGTCTGCTTTGCACAGAACCGACGGAAAGCGGCCTCGTAGACGCTGGTCGCTTTGCTTTCGACATTCGATCTCCAGGTTTGCACGGAGCCGAGTGCCCATGATTCAGAAGAGATTTGATTGGGGTCATTGAGAATGCGCAGTAACGAGAGCACAGCGCCGTCAGCGACTGCGTTGAAACGCTCTGCATTATCTAGACGAGAAGATGCTCGCCAACAAGATGTAAGCTGCTTTCGGAGTTGCACCTTGTATGACTGAATTCTCTTCGGGTCCAGGCTCGAGGCAAAGAACAATACCAGATCATCTTGCAAGACGGAGTACAGTTCGTCAAGGTATTCGATTTGCATGACTCGAAGATCCAATGCCTGGCAGCCGACGTATAGACAGGTGGCGCCCATCAGTGACACCAGCTCGACAGCCTTCTTGGTCATGCGGGAAGACAAAAGGGCCAGTGAATTAATGGATTGGTTGCCCATCTCGGCTGATTGTACGTGAGTGCTGACTGGATTAGCTAGGAAGCCCAGTTCGGACATGTACGCTGCCATGTTCACATCAACACCCTTCATGGTGAAGGAAAGGCTGGGATTGTCAGCGCAAAGATTTGCCGGCAGACCATTGTTGAGATTAGCATCGATGAGTTCGGTCGATTGGGCAAAGAACAATTTTCCAAGCATCTGTAGGGAGAGACGTGTCTTTTCCATAGCAGAGGTGACTGCCGCAGCTTGGAAATTTGCACCGTAATAGACCTCCTGGGCTTCAGCATCGACGATAGGATTGTCTGCTGACGAATTCAACTCCGTGGTGATCTGTTTATGAGCAGAGAGAAGATCTTCCAGTTGGGGTCCAATCCATTGAGGTGTGCTTCTGAGCGCATATCGGTCCTGGACAAGTCCTTCCGGGGCGTAGTCTTTGCCGTTACGGATTCCCTTTGCCAGGTATGAGCCCTGCAGCATTGCTAAGATGTTACGGCTGACCTCGATTTGACCGGGATGGGGTCGTGCCTCGCTGATGAATGGATGAAAGCTCTCCGAGTTTCCAAGCATTGCTTCTACTGCCAACGCTGTGAATGCTTGCGACAGTGTTGCCACATGGTGTGCCTCGTATATGACAATGGCAGCCAGACCAGCCGATGAGGCCGTACCATTAACAAGACCCAAAGCTTCTTTCGGTCCAAATTTGATTTTTGAAATTTGATGTTGGGCCAGAGCTGCTTCAGCAGATAGAATCTTGAGAGAATCGCCTTGTCGCTGGCAAACCTTGATATCGGGGTTGCCCTCAATCGCGCCAGCCATGAATGCAAGTGGCATCAGATCACCAGACGCAGAGACAGATCCCTTCAGTGGCACCAATGGAACGATGTCATGTCGAAGTAGTCTCAGTATGGCCTGTAGGACGTCCATGGTGACTGCAGAATGCCCCCGAGCAGTTGCGTTGCATCTCACCAACATCGCGGCTCTGACCCAAGACATTGGCATGGATGTCAGTTCAGAACGATGTTCGGCGATTCCATCATTTACGACTTGGTCAGTTTCCAGAATGACTCCGCTTTGCGTGTGTTGCAATAAAGAAATCTGCAACTTGTGTACCTCTTTCGTCCTGGAATCCGCACTTCCACCGAATCCAGTAGTGACTCCTGCTGAGTGTCAGTATACCCACTTCCTGTTTTCGAACGCAAGTAATGCCTTACCATAGACGGCACGACCTTTCTCCAGATAGTGGTTCAACTGTTTCACGCTTTCGTGAATGCGAGCGCAGCTTGTTTCATCCTCGGTAAGGAAGGGCTGGCAACCTCCTTGTGAGACTGCAAAGACCGTGGCGATATCGAGCTCCTTTCCCGTAATGGTTATATTGCTGCCCTTGTGAAGACTCTGAGTTTTCTTCCACAAGTCGCTTGCGGTCTGCAAGTGTTCAGAGCTGTGAGACATAGTGGGCGACAAATCTCAGGGTCCAATAGTAGCTCCAATCACTCTGCCGGTATTGGAATAATAAAGAAGATGGGAAAGAGTGACGCAACGAGAATATGCGTTCTCATTATATGCTCTGCTGCATCTGTGCTAGCGATGGGAAGTTTGAACAACTTCCATAGAGCACGACCACTATGCCGTATTCGGATCGACTAAGTGGCGCCGATGGCTCCTTCGCGCTTTCGGCTCCTTTGCGCTACTCACTCTTATCTACGTAATATGCAATGGAAAGACTAGCTTGGCATGAGAACTGGTTGAAAGGGTTCGGATTATCTATTTCTAGCCTTGGGAGATATGGATTTCCGTGATGACCTTCAGCCAATCGCTCGAGTGCTTACTATTATTCTGGATTGCCTGGATGTTGAGAATAATTGCAACTTGAAAACAGATATCTCCATTACTGATGCTGGCTGCCTGTATGATACAGTATTTCGTCTATGATTATCAACGTCAAGGAAACACTACTTTCCCTTCAACCCTTTGCTTATGATTGCCATCCCAGCACATCTAGATGCCACAGCTGAATGGATGTCGTAGGCGTCAATTGTCTTCGTGTATGCAGAAGGCATCGGCTTTTATTGTTGATAGTTGCAGTATAGCCTCTCCAATATGGGTTGAATTGAAAATTGTAGCAACTAAAGAATCCTAACGGTTTGATTCTCTCATCTTATTACGAGGCGTACACTATCGAAAATACTTCCGTACAGTTTCAATCTCAGCTATCACTCTGGCTAGTCCCACGATCGCGTAGCAATCCACCGAATCGCAATTTGCTCCAAAGGACAATCTCCTTCCATGGAGTACGATCACAGTGCCGGAACATCTTACCATCCTGTGACTGAGGGAAGAATTCAACCTTCTCTCCTGACGAAATTCGTGAAACATGTTCAACGCAACGATCCATCGCCATCTGAAGGCAACGAGTGTACAAAGTCTCCTCTGTATCACCTGGTAGGATCGGTGGGACGACCCTGTCCAGAACCGCACCGCCGTCGAGTTGTGCTGTCAGCATATGCAATGTGGCAGCTACTTTGTCCAGAGCCCCGTCATATAAAGCGAAGAAGACACAGTGATTCCCTCTGTAGTCAGGCAATGATCCCATATGCAAGTTGATCATCAACCCACCTCGCTCGTTCAGCTTTTGACCAATGTATTTGGTTCCAGAGACAATGGTCAAATCAGGCTGCCAAAATTCCACTGCGTTCCAGACTTCCTTGCAGTTGAGACTCTCAACCACCAGGTCAGGTTGCGAAGAAGTATAACCGGAAGGCATGAGGCCAGCAAAGTAAGCCTGGCGTTGGCGCGTAAGCCCGAGGACTTGACGACGCATTGTATGATACCACATGTACCATGCGTCCACGTTGCGCCCTTTCCGTTTCAGATGAGATATCTGACCTGCGTGCGTTTCCACGATACACCGAAAGAGTGGTGCGACTTTCTCAAGGCAATACCGTAAGTAAGCATGTTCCGGACCGTCCGAACAAAGCAACAGTATTCTTAGCGACCTGGATGAATGGATGCTATTGAGCGGCTGCGGATGCGAGATGGGATGCACAATAGTCGAGACTTCAATTTGGCGGCCGCGCTCTGGGTGAAATAAGACATGTATAGGATCGTGCTCGCCGGTAAATGCACGCTGGACTGCACGAGCAATAGCAGGAGCCTGGGCAAACCCACCCGTGTTATTACCACCGGTTATGATGAATCTTCCGCCAGATACAGTGGGGATGGTCTCGAATACACCTAGTCCTGTAGGCGTGAAGGGACGAATGCAGAATTTTTCTTGACCCCCAGTCCAGAGAGAGCCATTCCGTTTGGCTAAATCGTAACCTTGCGGAAAATATGTTCGCGCCACAGTCTCCAACTCATTGAAAAGAAGCTGGAGTTCCGGATTGTCGGCTGCAGGTCTATCAAGTCCTACAAATCCGTATCCACCACCAAAGACAAGTATATCTTCTCCTGTTTGAGGGTCGGTCGCCAGTGTAATATTGATATCTTCCACGACATGCCCCCGTCGATGGAGTTTGATCGAGTTGCTCAATTTTGGCTCAAGATTAGGGATTTGGAGCCATACACCAAGAACACCTTGGATCACACATCCAGAAAGCGTCCCTTCGAGAAGCTTGTTTCCCAACACCCCGGGACTCACGACATAATGATCCGCTTCGAGCAGCTTGCCGTCGTGTGACTCAAGCCCTAGTACGCGTCCGAGAGGATCGCGTCTGATAGTACTGATCGGCTGGTCCCAGTGGAACTCGACGCCTTTGTCCCTTAAATAATCAACAAGCTTTGCAGTAAACTGATGTATATTCAGAGTGAAGCCAGAGATGGTAAACCCTCCCGCCAGCTGATCTGTTGCTGCGGCCGAGGCAAAGTTGGGGTGTACCTTCAAGAACTCTTGAAGCTCGTTAGTCTCCAACATTGTCCCAAGGCCAGTATTAAGCTTGACAGACGCTTCTAGGTCTCCTTGCACAACATACATGCGGGTGATGCCTTGACGTAGACCGACTTGCTGAAAAAGGTGTGGTGACAGTTGCATGAAATCTTCCCAGAGCTGCCCAGCTTGCCCATTGATCTCGTATATATCTTCTTTGAAAGCCCGGGCCAACCACCCCGGCAGGCTCTCAAAGGATTCGACCCAGTTCGTTTCAGCAGATGTGAATGTGTCGGGTGATTTCACACTCCATCCGCCAGTGCTCACGGTCCGCCTAAAGATTTTGTCCATGCTGGAATAAATCTGGTTGCCCTGTTCGTTGTAGTTGTCCGCCTCGGTGCGCGTGAACATCCTGGCATCCCCACCACCATGTGTTGTTCCTAGCTTCTTCCAATCCGGTGTTGACCGCGGGTCCGGGCCTGCGTCATGCATTTGAACAGTGTATCCATCAGCGGCCAGATAATGTGCATTGATCAGGTTCATGATTCCCGCTCCAACAAGGATCACGACGCCCCGACGATTGGCCAATGTCGGTTGCATTCTGGAGAGTCTGCGAGTCTGCACATGGCGTTCTTCAGCGTAGCGAAGCACTTGTTCAAAGAACGAAATCGCTTTCAAGCTGCGCTGTGGCCACTCGGCGATATGAACTGTCTTACTGTCGGTATAATTCTGTATTCGCCCTATGTTCTGCACATCCCTAACTAGCATCAACTTTGACCGGATATTGGTGTGGCCGAGCCATTGTATCATCAGATTGCTGTCAACCTCATCGCCGCCGCATATCCAAATATCAACAGGCAGGGTGCTGAGCAATGACTGAGTTTCTGTAACTGAATCGCAGAAGCAAACTCGATCAGACTCTCCAGCCACTTCCCGAAAAGGCGTGGTTTCGACGCTGATGAGAATCCTCATTTTTGAGACGATGGCGCTTGAAGATGGAAATAACCACAGCGAACACACTTGTGGTAACTCAGAGAAGTAAAAGATTTCACAAAATGAAGTGCTAAAGGCTTTCGCTAATGTTAGTGACTATCTGTCTGAAGACACAATGATCACGCTGATGTATATTCCCCTATCTCAGGGACTATACTGCTTTCGTAGTTCATCAATGAGCACCGACTTTAGCCGTGGATCAGGAGTAAATACTGAATGCAGCACCACTAAGGTGTTCACCAGCGGTTACCCATGTGTATCAGCAGGCACTGACATGCCATGCATGTCGTACATGATGGTCTGCGCGGCCAAATCCTTCGCGCGACCGAATCCTTTGCGCGGGCGGATCCTACGCAGGGACGAGCCTGTTGTCGTTGCGGCGCCCCTACCACTAAGCCGAATCGGGGGTAAAGGCAGGCCCCGGCCTTCTCTAGACAGAACTGATCTACTAGACCACACAGAAAGAAAGACCAGACTTGATGCTGACAATGAACAGTCAGATACGCACCAGTCGAGCCGCAATGTGATGAAGTGATTGATTCATCAACTGACAAGCCACCCGAAGGGTCGGAAATGACTCCAAACTCGAATAGATCCGATCGATCCGCCGCCGATAAGGGATTTCCCACCTACAGAAGATGAATCAATCTTCGGAATCAGATGGCGAGATGCATCTTGCCTCTAGAGAGAAATGTAAGGAATGGGATACTTACTGACTTCCAGCGACTTGAGGAAGATCAGGATCGGACCGTGCCAAGAACGAGTCCGTATCCGCGTGTTAGCTTCCCGATAGGGCAGATTCACATTCACCACAACGTATAGTTTTGAAGCTATTTACATAAATCATCACAACATATGGAATGTGTCGTGATTTCCAATAGCCACTCCATTGTCGTCAAGTATAAGCATAGGTGATGCTACGATTTGATCATCTGTCGGCAACTGGCAAGGTGCGAAAATCGTACTATTCTTAGACCTCTTTGGCCATACGTCTTTCCTTCTGATCACCTTCTTAACGTTTTGCATATTTCATAAGTTATACAGCACACCATCATCTCAAAGACGTGTTATCTGTCCCTCGGAGATTTTCTTCTCGCGCGGCTTACGTATTTGTGCCATTTCTGCGATTCTAGATCTAGTGTTTCCAGACCATTGAGGTATATTGTGCTTCATCTCGGACGTAATCAAGATGAAGGCTAGTAAATAGCCATTGTAGAGCGATATAAGCCTTGCTTACACACAGCCCCTACTGTATTTCCCGCATGTCATCACTGCACCAGAATCTAAGACATGTGCCACGTAAAGCTGCGCTGATATTGCGCCGCTCCTAGTACTGTTTCGTTCTAGCCAGCATGCGAATATCAATCTCGGACTCCGCTCAGTAGTCCTCGTGAAATATGCTCACCTCCTCCGCGGCTGATGCTAGTGCAACGTCACATCTATCGATGAAATGGAGTCGGTCATGCGGTGGCTTAAGGTCTAACCACAGCAGGTCCTTCATATCCGATCGTTCCCAGTTCCGAAGGTAACCGCGCAACTCTTGACAAAGTCAAAGTGATCCGTGGGCTATTCGAACCTCTATTCAGAAGTGCATTGCTAAGCCAAAATGGCTTCTGTTATTGAACTGCCTATACCTGAGGCGTACGATGTGTCGACTAGAACGGGGTTTCTACCGGAAGTTTTATCTTGCGAGTCCGATTTGCACCCATACTACCAGCCATGGATCCGGGTTACTCAGGACTTGCATAATTTAATTGGGGACAATCGAATACGAGACGTCGTGATTGAGCTTCCAGTCTTGAGCTGTGAGCGCCTGGAGACAATATCGCAGCGAAGAAAAGCATACTCGATGCTAGGCTTTATCTGCCACGCATATATTTGGGGAAGCGAAGAGCCAGCAGAGGTATGATTGCAGGGAATCCCATCTCAATCCTGCGACTAACCCCCTGTCTAGATTATCCCTGAATCAGTATCAAGCCCGCTCTTGTTGATCTGCAAGTCATTGGAAATGCCCCCCGTTGCGACCTATGCTGGATTAGTACTGTGGAATTATACAGTTGCACAGGACATAGAGCCTATTTATCGAATTGATAACCTCTCAACTCAGATAACCTTCACGGGTGCGATCGACGAGAGCTGGTTCTACCTCGTCTCGGTAGCCATCGAGGCTAGGGGAGGTCCACTAGTCAGGGCCATCCTGGACGCAGTTCGTTATGCGCGAGAGAACAATGTCAATGCGGTGATAACTCAGCTTATTTGTCTTCTCGAGGGTATCCATGATATATCCGCGTTGACACAGCGCATGTATGACAACTGCGACCCGCACTTCTTCTACAACAAGATCCGTGTGTTTCTTGCCGGTAGCAAGGGAAATCCAAAACTTCCCAGTGGCGTATACTTCGATAATGGAACACATCCAATGCAACCAGTTCGACTTTCTGGAGGGTCGAATGCACAGTCGAGTCTAATCCAACTCATTGACCTTGCTTTGGGTGTCAGACATCATCCCACCAAGACCCATGCAGGCAAACGGTTCCCTAATTCGCTCCACGAGGAAGACCCTGAGTTTGTGGCAAGCATGCGAGACTATATGCCTGGTCCTCACCGGCAATTCCTACTCCACTTCGCCCAGGTTGCCAATATTCGAGCATTTGTCGAGATGAACCGGGATCACGAACATCTTATCAACTCGTATAATGCTTGTATCACTGCCTTAGTGAGATTCCGAGATATACACCTACAGATCATAGATCGCTACATCCTTCTCCAGGATACGAACAGTAATCGTAATGCGAGGAGGCGGCAGGGAGCTCGCGAGTCATGTCCAGTACACATCAACTCGAAACCTCGTTCTGGGGGTCTGACTACCGCAATATTGAACCACGAGGACAGCAAAGTTACTGCGCGGGGAACAGGAGGTACAGCGCTTCTTCCGTTCCTCAAACAGATCCGAGACGAGACCTGTTACTCCCTCGCTTGAACTGCTTGCCGATGTGTTATTGGTTTTGATGGGTATTAGGGGCTCCCTGAACGAGTGTCTCAATGCTGTAGAAGCAAACTATGATCATTTATCCTTGGCTATGTCGTGATTACAGAAAATTGACATAGCGTACTATTAGAGTTAATAAATAGCAAGGATTAGACAATTATGTCTTTTCTATGAATGATGGACGATGAGACAGCCGCTTAAACCTATAGTCTCCGTTTAATAGTTCGCATAACGATATCTCGAATAGGCGATAATATTACAATGAAAGGTAGTAAGCAAATTCGTAGAATCAGACTCGTGCCTGTAACCGCTTGGGTCAGTATCGTCGACAGTATTAGACGCTGAAATGCTGATAACACTCATCGCGAACATATAGGGTATAGTGTGTTGCGTCTGTGCGTGACTCTGCTGCAACATGTGGTATAAAGCGATTCCCACCCCAGTCAGACGTTCAGGCACCTTTCAGCTCCGTACAGCACAACCCAAATTAAGACGTCGCAAATTCTTTGTGTTTCCAAGTCCAAGACTATGTCCTCTCCGCTTCGTATTGCTATATTGGAGTGCGATGAACCGATCGGAGAGACCAAAAGGAAATTTGGATCGTTTAGCAACCTGTTCCATCTATTGTTCGCCGCAGGTGTCGTAGGCCTACAGCAAGATAGCGCCAGAGAAGGCCCCGAAATTGTTGAATCCTCATATGATGTTCATATAGAGCGGAATTATCCTGAGCTAGATGACATTGATGCGGTTGTGTTGACAGGTAGCAGTAAGAATGTTTTTTGCGAGTTTTACTACAACACTTTTCGCTGATGGTGACCCGCACAAGGATACGACAGTTTCTCAAATGGAGAGGAGAACTGGATTCTACAACTTGTAGATTTCGTTGCAAACCTTCTACATCACCAAACAAGGGTAAAAGTGATAGGAGTGTGTTTCGGGCACCAGATTATTGGGCGAGCATTAGGTGTGATGCCGGTGAGGAACAGGAATGGGTGGGAAGTTGCGGTCACAGAAATCGAATTGACATCTACCGGTCGACGATTGTTCGGCTTGCCTTTCCTAGTGCGTCACATAAGCAAACAAACATTGCTGAGGCATTCTCAATATTGAGCACCGTGGCTGACCAAGGAATCGATCATTTTAGGCGATCCACCAGATGCATCGAGACATGTTGCCAGTCTGTCCGGCCAACGTAGAGCTTTTGGGTTGGTCAGAGCGATGCCCGGTCCAGGGTATGTACCAGAAAGGCCGTCTGCTCAGTATGCAGGGTCATCCGGAGTACCATGGAAGCATTGCGGATGAATTGCTAGAGCGCCGCGGTCCTATGGTGTTTGGGAAGGAAATTTATGACGAGGCTAAGTCTCGAGTTGATTTGCCGCACAATGGAGTCGCGATCGCAGCGAGAATGCTGGAATTTTTGCTTGAATGACTGTAGGGGGAACTAAGAGTAGAATTTGATCATTTTTGTTGTATTTGACCAGCAAAACCTTCGAACATATGTGTGAATCGAACTCAAAGAAGTTGCCGACAGTTTGGTGAAAGATATAAAAAAGAAAGACTGCATTAATTTATCTAATGTGTTGTATAAAGCCAATCTAAGCGTCTATTCACAATATATATCGACATGTTTCTCGGGGGTTGCAACCCTCGCTGAGTGTGTAAGTAGCACAGCACCCCACTGAAGCATGCCATATAAGATATACTGAGATGATTCCCTAAAAACGCAAGATCATGTCAATTTTCCAATAGCTGCACCTAGCAAGGAATCCCTTTTGAGTTCACCCTTTCTTCTCATCGTCCTTCTTGATCGACCGCCACTGAAGGCCGAGGGCAGCTAGCAGACCAACACTGACCAGACCTAGTGCGATGTAAAATACTTCCGTAATAGCAGAGTTATAGGCCAGTATGACCTGCGGTCGGTAAGCAACGGGCACCAATCCCTCCAGACCAGTCGCGCCATTTTGTTTGGCAATGGCTGGGTCGAAATTCGGGATGTTTTGTGCAAGATCATTTGCCAGCTTGTCCAGGAACATATTCTGCGCGATGGATAGAAAGATGATGCCACCAAGCATCTGCACAAAGTTCAGTAGTACCAAGGCGGCAGGAACAAGTGGCCTCTCAAGCACGGTTTGCAGGGCGATGAAAGGAGGCTGAAATGCCATACCAACGCCGATACCGTAGATGATCTGGTAAGCGATCCATCGTCCTGCAGGTGTATCAGGTTTGAATGTGGCCATCAATGCTGCTCCAGCAACACTCAGCGCACTGCCAAAAAGTAACGCTGGATTGAAGTAACCGATTATAGATGTAAAATGTCCACTAGCTAGCGCGCAGATGGACATACTGACCGTGGTTGGTAGATACATCAAAGCCGAATGAAGGGTGTTTGCTCCACGCACTACTTGAAAATAGATGGGGATCTATAGAGTCATTAGCACGTTCGCAGCAGTGATGAGGTAGATCGTTTTCGATGGAACTTACGTAGTTCGCAAAGATCCATAAAGCGGCAAAATTACAAAAGCCAACCACACAGCTGAGGGCGACATTTCGCTGTCGTAGTATTGGTAACGGTATCATACTGTTACTACCACCGATATGCTCAACCACGAAAAACAGGATGGCAAGTAGACCGGTTACGGTGAGCAGGAGGATAATCCTCCAGTTCGACCAAGAATACGTTGTACCAGCCCATTGCAAACCCAGAATCAAGCAGATCGTCATAGGAAGCTCTGTGGCCAGCCCATACCAGTCGAGACTCTTCAACCTTCGAGCGACGCTGAGTTGTCTGTCATCTACATTCTGGCGTAGATGGCCTACGCTGACGGACACGCCTAATGCAACAGCGCTCCCTAGACCCACGATGGTCCAGAAGTTGATCCTCCAATTATCGGCATGGGCAATTGATCCGCTGATCAGTGGCCCAAAAGCGAGTGCTGTGCACTCCACGGCACCGCAAATGCCGAATATGCTGGGTTGGATCTGTAATGGAACGGTGTGTGCAAGGATGCTGCGCTACGAGTCAGTGTTGGGTTCTTTTGTGGGGGCAACGGACCGAATCCATCATGCTTGTTACTAACATATACATGCCAGAGTTTATTCCTGCTGCACCGAGGCCGCTCACCGCGCGACCTAGGATGAAGGCAGTGGAAGTTGGTGAAGCAGCAGTAAGGATTGATCCGGCGATAAAGATTGTTAAAGAGAGCACGTAAAGTGTCTTCATAGAGTAGATGGTGTACAGTCGACCTATGATCAAGATAGGCGCACACAACGTTAACAAGCTTGTCACTTAAGATTAGCCCAGCCGTCCGAGGAAGTTGAATTATCATGATTTGGTGTCATTCTCACTATGTTGTTTGGTACCAACCAATATCCTGAAGAGCATCAAAGTGATCGGTGAGAATCACAAGAAGGGTGCCAATGCAACTGCTGTCCTAAAACAAGCTTTGTCAGTACTGTGCATTCTTCTTGTTGGTAGCCTAATGCAGTTTGTTCTGCCTCAGCACTATACTTACGAAGCCAATAGTGAAATTACCCAGGAACAGACATGACAATAGAACTATCAACTGGACACTTTGGAGACGCGGAGGATCCTGAGCGTTTTGACTGGATGTTGTCTCCTTGCTGGTGTCAACCTCTTTTCCGCCATGCGTACTGCCAGCCTCTTGCTTGGGCTGGAATTCTATGCCGAAGTTGTCGTCGCCCGCTCTATAGATGTCCACCGATCCCATCGTTGCAGCTGATCTCCCGAGTCCGTCCGTGGCGGCAATGGAAGTCACCAGTCACAGAGTCGGTATCACGCAGGTCGGAAGAAGAAAGCTTCCCCAAAGAGACAATTCGAAAAGCGGCGGCCGGGACTGACTTGACTGAGTATATCGAGCTAGAGATGAGCACCGTCTGTCACAAGGTGTCGTGGTGCTGTAAGTCATTGCAGGATAGAGAAACCGGGTATAAACGTCTGCCTAGACACGTGCCCGAGAGAAACTAATCAAGGCTTAATAAGGCCAAGTCTCACGTCAGCAGCTAAGCTTTGCAGGGCTGTCCACCTCTGTCCACCCCTGCAGCTACCGCCGACAGCAGATAAGCGCATGGACCGACGTTCGGCCTTTTGTTGTGGACCGCGAGAGGGCTTGCCCAATCATTCTGTACAGCCACAGCGCCGAGTCGCACGGACTTGGCTACTGCATGATCCATGCTGTTTTAGTGTGGTGTGGGACACAAGCGCGAAGGAACAGCCAGCGCAAAGGAACCTGCGGCGCAAAGGAACGGCTAGCGTCCAGGGAGCCGGTAATTCTGTTCAGCCAGCGTATCAAGATACCTCGGACTCCGAACCCCAGACAGAAGATGGATCAAGCGCGATCATGACCAATTCTTAAATATCGGCTAGTACAAATATATTATTGGACATCAAATGGCATACAGCATAAGCAGTCCCAACAGTCCTCTGGCCCTTGTACCCCGTACCAGATTGAACACGTCTGAAACGATGGAGAGCTCTACAGCAATAATGAATATCGATGACAACAGATGTGAAAACAGTCACGGTGAGCGACAATCTTCTCATGTCGCGGAGAATGAACAGGGAAAGGCTAATGCCTCGAGCTTTTTGGACAATGATGAGCGACGAACATGGACTGAAATACAGCATGGCCCAGATCTGTTTTCCTTGCTAGACAACATCAATAACTTCAGCATTGCCGAAATACGCCAGAAGATAGCAGTCGCCTGTGGTGTACAATCCTCACAGATCGAAGACGCCTTTCCCTGTACGCCGCTTCAGGAGGGTCTACTCGCTTTGAGTGCGCATCTACCAGGCTACTATGTCGCACAGTACAACCTACAGCTGCGCCCAGACGTCGATGATGTTACTCTACAAGCCACTTGGAACCATGTTTATGCGACGACGCCTATTTTGAGAACACGCATAGTTGATCTCACCGGCGAAGGCTTGGTACAGACCATCATAGACGAGCCATTTGAATGGACGGCAGGTGACGATCTCGATGGATATCTGTATCATGATAGTCAGCGAACCACAGGGACAGGGACTCCTCTGGCTCGATTCGCGCTTATCAACGATCACAAACGCAAAAACCGCTTTTTCGTCTGGACAATGCACCATGCGCTATACGATTTCACGTCCGTGCCACTGCTTGTTAAAAGGGTGAACGATGTTCACTTGGGCAAGCAACCGGCAGCTTCAGCTCCATTTCAGAATTTCGTGAAGCATATGAAAAAGATAGAGGTCTCATCTGCGGAAAGGATATGGAAACAGCACCTGGATGGTAACGAGGCGCCAATCTACCCTCCGCTTCCGGACAACAAATATCGCCCCAAGGCAGACCAAACACTGTCTCATGTGATCAAAGATCTCCCGTGGTCGCGCGAAGGCGGAACCCAGACGATGCCGATGGTCTGGGCGGCATGGGCCGTTCTCATGGGCCAGCACGCAGCTGCAGATGAAGCAGTCTTTGGAGTCACTACATTTGGACGACAAGCCCAGGTGGCTGGCATAGAGAGTATGACTGGTCCTACCATGGCAACTATGCCGTTGAGGGTAGAGCTCGCCGAGAAAATGACTGTCACGGAATTCGTATGCAAACTACAACGGTCTGCAGCAGAGTTAGCCACAGTTGAGCAATATGGGCTGCAAAGAATCCGCAAGATCAGCATTGATGCCGAGAGAGCTTGCAATTTTCAGACTCTTGTTGACGTTAATCTTCAGGAAGAGTATCTGAATCCAAAAGATGGACCATTCGACCCAAGCTCTCTAGAGAACGTCTCTGCCTCTGACAATGCCCAGAATGGGCCTCTCTTTAGCACTTTTGCATTGAAGGTTCAATTCAAATTGCTAGAATGCGGTCTGGACTGCATGTTCACGTTTGACTCCCGCATAGTCGGGAGCGATGAAGCGAGCTCGCTCCAACGTCAGCTCGAGCATGTTCTCCGGCAACTTTGCGACCCAAGAAATTCTGACGTACAACTATCGGACATTGATTGGATAGGTCCGAGCGATTTGGGGCGCATTTGGACCTGGAATGAGACAGTTCCTCGAAAAGCCAACGACTGTGTACATGACTTGATATCACAAACAGCCCAAACCCAACCTGATGCCCCAGCTATATGTGCTTGGGATGGTCAACTTACATATGGTGAGCTTGACCGAATCTCTACCGACTTGGCTCATTACCTAGTCAGTCAGGGTGTTGAGAGAGGTACCATAGTGCCATTATGCTTCGAAAAATCAATGTGGACGTCCGTTTCAATTCAAGGAGTAATGAAAGCAGGCGGCACTTGTGTGACTATGGACACCACTCAGCCAGAAGCCCACTTACAGCGCATTGCTGGTCAGGTCTCAGGAAAGGTTCTTTTATCGTCGGTTGCTAACAAAGCAATGGCGGAACGAATGGCAGGAGATCACACGAATGTGATTATACCCCAAGCTTTCTTTTCACTGCCCAGGAGTACACATTCGAAAACCCGTTTGCCTACTGTTGACCCATCAGACAGGGTCTACATAGTCTTTACGTCTGGAAGTACCGGGACGCCAAAAGGTGCTATGATCACGCATTCTAATTTTAGTTCTGCCATCTTTCATCAACGCAGACCTCTCGGCATGCAGCGCAAGGATAGAGTCTTTGATTATGTTTCGTATGCATTCGATGTTTCGTGGCTTAATGCATTACTCACATTAGCCGTGGGAGCTTGCCTCTGTGTGCCGAGCGAGGCGGAGCGTCGCGACGATATTGCGGCATCAATACGTCGCTACAGCGTGACATATGCGGATCTCACTCCATCAATAACGCGGTTGATTGAACCGAGTGAAGTGCCTTCGCTTAGACACCTTACGTTTGGGGGTGAAGAAGTCCTTGTTGAGGATGTTATCCGCTGGAGCCATTTACAGGAGGCCGTCAACGCTTATGGGCCTGCCGAGTGTACACCCAAGAGCCATGCATACGATTACATCTCAGAGGCATCCAAGCTAGCAAATGAAATTGGTTGGGGAACTGGGCTGAACTCATGGGTAACGCAGCCCGAGAACCCCAACAAGCTAGCAATCATCGGTGCTCTGGGTGAATTATGGCTTGAAGGACCACTGGTGGGTGCTGGGTACCTTGGCGAGCGTGAGAAGACGGCAGCTGCCTACATCAAGAATCCCGCCTGGCTATTGAGTGGTGGACCAGGTCATTCTGGCAGGTCTGGGCGCCTTTATAAGACTGGTGATCTGGTGCGCTATAATCCAAACGGTTCATTGATTTACGTCAAGAGAAAGGATGCACAGTTGAAGGTGCGAGGGCAGCGTGTAGAGCTTGCTGAAATCGAACATCATGCTCGGAATGCACTCGCCTTCCAGAAGGGTGAACTCAGTGTAGTTTGCGCGCTGATCTTACCAAAAGGTAGCGATAACAAGATTTTGACAGCGTTCTTCAGCACATCCATGACTGATAACAACGCTGGCGAGTCCACGCTTGGTGCTTGTGTATCCCAAGCCACAGAAACACTGCAGGAGCGTGTTCCATCCTACATGATCCCTGGAGCATGGGTTTTTCTACAACGTATGCCAATGAGCGCTACTGGTAAGACAGACCGGAGGAAGTTGCAGGCAATTGGGTCTTCTATGACACTGGAAGAGCTTACCTCCCTCGGCAATACTTACAAGGAAGGTGGACGGAGAGCGCCGACGACCCCGACTGAGCTTCGTCTGCAAGCGGCCTGGGCATCTACCCTCCAGACAAGCGCTGAAAAGCTTGGTCTAGACGACAATTTCCTGAGGATTGGTGGTGACTCGATCCTTGCCGTAAGGCTAGTCACAGCTGCGCGGCGTGAAGGCCTGTCAATCAAGGTTTCGGACATATTCCAAAAGCCCACTCTTGCTGGCCTTGCAACTCTAGCCATTGAGATTCCGACAAGTGCATCAGTTCTGCCAGAGTCTATAACTCCCTTCTCAATTCTACGGCCAGGAACAGACATCGCACATATGCGTAGCCAAGCTGCTGCTGCATGTGGCGTTCCACATGATCTCATACAAGATGCTTTCCCGTGCACACCTTTGCAGGAAGGACTGATGGCGCTAAGTACTCGCCGGAAAGGTGACTACATGCCGCGATTTGTGCTGCCCTTGAAGGATTCAATCGATATCGGTCGGTTTCGCAACGCGTGGTCCCAAATGGCAGCCGCCACCCCGATTTTACGGACGCGCATTGTAGATATAGCGGATCATGGCCTCGTGCAAGTCGTTCTTGATGAGGGAGTCATTTGGGAAACCAAAGAATCCGATCTCGATGAATATCTCGAAAGGGAGCAGCCCATCGCTGCCGGCCTTGGATTGCCACTCGTGCGTTACGAATTGATCAGAGATCACAAACTACAGCGGACTTTCTTTGTTTGGACAATACACCACTCTCTGTATGACGGATGGTCCATGGATTTAATGATTCGACGAGCACAGCAGCTTTATCGAGACGAAGCGTTGTCTCCGATCATCCCGTTCCAGAACTTTGTCAAGCGAGTAAGCATGGACATGGTGCAGGCTTCAGCAGAACGCACGTGGATAGAGTTCTTCGATGGACTGGGTGCACCGCCTTTCCCGTCAATATCTTCGACAACCTTTCAACCTGAAAGTAACAGCACGGTAATGCATACCATCTCAAAAGTGCAATGGCCACAAATGGGGATTACAGCTTCTACAGCATTACGTGCAGCCTTATCAGTTGCAATAATGCAGTATACAGGCCTGAGCGAGGCATTATTTGGATCCAGCTCTATGGGCCGTCAGATCAATATGGTTGCTATTGAAGAAGTTGTTGGGCCGACGATAGCCACGGTTCCAGTCCGCGTCACTTTGAAACAAGAAGAAACCATATCCGAATTTTTGCAGCGAGTCCAAGAACAAGCAATTCAATTAACTGCAATTGAACAATTTGGTCTACAGCGGATACGACTACTTGGAGGTAACGCTGAACAAGCATGCCAGTTCCAAACACTGCTTGTTGTACAACCAAAGAGTCAAAGTAATGTTGAAGATGCACTATTTGAGCTTTCTGGAAAAGAAGGACGTGTTGGAAAACCAGTCAACGAAGCTGCAACATTCAGTACTTACGCACTGATGATAGAATGCACACTGGCCGAGGATGGGCTGCTTTACCATGTGTCGTTTGACTCTGAAATAATGTCATCGGACAAAGCGCAGAGATTCTGCTATACTTTTGAGCAAGCCATTCGTCAATTGTGCATGCCAGAGAATAACACAAAGCGACTCGCAGATCTTGATCTCTTAAGCCCCCAGGACTTAAAATCAATCTGGGAATGGAACTCAACTATGCCCGAGAGCGATTCAACTTGCATGCACGAGTTGATCTCTCGTTCGATCTGTCGACAGCCCGAAGCCACTGCTGTGTGTGCTTGGGATGGCGAACTGACGTACAACGAGCTTGATTTCCTGTCTACAAGACTCGCTCACAAATTAGTTGATCGAGGAATTGGAGGTCAAGGGGGGAAGTTTGTACCTTTATGTTTCGAAAAGTCGAAGTGGACGCCTGTAGCTATGATGGGTGTGATGAAAGCTGGCGGAGCCTCTGTTGCTTTGGATTGTAATTTGCCAGAACAGCGGTTGCAAGCCATAGTCTCTCAGGTCTCTCCTCAGCTCATTCTGGCCTCAGCAAGACAGATTGAACTTGCTGGTAAGCTTACATCTGCACCAGTTGTGACTGTCGACGCATCTCTCATGGAGCCGCTTTCATCAATGCTGGAAATCGATGCCCTGCCTACAGTAAAACCATCAGATGCGATATATGTCGTTTTCACCTCCGGAAGTACAGGTACTCCCAAGGGGGCAGTGATGACACACAGAGGCTTCAGCAGCGCTATCCGGCACCAGAAAGAAGCGCTAGGCTATTCAGCTAATTCAAGAACTTACAACTTTGTCTCCCACAGTTTTGACGTCTTCTGGCATGACGTACTTCGGACTTTCGCGGCTGGAGGTTGTTTATGTGTGCCATCCGAGGACGATCGTTTGAACGACTTGACAGGTTCATTCGAGAGGCTCCGAGCCAATTCAATCGCCATTACTCCCTCATCTGCTCGACTGATTGACCCGGAACATGTTCCAGGGCTGAAGCATCTAGTCATGGGCGGAGAACCGGTGACTGCTGCAGATGTATCACGGTGGAAAGGCCGAGTTGACAACATCATTAGCGTTTATGGACCTGCAGAATGTGTGCCGCCAATCACAACAGCTTCTTGTGATCCGAATTCTAGTCTCGCGCCTAGCCTTGGCCGTGGCGCAGGCGTGAACGTATGGCTGGTTGATCCTCAGGATCACAACAAACTTTCAGCGGTGGGTGCAACAGGCGAGGCTCTGATCGAAGGACCCTTGGTTGGAGAAGGCTACATCGGCAACAAGGAGACATCCGAGAGGGTTTTCATAGATGCTCCGAGTTGGCTTGTACGAAATGAGACCGATCCTGAAAGCTTTCAACGCCGCTTGTACAAGACTGGTGATCTCTTGAGATACAACGAGGATGGAACGCTCAATTTTGTAGCACGAAAAGATGCTCAAGTCAAGCTCAATGGACAGCGCTTCGAGCTCGCAGACGTCGAACAGAATCTTTACCAGGTCATTGGCACAGGCAACGATGTACAGCTCGCATCGGAAGTAATTACGCCTAACGCAGAGGGAAAAAAGCTCCTCGTTGCTTTTTTGAACACTGCAACTTTTTCTCGTGCTGTTAAGGATTCTGACACCATGAAGGACAATAGGACTGCGTGGATTGCGGCACTGGAGAACAGACTGCCTACGTATATGATACCGAGTGCATTCATTCCTCTAGATGAGATTCCAAAAACAGCGACAGGAAAGTTAGATCGCCGACGACTGCGCAATTTGGGCGCTTCAATGACTTTGGAAGAACTCAATTCCTACGGGTCTCCAGGCCGCGAGCGACAGCCGCCCACTACGAATGTCGAGTGCCTACTACAGAAACTTTGGGCTTCTGTACTGAAAATTGAACCGAGCCGGATTGGTGCCAATGACAGTTTTCTCAAAATTGGTGGGGATTCAATCTCGGCGATGCGACTTGTCACTGTCGCGAAAGAACAAGGGCTGGCATTGACAGTGGCCGACATATTCACAAAACCAATCTTGCATGAGTTGGCTCTCTCAGCCAAGACATTGATTCAAGGAGATTCCACCCGCGAAATCAAACCATTTTCGCTACTTACGACCGAAGAGGATATTGCAGAGTTATCGAAGCATGCGGCTATTTTGTGTGGTGTGTCAGTGTCGCACGTAGAGGATGTTTTCCCTTGCACACCGCTACAAGAAGCTCTACTAGCTCAGACCGCAAAGCGTGCTGGTGACTTTACTGCGCGTTTCACCCTGGAGTTGCGGTCTTCCACTGAAGTTTCTCGCTTCAAGAGAGCCTGGGAATCTGTTTACGACAATAATCCAATATTAAGGACAAGGATCATTGAGCTTTCTCACCATGGACTCGTACAAGTTGTTCTCAAAGAGTCCATTCGTTGGGGGAATTCTCAGACCTTGGAAGAAATTGAGATGACGAAAAATGGAAGAAATATTGGACTGGGGACTTCACTCATGCAAAACGATCTTGTAGAAGACGAAGAGTCAGGCCTCAAGTATTTTGTCTGGACCATTCACCACGCGCTTTACGACGGTTGGTCGATACCACTTTTGATGGAAGACCTTGCTCAGGCCTACAATGGTCAAGTTCTCACACCATCTCCGCCTTTCCAAAGCTTCATATCATATCTTCAGCAAAGCGATGGAGCTGCAACGAATGCCTTCTGGGAAGGCATGTTCCAAGGCTTAGAAGCACCATCATGGCCGGTAGTGGCATCGACCACACATCAGTTACGTGCGGACACAAATTTTGCCCACACTATTACTGGTGTAAATTGGCCCAGAGAAAGCAACATCACCGCTTCAACAATCCTACGCGCAACATTGGCTATCCTCATGGGAGAATATAGCTCCACTAGCGAGGTTTTATTTGGTGCTACGGTCATTGGTCGACAAGCTCCTGTTGACTCGATCGACCGTGTAACAGGGCCGACGATCACAACTGTTCCAATCCGCATAAAGCTAGGCGTGGAGCAGAGTATCGACGAACTCCTTCACGACATTCAAAAACAAGGGATCGATATTATGCCGTTCGAGCAGATTGGCCTCAAGCGCCTTCGACGAATAAGCGACGACACTGAACGGGCTTGTCAATTCCAAACTCTTTTGGTAGTTCAGCCTGGGTCATCTTCTGATGACCCATCGCGCCAGCTGTTTGAGCACTCCATACATGCCGATGTCGCTCTCAACAAAGACACCACCAACACTGCCTTCAACACTTATGCTCTTCAAGTCGTCTGCGATCTCACGAATGACGGTCTAAACGCAGAGTTTATTGCCGACTCTACGATTATCGAGAAAGCTCAACTGCGTCGAATGGCTTTCCAGTTCGAACATATTCTACGACAGATATGTTCAGTCGGACAGGGCGTATCTAAAATCATTGATATTGAGACTGTTAGTGCCCAAGATCGCGCTGAGATTGGAACCTGGAACTCGAATCTCTGGAAACCAGCGAAGCAGTGCGTCTTGGAGCTTCTTAAAACGACCTCACTTCGGAAACCATCTGCAACAGCCGTTTGTGCCTGGGATGGGGACTTCACGTATGCCGAATTTGAAACGCTATCGACTAAATTGTCTTACAATTTGGTTTCCCTCGGGGTCAAACCAGGAGTAACAGTTCCTATACTGTTCGAAAAGTCGAAATGGATGTCAATATCTATGATTGCGGTTATCAAGGCTGGTGGCACCGGTGTCACATTGGACTCAAGCCTTCCTGAAAATAGGTTACGATCCATTGTTGAGCAAGTCAATCCCAAGCTCATCATTTCGTCACCAGGTTGTGAGGTACTTGCAAGCTTCCTCACTCGCGAAAGGGTAGTCTTGGTAGACGATCGCCGCCTGGCACAATTACCAAGCCCTTCACAAAATTACCAACTCCCAGCTGTAACACCTGACGATGCGTTATATATCGCGTTCACTTCAGGCAGTACCGGACGGCCAAAGGGAGTCGTGGTCTCCCACAGTCAGTTCAGCAGCGCGATTACGTATCAGCAGGAAGCGCTTTGCATCACAGAAAACTCTCGGATCTATGAATTCGTTTCATATGCCTGGGATGGCATTTGGTTGCATATTCTATTCGCCCTGGCAGCTGGTGCCTGTCTGTGTGTTCCAAGCGAGACAGATCGTCGGGACCGACTCGCAGAGTCGATGCAAGCTTTGCAGGCAAACTATGTGCATCTTACACCCACAGTAGCGCGAATGCTGAATCCATCTCAGGTGCCGGACCTGAAATATGTGGGCCTGGTTGGAGAGGCAATGCTCACATCTGATAAAGATCAGTGGACGCCATTTGGAATCAAAGTTCTGAATCTCTACGGACCTACTGAATGCACACCGCTGAGTAGCTGCGCCGAAATCGGAAGCGAGAGTGAAGGGCCATTGGTGATAGGCAAGGGCTTCGGTGCCAACCTGTGGATTGTTCGACCGCAAGACTCTTCACACGATCTTGCACCTATCGGAGCCGTCGGTGAACTTGTCATTGACGGGCCAATTGTGGGCGGAGGTTATCTTTCAGAAGCGGTCAGTACTTCCAAAGTATTTGTTTCCAACCCACCGTGGCTGAAACAGGTTGCCCGACATGCTTCCAAGAATTTCGTCTACAAGACTGGCGACCTTGTTCGCTATACCTCAGACGGAAACATAGTATTTGTTGGCCGGAAAGACTCGCAAGTAAAGATTCGTGGGCAGCGAGTCGAGCTTCACGACATCGAGAGTCACATGCGCGGAATTCTTATAAGGAATGCACAACCAAACCCATCACAGCAAGTTGAAATTTCTGGCTTCGTGGACGTATTGATCCCGAAAGAGAGCAAAACTCCAATACTTGTTGCTTTCCTTCAAGTTCACTCAGCAGAAGATCTTTCTCAGGATGAGCTACGCTCTGTGGCAGGCCAGGTCGTCCCTGGGCTGGTGCAGCAGCTGGCGAGTTCACTACCTGCATACATGGTTCCAAATTTCTATATTCCACTTGCTCACATTGCTACTACGGTGACTGGAAAAATCGATCGGAGCTCTTTGCGCAGGATAGGTGAACTCTATACCCTTGAGCAGCTCTCTGCCCTTAATCCCGAGCCAAGTGTCAAACGACAACCAGTGAGCAAAGCAGAAGTCCTCATTCAACAACTATGGTCACAAGTCCTCAACATCAATGCTGAGAACATTGGATCGGATGACAGCTTCTTCCAAGTCGGCGGAGATTCTGTTAGCGCCATGAGTCTGGCTAGTATAGCGCGAGAGTACGGTCTGTCACTGACAGTCTCCGACATCTTCAAGCACCCAAGATTGGAGGATTTAGCTACGACTGGAGGCAAAGTTGTGGCTACCAATCCCGAAATCCTACCATTTTCTTTGTTATCACCTGGTATGAACGAGGAAAGTGTTCGAGCCCAGGCAGCAGTACTCTGCAAGATGGAACCTGGACATATTGAGGATGTCTTCCCATGTACACCGATGCAAGAAGGCCTATTGGCAATCACAGCAAGACGTGCCGGTGCTTTTACTGCTTGCTATACCTTGGAGCTACAGACCTCAGTTGACTTGGATCAGTTCCGTCAAGCGTGGACCGAGGTGCTTCAGGCCACCCCCATCCTCAGAACCCGCATTATCGATTTACCTGGTCAAGGTCTTGTTCAGGTTATCTCCAGAGTTGCTGAGCAATGGGCCGAAAATGACAGCCTCGACCACTTTGAATCAAAAATGCCAAAAATAATGATGGGACTTGGCCTACCTTTGAATTTGCAAAATTTGATCATCGAAAAAGAAACCAAACGCCGCTTCTTCATTTGGACAGTGCATCATGCACTTTACGATGGATGGTCTCGGTCTCTTGTGATGAGTCGATTGGAAAAAGCATACCGAGGCGAAAAACATGGAGAGTCGCCACCGTTTCAAATCTTTGTGAAACACCTAACTGATCTCAATACTTCGCGATGTGAATTGTTTTGGGGTGAGCTACTTTCGGGGATCGAAGCGCCTTCGTTTCCATCACTACCCGTTCCAGCATACGAGCCACAGGCGGACAAGAGCTTCACAAACGTAATCTCCAATATAGATTGGCCCAAGGGCGACATTACCCCATCAACGATAGTTAAAGCAGCATGGTCGATTCTGACTGCTGAGTACACTGGGGTAGACGAGGCATTGTTCGGCGTCACCGTCATGGGTCGTCAAGCCGTCCAGGGTATCGAGCAAATGGTTGGCCCCACGATTGCAACCATTCCAGTCCGCATTGTTCTCAACAAACAAATGCCGCTTGGAAGCTTACTCCGAGGAGTCCAGGAGCAGGCCGTGGATTCAATGGTGTTCGAGCAAATTGGTCTGCAAAACCTTCGTCGTATCAGCAGCGATACCGAGAGAGCCTGTCAATTCCAGACGCTGCTGTTGATCCAACCAAGGACTTTGGCAGACGATACAAAGAGGTCTAGAGAATTATTCCAACATTCTCTAGGGGACGAGAAAGTGGCCAATTCCGACGACATCAACGCTGCGTTCAGCAATTATGCCCTTCAAATCTGCTGTGACCTCGGAAAAGACGATCTGACCTTGAGTCTTGTCGCCGACACTAACGTTATTAATGAAGTGCAATTGCGACGTATTCATCGACAATTGGGGCACATTATCCGCTTACTATGCAAAACAGTGCCCGACGTCAAGCTAGGTGACATCAGTATCACAAGTCCAGACGATCGACAAGAAATTTGGCAGTGGAATGCAAGCGTGCCTGAAACAGCAGCTGCCTGTGTGCATGACTTGATCGGAAAGACTGTCAAAACCGTTGATTCGACCACAGTGGCTATAAACGCTTGGAACGGCAGTATGACCTATGTTGAGCTCGATCTCCTGTCAACTCGTCTCGCCCATCGGCTATGCAGTCTTGGCGTAGGTCGAGGTATAATCGTTCCCCTTTGCTTTGAGAAGTCAGTCTGGACTCCAGTGGCACAGGTTGCAGTCATGAAAGCAGGAGGCGCATCTGTGGTATTGGATACAACTCTACCTGAAAATCGACTTCTAGCAATCACTCGGCAGGTCCAGCCTTTGGTGATAGTATCGTCGATTACAAATGAGCAGCTAGCTAGCCGACTTGCCGATGCAACAGTAGTGACTGTTGATAGGGATCAGTTATCTCAGCTTACAGATTTGAGTTGCGCACTACCTGCAGTTCAGCCTTCTGATCTGTTGTACGTCGTATTCACTTCTGGTAGCACGGGTCTTCCCAAAGGAGCGCTTGTCACACATCAAAACTTCAGCAGTGCGATCCAACATCAACAGCACCGTCTCGGCATCGTTTCTACTTCCATGGTCTACGACTTTGTTTCGTATGCATTCGACGTTGCATGGTCCAACCTTCTCCAGACGCTTACAGCGGGAGCGTGCTTGTGTATCCCAAGTGAAGCTGATCGAAGAGGAAATATCGCCCAATCGATACAAGATCTGCGAGCCACTTATGCTCACTTAACACCAACAGTGGCTCGGACTATTAACCCTGCAGCTGTTCCTGGACTTCAGAAAATGAGCCTTATTGGCGAACCTGTCTCACAGGCTGATATACAACAATGGGCTGACCGCCGAGTCATGTTGAATACCTATGGCCCGGCTGAATGCACACCTGTAAGCACAATTCAAGATCTCAAGATAACGGGTGTGGGTGAGCCTCAGATCGGCAAAGGTATCGGTGTCAACACATGGATCCTCCGCGCAGATGGTAGCCCAGATCTGTGCGCAATCGGTGCTGTTGGCGAGCTTGTGATAGAAGGACCAATCGTCGGTTCCGGCTACCTTTCAGATCCCGCTAAATCCGCCGGTTCCTTCATCGAAGACCCTCCATGGCTGCTACAGCGCGGGGATAAGCAGAAAGGCCGCACTGGACGAGTATACAAGACCGGAGATCTGGTCTGTTACGATTGGGATGGCAGTCTAAGATTCATCGGCCGCCGAGATACTCAGGTCAAGATTCGTGGTCAGCGAGTTGAACTCGCAGACATCGAAAATAATCTCCAGAAGCACCTCACCATAAAGGGCGACGTGGAAGTCGTGGTTGATGTTCTATGTCCGAGCGGAAGCAACAATTCTATTCTCGTCGCCTTCATCTGTCCTTCAAGTGCAGCTACGATTTCTGAATTGGATCTCATTGCTACCGTACAGCGTATGACAACGGGAATTGAATCGAAACTTGGAGAAGATCTTCCGCTGTATATGATACCGAACTTCTACGTTCCAATGCCCGTTATGCCGGCCACAATCACAGGCAAGCGTAACCGGACCGAGCTGCGGAGACACGGTCAAACTATGACACTTGAGCAATTACTTGCGCTAGGTGCAAGACGACAGGAGCGGCAGAGGCCTTCCACTCAGCTAGAACGCCAATTGCAACAGATATGGGCCTCTGTCTTACAAGTCGCTCTCGACTCAATTGGATCAGAGGACAGTTTCTTCCAGCTCGGGGGCGACTCTATCATCGCAATGCGTCTGGTTCGAGAAGCAAGCATTAGAGACCTACACTTTACAATCCAGGATGTCTTCACTCATCCGCGACTCTACGACTTGGCAACAGTCGTGGAAAAATCCGTCTCGGATAGAGCTATCGTCGGGCGTAATGAAGATGCAGGACTTGATCTTCGGGGTACGCAAGCAGTTTCTCGTAGTGAACAGGCGAAGAATATTCTCGGAAGGCCGGTCACTTCATTCCAAACAAGGTGTATCGAAGCCGCATTACGGGAAGATAAACAGTGGTGGAATTACATTTCGTTAGACCTTCCTCCTCACACACCCACATCACAAATTGTCAACATGTGCAAGGCTTTGTGGGATCAATTTGACATCCTCCGCACAGTCTTCATCTGGGATCAAGATCGATATTTGCAGAAGGTGCCGCCAGAGCAACAGCTCAGCTACATCATCGAGGAGCACGATGGCGATATCAATCACTTCACCAGACATGTGTGCTTGCAAGACTTTAAGCAGCCTGCGATACTTGGTGCTTGCTTCACAAAGTTTTTTATCATCGCCACTTCAGAAGGTGAGAGAAGATTAGTCTTGCGGCTTTCACATGCTCAGTACGACGGCATGAGTCTCCAGTTTCTCCTACAGTATATTTCTTTTGCCTTCCAAGGAAAAGTTCTACCCGACTCGCCGCGATTCACTGACTTCATCGACCGAAACATGATGAGCACGGTAAGCTCGGATAATTTCTGGCAGTCGCTCTTACAAGATGTGCCGATGACACCGGTCCCTGCATCTCAAGGGCCACTAGACTTTGCACAGGTCGAAGCTATTCCTAGGGCATCTTGCACTGTGGAGATAGGCTTCTCCGTGACGCAATGTGATGTAACACCGGCCACGGTGTTCACAGCCGCATGTGCATGCGTGATTGCAGAAGTGACAGCGACGTCGGACATCGTTTTCGGTCGGCTCATTACCGGTCGCTCTGTCCTCGAACACGATTTGCAAGAAGTCGTAGGACCGTGTGTCAATTTCGTGCCTGTGAGAGTCGCCTTCGATCAGGGTGATATATCTTTCAAGCTTGCGCAGCAGGTAGTGCAAGAACAGTATGCCAGAGGACTGCCATACCAGACGACAGGGCTTGGTGATGCTGTAGACCCGCGTATGACGCAATTCGGCTTCATGGTCCACTATCTCGCAGTCGATGATCGACCTACTATGACCTTGAACAGAAGCCAAAGCCGGCTCGACTTCTGTGAGCTTCCGGTAGGCTATGATACGGGAGAGGTGGAGATCATGGCCAGGCCGTCGGGCGAGTCACTGCATATCACTGCGACGGGTGGAGCGCACCGGGTTGATATGCTGAGCGACTTTCTAGACAGACTTTGCACGCTGCTACATGGACATTCCAAGGGGGGGGCTCATGGTACAACTTAGATGAGGTGTTTCTAGATATTCTGTCAAAGAGCGAAGATGATGCCTATCAAAGACTTGTTTACAGAGTATTTTGAGTCCCTTTGCGAGATTTGGTTCTCCTCGCTAGATTTTCCTCTCTCTTTCTAGATCCTGCATATGTTGATGATATACCGCAAAGTTGTGAAGCCGATAGCCTACTATATGAGACACAGTCTTTTGTACTACTAACGGGTCGTCACTATATTAAAATATCCCTGGGTATATTTGCCGAATACTTCCTTCTAACGTCAACGATATATCTCTCTGCCAGACTGTTGCCCAACGGGCCTTCTACGGTCTAATTGCATGGATATACCAGACGCCAATCACCATAGGACCGCAACTTACAGATGAAATACCGTGAGCCAATTAATCTATCTCATATCCGGGGTATGTAACAAATAGCCTAAGCACTTAGACCGAAGCTGCTAAGATAGGCGTTCTTTCTTTGTAAAGCTAACACTATTGTAATCAATGTTAGCACTTCGAGCAAGGCTCGGCTGGGTACTATGGATCCCAAGGAATCCTTCCTGACTTAAGAACCGGGTTTAAGATGCAGTCTTTTGATATGGAATCTACGAGAGATTAAGACTGAAGGTAGGTAAATCAGAGAAATAGATGATTGAATTGATGATTATCTTTTACTAGGTAATCTTACTTAATTTGAGTTAAATCTCTTTATTCTTCTTTTTTGATATATTCGGCTTATTTACTATATCCGTAGGAATCCTAGGGTTATATTCTTATTGTTATATTTTGAGGTTTCCTCGGACTGTATACAGTTCTCCTACATTCGGTTATCATGCATGTTTCTGTGTTCGTAATTCTTCCATGTTTTTCTGTAGTTCTTTGCTCTTCTTTGGAATTCATTGATCTTCCATATTTTTTGTTGTCATGTTCCTTTTTGTATGTTTACTTGTTTTAAAGTCTTCATAGAATTCTCATGTATGGTGTTTGTATGTATTGTTTTTCTGTTCCAACTTGTGTTGGAGTTTTTATGCTATGTTATAATTGTGTTTGTAACTTCAGTTGCGTTTCTTTTTTCTTGTTTTAAGTTCTCTTTATGTGTTTCTTCATGTTCTTGTTCTTTTGTTGAATCTTGTTTTGTATAATATTGATAGCGAGGACACGTCACTTTCTAGCTTACGCTCCTAGGAACTAGTAGGCAGTAGGGCGGTTATTATCGGAGTAATCGAATAGATATAGAGGCAGGACGGGATTGAATAGACCGACTAGGCTGAGCCTCGGGGTAAGCGATCAGGTTGCTCAGTGAGCTGCTTAGGGTCGCTGGTGAGCAGCTCAGGGCGGCACCGTGACTAACTTAGCAGATGCTCTAAGAGCCGATCATTTCCCGAGGCGGCAATTTTACCGTCACCTAGACTACAGTTGCAATTATATCAACTACAATATATTCATAGTTCCATGACGACTGGACCTGCTCCTTAGACCTGAATTGATGGACTTAGAACCTAATATATTTCTTTGGACTTGGTTCTAACATATGAGAGACGTTCCTGCCAAGATGCTTCAACCATGACAGTTGAATTGGAAAATAATGTTACGAATACTTAGATATTATAAGAGGTATCCCCTAAATGGTAAACGGCAGGTGACAAACATGTTCGCCACAGGCTGATCATTAGACTCTCGGGAGTGATTGGTTCAACTCCGCGAACACCATCGTATTGGATCACATGATATTGCATTCCATGGTCATCAGAGACTCTAGAGCTCCAAAAGGATAATGACGCGGATTATAAGGACAATTCTTATGCAGGTCGTATTATAATGACATCATGGAAGAGACACAACTTGGAAGCGATATAATATACGAGTCCTCTCGCGAAACGACCTTTCAACTTCACACTCAATTATCTGACAAATTTTATCATCACAGTACGCAGGACTTCTCTATTATTCGTGAAAACAGTGATTAAGAGCACTGACCAAATATATAGCCAACCATGAAGCTCTCCGTCCTCATGACTTCTTTCCTCGCTCTGTTTGTGAGCACCTCCTCGGCATTGGAATGGGAACTTCAAATAAACAGACAACCACCAATAAAAGGAACTGGACCTAAGGGCTGCACCCCCATTGTCATTCCCCGGGGTGCTCAAATCAGCTGGACTGGATCCAACGGAGGCCGAACTCTTCAGTTGTTCAATACGCAAGGAAAGTGCTCTCAAGTCTATCGGACTGTGATGGGAGTTGGAGATATCAACGCTTCCAATACTATTTATGGATACATGGTAAAGGCTTAAAATTAAAAAGTCTGGTGCACTTCACAAGAGGATGCAGTGCATGCTCTTATGGATTGTGATTGGGACTGGCGTTATATGTATTCTTCTGTGGTGACGAGTGACGAGAAAAGTTTAGCTGGTATTTTCATTGTATCAAGTTGCACATATGTAAATTAATTGCGATCTATACCTAATTTGCAAATATTGACAGACTGTTGTCCCACATCGCGGTCAAATTCCATACTAACAGAACAAAAGTGGTATCAGTGCGAATGTCAATGCGAGAAACCACTCCCCCTACATAGTCAAGCGGCGTATATATATGTGGCTTAGCGAAGACGAAGGTATTTTCACAACCACAATTCTCATCGGGTATGTTCTCTACCATCGTGGTCAACTTGGGGGTCAGCTCAAACAATGTGGAATTAGCTCCTCGTCGAGAGATTGCCTACAGAAGAAGCCATTGAGTCCAAGATTACCTCCAAACATAATTTATATTGCCTACAATAAGTACATATTCATAATGGTGTAACGGTTCATTAGCGTTCTAAGTGTCACGAAAAATATTTTCCAATCGATAATTCACAAAGCACATTCAGCAAGACAGGTATCTGCCTTTAAATATCACTGAGCCTCATTTGGAAGGTCATCCTCATCCAGTTCGTGGTACTTAGTTGAAGCGACAGGTTGTGCATGACGGAGTCTATCCCCTATGACGTTGGACTGATTCATTGCATCCCCTTCGTCCTGGGCTGCAGTACATGTCAGTCCCAACCCAATTTGAGCGTGACAGTGCGTGAAAACTCACCAAGCGTCTCATCTGTATCAGCATACTCGGCTTGGATAGGATCCTCAAACTCCTGATCATCTTCTACTGCATCGCGAGGCATTTTTGATAGGACTGTCTTGAATGTTTTGGAAATTTGTAAATGTTGTATGGGGAACATGAATAAATCTAGCAGACCTTAAGGCCCTTTTTAAGGTTAGATATCTATCTATTGTATCAATTGAGGCGTTTTTGATACATCATGACTATGTAATTGTAACAGGTATTTATTCATCCAATGCCGTCATGCATAGTCCTCTATGACTTCAAAGCTACGCAATGCACATGGGGACTAGCTGTTCTCAAAAACTTGATAAAGAAGCTAAGCATTGGTGTATGATTTGCATAAGCTTTGTAGGCTTTTGTACAACGGAGTGGCCCAGGGTGTTCGTGCATACTTGTGAGGACCATGGATAAGGCAATGCTTTAAGGTTTGTGTAAGGACTTCGCCGCTCAATAAATGAAACGTGTCTTAATGCATTCACTTCTCAAAAAGTAGAAAAAAAAACCAATCTAAATTCATTCAAAATAGCTGAAGTTTGTATATTTCACTGTTGGAAAATAGAAGACACTGTCTTGGCACCAGATTGGGGCCCCGGAAAAACAGTTCATCCCAAGGCTTTAAAATGACCTCTCAATCCAGGGACCATTTCATATTCCCCTTTATAACACTCACCAAGCTATTCAGAACATCAAGCCATTGGCAATTCTGGCATTGAAAACTATGATTAGCATTGCATACCGCGTAGCTCAAATGTCAAGTTCGAGCGGGTCGTCAGAAATCAGTGTTTACACACATTGTCCATCCTCGAAAATAACAATGCTTAGCTTTCATGAGATGGCATACAAATTCCGGAGCCGCCATTCTCAATCACTATGCTCAAAGTCAAAGAGATGAGAGGAAGGCCATTCTGACATGGATTGGACGCCGATTGTGGTATCATTGATTGATGCGCTAGGACATGCACTCATGGTAGTCCAAGCAGTCCTCAGCTCTGATGAGACGACAGGTCTTCTGACTGACTAGAAGAGGTAATGGAAGACGACTATGGCTTGAGATGGGAAATTGTCTGTGGTATTATGAACCGAACTGGTAAGTCATTCACTCAAAGCAAGGAAGGCGTTCCTTTGCAATCTACACTCGGTTTTTCTAAGGCGGCTATGACTCGACATATGGCTGTATTTTACCTCACTTGCCAGCTCACATGGCTGACTTGCTAATACTCCCTTCCCTTGCTTTACTATTCTTCTTTCCTCCTTTCCTAGCTTTTCTATCAATCGCTTACCCACCGACTCGTGAGCTCCGGCTATCCCGTGGGATCTTCCACGACTTGTGGTCGCCGGCACTATCTTCTGGGGTTGTGTCAGACTGTCAAAGCCACTTCATTAAGCTTCGACTGCCGTGTGGAATTTGGTCGGCAGTGTTTTAGATTAGTTTACTTTTGCTTGTGGTGCCCTATGATGAGTTCGTCGATAAACGAACATAAGCCAATACTGTATGCATCCGATGTACATGACGTGCCAGCTGCTTTCGGGTGGGCTGGTGGCCACTGTACTGCTGGACGCCAATGCTGATCACTGAGAGCATTTCTGAGGGCCGGCTTTCTGTATTCCTTGATTTCGAGTTCCATTTTTGCTTTGCTGTTTCATTTTTAGTTTATGATATTCTCTACAAAACAATACTTTACATATAGATGTAGACGGACGTGTGTCTAACCCTTGGTAGAGAACTCGAATGAATAGAGAAGAGGTATTTCATTTCGGACATATGAACGCCTGCTAATGCACGAATGTCAAGTCACACGCTTCACGAATATACAGAATCAACCACCTATACACAAATCACCACCAAACTTTGTCTCCAGTCCATTATCTGCACCTAGCGCAAGAACTTGCCAAGGGCACCACCGATGTTCTTCAGATCCAACAAGAAGGTGTCATGACCGAACAAGGAAAGATCATCTCCAAGCTCGATATGCTCAACATTCTTGTTTCCGCCAGCGCGGAGTGTCTCCGCAATTTCAAGCTGCTGCCAAGCAGGGAAAAGGATGTCACTGGCGACACCCATGACAAGAACAGGGTGATCCTTAAGAGGTGTCAGTCCAGCGACAAGATCGCGCGGCGGGCCATCAACTTGGTCAGACGAGAGGGACTGATCGAGAGGCGGCACAGAGGAAGTCGAGCTAGGCTGCTCTTCATATGGCTTGTCAGGGAGAGTAAGACTGCACGAGGCATCCGCAACACAGGGCTCGATCCCGCCGTTCTTAATGCGATCCTCGGACTCGGCACGACGGCGCAAAGTCTCTGACTGGTGCGCGTGACCGAGATCAAACAGATCCATAGCCTTAGAAACATAAAGCAAACTATTTGGATCATACTCCAGGCAGAACTTCTCACCAGCGTGGTCGAGATAAGTCTCAATGAGGAAATCAGGACACAGCGCAGGCTGTTTGCTAGGATCCGCACGACGGCGACCAAATCGCATCTCCCACTCCGGTCCACTGCGATACGTGACAGTAGCGATTTCGCGTGCAAGCTTCATACCTGAGTGCGGCGGGATAGCGTCATAGTAGAATCCGCGCGCCCAGTTCGGGTCCATCATCAGGACCTGGCGTTGCGTGTGCCGCATGGCAATGCTGTATGGGTGGCTGCGGGCGCAGCCGCTGATGCTGACAATTTTGCCGACGCGGTCTGGGAAGAGAACACCTGCAGCGAGACTCTGCATGCCGCCCATAGAGGAGCCGACGGAGGCGGCTAGCTTTTTGATACCAAGCCCATCAAGGAGCCGGAATTGGGCGCGCACCATGTCGTCTAGTGTTAGGATCGGGAAGCGGGTTGCGTAGCGCTTGCCGTCGGAGGGGTCCACCGATGATGGGCCTGTGCTGCCGTAGCAGCCTCCCAGGACGTTGGTGCAGATTATGTGGTATTTGTCGGTGTCTAGAGGCAGGCCTGGGCCGATGAACTTCTCCCACCATCCAGGTTTGGGGTTGGAAGCTGTGCTGTGGGCGTGACTTGAGGCTGACAGGCCGGTGTGGAGGAGGATGGCATTGCTTTTGTCGCTGTTTAGTTCGCCCCATGATTCGTACGCGACGTCAAACTCTGGAAGGACACCACCCCAGTCGAGGAGTAGTGGTTGTTCGCAATGGAAGGATTCGTGTTGACCGGTTGTGTATGAGGGCTCGGGGCCGGACTCGAGCGACCGCGCGGAAAGCTGTGCGGACCTGGCTTCTTGGGCGTCTAGGCAGGGGAAAGACATTGCTGGATTGGAAGAGTCCTTTCCTGTTGACTCTGCCGAGGCAGATGCTGCCTTTCGTGGTGGCACTGTGTGCAATGGTCGAGCTACGATCCATTGCGCCGATAAAGTCCGATGCGGTCCCGCGGGATTGATGTTGGGCTGGCCTTGTCGCAATGGCGAGGCTCGGAGTGTGCGCGAGGCCACACGAGCTGCGCCCTGAATTGAGCGCATGATGACCTGAATGTTAGGAGAGGTAGGAGTTGTAGATGGGAGCTGTACAAGTCTGGAGTCATTCATGTAGCGGAGAACTTATATGGATGCCTCAGGCGCTGATCAGTGGCGTCATCTGTGTGGGCGGTGATTGGCGGAGAAGTATACAGAGCTCCGATGTCGAAGTCCACGGGTACATACAGAATCAGCTTACTAAAGGAGTGTTGAGAACTCTGGAGAATAGAAGAGATAGTATTGATTCACACGTTCACACATCACATAAGATCTTGTGTATAACGCCAATTCCATACTGAGTCCGGCAAACCGCCCGGGTATCATATAGCAACTCCAATCAAATCAAGAAAACGAAACCAATACAGTAGTGCTAGAACGCCATTTCAAATGCAAAATAAAAAAATGCCACAAAACAGACATATCGTCTTCAGTGAATTTGGCGTACCAAATGGGCGATCGGGATCATCCAGCCTCTATGCAGCTCACCGGGAACTGAATGTGGAGTTCACAGACTTGGACGACTAGTTTCCCAGGAGACTTGTCATAACAACTGTGTTGTTGGCTTTAATCTCGATGGCACCAGCGTACATGCAGCGGTGAGAGCCACAATTAGCATGGAAGACGATCTTCTTTCCGTCGGCGGAAACAGTCGCACCACCGGGCCCCAGAAGATCCCAGTCTGCAGTCTGCAGCAGAGGCCGATCAGCTCTCTTATAGGGGCCCTTGATGGAAGTCGAGTGAGCGTACTTCACATTGTAGCCCAATGATGTATAGCAATGAGAAGAGAAGAAAAGGTAGTAGACACCATCCTCGGTGCGCATGAGATCTGGAGCCTCAACAAGAGGTCCGTCGGTATCGTCGATGTCAAGGATCTTCTTTGGACTTCCAACCGTAGTAATGCCGTCACTCTTCAACTCTTGCAAGAGGATGGGTACGGACACGATTGGCTTTTTCCCGTTGTTGCAATTTCCACCGTGGCCAATGCTGTTTCCGTCGCCTTTGTAAACAACATAGAGAGTGCCATCAACATCTCTAAATGGCGACGGGTCAATCGCACCACCCAGGTCGTGGGGACATGCCAATGGCTTGTCCTCAGGGATGTACGGTCCAAGTGGATTTGTGCCGTTCGATACTGCAACGCCAACGCAGTGGAAGCTACCCCAGTTCTTCGCCTCTCCGGAGTAGTACATCACAAACTTGCCGTCATCCTAGATTTCGTGTGTTAATTATATGCACTCTCTTTTGGGGCAAAGTAATTCCTAATTGCACTTACACGCTGGATCACATCGGGGGCCCAGTGATTGACCTTCTTCTCCCAGCCACCAAGAGTGGGTAGTGCATCATACCCTTCATGTAGAGTCCAATTGACAAAGTTGGTGGAAGTAGCAACAGGTACATGAATGCTATCAGGGTTCTTTTTCTTGGGATTCGTTCCGTAAGCAAACCATGTCCCATTGTACTCAATAAGTCCTGGGTCCGGGAAATTGTTGAGAGCAAACACAGGTCGGTTTGCCTCGCTGTGATAACTCGAGTCCTCATTTGGTTGGGGAATCTTCCAGTACCAATCGGTGTCCTTCGCAAACCCGTAAATCTTGGTGAAGTAAATCGGAAGAGCGATCGTCAAAGCAATCAGGGCGATCCATACGAAGCCAAGTACCCCAGCGGCAGCTTTCTGACGTGGCCCCCATGGTCGTGCAAAGAAACGCCTTTTTGGCTCGTCCTCGATAATGATCACCGCCTTAGCACCCAATGACGGCTGGCTGATGTGGCCGGAAGTTTCACTCCTTGGCAATGACTGGATGGAGGGTGCGAGAGACTTCTCGGTCACTACGGGTAGAATTGTGCTCTTGATCCCCATCTTGAAAGTCTCCCAATTAAAAGCGAGGTCAAATAGAGATTAGCAGATGAAAGGGAATGTGGTTCCAAATGCTGATCCTATGGTTGGGCGGCGGTGAGCTGAGTCGAAAAGGGTAAGTGCAGGTGTCACTCCATGGCGTTCGATGAATGACGTGCAAAGATTGAAAGCTAAAACAAAGATCAAACATTTTCGAGCCCATGGCTTCTTTATAGTGGAAGGGGAATCTAGCGCCTCAATGAGGCGACAGCAAATAAGCCGCGGTGTAGCCGAAGTAGACCCTGGCCGAACAGACCCTGTAAGTAAAAGCGAGCAGCTCAACCCAATTGCAGTGGCAACCATATAAATTACTCGACTAACCCCCTCTTTGTGGTAAGAAAACAAAGGAAATACCGGGCGACAAGCTTTTGCGGGTGTTAACAGGTATAAATCCAACCAATCAGCGGTGTTAGATAGTCAACGAGTCGGTTATCACTTTCCATCTTTGGTTTAGTCTAGACTTTGTCTCCTGTTGATCCACAATGTCGCCTTTCTTCTCCGTATCAGCGTCTAGATCTTCTTGGAGTCTACTGTGAACTTTACTGTGAACTTCCACAACTGATCTTCCACACGGCAAAGGTCTCACCAAAATGTGGGGTAATCACGTTCACATCGTCAAGTCCAATTTGCCCTACCCAGGTAGCCCGGGATGTAGTACAGTATGGCGGACCTGATCAGTATAGTCAGGCAGCACAATTATTCCCATGACTGGGTATCGAAGCCATGGAAGCTATTGCTACGGCCAAGCCCAGACTAACCAACGAGAGGAAATTTTCAAGTCAGCCGTCTGACAATTTTCTCGCGTGTCTTGGATCCCGAAAACGCTGCCCCCACGTGCGCATGGATCGGGGGTGCACTACTTTGATCGGATGTATAGCATTTCTACACGGTCCGCAAGTTCCAGCCTATCTGCCGGACTTCCGTAAAAGTTGCCACTCGACATTTTCCTCGAAGATGTAACTCGAACTTGCCCTAGTAAGTAAACTTGCCTCTTTTCGAAAGAATCTCCGTTATACGCCAAGCCGTACGAGTGGCGCAGTCCCGCCCGCGTCTTGGCTCTCTTATACTTTGCTCTCTGCTATATTTTTACTCTTGATTGCGGGGGCTTGTGATGTAGTGCTAAGGCAGAAATTCTGTCGATCTGGTATCATTCAAGGTTGCCAATGTGTGTCTCTGCCAGCCAATTGTGTTTTTTTGGAAAGGATATAATGGTGTGATCTAGGGGAAACTCTTCAGGGGAGAATACGAAGAAATGATTAGCCACAGATCCCAACTTCTGTTTAAGATTAGGACATGTTCAAATAAGCCCGATGTGGCTTTATTAAGGTTCTTCGCGTTGGTGTCAATCTCGGGTTTAAGCCTCATAGGCCAAATGCTCCTTCTCAACTCTTCCTTCAGGGGGGTTTTCATGATACTGGAATTTGGACTGTGCGCTGTTGGTCGCAACACATATAGAGCCCAAAACTATACACACGGAAACTTGCAATATCTGGAAGCCTTTCTGGTTGTGAAGAACGTCAGGTCCTGTGTAGATGCCAACAATGAAGGATCTTGAATGCGAGTGATTGCCCATGAAGAACGCTAGACTGGAACGTTGCACCACGAAAATTTTCTGTCGAATATTCAATTTACGTGAAATTGTCAGTCCATTGTTCCTCATCTGAATCAGTAATATCACTGGAGGGGTCACTGTGATTCTCATGTTTGTCGCGCAGCATAACACGATAGATATGACAGGCCCTTACTTTGAAGCCGACTCCCACGACTTGTTCTTTACCGCTACTGGCACGTTTCTATGTCGATGCTAATTATTCTGTAGCAAAAATCGATCGTAATCAAACCGTTGACAGGAGCGTATGTCACAATGCGACTAGCGCAAAAGCGGCTTCTTATCAGAAACATAGCGTGCGGGGAACTTTAAACGAGGCGTTGTGAAATAGCCACTTTACGAAAGAACCAAACCCTTAATTTCCCCACCGACTGATTATCGTCTTCATCCGTTGCCGTGATTTGAGGATCTAGCGTCAATATCGGCCATTTGTGGCTGCCATTTAACGGGTGTGAGTGCTGCTATCTTGTATAGTTCGAGGGAGGACCGTGGTTTTCAATGACTGACAACATGACCAATGCAGTGTACCAGTTTTCCGGCCTTGGGAGATTGTCAAAATTGAGAATATCCACCTATATGGGTGGATCCCGCAGACATACTCTTATGTCTGAGCACGAGTCGAGCGTGTTGAGCTGGCCAACGGGTGTATCTATCTATCCATGAGGGGCTAGAGCTAGCATCCTCATTCACCAGAGAAATACATGCTTGTATTGAGTTATGGCAGATCATAATTGGTCTCATTATATAGCAGTTCAAGCCGAGCTATGGGCGGGGATTGTTTCGGCCTGATTGCACTCCGATTGTGCCCTTTTGACGATAAGTAGACGAACCTTTTTATGGCAAGCATTTGAAAAGCGTAGATAATTTTCCCATGTCTGAATCGAGTCATAAAGTTACTTCGAGATGAATGTTCAGTCAAGAGCCAGTCTAAAGAAGGATAGGACTCATCATCTAGGACGATCATCACCAATTCTGGAGATGTACGAGACAGTGATGTGGGGGTGATAACAGCCAAATGTATAAGCTCATAATTTCAATAAGTAATGAGCATCTGCATAAAAGAAAGAAATCATCAGAAGTGACGGGCAAATCAATAGCGTCGAGTCAGTAGCACGTTGCAGGCCACGTGAGCGACTCCACCTAAAGAGGTTACAAGCTGCTTCCGGCATACGCAAGCCTCAAGTCCACCGCCATAAGTCGATCGCTGCTAGCCAGGGTGGCCTAATTGCCCTTGGATCTCTTCGTTGACTGCTATTTTGTGGACTAGTGGACCATATTCGCCTCTGGGATTCAGTTTTTGGGCGCGCCTCCTATTCTCCGGATCGAACCCCATCACCAACAACCCGGGTCACATCACAAAACGAACTTGGCCCATGCAACAGCACCTCAAGTCCCGAAATGTCACCCTCTCAATTTCCCTAAATTGAATTCCGGAATTTTCCCCAAGACTCGCCCGTCTCACCCTCCAAACCGAATCGTGCACGAGCAATCTTCAAATCCTCCGAACTCGCGCACCACAAAACCCAAACAGCCCAGAAACTCTCGAACCACAGGCCACCGGCCATCCCACGGCCGTCGCAAGTCTCAGGCAAATACTATCCGGCAATACCGAGCCCATTGCCCGCAATGTTCACCCTGCGCAAATCCCTCCTCGCCCTAATCGGTGTGGTGACATTATTCCTGATCCTCCGCTCCTTCCGAGAACCCGAGATCCCCGGCGCGCCAGGGTACAGACCCGTACCAGGTATATCACAAGAAGAAACAGACCGCCGCAAAAACCCATCACGGAAGCTCCCACCCCAGGGCCGGGCTCAACGGCCTCTCGGCGCATCGCCGAGTGCGCCGCTGATCGATCGTCTCCGTTACCAATTTCCCTACGAACTTGAACCGAGGTTTCCTGCATATATCTGGCAGACATGGAAAACCGATCCGAGCTCGTACTGGTTCCCGGAGGATCTGCGGGGTCTGGAGGCCTCCTGGACGGAGATGCATCCCAAGTTCACGCATGAGGTTATCACGGACCAAAATCAGCGCCATCTCATTCAGTACCTGTTTGGCTCTGTGCCTGATGTTTTTGAGGCGTATGACTCACTCCCGCTGGGCGTTATGAAAGCGGATTTCTTTCGGTATTTGGTTCTTCTGGCGCGCGGTGGTATCTACAGTGACATCGACACCTCAGCATTGAAGCCTGCGCATTTCTGGCTTCCGGAGGAGCTTGACCGGTCGACTGTTGGGTTAATTGTTGGTATTGAGGCTGATCCTGATCGTGACGACTGGCATGATTGGTACTCGCGCCGTCTTCAGTTCTGCCAGTGGACTATTGTGTCGAAGCCTGGGCATCCCATTCTTCGTGATATGGTGGCCACTATTACCGAGCAAGCACTGCGTATGAAGAGGGCTGGCATTCTCAAGGTTGGGCACATGGATAAAACTATTATGGAGTTTACTGGGCCTGGTGCCTGGACCGATGCTGTTTTCCGCTACTTCAACAACCCTTCTTATTTCAATATTCAACCGGGTGATAAGAATATCACATACGAAGACTTTAGTCGTCAGACTACTCACCGCAAGGTGGGTGATGTCGTTGTCTTGCCCATTACCAGCTTTAGTCCTGGTGTTGGACAGATGGGTGCTGGAGATACAGACGATGCCATGGCTTTTGTAAAGCATAATTTCGAAGGTGAGTCTCTTATACTCGGCAGAATGTCTTTTCTATGGAAGCAATACTAATACGTTAATTCCAGGCTCGTGGAAGACAGATCCATCTCTATGAAAACATCCATGATTCCCTAGTTGGATCATTTTACGTCATGCCCAAATCTACATCAAAACCCCTTCCCTTTCCAATGCCCTTAACCGCGATTCTTCTTGCCTCGGTGGAAACCCGATTGTGCATGCCCCTGTCATCGTGTCAAGCCGCATAGAGATGCCGGCACTCCTACAAGGGAAATGACTCCAGCCAGGCGCAAACACCAGTCCCGTTCCCTGTTTTATGTTACCCGCACATATGATTCCCCCATTGTCTTTCTTGCCATATAAATTATCTCGCTAGATATGTTTGTTGGATGGTTTTACGATTTCTAGTTGATAGATTCAATAGACTCAATTCAATATTTTCAGAACCGAAATCAAGTATGCTTGCCACAGCTATCCCAAGTGTAGTTCAGGGTCATTCAACATTATCTGTCAAATGACCTTGGATACCTAAATCGACGTCACGTCCAGTTACATTCAAAAAAAAACCTCCAAAAGAATATGTACTTCGTATTATCCTATAAGGGAATACTGACCAACTGTAATTGCAAACACCTATGTGTACTATAAAGTCCCCTTGTATGGAAATAGAAAAAGCCCCGCCGCCCAATCTTTCGACCCAAGTGCGTGTTGAACAGGTTACGATGAATAGCAAAAGTCACCCAAAATTGAGAGGAAAGAGGGGTCTCAGAACGCACAGCGTTCGCAAAGCAAAGTTCACTTGGAAACAGGGCTGGGGTAGGGAGGGGAGACAAGAAGAAACAGTCACGAGTATATGGATTCCAGGCGACCAGCGCTCATGATCGTAGCCTGGAGGTTCCGGGGTAGAGAAAGAACGAGGTAGTCCAGGAAGAGAGAAAAGCGGGAAAAGAAGGAGCCCCGAGTTTTCTGGGAAAGGACAAGGTCAAAAGACCGAGACTGTCGTGTGAGTGTATGTGTGTCGAAGGCCAAATGGTAGTTGGTGGTGGTGAAGCCGGCTTGGGCGGCGTGGAGAACTGTGCTCCGTACGGTAAGCGCTGGAGTGATATCCTCCGAGACCAGACTTGCCACGTACCATGGTATAGTCATGGGATCTCATAAAAGCAGAAAGAGAGAAAAAAGCAAAGATGGACACGAGAGGTTATAGACTCCGGAGGGCCCTCTCACGTGGTGTCCGTGGGGGTGGGTATGTGGCCGTGCTCCCGTCATTTGACTTCTCTAATGTTTTTTGATATTGGCCAAATTGGCTGGAAAGGAAGAGGTCAGAAGTCACTGAACAACGCTTCATACTTCTTCCTTAGGTCATCGGTGTAAATATTGGCGTGTCTGGAGTCGGGGGGATCCGGGTATTCCTCAAAGTTACCGGTGTCGGCGGGATGGGATAGGCGGGGGAGAATAGGTCCCTTCACCCGGCGATAGAAAAGATCGTCCCAGATGACATCTTGGAAGAATGGGTGGGACTTGACTCGGGTTGAGCCGCCGGAAATGTGGCCGAGTCGCTCTGACGGGTTTGTCTTGCAAAGCAGAGAGATGATGTTCTGCGCTGCGGGTGGCATATTTGCTGGGAAGCGTAGGCGGCCTTCAACGATCTGCTCATAGATGCGAAGTGGGTTAGAATCCCAGAATGGCGGTTGGCCAATCAGGAACTCGTAAATTAGTATTCCCAACGCCCACCAGTCCACAGCAAGGCCATGTCCACTGTTGTGAATAACCTCTGGGGCGAGATATTCCGGTGTACCACATAGCGTATATGTCTCGCGGTTGTCGACTTGTTTCGCGAATCCAAAATCGACCAGCTTGATATGACCATCGGCATCTAGCAGGATATTCTCCGGTTTGAGGTCACGGTAGGCGATCCCGTGTATGTCGTGTAGAAATTCAATGGTCATGGTAATCTCGGCGGCGTAAAATCTGGAGGTTTCTTCGCTGAAGCGTCGTTGGCGTCGCAGGTAGCTAAAGATCTCGCCTCCAGGGCAATAATCCAGCTTCAACTGGGTCAGCATTGGGGTTTTGAAGATTGTGTTCCAGGCTCAACCATACCACCATGTAAAGGCTTTTCTCATCGGAGAACGATGCGACTAGGTTTGTGATGAAAGGATGATCGAGAACCGCTGCGAGGGCTTTGCGCTCATTGCGCACATGTTCGACTTGCTTGAGTTTGATCACTGCCAGGCGCAACCGGTCCACATTAGCTCTCACATTGCGCAACCTCGAATAGAGCGGCGCTCACCATCGGCCTTTCGAAGGACTTTCAGCGCATAGACTTTGTTCTTGTCTTTTTGATCCTTCAGCCTTGTAAGCCACACCCGAGCAAACGTGCCTAGTTGAAGAAAAAAATCCACGGTTAGATGAAATCTGCGCAAAGAATATGTGACTGATCAAACACTCACCGGTACCAAGAGTCTTTATGAGCACAAAGTCGCTTACGCGCAAAGTTCTTGAGGAGATACATAGTTGCTTCTCGTCTTGGCGCTCGGTGATGAGGAACGGGTTTGATCGCGGAGAGTTGCGGAGGGACTCGACAAGCTGCTTTCCTCGGGCATGCAGGTCGTGTTTGTGAAGAGACATAGTGCCTGGCGCCTCAGGCGAATGTTGCACTGTACCGGTCGCCATTGGAATAGCCAAAGGTCATCGCAAAAGCAGAGTGGGAAAAAAAGATATGAGATCCGGCCCGTTAGCGCGCCACCAATCGGGCAACACAGCTTATTTCAGCGGGTCTATCGAGCACATTGAGGAGGGCTCCCAAAAAAGTCTGGGGGTTAGGAGGTGGGGGATGTGAAGGAAGATGTTCTGACGTAGGAACTTGGGGGGCGGGGCTAGACGGAACTACGGTGATAAATCGGAGGCTCAAATCTATATCTCTTATTGCCTTATGATACACTCCACGGCCATTTTCTCACTTCTGTAGCCCAGTCCGGATATCTTTTTCGAAAACACGGTCTCAGTTTGTGAGAAGAAAACAGTCAAACAGTAGATACGAAGTCGTTTAAGACTTCGAGTTCAGGATCAAGCCAACAATCAAGCTGATCGGTGTTAGTAAGAGCAGGACGTTCCGACATGGAGAGCCGCTTACCCATAAAGTCCAAGTACTTCGCCAAAAATCAGAATCAGAATCATTCCCACGTAAACCCGAGATTGTTGCATGTAAGCGCGAACACCCTGTGTAGCCGTTAGAGCTCCATCTTCCACAAAGTCTGGGTGGTAGTCCCTACCGCATCGCCCACAATTCCAATCGTATAACCAGCCGCCACACCTGTGAGTCCGACGGACGTGCCAGCAGCGAGGTGCATGAATCCCCTGTGCAGTGTCAGCCCGTGCCAAGCTTCCGACTCCCAGCTCTTGAAACACTCCCAAAACGTACGTGTACAAACTCATGTGGGTTTCGGGGCCCACGGCTTGCGCAATGAGGACTGCGACAACGAGACCGTAGACTGCGATAATACCGGACATGACGACGGGGATAAGGGACTGCAGACAACGATTTGATTAGCCACATGTGCATCCAATGCACCCATCATTTCTTACCTTCATAATCAAGTCAGACCGGAAGGTTCCCACACCGGCGATACCGATGCCCGACTTGGCTGTGCCATAAGCTGCTCCTGCTGCTGTGAGATTGTAAGCTGTCTGTATTTCGACACCTCGCAATTAGCTCCCCCATGAAGGCTTTCACATACACCCGAAGATCATCTTCAGGATATTGTCAGTAGATAATCGAACAGGAACACGGTAATCGACTCACTGCAGCGGCAATGCCGGCCTGATATAAGCAACATGTTAGTCGACCAATTCCACTGTTTCCTTACGCGGGACCACTCACAAAGGAAAAGAAGGGAGCGAACTTGGGGGCAAGTTCACTTTCCGACATGGTGAAGAGCAAGACTGAGCTCGCAAAGATCAAAGATAATAGAAAAGGGAGCTTCCCTGAGGTTAAAGAGAGGAGAGCAAGACTGTTGATGGGTGTTCCACATGGCCACTTCGCCCACCGTAGTCCCCCGTACTGCCCGTTCCACCTGGTGACAATACAATACACGGCTGGCGACCACAAAACGACACCAAAATACCCGCCAAGCCCAGCCAGTTTGGTGTTTTGTGTATTACAATTACCACTACCGGTCTCGCCGTCACCTCGCCATCCTCCTCCCTCCTGCTTCCCCCCCCCCCAGTTTATTACTTTTCAACCAACATCCCCCACCACTCTCCACTCTCTTCAAATGCTGAGGGTATGAAATTAAAAGGAGCCTTGATTTTGTTGCGCTCACGGCTCCTGGCGCTTTCTCGGATTTGATATCGTCTTAAATCCCCCAACTGAGGGGAGTTATGACATATTGACATCTCCACCATTTACTCTTTTTTTTGCTGAGATTGCATGCCAGAGACTCTTATCTTACTTTCTTTGTTTCCTTCGTTGCCTACGATCTTGAACAGAAGCCTTGCGACGCCCGGAACGCCCTCCACGATCACGGATACCCCTGTCGCCTTCTTTGCATACCGAAATAGATATCACTTCCATCTCTCGCCGATCTACAGCTTCGTATTCCTGATCGCTTCCTCTTCAACAATATGGCGGACTTAGGGGGCCAGCGTAACCCGAATTACCGGCCTCACGGGCCTGCTTCGTCAACACAGCGAGATGCTGCATATTCTGACATCTTCGGAGGCGCACCTCCTCCGGGCCGCTCTCAGACGATGAACTCGCAGACACCGCAGTTCAATCAGGGTCGCGCTCATACCATGTCATCGCATGTCGCACAACCCCAATTCCAGAGACCGCCGCCGCCGCCGACGCGGCAAGTGCCAAATGGATACGGAGCGCCATCAGCACCAGCAAACGGATATCCTCCCCCTCCGCCATCAGGACAATACCAAGCGTACAACCCAGGGTCCGCCGCCACAATGTCCTCCCATCAACCTCCCCGGCCATACCCGGGTGCTCAACGCTTCGCTGCCTATCCGCGACCCCAGCGCCTTGATTCGAGACCAAGCCCTTCCACGCAATATCCAGACGCCAGAGACTTTAATCGTCCGATGCCTCCCCTCTGCGCTAAATTCCGACGCTACCCGATCAAGATCAATGGCTAAATTGAGCGGGCCACCATACCAAACCCCGCCGAGCAACTTCAACCACACATCCGCTATCGCCTCTCGCCGCGAGCAGTATCATGCTGGATCCCCAATGACTCAACTCGGGCGTCCTGTGCCGGAAAAACATACCAATGAACGAGCCATGTCTATGACTTCGTGGTCATCTGACCGAGATGCACACATCATGAACAGCGGGCGGTCCATCCCCAATCGCAGACCTCCATCGGGTCATGATCAACAGCCATCACCGAGTCTGGACTCTTCGGCGCGTACTAGTCCAGATAGCACTTTTACTTCTCGCCAGGTGAGCGATGGGTCAACGAGATCTCGCACAATGTCAATTGCATCGACTGCGACTGCAACTCCTATGTCTGATCGGACCTTGAGTGTTCAGAGTCAATTCCCTCAAAATACAGGACCTATGAATCTTGTATCGCGCGATTCACTGCGAAAGGTTCCGGTGGTCTATCCTGCCCTGCTTTCTCGGGTCGCAGATGTCTTCCGAGAGAAGATCTCACTCGGTGAACGACAGAAGAACGGTCTGTCTTATCAGAATGCCTTTTCAGGTACCGACTCGGTGGATCTGATTGGGAACATCATTCGGACCAATGATCGTAACCTCGCTCTTCTGCTGGGCCGAGCGTTGGATGCTCAGAAATTCTTCCACGATGTCACTTATGACCACCGTCTCCGAGATGCTCCCGGTGAGGTATATCAATTTAAGGAAACTCTAGGAGAGGACAAGTCTACAACCGAGGTCAATGGAGTTTTCACTCTATTGACCGAATGTTATTCTCCAACCTGCAACCGAGACAGTCTTTGCTATTCGATTGCTTGCCCGCGACGACTGGAACAGCAAGCCAGGTTGAATCTGAAACCTCAGCCGGTTTTGGGAGGAACTACGGACACGAAACTTGGTACAACCATTCCAATTGATGACGACGATGACAATGACAATCAGAAACTGTGGATCAGCACGGTGCCTAAGGAGGTTTCAGATTCCGTGGACGATCATGAGAAGAAAAGACAAGAGATCATTTTCGAGATCATGTATACGGAACGTGACTTCGTGAAGGACCTGGAGTACCTGCGCGATTTCTGGATGCGGCCGTTGCGTGCTGCGGGCACCACAACACACTCTCCTATTCCAGAACACCGACGCGAAAAGTTCATTCGAACCGTGTTTGGAAACTGTTTGGAAGTTCTCAAGGTCAACAGTGCTCTCTGCGAAGCTTTGAACGGTCGACAAAAAGAGAGCCAGGTTGTCCAAACCGTGGGTGATATCTTCTTGCAACACGTGCCTCGCTTTGATCCATTCATCAAGTATGGTGCCAACCAACTTTACGGAAAGTACGAGTTCGAGAAGGAGAAGGCTTCCAACCCAGCTTTTGCCAAATTCGTTGAAGACACAGAACGTTTGAAAGAGTCTCGAAAGCTTGAACTTAACGGATACCTAACCAAGCCTACCACTCGTCTTGCAAGATACCCGCTTCTGCTAAAGGAGGTGTTGAAGAACAGCGCAGATGGAAACCCGGACAAGGAAGATATCCCGAAGGCAATCCAGCTTATCAAAGACTTCCTCTCGCGTGTCAATGCCGAAAGTGGTAAAGCAGAGAACCACTTCAATTTGGTGCAGCTGAACGCCGCGTTGAAGTTCAATTCCGCAGACTATGTTGATTTGAAACTCACGGAAGAAAATCGACAAATGCTCATGAAGATGGCGTTCAAAAAGACCACTGCCGACAGCTCTGACGTCACCGCGTATCTCTTTGACCATGCAGTCTTGCTTGTTCGAATCAAAGTGGTCAATAAGCGTGAAGAATTCCGAGTCTATAAGAAGCCTATTCCTCTGGAGTTGTTGGTTATCGCTCAGATGGAAGAAGTCATTCCTCGACTGGGAATTGCCAAGAGACCCTCATCCAGTCTTTTGTCCAACAAGGCTCCAATCAACCCTCCGCCTTCTAAAGATGGTGGTCTTCCAATTACCTTCCGACATCTCGGAAAGGGTGGCTACGAGCAGACTCTTTACGCTACCAACGTAGCCACACGGCGCAAGTTCATTGAAGCGGTGGAGCAACAACAGCAGAAGTTGTGGGAACGAAACAGCAATTTCTACAACAAGACCATTCTGTGCGAGGGTTCGTTTGGGAACTTGAACCGTGTTAACTGTCTTGTTCCAATCGACGGTGGTCGGAAACTGGTTTATGGTACAGATAGCGGTATCTATGTCTCTGAGCGTTGGCCCAAAGATAAATCCGTCAAACCAAAAAGGGTCCTTGATGCTAGCCAGGTCACACAAATCGATACTTTGGAAGAGTATCAGCTTGTTTTGGTTCTGGCAAACAAGACACTTTCGTCGTATCCTATGGATGCCCTCGACCTCGGAGATAGCACAAATACCATGGCAAAGCGCCCAAAGAAAATTCAAGGTCATGCCAACTTCTTCAAAGCAGGCATCGGTCTCGGTCGTCATCTGGTTTGCTCCGTCAAGACATCGGCACTCTCAAGTACCATCAAGGTGTATGAGCCGATGGACAACCTCGCGAAGGGAAAGAAGAAGTCTGCTGTCAGCAAGATGTTCCAGAGTGGCCAGGACACACTTAAGCCGTTCAAGGTTCGTTTTTGCCTTTTCGGATTGACAAAACATGTTGTGCTAACAGTTCCTTTTAGGAATACTACATCCCTGCCGAATCTTCTTCGATTCACTTCCTTCGTTCTACTCTATGTGTTGGTTGTGCACGTGGCTTTGAGGTTGTCAGTCTAGAAACAACAGAGACCCAGTCTCTTCTTGACCAAGCAGATACATCCCTCGACTTCGTGGCACGAAAGGAGAACGTCAAGCCTATCCATATCGAGCGTATGAATGGAGAATTCTTGCTCAATTACAGTGACTTCTCATTCTTCGTCAACCGCAATGGCTGGCGAGCCCGTCCAGACTGGAAGATCGCTTGGGAGGGCAACCCGAACGCATTCGCCCTATCATACCCATACATCCTGGCATTCGAACCGAACTTTGTTGAGATTCGACACGTGGAGACAAGCGAATTGACGCATCTGATGACTGGGAAGAACATTCGCATGCTGCACTCTTCCACTCGAGAGGTATGTCACATTCATATCGCGTTATCTTCATAACCAAGCGCTGACCCCTGTAGATCATTTATGCCTACGAAGATGAAGGCGGTTTCGATGTCATTGCTAGTCTCGACTTCTGGACCAATAAACCCCAACAGCAAAGCGTTTAACCGCCCAAGCTGTTCAGAACCAAAAACCACCTGCCATACACAACCAAACCGCCACTTCAACTCGCAATCCCTCCAAACCTCCCCAATAACAAATGAACAGGTCCAACCCGTCATCTCATTTCTACGCAATGTACAATGGAGCGCAAATACCACTTCTTGCGTGTCTGCTTTCCTGCTTTCAACCGCCCTTCTTCCCCTACTATTTTTCAACTTCACTTCTTGCTTATTGCATTTTTCTCCCCCTTTTTCTCCCTCTACCTTTCTTCATCCCTTCACCCTTCAAAATATTCATCTATCCTTAGCTCGTTCTATCTTCCTGATGCTTGTCGAACCATTTCTATCCGCATGGCTGTGTTGAAAGTGTACTCTTTCTTATCTGTATCTGTTGAGTTCGAGGTTACTTATCTTGTCTATTATGCTTATCAATGTCATTGATGTGGATGGATCTGTTTTGCATTTCGGGTGAAGAGAGTCGTGTTGTAGGCTAGGTTTGTATTTATGTTAATGTATGTGAAAATACACTAAGTTATTGACTATTGTCTATGATCAACAAATATATTGTACGCTCGAATGTCGAGTGAGAAATAATAAACATATATCTGGTCGTCGAGCCCCAGTACTGATCATGTCGGAATACAGCATGTTTATAGGTAGATAGATCCCAGGAATATATAACGTGATATTACTTGGTTTAAGTACTTTGGCTACCGAAATGAAGAAAGAAAAATAAATGGATCACAGCACAAGCCAAGTACTCAAAATACTTTTTCTTCCTCAATTACTATCAGGACTAGGAGGAGAGACGAGGAAAAAAAGGATGGATAATGGACAGGACATGGGCCACGAACACATAAAAAACAACAGAGAAGAGGGAATATTGCTGCGCTGCGGACTTTCGATAAGAACAGATGAATGAGGGGAAGGAGAAAAGAGAAAAGATGCAGTTCACAGGACCCCCGGCCGCTGTTGGTGATGTGATAGAACAAGTGACAGCGAAAAGACGAGGTGCTGAGGCAGAGTAGTCAACGGATGAAATCCGAGAACGTCACACCGAGGGATATCGGGGTAAGAAATCCAGCTTGATGTAACGAATCTTGAGTGCCTGCGTTGCGCCCATCGTTCGTAACTGAGGCGCCGCAGTCTATGATGAGTCGGTCCGTCCCCAGAGAGAGAAGAAGAGAAAAAGAAAAAAGCTATTAACGTGAATAAACTGTCAATATTATCCCCATAAACAAAAACCAACTTGGTGCCATAAAGTCCAGGTTGGCACAAACGGTATCACATTGCAAACCGGGGCCCCGCTGAATGAGCCGCATCTTCGACAGGGTATATCTAGGCCTCTCCAGCTGCCTCGCTGACATTGCCCTGACTCTGCTGTTCGCGCTGCATACGGGCCTCAATCTCTCTGAGCTGGCTCTCGCGAGCCAGCAGCTCCTGCCGCTTCTCGGCAATCTCGCGCTGTACCTTGATCTCAATCTCACGCAGCTTCTCCTCCTCGCGGCGGAGCTGCTCCTCCTTGAGGCGAACTGACTGAGATGCAAGGTCCTCGGGGTTCATGGTAGAGTCTTGGGGACTGTTCACGAATGAGTTAGCAAAGTCGGGATATGAAACCCCGGGACCAGAAACATACGGGATGGCACCGTCGACGCTCTTGCTGAGCTTCTCGGTACGGTAGTTCTCATAAAGGAAGTCGTGGGTGATCTCCTTCAAATCAGCCAAGTGGCTGTGCAGCAGAGCGCTGCGGATAGCCAAGAAATCAGAGTGACGAGGGTTCTCAACCTCGACAACACCCCATGGGTACTGGCGCGCGCGCACTTTCTTGTTATCAATCTCGACGAAATCCTCGGAGCCAACAATGGCAAAGGGCATCAATCCACGGAGCTCGGCGTTCTCCTCAACGGTGTCCTCATCATCCTCCTCGATATCGTAGGGGAAGTTGTAGACGGGGATGCGGTAGTGTTCAATATCCTCCATAATCAGCTTCTTGGACTCGGCCAATTCTGCGGGAGTGAGGGAGTCGGCCTTTCCGATGACAGGAATAACGTTGACACGGGGGGAGAGGCGCTTCATCAATTCGATGTCGAGTTCACGGAGACCGTGACCGGTTGGTGTGATGAAGTAGAGCAGAACGTGGACACGGTTATCCCTGAAGCGGGGGTTACGCTTAATACGGGACTCCTCTGCAAGAATGTCATCGTATTGGCGCTCGAGGTACCCGACAATCTCGCCGAAGCTGTCCAAAAGTTAGCCAAAGAACTGATGCGTATTGCGCGCGGTATACATGCCTGGCCTCATTGTCAATCTGGTCACCGAATCCGGGGGTATCGACGATGGTCAAGGAAATACGAGTTCCCTCCTCATCGAGTTCGAGCTCTGCAAGCTGTTGTCAGTCTTCATAGCTCACTCTTGACGCCATGCGGGGAACGGTTCAACTAACCGACAGTGACGGGCTTAATGCGGACACCCTCCTCGATGTGAGCGTTGGCAGCATCGTCGGCATCCTTGCCCTCCAGAACCTGCTTTCCACAGAGAGTGTTGACGAAAGTTGTGCGACCTGCGAAAAGGAGATGGATCAATCACCATTCTGACTTGACTGCGTGTCGAGGACATTACCTGTTCCACTGGCACCGCACACCATCACACAGAACTGAATTCCCTTCTTGACATTCTTCTTGCGACGGATCTTCATCTACCCGGACAAAGCGCGGGCATGCAATTAGCTCGGGGAACTTTTTCGAGGTATGGGAAGCAATCAGAATAGGGGAATGCACATACCGCGTTAAGGGCCGACGACATATTGGGCTAGAGAGTGAATGAAACAAAGATACAGCGAAATGAAGAGGGCTAAAGCAAGTAATATGAAGATGGGTGAAACTTGCTCTCCTGAGTCTGGAGAGAGTAGGGGGGGGGGGTGTGGGAGGAAAGACAGTTCATGTTTCCCCCTTTCCCAAACAGGCGGCCAATCACGGGACGTGCATCTTCTCCAGTCTACTTTACTTCTACCACCGAGCTCATGATCTGTCACAATTGATAGATGAAATTGGCGGGAAAAAGAATTGAGAACTATTGAAAGTCATATATTGAATGACTGAGCTATTTGCATCTACATAAATAACCATTTGAGTGCTGAATGGAAGATACGCAGCACTCAGGGGTTGATGGAGTAGTGGGTCGCTGCTGGCCACCGTATGATTACATAATGTGCTGCCTGAGGTGGCTTGCCCGCATCTTATCGTCTCCGGGGAATCCTATACTGCCAGTGCCCTTGAACACCTTGAACACCTTGAACTGATGGTTCACTGGAGGTTTGCTTGAGCTGTGAATTTCTTACTCTCCCTACTCTAGCTATGCTTGGTGGACACCTTGATCATGAACACGCGCCAGGTCATAGATGAGTCCATCGGGCCATACTCACTGTCTGCGACATTCAACCATGACAGTAGTTGTTTCTCCGTGGGCTTAGACACTGGGTTTTGTGGTAAGAGATACTCAAGCAGGATTCCAGCTCCAAGTGTGCGCTGTGGTCTAACATGAAGTATGGAGTTGATGCTAAATTTACATGGCGCAGTCTTCAATTCTAACCCATGCGAGCTCAAAGTATCACGAGGTTAGTATTTGCTTTTCAGCTCGGCGCGTACTTGAATCGCTATCATACTGAAACTTTTGCGCTACAGATTTCAATGCAGGGATCGGGGTGGCAGAGATGCTAGGCCAGTCAAACTACCTAGCAATCGTCGGGGGCGGAAAGAACCCCAAATTTCCGCAGAACAAGGTGCGCAGACTCTAGAATGTGGCCAGACCATTGGATACTCATCGATCTTACTCCAGTTGATAATATGGGACGATGCAAAGCAAAAAGCGGCTATCACCCTTGAATTCCGCACCTCGGTCCTCGGCGTGCGCCTCTCCAAATCGAAGATCGTGGTTGTGCTATTGAATAGTGTCCATGTTTTTGCATTCTCCAATCCTCCGCAAAAGCAATCAGTCTTTGAGACCTCAGACAACCCGCTGGGGCTGGCCTGCCTTGATCAAAAAGTGCTGGCCTTCCCAGGCCGGTCCCCAGGACAGGTCCAGATGATAGAGCTAGAGACTGGCAACATCAGCATTATTCCAGCGCATAGTACACCGCTACGAGCGATGTCCTTGAGTTCAGATGGGAAATTGCTGGCAACAGCAAGTGAAGCGGTAAGGTCTTATAGGCTGCGATGATCTACGGGTAGTCATTGACATTTGCGCAGGGAACTTTGATTCGGATTTTCGCTACCGGAAATTGTACAAAAATGGGAGAACTGCGACGGGGTGTCGACCATGCAGTGATATTCTCAGTTTCTTTCTCACCATCCAATAACTTGCTGGCAGTGACCTCCGACAAATCGACACTCCACATCTTTGACATTTCCCATCAGCAACATGTCACACGGCGCAGCCAGTCACCGGCACCCGCGCCTGAGGAACCAGCTGCTAGCCACAAGTGGGGATTCCTTGGCAGGATTCCCCTTCTGCCTCGAGTCTTCTCGGACGAATACTCATTTGCTAATGCGCATTTCGAGATAGGTGGAGAGGCCACCCAAGGATCCCATGTGCCACCGATTGGATCTTCAATAGGTCGACCTCAGAAAGGCCTGATTGGCTGGTGCGATGATCTGACACTTTTGGTTATCGGGTCGGGAAGAGACGGTCGTTGGGAGAAGTTTGCGATTCGGGAGGGCGAGGAAGGCAAGAGATATTGTGTCCGGGATGGTTGGAAGAGATATCTTGGTGCCGGTTGACGTATGGAACACGACCAGTTGATCTCAGGACCTGGTATCTCCTACCCCAAACCCAAGTGTTGCTACACGTTGTCTGCAATCAGATGACCTAGCACCAGCACCAAGCTCGGATTGCGGACAGTGGTTTTCAAGAACAACGAAAGCTGCAGTAAGGATACCAGACGACGAACATGAATGCAGCGATGTACATGATACCACAAACTCGAGAGTTAATAACAAACAACCCATAGTAATGATATATGTCTCAACGACGACGATCATGTCTATCCCGGTCACTTCGGTGTCTTCGGGAATCTGGCGAGCGCGATTTCCTCGATGATCGATCGCCCCGTGACCGTTCTTCTCTTTCAGATGATCTGTAGCGAGATCGCTTCTCCCTATCGGGAGAGCGATCATCCCGATGCCGACGCTCACGCGGAGAACGGGAACGGTGACGACGGGAACGGTGATGCCGGCTGGAGCGTTCTTTACTGTCGTGGCGTCGTCTAGATTTCTGGCTGCTGTTCCAGGCCTCGATTGCGCGCGCAACCTCTTCTTTCTTCTCCTCAACAAGGAACTCCTTCATGGGATCTTCCTCATCATGGTTGCGAATCAAGTCGTCAAGCTCCTTCTCTTCCGTCAAGACTGGCCGTCCTTCTTCCTTTTCGGTGATCCGCCTCCGGCTGCGGTCATCATCCCTGCCCTTGTTCTCGGTGGCAGCTGAGTCTCCCATAAGCTTGGCGACGTTGTTCTCCTCTTCCTCTTCTTCATCATCCCGTCGCTTGTAGCGCGCATGGTCCACACGAAGCAAGCGTCCCATCACACTTGCACCTCCGAGGTTATCCACGGCTAGATCTGTGCTGCGCTGATCTTCGTACTTGAGCCAAGCGAATCCTCTGCTCTTGCCCGTCTCCTTGTCGCGAGCTAGTTTAATGTGTACTGGCTCTCCGTATTGCGAGAATATCGCCACAACATCTCCTTCAGACAACTCGAATGGAAGCCCACCGATGTAGATATAAGCTGTGTCTCGGTAATCTGCGTGCCATGATGCCTCTGGGGGTCTGTAGGCCACGGTATTGTTAGTCAAGAAAAGAGCTTGGACAAGCTGAGCAGAACTTACATGGAATTTTCAAGTTCGCGCTTATTGAGCGCCTGAATCTGGCGAATGGAATTCATGGTGAGGTGGGAGAGGGAAAGTTGGAGCGCAGAAGTTGGAGAGAGGAAATGTGGAGCCGCGGAACCGTAATAATTGTTTACGCTGCAAACCAACCCCCTGCTCGATCGAAGACGACGTGGACAACCACCGACTTCTTTGGTGTGCGCTTTCTTCGACGGCCTTTCGCGAGCGGGATTGCTACTAGCTGAACCGCCTACAATTGGTCCCCCACCCACACCCCTCGGATTCCCCTGACACCTCTTGCACCTTCACCTCGACTCAACATCTCCACACGCATATCTCCCTGTGCTACGACATAGACAGACGCCTGGGTGAATGCCCTCTGAGGCAGGGTGGGACGAGACCAAACGATGTCCTCTAGTCCGCACGGGTCAAAGGCGGCCGGAACAAACAGTCGACCGACAAGCAAAGATGGCTCCAAAAAGAACATTTGGTCCTCTCTATTAGACAGCGTTGCCAACGGAAAGAGATTGCCTGAGAAGAACTTGCTAGTGCTAGGTGAGTGAACGTCTCCATGTGGCATTCCATGTCTACTCGCGCTCATTACTGGCCCCGTGTTTTGATTGTTGGACATGCCACTAACAGCTCAACGATAGGCGGTACTCCGGAAAGCCAAAGGGAATTTTTGGAGTCTTTCTCAGCAGATCTCTCAGATGGCTCCGGCTTAGTGAATGAGAAGCGCAAAGCTAAAGGGAAAACACCACCCATTGCAAACCAGTTCGCGCTGGGTTACACATATCGAGATGTCCTTGATGCTGATCAAGAAGGTACATGAGAACTACAACCTTCTTATAGTTGTTCCCATGCTAACAATTATACTGCAGATACTCTGGCACGCGTTTCAGCCTACCTTCTGTCCGAGCCCTCGCTATCATTCGCACCCCTCCTCAAACCACTCCTGACCCCACAGTCCGTGCCGGAAACGCTGGTTGTGATCCTTATGGACTGGTCTGACCCATGGACATGGATTCGAAGACTTAGAGAATGGGTCCGTCTTTTACGTACAGTGCTTGTTTCGCTTGACGATGAAACCAAGATCGTTATGGAAGAGACAATGACGGAGTGGCGCGATCGCAAAAGGGGACTAGATGCCAACTCTGCGGCTGCAGGCGGCTTGTCGACTTCGGGTGGCCAGGTCACGATACCACTCGGACCTGGTGAATGGGATGAGGGCCTTGGTATTCCAATGTGTGTTGTCTGTCAAGGGGTATGTGGTTCCACCTTTGAATTTGGCTCCAGCGGCCTTTGCTGACAAGAAATTTGATATATCCAGGCGGATAAGATTGAAAAATTGGAGAAGGGACATGGATGGCATGAAGAACAGTTCGACTTCATTCTTCAGTTCCTCCGAACCATTCTCCTGAAGCGTAAGAGCACTTTTATACACCGTCTCTAACCGATCAAGTGAAATAATCTCTAACCCCATCTAGACGGTGCCTCACTCATCTACACCACCCCATTCCTCGCCAACTCTCTTCAGAGTCTGATCCACTCTTCACTGGGTATACACTCTCTTTTGAAGAGACAATCATTAAAACATAATGTGATCGACCGTGACAAGATTCTGGTGCCAGCTAACTGGGACTCATGGGGTAAAATCCGAATCATCCGAGAAGGATTCGACATGGAAGGCGTGTCAACCGCATGGTCAATCGAGATCCAAGACCCTCCTGAACCAATTGATCAACCCCCAGAGAACGATAATGGCCCCGGAGAGGACGGCACAAGCGCCGTAAGAGTCTTCGAACAAACAATCAGCGACCCCAAACGAGACAACAGCATCGCCCATCCCAACAGCAACAGCAACGGAACCAAGATCGAAATCGAAACTTCCGATATCCAAGCCTTCCTCTCCAGCCAAGTGGAAATCCTGGAAAAGCTCAAAGCCGAAGACGAAAAGGACCGAGCAAATCAAGCAACCCCCCAACTGGAAATGTCCCCAATGGACGACGAAGGCAAAGTGAACGAGCACATCGGTCCTGTACAGTTCAACATGGGAGGAATCCAAGTTGACGCCGATGATATGCTCAAGAAACTTCGGGTAAGACATCCACCCAGAAGACCCCGTCGCCCGCCCCCACCCAGACGTTAAGCTAAATTATTTATTTACCCAGGATCGCGAAGCCAGTCGGACCCAAAAGAAGGAAAGCCCTATTCCCAACACCGGCGACGAGAAAGCCCACAACCAAGCCCTGGCCAACTTCTTTGCTGGCCTCGTCAAGAAAGGCGGTGCCAGTCCCCGTGGAAGTCCTTCTGCTTGAATGGTCACGGCCCTCGTGTAATTTAGCTCTTTATGCGTACATAATTCGGAGGCATAGACTATCGTCCTGTGTACTGGACTCGATGGTTTGATAGTGGTGAATACGGGTCTTAGATGTTTTTTGGGGTGTGGAGGATGCTGGTCGTTATGATTTCCCCTGGTTTTGGAGATTCTATGGCTTTTCTGCCGGTGTTAGATAATGATACCAATATGAAGACTTTGTGATTTTTGATTCTAGTTGTGTACTTCGTCTTATATATGCTTGCCCGTCAGTTTACCAGAGCGATTGTGCATTAATTCTAATAGAGTGGCAGAACATAAGTTTACCAAGAAGAACAAACCAACAAGACTTGATAATTCGTTTTCATACAAGGTAGATCAATATACATACAGAAATGCAGTCCTTGCAATCTCATCATTCTCCCGTTTTGCAACAGAAGTCCATATTCAATAGGTCAACCGAAACTAAATCACAATACAAACACTGAACAAATGAAAACAATCCTAATACCCACCCCGCTGGTTACCAACGTTAGATTGCTCACTCGAGCGGGTGACTCTAGGATCAAGTTTGTTCAATGGATCATCATTCTGAGCACCAGATGCCTCTCGCGCGCCAGAGGTGTAACTACTGCCACCAGCAGCACTACCACCAAAGCCCGAGTCAACCCTGTTATCAGAGCCCAACTTATCGTATCCCTGCTCGCCTTGCATGCCCGTCTGGCAGGGCATGGTGTGGCTAGTAGCAGAGTGGGACTTGTGCTCCTGCATAGAAGTGCTGTGGCTTTCCTCACTGGTCATTGGACTGTTACCGTACTCGCCAGGTTGGGGCTGGGTCTGGGACCTGTTTTCCTGGGTGGATTTGTTATAGTCATCCTCGACGTTCTCGTGCTTGTCCATGCCTGACGACAGGTTGCTGGGAGGGTTCATAGCTCCGCCGCCTCCGCGTGTGCTGGCGCGATTGTCTATATATTTTCAGCTTGAGCTTTGGGTTTTGGGGCTTCGTTTCGACCTACCCATGCCACTGCTAGTGCCTGAGGACATGTTACCCGTGTTGCCGGAGGGGTTCATGGTGCCTCGTGTACCACGGTTATCTAAACTATTAGGTTGGAATTCTAGCTTCAGAGCTTGGCTTGACTTACCCATATCGCTGTCGACGCGAGGATCCATCTTGTTGGCCATTCTAGACTCATGTGGACCAGCGTTAACGTTGGAACGATTTCCGCCCATTGCTCTCTGTTCATAATCGCCAGAACGGCCCTGGTTGCCCATTCCACCAGTAGTTGGGTTGGTTGAACTCTGGTTGTCTACAATACAACGCTTAGCTTTAACTTCAAGTGTTGGAGTCAGGCTTAGCTTACCCATATCGCTGTCGACGCGAGGATCCATCTTGTTAGCCAGCTTCGAATCGTGCGGACCAGCGTTAACGTTGGAACGATTTCCGCCCATTGCTCTCTGTTCGTAATCGCCGGAACGGCCCTGGTTGCCCATTCCAGTAGTGGCTGGATTAGCTGAGCTTTGGTTGTCTATAACCCCAATTAGCATTTTCATATAATTAACTAACCCAAAGGAACAGTAGGTCTCCAGGGACTCACCGTTGAACTTGGAGTCACGATAGGCAGAACCAGAGCCGTAAGGGTTGTTAGAGCCCACGGCAGACGATCTGTTCTGGTTCATACCATGCTCTGTGCCTGGGACATTGGAAGTTCCCTGGTTGTCCCGGCCAGCCTGGAATCCGCGGGCTGTATCCTTGTCATGATCGGTCACGGCTTCCTTGACTTTGTGCATAAAGTTCGACATGGTGAATAATTGGTTGTCAAATAATGATGTAGTAAAATATATAGATATCGTAAGATGATTCCGTCAATCTCGGGCCATTAACAGACTTATATGTCAGACATATCTTGCCTGAAACTCGTATTGAATCGGATCGTATGGATATCCAGTGACGACATTATGAGGAGTTCATATGGATGGAAAAACAAGCTCTTATAGATACTGACCTATGGAGTGGCTGGATTTTCTAGTATTCTGACTTGACGGACAGGTTCGGCGATTGTTTGGGCGAAACCTAGGGCGCTGTGAATGTCATCTGCTTGGGTGTCGTCATTTCCGCTGTATATAGATCTGGGGAACACGAACGGGGGTTCCCATTCCATGGTTCACCTCTTTCACGGATTGACATTCAAGTTTTCTTCAAAGCTTGACACATTACAGAAATCAAGAGTTGGAATAAAGGAGCCTGGCTTTGAGCCGTGGAGATGTGGTTTAGGGAGGAACGCCTCACCCGAGAAAATAGGGTAAGCGGACCAGGGTGTGCGTCCGATCACAGCTTTTTGTGCACTACAAATTACTGTTAAATCAATCTAGTAGATAGTCCATTACTCAATATATAAACAGACAATATAGCAACACAGCCCCTGACTTCAAATTTACACCTAAGGTATAAATAATGAATCACCAGTTCTCCCAGACAGCATCCGGCAAAACCTTTCTCATAATACCCCAGTGCTCCAAAGCACTACGGTCCTGATACTTGTGTAATCTACCGACCTCCTTGTCCCATAGGAGAGCTCGACCAGCCGGGGGGTAAGAGGCAAAGATAGCAGGATCAAGCTCATGCTTAGGAACAAGGTAGCTTTCACGAGACTTGCTGCGCAGATAGTCTGCCTGGACAGGGTCACGGAAGCGAAGAGGGGTCTTGGCACTCTTCTTGCAAAACAAGACCATGTTAGTGAAGTCGGTGCTCTCCTCAGATCCGACGGGTGCTTCTTCGCGGAAGATACGGCACGATGGGAAGACGGCTCGGATGGTGCGGACTACCAGGCCTGTTGGGTAAAGAGTGAGATCTCCGGCGTAATTCTGGGGTTGATTTGTTAGTACATTTATACAGTAGGACGTGTAGCTGAATTGGTCTTACAATGGCAATAACACCGTCGTCCTTCAGAAGCGCTTCGAGGCCCTCGAGGAACTCATAGGTGAACAGTTCGGCGGGCTCGGCACCACCAGTGAACACATCGTGAACGATATAGTCGTACTGGATTGGCTGAGGGGCAGATTGGGCCTTCTTGACGTATTTGACGGCATCCTGGATGATAGGAATATGGTTCTGTGGGAGATTGAAATATTCAACTGCGTACTTGTGCACGGTAGGGTCAATTTCGACGATAGTGGTCTCAATACCGTGCTTGATGAGTGCAGCAGGGGTTGTGCCAATTCCAAGTCCACTGTCAACAAGTTAGTTTGTAGACCTTCATATTTGCTGGGCATTCTTACATGACCAATGCCTTGCTATCGGCATCGACGCGGGAAACGCCATGATCAGGCTCAACCAGACGGACAGCCTCGAGCATGGCGAAAACAGCGTAAATAGGATCCTCTACCTCGGGACGGTAGCCGGGAGCTGACTTGGTCCATTGTCCACCGAGAAGACTGTGGTCGCAGCGCATAACTCGGAATCCATCATTGTGGTTATCCAACACAGAGATGTAACCTGTGGTGGACTCATGACGTGCGACAAGGGAGTACCCTTCGTGTTCAATGGCAGAGTTCACACCATTAATTCCAGCGAAGTGGACGTTCGAGGTGAAAGAAAAGATCACGGACGGAATGGCTAGAACCAGCAACTTGGATGGAAGGATTGCAGAGTAACACACCGCAAGAATCATCTGCATTCCAACCCTGGTGAACAGGAAGGTATGGCCAACAATCCAGTGCAAGATTGTGTTTGCAACGTGATCTCCAATAGAATAGAAAAGGTAAGTGCCCAGCAGAGGAATGTGCTCAGCGACCACGTCGCCCTGTGACTCGAGTCTTAGACCCTTTTGAATTTGCTTTCCGGCATAGGCCACTGTGAGGAGTACCAGAGGGTAATAGCCACACAGCTCTGTGATGACCGGACCGAGTGGGTTGCCCAATGAGGAGCTCTTCTGCTTCATGAAATACTGGAGAGTTGGGACCCAGAATGCCAATACAGGGAGTAGATAGCCCCCGGCACGACCAAGACGTCTGACAATAAAGTCTTTCAAAAACCATCCGGCTCCGCCAAAGACGGCGACACCGTAGGCATGGAAGATTTCAGCAGGCAAGGATCCATATGTTGGAGACAGGATCAGCTTGGAAAGGGGTGAGTAGAACGCAAGAATGACCAGCAGAGCCACACCGGAACCAACTCGCCGGTGGTCGGCCTGCTGTATGAACTGCTCGACAGAAGGCATGGTTTCCAGCTGATGCAGCTATGGATGTTGGTGGCAAGCGCGGAATCAGTCAAGATAGCGCATCTGTGAGCTTGTTAGCACCCGCAACTGTGGCCTGTTCTCGCTTTAAGAGACATTCAAAGCTCAAGAGGCTCCAAATCATTCCAAATAGATCATTGACTTACATGTTTAACCCGGCCAGAAATCAATGTCGAGGTTGAAAAAAAAGTTACGGAGAGAAGCTCTTTTGCCGCCGAATCCCGCGTTCCCCAACTTCATCTCCCCTCCACTTTCTGAAACACACCCCCAAGATGCCACTTTTCCCTATGGATTCGGGGTTTACAGATCAAGGCGAATCCAGTACCCATAGCCATGCTGTCACAGTCAAAAACCGTCGCAAACGGTATCTGGACCTGCACCCAGAATACTTCTCGGCGGAGCTCGAGCTAGCCGGTCCGCCTGCTCTTCCCATTGCCAGCTGATACAAATGGCTTGATCTATCGCAGGATCTAGCTGGCAAAGGTTATAAACAGAAACAAAAACATGGTGCTAATCTTGCCCGACTTCTGTACAGACCCGTTACTCTACGATCGCCTAATACGCCGATTTCAGACACCGCAGGAAAGAGAAGACGCAGGGCGGGCGAAGGGGTTCTCGGGCGTCCTACAAGCAGACCTCTTGCGATCTGAAGCCAGAATTGATGCAATCGCACACCCAAATCCTAATGCCGAAATGAGCTATACCCGTGGCCCCGATGGGGAGATTCTTGCTGAGGACCGTGATGAAATTCCTCCCAGCAAAGAAGAAGGCGAGCGCCGCTGGCAGTGGGAGATGGGCTTGCGATTTGTGCAGGGCAATGACTCGGATTTTGATTATAAGGCTGTCGATGAGAATGATGAGCTCGATGACTGGTCTGATAAGCAGAATGAGTACTTTGAGGATGAGGAGCCTGAATGGGTTGTTGATAATACGCGCGGGGAAGATGCTCGCCCCAGTCTTCAGGGTGAAACTGGTGTTCAGGATTTCTGATTCCAGAGGAGTCTATGGCTTCTGCTCATACTCCTGCAAGGAAGTTGAGCACGCTCCCTCGCTTTGAATGCCCGCCATGATAAATCTGAAACTATATCTATCTGAAACTTTATCTACGCGGTTCGTTCTGTTGCCATCTTTAATTTGGCGGACCAACATTCCTTATGGAAGACAACCTTAATGAAGCATTAAAGAATTTCTAACGCTATAGGAATTCTTTAATATCCTCAGGAATCTGTTGAAGAAGGAAATACTGTAGCACAATATTCGATACTCCATTTATTTTTGATAGTCGGAATCACCAGATCACCAAATTTCCCCAAACCAGTCCTAATACTGCATGCAATAGGCCTAGTCTGCATATCATATTTGAATGATCGGAAATTTGATAATGATGTTACGGATGTATGTTTGGGGACGTGTTACCATGAGAGATAAAGTCGACAAGGACCAAGTATGCGACATTTCCATTCACCCAGACGTAGAGACAAGACAGCGTGTGGCTTAAAACAAACCACTGTAGCTGAGATAGAGCTGAAGGCGACACTGTCGCGGCGGGTGTCCTATGCTCGCTCAGCACTAGTCCACCGAAACTAGCTTCGTAGTGTATACCACGCTTTCATGCACTCGCTGCCTTGAGAGCTAAAATCTCCAGAGCCTTCTGTCGGAGCTTGAACTTTTGAATCTTCCCACTTGCCGTTTTAGGAAACGACTCCAAAGGACCCAGGAAGAAAACATATTTCGGAACTGAGAAGCATCAGCATTAAACTCAATTCTCGGGGCTTGAGATATCTCTAGGGTCACTCACCGAGATGGCTACTGAGCTTATCACGAACCCATTGTTGAATATCCTCAGCAGCAACTTTGTTCATGCTGTGCTCACGAGCTATCACAAATGCAGCCACAGCCTCACCATACCGCGCGTCAGGGACACCAATAACCGATACATCGGCAACATCGGTGTTAGCGAGAAGACAGTTCTCGATCTCTAGAGGGTGGATGTTCTCGCCACCACGGATGATGAGATCTTTTATCCGGCCCGTGATGGTAATGTATCCGTCTGCTGACATGGAAGCTTCATCGCCGGTCTGACGTCTCAAGGTTAGAAGTCGAATTATCAAGATAGGGGAACCTTGGACTTACATGCATCCATACTTTCCCAGCCTCATCCGGGATCATAACCTCTGCTGTCTTCTCTGGATCGTTCCAATACTCCTTCATGAGCAAGTATCCGCTCACAACCAATTCGCCCCGAGCCCCAATTGGCTGGGTACTTGTGTTATCTTCCGGGTTCACGATTTTGGCTTCAACATGCGGCATTAGTTTCCCAACAGAGGTGATTCGTTTGTCGATAGGATCGTCGGTAGTAGTCATGGCAGATACAGGGCTGGTCTCGGTCATTCCATAGCAAATTGTCAACTCGGTGAGGTTCAGCACTTTGTGTAGCTTTTTCATTAGTTCCGCGGGGATGCTACTTCCAGCAGCGATGCCGGTCCGAAGATGCTGGAACCCCTCATGTGAGATTTCTCCTTTCTCGATCAGACTAAGTTCCTCGAGGAACATTGTGGGTACACCGTATAAAGCTGTACACTGTTCTTCTTGGACCGTTTTCAATGCAGCACGTGCATTAAACGATTCACTGGGGAATACAATTGCTGCGCCATGTGTTGCCGTTGCCATATATCCCAATATGCATCCGAAGCAATGGAACAGTGGTGGTGGACAGCAGACAATGTCATTGGGAGTAAGAAGCATATGATCACCAATCTGAGAGCCATTATTCAAGATAGAGTGGTGGCTGAGACAGGCTGCTTTTGGCATTGCTGTTGTTCCTGATGTAAACTGGATATTTACGACATCGTGTGGTGAAAGATTCTGGGGAGGAAGTGGGCGACCATCTGCAGCAATTTGAGACATGATAGATGTGTATGGTGTTATGCTTTTGTAAGATGAATAATCCACACGGCCTTCGGAATTGTCGACAAGAACGATATTCTTCAAGGAAGGGACCAAAGAAGACTCAATCTTCAATGCGGAAAGATCTGTAACCAGTTCTTGGAGCAAGGGAATATTGCTTCGGGGTTCTTTTCGCGGAAGATTTGACTCTGCGCTTATAATAAGATGGCTTGATTCAAGATGACCCAATGCGGCAATCACTTGTGTGGCATTGAAAGAGGGATTGAGGGGGACCTGGGTTGGTATCAGACATGATCCTCGCGTGAGAAGGCGGGTTGACTTACCAAAATGGCACCCAGTTTGAACAGTGCGTATGTTGTCTATACCTGATCATGAGTATCTGCCTTCCAAGTGTATTGTGACTGTTCATACCACCGCGTATTCCATAGAGTTGCCAAGCATGACTCCAACCCGCTCTCCCTTGCGTACACCCACCGACTCGAGTCCTCGAGCAAGCGCATTGCTCCTACTGTCCAGCGAGGCATAGGTTACTCGGTCATTCTGATGCTTTGAAATAACACTGGTGGCATTTTTATTAGTTTCGAACTTCAATTCCTCGGATTGGAGATCAATTCTCACGCTGTTCTATCACCACATTCTGTCACCACTTTGGCAAAATTTTCTCCGACTGTAGACTCAATTAAGGGAGGCTGTATTGAAGTGATCAATCAGAATTGATTCAGTTGATGCTGGCAATTGAGATTACTCTCAAGAAGTGGTGACCTACACTTGATGGGCCTCGAGCATAGCTCTCGGTCAACAGTCCTCTTCTGGCTAAAAACAATGGATGAAGGGTTCTCTTTCCACCGCAGTTCAGCTGCCGGCAGCTGACACGAGCCCTGAAGCCCAAGCCCACGAGAATCCTGCTGAATCCCATCTTCGTATCCCGGTTCTATCTCGTGATTACCGCAGGGGCATAGTTTGCAGGGATGCCTTTCGAGAGTGTATAATGATGCTGGTTGTGGATATTGGAAGCTGTACAGTGAATAGGTGTATCAGCTTAGATCAAAAGAATATGTAATCAGGCCAGAATCGTGAGTTTTGGGGAGTTGAAGATGGGAAGTGAAGCTTTCCCCGCAGTTTGCTCGTGCGGGGGGTCGGGGTCCTGCCGAGGTGACAACCGAAATCTTCCCCTTCCAACTTCTCAGGCACCGTGGAAGATGTAATAGTTAGCCTAAAACCAGCCTTAGCGTGTGGTATGCTATGATCAGGATGAAATTTTGAGTCTGATTGTGATTTGCTACTTTATATCAATGCCCTTTTGCTTCGCATGAAACTACTTCCTAGGTCATAATGTATAGTCCCTGCAATGACCCAGCAAGAACTTTAGACCACAGAGGCCTTAATGGTACTGTTGATGTGCCCAACGAGAAGGAAAGAAGTGGCGATATGGCCGTTACAATAGTTTCATGCTGGTTTATGTTGACAATCGGGAGGAACCTTGGAATGTCCAACCAAACGAGGTCTCAATGGATTCCTATCACCGAAAGGGATTGGCGAATCAAGCTCTCCTGGCATCTCCAATATGAAAAATCGTATGTCCATGTGCTGGTCTGTGGATCCAATTAATACGATAGAAACAAATTGAGAGTCCATGAGGTTTATGATTAAGAGCCATCTTTGTGTTGTCAGCATGGCCCAGAGGATAGATGATAAAGAGGCAAGTCAGCGACGGTCTGCTCTTTCCTATTAATGACAGCATCATGCGGGTGAGTAACCTCAAATCCCCAATTAGACTCATCAGAAAGCGCCTCCTCCAAGGATGGCAAGTCTTGAATGTTTTTGATAGTCAGGCGAACATACTTGAGAGGGTCACGCCATAGAATTGGACGGGAAGTAGCAAAGACTTGAAGACTTAGCCGGTTCTTACCAATAAGCGAGAACAGTGTATTCTATACCCTGTCTGGTGTTTCTCGAGCTTCTCGAGAGCGGTTGATATCTCGAGGTGAAGTGCATCTTTCACTTCATCGATTCGATTCTGCCAGGCTGTCATGGCCGCAGAATCTTGCACAGTTTGTACGATTTTCTGGGAGCATAGCAAGCTGCTGATATCAAAGTACGTGGCTGCCAGACTTTCGAGAGCGTCGGCATTTGCTCGGTTTGGTGGATCATGTTCAAGCCTCTGACTTCTGGGTGGGGAAGCATATGGCTTTGCTAGGCCTGCAGTGTTCCGTGACGTAGATATATCGCCAGTCGTCCTCGCGGTGATTGGATTGACCACAGCAGTGATGTTGGGAGCAGAAGGCTGTCTAGCCGCTGATCGAAGGACCCTTTTAGTCATAGGGATCTTGGAGGTCTGAATTGGGACCACGGTAGAGTTATCCTAGGGCATCAAGAGAAAACTGTAATCGATCACTTTGAATGTCTTGCGGCACATATTTAATGCGCGAGGCAGCAATGCTTTGTACTGGAACCCAGAGGACCGTGGCCTGGAGAAAGCCATTATGGTTGAAAAAAGGGGGAGCATGGCATATACCTGTTTGGAAATGAACTTGCAACGTGACTAGTGGTACATTTCAAGCATATTTCATGGCTAAATGGAAATGGTGGAAGTTCTTGAAAGGAGAAGAAGTCAAGTATAAAGAGAGAGAGGGTCGACGGGTCAAAAATAGCGGATCGCTTGGCGTCATGTGGTGGGGAAGCTGCGATGCGACAACCTTCCCTCTTTCAACCGTTCTTTGTCTCTTTGTCCACTCGATATTGCTGCAACATGGCTTCCGAACCCACCGAGGATGCCATCGCAAACTTTGTTAGCTTCACGAGCACAACGCGCGACCAGGCTATCAACTTTCTGAAGGTCGGAGCTTAGACTCGGCTTACACTCAGCACTTTGACAGCTAACCAGGTTTCAGGCTCATAACCTCGACTCGCAAAAGGCCATCAACGCGTACTTTGAAGATCCAACGGGCCCTCAGCCAAAGGTGAACTGGCATCGCGATGGCGCATTGTCTTCCGCATACGATCTGACGTTCTAAATAGGCTGATAGCTATTACAACGACAAACGCACTACCAGTAAGCTTGTACCTCTTTCATGAGATGAGACTGAGAACTGACAAATGCTCTCTCAGCGTGGGATTTTGACCAACAGGACAATGCGCCCCCCATACCCGCAACAGCACCACCCTCGCGTCCTCCCTCCCGGATGAACATGAACGATACGGACAGGAAGACTGCACTTGGACCAACGGCTCCACCAGGTATCTGACATTACAGTCATTACCGGAACTGAAATATACTGATTTTAAGACATAGCAGGTGATGGACAAGGATTAAGCCTGGCAGAACGCGAAGAAAAGGAACTACAACAGGCAGTCGCTATGTCGTTGAACTCTGGTTTGGGGCAACAGGAAGTTGGTGTGACCTCTAGTTCCCAGCCACAATTCGCCAAGGCAACTCGGGATCACTACGAGGCGGGTGACTGGGCTATGACTTTATTCAATACAACCTCTGAAGAGGTCACCATCGGACCCGAGCCGGAAGACCGCAGGAGAGGCCAGGGTGAGCCTGCCTTCATCCGCCCGACTCAAGATGGTCTTTACCTGGGAGGATTCCTCACCATTGCCCACGAAATTCCTCTCGCCAGGGAAGCGCTTCTTTTACGGAGCAAACCGCTCTTTGACTATGGACATGAACCACAATGGTGGAATGGGCACTCGATCAACCTACCCAAGATTGTCACGGTGAATGATGACAATCGAGATGCCGACTGGGACGATGTCATCTATGAAGCGCAGCGTTTGATGGCCTTTATGGATTCCACAAAACGATCCTTTGGAAGTAGCGACAGCTTGGCAAGGATCCGGAGTCTCTCTACATTATCCTCCGACCCAGAGGAGATCGTTACCAGGTTCTTGGAAGCATGGCATAGCGCCGCCATTCGAGCCGATCCCGACAATCAGCTTGCAGCTATTTTCACGTCACATGCATTCAAGCAACAATCCCACGAGTACGATGAGCCTGCTACCAAAGATCTCTTCACATTTGAAATTCCCGTTGAACCAGACCATGGCCAGAGCCTTTACGAGGTCATTGACAGAGCTTTATGGAACGAGGGACCGGAGGAAGAGCTCGAGAATATCTGGATTGAAAACATTGCAGAGGTATTATGCATCAAACTCGACTGTCTCCAAAGGCCAAATGCGGTGGATGTGGAGATTCCCGCTACTTTCTACGCGGATCGGTACCTCAGCAGCTGTCGTGAAACCGCGCGTGAACTTCGCTTGAAGCGGCAGCAGATTCAGCGTGACATATTAAACCTGGAGAAACTCATACGCCATTACACTTTCCCGAAGAATCCCGTGGGCAATATGACACTGAAAGAGCTGTTCGAAAGAGCGGCAGCGGCGGCTCCCGTGGTGGTGCCAGAGAATTCGAACAATGCTGCTCGTGCCAAAGAGGCCGGTGTGGATGTCAAGCAAGTCGCGGAACAATTGAGAACCCTTGCCGCCAAGATCGAAACAAGACTCAAAGGTAAATCACTATCGCTTTCATGTAACCACTTTTATCTAATCTAGAATAGAGCTGGAGGCTAGCAAGGAGAGGGCTATGGTATCTCTCCGCGAAATTGCCAAGACACTCACAGAACCTTCTGAATCGCCCTCCGAGCCCCCTACCTACAAATACACCCTACGCGGTGTGTGCACTCAACCACATGTTACCTATGTCTTATCCAATTCAAAGGCAGGCTCCCCGGACCTAATGGATATGGAAGAGCAGAGTGGGGAACAGTGGTGGCGTATCAGCTATTCAACGGAAGATGGAAAGATTCGGCAAGCAGACAAACGGAAAGCTGCGGGAGACCACACAGCACCACCGAGCGGCGATATTGTTGGCTACAGCGCTTCAAGGGTGGGAGAGGACGAAGTCCTTCAAGCTGCCCGCGAGGAGTGGAGGTCTGTATTGCTTGTTTATGCGAGCGAGAATGCTATGAAGGCACCAGTCGACCCTGCGCTACCCCAACTTCAGGTACGATACGCAAGAACTTGTGTCTGATTCGAAGCTAATCAAGAACAGGGTTTCGTTAACGCAGACAATGACGCCTTTGAGGCTGAATTCGACCAGACTGCCACCATTATCAACAGTGACCAGGAAGAGTCCTGGGCCCCGCCCAGCAGTACTGAAACGCAACACAGCGAGCAGCCAGAGATGGTCGAGAAACGTCAACAGGTTAATGTCTTCGACTACGAGGTCTCCGGGTTTGACGACGAGCCTGAGCCTAGGCAAGAGATGCAGCAGAGGGATGGTGGAAGTCTTTTGAGCAAGGGCCTCCCTGAAAGTTCTCTGGCCAAGACAACGCAGGCTGGGCCGGAGCAGAAGTCTGCGCACGATGAAGAAATGGCTGACCATATTGAGCATGCATAGACATGATGCTTGATTGGAACTCCTACATGAATGATGAATCTATGAGACAGACAGTTGCATCAGTTTAGAGCGACACAACCTCAAGCTATCTATGGACAGAGCAATTGAGAGTACAGATCTTTTAGCCTTCAAATGTACAAATTACAGCGGGAAATTTACAGCGCATCATATTTCGGGGACTACGAGCTTAAAGTAAATCAATTGAAAAGTTGCATTCGAAAGTAAATACATCAAACAGGCGAAAAACATCAAAGCAACGGCATAGATCCGTGTTTACCACGCCCCACATTTTGCCCTGTTTGCACCAACTCCATATCAAGCTCCAACATTTACTCAACAAGCTCTCCAACTCAATCCACCCATTGATCCACAGACACAATGACACTCGAAAGCGATGCCGTAGCAGGAGCTACAATAGAACTCCTAGAGGCACGGCTGCGCCGCCTCACCTACCTCCTCACCGGCGTCACGGACTGGACAGGCGTCCCAACCGCGCCCGAGAAGCCAGCCTCTCTCGACGAGACAGTCTCCCGCAAGCTCGCACATCTAGAAGGGGAACTTGCCAAGCTGAGCCGAAAAGTTCCTGCTGTACGAGATGTTCTTCAATTACGTAGGTACAGCACAGTGATGGACAGATTCCCACCGTGAACCCACGATCTCCCTATACCACACGACATTCACATACACACACTCCCAATATTCAATTCTGCTCCAATCAATCACGCTATAATACGAAGCAAAACTAACCAATATCCAAAATTTCAGACGACCAAACCCCCGACCTCTTCCAAACAACCCCTCCAGCTGAAATCCCGCAAGGCATCACGACCCAAACCCTCTCCTCGATCGTTCTCTCCTACGCAACCGCTTTCCCAGAAACTGCCTCCCGCCTCACATCCCTCAATGACCTGCCTATTCCGGATGCGGAGAGCTCTGCGGCTCTTATTGAGCTCCAGCCGCAGCTGGACCGGCTTGCGCGTACACAGGCTGAGCAGGCTGCTACCATCTCGGAGTTGAGGGTCAGGAGTGCGCGTGTGCTGCAGCGCTGGTATGAGGTTGGTGTTGTTGGGAACGGAGAGTGCTGGGCTGAGTGGGAAGGAAGACTCGAGGATGTTGAGAGGGAAGTTAGGCGTGGGGAGGTTTTTAGGGAAAGAAGAGAGGGGGAGATCTAATCGTGGTGCTGATTGTCTCATATGATCGGTGAACTGCTCTGGTGTTTGTACAGTATGGGCGCCAGGCCGAGCTAGGTGGTAATGGTTGTGGAGGAGGATGTGTTTGTTATTATTGTTGTTTTCTATGATATCCTCTGATTTGGCGTGTTGTTCTGTTCTGATAATATACCGGGAAATCTGACATCCCTGTTACTATGAATTGCATATATGTGTACTGTGTACTGAGGTTTCTCAATGCCATATGATCCAGTTCCCAACTCTAGGGCCAGAAATCTATCTGACACCGGCTCAATCACGCCGAGAATCTGATACGTCTGATCTAGATTACCAGCCTACATCGAACCTATCCGCTCGATTGTATCATGTGCGTCATCGTTGCGTGTGAAGATTGAGGATCGTCCACATGACTCTTTCTCTCATTCCATGCGGTCAACTAGAATGTGCCCATTTACCCCAGATTCTTCGCCCCGCGTCTCCAGCACACCAGGCATAAAGCGCGTTTAATTTGTATTGGGAAACAAAATGACTCAAAACCCTTGATGTGGTCTAGGTCTTATATCACATTCTTCACCTTATACCTCATATGGCGCCGTTGAGAACGGGCCACTCTACAGTCTAGTACGTCTAGTACGTCTAGTACGGAGTTCTCCGTACGCACATGCGCCAAAAGCAAAAGTACATGCCGACACGTGAGGATATTACAGAACAGTATGTAGGGATTAGAGATTGGAGATTTCAGATTTGGGGTTTGGATTTTATGTGTGCCTCTAGAATGACAGCAATATCCCATAGGATCGGGTACAGGAAATGAGCCCCAGTGTGAAATGACGATCGAAGCCAGTGGGTCGTGGAGTAAGTCGGGAAATTGCAGGTCCAGAACATAATGGGTCAAGAGCCCTAATGTCAGAGTATGGGCGTGCAGTGAGACGATGAACATGAATTACTGAATTTCCCATTCACTTCTTCGCTTCTTCACTTTTTCACGTCTTCAAGTAAACATGATTTCCTGAAATCCAAGGCCTCGTCATCCGGAGAACTAGTGGGTGACTAAGATGATATTTATAGATCACAACACCAGCAGTCAGGGGCACTGGAATAAGTAGACGAGAATAGAATGTTCTGTTGAAAAAGGACCGTAACCAAATTCAATAAAACCTACGATCAATCTTGACTTGAATTCCGAAATTCAATCGAATCTGCGCCAGTCTCGACTCCAGGGGTGCGTGTGTTGGGGCTCCACCTGGCACTTTTCCTCCTTTTCCACACTTCTCCTCTTTCTTTCAACTCTCTTTTCATCCTTCACTTTCCTTACCAGCCTGGTGCTGTTTTCACTGCAAGGGGTTGTTCTGTTATTCTGTTCTGCCTCTTCTGAACCGTCTTTGTCTCAGGTACTCACCCTTGACGTCGCGAACACCCTTTGAAGACAGTGCCTGACTGGACCGTTCATAGACAATTCCCCCCCAGTCGCTCTTTCCAACTCCCATATCGCACATTTTCCAATCGTCCGGTCATTTCCATCTTTCATGGTCGCTTCATCCACACCTTCGTTTCACAAACCCCCGAATCCACACACCATGGGCAAATTCCGTCCCAGTAACATCCTTGGCGATCCATTCGCCCTCGCCACGGTCTCCATCTCCATCGTACGTTCTGGTCCTCTGATGCGACCCGAATGACACTAACATAGAATCTAGTTGGCATGGCTGATCGCATTCATTTCATCAATTATTGCCGATGTGCAAGACACCAAGTATCCCAATTATTCATGGTGGGCCAACAGTTATATGGCCTGTGTCATCATTGGTCTGATCGTGACCTTTGGCACTGACACTGGCCATGTCTATGGCGTCGCGGTATGATGGTCTCTCCATGACGGCTTGCGGGGCCCTGCTGACATGATTCTAGATCGTTGGATACCTTGGCTGTGGCCTTGTTCTGACTTCGCTGAGCGCAAACAACACCATCTACGAAGCCCAAGGCTCAATGCAAGCCGCGGGTGCCGGTTTCATCCTTCTCTCAATGGTCATCATCGTCTGGATCTTCTACTTCGGCTCCACGCCTCAGGCCTCGCACCGCGGATTCATCGACTCCTTCGCCCTGAACAAGGAACAGCCCGCGGAGCCCTCCTACCGCGGCAGTCGCCCCATGTCCAGCGCATTCGGCGCCCGCCCCGAGACCATGGCCACCAGCAACACTCCGCAGATGTACACCTCTGCCCAACTGGGCGGCTTTGAGACCTCGTCCCCCGTGTCCGGCTACCCCGGTGGTGCGCCCGGCGCCGAACGCAACTCCTCCGCTCCCCGCTTCGGAACTCCTAGCGGCGTCCCCAACAACGGGGAACAAGAAACCGGTGAAGTGCCCCAGCCTACCGACTACCCGTACCGCGCCAAGGCCATCTACTCGTACGACGCCAACCCGGAAGATGCGAACGAAATCAGCTTCGCCAAGCACGAGATCCTCGAGGTATCGGATGTCAGTGGCCGATGGTGGCAGGCTCGGAAATCCAACGGAGACACCGGCATTGCACCCTCCAACTACTTGATCCTTCTGTGATCAGTGTTTGTACGGCTCATGTCTGTTGTTCTTCCTTTTTTTTCGAGTTTACCCTTTCGCAAAACCTGTTTCCCTTTCCCTTGATACCCTTTGGATCCTCTCTCCACCTGTGTGTGTATTTTTGGTTCCTTTAACGTGATGTCTTGATGGCCTCCTTTGTTACATGTCTATTTTCCTTTCTTGAAACGTATTTTTTGATCTGGGTGTTATTCTTTTCTCCCTGTTTTTTGGGCTTGGATTCTTGTTCTTACAGCGGGTGGTTATCCCGAGTCTTTCCTTTTTTGCTCTTTTTTTGTCGTTCTGGTGCAATTCTGACTACATCATGTTGGCTATCTTGGCTAGGGCTGACCGGTCTGATGCCTTTTTAGTCTCTGCATGAGCGAAAAGTAAGGATATATAATCGCGCGATTACAATGCATTACTTTTCGATAATTCCATTCCGAAAATCCGGTCTAGACAACGGTGCCAGGTCCACTCGAGGAATCCATGGCTCCATGGTTCCTAACTTCGGTTTTAGTCTTCACGTGTAGAGCCATGGAATGAACCACGCATCAAGCAACGTCATGTTCGAACGGCATTGAAGAGACACGTCAACTGGAGCAGATGTGTGGGGTATGTGCGGAGAATTGAATGACCTCATGGCATCTATAATCGCAGCCCAAATTATATACGCACACATCAAGCTCTTATGTATATCATAAGGGCAATAACATTGGGAATTAGATGGTAAAAGGAACATACAATACTACGTACTCAACCTGTTATCTCTCCCAACCCCAAGCCCCTCAAACCCCACTACAGCCCCACTCAAAGCCGTTAGCAGAACAATCGACCAGAACCAGACACAACCCAAGACAAGGATTACCCTTGTAAATCGGAGAAATCAAGCCCACGCTAACATGAACAATATCGAACAATATCATGAAAACCAATAGCTACATCTGCATCTGCATCTGCAGCCCCTTCTCGCTCCGTCCATTACCCCCTCTAGGGCTAGCCCGAGAGCCCGGATCTCGTCTGTCTTCCAATGACCTACTGGAGGAATCGGGGTATTAGTCTAGAGTACCAGAACCAGAGTCAACCATGGATACTTCAAGGATCGAGGAATTGATATCGAGTCCCATATCCAACTTGCTGTCTCTCTCCTCCGCAGTATCCGTCAAAAGCAACCCAAAAGCAAAGATAACACCCATACCACACAGACCCGTGCTAATGTACAACGGAGCATCACCGAATAACAATCCAATGCCAGCTGGGTCCGGCGTTTAGATATTCACCGCTGCATCGCCTGTTCCAGCCGTGTTTTCCCTCCTGTTCTTTCTCTCGTTACTTCGCTTAGTGTTGCTAGTCCTATTTCTAGTCTCTCTTACTACACCATCCATCGACTGTCTATTCAATCCTACCACCTAACACACGAGACTCCTCTACGTCAAGAACTCCAAACGTAACTGCTCCTGAACCCGGTCATCATATACACCTCAACCCTGACGCCTGCATCTGCGTCTTTCTTGCATCCCATCGCGGTCTGTAACTGGTCAAACTCGAGTTCAAGTGCTCACGCGCAACGCTTGTGCTGCATAGACAGCAGAAGAAAAAGAAGTTCATTGGAGCGTATCACTTCTATCAACCGGGTTCTGCTTGGTTCTAATCTCCGGCTGTGCTTCTGCTATCTCTAGAAGCAGGAAGCACCAGGCTCCATCTTGGCGTGCGCCCAGTGTAGGTGTGCGAGATCAGTGAATATAAGTACCGTCTGATATTGCTTTCTTGGAAGAAACAAAAAAAAAGGGTGTAGTATTCACATTTCGACAGTCTTCGGTTCAAACACCCATTCCTGTCGACTCGACCCGACCCTAGTCGACGAGACATTGAACGAACAGGCCGGTGATCGACTCATTACATCGTCTCACCACTTCTCTTTGATAGACACATCGTTCCAGAACGGCAATGTCGTCGTCGAATATAACCCTCTCGTCCAACGTCCTCGGCACAATCGGCACAGTCCTCTGGTGCATCCAATTGATCCCGCAAATCTGGCACAACTGGCGCCGCAAGAATACAGATGGTTTCCCTGCTGCGATGATGTTTCTCTGGGCATGCTGTACGTCACGGATATCTCCCGCGTATACTCTGCATCCTCGTTTTCTGGATTTCATCAGCGAGGATATGTATGTCCGAAGAGGACATTTTGCAAAAAGACCCAACCCCCAGAATGGAATTGGAATGATGCTGGCTGGTACTTATTGTGATTTCTGCAGGTTCCGTTCCAATGGGTGCATATCTGATCCTGCAGGTATGTTCCGTGCTCATTTTTGGGGTTAGGGGGTGGAACTGTACTGTACTTGTGGTATAAGTTATTGTTTGCTTGGTTGTTGACTACCCCATGTCGTTGTATAGGAAGTCAATATCCCATTGCAGATTCAGCCTCAGATATTTGGGTTTTTTGCGCTTGTCAGTTGGGGTCAGGTTCTTTATTATCATCAGTGAGTTGATTCAAGTGGGGTTTACTGTGGTTTTGCTTGTTTTGGATGTGGTTTGACAGTATATCACTTGGTTAGTCTGAATGCTAATGTCGATCTTGTGTTTCATTAGTCATTATAGCAGGACCAGGGCTGTTTTGGTTTGCTCGGGGACAATTGTTCTATTCGGGGGTCTAGAGGCTCTGCTGATTCTGACTTTGAGGGTATGCATAGTATATCGTTTTGGTTTTGTGTGGGACTGTTGGATCGTGATCTAACTTGGAATGTTAGATCCCATATAACAGCGGTGTGAAATGGCCTGATATCGTCGTGGGGGTTGTGGCTACCCTCTTTCTTACTGCTGGTCTGTTGCCGCCGTATTATGAGATGTGGAAGAGAGATGGGCGTGTCATTGGCTTTAGTGAGTGATGTTCTAATCTTTCGGTTTGGGGGTTCAGATACTTATGCTGGTAGACTGGGTTTTCTTGTCCATCGATACATTGGGTGGACTGTTTTCCCTCTTCGCGTTGGGTGTGATCAATTCGAGTCCTGAAGCATCGACGTATGAGCTAACCTATATGCAGCGGCTCAAGGCTCTTTTGATATCTTAGGGGGGTTATGTATATTTTGGTGTATGTGATCGATATTGTCCCCGGGTGGCTCTTGAAATGAAGCTTACAAAGTGGCAGGGTTGTCCTTGAGTCAGGGATATATATCAGCCACATTATATGGCGTATTCGTTATCGCAAGTTGCGCAAAGAGGCAAAGACCAGGGGGATGAGCATTGAGGACCTACTTGACGAACACAAGGCTCAAGACACGCATGACCTCGAAAAGGGGGTCATCCTTGGGCATGAGAAGGCAGAGAATGAGACGCGAACAGACACGAAACGAACATCAGACGATGAACGGATTGTTCCTATTGAAAAATCCTGATTGTCAAGAAGGGTTTTGTGATCTATCATAGAATCAGATTGTAGATATTCACGTTGTTTACTTCAGTTACAACTAAATGTTAAGTTATCCCAAGGCAAACATGGACGAAGTTGGGCCCAATTTCCAAGCTTATTGATAGCCTAAGCGTTATGGGCTTGCCATATGAAACGTTGCTGTGCAGGCTATTCATGCTAGTTGAGGTTACCTGGCTTGTTATATCATCAGATTCTTCACCAAAGACTTTAACATTCCACAGGCTTTAACAGTTAAAGCTTTCTCAGAGATGTGTATATTGAAACAAATCAAGAATTTTATGGGGATATACTATTGAGTTTGACTGAATGGGAGAACTACATGGAGTATTTATACCAGCGAAAGTGGTGATCGAGAACTAAAAGGCTTCATTTAGCCCCTTAGCTCAATTGTGATAGACAAACACCTTCGATATGGCACAGAAGATAGTAGCTGCTGAATTGGCTTAACTTGAATCAGGCCAAAGTGCAGTGTAGTTGGGCAGGAAAGGCAATTGAAGCTGTCCAAGCGGTGAATGCCAGTCAAAAAGCAAATCATAGCTGTTTCAGCCATAGCTTTATGGAACTCTTAACTTTCCAGTGTCACTAGCACTTCCCCCCCCCTCTCTCCTCTCCAGACTTTGGGAAGTGCACATACTTATCTCCACTACCAGCAGTATTTCCCTTACACCTCCCCTATAGAATGGCATGGGAATTGCCATCATGCCAGACAGGTTGTCGCGTCTGAAGGCGAAGCTGTTACGACGATCACCAAATCCCAAAGCGGACGGGGCGGATCCGGTCCACCCTATCTCAAACTCTCCCTCTGCTCCGCAGCTTGTCGACTCCAACAAATCCCCGGCGTATAGCATCGTCTCTTCGCCAGGCTGTTCCGATGCCATCGGTCCTACCAACGAAAGCCACACCCGATCGCTAGGGCCGAACGAACCGGTTTCCGCACCTCAGTCAGACAGACAGCCGTCGCCCGAGACCCGGACTTGTACATCATCACCTGAAGCGCACACCTCTTCGCTACATACTCCTCTGACGGGCCCTTCGTCCCCCCTCGAAACACCTTCGTTGCCAACCCCTCAGCATTCCGACAACACCTCCTTCCAGTCCACCCACAAAACTCAGGCCTCAACACCAGCTGCGACCCAGTTGACTCCCACCCTCAATACCGTCGTTGAGTGGCCTGCCTACGACCGTAGACCCCCAGCGCCATATTACACTCCTTCTACGAGCAAGCGACCAAGCCTTGCGATTCGTCGTCAATCTCTTCTCCCAGCGACACACCAGCACTTGATTGGTGGGCTGTTGGAGGCAAATATCTTTTCTGCCTTAGGAGACCAGATAAGCGACTTTACTCCTGCTCCTGCTTGCGAGATGGTACAGCGTCGGGTTTGGGTCAAACGGCCTGGTGGCTCGGCCACCTTGGTGCCGTGCATGGAGGATGCGGTCGTGGATGAACTCCGCGACCAGGTGATCATGAAATATGTCAATTCGCTAGGAAGAAGCTTCGACTCTCCGGATATTGTGATCAGAATAGCGCCACGAGAAGGATCCAATCGACAAACCCACCCCGAACGACTTTTGAGCCCAGAGGAAGTTATGTCCTCTCTTCTCGATGCGTACTATCCCGGTGGACAGAAAATCGAGGAAGCGTTGATGATCGAGGCTCCGGCGCGCCGAACACCAAAGCCATCTCCCCGTCACTCAATTTATACCCATCATCAATCTGAACCTGGCGAACATGGCGATTATTTCCCTCTTATGCCTGTCAACCCGAAATCTGGCAGCCCGGCCGCACACCCACACCCGCACACAGTTCCGGCCGCAGCAGCCAGTGCACCTTCAATATCGATACTCAACACTGGAGTTGCCCCTCCGTTGCCATCCCCAGGAAGTCGCAGGCGGCATCACCAAAGGCCTCCGCTGACGAGACACGCGACAAACTCCCCCACGATCCATGGTCATATCCCCATCGTTACAGGTATGTCAAACAGATTTTATTCGCTTGTAGTAGTGATGATTGACATGCATAGAAACCGGCCCTTCTCCTCACACTCAGCCTCCCTCAATAACTGCCGCTCCCTCTGGCTCAACGCCCCCGGTACCTGTGACAGAGTCTCCACAAGTCAAATCACACACCCCTCCGGCAGTATCATCACCACGTTCTGTTCGCAAGACAAAAGCGGCAACATCTCCCGGTGCCGTCTTTGGTGGGTTGATTGACGGTACCGTTCCGCCGATCAACGTCCTCATTGTGGAAGACAACATTATCAACCAGAAGCTCCTCGAAGCGTTCATGAAGAGATTGAAAGTCCGCTGGAAGTGTGCCGCGAACGGCGAGGAAGCCGTGCGGAAATGGCGACAAGGTGGTTTCCATCTTGTCTTGATGGATATTCAGCTTCCCGTCATGAATGGACTGGATGCGACGAAGGAGATCCGACGCCTTGAGCGCCTCAATGGTATTGGTGTCTTCCCTAAAACAGCTTCTGGGCGCTCTGCTGTGTCTAGTGCAGCTTTGCTGGATAGAAGACCCGGTCTTCAGCGTACTGTCAGCGAGGATGACACCTTGTCCGATCTGTCACTCTTCCGGAGTCCGGTCATTATTGTGGCTTTGACGGCCAGCAGCTTGCAAAGTGATCGTCACGAGGCCTTGGCCGCTGGATGCAACGATTTCTTGACCAAGCCCGTTGGTTTCCCTTGGCTCGAGCAAAAGGTGACAGAATGGGGCTGCATGCAAGCTCTCATTGACTTTGAGGGCTGGCGGAAATGGCGAGGCTTTATGGATTCTCCTCGATCCAACTCTCCAGCCATTGACACCACCGCCAGCCCAATGCAGGGTGGTCACCGCGCCGAGCCTGCCCAGGAAGACCCTGCCTCGCCTTCTAGCGCTCGCACGGCCTTCAAGAAAACACAACCAGATCACCACGAGGCTAGGCCCAGCCTTCCAGATGCCGCAGAAATCATGCGGGAGGACTCGTGGGGAAGTGGCAGTCCTGATAGTATAGATTCACCCTTGAGTCCACAAACCACCCCCGGAGATCTCGCACCAACAAGCGAGGACAACAGCGCCCCGGAATAAACCATTGTCCTAGAGGCACAACGCTCAGGCCTGGAGTTGGCTCCTATACATTTCCAACGATCTTTCCGACATGTTTGATTTGACCTGTCTCTTCCTTTGGATACCCCGCATAGCAACGTCTTTCCATCTTCTTCTCACCCTCTTATCTCTTGGTATCATAGGCGCTCTTCGGGCCTTTCGGACTCAATCACCATTTCCTGCCGTTTTTTCCTGCTTGTTGCATGGTTACACCTAGTTATCCTGGCCGCATACGCATCTGCCATCTGCCTGCGCACTTTTTCTTTGATATACATGCTATTTTTTGACCGTCTGTCACACGGTGTCCATCCCATCCATGGGTCTTCTATCCAGTCTCCTGCTGTGGGCATACTCATATACACGAACGAGATGTCTTGATGCCTCGATTTTCCTTTTTTCGTTCTATCTACATTGTATAGTCTTCTGTTTCTTCTTCTTCTTCTTTTTTCCAAGTTGATGGCGGTGGCCCCGGTGATCGGTTCCGTCTTGTATTTAGTTCACTATATTCTCCAGAGTTCTGGGTCTCCTTTTTTGATCAGCTCATTCTACCTATCCGTAGAGCCCATCCTACTTCACTTGAGGCTTGGATCGTGCCCTTGCCTGCCGATCTATCTATTTCTTTCTATGTTTACCGTAATTTAATGTCAGGAACACTACCTCACTTAGCTCGGATCAAAGCGGAAGAAAAGCTCCAAACATCCAGCATGCCCTGGTCGACAATCACGGTGTTTACAAGTCTATTATGATTGGTATGCTTCTTGCGGTGCTGTACTGTATACCCATATTGCTGAGCTCTGGCTCTTCTCCTAGCTCAACACATTATGCCGCTGATATTCTCGAAACATGAAAACAGACATTCCGGCATTTTCCCTCGGCATTGACCAAGACAAGTATAGGCTTGTCAAGGTTTTCTTAAGATCAAGAAGGGTTGAACCACATCGGTCATTTCGTAGGAAATTCGTTACCACTGAACCAGCACCCGGTCCTGTTTCTAGCTTTTGAGGCCAAGGTTTCAATAAAGGATTGCAATTGCTAACCTCTTCTTATTTGTGAAGTGCCCTCACTTGCAGATCCATAATGTCATCCAGGCGTCGAAGCCAAAAATGCCCCACCGTGGTCCAAGCCCCCCTTGCAATCCCTTCAACACACTCTACCTCTCCAATCCAAACCACAATGCCTAGCACTGGCGTAATTCTCATGACAGTCGTGGGCATCACCACCTCCGTGGGAGCCTACCTCGCTGACTGGAACGAAACCCATATCTACAATCCGCGCTGGAGCCCCCATGCCAAATTCCACAACGGACAGACGATGTCAATGGGACTTGTACTTGGCCTGACGACATTGTACTATCTCTACCGCTCTGCCCCGACGCCCGACATCAAAAGCCATTGCATCCACACTGCAGCCTGGACTGGCAGCATCTATTGGATCACTCAATTGAGTGCTTATCTCTATCCTGGGGCTTTGCCGATGGACCCTGAGTTTGGCACTTTTGCCCCGCAGCCTTACATTATTGCTCTGATGCTTGTTTTGACTATGATTGGGTTGGCTATGGAGAGAAGGAGATTGGGGCCATATTTGTCCCAAAACGGGAAGCTTGCCTCCAAGAGTTCTTGATAGCTGCAATCCTGATGTGGAGATCGGGGGTTGGTAGCATCAAGACCTAGGACGCAATGTCCAGAGCTTGGCTGTATCTATTAACTTAGATGGTTGAAGGTCCGCAGCAACACTGAACCCAGGAAAGAAATCGAAAATCGATGTATACTAGTTATTATCCTGTCTATATGAGAATATTCAAACACACTTTCCACCATCAACAACCATCTCAGTACCATTGATAAACCGCCCCTCATCGCTAGCCAGATAAAGACACATATTAGCAATATCATCAGCCTCAGTAAGTCGACCCAGCGGCACATTTCCAATAAACTTCTCTCTATTCTCGGGAGTATCCTCCATGCCCGTGAACATGGAGAAGAGCCCAGTACCAGAAAGGAGAGGAGCCACGCTGTTCACACGGATATTGTGTGGGCCATACTCTACCGCAAGACCCTTTGTAGCCTGAATGAATGAACCATTAGCCATTTCCCACAAGACAAGAGTTCAACAACCCGAAACTCACGTTGGTGACGGCCCCCTTGGAGGCATTGTACCACACCAACCCAGGCCGCGGCCGCGTTGCACCCGTAGATGAAATGTTGATCACTGAGCCGCCAGAGCCCTGCTCGATTAAGCGTGGCATGACAGTCTTGGTTGCGAGGAAGATGCTCTTTACGTTGACGTTGAACACGCGCTCCCATTCTGCATCTGTGACCTCTGCCGTCGGCTAATATGGAAATCAAAGAATCAGCGATACGTTCTTGAACATGCAATGTGCTTTGCTCTTGTTCTCTTTTTATATTCTTTCTTTTTCATTTGGCAATGGCTGCTGACCTTGTTCCGATAAGTAGTGCCTGCGTTATTGACCAGCGCATCGAGTCGGCCGAACTTCGAGAATGCCAAATCCAACACTGCTTTCCAGTCGCTCTCTTGGGTTACATCCATCCGCTGAAACATGAGGTTGGAGGGGTTGAGTGCGGCGACTTGTTCGCCGCCTTCGACGTTGATATCTGTGACGATTACTTTGGCGCCTTCTTCGCCGAAGCGGCGAGCGATTGCGGCGCCGAAGCCTGAGCCTCCTCCTGTTGGAAATTGGATATTAGATCACTGTTTGAGACTGTATCGTGTGGGGTTGTTTTCGTACCAGTCACGATGGCAACTTTGCCTTGGAGTCTTGTGCCTTGAGACATTTTGTGGTTGGCTTGTTGCTTGTATTTATGGTGCGTTGGAGGTTGTCGGAGATGCCTCAAGAGATCCAATAAATAGTCTCTTTAAAAGGGTTTAGGGACTGTCAAAGAGGGGTTTCGGTAGGAAGGTTGAAGGTCGGACTGAATTCCGAGGCCTTTCCCCGCAGTGACTCTGTGCCATGCAGGCTGTATGCTTTGGATCTACTGGGTTTGTTCTTTGCTTTAGGGGCAAATAGGACTTTGTGATTCCTATTAGATAATTGTATCTGGAGAGTCCTGCGATATGGGGAAAGTAGGGTTGTCATTAGCCTATCTAACTATCCATGACAGTTATCAATTTGATGCGCAGCGAATATCCTCTATACTTCATGTATACTTCATGGCTTGATCTTAGCCAATGTGATTATTCCAATGCTATTCCAAGCCTCAAAGCTTCTATGGAAACACTCGTGTGAATGTAGACTTTAAAGATGCAGAATCTGTAGGTATTGAGTATCATGCTGGGTTTGCCAGTCAAGCCACTTTGCCGTTTATACTTTGGAGGCGACTTATTGTCAACGATTATCACTACAATAGCAGAAAGAAATAATCACTCTGGCCACCTTGCACAAGTCGTATTGCTTGACACCTTATATACTCGGACTACGAAAAGCGAGCCATACTTCATCTTGCCTAGCGTATCAACTTAAAGGCTTTGAAGATGAAACGAACTCTTGCCAAAGTTCCTATGTTTGAAGCCTATTAAAATCTAGCTCCCAGTATCTCAAAAGATGTCCTATCTGATATTGGATTGGGTGGTTTTCTACACTGTTAAAACTGGAGTAGTTTCCAGACCAGTAGGCTGAATGCTTTCAATAGATCAGGCGGGTCCGGTTGAAACATGCAGTCCACGGGTCTCAAGTTACAACTTATTGGCCGCCAATAGCAACCAGTCACCGACTTCTCTCGTCTTCTTGAGCTCTCGGCGCATCATGAATAGCCCACAATTAAGACGAAACAACTAGCAGTCAAGTTAGATCCTTCTGAAGAGCTAACCCACAGTCTCGTCTGGATTGGGCGAGTAAACAAGGGGCGCAACCACCTCAAAAACGGGCAACCATATCTCACCAACTCATGAAGAATCCAAGCCAAGCGTTTAAGCGTGAAGGCATGTCAAAGCGCGGGGGATCGAGTTGCAGTGGGGGAGCGCCGATCAAGATGTGCCCCTGTTCCGCCCCGCTCTGTTGGAGGTCGACTTTTCCATGTCTGGCCTCACCTTCCGCCATGCTTCCATGACTCCCATGACTCCAGATACAGACACGGATCCGGCTGAACGAAAACGAGTACGCCGCTGGCACCACCGAGGCTTCACCGGCTGTACAACATGCCGCCGCCGTCACGTTCGCTGCGATGAGGCTTCCCCGATCTGCAATAATTGTGTGCGCCTGGGACGCGAATGCGATGGGGCCCAGGGAAGAATGACCTTCAAGGTCTACGGGCCTACGTCGGAATCCCCGCCAGAGTCCTCGGCAGCGAAGCGACAGAAGAAGATCTTGCATTCCTCAATACCCAACCCCAGCCCCGAGTCGCGGTCGAGCGACAGATCTACAGTGTCGCCGCCAACGGAGGAGAAAGATGTGTGCCAGACAGCATGCCAGACTGTGATCGTGTCTCCCACTGTAACTGCACAGCGGTCCAAGTTTCGTTTCCAGGAACCCATCACCACGGCCAGCATTGCCATGTCCATCCAGCGCGCCGACGAACGATATTTCACACACTTCATCGACCAGGTTTCCACCCTCCTGATCATCTACGACAACCCCAACACGGCCAATCCTTACCGTGCTTATTTTCCAGATTTTGCTCGGTCATCGCCGACAATGATAAATGCCATGCAGGCATTGGGCGCATTACACCTTGCAAATACCTCCACTGGAACACAACGGAACAAACACTTCCAACAAGCAATGGGGAAATACGGGTCTGTGGTGAAAGGGTTCCGTGCTCGATACGCAGATCCCACCCAGCAGCTAGGCCTGACCGATTTCGCCACGTGTTTGCTGCTGTGTCTGTTCGAGGTTCGACCTATATCCATCCGATGATCCCGCCTCACGTACTAACCAATTGGCAGATGATGGACTCCCAGCACCAGAATTGGGCTGTACATCTCAAAGGCGCGCGCGAGATCTACAATCTTATTTTCTATCCAAGTACCGGAGATTCACGACGCGAAATCCAACGCGTTGCAGAAACGAACCACCCACTCCGCTCATTTCTCGTGTCATTACTCTCCTACCTCGACGTGGCTGGCGCCTGTGCAACTCCTGGTGGCACTGTCGTCGAGGGTAGTTACTGGAAGACCATGGGCGGGGGGTGGGAATATAACCTCGGCACGCCCAGCTTATCCTCCAATATTCCAGATAACCCCCGTCTTGTCGAACTACGAGAGGCATGGTCCAGCTTGATGGAGATTCAGGCGAGGATTAGCACGTTTGCCCAAGACAAGAAGACATGGATGACAAATGACCAGTCTGATATGATGTACAAGGATATTTTCAATCAGCTTGTCATGTGGCGGGCAGAGACACCTGTTTCTTTGCAGCTGGTCGGGGATCTGGATGACGAGAGTATTGCTGAATATCCGTATCCTGATGTTCTGGAGTATGCTGGGTGCATTGAAGCATATGAGAAGGCGACATTTGTTTATCTGCACCAGATTGCGGGGGCTGGTCGTGTTCGCTGGATTACCGATTACGGTTATTTGGATATGCTTGTCAGTCGCATTGTCATGTTGATTTGCAGGCTGTCCAAGGGCGTGGGGCAATTGGCTGTTCTGTGGCCGCTTTTCATTGCGGGACAGGAGACTCGTAATGAGGATGAGCAGAAATACGTGCGCCAGACCATGCATGTCTTGAAGCGATTCGGGTTCAAGGTAAGTCTGGTGATTTGGATTACCGCTATGATGCTAATGGTGTGTTAGAATGTTGATAAAGGCCTTGAAGTCCTTGAAGACGTTTGGCTCAAGCGCCGCTCCTATCCAAATGGATGGATCAGGACTCTGGATGAAGTACAAACGAACATTCTTCTTCCATGACCCGAGTCCGATATTAGCTGTCTCCCATATCGACAGTCGACCCCGTTTCCTACTCCACAGACTCTGCCCTGTATTACAGAGTTGACTCAACAACTACCGGACTTTTGAAGAGCCAAGCAGGCTACTCCTCTGGTCGCCTTTTCTTGGACATTCTTTCTACTATTATGATACCCACACGCCATGACTCTTCCAATTAGATATTATTTTACTATTGATCACCTTATAAAGCAACAATTATATTGAGAAAGCAGCGAAACAAAAAGCCCATCATTTTTATTTCCTCCGATAGTCCCAGGTTTGACAACCAAGCATGCAATCCCATGTAGGCCATTGCTAACTGCATCATGATTATACTGACGACTACGTATATAACCCAAAACCCAGGGTCATCGCCCTTTCCCTAACATGGTTCACATCTTCTCCCCCGAAGTATAACGCAGAGTTATCCACGAGCACCACCATCCTGTCCAGAATCAGTTCTCTCATAGGATCTCACCTCATCTCACATATCAGACGATATACAACAGCTAACTGACCACCTGCAAGTGATATGGCCGCTTAGTCACAACGCGGTTGGCGCGGGTCATCCGCAACCGGTTTCGTCGGAATCTAATTTGAAAAGACAGGTTTCCGCCCTGAAAAGAAAAAAAAAAAGGCATATGGCGGAATTCCGAGCTAAACGATGCACCTGTTAGACCACCTACTGTATAAGGTTAGGCTAGCAAAAACCTGGCCCCAAACTCTCGACGGACCAGAAAGCTCCGACTGGGATTCAGCTTTACTCGAGCGACTCGAAGTGTAAATGAGTTTGAATTTTCCGTCCCAGTGATTTGTTTCCGGGTTGGTACGTGATTCTTACCCGCACGATCTGATCTGATCTGATCTGATCTGATTTGATTTGACTTGATCTGTAGACAGTTACGGGAGTCCAGGCTGTGATTTAAGGACTGTGGGGGTGAATCTTTCCCCCCCTACTCTTCCCGAGTGGGTCGTTCGCCGAGCTTGACCGGAGACCGTAAAACGGTCTCGAAAAGTCTATCAAAAATCTCTTTCACGGATTTCTGTGTTTGTGATATCTCAAACTGTCGAAACTGTCGGAATATGGCTCCTCACGACGCTGTTGCTGGTCCCTCCGACTTGCTCGCCGAGGGCGAGGGCGATCGCAGTCAGGTTGAAGCTAAGGATGATGCCGCTTTACTGGTAAGTCATGCACGGGAGGCACTTGCATATACAGAGCAGGGGACTAACGTGGAATCTACAGCGGACCATGGGCTACAAGCCGGTATGTTCAGATTATTTGAAGATCAATGATCGGGAGCTGGTCAGGAACTGATCGGGAACAGGTCCTTCATCGGACATACAACTTCTTTGAGAATTTCGCGACTACATTCGGTATGTGTCGGCGATCAGTGTATTTGTTGACAGTGCTAACGGTGTCGGTTAAGCTGCTCTTTACTTTGTCGGTGGTGTGCGCGTCACTTTCAGTACTGGTATTGCTGCCGGTGGAAACCTGGCGTACTGGACCAGTTACCTGGTCACCATGGTCTTCACCTTCATTACTGCCGCAGTCATTGCGGAGGTGTGTTCGGCTTCCCCATCAGCAGGTTCTATCTACCTGTGGGCTGCCGAGGCTGGTGGACCTCGCTTTGGTCGACTTCTGGGATTCGTGGTGGCCTGGTGGAGTACGACTGCTTGGACGACTTTCTGTGCCAGTATGTTGCATGTCCCAAACTCGTAGGCGATGACTATACTGATAGAAATATAGGCAACACGCAAGCAGCAGCCAACTACATGCTTTCGGTCAGCTTCTGTTTTCTATGAAATTAGCATATATGCTAACATTTTGATAGGAAATCACTGTCTTCAATCTGGACTTCCCATCAGACTCCAGCGATGTCAAGTTCCGTGCTGTCCAATGGATCTGCACGGAAATCTTGCTCGCATTGGCGGCTCTCTTGAACTTTTTGCCTCCCAGGTACTTCAAGTATGTCTTCTGGTTCTCTGCCGGAGTCGTCATGCTCGACTTCTTCCTGAACCTGATCTGGCTGCCCATCGGCACTGCCCAAACATGGGGCTTCCGCACTACTCACGAGGCCTTCATGACTACCTACAACGGTACTGGTGCTCCGGCTGGGTGGAACTGGTGTCTTTCTTACCTTGCCACGGCTGGTATTCTCATTGGATTCGATGCCTCTGGTCACGTTGCGGAGGAGACTAAGAATGCTTCCGTCACTGCTGCTCGTGGTATCTTCTGGAGTACCGTTGCGAGTGGATTTGGTGGCTTGGCTACTATCATTCTTTTCCTATTCTGCGCGGTTTGTCTTGCTCTATCTGTGTCATACTCTGCTTGGTATGCTGACTATCTTCTATAGCCTGATACTGAGACCCTCATGAGCTTCGGTTCCCCTCAGCCGTTCGTGCCGTTATACGCCGTCGTCCTGGGTAAGGGTGGTCATATCTTTATGAACATTATCTGCGTTTTCGCCTTGTGGATCGTACGTTCTTACCCTACTCCCTTCCCGATAATGAAATTCCCCCAACTAATTACCCCAGAACACCGCAATCGCCATCATCGCCGCCTCTCGTCTTGTCTTTGCCGTGGCCCGTGACGGTGTCCTCCCTTTCTCCGGCTGGGTCTCCCGCGTGAACGGCGGCCAGCCCCGGAACGCAGTCATCGTCGTCTGGGGAGTCGCCGCCCTGATCACCTGCACGATCCTCCCCTCCAGCGTGGCTTTCACCTCCCTCGTCTCGGCAGCCGGAGTTCCCAGTGCAGCCGCCTACGGTCTCATCTGTCTTGGTCGGTTGGTTTGCACGCCTAAGCGCTTCCCCAAGCCGCAGTGGAGCCTCGGTCGCTGGAGCAAGCCGTTCCAGTTCATCAGTGTCTTTTGGAACGGATGGGTTGTTGCGATTCTGTTTTCGCCGTATGAGTGGCCCGTCACCGGTGAAAACTTGAACTGTATGTATCCTGGTTTTTCTTCTGTTTTCTGGTCCGCCTGCTAATCTTTGACCTAGACGCTCCTATTATTATGGTCGGTGTGACGATCCTGGCTTTGATCTCTTACTTCCTCATGCCGGAAAGTGCCTGGCTTCCTCGGGCTCGTCTGACGCATTTCATTGATAGTAAGGGTGCTGTTGAGGAGACGGTGGAGGAAGTCGATGTGACAGACCGCGGTGAGTCTAGTACTCGATGATGTGTCGAGTGTGGATCTGGTTTGAGATCGATCTGGGCATGCGATGCCTCTAAAATTATACTAGATAGTCTTTTGACGTGTACTACTTGGTATCACCCTATAGTTAATCCCTACAACTTCGACCGAAACTACTCGGATCTCAGCGGCTCATCAACAGTGGGGGGAAGATCTTCCCCGCCCCCGCGTAAATGGCGTTCACTAAACAAGGGGCCGAACTTAAGACGGGGTTTTTATAGGTGCAAAATACTCCTGGGCTTCTCCCATCCCTCAATTCCCCAGAGTTTCATCGTTTCATCCGGATCCCAATTTCCCCTCTCTAACTACCGATCTCGGAGGTTGGCCAAGCTCCCCGGGCCTGATTTCCTTACTTCCCGGGTCAGTTCACTTTCTCTTCTGGTTGCTTTTATTCAGCTTCACTTTTCTTTCTTACCTTTGCTCTCTCTCTCTTTCTTTCTATTTCATTCTCGACTGACATCTCCCAGTCCGGCCTGGATGCAGTACCCCCGGCTCATTCTTTCGGGCCCAATAAGCATTCTATAGATGTGACAACCCCCAGCACAACGTGCAACTTGCATGATCACTTGCATCATGGGTGTTCCCTCCATGCGGTCAGCCCTGCCGTGCCTCGCGCGCGCGGGGAAACTGGCATCAGTGACGCACTCGGGTAAGCTACTCCAAACCTCGGAGAGGTCGCGTGCCGAGCCGCATTCCGCCTACATCTGCGTCTAACAAGATATTGTCGATAGCGTCTCAAATTCGACATGCGACATGTCTCTCGTCGCTGCATGCTAAACGTGCGCCCATCTGCACCCCACAGTGGCCAAGCATCTCAAAGCGAACGGCGACAACCTCGACTCCAACTCCCTCGGAAGCCGTACCGACCAAGCCATACGCGGAACTGACCATCGGCGTCCCCCTGGAAATCTTCCCTGGGGAACGGCGGGTCGCAATCACTCCACAGAATGTCGCCCTGCTGCTGAAGAAGGGCGTCTCGCGCATTCTGATCCAACGCGGCGCGGGCGAAGGCGCCCAGCTGCTGGACGATGCCTACGAAAAGGCAGGCGCGACGCTGGTCGACCGCGACGCGATCTGGTCGCAGAGTGATATCGTCTTGAAAGTCCGCAGCCCGCAGTCAGAGGGTCCATTCAATGAAATCCAAGCTCTTCGGCAAGGCTCCACGGTCATCTCGTTCCTGTACCCCCTGCAGAACAAACCCCTCGTTGAAGCGCTCGCAGTTCGCGGCGTGACTGTCTTTGCAATGGATCGTATTCCGCGGATTTCTCGCGCCCAGGTTTTTGACGCTCTGAGCTCGATGGCTAATATTGCGGGCTACAAGGCTGTGTTGGAGGCTTCGAATCATTTCGGTCGGTTCTTGACTGGTCAGGTTACGGCGGCTGGAAAGATCCCGCCTAGTAAAGTCCTTGTGATTGGTGCGGGCGTTGCTGGTCTGAGTGCTATTGCTTCTGCCCGTCGCATGGGTGCTATCGTCCGTGGCTTTGATACCCGTCCCGCTGTCCGGGAACAAGTTCAGTCTCTAGGGGCTGAATTTATTGAGGTTGATTTCCAGGAAGATGGTGCTGGTCAGGGTGGCTATGCTAAGGAAATGTCTCAGGAGTTCATCGATGCTGAAATGAAGCTTTTCATGGAGCAGGCGAAGGAAGTTGATATCATTATTACTACCGCTTTGATCCCTGGACGACCTGCTCCGAAGCTCATTACTAAGGAAATGGTTGCTGCTATGAAACCTGGTTCTGTGATTGTGGATCTTGCTGCTGAAGCTGGTGGTAACTGTGAGGCTACGGTTCCTGGTGAACTGAGCAACTATAAGGATGTTACTATCATAGGCTACACGGATCTTCCTTCTCGCCTTCCGACTCAGTCTTCAACGCTCTACTCGAACAATATTACCAAGTACCTTTTGTCGATGGCTCCTCAGGAAAAGTCGTTCGGTATTGACTTCAAGGACGAAGTCATCCGTGGTTCTATCGTGACTCTCAACGGCGAAATCATCCCTCCTGCTGCTCCACCCGCCCCCCTCCAGCCCCGAAGCCCGATGCGCAAGCAGTCGCAGCTCAAAAGGCTGAAGAAGTTGCTTTGACGCCTTGGCAGCAGACTACCCGGGACGTGACAATGGTGACTGGTGGAATGGGCACCGCCCTTGCTTTGGGAAAGGCTGCCGGCCCAGTCTTCATGAGCAACATGATGACATTCGGACTTGCTGGCCTGGTCGGATATCGTGCGGTATGGGGTGTAGCTCCTGCTCTTCACTCGCCTTTGATGAGTGTGACAAATGCAATTTCCGGTATGGTTGGTATCGGCGGGTTGTTCATCATGGGCGGTGGCTATGTTCCTACTACGATCCCTGAATATCTCGGTGCTGCGTCAGTGTTCTTGGCCTTTGTGAACGTCTCTGGTGGCTTCGTTATCACTAAGCGCATGCTTGATATGTTTAAGCGTCCCACTGATCCTGCCGAATATCCGTGGCTGTATGCGGTCCCCGCTGTTGTGTTTGGTGGTGGTTTTATCGCCGCTGCAAGCACTGGTATGTCTGGCATTGTCCAAGCTGGGTACCTTGTCAGCACGCTGCTGTGTATGGGTTCCATCTCTGGTCTTGCTTCTCAGCAAACTGCCCGACGGGGCAACATCTTCGGTATCCTGGGTGTCATCTGCGGTATTTTGGCTTCATTGGGCGCCGTTGGCTTCTCGACTGAAACATTGACGCAATTTGCTACTGTTGCCAGTACGGGTGCCATCGTCGGAGGATTGATTGGCCGTCGCATTACACCAACTGGTCTTCCCCAGACAGTGGCTGCGCTCCACTCTGTTGTCGGACTGGCCGCTGTTCTGACCAGCGCTGGAAGCGTGTTGGCTGATATCACAGACATCACAACCCTCCATCTTACCACGGCCTACCTTGGTGTTCTCATCGGAGGTGTCACCTTCACTGGCTCAATCGTCGCCTTCCTGAAACTCGCCGGTCGTATGTCCTCCAAACCAACCATCCTACCGGGCCGACATGTCATCAACTCGACTCTCCTGGGAACCAACATGGCAACAATGGGCGCATTCATAACAATGGCCCCAGGAAGCCCTGCAATCGCTGCCACATGTCTAGGAGCAAGCACCATCCTGAGTTTCCTCAAAGGATACACCACAACATCAGCAATCGGCGGCGCCGACATGCCCGTCGTAATTACCGTCTTGAATGCCTACTCAGGCTTCGCCCTAGTAGCCGAAGGCCTCATGCTCAACAACCCCCTCCTAACCAGCGTCGGATCCCTGATCGGCGTCAGCGGCTCCATCCTCTCCTACATCATGTGCATCAACATGAACAGATCCCTGGCGAACGTTCTCTTCGGCGGTCTCTCCTCGCCAGCAGCGCAGAGCCAGAAAAAGATCGAGGGCGAAATCACCCAGACCAACATTGACGATACAGTAGAAGCCTTATCCAGCGCCGAGAACGTCATCATCGTCGTTGGGTACGGCATGGCTGTCGCCAAGGCCCAATATGCTCTCTCTGAGATTGTCCGCCTCCTCCGCGCAAAGGGCGTCAACGTTCGCTTCGCTATCCACCCCGTAGCTGGCCGCATGCCTGGTCAATGCAATGTGCTTCTCGCCGAAGCATCGGTGCCATATGATAGTACGTGCCCAGATCGCTCCCCGAATGCCCTTTCCAGAAATGATTGCTAACAGATGTGAAATAGTCGTCCTCGAGATGGAAGAAATCAACGACGACTTCTCCGATACAGATGTCACCCTCGTCATTGGCGCCAATGACACCGTCAACCCTATTGCTATGGAGCCTGACTCGGCTATTTCCGGTATGCCGGTTCTCCATGCCTGGAAGAGCAAGGAGGTTATTGTCATGAAGCGGGGCATGTCCAGTGGTTATGGTGAGTACCAGCGAAACATTATGGGAGATCCCATTTGCTCTGACTCGACTAACAATCCCTCCCTTCCTTTCCAGCTGATGTTCCGAACCCCATGTTCTTCATGCCTGGTACGCGCATGCTCTTTGGTGATGCCAAGACGTCCTGTGATGGTGAGTAACTTGGCGGTTTCTATGCGTCTGTGTGTGAGTTGTACTAATGATTATGTTATAGCCATCAAATCTGCCCTGGAGGCACGAAAGTAGGCTCGAGGATTTGTGGTTGTCTTACTGTATGCCCTTTGACCGGCTCGCTCGTCCATACTTATCTTGTTCCGAGTCCTGGGCTTGATTCTATTTTGAACGCTTCTAGTTAACTTAGCTTTTGCATTGCGTAGCTAATGAATTCCTGCATTTATCACCGACATACAGACTGTACTCGCTGGACTAATTCCTATTCCACCAACCCCATGCATACCCCGATCCCAAAAGAATAACCAACCGATCCCAACCTCTCTCTCCCAAACACCCAAAGACCCAAACTCAGAAACTCAGGGGTCCCCACGTCACCGCCACTCTAAAGTGGATATCCAGCAAGCAGCAAGCCCCGGACGTTGGCTTTGCATTCGACATGCACACCGCAAACCTAAATCCCGCGAACGCAACGGCCGACAATTCCTGCACTGTCCTGTACTGTACTGTACAGTCCAGCCGAGTCCGGAGATGGAACTGCAACAGGCTAGGGTGGTTCTCTGCATACTCTAGTACTGCATACAGTAAGCCGTTTAATCTATTTGCCATTTTTAGTCTGCCGTTGACAGTTGACAGTTGACTAAACAAGTACTCCGTAACTTGGACTTGAACGTTAAAACTCTGACACTTGGTCAATGCTTGTACTTTTTTTGTTTTCTTTGGGCTGTACAGTACTTTTCGTCTGGGAAGGTCCCGCGCTCCGTGTGCATGTCTCACATCTTTGCCATGGTTGGAATGGCTATTGACAGGGTTGTTTGGTCTGGTTTGCTGTACTATAGTGGGGGGGGGGGGGGGGAAGTCGTGGACATGTCTGGGCAGGATGGTGGCAGGGATGTGAAACGCTGGTCATATCATATTATATCATATTACATTATACTGATGTTCGTCTTTATGTTCACGTTCATGTTTGTTATCTCAAGTTTGGGTGAGATCTACATGAGAGGTGCATACATGCATGTACAGTACTATAAGTTAACTTACGTGTCCTGCCGGTGGTTTGACAAACCAAGTTAACGAAGATTACTGTAATGTCAAGTTAAGTTATTTCAATTGAATTCAAGTTTGATTGGTAGTATCAGCGAGGACACTGAGGATGGTAATCCTTCCCAGATCAGATCAGAATCTGATCCCAGACGCCAGTTTGAATAGATGTAGACATTAGCCATTAGCCATTCCGGAGTCGAACTCGGTTCTGCTCTCGACAGGGGTAAGTGGTGATTACTTCAAACATGGAGATCCATGGAAGTCCGAGATAGGAAGATGAAAGATAACATATAAGAAAAACAAAAAGCAAAACCACCCTAAAGAAACCCAGTATCCCAAACGCCGAGGATTAATCAAAACCCCGTTCCTTGCCTTGCGCGAAGGAGAGATCACCGCCCATAAAAACATTATCGGATCAATATGTCAATCAAGAGCAAATCAAAGTAAACAAAAGACAAGAACGAGAACGAGAACAAGAAGAAAAAAAGAAACCAAATTAAGCTTTGTTATTTAACCTCTTCCCAAGCTTCAATCCCATAAAGCCACGTCCAGAAGGAAGAATACTGGTATGTCTCGCGTGCTTGCGCTGACTAGACTTGCGAACGAGATTGCCAGTCGAATCAACCGACGCAGAACCCATAGCAGGCTGCGTGGCGATAGAGACCTGCGAGGAAGACGGCCCCAGCTCAACGGGGTCAACCTCTGACCGCAACGAACTCAGAGAATGGACACTCGACGAGGAATGCTTCCTCGTCATGCGGCGCATCATGAGTGGCGAGCGGTGATTAAGGATATTGGAAACGCTGTACGGAGAGGAAGACGAAGAAGACGAGGTAGGCGGGCGTTTGGAATTGAGGAGTGAGTGCGGTGGAGAGGAGTATGATTGGGGAGAGGAGACCAGGGACATGGAGCTGTTGACTCGCGATAGTGGATGGCTGGCTTGTGTGCCGTCGTCTGTGTACGGCGAGGTTGGGCAGGAAGTGTAGCTTTTGACGGTGTGGTTGCTGAGGCTGCGGATTGAGGCCGGACGGGAGGTTTCTGTTGGTCGTCGGGGGCGGAGGTGCGAGGGTGGTGGGTGCATTGCCATGGACTTGTCTGTGCCTGCTGTTCGGGGCCGGTCGTTGTGCAGGGTCCGTGGTGGTGCTGGGAAGTAGGGGATTAGGGGCACTTCGGAGACGCGGTTGATTGTTGCAGCCGATGTTCTTTTGTCGAGGTCTAGAGCTTGGCTGTGGATTGTGGATTGCTTTCGTGAGGCTGGTTTGGGGGTTGTTTCTCTGTGCGAGTGGGAGTGTCGTTTGGAGACGTGCTCTGATGAGCGTGGTGGTGCCAGTCTGTTGTCTGCTCGTGCGAGGGGAGGCCGACTGCGGCTTCCTTCGCGAGAGCGAGAGTGGCTGGAGCGAGTTCTTGGGGTTGGTCTTTTGGCCAGCGTGTTGATCAGGACCACTGTTGGGCGAGTCCGGGGTTCCGTAAAGGTGATTTTCTTGGCGACTTGGATGTCTGCCTCCTCGACGGAGAAAATCGAGGAGGGCGAGGTTGAACGAGACCTCGTGGTTGACTTGGGCTTTGGGGAGTCGTATACCGATGGCTGGAGGAAGATATTTGACGCCAGTTGGGGAGGAGAGTCTGGGGATGGCAGCTCCAGCACCATCTGTTCCTCGGGGTCAAAGACGTAGGTATCTTCGTCGAAGGCAGCGGTGCTCGTCCTCTTGATAGTGTCTGTTGAGACAGGCCGTGGGCGTTTGACTATCGGCGGCGCCAGCAGACGCTCTTCACGATCCCAATCCGCGTCCAAGTGAGAGGCATCATCGGCACTCAGATCCGAATCGAAGATGACAGCTTCTTGAGATTCAACTGGAGAACCCATTGGCGAAGACAGTAGATCCTGGGCTCCGGTATCCGACTCAGACACGGCCTCTTCATCTGATTCATATCGGTCTTGTAGACTGTGTCGACTCAACCGGTGTAGACCCAACGAGGTAGTAGACTCGTACATGATTCCAGCAGTAGACGGAGCGATGGTTGTCAAGAAAAAGAAAGAATAGTTATCGCGAGTATTCAAGATCCAACTGCAGTTGAAAGGAAGAGGAAGAAGCAGAAGAAGAAGTAAAAAGACAGGAGATACCAGCCCTGATCTAAGAATTCCAACGACAGGACAGGAACCAGTCCAAGGAGAGATGACAGCGCCCTGATATCCCACGAGAGCAAAGCTGCACAGGAGATCCAACCACTCCTAGACGGGGACAGGACAGGCTCTTAAGGGAGTGGGACCAGGGAGCTATGGACAGGGGACAGTATGCCGTACTAGTCCTGTATCCCACAAACAGAAAATGCTTAACAGCCGAGAAAACGAAAGGAGAACAAAAAGCCTTCCAGAGGGGTCCTGCACGTGTAGGAAATGTAGGAAATGGCCAAGGTTTTCACCCTGAAATCCATGACCTGCATGAGCGCGTATGGAGGCAGGGAAAGCAATGTGATTGGAAATATCACCCTTGCATGGGAATAGGGCGGAGCTGGGGAGTTTCAGCAGGATGAACGCGTTGCGGTCAGCTTGAAACTTTTCCAGTAATTAATTCCCGTTCACTAGTGAGTTAGCCCAATCTGATATATCCAACCTGAGCTGTCGTTGGTCAGGGCCAATGCGCCATGATGGGACACGTATCAGCCGATGCCACTAGGCACTCCAAGCTGGAGGTAAAGAGTAAAGAGCGGGATATCCTGCGAGGGTCCAGAAAAGAATTCTCCTATCCACAGTGGATCGACTCTATGTGAAAAATACATAAAATGAATAAATGAATGGAAAAACGCTCCATAATAATATAGAAACCCAAGCGTAGCGCCTGGGAACGGGAAAAAAAGACAGAATTAGTGCATAATCAAGGCTTCATCGTCGAATCACAGGGGCAGAGGACGTGCCAAGTTAGCCGCCGCCTTAGATCGGTGGGGCATGTATAGCTCAAACACGCTACACCACGAACTCCTTGGGGGCGTCTTAGCTTCAAACCGTAGTGTCGTCGGTATGAAGGAACCGAATGCCCGTCAAGCCAGGGGACATTAGGTCTGCACCTGAAGGGGGGATCAGGGAGAAGGGACTCGCATCCTTGTGAATAGTTGGGAGAGATTTCAGCGTGCGAACCCTTGAAAGTGCTTGCTGTAACCCCCAGGACGAGAAGGGAAGAGCAGTAGAACTCCTTACATGCAACCACCTCTCGGCGATTTTCTCTGACTATTGCGGGAAAGGGAATTCTATTATTTTGTTCTACTATAATGCTGTTATTCTATTATTCTTAATTCTTATTACTCCATTATTCTAATATTCTGCTATTCCCTTCTCCGACTCTCGATATTTATAGCGTGTCATGTATCATCTGCCAATAACTAATACGCAAGGACTCCGCTCTCAATATTCTCCTCTTTCATGCAGCTGTACCTGCATACGGCCTACGCTCTTCCTCTTCACACCTCTGGGGCTTCGGCATAACTCCATACGGACAGCCCTCAACGCTCATGGAAATCTGCCCATGGGCTGATGTCGATCCACACGTCGACATAGCAACTAAACCTACTGCATAATGCCATCATGGCGGGTTATCTGCCCCCTTTCTCTCTCTCTCTCTCCAATTGTGGTCTGGTCTGGCGTCTAATGTATTCTTTCCGAAGAACAGTCCAATAACCGGCACCTAATACAGTCCGGCCATGCATACAATGCACTCTCCAGTCTCCGAATGAATGCTCCGCATGGCATCCATGCAAGGCGCCTGTTCGGGTTGGACATGCGGGCTGCGGGTAGTCCGGGATCGAATTGCATTTATTGATTGACCGGCCTCTTTGTGGTGCCTCTGCCTCGCTTGACGGATATAATCAGTCCCCATAGCGTGGGTGGCTGGTATGGTTTATTGCACTGGACTGGATTCTGGGGTGGGAAAGATGACGCTTGCCGGGCTGGTGAGAGGCTGGTGCCAGCCCTTCTTCAATACTTTTACTTGCCACCTACCTACCACCTCTCACCTACCACCTACCACTGGACTTTTTTTTTTCGGGCTGCTTCGCTGCTGGCCAGCGGTGCGGCTCTGTGCCCGTTGCCCCTTGATGTTGGGGTCCTGATCATCCCGTCGACTAGTGGACTAGTGTTGTTGATATGTCACTTGGGCGTTGAGTCCCCGTTGCACAGGCCACATGATTTGCAGATCGGCGGTTTCGTCGGCTTGCACTGCGGTTGAGTATTGGATGTGATGCTTCGGATTGATCTCGAGTGTGGTCGACTGGGCTGTGAATGTTGCCATATCAACCACGCGGCAGAGTGAGGTGTTTGTTGTTCGGGATTCGGCGATCAGGACTCTGGGATGGAGTTTGTCGAGGCAAGATTTGGGCCCCAAATGATGGCCCAGTATTGTACTATTCAAGGTGGATTTCCTGTTTCGATCCAGACTGGGTCTGCATATTGTCCCAGGTGGGGATGGAAGTCCTTTCTTGGTGCGTTAATCAAACATTCCTTGCTGACCAGATGCGAACCAGACAAGCTAAGCACTTCCTGTACACATGGTATGGCAAGCAGGTGGCATCCTCGTGTCCATGTGGCACATTACAGCTGATTGACAGTGAACGGATAACACATGATTACATTCGTCTTGATATATGGAACGTCTATCAATAATACTTTACTAACAATAAGGGCGAAGGGTACAATAGAAGGGCCTGCCATCGACAGACGGGTGATAACGACAAAGATGAACAAAAGAAGAAAAAAAAATCGACATTATAGAATACAACCAGGACAAGACTGCTAGGGCAGTCCAACAGCATTCCCGGATCGAAATGAAATGCCTCGCCCCTAGGTCTTCGCCCTGATGTTTTTTTTTTCCGAAAAAAACATTCGGCACATGCATTCCGACAACTCCGAGGCACATACCCCATTTCCGGGTGGGCCTGGCATCATGAGGTGGTCATTCATTAAACAGGTATAGAGACGATTCACCCAAGAGCAGCTACAGCCCTTCTGCTCTTCTATGTCCACGGGTTTGCCTTGAACATTCCAATTGTTGAGACTGGAATAATGGAACAATTGAACTCGTGGACATTGGTTCTTCAATTCGCACAATGAACCAAATCAAGTGCGATTGGGTCACTCAACAAGCCATTTAAGCCTTGCGGGAGCGAGTGACGGGGCCGTTGGAGCGGCCACTTGAGGCAGCGCCGTTGGACTTGGCACCGGCGGGGGAGGGAACCTCGAAGTTCTTCATGTCAATGAGAGACTTCTGGCCAGTGTTGCGGCGGGGACGACCGGTCTTGGCGGTCTTGTTGTAGGTGGCAATGTAGAAGGAGATGAACAGAACCAGGTAAGAGCTGATGATACCGATACCAGCCATAGCAGCGAACTCCTCACCGGCACACTTGCCCATGTTGGGGAGCCATGGGAAGTAAGCGGAGGTGAAGTAAGTGTACGAGGCGAAGTAGATAAAGCCTTGAAGCGGTTAGTCGTGATATTTGGGGTTATCCGGATTGAATTACTTACCGACGTCAATGACGAACTGGAGAATCTGGAGCATGGTGATGTACTTCTTCCACCAAATGCGAACGCCACGGGCACTCTGGAAGTAGTACCAGTACATGACAACGTGGACCAGCAGGTTGATGCTGATGGGCACCCATTGCACGGCAGTCACACCAATAAGCTGGGTGTAGCAGAGAAGGGCGGTAGCACCGTGGTGGTAGGTGTGGAGGAAGGTCAATGGCTTCTTCTTGAGGGCCAGGAAGATGGTGTCAATGAACTCGACGTATTTGTTGATGTAGTTGAGCTGTACGTGGCTGTTAGTCGGCTTGTTTTGTTTAACGAGGCGCGTGGCAACTTACGTAGTACAGCACAATGAGGGGTTGAGTCCATCCGCCGCGCTGGTCACAGATAGTGTAGAAGACTCCGTGTCTCCAGAGTGTGGGCACAAGCTGCTCAATGAACAGAACCAGGAGAATACCGCTGACAACCGTCAGGAACAGGTTGTGGACCATGAACAGGAAGTTGAGCTTGAAGGCAGGCAACTTCTTCATGATCTCCCGACCACCGAAAATGATGATGTAGTAGGTAATGAGCATTGTCGCAGTTTCCTTGAAGGTGGAGAGGGGGGTCACGCCCTCTTGGAAGACGAACTCGCTCGCAGGGTATCCCATAACCTTCTCGTAGGCCTGATCGAAGATGGGCCACAAGTGGACACCAAAGGGCCGGTCGAGGGTCGGGAGGGGAACATTCTTCAGTAATTCGGCCGCCATTGTGAAATAAATGGTTGTTGCTCAACCGACGCGATGCGATGAAGGAGGCGACGCCTTAGGAGGCAACAATTGATAGGGGAGCAGTGAACTGCAATGAAAAGACAATCGCGTGAAGATGCGAAAGTCCAAGAACGAAAAGAAAAAGGAAGGAATGGAGAGGAAGGGGGATGGAAGAGAAAGAAGAGACAGGAGAAACGATTACTTTTTGCGGCCGGCGTGTTGAGATCCCAAAGAGGACTAGCGTGGCATAAAAGGGGGTACCAACTGCACCCGTTGCTTCCGATCGCAACAGTAGAACCATCGATTACTATACTCCTACTGGCACTGGCACTGATTCAAGGACCGAAGAGTGTGCAATGAGTCTTGTTGATTGCAATTGTCAGTTTTCAACTACAACTACAACTTGGGATTCACCATCTTCACACGCTATCGCTGCAGATGGGCCGTTAAAGATCCTCGGGACTATCACATGCTAGTATATACGTGTCAATAGCGTGTCAGAAATTACCGATTAGCGATCTCCATGACCTCAAGTGCTGCTGTTCAAATGAGTACTTTTCTTTGACCCCCTTCACAGTAAATGACCATCGTTCATAGCATACGCCCATTCACTGGTGGATTTCAGTCCCCGCTTTCCGCTTTGCGGAACCACATTGATAGCCGGAGGGTCACATTGAGAATCTACCAACTTATTCGTCTGCTTAAGTGAGGTTACAATTGCATACCACCGTGAGGCACAGCGTGCCATTGGCAATGATCTTCAGGTACATTTAGTCAGGGTCGAAGTACTGTACAACCATCCTTAAGATAATTGGCATCTGGGTTGCTCAAGGGCATAGAAGACACATATCGGGTAAGAGACACAACCTTAGATCTTGATTTACTTTGACTTTTATCTATTTCTGCTCGCAGACGTACTTTCGACTATTACAGTATAAAACCTCGCCTGTGGCTGCACGGATGAGATGTTGCCGAGTACAAGTTAGCCTCGAGATGGCATGATGGCACGATCTATCTCGGCTTATGTACGTTTCCCTCCGCAGATGTGCTGGAGGATCAGCTGTCAGCATATTTGAGTTTGGATTTGAATTTGAATCTATTTCATGAGATATACCTGGAGTGGATAACTGGAGAATCAAAGTATAAGTGAAATTATATCTTCATGATATCTTCCCTCGGGATTATCAAATAGTCTAGACCGAGCTACAAGTGTCTTTTAGGTCGTTGATTAAACCACACATACAGAGTGTCCCCATAACTCCCCTCATAGACTTACAGATTCACATCTACAGTCAAGAATGAGTACTTTGTCAACCAATGACGCGCTCGATGAAAGGTGACAGCCGACCAGCCAATCAGCGGGCTTCCTTAGAGATCAACGGGGCCAATCGGGTGATGACTCAGCAACACCCGTGTGGTGCCTGAGGCAGCGACACCACACCACCGGCAAAATCCTAGAGCACTTCTCACCTCCCCTTCCCGTCTCCATCCAAACCTCTCCCCTCACCATTGTTCCAGTCCGGTCCACCGTGGTCCTCCGCCTAAAATGCAGTCCCTCTCTATCTTCCGCGCCGCCACCCGCGCCGTTCGCCCTACCGGCTTCTTCAGAGCTCCCCAATTGGCCCGGTCCCGGATGCAGTCCCCGGTTACTCTGGCCGCCGCCCGCGCCCACAACTTCGGCACCACCTCCAAGCTCCTCTCCGGACACGAGGACGAGACATACGAGGAGTTCTCCGCCAGGTACGCCCCCAATCGCCTACAATTGATGTCGGAGTCGGTCGGAAGAGGGGGGAGAAGTGCTCTGCTTCGCGATGTTAGGCGCTACACGGAACAGACACCGGCATTTATCGGGGGATAAACAGAGCGTGTTATACTGACTGTGTATCTCAATCGCAGATTTGAGAAGGAATTCGATGGTGTGCAGGATGTTTTCGAGCTCCAGGTATGACTGATCTCGTCTTACGCCCCGGCATGTTGATCGACATGCGATATATGGCATGAGCCATATAAGTCCAATCATGCAACTTGATACCCATTTCCAATCGACGTCTGGCTAATACTTCTCCTCGTCGACAGCGCAACTTGAACAACTGCTTCGCCTACGATCTCGTTCCCTCCGTTGAGGTCCTCACTGCCGCTCTCAAGGCCGCCCGCCGTGTTAACGACTTCCCTACCGCTGTCCGTGTCTTCGAGGGTATGTTCTTTCTTTTCTATACACCAATGTCATTCCCTTCTTGCTATGAATCGAGATTAACCCCATGTGAATATAGGCATCAAGGCCAAGGTCGAGAACCCAGACCAGTACAAGCAATATCTCGAGTCCCTCGAGGGTCTCCGCCAGGAGCTCGGCGTCGCTCTTCGCGAGGAGCTCTACCCCCAGGAGGAGTAAATTCGCATCACCAATTCTCCTTTCGCGTCAATTTTCTCTTGAACAAACAGTACCCTTTCGCATGTTGTTTATCCAGCACTGTTTGACTGGCTGAGGAGCAGGTCGGGTAGAAGAGAAAACTGTATTCATATCTAGAGATCTCTTATGTTGTTAGTGCCGCTCTTATTTGGAACAAGGTCACTGGTGCCTTTTTTGGTGCTTAATCTATCTTCATTCCATGTGTCCCCATCTTGTTCAGCCATCTTACATCTGTTGTATTCTCAATCGCTCAATTCAGTCTTCAAACTTCAATTTCCATACCTCAATTCCCCATTGTTCTAGCAATGTGTATATTCGGTTCTGAACCCTCCGAGTATTCTGAATCTCAGTTCTTATTTCGAAGTAGCCAATATATCACACCAAATGACAAACTGCAGCAAAGCGCAGAGACACCACACCGAGTTAGATTGAGCCTCCCAAGTGAGCAAGCGCAATCAATTTAAGTACAATGAAGACAAGGCCCCTGTAGCTCCTCAGGAGACAGCAACACGGGCAAGAACGTATTTTGTGACAAGGAATTAAAGCAAAATAGAATGCGAAAAAAAAGGAACACAAAATCATCAATACACAAGGGTGTGTTCGCCCAAACGCCGGGTACCAAGCCACTGGTTTCAGGAATATAGTCATAGAGGTATGCAAGATGCAAGGAATCGAGTCGTGAGGCACTCTCCAATAAGGCAAGCGACAAGACAGGTCATTCAAAGACCTGAAGTTTAGTGTGTTCCGACATACTTGAAGTAGGTCGGGCGGCAATCCTCCTTGGAGAGGAAGTCTGCACCCTGGAAGAATTGACCAGCTTTGCAGCCGGAGCACTTGGGAGAGTTGGGGCAGTTGAGATATGGGATATGGTTATATCCGATATCGCGGAACCTGGACAATAATGTAAGTGAGTTTTCTCGAAAGATATTAGAAATGATCACGTACCAGTGGACATTCGCGGCATCGGCGAAAAGACCAATTCCGAGCGAGTGAACGGGTGCATCACCCCATCGCTCATAGAAGAAACCACCGGCACGGTCTAGGTGCTGGAAGTAAGCCTCATACTTCTCGCCACGGAAGAAGTCCAGATCGCCGATCTCGAAGTTGGACCAGAAATGGCAAGTGGAGTATCCGTTGCCGCCCTTGGTGTGTTCCGGACGAGCCACGTCATCTGTAATCCACTCCCACATGTTGTTGTCGCTCAAATACGAAGGGTTGGCGGCGAGGAAGCGCTGGGTCTCTGGCCAAAGAGACGGGATACTCTGGGGAGCGTCGTAGAGGTTGATAGTGAAACCGTAGGTCTTGTTGCCATCCTCCATGTACCGGAAAACATCGTAGTCGACGTCGCAGAAGAACTTGACGTTGGGCTCAATGCGCCAGTAGTAACGGTACTCTTTGAGAGCAGGGTGCTTGTAGAACATGCCGCTGTTCCAGCGACACATCTGGTGGTAGGAGACCTTCGAGCTGTACTGGATGTCCTGCTCCTCCAAAAGCTTGGCGGATTCCTTGAACAGGTCCATGTTGATCCAGCTCGGGACTTCCCAGTGTTCCTTAGGCACAAGCTCTGTGATCCGAGTTAGTTGTATCCCTTCAGCAGAGCGAAAGGGTAGGGCGTACCGAATTGGCACTTAGCCTTGGTGACCGACTGAACCTTTGACATGAATTCCTCGGTAAAGGGGATGTCGTTGAAGAAGATGTACGGGTAGTTGAATTTGCCATTCCATGTGCGCTCCAAATCCTTCATGGTTTCGAGGAGCTGGCCTAGTTCCTCATTGCGGACGAGGGAGATGAGCGCGGCGTTGGTGCGGGCCGATTTGTCGCTATCGGGAGAATAGTCATTTTCGGTGGCTCGCCATAGGTTCCCAGGAGGTTCTCCGGTAGCTGAAGACACCTTGTTAGCAACGGGGGAAAGCGATGGTTGCGATAGGAGAGGTGGCAAGAGACCGGGGTCACGCACGATCTACAAGAGGATCTTTTTTCATGCCGTGGATCAATTTAGACCCATCATTGGAGGGACTTTGATGTAATTGGAATACAAGAAATAGACAAAGAAGGATGCATGCTGCACCCAGCATGCGAATCGGTCGCGCGATAGCCATGATGAGGTGTGAAAGGGGGAGATGTCAGAGAGACAGAGAGAGGCGCGCATAAGTGGCCCATCTTTCCCGGTCGAGACTAGCGTCATCCAAGCAAAACATCCCGACTTTCCATCAACTTCAACTTCAACTTCAGTTCCAACTACCATCGACAAGGAAATCGATGTGATCTTGCTTTCGCCTGGCCTTGTCTGAAATGGCGTTTGCGGCCGATCTCAGTTCGCTTACTGATGCCTTGATCAGCTCGGTCACCAAGATATCCCCAAGTCAAAAGGTAATATCTATCGGGTTCTACTTCGAGACTATAATAATTAAATGATTTTCGTATAGGGATCTGCCCGCTTTCAAAGCCTGAAGCGTCGCATACAAGGGGGACTTCGGACTGGTTCTCATACACGCACCGACCAATTTGCAGTAGCTAAACAACTGGAGGGGCTGCAAGAAAAGTTCCAGGTCTTGAATAGAGATGAACTGACTGAAGCTCTTTCCTCCCGCCTGGTAGAACTTGAAGACAGTCGAAACTCATGGCTGCCAGAAATTCTCAGTCTGTTACTTCAGCTCTCAGACCGTCCCGCTCTATTGTCCACAGTAGACCGACTGAAGACGACAAACAAGTCAACAGTAACGCCAGATTCCCTATCATGGTCGGATCTCAACCCAGAGGGCGCTGCGTATAGCGATGAAGAAATCTGGGAGCAGGTCGATTTCACTGCTGGCTCATCAGATGAGGACGACTTCTCATCGATTGTTAGCGATGTGTCTGCTCCAAGGCACAGACCCTCGTCCTCTACGGCTGTTGAAGAAGACTATATCGTACCAAATGGGATCTTCACTTCAGCACAGGATGAAGATCTCATCGTCGCTATAGAAAAGGCACAATTTTGGAAGCCTGAAATCTACCCTCCAGTCACGCAAGGAGAAGAGAATGCATTTCACACGATTACCGAACTACAGCTAGCGAGAGAGACCATTTTCATGCTTCAAGGCCTTCCAACTTCAGTATTCTGGCATTCGGATGAGAATATTGAAGTAGATCGCAGGTATGCACTTGGACATTCATCCAGCGAATCACTAGCATCGCTTTTGCAGCGCTTTGGTGAGATTGGTACAAAAGTTTACGCCGTCCGAGACTTCATCAAGACGCCTCAGACGATCCCTTACCTACAAACATTCTGCCGGGGCGTTGAAGAGCTTCTCCATGAGTTTGATAAGATAATTTCCCAAGTTCAGTGCAAATACCTTTCGGCTGGTCAGACAATCAGTCTTCTCCAGCTTCTCGCCGATGTCCGTTCACACTCGCACGAGCTAGTATTACTAGCGGAAATGATAGCCAAGCTGGGAGAAAGCTCGACCGCCCAACCGATGCGCTGTCTAGATTTGCTATATAATTTGATTTGTATGCTGGAGGCTGTTGGAGATGAAAGTGCGTCTCAACGCCTTGCAAAATTATTCTTCTTGTGCTTCAAAACATACACAAGATCTATTCAGCTTTGGATGGAAACAGGTCAGGTTGATCCTTCAGATATTACATTTTTCGTTCGAGCGAATCGTGAGGGGGATCTTCGCACTCTTTGGCACGACTGGTTCGTCCTGGATGAGGGACCCAGGCGGCAGAAAATCCCCCAGTTCCTCGAGACCAGTGTCCAAAAGATCTTCACAGCGGGCAAAAGCATGGTCTTTTTGCACCATTTGAACGCGTTGGTTACAGAGACCCACGAGAAATCGGATATGACATTAGACGCGATTTCATCTTCGGAATCATCAATCTTGCTACCATTCTCTGCTTTGGTGGAGTCGGCTTTTGAGAAACTTGTGGATGTAGACCATTCGCTGAGTTCCATCCGTCTGCGAGAGGAACTCGACGAGAAATGCGGGCTATGGAGCTCCCTAGATGCTCTTCAACATGTTTACCTTGGCAAAGATATGAGCGTCCTTGGTATGATCGATTCTAGGATTTTTGAAATGATAGACCACGGACGGTCTTGGGATGACAGATTCTTGCTCACTGAAATCTCAAGAACGGCTTTCAGTTCAATACCAATCATTGATACATCAAGACTTCTTGTGCGCCCAACTGTTACCACTTCGCATGAATCACAAAACCAGCGAAGTGTGACCATACTCGAGTCAATATCCATTGACTATGGTCTTCCATGGCCTGTGGCAAACATTATCACCGAGGAATCAATTTCTTCGTACCGTCAGATCTCGACTTTTCTAATCCAGATTAGGCGTGCCAGATACAGCATGGTGAAACAGCGCATCCGAGAGGCCCGCAAAATGCCCGGCGAAAAGGATGATACTTTGGTGCATGCTCTCCATCACAACATGCTCTGGTTCATCGATTTCATATACGGCCATCTCACTTATCTTGTCATATCCACGGCAACCCAATCCCTGCATTCCGCTCTACTCGAAACCAAAGATGTCGACTCTATGATTGCAGCCCACCAGTCCTACATGTCTTCTCTGAAGGCCCAGTGTCTGCTCTCGGAGAACTTATCTCCAATCCATAAAGCCATCATCAGCTTGTTAGACCTCTGTGTTCATTTTGCGGATCTACAGACTGCACACTTGTCCGGAGCTCCCAACAGCGAAGAGCAAGATGACGAAGAAAACTCTATGGAGGCTGTGAATATTTTAATAAAAAAAGACCCCAAAAATGATTTCGACTCCGACGACTCCGATGATGACATGGGCCACGAACACACGCTTACGGTTTCATTCCATGACTCCTCTTACAATCAGCAAATGAAGAACGTCAAAATACAGTTTAATCACCTAGTCACTTTCGTCGCGGATGGTCTGAAGCGCGTAGCTCGGGCGGACGGATTTCCTAGCTGGGACATCCTTGCTGAAAGGCTTGAATGGTGTAAACGTTGAGATCATGCTGGAAACCAAAACGAATGAATTAACGAATCCAATGTTTCATTTGCTCAATGCTAGGCCATTACTTCCAGAATGCAAAGATATGTAAATAAGTATGGAATAAATTTTATAACTTAACATTAAAGTAATCACATATAAATATCGGTTTAGTGTATATGCATCAAAAATCGTAAGACGCCATGCAGACATTTCTTTTTTCCAGTCATTCCAACAATCTTCCACACCAGATGGAACTGTACGAACTGGAGAATATTACCACCTCTTATATAAGCATCCCCTCATCCAATGAAGCACTCATCTAGGCCTTGATAGCCTGCTCCTCATCATCGCTGAAAGCGTATCTCGAGAAACGGCGAATGGCCTCTCCCTTGAAGTAGAAGACATAGGGAATGAGACAGCAAGCCAAGGCGATGAAGGCAAGAAGCGAACTGGCCCATTGGTAACCAAGACGGTTGTACATCTGTTCGGTGAACAGGACGGTGGAGGCACCCCACATTGAACGAAGGAAGGTCTTCGCAGCGAGAGCAGAAGCTGCCTGGTGCTGATAGGTATCCACTAGAGATAGTATTAGTAAATATTAATATACAATGTAAGAATTTTGTACATACCAAGGTAGTTGTTGGCCGAGTTGTACAAGAAAATGAAGCCGAATCCAACAGGCCAGCCTCCCATGGCAGGTCCAATCCAGTGCAGGTCTTTGTACGAGGTCCAGGCAAAGATGAAAAGGCCGATGGGAACGAGCCAGCAAGACCACATCATGGGGATCAGACGCTTTTCGGCGGGGGGCTTACCGCCGCATTGAGCAGAGACCTTGAGGTAGTGCTTGTTGACGAAGGGAGCACAGGCTGCACTCATGAGAACACCGATAGCCAGAGGGATGAACATGAGTCCGGTTGAGGAGGCACTCCAGCCCTTGCCGGATTGGTAGACGATAGGGTAGGCAACAAAGAACATGTAGAGTAGGCCGTACAGAACAGACATGTAAAGAGCGATGAACATGACGATAGGCTCGAGGAACAAGAGCTGGAAGGGGCGCAAGAGGAAGACGCGCAGCTTCTCGCCCAAGGGACGGGGATCAAGCTCGGCTTCAGTGGTGTATTTTTCGTCGTTCTCAGACTTGCGGAGCTTGGCAGCTCTCTTCTTCAACAGAATCGGTGCATAGGTCTCGGGAACGGTGAAGGTAATCAAAACCCATGCGACGAAGCCCATAATCAACTGGAGCCAGTAAAGCCAGCGCCAGCCCGCGTGATCACCGAGGAAGCCTCCTGCGAGAGGACCAATGGCGGGTCCAAGGAAGGGGGCAGCACTGAAGGCAGCCATGGGAACACCTCGCTCCTCATTTTTCCACAAATCGGCGAGAGTACCGCCGACCAAAGTCATAGGGGCACTGAACGCGATACCATCGATCAGACGGCAGACAATTAGGGTTCCGATGTTCTTGGCAACAGCACAAGGAATGATAAAGATGACGGCGACCAGGAGGGTAACAGCGTATAGTGGGCGACGCCCAACCATCTCTGACATGGGAGCAAAGACCATAGGACCTAGGTGAGTTAGAATCAAGATAACCAGGAAAGGAAGTCAGTGAAACACTTACCAACACCGAATCCGATGACAAACACAGTGACAACAACCAGGCTGACCTCACGCGAGACACCGAAGTCTTCCATAGGTCCTTCAAGGTCAGCAGTAATGACACTGCTAGCAAAAGCCACCACGAAACAGGTGAAAGCAACGACCATGGTGCAGTACCACTTGTAAAGCTTCGACCAGTTCTTAGGGTTCTCGGGATCATCGATGGTGAAGGTCACCAACTTCCAATCCTCCAGCTTTCCAGTAGCATTGGACCTGACAGGCTTGATGATCTCACCTTCCCGAGTCTCGGTCGTGTATTCGCGAAGATCGGCGCCATCGCTCAGTTCACGGACGGGGAGGTTAAGGTAGTCAAGTGGTTCATGGCCAGATCCAATGGAAGCTGTCCGGCTGGTTGCATTGGTGTGGGTATGTTCTGATCGTGGGGTCTCCATGTCGAAATATGTCGAAATATGTCGATGTAGTAGAAGATGTGCCCAAGCAGAACTATGGGATGCTGTAGTTGTGATAACCTGTTGTGGAGTATGGCAGGTAAGTTACCCCTGGGGGTGCCATGGTTTTATACCTCATCTGTATCGACTCGGCCCCGAGCCTATGACAAGTGGATTCTATAAAAAATAGAGATTGCAGCGAGTACCACTGGATGGTTGTGACGTTCCTGGCAGGGCTGCTGATATCGGGCCGTCGCCCCATCTGGTGGATTGCCTGTTGTGGAACAAGGGCGCTAGCCACATGGGGTAATATGCTACGATGGGCCGAACACTGCTTATATCGAGGTCTTGGCAGCGTCAACTCTATGTAGGGGTGTGTAGATCTAGTACGGGTTCTACGTATAGTGAATTTTTCGCTTGTGACGGCTTCAGTTTCATGTATATAGGCGTTCTGCCAAATTTCGTCTGTGGAGTCTCTAGCGGATACTGTAGGTTATATTCTCAGTCGAATCCATAGCAGTGGGGATTATGGAGAGGTGGGAGCTTTTCCACATGGCTACTCCGTAACGTTAAAGTACACTCTATCTAGAGCTAGACGTGTGGGGAAGAACATCTCGAGGTATACAGGGGTCTAGGGAACAGAAATAGGGAAAGGTGCGGGTTGCTGTTGTGCCGGGATAATGCAACTATCGAAGACTCGACGGAAGATTGATTGATAAAGCAAAAGGATTACTCTTGGTACCACAGCCACATTCTTGTCGGCTTAATTAGACTAGGCTTGTATCATTTCATGAGCCAAGCGAATCGAATTTGACTTTCCCCAAGAGGGACATTCTCTACGCGGTACCCAATCAACTTCCAAATTGATCCTCCATGAAAATCTCACGAGGACACCATGAGGTCCGATCTAGAACATGAAAACTGTGTTGTGGCGGAGAATCAAGATCCGCCTCGCATGATATCGTCCCAATGTAGTAATTCTTCTGATGTCCGTATTCGGCAGGATGCTCCGATCTATACGAAAGCACGGAAAAAAAAAACAGAGAATGCTGACCCACCATCCAGGGGCCGTGTTACTCTGCGAAAGAGCTTTATGCTTTCACCGAGTGCCGACCAAGGTTCAGTATCTATGGCATTGCGTCCAAGAAATGCTCGCCTCCCAACTCGCCAGTGTACATGACTCAAGTAGGACCGCTAAGTTGGGAGGAGGGAAATATTCTATGCGTAAGATCCTGGCACATGATATTCAGCACTCTTTCTCAGTATCCCTTCAGTATCCCTGTTCAAATTCTTTATTAGGCTCGGTTGAGATGATAGCGCCTTGACTGCAATATGACCTGTCTTGAGAGCCATGAGCATGGACTGGCGCGTCCGAAGAGAACCTGTATTAGGGCACACTCACACCTACCTAGGTAGGTAAAGACTATCATGACTGAAGCAGAAAATTCCAGTGGACCCGGTCCTTGGCAAGGTATGCTGTGCTTTCCACATATGGTTAGAGGGCTGAGAAGCAGTTGAAGCTAGGTCGCCACCTCTTAACTTTGTCGTTCTACCCTTGTTCCCTCGCGTTAGGATTGAGATGACGTAAAACTTGGAGGTGGCAGGTACTAGCTGATATCTTTTCGTGATATGACTTGATGGTTGCTTTTGGGTTTTCTGCTAGAGTCGGTGGTAAAGTCACGCAACTATATGTGTTTCTGGTTTCTGTCAATCCCGGCAACAAAAACCTAAATGATGATGTCCAAATTCTACTCTATGTGATCCTCATCTGTTTCTTCTACCAAATGCTCATGGCTGAACGAATTTCGCAAGTCTATCAATATCCGATATCTCTAACACTTTAGCAAAGAGATATAGCTCGAATACCTGTTGCAACTAGGCTATACACAGACAAGGTAATTCTAGCTATTAATTTAATAGAGTAAACAGAGCCTATACTTCAAAGATATTCGGGTAGCTTTCGAAATGCCAATGCTTTATTGACAAAGCTAGGTGGCGTGCCCTAGATGTTGCCTATATTGTCTCAGATCTCCCCGCACTTTTGAGCCGGGGAACAACGCTCTGTACCTGGCCACCCAGCGGCTCCGAAAAGACTAAGAATGATACAAATAATCATCGCCCAAGATCACCAGTCATTTTCATAGCAATAAAACAAGTAATCACCAAGAAACTCGTGAAATATTAGTGTTTTTAGCGGCGAAGTATAAATGTCCTATCGACACGTGATGGGTTTAGATAAGCCGCATTGAGCCTAGGGCGGGGCCACTCAGTTTTTTGCAAAAAAAGCGATAGAGTCATCGCCAGTCTCCTCTAGCGATCTCAAGTCCACTACTTGAGAGAGGTCTTGAGCCACTCAAACTCTCTTTACTTCTTAGGAGATATATTACCCATCTCCCCGTGTCAAATTGACTCATTGGGAGAGCCCCCACGCCTCTTCAAAATGACTTCAACCGACAGTTATCTGGCCATTCCGGGCTCCGTGGCTTTCTCCAGCTCTCGCGGGCATGCCATTGCTGCCAGTATTGGTGTCCAGGATGTTCGGGCCCAGTGGATTCACTATGTCCACACCACTCAACCTTTGGACGAGCCCCAGCGTGCCGTGCTTGAGCAATTGCTCCAGTACGGTGATATCAACGACGTCCCTCCCACCTTCGAGTCCACCGACGGCCAATTCGATACCTTCTACATCTTCCCCCGTACCGGTACTATTTCACCATGGAGCTCCCAGGCAACAGGTATTTCGCACGTTTGTGGCCTGTCGAAGTACGTGAAGCGGATTGAGCGGGGTATGAAGATTTCCTGCCTTCGGAACAGTGCGGAGGACTACAAGCATGATTACATGGACACTCTTCACGATCGCATGACTCAAATCATCGGTAACGATGAGCCCGATCTGAAGCTGATGTTCTCCGAGCACGCCCCCCAGCCCCTCAAGACAATCTCCCTCCAGGGTGGCAGCAAGTCCCCTAAGGATATTCTCCAGGAGGCCAACGTTGAGCTGGGCCTTGCCCTCGATGAATCAGAGATCGAATATCTGGCTGAGGCCTATGGCCCCAACGGTGCAATCAACCGTGACCCTACTGACGTCGAGTTGTTCATGTTTGCTCAGGTCAACTCAGAGCACTGCCGACACAAGCAGTTCAATGCTTCCTGGGTTATCGATGGCAAGCCAATGCCCAACAGCTTGTTCGCCATGATCCGCAACACCCACAAGAAGCATCCTGATCACACTGTCAGTGCCTACAGTGACAATGCCGCCGTCTTGGAGGGCCCCGAGGCCGCTTTCTGGGCCCCCAACCCCACCACCGGAGAGTGGATGCACACCAAGGAAGTTGTTCACTTCCTGGCAAAGGTTGAAACTCACAACCACCCTACTGCTGTCTCGCCCTACCCTGGTGCAGCTACCGGATCCGGTGGAGAGATCCGTGACGAGGGAGCTGTCGGTCGTGGATCACGCCCTAAGGCTGGTCTCTCTGGCTACTGTGTGTCTGATCTGTTGATCCCGGACCTGAAACAGCCTTGGGAGCTCGATGTTGGCAAGCCCAACCACATTGCCAGCGCCTTGGACATCATGGTGGAGGCACCTCTTGGTAGTGCTGCTTTCAACAACGAGTTTGGTCGCCCTTGTATTGGTGGATACTTCCGTACTTTGCTCACCGAGATTGATGTCGGCAATGGCGAAAAGGAAGTGCGTGGCTACCACAAGCCTATTATGATCGCTGGTGGTGTCGGAACCGTCCGCCCCCAGCATGCCATTAAGCACCCCGAGGTCGTCAAGCCCGGTGCTTTCCTCGTTGTTCTTGGTGGTCCCGCTATGCTCATTGGCCTCGGAGGTGGTGCTGCTTCCAGTATTGCCTCTGGTGAAGGATCCGCCGACCTCGACTTTGCCAGTGTTCAGAGAGGAAATGCTGAGGTCCAACGCCGAGCCCAGGAGGTTATCAATGCCTGTGTGTCAATGGGAGACAACAACCCCATCAAATTCATTCACGATGTTGGCGCCGGTGGTCTGTCTAACGCGCTCCCCGAGCTGATTCACGACTCCGGTTTGGGTGCTACCTTTGAGCTTCGTGAGATTGACAACACTGATCGAAGCATGAGCCCCATGCAGATTTGGTGCTGTGAAGCCCAGGAGCGCTACGTTATGGCTGTTGGTGAAGAGAGCATGAACAAGTTCACTGCTATCGCTCAGCGCGAGCGTTGCGGTTATTCCGTTGTTGGCCGTGGAGGTGGCACCTCCGAGGAGGAGAAGAGACTCATTCTCCTCGACCGCGAGTCAAAGGAATACCCATCCCCCATTGACCTGCCTTTGTCAGTTCTCTTCGGAAAGCCCCCACGCATGACCCGAACTGTCGATTCGCGGAAGCTTAAGCTTCCCGCTGTTGACTCCAGCCTCACTAAGTACCTTCCCTCGCTCACTACCAAGGTGGAACTTGTTGAAGAAGCTGTCAAGAGAGTTCTGTCCCTGCCCGCAGTTGGCTCCAAGTCTTTCCTGATCACCATCGGTGACCGTACTGTTGGCGGTCTCACAGCCCGTGACCAGATGGTCGGCAAGTGGCAGACCCCCGTGTCGGATGTTTCTGTCACTGCCACCTCCCTGGCCCAGGGAATGAAGACTGGTGAGGCTTTCGCCATGGGTGAGAAGCCTACCTTGGCTTTGATTTCCGCAGCAGCTTCTGCTCGCATGGCTGTTGCTGAGTCCCTCATGAATTTGGCTGCATCTGATATCGTCGAGCGCCTTAGCCAAGTGAAGCTCTCCGCAAACTGGATGTGTGCTGGTAGCCACCCCGGTGAGGGTGCTGCTATTTACGAGGCCGTTGAGGCCATCGGCCTTGACCTGTGCCCCAAGCTTGGCATCAGTATTCCCGTTGGCAAGGACTCCATGTCCATGAAGATGAAGTGGAAGGATGAGGCCACCAAGGAGGCTAAGGAGGTCACTGCCCCCATGTCCCTTGTTATTACATCCTTCGCCCCTGTTGGTGATATCACCAAGACCTGGACCCCGGCTCTTCGCAGATTCGAAGATGTTGGTGAGACCGTCCTCATGTTTGTCGATCTCTCGTTCGGCCGCAAGACCCTTGGAGGATCCGCTCTTGCTCAGGTCTTCAACGAAGTTGGTGCCGAGTGCCCCGACGTTCGTGATGTCGATATCCTCCGTGACTTCTTCGATGCCACTCAGCAGCTCCAGGAATCCGGAATTGTGCTGGCCTACCACGACCGCTCCGACGGCGGTCTCCTCACTACACTTGCTGAGATGATGTTCGCCGGCCGTTGCGGTGTTGAGATCATGCTTGACAACATCTGCTCCTCCTTCAACACCCAGGATGTCATCGAGTCCCTCTTCAACGAAGAGCTCGGTGCTGTCTTCCAGGTCCGCAAGGAGCATGAGATCCAGTTCCGCTCATGCTTCGCCACCTGCGGTCCTCCTCCTGGTTTGATTCACAAGATTGGACGTGTTTCCGAGCAGCCCAAGCAGAACCTTGCGATCTACCACAAGGCCTCTCTCATCTACCGCAACACCCGTTCCCACCTCCAGCAAATCTGGGCCAAGACCTCCTACCACATGCAGAAGATGCGCGACAACGCCGACTGCGCCGAGCAGGAGTACGCCAATATCCTTGACGATGCCAACGCTGGTCTCTCATGGAACCCTACCTTTGATCCCAAGGACAAGGGCTTGCCCATGATGACCAGCCTCTCCCAGTACTCTCCCTTCGCCAACAAGCCTCGCGTTGCTATTCTTCGTGAGCAGGGTGTTAACAGTCAGGCTGAGATGGCCTTTGCTTTCAACACCGCTGGCTTCTCCGCTGTCGATGTTCACATGACCGACATCCTCTCTGGCCGTGTTTCACTCGCCAGCTTCGCCGGTCTCGCCGCCTGTGGTGGTTTCTCCTACGGTGACGTCTTGGGTGCCGGCCAGGGTTGGGCTAAGTCTGTTCTCCTGCACGAGAACACCCGCAAGGAGTTCCAGGACTTCTTTGAGCGTCCCGATACCTTCGCCCTCGGTGTCTGCAACGGTTGTCAGTTCCTGTCTCGTGTCAAGGACCTGATTCCCGGTGCCGGCTACTGGCCCAGCTTTGAGCGCAACACAAGTGAGCAATACGAAGGCCGTGTTTGCATGGCCCGCATCTCCGACCCCGACCCCTCCAACCCCAGTGTCTTCTTCCACGGCATGGACGGTACTTCGCTTCCTATTGCCGTTGCCCACGGCGAGGGTCGTGCCTCCTTCGCCGGCTCCCAGGGTATCTCGGCCTCCGACTTCGTTCGCGAGGGTCTTGCCCCCGTCCGCTTTGTCGACAACAACTCCCTCAAGCCTACCATGAAGTACCCCTTCAACCCCAACGGCTCTCCCGAGGGTATTGCCGGTATTCGCAGTCCCGACGGTCGTGTCTTAGCCATCATGCCTCACCCCGAGCGTACTGTCATGAACGGCATTGCCAGTTGGTTGCCCCCGAACGCCGAGAACTGGGGCGATATTGGTCCTTGGGGACGTATCTTCTACAGCGCCAGACGCTGGGTTGGTTAAAACATGTCATCATTTACGAAGCTTCGCAATTTATTTCTCTTTTTCAAGTTCCTGTCTATATTCTCTTGGTGTTAGAAAAGCCAAAATGACCCCGCTCGCAACCCGTATATACCAAAATTGAGCCAATCCAAGTTTACATTCCAATACATTCCCGTATAAGCATGCAAATGTAGTCAGATCACGGAGTCCGCGGAGTATAAAAACGCTTATCGTTGCACGGAACGATTCCGTGGCCGATCTGTGGCCATTCCAAATTTGGTGGGGTGAGTCAAAATCTATCCCACCTTTCCTGTGTTCGCGCCTATTCACCTTTGCACTTCCCCAATGTCGACTTCAATCATGGATTCTGCGGCTCAAGCACGATTTGATCTAATCACTAACAACCTCGCTGAGGTCCTGGACCCTGAGATCATCCAGAAGATCTTGGCCGAGGGTCGCAACCCCCGAATTTACTGGGGTACCGGTATGTTCACCACCGCAATCGCCGATCAGTGCATCGCAATGCCTATCGTTCCAACCGCCGGGCCTTGAGAAATTGGCCATTCGGGAATTAGACGCTAACCTCGTCATCTTTTTACCCTAAAGCTACCACTGGACGGTAAGTCACAACAACGGGACCGTCAGCTGACGGAGGATATTGTGCTAACATTGCATTTTTCTAGTCCTCACACCGGATACTACAGCCCTGCACTTAAGATTGCCGAATTGCTAGCAGCAGGATGCGACGTTGTCATCCTCCTCGCCGACATTCACGCCTTCCTCGACAATCTCAAGGCACCTCTTGAACTTGTCGAGAACCGCGCAAAGTACTACTCCAAGGTCATCACGGCGATTCTGAAGTCTGTCGGTGTGCCAACCGAGAAACTTGAGTTTGTTCTCGGTAGCTCCTACCAGAAGAACCCCGAATATGTCATGGATGTCTACAAGCTGTCTTCGGTTGTTTCTGAAGTACAGGCCAAGAAGGCCGGTGCCGAAGTTGTCAAGCAGACTGGTAATGCGCCTCTGAGTGGGTAAGGATATACTATCAACCTGGCTACTTTGCTAGCCTGTCCTTGGTTCAGTCTACCTAACAACTGCTAGATTGCTGTACCCTATTCTCCAGGTTCTTGACGAAGAGCACCTCAAGGTTGATGCCCAATTAGGTGGTATCGACCAGCGCAAGCTGTTTGTTGCCGCCAAGGAATGGCTTCCTAAGATTGGATACCGTGAGGTAAGATTGGTGACGTGAAAGTCTTTCGCAGTCCGGAAAACTTACAAAAGTCTAGCGTGCCCATCTTCTCAACCCTATGGTTGCAGGTCTTTCCGGTGGAAAGATGAGCTCCAGTGAAGAAAGTATGCTATCTCCTCTCCAGTACTACTTTCTCAAACAATACTAATAGCCGAATAGACAGCAAAATTGATCTCCTTGACAACGCCGACACCGTTACGAAGAAGATCCGCAAGGCCGAAGCATTCCCCAAGATTGTTGAGGGTAATGGTGTTGTCGCTTTAGTTGAATTCATTCTTCTCCCAGCTGCTGCTCTACGGGGCAACAAGGAGTTCCGCGTCGAGCGCAGGGACGCAGAGCCCCTCGTCTACACCGACATCAAGCAGCTCCAGGACGATTACACAAACGATATTGTATGTACACCTGGTTTCCCTTGTTTGAGAGTTCAAGATAGAGTACTAATGCCCTTATAGTTGACGCCACAACTATTGAAGCCTGCTGTTGCCGCCGGTCTCGCTGAACTTATGGCTCCTATCCAGGCTGCCTACGAGGCTGACACCGAGTGGCAGGAGATTGCCCTGAAGGCCTACCCTCCTCCTGTTGTACAGAAGAAGGTGAAGAAGCCTAAAGATAAGGGGTCCCGCTTCCCTGGTGCCAAGCCAGAGGGTGGTGAAGTTGCGAAGCCTGCTGATGGTGCTGAGCCTTCAGCACAATAGACGTAGTTTTGTGAAAGAATATAGTGCATAGCCGATACCAAAAAGCAACATTTACGCCTCTCACAGTTCTAATCTCCGACAATATTTTAATGCGAACTGAAAAAGCACTTGTAGACAATTTAGGACTCACGATGTGGAACTCTAAAAGGGTGGGATGCAAAGTGCTGACATAATCCGGTTTGATGCCGCTCATCGCATCGACTTAAACAAACAGGCCCTTTCTAACCCTGGCGTCGAGAGCAAGAGTTCAACACCAACACATCCAGCCTACCCATTTCCGATAAGCCTATACGTCGATCCTCAAAATGGCCTCCGATGCCGCCGCCTCGCCGGCCGAGCTCTATGACTCTGCCATGACTGTCCCCTCAGACTCCGAGAACTACTCTACCAACCATGAGATGTCTTCTTCCTCCACAAGCTCGCCGATGATTCTCTACAAGCCGCCAACCATCTTGGGTATCCTCCGAGGAGCAGCTATCAACCTCTTCCTCCCCTTCGTCAACGGCCTCATGCTTGGATTTGGCGAGTTGTTCGCACACGAGGCTGCCTTCCGACTGGGTTGGTCTAACACCAAGGTATGCACGATATAAATCAATGTTTTACAAAAGTTCTGACTGACATTCACCTCTCAAAGATCTTCCCTACATATCGTCGCTCAGTGGGACCTGGAGTTGAGCTTCGGGAGCTTCCCTCAGAGCGGAGACGCGCCCCTGCTGGACTGAAGGACACTACATCTCTGGAATAAAGCAATTCCCTGGGCTGTTCACTGTTTGGTCTGTTGAAGAATGACTGCATTTACACGGAATACAAAACCGAAGCATCTTTGACTTGCGATTGATACCTTCTGTGTACATCCAAAGTCTGTGTACATAGATCCGTTGAATCGGGTGGCGTTTTGGCGAATTAGGATATGCAAGCTCTTTATGAAAATACTAGAATGTCCCTTCATCCATCTCAATATAAACCCCCCCCCGAGTCCCCCGTACCTGGACCGTAGCCATGATCCGGGGTGTTTACCGCTCCGCCCGGCAGAAAAAAAGTCGCGCCTTTCGGCGCAGGAGACTCTCTTCCGCATCAACTGTGTCCCTATCACTTGCGTTCCCACTTTTACAAAAACTACAATGATGGGACCTGTTGGTCTGAAAGGACCCAATGCTACTGCGGCGTTTGCTCGTCAGCGGATAGCCGCCATGTCCCGCTCCACTCGATCTGTTCGTTCTCCGTGACTGCTCGGACCAAAAACATTGAAATTGACTGGAATTGCAGATCTCGACCTTCCGATCCCAATCGCTTCGCTTCCCTGCCAACCGGGGACAATTAAAGACGGCAGTTTCCGGAAATGCTCCCTGGCGCATGGCACCAGCCGCTATCGGCCCGGCCGCAGTTCGTTTCAACTCTACGTCCTCAACCCAACTGCCTACCGAGATCGTCGATAAGGCCACAAATCCCGAATGGTCAAACACATCCGAACTATTCGACATTACCACTATCCCTGAGCGCATTGGGTACCTCAAGGAGCTTGGACTTGATTACGGCTGGGGTCCTTCTTCCTTCATTCAATGGCTGATCGAACACACACACATGTGGACAGGCCTACCCTGGTGGGCTAGTATCGTGGCTGCAGGTGTCATCACCCGTCTTGCACTGCTGAAGCCAGTGATGGATGCCGCTGACATGGGTGCCAAGATGAGGAACATCAAGGACAAATCAGACCCAATCCGCACGAGAATGGTTAACGGAACTCGCGACGGTAACCAGCAAGACGCCCAGCTGGCAAGGGCTGAGCTATCTGATCTCCACAAGCGGGAGGGCATTGTCGCCTGGAAATCGTTCATCCCCATGCTGCAGATTCCGTTGGGTTTCGGTACTTTCCGTGTCGTGCGAGGAATGACTGATTTGCCTGTACCCGGTGTGGCCTCTGAAACCGTCGCCTGGATTAATGACCTTACTCTTGCCGATCCGACATACATCTTGCCAGTCATGTCTGCCGCTATGCTGATGGCTGTTCTCAGGGTAAGTTTGATCATATCATGCTGAAGCGAATGCAATGCTGACTATGCAATAGAAAGGTGGAGAGGCTGGCACCATGCCTGTCTTGAACTCGCCTGCAGGAAAGGCCCTCATCTACGGTCTTCCCTCCGTTTCTTTTGTTTTCATGGCGTTCATGCCTTCTGCCCTACAGCTTTACTTCGTCGCAACCGGTGCTTTTGGTCTTGGCCAAACATACCTCATTAACTCGGATAAGTTTCGCCAATGGATGAAGATGGATATAGTCCAGAAGACCGAACCTGGGCAGCCGCAATTCTCTTCCCTCACAAAGAACACCCGCAGCGAGGGCCTTCGCCTCTTAATGCAACGGATTGAACAGGAGAAGCTTGCACGCGAGAAGATTCTCGCGAAAGGACCCGGCCAGAAGGGTGGAGAAGCAGAACCCGCGGCAAAGGTTTCTTTCGTTGACCGCTTCATGGCCAATGCCAAATCAGCGGGCAAGGATATGAAGAAGGATCTCCAGGAGAAATTGAGCACCGGTCCCACAAAGCAGACTGGCCGCCTCTCCGCCGAACAACAGAAGCGGGCGATGGAATACGAGACCCAGCGACGCGCCGAGGACGATGCTATCCGTGAGGAGCGTAACCAGGCTCGCCGAAGGGAGCATATGACGAAACTCCAAAATGAGATGACGAAGGCTAAAGGCTCAAAGCGCAAATAAGATGTTGCGCTTGGAAAGCAAGCCTGAATTTAATCGTGTGTTTATACAAACTGTAAAATATGGCGCGCATATGTACTTGTGATTTGAGATTAGAATTTATTTTGAGTGCCATCTCCACTGGCTTATTTACTGTGTTCAAATCCGAGCCACGCAGGTCCTGATACTTTGTAAGAATTTCCATGCAATCCCGAGTGTTGGGTCGTGGAGAAGAAAATTATACATCCAAGTCTGTACTCTGGAGTTTCTATTCCTCGGTGGTCAAAGAAGTCAAAAGTAAGAAACAATGGCAGTAATAAAACAGATCCAGTCTGTCATTCCGATTCTCGAAGCTGAGATCATCAACGCTAAAGTATTATTTGACATGAAAGTATGGATAATCTACAATGAGTAGCCCAAATTTATCGAAACAGCCGTCTTCCACCACCACTTCCAGAGTTCCACGTAAACGCACCGCGAACCCCCAAGTTCTCCATACTCAACCCAGAATATCCAACACCACCACCCTCACCATCACGCTTCACACGCCGTACGGCTTCGCGTAAGTGTGAAGGAAGAAGCTGACCACGGTGCGGGTTTGGAGGAGGGCGGAATTCACGCTTAGGACGTAGAGGGGTACCGGGATAAGATGAGTGAGGAGGGATAGAGGATGCAGGCGTGCGGTCGGAGTCATGAGGTTCTTTCTTGACTCCGCTGCCAGGGCCGGGAACTGGGGTGCCTCCCGGGGTTGGTGTTGAGGGTTTCGAGTTTTGGGGAAGGCCTGACGCTCTGGCCTGTGCAGCGGCTTCGGCGGCGGCTTCTTCGGCCTCGAATGCATCTCGTGCAGCTAGATCGTGTGCGTCGGCCCATTGGACCTGAACCGTTCGTGCCATTTCAATCATTTCACCAGCAAAGACCTTGGTGAAACCGTTGACTGTGGTCACCACGCTGGCAGGCACGGATTGAGAAAGAGCGTGATTGACAATACGGCGGAGCGTTTCTTTGCGCAGCTTCGCTCGCTTGAAGAGGTCGTATCTCTCTGATTGCATAGGGTTAAAAGCATCAACCAGGATCCTGTCAAACGCCGTTAGTGTCAATAGAACCTGAAAAGAAGACTCGGGTTGAAAACGTACGCAAGGTTCTTCTTCTCGGCCTCAGTATCTGTAGTCCCCTCTTCCCGCCCAAGGAGCTCACCCTCGTCATCGTCGTCATCGTCGTCTCCATCATCTGCACCACCGCCGCCTCCTCCTCCACCGCCAGAAGGACCTCCTCGAACCGAGCCCTCGTTATCAACGGACCCAAATCGTGTAGAATCTCCTGCCCTGGCGCTAAGGGCATCTTCGCGCTCCCGCTCACGTTCTTTTTCGGCCTTGCTCTTCCGTCCTCGCTTCTTGCCTTTTGCTGCACCAGAAAAGACTCCGTCCGCGCTCGCTCCACCGAGACTCCCTGTAAAGCTCCCTGTCACGCTTCCGGCATCACTTGTGGCCCCGAAACTGCGCTCGCCGGCGTCCATGTGTGCAGGGAAAGAGGTCTGGCGCAGTGGATGCATGCGCGGCTTTTTGCCGAGCGGTTGTGAGGCCGAGGAGGAGATAGATGGCCGTTTGAGGGGGTTGGAGGGTGGTGGTGACGACATTTTGAATGAGTTTGGCGGGTATGTTTAGGAATTAAAAGGCGCAAACTATGTAGAAGATGAGGAAAGGCGAGCCGCAGGTGTAGTAATGATGTAGTGTTGATTGAAAGCGAGAAAAGAGCACAAGTTGAAGCTCTCGTGAGGTCCGCGGATATCGCGCCGCGCTTTTGCGCTCGGTCTGGAATAAAGACAGGCTCCTATTAAGCTCACTGATAGATTTTCCTCGAGGAAATCGCAAGAAGTGAAGGCTGTGGCGATCGAGGGAATGCGACAGGTATTCGACAAAATGTGCTGCTTGGACTTTGATGTCGAGGACTCAAGTTTGATGAGACACGAGATAAGGACGCATCCGACCGCCTGCCGCATACAGTAATTATACATCGCAGCCCTACAATGACGACGTTGCATGTCCAATCCTATCGATTTTCTTAGTTAAGTAATGCCCTCGGGGTTTTTTACAAAGCTCTTTGGTGGAATATCAAAACTTCGATAGCATTTAAGATAGAAAACTGTCAAAAGTAACGTGATGTCAAATGAATGGACTGAAACAGACAAGACGCTCAGAGCGTAAGCATGCGATGCTGTGTACTATGTAATCATGAAAGATTGACAGATAGAAAGGAAGAAAGCCAGAGTAATTGCGAAATCTTAAAGGGCAAATTGACATGAACACAAAAAACTGAAAGATCGGAACGCGAAAGGAGTTAGAACCTGAGCGAAAGACTTCATAGAAGTCTCGCTAGAAGCCCTTCTCTCCAATGCGCGGTGCCCCCCCTTTCCAGTCATTACGTTCATAGTAACGGAACACGAGATCGTATCCGTTCAGATCGTGGACAATACGGTCAACACGGCGGTAACCCTCGACCTGCTCCATCTTGTTGCTACCACGGAGAGCGTGACGCTGAGCGTGCTGCTGGTCATGAACACCATTGACTTCGTCAATCTCATCAATCGCAGGCTTGGTCTCGAACAAGGTAATGCTGAAACGGCCCGGCTTGAAGATTTCGACAACCTGCTTGATGATGTCGGCAGTAGCCTTACCATTCTGGGAGTGCGGCACGTTGGTCTCGAAAGACGCGTACGAGCACTGAGGCTCGGGAGTGACATGCACGGTGAAGTAGTGGGTCGGAGCGTTGCCGTCAGGAGCAGGAATCACGCCGTTGGCAGAGAAGCCGCATGGAGTGAACAGGTAGGCGTCAATGCGAGCATCAGGGAACTTGCTCTTGGGATACACATCAGACAGACCGCACGACTCAGAGACGACGGTTCCTAGGGCGTGGCCCTCGGTGGTCAGCTCTGCAGGCAGAGCACCGCCAGTCTCTTCGTCCATGTCAGAGGTATTACCAAAGACATCCAAGTGATCTTCTTGGTCGGCGTTGCGATGGCGCTTCTCGGCTACAGCGGTAGCATTTTCCAAGTAGAATTGCTTCGCATTCTCTTCATCGAGATCGGTCATCAGAAGCTCGAGGGTCTCATCATGCTCATCACAGTCAGAGCGAGGAGTGGCCTCAGGGAAGCTCAGAACCTTGGTTTCGGTCTCGGGGAACTCGATCTCCTCCTTGGGGCTAGCCGGCGGGGTGAGCATGGTACCAGGCTCAGTAAGGTAGAGGTACCAATGCTCTCCGTTCATCTTGCCGATCATGTAGGCGCTACCGTTGACAAAGAGCTTGTCCATAGAGCGCACCTCGTCGCGCCAGCTGCGGTGGGGACCACGCTGGCGGTCAGGGAACAGGAAGTTCTTCCGGCTGTAGAAGACTCGGTAAGGAGCTGCGGCCACTGTGATACCACGAGAGGGAGGAGCAGTGGCGCGAGGGAATCCTGCAAACAAAGCGGCAATCTCCAAGATTCGCGGGAGACCGGAGAGAAGAGTAGTGGTTCCGCAAGTCTTCAAAATCAACTTGTGCGGCCAAACAAACATGCTCGACTCGGACAGAAGGTAGGCATCCATCTCGTCCGACGAAATAACGGAAAGCACCTGGCAGTTGACCAGGTCTAGCATGTCCTTCCAAATCTCTCCAGGGACTTTCTTGAGACCCTCAGGGCCAGCGGCACCTAGTTCAGCAGGAGATGGCGCGAACCAGACCTCCAGAAGCTTCTCAGGACCTGTTGAGTTTGTTAGCAATGCGCCGTACCACCGTAAAAAGATATGACAAACCTTCAAAGGCATTGGTCGAGTCAAGGTCCTGAGTGGCCTCATAGTTGATCGTCAGAGACGGCGTACCCGCGAACGAGGACGGCGACTGAGTGTAGTTCTGTGGAATACCGACGTAAACCATTTTGAATGATTGCTTTAGCCGAAGCTGTTGTGCTTGTTAGGTTGAACGAAGCTGAAACAGTGACGTCGGACCGCCCTATGCACTCTCCGATGACGAAAGGCTGTAGAAGCACTGTCTACTTGCCCAGACGAACAAGGGGGCGATGCCCGTCTGAGAAGAGAAGGCCCTTAACGAAAAATAACTGGTCAGACCAGGCAGGGGAAATCTCCAACAGTCCAAAGGGCTGCTAAGGAGGGCGAAACGCGAATGCGAGGAAGAAGACGCTTAGAGAAATGGTGACTGGCAATCAGTACCCTCGTTCTGGAAGATACCGATACCGTTCAAAGTATCGGGTCTAGCAGACGAGAATTCTGCTTTTTTTAAAAAAAAGTTATTGGAAAGATGGGCGTTCGTGAAAACGGTGGCGTTATCGAGGCCTGAAGACAATATCAATGTTAGCGGCTGTAAAGCTATTCAATTTGTTTCATGACTGGAAGCATAATTTCATGCAGCCAAAGCATTGACCATCTACCCTGATCCAACGTCATAGGATCGCGGGCTTCATGTCGAGGTACAAGGACGACTTACTTCGCGGGCTTGGACAAGAATCGCAGAAGGTCTCTCGAGCTCATGGAAGGCTAAAACAATAAAAGTTTTAGAAGAGCGAGAAGTAGCAAGCAGCTAGACTCGTGAACATCGGCGGGGTGTAGAAGAGAGTCGGTTAGACAGTCTCACACAGTAGCCCAATGAGTGCCCGAAATCACAATTGATTACTCGGGAGCAGCAAATTGATAGACAGGGAATCACTCGCAAAAATTGGCGATTGGTGCAAGTTTATTTGGGCCTTGTTGACCTCGAGGGAGGGGGAGGGTTGCAAAATGTTTTGCTGTACGGCAGTTTGGTTGGTAATGAGTGATTTTCTCTGTGGGCCCGCTCTGGGCGTGGGGCGACGGATCAAAATCTGTCTGACATCAGGGTTCAGGTTAGATGGATAAGGGATTTTTACGGAGCCTGTAGGATGACACACCAGTGAAAAGAAGTGAGATCAAAAGCTGCAGTTATATGCAGACTGTCGACGATGCTGGCCAGTTAGAGGGGGAGAGAAAAAAGTGGGAGAATATCTGGAAATCTTGGCTGCACACGAGCGGTGGCGGCGGGCAAAATAGCCTTTCCGGTGCCTGGCGGTAAACTGTTCTACAAGACAAGTCACATAGGTATTGTATGCATTGATAAAATAGAACTAGTTATTGAGACCCGATATGTCTCTGACATTACCTCCTGAACGCCTCTAACACCACGCCGCGAAGAAATCCATGACGTATTTTGCAACACTGGATATTGTCAAGATGAACAGGCTAGGCGTCAAGAATTATATGCGCCAGCTGCATTTCACCAGCTTCCAGAATCTTAGATGCGATGATTTGACCAACCGCTTCTGACAATCGTGTTCGTAGATCATCAGTCACAGTATGACCATTTGTCAGGGGCTGCTTGCCCCGCAGTGAAGCCAGAACAGATACAAGGGCAGTCAGAACACGTTCAGCGGCCGGCCGACGGGTAGAGTCTTCCAGACCATCATGTAGGAGCTTGCTGTATTCGCGGAGGTTGGGAACAATAAGCACTCGAACGACTTCTGATCCTCCAATAGCTTGCATTCCGATGACGGCACCGTAGTGGGCACCGAACGGCTTGGAAGGGTCAAGGAAACTCTTGAGACAGGAGCGCACGAGTCGGGGCTTGAGCATATGAGAAGCGTGTGTGTACTTTTGGGCAATGCGACTGAGGAGTGAGGCAGCCATATCGCGGAGGGCAAACTGCTCGACCAAATCCGCATTACCGCCGAGCTGGCGACCAATCAAGCATGTGAGAATTGAAGGGACAAGCGAGGCAATCTGTTATGGTCAGCTTCTTAATCCCGTGTTACTGTGAGGGTTCACTTACGTAGGGATCCACGTAAAGAGACTGGTTCTGGACCAATGCCTCGGCCATGTGCATAACTTGGGTGAGAACGAATATATCCTTGAGGCTGTGTGTGACTTTTTCGGCGATAAATTGGACAAAGTATGGCACCAGCTGGTGCAGACCTGGGTCCTCGCGAAGGCTTGAATAACCGGATGTACGGTAATCCTCGCTATTCTCATCCAAAAACGCACTGCAGACCTTCTCGAAGTATAGCTGGAGTTCTCTTGAAAGCACATGCTTCACCAATGGCTTCACAGACACGTCGCCTGTACCGCTCATTGCCGAAAGTGTGGAGTTGGCGTTTGGTCCCTTGGAGACCAGCTCGAGGTTGCGAGAGTCCGCAGCGGTAGGGTTTTGAGGAATCGAAGGCTGCACACCTTCTACGGCTAGCCAGTGGGCTAAAATAGTAGACAAATTGTTAATGACTGGAACGACGTCAAGCTCCGTTGCAGAGGTGACCGCTTACCAGTGAATGAAACTTCCCGAGGCACCTTTGGCAAAGGCGCATTGATCAATTTCTCAAAATCAACTTCCTCATCTTCAACATAAAATAGCGGTTGACCGGGGCCCAGAGAGGCCTCGCCGAAACGCAATGGGCGAGTCGAGTCGTATCCATATAGTGGCTCCACGTCCAGGTTGCGCAAGGCCAGTGAAATGTCCTGCGTGGTCAGGACGGTGCGCTTTCCATGACGCATGGACTTCAGAGCCTCCTCTAGAACTTGCGCAACTCGATATTCGACGTCGCGGGCCAGATTCTCGGTCACATCGTGGTTAAGGTTGCCGATGCCGACGGACTCAGCCACGTCGCGGATGTTATCAGGGTTCCAGACAGACATTCCGGGCAGTCGCTATTTTTATTGATGATGTGCAAGATAGCAAGGAGTGATGGGTTGTGGGCGCTGGAGCGTGTCGCGACAGGTGCCGGCAAGCTTAGGTCGAATGTCTAGAGGATTAGAAAGCGAGTCGCATGCTGGAACCGCCAGCGGATTAAGGGGCGAGGGAGAAAATTTCAGTTTTCTCGGGGATTCAAATAGATATAACCCTCAACCGAGACTGGAAGCTGAAGTTGAGTAGGTCAATTGTCACCAGGGTGAAAGCTTGTCGATAAAGAACTGCGCTAATGGGTGCGTGGTCGCCCGTACAAAGCTGTGACGCTTCACATTAAGCTAATAACCAAATCGTGATCAAGCAACTTGAGTATAAAATAACAATGTAGTTTTCAAGGCAAATAATATCAGGCTAACAATACAGCACAGTGGAGGGAAGCACAATTGAGCAGAAGTCAAGTAAGCAAAAGTGAAGAATTATTAACTGCTCCTCCGGGTATCACAACAGACAGCCAAATTTTACTGAGCACCCTCTTTTGGCTCTTCCTGGGCAACTTGCTTAGGGGCTTCCTGTTCTGGGAGCTCGGCTGCAGCAGGCTGTTCAGCCTGCTTGTCCTTCTTAACCTCCGGCTTGTCTTCCACCAACGGAACAATCCGAGCACCATCCTTCAACTCTGGGCCCTTGCCACCATAGGTCTTGGGGATTTGCTCTACGACCGAAGCAGGGAACTCACGAGCCAGGTTGGCACCGTTGGTGATGGGATGGAACTTGCGGGTGGTGTTGCGGCTCAAGATGAGCTTCATGGCAGTAAACATCCAGCCCATGATCGCAGGAACATTGACGAAGAACTTCTCACTGAGGAGTTCAGGATAGGCAGTGGCGAAGACGTCAATGACCTTCTTGGTGGCAGTACGCACGGAGGGATCCATTCGGAGGAACTTGACGTTCAGGTAATCGTGGACCTGAACCATCTGGTAGGGGTCCTCGCCGTCATACTCAATGACCTCGGTGGCATCCTTCATCTTCAATTCCTGCACAGCGAGCTCCATAAGAGCAGCGCGCCATCTGACAAACCTAGAGAACGTCAGCATGAACTTTGGTAGATGGATTTCCGACTTACTCATCGGAGTCTGCGAATGTCGCATTGACGTCCTTGACGGCTCCATAGATGTTCCAAGTAAAGACCAGCGGGCGACCATCCTTCTCATAGGTTGACAGGTATCCCAGACCTCCGTACTTGGAAGCGCTGTAGTTGCCGGACTCGGCCAATGCCAGTGGGTTCACGTCCTTGCGCCACTGGAGTGCCTTGCGAAGCTGGTCTTCGGCGGCCTGAACATTGCCCTCATTGGCGCGCAGGAACTTGATGAGTACATTGACGGTAGGAACATCGGCGCTGTCCTTGAGCTGTACTCCCCACATCTCATCGTGTCCGATGCTGGTGAGGATGGTCGGCAGTCGATCGAAGAACTGGCCGAGCGCAGGGGTCTTGGTCAAATATTCAGGCTTCTCGACCTTTTCATCAGGCTTGGTAGCTTCGGGCTCTGCGGTGCTGGCGATAGCGTCTTTGGCAGGTTCTTCTTCCTTGGCCGGGGCACTGATCGCGGGTTCATCCTTGGCAGTTTCGGTGTTTTCAGCCGCAGTAACGGGCGCCTCAGGCTGGTCGCCCTCTACAGCCTCCATGGGCTTGGGTTCGGGCGCAGGATCAGCTGGCTTTTGGTCCGACATGTTTTTGGATTGATGTTGTGAAGATGGCAAAAGAAGGAAATAGGGGGGATGTTATGGGCAGGGGTTAGTTGCCTTGTCAATAGTCGGGCCACATATCAACCTCCCCACCCTATCTAGTTTCACCTGTCTATTATTATTTCGTCTAGAATTTCCCTTAATTTGGGTCTTTAATTGCAATTATGCGAAACATGGCAGATCCCGAGATCGGCACAGACCAGTCACATATCCTTTGATTGGTAAAGTTGGTGTGATGCCTCAAAATACCAGCCCTATACATGATTCCGCTGGATATGTTTTCCGCGTATTTTTCACGTTGTAGATTATATGATGCTCTAAATGTAGACACTCAAATTGTCTGGTATTCGGCAAATAGCTAATTAAAGCGCTGTTGTTGATTGTTTCATTATTTGTGCTCAAGAAAAAAGAGTAAGGCAAGTAACTTCAGCGCTAAGTTCGATCAGGCATTTGTTTATCATGTCTTACAGGATATTCTGACAAGGAATGTGATGTCTAAACGAAGAAAGATAAAGTTTCAAGCGTCATGAGAGAACTGCATAGATCGCATAAGTATATATTGTTGACTTCTTCTCCAACTGGTTGCATGAATATATTCTTCTGATTCAATAACAAAATCACAACTTTTCTGCAACACATTGCATCTATGAACCGACTCTGAGACTTTCATGAACACCTATTTATTGTAATAAAACACACTATATTGCATATGGATAAGCTATCCTGTCTCTTTTCCCTTTAATATTCGTCGGACCTTTACATACTTCGAGACCCACTGAATGACGCAACTTCCGAGACAAGCACTCCAAAGAAACAACCCATGAAACCGCCTTTAGTCAAATATGAATAGCACAAAATGTAGCATGTGACCAAATACCGGCGCTATAATCTTCTAGGTCCGCAACAGAGACTCTGGAGACAGTTTCAAGCCCTAATTACGTGATCTTCTAGAGATGAACAGTCCACGGGTGCATGTACGCTTCGCAGCCAGAAATCAGATATTAAAGTATCAGAATGTGAACCAGAAGATTTGGCCAGTCCAAGTAAGCACAGTAGTCTTGGAACAGGTCATCTCGTGAAAAGGGCTTCTCTGTAACTTACCGTTGCTTCATTGTAGAGAGCATAGTGCTTTCCCAAAGTCCACTCGGGGTTTGTTGATAGTTGAGGCTCCAAAGTGAAGCTTATTTGTAATCCCATCATTGCTTAGATATAATTATGCCAAGTTTCATATTAGTGTACACTCTGGCCTACCGGCAAGCGGTGTTTGACATGCATCGCAAAAATGTTACTTAGTTTACCCGGAAGACCTTTTGTTTTCGCGACATTTACCACAAACCATAATGACACTTGTAAGATCAGACCATATTTAAATTCTAGAACCAAATATTTGGAACAATATAATCTCCACCAAACCTTCTACCTGTGTGTCCCTTTGTACACCTAGATCCATCGGCCTCAGCACTATCTAAGAACTGCGGGAATCTCTGCGTAGTATGATAAACTTCATCAACGGGGTCTTTTGCCATGGCGAAAGAAAGCTGGAACCGAGTAGGAGTATGCTCTAGCTATGGACAAAACGTTGCTTCAGCAACTCGAGTGGTGTTTCAGATGTTTGCAGATGGGAGAGTTGATAAAGAACCGAAATTCCCACCTCCGTAATCGCCAGGTTGGGGGATGGCGGCCTTCAACCGTTTGACCCAAGCTAACGGACATCTGACATGCCTCAAATACCAATACTGCATACCTTGCCCTCCATATCAATAATTCCCAGATTGCGTTGGAGCCGCGCATAGGAAGGGTTTAGCGGGTCAGGCTATTGGCGTTACTTCGCAGGACCCTCGTGAGATACTTTTAATTCATTTCACATCAGTTTTGATGATTCTTGAAGCCAGCAGGTTTAATTGAGTCTGTGTACGGCTACATTTAGAGTAGGAGAGATAGCAAAGGGAGGAAGACTTTGCTATAAGACCTCTATATCATCTGGTCTGACATGCCTGCTCCGCCTATTTCCCGAGGGCGCGGTGTCGGAGATGATAAGAAATTTGAAGCCATCGACTCTAAAAAGTAGCCCATGTGAATAGGAGTCAGCTACCCCTTGGGAAAGAGACCATCGAAGCTTGTTCTGGTAACAGTTTTTTATTTTTTGAGTAGCCTCTACGGCGGTGGCGAAGATCAAGCACCTCAATGCAATTACAACGATAACACTTTATTCCTCCCCCGACGACAATTCTTAATTTTGCTCCTCTACTCAAGTAACCGCTACGTCTTGATGCTTTCACATCAGGTCAAGCGGTAGCTGTTAGTGTCGCGCCAGTATCCCACCCACTCATGCTAGCTGCCATGACAGACAAAGCTGCATTTCTCATTGTTGTCTGATACATGGCCGAAGTTGTTCCTGAATATTCGGGTTAATAGATAAGTTATAGAGATAGCGTCTGTGGATGTATAGTAAACCTCCCAACTTGGAGAAATCCCCGCTAGTCCGTAAAAAGAAGCCAAGACGGGCAATTAGAGTTCACGATGGGACCCGGCCCACCGTTGACGTCCACGTGTATGTTCACATTTCGTTTTGCCGCATTAAGCCTGTATATTGAAAAGACTCTGGGAAAAGCAAGATGTAGTCAATAGCTACCACGGAGCTTGGTATCTTTGAAGCGTCTTTCCCCTATCGGAAATCCAGTACTCCTTGAGGCAGGGGTCCAGGAAAGCCATGAGTAATACTGTATATGAGCTATAGGTGTCCAATGACAAGCGTCTGTATGGGGCAGACCCGGGGCTTTGAGGACCGGAACCTGAGCTCTATTTCTTAAAGAATGACGCTTCTTCCCCCGCTCAGAATTGAATCCATTCTCTCAACTCACCCTTTGTCAAGAGGCTGGACAAACTCCCATCACAATGCCACCAAAGCTCCATCTAGTACGGCACGCACAAGTATGTCTGTCACATATCGGGGGTTTTCAGTATTCATCTAACATACCATAGGGCTACCATAATCTTGGCCCTGAATATTGGAGTCTCGTTGATCCGATCCTGACTGAGGAAGGAAAGCGGCAGAGCTTGGAGCTGAGCCGTAGGTTTCCTTCCAAAGATGCAATCGAATTAGTATGTGCTTCGCCAATGCGCCGAGCCATTTACACCGGCCTAGAAGCGTTCGGTTCGGTCCTCGAAGAAAACCCAGAGAGAAAATTGATTGCCCTACCGGACCTACAAGAAGTCAGCGATTTCCCTTGTGATGTGGGAAGCGACATTGCCAGTTTGCGCAAGGAGATGGACGAAGCAAAGCTGCCAGTGGACTTAAGCTTTGTGGAAGAAGATTGGACCAGCAAAGTGAGTCTAATTTTGTCGAAATCCGCGCAACATGGAACTAATTCAGTCACGGAAATCAGGTAGGTAGATACGAAGGGACAATGGAAAAGCTTCGTACCCGCGCTCGAGATGCTAGAATTTGGCTGAAGAATCGCCCGGAAAAAGAGATTGCGGTCGTCAGCCATGGCAACTTCTTACATTTTCTAACTGACGACTGGGAGGATGGCTGTAAACATGACGGTACGTTGGATGTTACTTTGGAAAGGCCCTGGGCTTCAAGTTCCTGGCTGACTTAAGGTGATATAGCGACATCCTGGACCAATGTGGAATATCGAACCTATGAATTTGCCGAGGAGGAAAACGGCTCCCCTGAACATTTGGATGATGCACCATTACAAGAAACAACGGATTCACGTCACCGACGTGGGAAATTCAGTCCTTCACCTACGCGCGAGGCTCAAAAAGTGATATGCGAGCAGATGCTCATAGGCTGGGCAGAGCAGGGATATCCGGTTGGCACATCGAAAGAGAATACCTCTATAGAAGTCATTGAGGTTAGATGAATGAATGATCACAACAGACTTCCTGTTTTTTTTTTCTTTCTTTCTTTCTTTCTTTCTTTCTTCAATCACCCCAGATACAAGCAGCATGCAACGCATATACCTACTAACTTCCATGTGACAAGAATACGTAGTTCAATACGTCTAGATATTGCAGTTTTGCAGTTGAAATATCTCCATTTAACTTTACCTGAATAAGAATTGAGATTGTAAACGGCCGACCTATGAAATGCCTTTCAAGTTAGCTTTGCCTTTTTTTGGTTTAGCGCCGTAATACGCTGCTACGTCAACTCCCCCGACGGTCAACCGCAATATCTCCCCCTCTCTCAATTTTTGGCTCACGCTGCTAGAGTGCATAGTTATATGTCATGGTGCTTCCAAGGTCACAAGAGAGTGAGGGCCATCAAACCAACTACTCATAAATGTCAAGAGTCGCATTTAACGAATTTACGCTCAGGTTCCCAGATCGTTGAAAGCAGAGCCTCCCCCGATGAATCCCGCTCTCTTTCAATGCCCAACAATCAGGTGGAGGGGCTACAATTAGCCTTCTATCCCATGATTGATGAGAGGTCATTGGAATCGATTGCAAAGGATGATCGGAACGGGTTTGTTGGGGATGTACGGTACAATCCCGAACAGAGGTATAACAGGCCTTCTTACCTCGAATTTATGAGGGCGCAAAGTAAGAACTTATGGAAAAATTATTAATCATGGTCGGGATCATATATCGACGCTGTGCCCGGAGTATCCAGATCGATGCATTCACATTTAGAATGGCAGATATGGGACAGTGCAGGACGAAGATGGGAATGAATGTCTTGAGAAATCTGCACAGAAATGCCTCAAAGGATTAGCTGGACAAGGATGTGGGCTGTGGTCTGTCCAAAACACGATTCATAATTCGATTGATCCCTACATTGATGAAGTTAACCTGACTGTGCAGCTGTGCGCCTCAATACCTTGATGCCTGAGTGCCTGGATGCCTGAGTGTATATGCACGTGACTACTCTGGTGCCTTGGTGCCTTGGTGGGCGTGAATAGCCTCACCTCCAACAACATCACAAATCTCAACTTTCCAGCTCGAAACAGAAAAGATTTTACGATTGAAGTAATCCTCAAACTTTGCGAGGGTCATATTCAGCATCTGATCTTTCTACAGCACCCCACTTCGTGTGGGGCCCCAGAAATGCCTCCTTTCGTCCTCGAGCCCACAACCTCAAGGATCCCAGAAGGGGGTCTTGAGATGAGTTAGGGCCTTTTCTTAGTACGCGAGGGTGAGTGGCGTAGTTGGTAAACCGTTCAACTTACCAACTGCTGCAATAAAGCAAGTCCTCGATCCGATTTCCAAATCGGGGAAGTCTCAATCGCACCTGCCTCCCGGGAGGGAGACAGGAACGTCATCAGCCGCCATACCAGCGGCTGATGGCAGCGACTTCTGGAAACCTTCGGGTTTGTAGCCTCAGGAGGGCAACCTCCTGGGGTGAGTTTTTGCCGCAGTGAATTCTAGCCATCACATAACGTCTCTGGTTACTGAATATCCTCTCAATCTTCTAATCTTACACGGCAGAGGAGACATTAGATGATCTAGCTGACTTGAAGATCGAATGGAGACAAGTAACCATGCATGTAAAGGCATCTGGGCTTATCGACTGCCAATTCTCAAAATTCAACACTGCCTCCTGCTGCACAGCACTTGATATGCAAGTCACATCGTCTTGGGGTCTCATATGCTCTTTGGCTTGCACCGTGTGAGAGTCAGCCAGCTCAAAAGTCCCACGAGACTCCTGCACAATTCATGTATCCTTGTTGACTATAGTACAAACCACCCTCTTAATTCAGATCTAAGTTCTAGGAAACACCTACTTTTTCTTGTGTCATTAAGAAATTAAACATAAGAGTATTTTGACGTGCATAATTGTGAATTGGCCCTGCAGAACGCAGAGCCAATTCCGATGGCTCCAATATCATTACGGGGCAACATGCAGCAGGCATCTTCAACATAAATTCAGGTGTTCCTATACGTTCAGTCTCGAACCTGCTTCAAATAAGCTCCGCAGTACCCGTGAGGTTCTCTTGTTTCCAAGTTTGCATCGATGCAAGAGTTTTTGCATGTCTCTGCATGACCTTTGTGCTCTTTGGCCTTGCCTCCAGAAATAACGCACTGGAGAGTAGTTCTTACTCTTCCGAAGAATTATAAAACACAGCTCTGCAAGAGCGTAATATCAGAAATGTCCAAGAAGAGGACCACATGTGTTACAGGCCCTCATATTCTCGATGTAATGAGCTTCGTGGTATAGAGTGACACACGTGATTGCCAAAATTCTACCTCATTCAATGGCTTTTCCACCCAGACACTGTTTCTGCGACTGTCCAGCATCCCCTTGCAAATAGACTAGATCTGATTTTCTTTTCGAACGTATTTGTTTCTATGCGTATATCCTTCTCTTGTCACGATCACACTTTTTGCGACCTTCGGGGTTGGTACCACCAACAACCCCGAGTTTCCGCTCAACTGGGGCAATGCGACATCATGATCATTGGTAATATTGAGATCTCCACATTATTTAACCCCTCCCGATGGCCGAAGGTCAGTTAAGAAACGCAGACGCGGCCAAAGGTAATCTGATGACACAAGATCTTTTCTCCAGCCGTCTAGCTAATCTTGATTAGGCTGCCCAAAGTGCAAGACTAGGCGTATAGAATGCGATCGGACCGTACCGGAATGCAGGAAATGTCTGTCTCGGGGTCTGCCATGCCCGGGATACGGAATCGTTCTCAAATGGGGTCATGGCGTCGCCAGCAGAGGAAGACTGACAGGGAAAATGCTACCAATTCAGGCATCAGCTGAGATCAATCCCGACTTCCCTAAAGATGCCAAAGAGATTATCAAAATTCAATTGAGACCCAATATCCATTGGTCCATGTCAATGAATCTGTTACCACCGGTTAGTACAAGCCAGATGGCATTAGAGTTGATGCAGCATTTTCAACAAAACATGGCAGGGAAGCTTGCCTGGGTGGATAGCCCAAAGAATCCCTGGCGCCAGGTTATAATACCTCTTGCGCATGTGTCATCGACAGTCCTCTATGCCGTGCTGTCTCTCTCTTCCGAGGATCTTTCGTATCACTATACGCAGGATCATCCCCGACATACGCACTTGCAGCATATTTCACATCAATATCGAAATGAGGCCTTGGCTTTGCTGGCAAAGCGGATAAGTTCTTTGAGAGAGAATGAGATCTCACATGCTGGAAGTTATGATTCAAATGAGATCCGATACGCGCTTGCCTCGATGCTCATACTATACAACGTTGAGCTTCTCGGCGCGGAACCTATCAAGTGGCGAATGCATCTACAGGCAGCTCGAGTGATGCTCCAATGGAGAGAGCAGACTTCATCTCGCGCGACTTCACTCGACGAAATCGACACTTTCCTTGTCTACGAACACTACTACGCCAGTGTGTTTGCTGGTCTCACAACATTCGATACGGCGGATGAGCTCCCCGGCGATCGATTTGAACACTTCGACGATATAACCATGTTCAGCGACTTCGTACGCGTCATTCACCGAGTGACACAAATCGAACGAGTCGCATATGACAGAAGAACCAATGTCGAACCGAGCCAGATCCAAGATATCATTTTTGAAGTGGAAGCTGCACGGCAGAGAATGGCACACCTAGGCCAGAAATTACATCTTCAGAACTACCATGTCCAACAAGACTTCCAGCATCTGGTCTACATCTTTTATCATGCTAGTCTGATATACACATACCGGGTATTGAGAAATGACTCTGCCACCGACCCCATCGCTCAAGCCTCCCGCGACTCGATTCTGAATCATTTATACTCCCTCTCGAACAAGGAAACATTTGCCCATGATGTTGTCTGGCCACTGTTCATTCTAGGCACAGAAGGCAAAGGACATCCGGAGTTGCAAGAGATTGTCTCTCGTGAGATGGAAGCTGTCATGAAAATTAGCGGTGCACTCGATCGACGCAAGGTGTTGTTCTTCCTTCAGCAATATTGGTCACTTGATCTGGATCCTGGTGCCAACTGGATGTATCTTATGAGAGAGATGATACCGGGTAATAGTATGTTGATTTTGTGAATAGACAGAATGTTTATAGACCTGGTTTCATTATTATGTGGCATCTTGGTAAGATCTTAGTTAATGCAAGGTGTAACAAAAGCTGTTGATGCAGGGGGAAAGAAGGGGCTGCAGCTAGTCTCACATGACATGTTACTGAAATTGGGAGGTCGAGTTCTGCTTATCACGTAGTACAGAGCCGTTTGACGATCGCCAGATCTCAAGAGCTTATTTGAACGAGAGACTACAGGGCTTAAATCTAAATGTAACTCGTTTCAAAAGTTTTGTTCATTGATTCCTTGCGAAAAACAGTATCGCAAGAGGAACAAAACTCGTGATGAATAGAGCAAATATGCTGTCTGTCGAACAAATGAAAGACCCACAAGAAATGAGTTGCGCTGGGGGATATACATAGAGGAAAAGGCAAAAGCAAGACAAAAGTAGAACAGGAAGCAGACTATTGGGAAGACAATCTGAAATCAAGAGAATCTACTGAGCGACACGCGAGTAGACTGAGAAAATCAAAGAAGCGGAAATGACGAGGGAACGTAAGTTCATTCCTATTGTCCACTGTGGAATCGCTGAGGCAGTTGAGGCATAGGAGGTGGCACGCCCGGCTCGGTTCCATCATCATCTTCCATTTCCTCATCCATATCCTCCGGGTGACTGCAAATTAATTAGTGTCAGATCAAAAGCAGAAATCACAGGCAAAAAACTCACGCAAGAAGTTCCTTGATATTCCGCATTTCATAGTGTCTCTTCCGCTGCTCCTCGAAATGGCGATGTTTCTCACGAGCCTCCTCAGTAGACAAAAGCGGATCATCAACTGGCGCATCGGCGCCATTCGCTCCAGCACCAACATGGACATGCTTTTCGCTCTTGTGCGAATCCATGCTCATACTGCGGTCACGGAAAACACGGGGATCATCCGATGATGCGCCAAGCTGGAAGTTCTCCTCCGGCTCGCCAAGTTCCAAATCCGGGATCTCCAGGTCGGACACAGCCTTGCGGTGCGGCGACTTGGCCTGCTCGAGCTCGTCGACGATAATTCCCTGGGCATCAAGGAGGTTGCTCTGGGCCTCGTCTCGGCGGATTTGTTCGTCGTCTTCGGCGGGGTCGTAGTGCGGGGCATATGGGGTCTTGGGCTCGTCGATCTTCATCTTTGCTGTGCGCTCTTGTTCGGTTAGGTAGAGATTTGCTTCATCCCATTTGAGACGGGGCTCGTTTTCATCAACAGCGCTAGCGGCGGACTGGCGGCGTGAGTTTGTCCCTGGGCGGGTTGTGGAGGAGGATCTCCGGCGGCCTGCGTTTTGCAGGGTGTTTTGGAGAGTGAGTTCCTTTGTTTCTTCGGGTTCGGAGATTGTTGGTACAGAGGGTGGAGAGCTCGCTGTCAAGGGAGAGGGAGCAGCTTGGCCGGTGAAGGAGTTGGAGTTCTTGAGGATGCCTTTTGGTTTCTGGTTAGCTGTTTGCTGCGGCTGCAGGCATGGTTTGGACGCACCCTTTGGTCGCGCGTGCACATCTTCGGAGCTATGCGCCTTAGCCGGCATGTGTGGTGCGGTAGTCATGATGTGTTGCAGTTTCGAAAGAAAACGAGGTGTTCGATCGGGTTGAAAATGAAGGTGAAGAGAGGGAGTGGGAGAGTGGAAATCCAAATGGTGTGGCTTAGTTTATTTTTATTTCTATCACAGGCCGCGACTCAGCTGTAAAGAGGCTGAGCACCTGATGAAATGAGCTGGGGAAACAAGAAATCTGAGTCAGATTCCAAGAGTCAAAGAGTTCAAGTCACAAGAGAAAAAGAAAAGAGAGGTTGATAAGGTCAAGAGGGGCGATGACGTCGGCCCGATCATCCACCCGAACATGCCTGAAACCATTTGGGTAGCCCTCATTGCCTCTCTGGGTGAGGTGCTCACTACAACAGGAAACGATCATACCATTTCTACTGGCTGGCGCCAGGCTGACTGCCCTATGACCCTCGCTGGTTTATGCCTTTGGGGTTTTAGCCCGCAGAAATTGGCGCATCTAGTAAGAACAGCTATTCCGGAATAGTCAAGGGAAAATGGATTTAACGAGTAACAACGACCGAATCTTGGAATGAAGTTAAGAACGCCAGTTATGAGCCTGAGCTAAGCCTAGAAGTAAGTCTGAGCAGGACTCATCAAAGTCCATGATTGCTTCAAAAACACCAAATAGATTGCATCGCCCGATGGGGGTATATAGATATATATGCAGAGTAAAGCGGAACCAAACATGTCAAAGAGAAAGATGAAAGAAAGGAAAGCAACCAAAACCTCGAGCCAGCGAAGGAAATGAATAAAAATTGCCCTGGGGGAAAAATGAATACCAGGGATATGAACAGTGGAAACAGCCCTATGCAATGGAGTCGAACTCCTCACGCTCACGAAGCCTATTTCGCGCCAGAGTATCTCCACCACTGGCCGACAACTGCATCCAGTGCAGTGCCAGACACATGCTCTGCGGATCTGACTTTGAGTCCTTGTCTCGGCGGTACATCATCTCAGCCTTGAAGGTATCCCGCGGAAGAGTCAGAGGGAGGGTCACGCGCGGAAGGAGCTCGGGATGAGTCAGGTAAAGAATGGCAAGCTCGCGCTGTGCCACTGGGTTTCCTTCTTTTGCCGTGATAATCCACATGCCTGCTGCATCTTGGATGGCATGCCCGGGTTGGGATTTGAAATCCGACGGGAATGGGGGATGGCGGCGGGATAGTTCTTGGGAGACGATCCGGTCTGCGATCTCGACTTGACTGTAGCAGATCTCTTCTTTAAGGCTAAGCGCTGCTAGACCGAACTGGAGGAAAGCCGTGCCGCGGGTTTGGTCTAGTTGGTCTGCTGGGACGAACGCTGAGATGAACTGAAGGTCCCTGAATAGCGTTTTAGGCTTGACTTCCAAGATGAGATCGCGCATCGTTGCTACAATCTGGGATTCGGAAGGCGTGGAGTAGTCGGATCTTCTGGAGCCACCGGTTACGGATTCAGCGGCGGAGGGTAGCGCCGTGTCCATCGGAGGGATATTACGTCTCTGCACCTCGGAGAAACTGTGACGCGACCGACGCTGTTGAGGACTGCTCCGGAGATCGCTTTCCCCAACAGCGAAAGTCGTGTTTGAGCTCGAGTCTTGCGAGATGAGCGACGCAATCACCAAAGACCGCAGGTCGCGTAGAGCATTGAGTTTGACAAAGGGACTGCCATGTCGCGAGAAGACCTCAATCAATCGATGGAAAACAGCCTGATATGAAAATTCCGACTGGTCATCAGAAGACTGCGATGATATGGGCGTGTCCTCCGCACTAGTAGCTTTATGGGAGGAAGAACGAAGATCCTCAAGAGACCTGCTCCGACGACCCTTCAAACCAGGCTGCTGAGGTCGCTTTTCATAGTCAGCGTAGAACCTTTGAACAGCAGCACGTCTGCGCATCTCAACCTGGATCCGCTTCTGGTTTAGTGAATTCGTGAACCAGGCGTCGGTTTCACTACCACAGCTCCATACTGGTGAGCCGAGATCACTGAGTAGCAGACTGGTCAGAGCCTGTCTCAGACCATTCATGAACGCGGTCTTTCCCTGTGTTTTGCGTTCGACGCGACGGGGCTGATGGGCTGCTGTTTCACTGAACATTGATGGTGGTCGTGAGTATGCACTTGATACACTCGTGGCATACATCGGGTGACGTTGGGGTGCGGACCAGAATGTACTGTAAGTATCACCAGTCGATGTTGAAGCAGCGCGGCCTGGTGACCCTCCAAGGGAAGAGATATCGATTGAAGGCAGGTCTCGCTGAGGACGCCATTTGTCGGAGATGATGCTCTGAATGGAGGGCTTGCGTGCCAGTGAAGGAGTGTCCGGAGCAAAGCGAGACATGTGATCAGGAACAGGTAGATTGCTCCCATAGAAATGACTAGCATGCGTTGTCTCGTCATTCGCTGTTGACGGGCGAGGGGTCATAGGCATGGACAGGCCTGGGAAGGCGCGAGTACCGTAGTCCTCGTACTTTGAGCGTTCTCTCTGGAAGAGCTCACTTGCCCATAACACCGGAGTTTCTGTCATCGTTTCACCAACTAATTTGTTGATGCTCGTGCGGACCTCATAGCAGAAGCGGTGGATTCGCTCCTCTCCTTTGCAGAAGTTCTCAATACCATTGTGCGACAGCCACTTTCGTGTTAGCTCGACTTGTTCATCTGATAGCTTGTTCGGTCCACCTTGACTACTAGGTGCCTTCATCATGTTCATGACCTGCACTTCAGGTTTCTGGAACAAAGAACCGCCTAGCGACCGAGGTCCATAGCGAGATCTTTGTTCCTCGGGGTATTGGCTAAACAGCCGAGCGGAGTAGATCATGGTTTTCAAAGCCATAGCCACATGCTTCGCCTCTTCATACCTCATGGAGTTCTTCACATCGGTCATGTACCACATTTTATCCCGAATCTTGGAAAATGTGGCCATCAGATCTTTAACTTGAGTCTTGAGTCGGCGGAGGCTATGATCCAAAGAAAGGAAATCGTTTTCACAACGCTCAATCACAGCCCGTGATCGGTCCAATGAGCGACTGTAAGAATCATGCATTGGTGTGAGGATCCATGAATCGTCCGACCGAGTTGAGGTGGGTGTTGCCCGCTGGCCAAGCTGCCTGGAAGCATTCCACCAGTAGTGAGCACCGACAAAGTCAGACTCATCGTGACAAGCAAACATAGCCTGGTTGAACTGCTGCTTGAGAGACGAGGCCGACCGTTCTTGAGGCAGAAACTCGTCATCCGAGTCTCGAATACGATTTTCTTTAACAAGACGAACGATTGCAGTCTGCAAAGCTTCATGGTTTTCGTCCAGCCCAAGAGTGGAATGTGCGTCGTCATCGGTTTCAATGATCAGACCTTTTGATGCATCGTCTTTACTTTCAGGCAGCAGACTCCAGGTGAGACCATGGCCGTCCGCTGCAACAGAGAAGATAGCCCAATGCTCGGTTGAGGGGTGTTCTATACTCAAACGCTCATTAGGGTGGTCCAAGTCCGTCAGCTCGAAGCGGATCCGAGCTGCCTTGTCACTCAGTTCATTGCCTGCAGCTAATATGGATGAACTGAGAGAGAACATGGAACCGTTGTTGGAGGTGGGCCTTGAGATGTCATATTTTGAACGGTTAAATGCAGATTCCATGGACTCAGGGCGAATGCTGAAGGATGGTGAGAGAGTAGGAGAATGCATAGATGTAGATGACGGTGAATGCAAAGAAGAAGCGGAAGATGACTGTTGGAAAAGAGCGTCTAGAAGCGTGAGAATATCCAAAGAAGATATCATAAGGAAAGTCGAAGGGGGGTTTCGTCGAGGGGGTGGTGCTTGTGAAGGAATAGAAGAATCGACCGATACTTGAGAGGGTGAAGTCTGGAAGCGAGAGAGCATGTTCTCGACACGCTCTTTGATGATTGGACGAGGGATCGAGAAATGATGCCTTGAGTCGTCAGCACCAGCATCAAACATCGACAAGGGAGAAACCATACATTGAACGCAAAACAGCAAATACTTGAGAATAGGCACGTTGCCCAACCTGGTTCAACAAATTCTCGCGGGCATCTTTTCTGATATGGAAGTCGAGGAGAAGACCGTGGGTCTACCGAGAGTAACCGTCGTCAGTCCCGCAATAATATTATGAACTAGAGACACATACCTCAGGATATGTCAATGCGCCATAGAGGAACTTGGAAAAGAACCACTGGACAAACACAAACTCTAAGAAGCGATTACGGCTCTCAGGGCTATCGAGCTTGCACAAAACGGACTTGGCAAATTGAAGAACAGCATGGGGGAAGCCGCCGTCTGGATCATCAAGTAAGCGGAATAGGTCATCCACAGCGGAAGCAAAGAACTCCTCTGCAACGTCGGTGCGCAGTGGATCCAAGGCATCCATGTCAAAATCCAAACCGGACGGTGCAGTAATAGGCTCCAAAAGAAAAGCACCGGTCTGTAAAATATCCATGAGGTAGAGTTCAAATTTCGGGCGAGCTTTCCAATTGCTGCTAGTTGTCCAGGAAGACAGAATCTGGCCGATGAGAGGGTAGTATCTACTACTTCCATGGGAGATTAGTTGGGCGCAGACAGAAGACCACACATCCATCCGTAAGCCGGACTCGGCTGTGTCTGAGTCCAAGGGGGCAGCAAAAACGTTAAAGAGAAGTATAGACAGTGGATCCGTCCTCTCAAAAGCAAACGCATGGTCCTTGAAGTCAGCCGACTGGGCATGGTTCCGGCCAAGATAGGACTGGCCGCGGGCACGCGAGGTAGAAGGGAAAGCGGGATCAGTGGCGTCCAGAATAGTAGCAGGGGAGGTAAAAGCGGCCAGTTGGGACGAAGACAGGCTTCGCAACCGATCGACCAAGAACTGAGGGTCAGAGCGGACCAGCCGCAGAATCTCTAGGAAGTCCGCCCGGGACTGCGGGCTCATCTGGTGGAGGAAATCCGGGAAACGATCCATGTCCGTGCCGGACGGAAGGTCCATGGATTCGGAGTCTGCATGGTCATCGTTCAAGGAGGAGTGACACGAATCCTGAATATCATGGAGTGTATTGTATAGAACAACGAAATTGGCCTTGTCATCGTGTCGGAGAGCTTCCACCAGACCGCGCTGTGAAGTGAGCCCAATACGGATCATGCGCGCGGAGACGCCGATAGACACCTTGGTAGCGCGCAAGCGCCTCTCCAGCCGTTTCCTCTGGGCCTGTTTGCGCTGGGTTTGGTGGTATCGGGTGGCAAATTTCTCAAAAGAGACCTGGGGCGGAGGTATAGCATCGTTTCCATTGGGAGAGGCCATAACCCTGGGACTGGAACGGCCCGAGCCACCGAACTCACCTGTCCCCACGTTTTCCGGGAGCAACATTGGAGATGAAGATGGTGATGGAGGCAAAGGCACCGATGTTGGATCTTGCGCCCGCGAGTCACATGGTGGGTTAGCCGGGGACGCAGGTAATTGCACTGTTGGCGTTAGGTTGGGCTGCAATAGGGGAAAGGAGGAGGGGTGGTGGGAACTCCCCAACATACTGGCTACGGCCAAAGAGTAATCGTCCTGAGATTCCACCATTTCGACTATAGACAGTCGCAAACCGCCCCGAGCTGGCGGGGGATCTTTATCGCATGGTTCGATCGGGAAGAAAACCAGCTGGTTCTCAGAGGAGTGCCGATGCACTCGATCAGGACAGTCCAGGTCCAGGATGAAGGTGAAGAAGGGAGGAGGGGGAAGAAGATGAGAAGAAATCCACGTCAAACTCGAGAGATCTTAACTGAGGTACCGAGTACAAATCGATGCGTTGGCAATGCATGAGTGAGGTGGACAATCTTCCCTCATTCGTCCGTCGCCCCCCCTCCTCTCAACTTGCGGAGTCAGCGTTTGTTTTATACCTCCAGGGCTCCAGAGCTACGTCTAGAATTTGACCTGTGCACAATACAAGGGTTAAATCCAATATAATCTATCACATCCCAGAGACTGGAGAGAAATGATTCGGGGGAAAATAATCCAACGCTTGGACATGGTTGAGTGGCAAACTTCCTCGCATGCAGGGATACAATACTTGATATACTACAACACGCGCACAATCGGGTCTGCCGGCGCTTAAACCGTGCAGCGAACCCGGAATACCCCGAAAAAAACATACAAGTAGGTAAAAATGGTTCAAAAGACATGTCGTCAATCCTAACTCCGCTCGTACTCATGCAAATGTATGTAATGTGCTAGGGGATCACCGACATGTCCATTTCTTGTCGGCCTCCTTATCTCCCACGCGAACAGCAACCAGGTCGATGGTGGCCTTCAATGTCTCTTTGGAGACCTTGGGGAATCTATATAGAGGTTAGCATAAGATAAGGTAGCGGGCGTGGAAGGACAAACCGCTTCTTTAAGATCTCGACCAATCCGATCTTGGTAAGATCGTTTCCTTCAACTGTCTCCTTGAATTCACCAAGTTGCTCCGGCGGGAAAGGTCGCTTAGCTTTGGAATTCGGGGGCAAAGCGGTGCTCGCTGGTCCACCAGGGACAGCAGGAACGCGGAAAGAGTTGAGTTTTGCAGGACCAGAGGAGCTAGCAACGTTGGCCTTTGCAATCGGTGCTGGCCTGGGTTTCTCCCAGTATGCAGTTGAAAAAGGGTCGATGGGAAATTTGACCGCATCGGAGATGGTTTGAACTTGATATACCTCCAGCTCAGGACCAACTCCATCGGCAGCCCACTGAATGCCGCTGCATACAGGTTCCAGGTCACCAACAATTAAACGGCGCTTGCCGTCCGCAGGAGCATCGTCTTCGTCATCAAGGAAACCGTCAAGATCATCTTCGCCGTCATCACTACCTTCCTCTTCCTCTTCTGAGTCCAGCTCTTCGCCCTCCTCGGGCTCTTCCCACTCTGCCTCCGAGTCATAATCGTAATCTGTATCCGGCAAGCCTCGATAGTATGGGTTTCGAGAGAGTTTCTTCGCAGATGATGGGGACACACGGCGAGTATAAGTACCCTGATAGGGAGGGCGTATGTCCTCGCCAAACTTCAGTGACTTCATAGTTACTTTGCGCAAAAGATCCTCCGGCCTCGTACTGCTTTGATGCGTTGAATCTTCCTGGTCTTTTTGTAGTTGTAAAAGAATGTCTTTGACACAGTTGGTCACTTGACCTCTCTTACGATGAAATGGAATCATGTTAAAAACTTCGGAAGGGCGAAATGACTGCGGTTGTACTGCACTCTCGGCATTCAGACACATATCAACTGTTTGGCGTACGTGCTCCAATGATCCCGTGTCACGCTCAAAGCGATGAGGAGGTGCCAAAGTCGTGTGTGACTTCAAGAAGAAGGTAGGAAATGCCTGCTCATAGTCTGATTTTTGGTCCCGGGGCGTTTCATCAATGGTATCATTCAAAGTCGAAGGTTTACTGGGTGAAGCAGTCACGGTGCTTTGTCCCGAGGGTGTGGAGACTGTTGGGGGTTTGGCGAAGAAGGAGTTCAACCGCATTTGTGACTGTATCGGTCAGTGTGTCTGAATGTTCACGTATGGAGATACGACCTACCCGAGCCTTCTTCTCCTTTTCTTCGTCCTTCTTGCGCTTTTCTTCTTCTCTAGCGGCCTCCTTAGCAGCCTTCTCATCCTCCTTGGCTTTTTTCTTCTCTTCACGGTGTTTCTTCTCCTCCTCCCGTTCAGCTTCCCGCTTCTTTTTCTCCTCGTCACGCTCAGCGTCACGCTTTTTCTTCTCCTCGGCCTTCAATCGCTTTTCTTCTTCCCTCTTAGCCTTTTCCTCTTCCCTCTTCACTTTTTCCTCTTCCCGCTTCACTTTTTCTTCCTCTTTCTTCACCTTCTCCTCTTGCTTCTGACGCTCCTTAGCATCCTTTTCTTGTTGCTTCGCATCTTTGTTCGCCGACGTCGCCGACCGTTTTTTAGAAGCAGGAGGATCAAGCTCAGTATTTGAAGTGGACTGCGGAGAGTTCTGTCCACTAGAAGACTTTCTCACAACAATTTCAACAGTCGGTCTCGGGAACATATTCCTAAAGTTATCAACCGAGGGAGCTGCCTCATCGGAGTGTGAAGGATCACGATTCTCCTGATTCTCAGCCGTATATTCCGTCAAGGTCCGCTTCGCATTCGGAGAAGGGGTGGCCGCATCGTCGACTTCATGGATAGACCGTTTTCTCGGACCTGCGCCTGCAGATGGCGAAGCGGGAATTGTTGGAGCCGGGGGCATCGGCGACAGACTGGTATTGGAATCCATGGACAGTAGTTTTGTCAGAGCGACCACGATTCGAGCCTCTTGTCGTCTGCTGTCGTCCAATAGGATAAAGGAGTGTAGCAGTCGTGGAACGGTCGTGTTATCAGTTGGTAAGTGTGGGTTGTTGGCGAGGGGGCATAAAATTGCAAAGTGAAATAGGCATATACCCAGTGCACGGCTTACTGATACGGACTGGCAATGATGGCAAGACAACTTGGCTCCACTGGGGGAAGCGACTTCATCGGAAGGAGTTGTGCCTGACAGGGGGACGCGTTAATGGATCGCGATGCGCGACCGATAACGTGTGTGCTTAGCTAATGGCCGTCCCGCAAATTACGTGGGGGCTTATACACTGTAGGGCATTGCATGGCAACCTTGGAAGTAGTTTGATTGCACCGATTACGGTAATAATTAGTATAGAATCTTCTTTATGGAATGGTTCGAGTAATACGAATTTATCAAGCATGGCATATTTGAGTGAATGTTTGGGTTACTATTACTATCTCTAGTGAAAAGAGAAGCTATGCCAGTTCAACGCCAGGATAAACCCATATGCAGCCTCAAAAGCACAAAGACAACCCAGGTAGCCAATCCATAGAGACCCAGAGTGCCATCAAAGGATATAAAGCAGAGCAAGGAAGCCCTGGGACACAGGAAAGCAGCGCTGGAAGGGAATAAGAAGCAGACACTAAGACAAAAGCGCAAAAATAATATGAACAGAACATGGACAGCACATTGGTCAAATCATCAAGACTTGCCAGATGCGCTATAATTGGAATTGCAGCGAGGTAGGTATTATGTGCAGTAAGTGCAGTGAAAGATATCATGTAGAAATCATAAGATGAAACGGCAGGATGTCGCGAGAATAAAAGATAGCAGGAAGGTAGCCAGCTATAGATATTGAGTTTAAGATGAACGAACTCTCAGTCGCTGTCGGAATCAGGGTTTGCAACAAACAACCGTACATTCGTCATGGAAGTAGTCCGTTCGTCCACACTGCCTCGTCGTCGCAAATCAGCAGCCTTCTTGGCCTTCTGGGCTGCGGCATTGGCGGCATTTGGGGCTTCCATATCTCCAACAAAATCGTCTTGCTCTTGCTCGCTGCTGTGTGTTGTGGCAGCATCATCCTTAACCAGGGAGGAAAGTCTGCTCTTCTCCTCAGCTTGGATCTCAGCAGGTCGGTTTTCTGACACCTCGGGAAGGTCGGTCTTTTCGTTTGGAGGTGTGCTGTTACTGCCCATTGTGCCTTGCTGCCGCGAATATCCGCTTGGATAGCGGGTTTGACTGCCGAGTGAGCTCCGCCCACTACCAGTCCGCCGGTGAATTGCGCCACCATCACTGCTCAGAGCGTCATCTTCGGCATCGCCGATCTCATTCGCACTTAGTCGTACAGGGACCTTGGCGCCCACCAAGTTGGAAGGCGAGAATTCTGCTGCACCCTTGGGTCCGTGGCGAATCTTTCCGCTGCCCAGAGTTCCTGCCCGGCCAGCGCCTGATCCGTGGACTTCGAGGTATGCTCGCTTCTTGTCACGCATCGCTTGCTCGCGCAACCTGGCGTCTTCGGGCTGTGCGCGATCACACCAAACAGTCCCCTTTTGTCGCCGCATCAGGGCGACATATCCAAGCTGGGAATTGGCTGAGCGAGAGGAGGCCGTGCGTCGAATATCTGAAACACTTGGCGCGCCATGCGCCATGGTAGGGTTACCAGTAGACGAGGTGGAAGTGGTGGTGCTAGACATGCGGCGAGAAGGGGGATGATGCGGGAGATTCATAGTTTGGGGAATGGGAGGAGGTGGTGGAGCGCCATGGTAGTGGTGGGATCCTGAGTGGTAGGGCAGAACGCTAGAGGAGGTTGTGCGAGTCCGACTGTGCGTGGTTTGGGGTCCGGCAAGATGGGGAGTCAACTGGCCGCGAGGAGCATCGTATTGCTGGTAGCCATAGCCAGGATGAGGACCAGCGAGAGGCTTCCGGGCTGGAGGGCCCTGGTGGAGGGGCATTCGAAATTCAGTCATGTTGGGCGGAGATAAGACACTAGCCATGTAACCCGCACGTGCGACTGCTCCAGATATCTGGAATATTCACCAGATCGCAATAGGACCTGTGAATGATCTCAGGAGGTGGGATGTTGGGTTGTGACTTGGCGAAAGTGATCCTTTGCGTCTTCGATGCGCGCGGCTGACGGATAAGGAGATGCGATTTCGGCTCCTACTGCAGTACGCAGCTGCACGTTCCGATTCGGGATGTCTTAAGCGGGAAGGCTGAAATTGCAGGCCTGAAAACTGCACCAGCTGTGTTTCGTAAAAGTGCAATGTGGAACTTCGGGATAGTGTGAGGCGAGGGTCGGGGGTCAGCGCACACGAGGCCCTGAACAGAGGCAAGAGGGAGGTCAATGAAAGCGAAAGAAAAGCCAGAAGCAACACGCAAGCGAGAAGCAAGAAAGCGAGAGCAGGGCCGAGTATGGGGCCTTAAGGGGAGGGTTAGATCGGGGGGAGAGAGAGAGGACTTTGACCGTCCGTTCCTTGGTTGGGCAAAACGATTGGTCGATACGGAATACGGCGGACAAAGTACCTTGGCAGCCAAATTGGCGGGTGGAGTACTTCACTCAGCCACACTGAGGCTAGGGCAATACAGTAACCGTACCAAGTGACCATACCAAGGTATGGAGATGATTCAGTTGTTTCACATCAGTTCAATGTGACTTCTGACTGATCTTTGAATGCTACCCTTACACATGCCTCAGCCCTACAGATGCGCCTAGCACGTGAGTGGAAGGCGATACGATGATGTCTTCGAACCCCCTCCAATGGTTCTCCCCCCACAGGAATCAAAACGCGCCTACACTATGGACATGATGAGAGTAGTGATACGCGTCGTGGACCTCGAGACTTTCCCAGCCAACATGAATCACAAAGCAGGGGCTGTACTGTAGCCATCAACCGGCTCCACCATCCACCCGCCCGTAACACCAGTGCAGCCAGACACGTTGGCAAAAATGCCGGTCCACAGTGCCCACGTCTTCTCCCAACCCGCGGGGGTCCGCAGTCAGCTAGACAGCCGTCCCCGTAACGGGCGCGCCGTTCCTTAAGGCCTTGAGGTTACATGTACAGTACTGTAGGTGAGAGCTCGGAGATCATGGCAGGGCGGACCGTGAGCCAACCAGCAGCCGAAGCCGGAATTCCGGGCGTAATCAAGGCCCAAGTCCTGGTAATCTCCTGCCATTCAGGGGAGGTAAGCAGGGCAGCGGACTGGCGCAGACTGACACGAACTGGAACGTTCAAGGGCGAGAACAGCATTATTCCTCTGCTTGGCTGCAGCGGTGATCCCAGCGGTGGCTGGTTTGTTCACTCACCGACGTAAAGATGGACCTGGCCTGGCTCCTCTACCTATCGTCCCCAGTATTGTACATGTCCAGGCGACAAAATCCAGGCCAATGTTCCAGAACACTCAGAATCTGCAACTAGAGCTGGCCCTGCCTTGTCGCTGGTGCGTCGATTTGCGCGTCCTCTTTGATAGGCAGGATGATCATCTGGGTGGGGACTGCCGCGTATACAATTGCTGCAATGCTTGTCTCGACGTTGGACATACTGTTTCGAGTAGCCTTCTTAGCTTATACTTCCTGCTTTTGTAGCATTGGTTTATACGATCTTGATACGGTCTTATATACGAGATTGCTGCCCGAGGAGCTCTCTCAGCCGGTTCAATGCCAGCCGCTCATTGGACCGAGGATCTACATCCGCATGCTGATCCTAATAGGTAACATGCGGGGTATATATCCCTGCAACAAAGGCTAAGAGAGCATACAGTGCAGTGCTTGTCATAGATCAATTGCCATTGAACCGTCATCCTATTCGCATTCGGCTATTTCTTTACTCCAAGGGCACCGGGGCTGTTTTAGCACATACCTGAGCAAGGATCATGACGCTCTTACCCCTTCGCTTAGCAGCGCCCTTGAAGGCAAAAAGGACGGAATAGTTCATACCAAACCCTAACCAAGAATTCAATTGTGCTCTGTATACTCCGTACTCGTAACAGGATACACTGCGCCACACTTTATGGGCTGATTAAGTCAGCTGTGGAGCTGGGGGAGTCATGACGTCAACATGTTTCGGCGTATCCGGGTTTGCAGTCAGTTCCTGATGGAACATTGACATTGACAACCAGGCACAGATCCAAAAACAGAAACCGATAGTGTGATGTAACAACAAAAAAATCTTGGAAAGGGGCCCGGTCAGCCATGGACGGAAAACCAAAATGACATGCAAGACATCAAAGAACCTATCTACAATGCAAGTGCCAGACCACCCGAAACTAGCGTCAACTAGCGGGGACACGTCAGGCTACAGTTTAGTCTTTCCATTCGCCGGCAATAACGCCCCATCCCCTCGAACGGCGAAGTCCTTGTCTTGCTCCCACCCCATCCAAACCCTAAGAGTCTCCGCGCCTCCATCACCCGGCATCAGTCCCCCACCACTCCACCCGCCCTGATCGGCCAAGATCGGGGCTGCGGGCGTACTCGCCAGGTGCACAATGGGCCGTTGCTCATAGCCTGATGCTTCCAGCTCATCCTGCTCCAGCACGGGAGTTGCACACGCATCCGTACCGTCAAAGACAGCCTCCCACTCTGCGCGGGTCTTCTCCTTGAACCGCCGAGAGAAGATATCCCGCAAAGCAGGCCAATGAGCGCGATCTTCACGCGCGGGAGTCGTCTTCGGATCGAGATCGAGTCCACGCAGCAGCGCCGCGTAGAACTGTGGCTCCAATGCCCCGACAGCGAAGTATTTGCCGACATCTTTGGTCTCGTATGTATCATAGTAAGGACACCCGCTGTCGAGCAGGTTCTCGCCTCGCGGATCGCCCCAGGCTGGAGTATTACGCGCAAGTCGGGGAAATGTAGCTAGGTAGGCTGAACCGTCGACCATATTCGCTTCGACTACTTGGCCACGGCCAGTATGCGAGCGCGAGATGAGGGCTAGCAGGATTCCTTGGAAGCACACTGCACCACCGCCAGCAAAGTCGCCCAGGATGTTTCCGGGGGCGTATGGCTTTTCGTTGGCGCGGCCGAGCATCGATAGGACGCCTGATACGGCGATATAGTTGATGTCGTGGCCGGCCATGTCTTTATATTTTCCATCTCGGCGGAAGCCTGTCATGCGTGCAACTATCAATCGCGGATTGTGCTTTAGGAGAACTTCTGTGGGGGATAGACCAAGGCGCTCGAGGACTCCTGGGCGGAATGGATCGATCAATACATCTACTCTCGTGAGTAGGCGGATGAGTACACTCCGTGAGTTTTCATCGCGCAGGTCCAGTGTGATTGATGTTTTGTTTCTTGTTAATTGGTCTGCACTGACACTTCCTGGTCTGTCTACGCGGAGTACAGAGGCGCCGTAGTCGGCTAGGAGGAGACCCGCGAAGGGACCTAAGGGCGGTCAGTTGTGTTTTTTTTAGGGGTCATTAACGCACCTGGAGCTAGACCAGCCAGTTCAATTACTTTGATGCCTGTTAAGGGAGCCATTGTATGTAGAAGCAACACAGGTGTGAAATGGCGAAGAGGTTCAACTTAAGTTACTCCGCAGCCCGAGTATCCACGGACCTCGGCTGCGGGGAATATCAGATCGGCAATGGAGTTCCTACTTTCGATGCGTTTGCTTTGTATATTTTTTATACTCAAATCGAGTGAAGCACAAAAAATAGACTGCATCAGCTGGTTTTGTGATAGCAGAATCAGGGTAATCCCACGTGAAATATCCGTATCAGCGTCCCATCGAACTATTCGGAGCTATAAAAGTAAATCATTTAGTCCACAAAATTGTGTGTTGTATACATTGAACATTTTAGTTGTCTATTGCACATAGAGTAAGGGAAAAAAGGTACGATAATACCCAGACAGGGAATGACAAGCGGAACAAAATTGTCCACGGAATACACATCAGAAGAAGTCATTAGGGAAGTAGAACAGTGAATTGACCGGTGGGGTCTAATCGGAGAAATGGCCAGTAAATCACAAAAACAAGGCCAAGAGGTATTGAATCACGCCGGCGCTTCGAAGGTGTTTTACACCCCTTACATGCCAGCGATCAGTAGAAAAAGAATATTATAGAACAAGATCATAATTAAAGATAATCGCCCAGGCAATTACAGCGTCTCTCTGATACAGCATCGTGAGATCATGCACATCAGATACAAAGCTATATCTGTGATGGGATCATGCTGACCGGATGAGTGGACACTCTCACAACAGAACGAACATGGAGAGAGCGACGACGACAAGGGAGCCGAAAACACCAGTGACCTTGGAGGCGGCACCAGTGTAGACAGGGGAAACGCCCTCGGGGTTTCCGGTGCTGGTGGGAGCCACAGGTGTGTTGGTTGCGACGGTCGAGGGGCGGAAGGCCAGAGTCGACGAAGTCTGGGCTGCGCGGACGGGTGCAACTGGGGTGCTGGAGATGAGCTTGGAAGAAGAGGCGGGTCCAACGGGGCTGGAGCCGGAGCCGAAGCCAGAGCCATGGCCGGATGAGCCAGAGTTGGAACCAGAGTTGGAGCCAGTGTTGGAGCCAGTGTTGGAGCCCTCACCCTGGCTAGAGGAACCAGCTCCGGGGTTGGAACCGGCGCTGGAACCCTCACCGGAGCCCTGGGAGGAAGTGGTGGAAGTGGCAGTGGCAGGAGCAGTGGCAACGGGGATAGTAACAGTGATAGTGCTACCAGTAGGGCCGCAAGTCTTGCAGAAAGAAACCGTAGTGGTGGAGCCCTGGGGAACGGAGGCAGGGGTGGTCTCAGCAGCAACACCAGTGGTGGTAGGAGCAGGAGGCAGGGTGAGAGTCACGGTGGTAGGAGTGGCAGCACAGACAGTGCAGACAGTGACGGTGGTGGTCCAGCCCTCGGGGATGGAGGGGCTGGTGGTAGCCGGGCCGGAGGTAGGAGCGGTCACATCAGCGGTACCAGTGACAACACCGGCAGGGCCAGTGGCGGTAGCGGTGGCCGGAGTGTTGCCGGGGCAGTAGTAGCTGGTCAGGGTAGTGGTGATGGTGGTGAAACCGGTAGGGCAGATGCTGGTGTAGGAGGTGACGATCACGGTGGTAATGGTCTCAGCAGAGGAGGTGGCAACGGGGATGGGAGTCACGGGGATCGTGATGGTGCTGGGGGCAGACGATCCGGTGGAGTCAGTGCCGGTGGGCTGGACGCCGGAAGACTGGGCACCAGTGGACTCAGCACCAGAGGGCTGGGCACCGGTGGATTGAGCACCGGTGGATTGAGCACCGGAAGATTGAGCACTGGAAGATTGAGCACCGGAAGACTGAGCACCGGAAGACTGAGCACCAGTGGGCGAGACGCCAGTGGACTCGGCACCAGAAGACTGGGCACCAGTAGGCTGGACACCAGACTCAGTGGCAGAGGAAGCAGAGCCACTGGGAACGACGCTGGAAGAGTGACCAGTGACCAAAGGAGTAGAGCTGGAGGCAGACTGGGAACCAGGGCCAACAGGGGAGACATTAGTGGGAGTGCTGGAGGCAGTCACAGTGATAGTGAGACTGGGGTGTCCAGAAGAAGCCACGGGGCTGCTGGCAGGGCTGCTGGCCGGGGTGCTGGCAGCGGGGGTCTCGGTCTCGGAGGTCTCACAGTCGGTAGACGAGGCAGCGGGGCTGGAAGAGCTAGGCTGGACAGTCAGAGGGGTGGAGCTGGGCTTGACAGTGCCAGGGACGGAAGAGCTAGGCTTGACGGTGGCAGGGGCCGAGGGGGTCTCGGAGCTCTCGCAGTCGGTGGAGGAAGCAGCCGAGCTGGAAGCACTGCTGCTGGGCGAAGCAGAGGAGGCAGGCTTGCTGGGGGAGACGGAGGGAGACACGGCGGCGGAGGAAGAAGAAGGCGACACGGTGCCGGCAGGAGAGCTGGGAGTACCGGAAGGAGTCACAGGCGCCGAGGAGGAAGGAGCCACGGTGCCAGCGGGGGAGCTGGGAGTGACAGAAGGAGTTCCAGAGGGCGAAACGGTGCCAGCAGGGGAGCTAGGAGTACCGGAGGGAGTGACAGGCGCCGAGGAGGAAGGAGCCACGGTGCCAGCGGGGGAGCTGGGAGTGACAGAAGGAGTTCCAGAAGGCGAAACGGTGCCAGCAGGGGAGCTGGGAGACACCGAGGCACTGGGGGAAGCAGAGCTCGAGGGGGCCGACGAAGGAGTGGTGCTAGGAGCAGCAGACGAGGGCGACACAGTGGACGAAGCAGCGGGGGAGCTGGCAGGCGAGCTGGTAGGGGTAGCAGAGCTGGAGGGAGGAACGGTGGAAGACTTGACAGGAGTGGCAGTAGAGCTAGCAACGACGGTGGAAGAGACGGTACGAGGAGCACAGCTGTACAGAATGTCCTGGATGTTCTCAGCGTAAGTGAGGCCGTTGACGAGGTTGTTGTCACTGGCAGTGGCCTCCCACAGCATGACACCACCGAAGTGCTCGGGGAAGCTCTCCATGTAGGTGGAGATCAGGGGCGCGGCTTCAGAGGGGGTCAAGTAGTAACCGGCATTGGCGGAGGCCTCGGAGGCGGGCAAACCGATGAAGAGCTTAGCATCAGGGTTGGCACTAGCCTTGATGACATCAACCCACTTGTCGAAGTTGAAGCCATCTTCACCTTCAACCCAGGCGCGGGCAGAGCAGGCCTCGGTGTTGTAGAACTGGACCCAGAGGAAATCAAAGAAGGAGTTCTTAATAGCGTCGCTGAGCTGAAGATCGGGGATAGAGCACTGGGGGGCACCGGAGATATACATCTTCTTGTCGGTGTATGTCTCGTAATAAGAACGCAGACGGTTAATCATGGCAGCCCATCCTATTGAGGTCAGCAGTGCCATTAGGGCTGGGAAGGGAACGAGAACATACCAACGCCTCCGTTGTACTCAATATCAAAGTCGAATCCATCAACGACAGCAGTTTGGAATGGGCGAGGGTATTCAAGGAGGACATCCAAGTCTGTTGACACAGGACCGAAAGCATACCACAAGAAATCAGCAAACCATTCGCCAGTCGCGTCGTCCTCGAGGTACTGGGTAGTGGCAGTGCCACCGCCGATGGAGAGCAGGACAGTCTTGCCCAAGCTCTGACAGTAGGGGATATCATCATAGATCTGGGAGCAGCCATTGAGCAGCTCGGAGCCGGGGTATACATCTCCATTGCACTGGTTGGCAAAGTTGCTACCGGGCCAGTCGTTCACACCGGCGGGGAATACATTGATGAAACCGATGTTGATGATATCGTTAGAGGTCTGGTCACAGAAGTGGCTCAGACGAGGCTGGTCATAACCTTGTCCATAGTAAATAGCAACATTGTTCTTTAAGCTGGCATCAACAGCCAAAGCAGACGAAGCAAAGAGTGACAGCGCCGAAACGGCGGCAACAGTTTTGGTCAGCATTATGGCCAACGAAAAATGAATGTAATTAAATATAATCAGATACGCAGATCAACCTGATAAAAGAGTGACAGGCTTGCGATCAAAGAGAGGACGCAGACAAATGTCTGCTGGGAATCTCAAACGACACAAAAAGAGAGTTGTTTGTCGAAGAGAGGGAAAAGCGACCAGAAACCATATAAGAAGTCTCATACGGGGGAACATCTAAGCCCCTTAGACAACGTTCCGACCTCCGACATGGAGCGCACTAAGCAGAAAGTAGAAGCGAACCATCAAAACGTGGAAATGAGCATATGCGTGATACCCGGCCGATACCAGGATGGGTAGGGTCAATGCCCCGTGTCCACTCATGGCCAGTCAGGGCAGACAGGCAGACAGGTACCGGTGGATTCCAATGCTTGGTAGTAAAACGCTAGGTCTGGGGGCCAACATTCTATCCACCAAACATCCCACAACGAGCAAGTCCCGCATGTTGACGAAAGCATGGCCCGGGGAATTTCCCTATGCGCATGACGGGTCACAAGCCGAACGTGTAGCATCATACAGCCACTCGGCGTTAAGAAGGATCACATTGTGGGAAATGAGAGCGCCATGTCAGCCAGAGGGCTTGCTGCGGATGGGCGAGTGTGGTGGCTCTGTGCCTAGATCCGTCTGATAGAGCCGCATAAAAGACACTAAACGACCCTAGCCGCATTTGCCTCAGGGTCAGATTGGATGGTGGATGGGTGCTGTCCAATCGTATTGGTACACACTTGTGGCACAGACAACAGGAGGGTCCACCGTCCGTTGGGCTCCGAAGGCGCTAAATCGCATAGTTCAGGTTGAGCCATGGAGTCATGGAGCCCTGGATGGTTTAGAGTCAGTATGTCTCAACATACTGTATAGTTCTGATTAACCGTTTTGGTAAGAGCTGATGTCGAATCAGTCAGCAACCGATCTCACCTGGAAATACGGTGGAAAACAGCCAGAGAGAAACAAAGAAGGAAAAAGGGGATCTCAAGCGACAACGGCTAAGCAATCACACTAACCCAAACAACCCTAGTTCGTCCCGAGCCGGCCAATCATCATCGCCGATCCGGGTGGTCGGAGGCACACCCGGATCACCATCTCTTCGGTTACAGAAATTTGGTCGGACTTGGCCTTCTTTAGTCTTGTTTAGTCCTATTTGGGTCAGGCTAATTCCGAGTTGGTCTCTAGTCGGTGCCCTTATGCGAGTCGAGGTTTCCCAATGTTACGGTCTCCTCTGGAACATTAACGGGCTCGGGGCTTAGGGTCTCTAGGTTTGGCCCCCAATCCCTGGACATGATTTTTTCCCCTCTGCCTCTCTTTATGCAAGGTACCAGGCACGCCGGACATTTGCCCCATATGAGGGCAGATTTAGGCGACACCAACGCCACTCCAGGCAGGCTCGGACTATTCAGCTGATGGCTAATAGCGTGTTTCTCGCATAAGCCGCCATTGTGAATTATTCTTGCGGTCTTTGTCCGAGATGGGTACAGATCGTAAACACTGATATCCACCGGGGGCAAAATAAAACCTGGCATATAGAGCAGATCAAGTGGGAAATTGCGTAAGTGGGAACCTTGAGAACCATGTGGATCGGACTTAATAGTGCAATCTAACTACCCCTCTATACCTGTACCGTAGTACACTTTTCAGCCTTGTTTTGCTCGCAGGATCTGGTAATTTTAAAGCTCGGCAAACTTTATGAAAAATTGAATTAAATTCTTCTATTTTGTTTGATTTTTTTGGAAGTGTTTAGATTTGAAATATCTGCGGCTAATATGCTCGATTCCAACCGTGCCGGTGTACCGATGGAGTGCCCGCTCCAACTTGCCCAAACTGCGCTCTGTATGCACACCAAAAACACACGCTGTGCTCTGTACTGTAGGGCAAAATGCTCAGAATTCAACTGCCAGACATTCTTAGCGACCAAACCATCCACCACAAAAGCCACCCCGAAGCCACGAGACGTAGAATACTCAAAGAAGTGGAAACGGCCACACCGAACGTAAGACTAAAAAATACTTAATCGGCAAGATCTCCCAGAAATATCGTTCTCTCGCCGACGCAGCATGTTCTTTGCAGCAGAATCAGCCTGATTCATCATACCGTACCGTCTAGACCGAGAAACCGACCTGTCAACCAGTTTAAGCTCATACTTCACAAGAATATGACACAATACAATCTTGATCTGATTCACAGCAATGAACCTGGACACGCATGAATCCCCGACCCAAGAGCTATATGCTCCGGCGAGACCGAGACAATGTTTGCGGAGGCATCGCGGCCTGACACTTGTTGCAGCTTCCCGAACCGATAGGCGCCAAATATCCCGGAGTTTTCATAATATCTCGAATCCCATATGAGGCAGTAGGATACAGCTGGTCGAGTCCTCTTTTCGATCTTTCCTCCATCTTTGGGATATACATCTTCGGAGGCAACACCGCGCTTGGATCCTGATATCCGTATCAGATCATACATACCATCCAACCTTGGAAAGCACCAACTGAATCGAAACTTCCCCCCCAAAAACAAACACTGATCCATGACTATAATCATGGTCTTTACTTATCAAGTTTTAAAGGCTTCATCTTCATCCCCCGACACTCCTTCAAAAGAACCATCCAAAGACCTCCCCGTGATCCCGTCGGCCCTAAAAACAGAAACAATTTCCTCCCTCAACGCCACAACTTCTCCCACCTAGCAGAGATTTAACACAGTCAGCGTCCCCACACTCTTCAATCCACTGCATAGCATCTTTCGATTCTCGTCCCTCGCTCGGGGTATCGCCTTTGCATCGTCTTCTTCCTTCGAGGATCGGGTAACAAGTTGTCGGGCCTAGGAGAGACCCTTGCCGAGTTGGCGGGCTATAGGATGGAAACAGAATACTAGGGACAAGAAGGTCTCGGCCATTGGTGCAAGGCTCCAGTTGTTTCTATGGGGGTTGTCGCGTAGTCTGCTATGTCGTTACTCCAGGTCATGTTTCGGCTAGGTTTGGTGCAGAGGAAAGCCTTGGAGGCGGTTTGGGATATCATTTGGTGGAGTGTTGAGTTTAGGGCCATTGGATGACAATATCTCTTGATGCGCAGGGGGCATGCAATTGAAGGGAAAGATAAGTTAAGGGATTGAGTTTGACCACTATGTCATCTGCCCAGATTCCATGAGGCTTTTGGCATTTGTGCCAAAGAACTCGGGCCGAGATCTATGATTGACGGCTGTATACAGTACTTCCATGTAGCGGGGAATATGAAATAAATTTCCAATCATTGACTGTGACTACGTCAAAGTATATATCAATATGCAATCACCCGTCATGGTTGCTGATATCTATTTTCTGAGCCTGTGCGCGTCAAAGAAGTCATCAAACTTTTCTACGTGTTTCTCTTCAATGTCGCTCGCGCTTTTATGTTGTGCTGAAATTTCTTGTGATATATAACATAACATCATGTCCAGAGGGCATATAAAAACACCTGTACAGTTTCAGTGTTTATTATTTCCCGCATAAAATCAAAGGCTGCATATAGTTTTTCCATAACAGCCAATTCACTGTAAAATTATGTATAAGTCGTGAGGAACTGGCCTTCCAGGATCTGTTTCATACGAGCCCTGTGACCCAGTCAAGACGACTGCATGTTGAGCAGCCAAGTGCTGTTGATAATTTGAAAGACTTTGGCAGACGCAAATTCCGCTGGTTTATATTTTACAGCAAAATGAGAAGCGTCAAGCCAAGTATATACAGACCCAACAATGCTCTGCATAAGAGCCCATGGTTCAATCTCCAGCAAATAGACAAATATGTTCTTCTAATAATAATATCCAAGAATGTCTAATAAATACCACAGAAATACCCTTTATATCCATGAAGTAAAATGATATCGGAACAAGGAGATATAGTTGACAAGAAAGGGGGTATAGTTTAGCCACAGAAGACCCCGTCTTGGAGATTGAATCCGGCACTAGCGAACATACCGACCCACATAGCCTCATCACTAAACACGAAGTTCGAGGACGAATCGATTTGGTTATTGTAGCCCATATTTGAGACAGCGGGGAGACCATTTGGTCCATGTGGAATACTAGTCATCGGCGTGTCGTAAATAGGGTCGCCGTTTGGGATAGATGGCCGGTGGAAGTATTGGGCTTGAAGGGGTTGTGGATGGGGAGGATGGCTTTGTGGCGGTATAATGACCTGATCTGGATTAGGAGGGTTGGGTGGTGGATATGGCCTCGCTGTGGGGATGGTATGGGTCTCCGCGGTTTGGTGGATTGGAGAGTGCTGGGATGGGGCGGTGGCAGGGGAATCTGGGAATGAGGCGTTCGATGATGGAGCATTAGGGTCCACAAAGCCATGTGGTCGGCCGATAGATCTGGTTCTTTCTGTTGGACGGGGGCGTCGAAGGGTTGCAAACTCCCCGAGGATATTGTTCAAGAACCGGGATTGAAGACTGCAGCTTGTACTTAAGGGTGTTGTCTGGCTGGTGAAAACGTTTGCCGCTGTACGAATTGTTGCGATTGTATCGGGCTCGATTTCCTGGCTGATCACAGGGGGAGAAGAGAGAAGGAGCTATAGTCTTTGTGAGAAAGGGTTTGAGATGCAGTAAAATATCAAGTGCTTACTTTGATGAGCAGAACTGCAGAGTAGGCAGTCATAACATGTATAGAATCTTGGCAAAGGCTTAAGAAAGGGGAAATCTCAGCCATCAAGCGCAACATGTTCGTTGCACTGTGATAGCTGATCCAGAATGGCTTCAGATCGGAGGTTTCATTGAAGGTTTTATTCTTCAAAGTCTCCTGGAGAGGCATGGAGAAAAGTTGCAAAGATTGATGAGCACCGTAAAATCGAATCATGAAGTTATGACAGCTTCCTGAACACGAGTTAGTATCAGCTGAATTGATGGATACATACCATGGGGAAGTTTACCTGGGTCAACTACATCAAGCCACTTATTTTGCCATTGCTCGATCCGATTTTGAAGGACTGACAACGGCCGAGGGGCTGGAAAGTGATCACCAGGACTGGACAGGTCGAACACCTCCGCTGCCAGCAGCCGGAGAGTGACAAATGCGCAGAGAAGTCGATCATTATCAATGGCGAGGGGATGCTTCCACCAGTCTTGTGCTGACTCGATAAACGGAGTCCTCTCAATCATCCAAGGTTTCCCTGTCTGCAAACTCATACTTCTAGTTGTCAGTACAAATCGGCATAGTCACAGAAAAGCGCCTTACCTGCGATCGTACACAAACAAAACCAACCACGTCCGTTCGTCGTTCCTAATTTCTCTTTGTTGAATATCGGTCAATTGCTCTTGCCTGGCGGGGCCATGTCCCAATTTATGCCAACCCAGATCTATTGACATTCGAATTGCAAGGCCAACAGACATCCAGGCTCTTGTATCATTGGGTTCCTTCCAATAAGTAAGAACCATGATTGCTTGGACTGTCTCGGCAGACTTATCTCCCCGCCGGAAAGCCTCCATGTATAGCTTTTCGGCATGTTCATGTAGACTGGGGTATAATGAGGTTTCAAATGATTTAGATGCAGCGGTGAGAATTGCACCGAACAAAAAGGAGGATTTTTGCCGTACATATTCGAAGGAATGCAGATGAGGATCCAGTTGACTAACAAAAGGATTTAATTTCGTCATGAAGCTGCGATAGATCAGCAATTGGCACCGCACTCTTCGTGGAATTCGCCCACCTCTCAAATAAGCGAAGAGCAAGCTCATAGCTGACAAGACCACACCGAATTGGATCGTCAGGCGAAACCGACTCAACCTGTCGGTCAGGCGTCGAGCCATGATTGGTACTGAGAATATTCTGCAATGAGAACTTCCCCTTCATCGCATGGTGGCTCAATAGGCCATTAGGCTGGAGCCCCTCGGAATCCGCCCAAAAGTCCGAAACGCGTTCTTCCTTCGGCGAGCTAAGGCGCCTCGCCATAGCCTCGGGCGCTATCCCCTCGGGGATTGATGGGCCTTGAGGCGAGTCGAGCGCCCGCTTGGAATTGGGCTTAATCAAGCTATGTGCGGGGTCAACACGCACTTCTTACAAGATCAATTGAGTCTATTGAGTCACATACCGCGTGCCAGGTTTCCTCCCCCGGCGATGTTCACGGAACATACAGTCCAGTGATTTGCGCACGCAGCGATCGCACTTGACGGCGTCCAGCGTCATGGTGCACTTCATCTTCACGCGCCGACATGCCAGGCAGGCATTGGCGCTGCTGACAGGTCAGATTCGACTCTGATTAGGCTTCAAGGGTCTTACCTAGCTTTGGGGGCTTCATGCACGTCCCCGTCCATGGCGAGATGAGTGAGGAGGTGGACCAGGAAGACTCTCTCCACGGGGGAGGATCAGCCCGAGGAGCTTCTTCCGATGTCGACTGGGGCCAATGTCCTAATCCGGTTAGTCCGCGCCGATCGTGACCCGACGCCGGTGAATTTGTTTAGAACGCCGACCGTTACGCAATTTCCTATCAAGATGCCGGTTGGTTTCGTTTTGCAGGGATTATCTATGTGCTTTTTCAAATCTTGGATTTGATCTTGATCGTGATCTTGGATCTGACTCAAAATGGCGCCCTCAAAGCCCAAGGCGGGACATGTCAACATGATGGCTGATACTAACATCGCCAATCTCCCCCTCGAAGGACTGCGGGCAGTCATGCGTGGCATTCTAGCCAATAGACCCGATTGTACGCCTATCTTTGAAGAGCAGACCAGAAACTATTTGGAAGAGACGGCTTCCAAATTCTCCAATGTCATCGTGGTCGAACAGACCGCCGATGGGACGGTGCAAACGACACCTTCGTTCCAGCAACTACGAAAGCGCATTTGCTGTATGGTGGGATGTGGTCTATGCTATCAAGCCATCCCCCTGCTTCAAAGCATCGTCGAGCAAGTCTCTCAGATCAAACTTGGCTCCGGACAGTCCGCTATCGCTGATTCGATTGCCGGTGTAGATGGTGATATCATTCAAGCCATCACAGCCGTTCAAAAGACTCTCTTTGTAGAGACTGGATCTCGAGAGCTGACTGAAACTGAACGGCTTCCCTTGGAGGCTTTGCTGAAAGCCCTCATGACAGGCAAGTCTGTCTGGGAAGCCAATGCTCAACCCTTTGTGCTGGAAAGAGGTCTCGAAGCAACTATAGATCTGGTCAACCCTTCTTTGGCAACTGCTCCGGTAGCAAGTGCCGAGCTGCCATCTGAGAAGCCTCCCGGTGTCATATCAGAGACCTTTGAAATGGCGGGAATTCAGCTACCCCGGGTATTCTCTGGACTGTGGCAGCTGTCCAGCCCCGCCTGGGGCATTGCACCCCGCTCGAAGATCATGCAGCAGTTCTCCAAGCATGTGGAAAGCGGACTTACGGCATTTGACATGGCCGATCATTACGGTGATGCCGAGATCCTATTCGTAGGTCTTTTTATTCGAACATGATCATGTTTCATTCTAACCCATTTCAGGGCCAATTCCGCTCTGCAAGTAACTATTCCGACTCACTCTTTGCCGCAACCAAATACTGTGTCTTCCACCCTATGACCGTTACCCCCGAAGCTATCCGTGCCAAGGTAGACGAACGCTGCCAGAGATTACGCACTAACGAAATCGATCTATTGCAATTCCACTGGCAATTCGTGTGTTTCAACACTCCCCAAACCCATAAACAGAATACATCACTAACCTTACCCCAATAGTACAATGACCCGCAGTATATTGAGGCATTGAGATACCTGCAGCAAGACAGCCGAATCAAACATCTCGGTCTATGCAACTTTGACACAGAACATATGGAAATGGTCATTCAGAGTGGAGTCCATGTCTACACTAACCAAGTCCAGGTGTGTATCCACCCATATATTATAGTTCATCGATCGATCCAAGCCACATTGAAGACCCATTCCGGAGACCCATACTAACGACACATCATAGTTCTCTCTCATTGACTCCAGACCCACAATGAAGATGGTAGACTTCTGCAACAAGAACAACATCAAGCTACTCACCTACGGCACCCTGGTAAGTCAACCCATACACACCTTCAACCCCTTGCAACCCAGCCAGAAATAACCGACTGACGGAATCACAGCTGGGTGGCCTCCTGGCCGAGAAGTGGGTTGGAAAAGAAGCACCAGATCTCTACGCTGAAACAATGACACCCAGTCTCCGCAAGGTACGCGCACCCCTTGAACCCAATAATGAACCCCCGCTAAAAGAGACAGTATTTCGCAATGATCCAAAACTGGGGCGGCTGGCCCCTCTTCCAGGATCTGCTCCGGACACTGCAGACAATCGGCCGCAAACACAACGTGTCCGTGTCAAACGTCGCAACGCGATGGGTATTGGACTTCCCGTGTGTTGGTGCTGTGATTGTCGGTGCGAGAATGGGCGTTAGCGAGCAATCGCAGGAAAACCTTGCTAGCCTTGGATGGACGCTTGATAGTGAGGATCAGGAGGCTATCCAGCTGATTTTGGACCGCAGTTCTCGGGAGGATATGTTTGTTAGTCTTGGAGATTGTGGGGGTGAATATCGGTGATTAGTGATTAGTAGTATACTGGAGGTTGGTATCATGTTGTATATGAATGAGTGAACTGACATGAACATTTGGTTTTGATGTATTAAAGTTTATGTAAATTGTAAATATCATAGATACATTCAAGTGTGTGACTTGAAGCTTGATCTATAGTGCACGGTGTAAGTTGTATGTGTATATGAAATGGTGTATATGCAAGAACAACTCATATCCAGTGCATAATCCGTCTCCACCAGGGCCAATCTAGTTGCTCGGTGGTGAGGTACTGGCCAGAAGCCTTTTCTTTCGCGATTTTATCAAATTCGGATTTGAGGTCGACTTCTTCTAGAGGGATGATCTTTGACTTCAGGAAGATTTTGAAGAAGATGTAGAGCGCTAGCTGGGCGTTAGCTTTTTGGTTTCATTCTTCCTGTTTTCGGAGTTGGATACTATACGTACCGGCGAATATGGCAATGTTGAGATATGAAGTTAGGAATGTGGATGTGTTCCATCTGCCTTCGCAGAAAACGTCGTAGCCTATGATGACAAGTGATTAGTTTCTACCTCACTCGAGCTATTATGCTGTCAATTCTGATTGATTACGTACCTGAAGTCAAAACAATCATAATGACCATAAATCCAGTGGCCCAAGCCGTGTAAGGCTGAAAGGGGGTCTTATAAGGCAATTCTAGACCTGTCAGCACCAACACTCCCACATATTAAACCAAATAAAATGTACTCACCCTCACGAGAATACCCTTGTTTCTTCAAGCAGGCAAAGAAACGCAAATAAGTAGCCTCAATCACAATCCAGCCAATCAGACCCGCAACAGTAGTAATATTAACAAACCAGTTAAAGACAGTCGACGAGTTACTACCCTCAGACATGTACATAAGCGGCAATAGCAGAACAGTCAGTCCAACAGCGAAGTATGGAGTTCCAAAGCGGTTGCAGCGCTGGAAGAACTTCGGCGCGTGGCCGTCTTGGCTGAGTCCGTATAATGTCCGTGATGCGATGAAGATACAGCTGGAACTGCTACTGATGGCTGACGTGCAGACGACTGCGTTGATAATGTGGGGAACAACTTTGACACCAGAGCGCTGGAAGGCCAGGACGAATGGGGATTGACTGGCTGTTCCGGTTGAGATGACTAGTTTTGAGTCGTTGTATGGTCTGTAGGGTTGTTAGAGATACAATTTGGAGTTGGGGGAGATACTAATGAGCCATACACAATGAGACCAACGATGAAGATACTTAAAACGTAGAAAACAAAGACTCGAATGAATGTCTTCCGGGTCGCATCAGGAATGATCTTGCGCGGGTTTCTCGTCTCGGCACCGGCAATGGCGACGACTTGAATATTACCGAAACTGAATGCGGATGTCAAGAGCACTTTCCAGAAAGCCAGGAATCGACCTGTGGAACCATCTGAAATATAGTTGTTGAAGGCACCTGGCTCGTTCCAATAGTGGAAACCGAGACGTTCTTGACCAGGAGTGCCACCGAGGTCAATGACAATACCGCCAATGATCAAGCCAATGATAAGCATGATTTTTAACGAAGCAAATACAACTTCTGACTCTCCATAGAGACGAACATTGCAAAAGTTGAGCACCGCGATACAAAATCCAAACACGGTAATCCAAACGGCAGGATCAACAGGCGGATTCCAGAACTGAACAATGGTCGCAGCAGCCGTGATCTCAGCCGGAGCCGAAATAGCCATTGTATACCCTGCTTCCGTCAGTAACTGGTCCCTCAGATTCGCAGCGGATTAGAAACGTACAAAAGTTCCACCCGGTAGCAGCACCAAGCGCAGGCTCAACAAAGCGCGTAGCATGACGAACAAATCCACCAGAACAAGGCATAAAAGCCGAGATCTCCCCAGTTGTATAAGAAACACCAGCAGTAGTCAGTCCCATCAGAATATAAGCCAAAAACGCGCCCGCAGGGCCGGCAGTGGCAATGACTTGACCCGAGCTCAGAAACAAGCCCGTTCCCTATATGCATGAGCACGGCGAACCCCAATCCAGCCGATCGCAGACAGGATTCAGACTCACAATCATCCCAGCAATGGCGATCATATTGATATGTCGGGATTTGAGATCGCGCTTGATCTCCTCGCCTTCGACCTCGTAGGAGCTCGGACGCGAGACCTCGACGTCTGTCTCCGTGCCATTTTTCTCGTCGAAGATGGCCATTGTATAGGGTGATCCAACTAGATCCTACAATGGAGTGGATTTAGAAGGGAATCCTTCGGAAGAGGGGGTAATCTCCAGCGTCAGCCACTAGCTTATCTCCAGACTTGGTGAGACGGGATTTGAGTGAGGTGGAGAGAAGGGGAGAATTTTGATCACCGAGGCGAGTGGAACACCGGTCCGCTTGGATAAACCCGTAACTTAACTACTACTGGGCTATCTCGTGGGATCTGCACTCTTCCACCATGTCCGAATCCGAATCTTTTCAATTGTATGATCTCCGCGTCGAGGTCGTTTGTCCACCGGGCAAGCGCATCATGTGCGGCGCCAAAGAGGGCGATTATTTCACGCTCCAGGGCGAGATGATGTACTTGCCACCCGGTCAGGGCATCAGTATCTACAGTCTGGGTGAGTTTAGGCCTCTCTCGGTTCTGGTTTCGGAATGTAACGTGATCTCATTCTAGCTTCTGTTTTACCCCTGCTCGCTTCCAAGCAGAGAATGACTCATGAGAATGACTGGATGACCACCGATGCCAACATCGCATGTCCCGATCCTCATTGTCCGTCGCAATTGAAGATTATCAGAACGGGAAAGACAACATTTAACCATTCCGACACGACTGTTGTCCCGAAATCGACTTGACGGGACTTCGTGGCGAAGAGCCACAATTGCTTTTATGTGTATTCCTCTACATACAGGCTCGCATGCACGGCAATGGCATCAGCGTTTTGTTTCTCTTTTTTTCATGCGTTGTCTTTGTATAGTGGGATCTTCTCAGCAAGCGTGTTTCGTGGCGTGGTCGCGACAGGGGGTCTGGAGATAGCGCCCAACAGCGTGGAGAAATTTCATGCAGCTCTTCTCTTGGCCAATCAGGGCACGTTTTCACCTTCACAATGGCATGCTGTTAGACCGTACTTTTTTCGCCTGAAGATTACTTGCGTGAACTGGATCCACTGCGATATTAAGTCGATCTTGGGGGGTTGAGTCTCGGTGTGGGCACTGGGAATGTACTAGAGCGAAGAGTGGGTTTGGTGTGGAAGTGGATTATTTGCGACCAATTTTAGTCTGATTCGCTCGGATGTTGGATATAGAAGAGCCAATGCAAGCAAAGCGGTTCAATTTATCGTATTGTCAGCTTATTTTGGGGCACAGCCATCGCATCGAGTTATATATTCAGTGGTTTGCAAGTTAAAGCTACAGCCATGCCGAACGTAGCGATTAGTTCTGCACTAAGTGAACAGTGTTGGCCCTTAATTTGTAAGTTACATATATAGCAGTCAAGTCTCCATTCAAATCTTCTATTGGTCAATTGTTTAACTGCGTCATGTATCATCTCAAACTTACTTGCCATGATTAACCACACGAGTGCGCCAACGGTGTCCTTACACACCCCTTGCAGAGTACATACACGAGCGTCTGGGCCTCGAACCCAGATCAACCCACGCAGCCTGGAAACAAAAATCACAAACCAAGGTCATCTATTCTCAAATGTGTAATACATCATCTATATAAATAAAACAATCATTGCCAGAAAGCCTTCTGCAAAGCATCGCACATCAAAGTGATACACCTCTTACCCTCCGATAAAGCCCCGTCCATAGCAAGGAAGGGATGCGGCATCCCCTTCATAACCTGCAAATCAACCTCAACACCCGCTTTGCTCAATTTCTCTGCATACTGCTCGCCCTCAGTCCGCAACACATCCAATTCACCCACCATGACAAGGGCAGGCGGCAACTGCGAATAATCACCCTGCCAGAACAATGGACTAGCCTCGGGGTTGGTCCGGTCAGCCTCGTTGGGCACGTAGTGATCGCGATACCAATACATCTTGGGTGCGGGGAGAGCGGGGGTTCGCTCGTATTTACGATAGGACTCGTTGTTCTCGACCGTGGCGGTGTTATCAGTAACCGGCACGGAGAGCAGTTGGGCACGGAAGTGGACTGGCGGTGACAGGGTTAGAGCCTTGTGCGTCATGATTGAGGCAAGGTTGCCGCCAGCTGAGGAGCCCCCTGTTGCCATTTTGGATACGTCTACTCCGAGCTTGGCGGGGCCATCGGCGATTAACCAGAGGAGGGCTTCCCAGCAGTCATGAACGGCGGCAGGCCAGCGATCTTCGGGAGCAAGGCTGATAGGATATTAGTTTTTAGGAGAGATTGGAGGGTAGTAGATGTATGTCATGGTGCACTTACCGATAATCCACAGTGATCACCACGCAATTTCCCCGAACGCAGAGGTTCGAGCACACCACATTCTCCGTGTCAATATTACCCAGCACCCAGCCACCACCATGGAAATAAAGCATCACTGGCCATCCTTCAGGAGGGGCCTGCCCCTTGGGAGTAAAGCAGCGGATAGGCACCGGAGGACCCTCGGTGGCACGTCGCTGCACAGTGATATCCTGAGTCTTGCCCACCTCCAGCATAGGCCCAGCGCCAGGAATCAAGACACCGCTTGTTCGCGATGCTGCTACCGGCTGGAGGTGGACTTGCTGGTTGTTAATCACATGTTCGTTGTAGAAGGCCACATACTCCGGGTCCAACAGGTCCTTCACGGACTCGTGGAGAGGGTAGGGGGGTTGTGTGATTCCAGCAGTCATGATTTCAGAAGACAGAGTAGCAGAGTGAAAGAGAAAAGAAGAGAAAGTGCCGCAGAACTGCAAAATACGAGTACAAATACTGCCAATACTGCCCATACACTCCCCCCACTCTCTCGTGGGGGGAAAAACAACAATGCGGGGGAGAGATAAGCCGATAAGCCGATAAGTCGACCCGTTGCAGTAAAGATCCACGCAAGATGTTACACTCGCCCGTCACCGTGTCACTTTGACACTTACGTTTCGCGTGGGATGCGGGATGACTGCGGGATGCGCTCTCCATAAAGACCCCTTCCCCTCGGTTCTTCTCAACTCAATTGACCTTCTCTTCCTTTTTCTCCCTATACCCCGTTAACGCACCCCAATATGTCCACCAAGACCCCCGTTCTCACTGATAAGGCCCCCAAGCCCCTCCCCGGCATCTATTCTCAGGCTATCGTGGCCAATGGTGTCGTCTACTGCTCCGGCGCTGTCCCCATGGATGCGACCACTGGCAAGCTGATTGAGGGCGATGTCAAGGCTCACACCGTATGACACCCCCACATCCAATCCCAATTGACTCATCTATGATATTGCAGCTTGCTAACAATGTCCCCTGCAACAGCACCAATGTATCAAGAACTTGACTCACATCCTCGAGGAGGCTGGTACCGACATTACCAAGGTGGTCAAGGTCAATGTCTTCCTGTCAAACATGGATGACTTTGCCGAGATGAACTCGGTTTACATGCAATACTGGGGTGATGTGAAGCCTTGCCGGACGTGAGTCAATCCCCTCACCTTAGGTTGTTCTTTTTGAGAAGTGTTCTTTCTTGCTAATGCCAGTTTGTCGCAGATGTGTTGCTGTCAAGACTCTTCCTCTTAACACTGATGTTGAGATTGAGTGCATTGCTGTGCTGTAAATGGTTCACCTCAGCTTGGAAAATATAGATTAAATATAAATATAGAAGACGATGATATGAGCATACTTTCTGAGCTTTTTATTGTAGATCATCTCGTGATGCAATCATTGTCAGGGGGGATATGAAGAATATGACCTGTATACTTCCTTCGGGTAAGCCCCGATCCATCTGTTCATAGTGCCAGGAATTCCAGACACTTTTATACGAGGTTGTTGAAATGAAAACACTGTTTAAAATATTTGTTGAGCCTGGCCTTGGCCTCTCTTGTCTCTCCCATTTTCGAATGCCCCAGGCTGATCGTATAGGCAGGCGCAAAAAAGAACCTATGGACTTTGATAAACAAGCATAAAAAAGACTCTTGGGAAATCAATCAAAGGAGGTGGCACTGACAGCCACGGTTCTGCGCACATCAATGTAAGCACAGGAAGTATTCTGAATCCTAGAATGATATGGTACTCGCCTGCACCAACCTACCGTCGTGCAATCAACAAAGATGTCGCGTGAGTGAATACGCGCTTCAACAACCAGAACTAAGACAGACAATAAACGAAAGAGAGAAACATCAGTGGCTGAGTTGAAACAAGGCCCTTTTACCCCGAAATACCAGTGTGGTGGAATGTATCAGACTCATAGATTTGGCAGGATCAAGCCTAGTCGAGACCACATTGTGCCAATGGTTCGCAGTAAGATGAAGTACATTCCCCAACAAGAAACTATCGAGGACACTTCATTCAGGTGCCTGTCAAGTACTTTCTTTTGTGAATCCAGGTCGATTGATCCTTACTGACAAGGTCACCCCCTCGGTTCACGTGACCATATGATTTCCAGCATTTTCGGGACGATGATAGAGAAGTGATAAGCTGTAGTGATGAAATTGAACATTTGAATGGCTGTGGACTGGAGACAATAATTCATCTCATTTAATCAGCATCAATGAATGTTGATGTGGTGGTGGTGAAGTTGTTGCCTGCACGTCATCGAGGGATCTAGGGCTGCGGCAACGGTCAACTTCACCCTCACCCTCCTCCAAGATCAACCCTTTCATGCACGGAGAATAACACTCAAGTCTTGGGAGATGAGAATCAAGTCTTCCATTCTCAGGGACTGAAACTAACTGACGTGTGTAGACAGATCCACAGGGATACTAACAACCCTCCAATGAGCATCCCTAGCACCGCCAGCTCCTCTATTGGGACATTCCTGAGGATAGGCGATGACCATCTCCCCCAGCAAAGTGCGAAGATCCGCTCAGGATTCTTCCCAGAGCCCCTCGGGTGTGACATTCCACCCCTCCACACTCTAACCGCGTCGACGCGCTCCAGGGCTAAGTAGCCCTCGATGATTTCCCTTTTTAGTCCTGGAGCGCTCCTCTTTCGTGAACACTGTATATCAGTCACTTCACGCGCAATCGATGCTTCTTTAGTGTGTCTGCTTCTGGGTTAGATTTAGACCCGGTGCATTCTATTCGTCTGTACCTCACTCGTGGCCTGTTCTTCCTTCGGCTTCGACATACTGGGAAGCTTTGACGGGAAGAATTGCGACCAGTCTTCTGCACTGTCGCCATTATGGACGCTGGATTCTCGGCTCGGCCGCGAAAGGAAGGTACTTGGACGAAGCTCGTCATATTCGTTGCGCTATACTTCCTTCTTTTCGAGTCTATCCTAGAAGCCGTGCTTGCTCTTTATCTCTACGGAAATGGACAGGTTGACTCGAAGATGACTTTGAGCGTCGTGCTCTCTCTAGTCGCAGTATGTGCCATCTGATCAATATGTGTTGTGTATCTTGCTAACTCCCATCGAGTCGTTTTTATCGTTTCCTCTGGTCGGTCTACAGAGCTTGGTCGCCTGGCAGTATAACAATATTGGTGGATTTGGGACGCAGAAGACTGTCTTGCATAACGTCTGCACCTATGTTCTTCGAATCGACCTCATGCTATGGCTGGCTACCAGTGTAGCTGGTCTAGTGGTTGCCGCGCAGCAGGTTTATTGTCTCCCCGAAGGGACAGATGCAAGTTATTGGCGAGTCGGTATGAGCTGTGCTTTCCACCGAGCAACAGTAATTGTATCTGTGGTGTCAATGTATGTATACCATCACTACGGCTGCCTACACACTTACTGACAAGTGCGCTATAGGGTTACCGTTTGCACTATGTATTGTGCACGAGAGCTTTGCGATCGCCCATATGATGTTTCCCTTCTCGGTATATACAGACGCCAGGAAGTTCTTCGAGACGGAAGTATTCTGTCTGGAAACAGTTGGGATAGCGAAGAGACACTGAAGAACGAAATTCTCTACCTTTGTCGCCAACATGATGGCAATGGAACTGGATACTCCTGGTCTGCGGACCCAATCGCCAACAGAGTGAACTGTCATCCCAGCATCCGACACCCTGCTCCCGTTCGCTTGCGACCTCAGCTTCGAGTAAATACGGATCCTGGTTCGACCTACGGAGAGATTGTCTCAGGAACAACCATCTCCCCAGAAGACACAATGACTCGTATTTCGCCCGGATCACAGAGCCTTGCTAGTGAATTCTACCCCATCTCGCGCACATCTACAATGATGACTTCGCAGACAGGCAACGAGCTACGCGCTTTACTATCCGATACACCGGTTCCCAAGGTCCCGATGATCCCTAAGGAGTATGTTGGCCACAAGAGACAAAAGTCCTCGCTTTCCTCTCTCCGGCGTTTTCTCCCGAGGTCTTTCCCCCTGTCGCTGCCGTTGTCTTCGGACCCTCAGATCCGAGCCCTCGCAGATCCGAATGCTGCATCCGATGTTGAGAAACAGGTCGTGACACCAAACAGCATGCCCAAGAATGCTCCTCAGCCCACAACTCTCCAGGTCAACGGATCCCAAAGCCAAGACGTCTCCCCAATCTCCCCAGCACAGGAACCAAGCCTCCAGATCCAAAAAAAAGACCGCTCAGAAGGCCATATCCGAACAATGACAATGAACTCGGCCGATGCCCCAGAAGTAGTACCCTCAGCACCAAAAACACCACCAAAAGTGCGCCGCTCGCAAACAGCATGTCCAATGCCAGCGACACGCAACCCCCACTACCCCCATCACCAACAAGCCTTCCTCACAGGCCCTCAACAACCACGCAAATACCCCCAATCCAGACGAGCCTCAGGAACCCCAATGCAAATGCCCATGAACATGCACATGTCCCAGCACGGCCACCCACCAATGCGCCGCAGCACAACCGCCCAACCCACAACAAACTACCACTACCCATCGCGCAGCCCGTCCTACCACTTCGACCCATCCCAAATGCCGCGCCACTCCTACTCCCTCTCCCAATCTCCCTACCACCCCAGCCAAAGCCACCCCCACCTCCAACAGCAATACATAATGCCCCAATCAACCCGCTGGACCAGCCAGCGCCGCTTCGATCCAAACCGCTCTATGCCTCCCACTCCCCGCCGCAATGATGTCGAACTCGTTTACCCGAGCACCCGTCGTCCGCGCAGTACTACGCATGGCGGCGTCAATGGCCCACTCAGCTGTATCATGGAGACTGTTTCCAATCCGAGGGCTTCGGTGGATGAGGTGCAGGGTGGGGGCATTTCTTTTGGGGGTGAGGGCGGTGGTATGGATCAGACTACGTACCGGGGAGCAAATCGGACGAGTATCACTTTTTACTGAGGATGATGATGATGGGAGGGAGAAGATGATGGGTCGGGATGAATGGAAGGATGGAAGGGAAAGAAGGGTAATTAATACCTCTGCATTTGTCTATGTCTGCGGGTCAGATAGACAGGGTTGGTTTCTATGGTTTGTATTTGCTCATTACTTCTAATGTGTCACTTTATGATTTGTATTTGGGTGGAATGGATAGTCAGTATGTGTTTGCTAGGATACAGAATCAATTGAAATCAATTTTAATACTTTGAGTTCCGTTGCGAGTGATCTGCTCGGGGTCACATTGTGAGTAATTCCGAATTCCAGACTAAGAGCCCATACTCTTAGCACTGTCCAAGATACTCTATATGGATTTGGTCCGTGTCAGGCCAGCTCTGTGCAATCAGATCACTACAATCGAGTCATCAAGCTCTATTGCATTCAAGCGACTGAATAACACTTTGCAAATGAAAGATTCATGTTCTACAGACGACAGACGACAGACGATATCGGACACCGTCGACATTATCCCAAGGATGAAATTCATCAGAGCTCGAAGCAATATGCAATTTTCCCGAGGGGGCATTAGAAAAGAAACACACATACATACACCCAGAATCCATGCCAGGATCAACCCAATAACCAACCAGACACCAGAAAAAAAAGCCCCCATGGCACAATGCAATACAATACAAAAACACAACCAGAATCGTACATCAAGACTCAGTAGAGCACACCCTGAAGATTAAGTAAGATAAGACTAAGCCTTCGTCTCTCCACTCTTGGACTTTGACTTTTGGACATGCTTATACCTATAAGCCTGTCCACTCTTACTCTCGCCGTCTCTCCGACGATTCTCTTTACCTTCAGCCAAGGCCCCAGGCCCACGACCGAGTTCCTTTTCGCCCCAGGTCATCATAAGCGCCTTGGCCATGCGATCCCGTTCCTTGAGGAGGAGGTCGACGCGTCGTTCCCATTCGCGTTCGCGCTTATCGACTGATAGTGCGATACGCTGGTCGACTGCGGCGGATGTCTCGTCTTTTGCGGCGATGACGGCTTCCAGGCGCTTGAGTTCTGTTCGGAAGGCTTTGCGAAGGTGTGTTTCTTGGTTTGTGGTTGTGGAGCGGAGGGTTTCGAGCTCAGTGCGGAGGTTTGTCTCGCGTTGTTCGGCTGCTGTGAGGAGGTTGCGGATCTTGCGCATTGATTCGGCGTGGGAGGCGCGGAGAGTGGATACTGCGGTTGAGTGCGCTGTTTGCAGGCTGCGAACTTGGCTTTGGTGGTTTGCTTCTATGGCGGCTGTGTCTGGCTCTTTTCGTTCTGGGGCTGGGGGTGGGCTTGGTGGCTCGGCCAGCTTGTCTTCTTGCAGACGTGCGATTGTCTCGAGGGATTCGGCGTGATCTTCTCTTGTCTGGGTCAGGTCGTGCTGTGATTTGTGGAGGGCTGTTGTCAACTCTTCCACCCTGTGGGACAAGCGAAGGTTTTCAGTCTCGATGGTCTTGATGAGAGACTGGGTCTCGGCAGATTGGGCACGGAGACGGTCTGATTCGGCAACTGTGGCTTTTTGTACAGCGGATGTCTCTTGTAGTTCCTGTTGGAGACTCGCGATCTCCTCTTGTTGCGATTGGTGCAGCTCCTGGACGGTTCGGACTTCGGTAAGCTTGTCCTTTGGCTGTGACAGGGACGTGTATGAACCATCCACGGGGTCCACATCTCCATGTCCCAGATCTTTGATCAAGTCAAGAATCTCGCTGTAGGTGCTGTGTCCAGTGATGGGTAAATCTGCAGCTGCAGCCTTCAGGGCGCTTTCCTGGGCTTCGATCTGAGACTGAACACGAGTGAGATCCGCCTCGAGCGAGCTGTTCTTCTCTTCCAGTGGCCGATTCCTATCTTCCAATGTGATAAATCTTTCTTCCAAGACCTGGAAGTCATTGTGAGCGCGCTCCAGTTGTGTCTCGAGCTTCTCATTTTCTAGGCCGTAATCATCAATTTGGGACTGGAGTTGATCAATCTCGGAGTGCTTCTCTTGTATCTGCGCATCCCTATCCCGGGTCACTTCCCTGAGTTTAGCGAATGTCTCATCGAGAGTAGCATCGCGCGCTTTCAATTGCTCTTGGGAAATAGTAAGTTGTTGGCGCAGGTGAGCAATTGTCTCCAATCGCTCAGTGTCCAGGGAACTTTGCTGGTCTCGGCTCTGCAGCTGTTGCTGCATCTCTCGGATTTGCTCCAGAAGTGAGTTGAGATCAGCCCCGCCCATATTCGACTGGTGCAGCATTTTCTCACGTTCCTCGTTCTGCTTCTGCAGTGACCGAACCTGCTCACGAAGCATGGCCTCGTCGCTGCCTTTGGCATGTACCTCGTCCAGAAGAGCAGTCTTGTGCTGTAGTTCTGTCTGTAGATGACGAATCTGCTCGCCAGCTGAGACAGCTTCAAGTACACGGGTGCGATTCTGTTGCAATTGATTGTCTCTCTCTCTCACAGTGTCCTCCAATTGTTGAATTCGGTTGCGCAGATCCTCACGCTCATCCGTACCATTGCTTGACGCGATCGAGGGCTTGCGAGCAGAAGGCGAGGGCTGATCTTGGTGTCGTGACTCGTCATCGTCAGGGTATTCTTCAATGTCTTCAAGATGTGTCGAGTCTTTGGGAAGTGCGCTCGTTCTGTGTAGTAAATGCGAGGGGGTCGACATGTCCACTGGTGGCTCGAATTCACTGTATTCTCCAGAATCCGCCTCCTCCTCCTCCTCTATCACTGATTGTTTTGATTTTCGGAATGACCGTCGCAATGATCCATACTGTACTTCAGCATCCTCCTCGTCACGGATCTCTCCTTCAAGATCGCCCATTAAATACTTTTCCAAGTTTGCAGTAAAATCTTCCGGGCCCCCAACATCCGACAGTTTATCTTCGATATCTTTATGAAAGGGGGGCAAAGTTTCCTCATTCCCCTCTAGAGCAAAATGACCACTGGGGAAGTTGCTGAAATCCAAGGTGTAATCAGCAAGTCGCGCGTCGAGATCTGAGCCCGTTGGGCTTCCGGGGGTCGCGGGCCGGGAGATATTCTGTAGTTCGTTGTCTGATTGCTGTTCGTCGTCGCTGACATGGCCGTGGGCGTTGTCTTTCGCTGCGACGCGCTCGGTCGTAGGAGTCTGGGCGGGGAGCGGGGAGTCCGGAGGGCTGGACAAGTTTTGTGGAGGAGATGAAGGCATAAACAAGGGAGTCACTAGTGTAGACTGCCCAATAGTGTCATGGGAGGTTGGGAAGGGCGAGGTATAACCCGCGTTGGCCATTGTCGCGTATCGGGATGCGCAGCGAGCGCAAAATCGAGCGCAAAGAGCGCGATTGAGACCAGAATCTAGACACAGTCCTTGCAGCTACACGAGTAGAGATAGAGGAAGGATCCAGGCAGAAAATAAAAAGAACAACAAGAAATTGTGTAGGATGTTCAAGCGAAAGAATAAAGAAAGTGAAACAGGAGAAGGCCTTAGGCGTCAATGTTTACGTGTTTTGGGCCAAGCGGGGGGAACCTTGGATTTCTGTGTTTGCATACATTGGCTTCGACGCATCGCTGCATCTCAACTACTTCGACATGTTTTATGCACATGTTTTCGACTCTTCAAACCCTGGGGGAACGACTGAGGGTTCCTGCGACTGACTGCGCTGTTTGCTCTCCATGCACTCTTCATGTTCATTCTCATGGCGATCTATAGCCGCTTTCCTTGACGCACGACCACCTTTCGCGGCAATGGCATGCTGTTTTTGCAACAGGATAACACAATTAGCAGAATGAAAGGTTTGCTGAGATCATACTTTTGTCTTACCTGCTTCCTTGCGTCCATGTCATGAAAACCACCCACGCCTCGGGCTTTGCCGCCTTTCTTTCCACCCTTGTATAGATGCCCAATCCCGGTCAAAGACATGATGAGATCGGACGGTGTTGATACAAAAGGGCCTACAAGATTGAGATCTGGTGATACCCAATGATTGTCTGGATAGCCCACGCAGTCTATTAGCCCACAGAAAGATTCCTGGTCGCCTCCGTTGCCTCCATTGAATCATCGGCTGGGGCGATGTCTATTCAAAAGATAGCAAGCTGGGTGTTAACCGCTCGATATAATTTGCTGGAGCACTGATCCGGTATTTGATCTCATGTTTAAATTATCTAAACAAGTGTAGAATCTCGCTATCATACAAACAGGTAAAGGCTGAGCACAAAATATAATATTTTAATACCTCGGCGGTATACATTTCGTTGCTGTAAATCATGACTTGGAGGGCTTCTTACTCATCCCTTTATATTCAACCTGGTGAACAGAATAATTGATAAATCTCGCGATACATCTAGTCTTAACGCGAGCGGGGCCTCGCTAGCGAACTAAACGAGACACTTAAGATCCAACAATACCCTGTCAGTCATTGAATTAAACATGCATAGAGCTCTAAGCGGCGCTCTACTGAGGCACGAAATCAACATAGCATTTATGTTCCTGTTGTTGCGGTGAGTACGGTGAGTAAAGTGATTTCATCCGAGATGGGCTATTGAACATACGCGCATTCCACGACAGGTTTCATCATAGAAAACCTCATAGCGACTCGTGATACCGGGTGAGATCACATCAAAATCATCTTTGGTAGTAGTTGTATATGTGCGGTAGATAGCAGCGACAAGCGTAGTCATTTCTGCCATTGCAAGACTTCAAGGAATGAGCAAGTGACCAACAACATAATCAAGGACAATATCGAGAACCAAAGACTTACTGCATCCCAATACACATTTTCCCTCCACTGGAGAAAGCCCAGAACCACCTCTTCATCTCTAGTGAAGCATCAAGCCAGCGATCCGGGTTGAACTTCAGCGGGTCTTTGAAAACCTCTGCGTTGCGATGCAGACAGTATGGAGACATGGAGACATGCGTCCTTGCTGGAATAGCATACCCATCAATCGTCGTTGACACGGGAAGCGATCGTGGCTCCGATCCTGGCAAAGGAGCGTACAGCCGAAGTGTTTCTGTGATGACTGCATCAACATATACCAAATTGGCGCTGGCCTTTGTGGTTGGAATTCCTTCGCTGTTGAGATCCTCCTCGGGAAGCTTTTGAACTTCCTCGATGAGCTTTTCTTGGAATTTCTTATGCTCCGGTCGAGACAGAGACCAAATAAGGAACATCAAGGTATCGCTGGTTGTGTCAACGCCAGCAAGAAGATGATCAGCACATTCTGCCGCAATTTCAATATCGTCAATGCCGCTTTCTTTCTCGGACCGATGGTGTTTCCACATTTTGGCAATCAAGGGCGATTGGTCTTCCTTCTCCTGCGGAGAGGCCTGGGAATAGGCCAGACAGGCTTTCATCGCATGCAGCCGGATGCCAGTGTAGGTGGTAGGCTCCTGCATCGGGTAAAACATTTTTGCGATATAGCCCATGATGCCAGTTCTTGAATAAAGCCAGTCCGTGAACGCCGGAAAATGGACTGCAAACCATGACAGCTTACGACGAGCGATATCGATGACATCGTCAAGAAGTTCGCGGTCTTTTGCCTTTCCTTCCAAGCACGAAGTCTTGCCAAACTTGCCGTAGAGGAACTCTGTGATGGTATCCAATGAGAAGAAATGGAGAGTCGAAAATATCTCGCTTGTCTGTGTTTCTCGTTGGAGGAGTTCCAAAAACAGCTTCACCTTGTTCTCGACCAATGCAGCAGTGGGACCTCTAAGCATCGCAGATTTGGCGTAGGCATGCGCAAAAAGCTTCTTACGTTCGCCATGCTCCTTGACTGTGTGGAAAGAGAACATATTTTGACGTCCATATACATTGAACATTTGATAGAAGCTGGTTCGCTCAAACCCACTTCCAGCTCCATAAATTGTACGCAGTGCTGATAGACTATTGAAGACTACCTCGTTTGGCCCGACACGAACAGCGGCTCCATATTTGTGATGAAGGGCATTAATCTTGCGAGTGCGCGTGCCTTGGTAGTCTTCGTACATCAATCTCAACTGTGTCAAAGCAAACGCTTTGGGGCCTGGAATTCGAGCAAGAGCACCGAAGAATAGACCACCACACAGAGAGTACAGCACCAAGCCTGCTAAGAAGGTAGCGGCGGCTGCGGACAGAAGCGACATTTTCGTTGAGTCAGAATTGCTGATCAGACAAAAAAGAGATTCCAAAGTCGCCTAACGAAACTGACCGTTGAAGTTGAAGGGAAGTGAGGTGGTTGTAGTTATACCAGCCTCTATCCTCGGTGAGTTCCGAGAGGCAGGCGCAAGCGAAGACATTGACACATTTACATGCTTCGTGTAAATCTTGGAAGATAGGAAAACCGTGCCATGATGTTAGATGAAAAAGCTTCCTAATAAATGCGGCAACCGCCAGCGAGATTCAACTGTGGGGGCCCTAAAGAGGGAAAGGGATTGAGACGCATACAAGACACTTAAATATTGGGCTATAGATCCGAGCTTCCTATCGATACCATAGCAAATCCATTATGCGCCCGTCAACCCCCTCCTCTAACTCTACCATTGCTGCGCGCATTTCTATGCGTTGGGTGCCAGAGTCGCCCTTTGAAAGCACCAACACGCTTGCTTTAGCCGTCGGCGAATGGTATGTTGACTTGCGGGTCGATCGGCAATCCGCAGGCATTGATTGGGCGCTGGCAGGGGAGTGCCGACTGGTGAATACGAACCCGCGTACGATATCTACTTCCCCAGGCTAGTCTAATGACCGCTAATTTGGAGAGCAGGTCGTGTGGTTTTCACCCATGTCATTGATTCCCACCGGAAATTCAATGTGAGCCAACCTTGCCCGTTTGTGCCTTTATCCAATGGGGATGACATGGAGACTGGAACGATGGCTCGTCTGGACAGAGAAGGGGCACCTATGACCGATTATGAGGAGATCTGGAGGTATCTTCCCCTGCGAGAGGTGCCAGAAGCCTTTGGGGGTAATACCTCGTGGGTCTTGCAATCGGTCGAGGATGTGGGCGAAGGACGATATCCCGTTAGTAAAGAGTTCTTGGCAAAGGTTGGAAGATTCTATCTGGTCCTTCATCAGGAACAAAGTCAAGTGAGCACTCGAGCACCTGAAGGAAAGTGGACGGTGGATATCACCGGTGAACAAGTGAGCGCCCGGCGGGAGGAGTGGCTCGGTGATCACTGGGAAGAAAAGTATGTGCTAGGGCTTCATGGGGGCAGATTGCCATCCATGGCCAAGGATCTCATTGGCAGAGATCAGAGCTGGCGGTGGACTCCAGGCGAGAAAGTCAGCATTCGAGGTTCTTCATACGTGGTGCGGGGAGTCGAGGCAATCTTGGCTATTGCGGCCAAAATGTGAGAGACTGGGATTGTATCCTCATTTTTCATGTGAGTAGTACCCTGTCAAGTACTGAGCTATCAGTTGTGGGAATTTTTTGGACAACTCAGGATAAGGCAATAGGTAAACCATCACAGGGGCGTTAGAATTCAGCAATGAGATTCTGGGATAGCCCGACTCTACTACATCCACAAATATCCCTGTAGAAACAAGAGATTACCTTGAGTGGTAGGGATTGCACTTTGAAGTAGAGAGTAGGAGAATGGTCCTGAGAAAGCTATCTGTATTCAACAATCCATATTGTACGAAATGGGGCTTTTTTCTTTATACAAATATCCCATTCAATGAAAGCTAGGCCATGAATTGCATTCTAATCTCCCCACCAAATTTTGTTTTCAGCTGGAAAGAGTCCACATGTCCTTTAACCCAAAGCACTAACTATGCCAAAACACTCATTATGGAAAACGCCAACTTTACCCTTACATAGCGATCTGAGGTCCGTGGAAATTCTTCCTTCCATGCATCAGCCACCAAATCCCCACCAGACCAATCAATCCACACGTAATCACGCTGGTATAGTTCATGGCCTCCGGGGAGGTGGGCACAGAGTAAGGAAAACAGTAGATCACAGAGCTCACAACAATGTACGAGCAAGCAACGATATTGACCGCAGTACCATACTTACCCATCCAGAATGGACCAGGTCGAATATTTTTCCGGCCAGTGAGCAGATGCGGAAAAATAGCAAGAATATACGAGATCGTAGTAAGCAGAACAAACGAGCCGATAAAAGCGTTGAATGCAGTAAGCGATCCCACATAAATAGCACCGATGAAAGTCAAGAATACACCACAGGCAAGTGTCGCCCACAATGGGCTATGCCACTTTGGACTGATGGCTCCGAGTTTGCTAGAAAACGGCGTGGCATCGTCGCGACCTAGGGCGTGAATTGTGCGTCCACATGTAATGAGACAGCCAATTGTAGCGATGAAGATGGGCGCGATAGTCATGGTTAAAAGTCCCACTGTACCGGCTTTGGAGCCAGTTGCTTGGAAATATATGTCACCCAGTGGACAGATGGAATCCAAGCTCATGATAGTCGGTAGATCATTGATGGCGTAGAAGATCGAGACCAAGTAGCAAAGGCCCGTGATGAATCCGATGATTACTTGACAGGCCAACGCTTTGGGGATATTCTTTTCTGCTCTGATACACAAGTCAGTCAAGGTCATATATATTGCAGGGCTCGATCACATACTGTGGGATTTCCTCTGCAATGTGAGTGACACAGTCTATAGCGCCCACGGCGAATGCACCATTCAGCATACCCGCCAGGAATGTCAGCCCATCACTTGAGTAGCCCGTCAAGTTATCCCAATCTTTCCAGACAAAATCATTCGAGGCATATCCAGAGCCCGTTCTGCTCGGCATGACAGCGCAAACGATGATAGTGACGAGGAGTCCGGCAACAATGAAAAATGACCCAAGTCGGCTAAGAGCTGCCAGTGCTGGCTGAGCGAACATCACCGTGAGGCAACATATCCATAGCATGATCAGATAGCAAATGAAGATATGCCATCGCTGTGGGCTGAATTTAGGGTGGTAGAGCGAATAAGCGTAGAAGATCATGTTGCTCGTCATGAAAGCGTTACCGGCTACCGCAAAGGTCCACGCCAAAGCATTAAGCCAGCCCGCAAACCAGGCACAGACTTTGCCGTATTTTGGCCCGGCAGTTACGCTTGCCCAGTGATAGACTATATTAGTATTGGGTCAGTCAGTTTGCCAAAGGCAAGGGTTGCCTAGAGCTTTTCTTACCTCCTCCAGAAGCTGGAATGGATGAAGCCAACTCTGCGATTGATGCTCCAATAAAACAATAGAAGAACGAAGCTACGGTACTGTGTCTCGTGTTAATAGTGTGGCGGGCTTCTGACATAGGGAGGAACATGGAAAACGTACAACTCATAAATAATTCCTGGAGGGCCGCCGTTATAGAGCGATGCAATCTGAATGCGTCAGTTCGAGTTTTGATTCAAGTAGAACAAGTATCATACAATTGCACCTCCCAGAATAGCCCACGCATTTCCAGTGGTAATTCCTGTTGCGCAAGCACTGAAGAGATTGAAACTCTTTGCCAGTACTGGAGTGGAACTTGCAAAGTTCCCATCGAGGGTGTCAATGTCTGTCACAATATAGGTGGGTGAAGCCTCCAGATCATCGGATTTTTCTTGGGCCGGCAGAGCTGTCATTGTGAACGAGATAGCACGAAAAAAGGGTCACTGTGGTTCTCCAAGAAATAGTCAATCGTGATATATCATGGCGACAGACCAACTATATATCCCACGAAAGAGGAGCACCATGAAGTGAGAATGCTTATCATTCATCATTCCTATCATCCTCAACATTTCTATCCATTATTCTATAGAAATCTGGCTATCAATCTTCTATCAGATGTCTAGCCGATACACTCCAATTCCATGAGTGGACTTTCGCTGGCTCCTGCTATGTCTGCAGGGTGTTTGATTTTGAAAGTGGCAATAAGTGATAGTATCTGAGCTCTAGAAAAGTTTGAGACCAAAGACAGAGCCCCTTGTCGTTAGCTAGTTGCCTAGTCGTGCATGGTTCCACCTCTCGCTGGCAGTTGCCGTCAACTACGCCTGGGGCGTGCGAAGCGCGGCTTATCGCCCTCGAACATTGGCCCAGGGGCTAGTTAAGCCCCCATAAAGAGCATCATGACCGATGTGGTGTAAAAGGAAACATCAGTGAAATGGCCACTTGGCGTAGTCCCAAGTCTGGAGCACAGTGGTATTCCCACATGCATCTTCAAGCTAACTAAGCATCGCGCTGCTGTATGTTAAGAGCTGTAATATCCAGAGAACTACACTTATCTTGAAAATTAATTCTTGTTTTTTTAACCTCATGAAGAAGAAAACTTTGTTTCAAAAGGATCAACACTGTCGTATCCGAAAAAGCCACCAAATGCAATTTAAATAGAGAGTTATTGCACTCGTTTCTTTTTATTGGAATAAATGTCAATTGACAAGTTCCTCCTCGAAGCAATCAATCATTAATCTCTTCATTGCATTCTTTCAATACCAGGTCCGACAACCTACTGTTGTTGTATCAGATACGGAGACTTTCAGAGTGACTTGGATGAAGAGAGAAAGCAGTCTATGCTCACCAATCCTTGGCTAATGACTGGAATCTGGTGAGGATCAGCCCGTTAGAAGACGGTAAATCTATATACAGGAAACCATACGTTAATTAACAGCCACATTGGATTAAATCTTCCCTGTCCCCTGACCTAAACCCGGGATTCAAATACTGATTCACATTTAGCACAGGTATTGACGACCGACATCGTTGAGGTTAAAGTGATATTGACCGGGTGACCTGAATGGCGCCTGATGGGGGATCGGAGGGTTGAAGGAGCCCATCCCCACATCCGCATCTTCAACCCTCAGCGCGTATCGGCCATATTTCCACACTTCACAACATTCAAAATGCCACCCATTCAAGGCGAGCGCCCGCGGGTGATCTTGTACCACCAGACTCTCATTCCTGGCGGGGGTCAATATGTGTCCATGCTGCCGCTCCTCGAAAACAACACGGGGATCTCGCATGTTATCATCGCCGCATTTCACCTGAATGACCATCCGGAGAACATCACTCTCAACGATGACCCGCCCGCAAACGCCAAATTCGACCCCCTGTGGGCCGAGGTGCCCCTCTTGCAGCAACAGGGCATCAAAATCATGGGCATGCTAGGAGGGGCCGCCCCAGGCTCGTTTACACGACTCGACGGCAGCCAGGATCAATTCGAGCTGTTCTACACCCCTCTGCGGGATGTGATCCGGCGCCACGGTCTGGACGGGATAGATCTCGACGTAGAAGAGAGCATGTCTCTGCCAGGTATCATCCGGCTGATCGACCGCCTCAAAGCCGACATGGGCGATGCATTCATCATCACCCTGGCGCCTGTTGCCGCAGCCCTCTTAGGCATCGGCAACCTGTCCGGCTTTGACTACCGCGAACTGGAGCAGGCGCGTGCTTCCAAGATCAGTTGGTACAACACTCAGTTCTACAATGGCTGGGGCCCGGCCGAAGATCCACGCATGTATGCTACCATGGTCGCTCAGGGCTGGTCTCCGCGACGAATCGTTTACGGTCTATTAACGAACCCGGGGAATGGATCGCAGGGTTACGTGTCGCAGGAGAAGATTGGACCAGTCTTGGCTACCTTGATCGAGCAATTCCCCAACTTCGGTGGCGTTATGGGGTGGGAATATTATAACGCTATGCCGGGTGACCAGCAGAAGCCGTGGCTGTGGGCTGCTCAGATGACATTGAGCATGGGTATGAAGGATGTGGTTATGGCTGCTCGTCAACTGTTGGCTGGGCCGATGGCGAGTACTCTCAATAGTCTGTTTCAAGATATGATGAACCAGAGACGATGAATATATAGCATTTGCAGCATAGTTCCTGGTTGTTTGCCTCCATGTTTACGTGCACGGACACTTTGGTTACCGGAGCCTCTCATCGACGTCATCGCGACTTCCTTGACTTCTTCTCTTGGTTGGATTGTCTCTTTAGATACCATGTCAGCGCAACACTAGAATGTCACGGGCACTTTGTGAATCTTAGTTACAATGGCTTCCCTCCGCATTGTAGCGGTTATTAGTTCGACGGCCATTCGACTCGGGGCCTTCGTCTTTCTGAGATGGGTATGGATCCCATGACTAGTTAATGGGTATGGACTGACATGAACATAGATCCCTGGTCCTCCATTTGGTCCGCTCATTTTTACTTTGCTGGCCGTTTATCTATCATCGCTGTTCTCGATAATTAAAGATGAACAGTCTGAGGAGATTCAGACAGAAAAAGGCAGCTCACGCCCATCCAGTGAGGCTACACCTCTCCTCTCCATGGATTCCTTCTCTAATGATAAAATCGCCATAGAAAAAAAGACAGCACACGCTTCGGCTAAATCGGCTGACTCCGTGCTGAGGACATTGCTAACCGGGGTGCCATCCGCCAGATCTCCGCTTTGGACGTGGACGACTGTCATATTCAACGTGGTCTTGGCATTGTTGACTCTTGATTTCCTAGTCAGAGGCTTTGTGCTTTACCCGACTACATATGCTAAGTTTTCTCGGATTGGATATGTCTCCCCGACCACAGCAAACCTGGTCTTTCGAGAGCCAGATTTGGCACAATTGCCAGTGGTGGTCTCATATCAAGATTATACCACCCAAATGCCCGAAATATGGGTGAAAGAGGGTATTATCTACAAGCTGGATGAAAGCACAGACTTCACTGCCGCAGTAACCTTGACAAATTTGAAGCCATCGACACACTACCGATATGCGCTATCCAACAACCAGTCGGGGACATTCCTCACGGCACCAAGACCTGGATCACCAGAATCAAGTCGGCTCTCATTTGTCACATCAAGCTGCATCAAGCCCAACTTCCCCTACAACTTACTCCGACATCCACTACGAGTCCCAGGCATCGAGAAGATGACAGAAGCTTTGGCAAAATTACCAACTCTACTTCGCCCATCATTTATGTTATTCCTAGGCGATTTCATCTACATCGATGTACCACTACGCTTTGGGTTATCCATGTCTCACTATCGCAGCGAGTATAGAAGGATATACTCATCGCCATCATGGAAATCCGGCCCACCAGAAGACCAGGCGATCGACTTACCCTGGATCCATACACTTGACGACCACGAAATCCAAAACGACTGGGCCAAAGGAAACAGAACAGCCCCATACCCAGCTGCTGCAGACCCCTTTATACATTACCACGTAAAAGGCAACCCACCGGTTCCAAAATCACCATTCGCACCTTCCGACAACGTAACCTATTTCGCCTTCAACCACGGTCCAGCCTCATTCTTCATGCTAGACACAAGAACATACCGCACAGAGCCGTCCCACGAAGATTCCACTATCCTCGGCTACGCCCAGCTCCAATCCCTTCTAACCTACATCTCGACCCCAGAGCCGGCAGGAACACACTGGAAAATAATATCCTCCAGCGTCCCCTTCACAAAGAACTGGCACGTAGGAACCGCAGACACATGGGGTGGATTCGCCCACGAGCGAAGCAAAGTCTTCGACGCAATATGGCACGCTGAGCGCACTCTCAACATCCGAATCATCCTGCTCAGCGGAGATCGACACGAATTTGCCGCAACCCGATTCCCAGACCCAGCACTCAACCTCCCCGCCTCCAGCCTCCAGCCTGATACACCAGGTATGGGCGTGCACGAGTTCAGCGTTGGTCCGTTGAGCATGTTTTACCTCCCCGTTCGGACGTATCGTCAAACGGACTCCGAGGATGTGACGGTGAAGTATGTGCCAGAGGGAAATAGCAAGTTCGGGCTTATTGATATTGCGGAGGGGGTGGAAGATCTGGAACCTGGTTCTACGGCGCCGGTGCCGGTGCGCAGTTCTGTCTTTACTTATTCGCTCTATGTTGATGGGACTGTTGTTTGGAAGTATCGCCTTTTTGTGCCATTGGTCCCGGGTGAGAACGATCGTGCTCTGGCTTCTTTGTCGGACTATGAGAGGGCTTTGAGACTGCCTCCTGGTCGTGTTGTTGAGGATCATATTAGGGAGCATTGGGGGCATGTTGTTGGCGGTGCTCTTGGGAGGATCCCAGATCTTGCTAAGTCTTTTGTTGAGATGGGGACTGCTTTATATCATGATTTTGCAGACCGCGTTCAGCAGATTTAAGGCTTATTGGAGTCATCTTGGAGATTCGTCGTTATACTCATGGTGGATTGAACTGATGTACTCCAAAGCTCATTACCTTGATTCTTTGAGAGGTAATGGATCTATGTATAAAAAGAACCTCTGAACCAAAGCGGGTTCGACTTCCGGTTTAACAACATGAAACATAATCCATTTATTTGGAATGGCATATGTGGTAAAGTTAGCTCGATATCAAGGGTTGTTCTCATGTACAAAATTACACATAACGTTAAAAGAAGGAAACGCCAAACACCAGCCCAGATGCTAAGTAGATGAGCCAGCGATTCGATATGAAAAGCAAGAGAACAGATATAATAGATCCCAACCCCGATCTTAACGTCCTCCTCTGCCACGTCCACCACCGCCACCACCACCGCCCATACCACCCATCAGACCACTCATCTGGCTCATCATGCTCTGCAGATCCATGCCTCCAAGGTTGGGCATGCCGCCGCCTTGTCCGCCGCCCATCATCTGCATCATCTTGGCCATGTCGGGCATGCCGGGCATACCACCCATACCGCCCATACCACCGGCACCGCCCATGGAAGCCATACGCTTCTGCATAGCGGCCATCTGATCCTTGTTTCCGCCCTTCATCATATTCTGTGCACGCTGCATCTGTTTCTTCTGTCCACCAACACGCTTGGCCATGCCGGCCATCATGCGGTGTTGGGATAGAACATCCTCGACCTCGCGGACGGTGGTTCCACTACCGTGTGCAATGCGGACCATGCGGCTAGGCTGCTCGACGAAGTTCATGCCATCGCCGTCCAGTTCAGCTGCTGTCATACTGTCGAAGATGTAGATCATGCGGCGTAGCTTCAACGAGCCGTCCTCGTCATCCAGACCCTGGGTCATGTTTGACAGACCTGGAATCATTCCAGACAGCTTAGACAAAGGACCCATTTTCATGATAGATGTAATGTTTTCGCGGAAGTCACGGAGTGTATAGATACCCTCTGCAATGTGCTTGTATGTTTCCTTGGCACCGGCAGAGTCCTTGGTGATAGCTTGGACGTGCTCGACAAGTCCAGCGACATCACCCATACCGAGTAGCTTCTGAACAAAGGCACGGGGCTCGAATCTCTCCAGGTCCATCATGTGCTCACCAGTACCCAGGAAGATAATGGGGGTGTTGGTTGCGGCAACAGCCGAAATAGCACCACCACCGGCGGCATGACCGTCAGTCTTGGTAATAATGATAGCACCAAAGTCTGCCGTGGCCTTAAAGGCAGATGACTGGGCCTCAGCAGATTGACCGATCGTGCTGTCCAGCACGAGAATAGTCTGGTCTGGCGTGACGGCGGTCTGAATCTGGGTCATTTCAGTGAAGAGCTCCTCTTCCTGACGATGACGACCACTGGTATCGACAATGATGATATCAAATCGCTCCTTCTTGAACTTGGCCACACCCTCGGCGGCCACCACAGCAGGATCCGTTTGTGTCAAACTACCGTAATATGGAATCTTTGCCTTGGTGGCGTTCTGCTTCAACTGATCGAAGGCACCAGCACGGAAGGTATCCGCGCAGACCAGCGCCGTCTTAAACCCACGTGTCTGGTAGTGGCGGGCGAGCTTTGTACATGTCGTCGTCTTACCCGCACCCTGCAAACCAACGAACATGATCACATTTGAGCGACCCTTCTTGGGACGGAAGGAATCTGCGTGGGGGTCGACTAACTTCACCAGCTCGTCGAAGACGGTCTTCTGGATCAGTCGCTTCTTGTTGACGGCAGCTGGGAGGGAGGCAAAGTTGACACTGGCTTTGATCGACTTGCGGAGAGTGCCGACAAGACGGACATTGACATCGGCGGAGAGGAGGGCAGCGCAAATTTCCTTGATCATATCATCGAAGGCCTAGCATTGAATTAGCAGGGTAGACATGCGACATGGCATGTTGAACAAGACATACCTTCTCGTCAAGGTTATTGGACCTCGTCATGTCATTGACGGCGGCGTTAATACGCCGCCCTAGATCTTGAAGAACCATATTGAATGTGAATGTGAAGAAGATTCGAGGGATGAACACTCAAGTAGTGGAGGGGTGAGGGTTGAAGCACGAAAGACCAGAGAGGCAATGTGGAGGGACCAATCGGAGAGCAGACGCCTTTCACCGCCCCAAAAAAAAGTTGATACTGCATTCTCTTGGGTCAACGCGGTGACTTTCTTTTCACTTTCACCATTCCACATTATTTTGTTGCAATGGCTCCCAGTTACTCCAAAAAGCGCAAGGTCCTTGATGGCCTCAAGGGCAAGACCGGTCGCACCAAGAAATTCCGCAAGCAGCGTGACTACCACAGCAGCTCCGAGGAGGAGAGTGACAATGAGAACTTCGCCGCCGTCAACCTTGAAGACTCGGACGCCGAACAAGATGGTGGTGTTTCAGTGAACAAGAAAACCGCAACCGAACCTCCTGCGAAGAAAAAGAAGACAACCGCGGCACCCACGCCGAAAAAATCAGAGGACGAATCAGATATCACCGACGACGAAGAGATTGAACTAGATGACGAAGACCTCGAAGACCTCGAAGATGATGATGAAGAGAACAATGCCTCTGGGTCGGATGAAGACCACCCTACCGCCACAGGCGCCAACCGTGGCCGATCCGTCCCCAAGCGTAACGACCCTACCGCATTCTCAACCTCCATTTCCAAGATTCTGGCAACAAAGCTTCCCACATCTGCACGGGCTGATCCCGTCCTGTCAAGAAGTCAGTATGCTGCGAAGCTCTCCAGCGATGCAGCGAACGAGAAGCTCGACAAGGCCGCGCGGGCCAAGATGCGCGCCGACAAGAAGGAAGAGATGGACCGCGGTCGTGTCCGTGATGTGATGGGTATCAAGCGAGGAATGTCTGGCCAAGTTACTGAGGAGGAGAAGCGTGTGCGCAAGATGGCCCAGCGTGGTGTTGTCAAGCTGTTCAACGCTGTGCGCGCGGCCCAAGTCCGGGGTGAGGAAGCAGCCAAGGACGAGCGCAAGAAGGGCACAATTGGTATGGGAGAGCGTGAGAAGGCTTCTAACGAGGTCAGCAAACAAGGCTTCCTTGAGTTGATCAACGGAAAGAAGGGAAAGCCTTTGAACATCGAGGAGGCGTAAAAGTTGGACCTACGATTACCCATGGCATGTTTCTGGCGTTGTGATGGTTTTGTCTATATTTTTCTTTACATTGTAATACAATTGCTGTTGTGGAGACATGCATTCGTTCAACATAGTACAGGAGATGTTTCATTTTGCGATATAAAGCAATTGTGCATGATGTATGAGTTAAATAGTAGAATACATAGTCCAATTGGACTGAAGCCTCATGGCTTGATGTCGATCCGAAGTGAATTTGTTCAAGATCCTAGTGTCTCCCGACCCTCTCCTCATATTTATTTCGACTCAAAGTCGCTTGCTTGTAGGTTCCGTGTCATGGTCGGCAGGCGCACGACCATACCGTCCAGGTCCTTGGACATGATCACCTGGCAGCCCAGTCGGGATGTCTCCGTCAAGCCGAATGCCAGATCCAGCATGTCGTTCTCGTCATCTGATGGCTCTTCCATTTGGTCGAACATGTCCGGGTCCTCCACAATGACATGGCAAGTCGAGCAAGCACAAGATCCACCACATGCACCTGTTGAAAGCATCCAGTTAGTCATGGCGCATGTAAGGAAAATCGTTGATTCAACATACCCTCCATCTCAAGATCGTTCGCTTGGGCGATGTCTAGTAAGTTGTCGCCCTCAGCAACCTGTAAGTCGATCTTGTTGCCGTCCTTATCAATGAATGTGATGTTGATCCTGGAAAAGTATCAGCATGCTCTAGGAGCAAGGCGCAAGCGGAGCGCGGGCCGGTGGACATACTCTTCACCGGGCTTGGGCGCCGTGATATGGCCGTGTGCAGCTTGTGCAGTCACAGAGAACGAGCGGCGGGCTGCACTATAACCTTTCCATGACGACTGTAGGCTCTGTGGCGTGGGCAAAGTTGACCGAGGGTATGTTGTGGTTCCGATAGTCCTGGAGGAACTCAGGTATCTCCGCGATTGAGTCAGACAGATGTCGGAGGTGGCAGTTTTTGGTACACGGCACAATTGCTGGCCGACTTGACGCCAGAAAGCCATTTTGTGAGAAGTGGAAGAGCAGAGGCAGAGGGGAAGAGAAAAAAGAGGATCCGGGGAGAGTTGGGAGTGATCGTCCAATGGCCGCGGAGGGAAAAAAAGACTGACAAAGCTGCGGACATTCCACTTCCCGACTTCCTTTCCCCGACAACTTTATCCCCGAACCCATCAACATGACGACTCGTGAAGGGATCAATCCCTTGCGGCCTTATTATATTCCCCCGTCTGGCCTGTCACCAGCTTCAAATGCTCCGCCCGAAGTGACTTCGCCGTCATCGGCCCAGGTGTTCGGCAGCACGGCGCGCGACCTCATCCCGGACCTCGACTATGCCGATTATCTGGAAGCCTCGCCATCGGTGTCCGATTGGATTCGCGACAGCTTGAACCGGGCTTTGGTGCGCTACACCAAGGTCCTGACTGCCCAACCGTTTGATGTCGCCAAAACTATCCTGCAGGTGTATGTGGTGCCCGACGCCGCCGATGACCAGTGGGAGCGGAAGTCGACACCGGGAGCTAGCGGTAGCTCCTACGACTCGGTAAGAGCAACGTTTTGGATAGCAGATTTTGTTCTGCATAAGAAATTCAAGTCGGATCACTGACAAATTCCCACATAGGAGTCTGAATCATCCGATGACGAGAGTAGTTACTTCACCTCAGCAGCCCCTCAGACACCGACGCCGAGCACACCGCGGTCTCGTAAGTCACGACAGCAAATTACTGATCGCAGTGGCTACATTCGACCAGAATCTGCGGCAAAGCCGGCACATGCATTGTCTCTCAAGAACTCGAACTCCCTGACCGAAGTCCTCTCCCAACTATGGTCCTCCAGTGGCCCCTCTTCTCCCTGGAAGGCCTCTAATGCCACATTCATATACTCTCTCCTCCTACCAACCTTGAACACATTCATTCGCAGTCTTTTGTCGGCAATCGTCGGTTTGCCCGAGGATGATATCTCCTCGTCGATGACAGCCGACATCTTGACCGCATCCTCTCCCTTGATGACGTTGGTTCTGTCCTTCATTTCATCGTCACTCTCTGCCCTCATTCTGGCCCCCATCGACACCGCTCGCACATTCTTGATGCTCACGCCAGCTACTCACGGCCCACGGTCACTCGTGCGAGCTATCCGCCAGCTCCCCACCCCCAACAGCACAATCCCCTCACACCTCGTGCCCATTACAGTCCTGCACTCAAGTCTCCCCAACTTCATCATGACCTCGACCCCGCTCTTCCTCAAATCTTATCTTTCTATTGACCCTCTCCTCAACCCCAACACATGGAACCTATGCGCATTCCTGGGCTCTGGCCTCGAACTTGCCGTACGATTCCCACTCGAGACTGTTCTTCGTCGCGCACAGATTGCCACATATACCTCTTTGAGCCTGCGCCAGAAGTCGTCAGGTGGCAGCATCCGCGCCGCATCCATTGATGCTTCTGACGTTGAGACCATTGTTCCAACCCCACGCACCTACCGTGGTATCATTGGTACAATGTGGCACGTCGTCTACGAGGAGGGTGTGAGCTCCACACCATCTGACACAGAACGTGCGCAGACCCTCCTCGGCCAGCCATCCTCCCAGCAACAGCTCAAGAAGCGCAAGCAGGGCCAAGGTATCCAAGGTTTATACCGTGGCTGGCGCATCGGTATGTGGGGCATCGCCGGCATCTGGGGTGCCAGTCTACTCGGCGGAGTAGCAGGTGGCTCTGAAGACGAAGTGACAACACGAGGCGGTCACGGCCGCTCCAGCGGTGGACGCTTCTAATCGAAACAAAGACCCTCAATTCGAAGCCACACCTCACTCCTCTTCTCGGCCAATTAATATAACGAGATACATCGGCTCCCTCGTGCCCTTTTCAATCAATCAACCTCTCCCTTCTTTCCCAGCCGAGAAACTCCGAGATCGGTACCTGAAGCAGTTCTCGTCGTTTCATGCTTGTGCCTGTGCATCTTCGTTCTCACACTCTCCTCTCTATCCTCCTCCCTCTGTTTACATTTTATACCCCGGGAATGGAATCCAGGGGACAGGGGCGATCGGCGTCTTGCTTTGTCTCGTTTTTTGGTGCTCTCTGCAGCCCGTGTATAAACTCATTTGAAACTCCTTGCCACATAGCTATGTAATGAGATACGGTCTGGTTCTTGGCTTTCTAGGTAGCTAATTTATTTGATTATCATTCGATATTACGCGTTTTTATAGGTTTCTGTGGTTTTGCTCTTGTTAGGAGTGTAAGTAATATAACGTTAGGTGACGATAAATCCAAGTCTCCAGTTAAACCTCCAGGCCGTGAGTCTTGACGGATTTGGAAGTATATCATTGGGACGTAAAAGGATAAATTCAAGTGAAATCTAGAAAATTGTGATGAAAATAAAATTCAGGAAGACTTTTGCAAGGGGTATGTACCGTTCTATGCTCATTTGGCATTGGATATTTCTACGCCTTACCATTCAATACACTCAGTGAAGCACCTGTATGTGTCCTGACAAAGGTTGATGACTGTGATACGACCTATCACAAGTTATTTGAAGAAAAGTAATGTATAGCATATCATTCCATTCATAAAAGCCACGTTGTATACATAACATCTCAAACGAGAAAACCGCCGCTAGAAGCTCATCCGTCTAGAAGAGAAGATTGGAGAATGCCGAGAACACACAAAAAGAAAATAGAATAATGACCATGTTCATAGCGGTCAGGATTCAGATGTCTGCGTCATACTCTACGGATATTTTGTAGAGAGTGACGAGATCATATGAGATGATCATGAACATGAAGAGACATGTACTTTTAAGTGATGAGAGAGCGCGGGGAATGAATTCCGTTCTGGAAGAAGAACCTGTGACCCAGTTCTTCTTCAAGAACAGAATTGAACCGACAATGGCAAAGAGAAGACAATTCAAGCCCGAATGATGGTACATGGTGCAGCCGGGGGTATGGGTATCAAAGTCGTCCTGGGAGGGACGGGCAAATAGCAAAAAGGAAAACATGAAACAAGACAAGTGGATGAAAGTCCGGCCGCAATGATTTCCAAAAGAAGGAACAAGTTTCTTCAGCTTTTTATTTTTCAGCGAAGCGTCGATCGAAGTAGCGCAACACGCCCATGACGCTTGCGGCTTCGACTTCCATAGCCGCGCGACTACCGTGGGCCTCGGCGAGGGCGAGGTCACGAGGGTTAGGAAGGGTGTGGAGCTTTGGCAGCCAGGAAGAGATCTCATCGCTAGCGCGAGAGAAGTTCGGGTGACGCGAGAGGGTGGTAAAAGCGTCAGCACAGCTGAGCGTTAACTCGGAGGGAGAAGCGGGCTTGGGTGCGGGAGGTTGCGGAGGCATGGTGGTGTTGGTACGCGCGGGGGCCGTGGTGGCGGGGGCATTTCTTGACATGCAGCATCCGCCGTCCTTTCCACCTCCGCCGCAGCAGCCTCCTCCCGATGGAGTGCCGCTCGCTGACCGGGAGGCTGCCAGCGTCTTGCAAAAAAGGGTGCTTCGGGGGTCGGCAAGACATTGGGCGCAGGTGCCTGGTCCGTTGGCGCACGGGTTGGACGCAGTTGCTTGGCTGATTGGGGGGAGGACTACTTCCGAGCGGACGTCGCTCTCTGAAGGGGGAGGGGTGAATTGGGAGATGGATTGGATTGGAGCGAGGCGGTTGTTCTCGAAGGAGTTGCGGCGGCCGCGTTGCTGTTCCTGGGCGGCCATCTCGGCGCAGATGCAGGGGGTTCCATCTTGGCAGAATCCACAGGGGTCGACTGGTGGCGAGGAGACATCGTTGTCGTGGGACTGGGCGGGGACTCCGGAGAATTGGGCCGTGAAATCGATCTCCATCTCCTCCGGGTCAGGCTTGATATCGGGTTCACCTAGGTTGCGTGTAGGACTTCCGACGCCATGAGGTGGGTGTCGAGAGCGGGAAGACTCGTGGGTATCAATAGGCATGGCGAAGGCATCTTCGATGCACTGGCAATGAGCGTTGGAACAGTTGTTGCAGCCAAGGGGAACGTTCATCTGTCCGTCTTCCTTGTTGCGGTCGGCACAAGAGCTCGTAGGAACAACATCTTCCATGCGGGAGCTGCGGGTTGTTGGGCGATTGCGAGGTGGTAAAGGCACAGAGTCTGGGATAGGAGCAGCCCTGTTGTTGTGGTCTGAAAGAGACGAGCGGAATTCCTTGACCAAGGTTTCCTTGGCACTGCGCTCGATAGCAACCTCCTTCTCTAGGGCATGACATCTATCGCGCCACCAGCCCATTTCCTCGCGGACCTGGTCAACCTCATTGGAGAGGTTCCCAATCTGCTGATTGAGTTGCGCCACTTGCAAGTCGTGGCCATCTTCAACCTCCTTCATCTGCTCCTCCAGTTCGCTAACGCGAGCAGCACGACGCTCACGGAAAGCTCGCTGCGCAGCCCTGTTCTGTGCCTTGCGCTTTGTTGGGGGTGTATCGGTAGCTGGCTTGCGGCCAGGCTTGGGGCGTGGTGGAATTACCCATTCCTTCGAGGTGATAGAGCCGGGTGTACCAGGGCCAGGTGATGGGGCCACAGAACACTTGGCGGCCAGTGCGGGCGCCGGTGCAAGAGCCAGCGAGGGGACTCCAGATGGAGCCGGAGTGTAAGACACACCAGAAGTGGCCATTTTGACACTAAGTTAATCAAATGCTGTGGTTTAGGTCAGTTGGAAGCTCAAGATTCGGAAGTGTTCGGGCGCACGCACTAGCCGTGTTTCGGTCGGAAGAGCGGAAGTGCGCTCATGCGAGCCGATAAGCGAGAGGGACCAATGGAGGGGTAGAGGGTAGAACAAAGAGTAATATAACCCTGCAGTAGTAGGAAAGAACAACGGTCACGGGTGGGTATAAACTAGAAAGAGAAGAGAGAAGTTAACGGGGGGGGGGAATGTCGGGAGAAAAGTGATGATCAGATTAGATTATGTGCTCACATGATGCCGGTTTCGGACACGAGACTCGGCTGTCTCTGTGGACCAGACACCCTCCAGCAGATTTTTTATCTGATCCGAGTAGTGGAGTTAGTCCCGAGAAAGCGTTGGTGGGCTGACGCATAGTTCTGCCATTCTTTATGGTGATTTTCCTCGCTAACTGCGTTTGTTGGCTTATTACGGGCAGCCTACTTTAGGAACTAGTCAAACATACTCACGTTCGAGACAAAGCCCAGTCCAGATTGATCTCTCTCTCTCTCAACAACTTCTCCCGACAGCTCACCCGTCTATGACTCAATGGTTAACACACGACCCGGAACCGAACATTCCAGCAGCAGTGGAGTGTCTCGTCAATCCATTGACCATGGATGGACATAAGACGAAGAACCCCCCTACATACGCCCCACGCAGCTATGACCGAGCAACAAACGGAGGTTGCGCCAATGAGAGAGTGCCAATGCGCAAAATACTTTTTCCCGAAGGTATCAGGGCAGCGGTGAAGGGGCATAGATCGCCGTGGGACTCGAATTCCGAGGGAAGCCCTAGGGCCGCTCTCGGGGCCTGATCTTATCTGATTGCACTAACGCAAAGTGTTGCTTCTTTGGGCAAGGCAAGCGAACCCCGAACCATGTTCAACGTGTTATAAATGGACACTCGTTCCCTTCTGTTCGAATGATCAACTTATGATTGGACATTCTTTTATTCTGCTCAGCGGGCTGGAGTCTCCACATAGGCAAATTCTTATCAATCAGTGACGTCCGCCAACCCGAGTCCGAGCCGAAGAACGGATCTTTCGTAGACTTCGCCCGATGGGGTTGCGATTTCCGCTTATTCATTTTGTTTGTGACGTGCAGAGGAGAATTGAGTCGCCGCTATTGGATCTTTGCTCTCTCTCCGGCTACCCTGCTTGGCTTGTAATGGTGGCGATCGCGGTCTGAGATCCACTGGCCCCGGTGATCTTTTTCGTGCCTCTGCCTATGATGCGTTACATGTTAGTCTGATGCACTGTTCAGTCAAGCTCGAATGCAGGAGTTCAATAATTAAGCAAGGGTCACTGCGTTTGAGACCTCTTCTGGTCGAGATTGTTCACCTTTACCATAAACAACATTTTCTGTCTCATCGGCAACTTTACCTAACTATTATGTAAACTAATTCTTGGCCATGGCCACCCGTAAGAGCTAGTAATTAAACGGAAACACCCAACTTTGAGTTCCCGAGGCGGCGAATCGTTGTCAGTGATGTGTGTGTCTGCGATGAGTAGATTATACGACAGGGGATTGAAATCTTTTGACACCTGCATCCTTAGACACCTTTGCCCTGATATCATCTACTGAACTATTCAAAGAAAACATACAAACGATGGGCCAGCAGAAGTGAGAGGAAAAGAGGCTGAGTGAGGGGATAAGTAAGCGATACTTGAAATGCGCACTCCTTTTGACTATTTCGTGTGGAATCCCCCAGTATTTCGAAGCCATGCGAACAGAACAGATGATCCCCATTCTAAGAAACATCTTGATATTCCTCGTAATCTTGCTATTCGTGATCTCCTATTTGCTGTTGTCTCGAAATGGTCTGTGCATGTTTCATATTCCATGGCGAGCTGCCTACCTACCTTGGTAGTTCGCAAGCATCGCATTGTAAAGAGCCTTGAACATAACACCAGAAAGAATCAATTCTCAGACAGAGGTAGACTTTTGCCATCTTTATCACCACCCTCCTCCGCTTCCTCTTCTTCTTCAAATTCGACGCTCGTGCGGAGGCATCAATACAGGGTCCACCAGCGAGAAGCTAGAAGTCATTTGGCCTTGGAGTCGTCGGGAGGTGCATCGATCATAGCAATTAGCGACTCATCTGAGAAATCGCATGTCTTCATATACCCAGGCCTGTATCTTGTGAGAAGTATCTTATGACTATTGACGAGAATGTGATAACCTCCAAGCATCTGGTCAGAAAGAACTCCCGAGGTCTCTTTGGATTCTTACTCATCAGTTCAGAGGAATGTGCAGGTATGGGTTGAAGGTATAGACCGCCAGACCGTGTTCCTTTGTTAATCGATCTGTCTTTTTCGGGCATGGATAGATCTCTCTCTCTCCGACAGTCACCATTGAATTGGCTAAGTTACATCTTTAGGCTAGGGGAACAAAACTGACGGTTATGTCTCTAAACGAGGTATCATCGGGTGAGGTCCCAGACCCTTGTCGTCACTTCCTGCATCAATCTCATATGGGTCTTGATACAGTGCACCCGGCAGAGAAACTGGTACTCACCACCTGGCTAGAGACTACAGTCGGTTCAAGCCAAAGGCTGACGAGATAACACCCGACCGGGGAAATGGGTGCCAGGTCTACTGGGAGATGAAGTGAACAGCGATGTCAAGAAGGAATAAAAGAAAAAAAAGGGCAGTTGGGGGGGGCAAGCATTGGTAGGAAGTCTGCCTTCCTAATCGGGAAGGTCAACGTCCAATCACAAACCAGCTGCATTTGCTCCGTTTGCTTTGACTGGGACCCTATGACTATTCTGCTTGGAAATGTTGTTTGCTCGAGTTTGTTTAGTCTGTTCAGGTCGATTCAACTTGCACTTCGGCTTCTGATATTGGTACCTTGTTGCCTTGGCGCCTGATATCCCGGGCATCAAGGCATCAAGACATTCAAGCAAATGGCGTCATAAGGCTTGTAAATGTTGATCGCTGCAGAGGATGTTGATCAACACCTGTTCACTGCTACTGCTTACATTCGACAACCTGTCAAACACCTCAAAAAAAGCCGATTTCAGCTTCGTTATAGGCTGCCCTGAAGATCTCCAGCTGCATCCGTTATCACCGGACTTGATAAGCAAGGGGCAACCCAGCCTCTGGACTCCGCCTTTCCCCTCACGAGCTCTCTCTTCCTCTCCAACTCATCTTCATCTTCACCCTTCCCACCCATCATGACTCGAAAGTACGCTTCATCTCAAGGCCTCGATATGCCCTGGGCCTCCCAAATGTCTGCCCAGCTGCCAAACCCGTTCCTGTACCAGGTTCCTGCAGCCCAATCAGTTCCAGCTCCGACGGTCCGAGCTCAGGAACCGCCCAAGCGAACTGATGAGCCTGTACGCCCCGAGGATTACTCCAAGCCCTACTGCGAGTTTATGACATCCAACCCCACTATATTTCACGCCGTAAAATCGTTCTCCAGTCAGCTCGAACAGCACGGCTACAAGTACCTCTCTGAACGTGCGGTGTGGACATCGGAGCTGAAGCGGGGTGGCAAGTTCTACACCTCCCGCAACGGAAGCTCACTGATCGCTTTCAATGTTGGATCCGAATATGAGAGTGGTAATGGTGTGGCTATCGTTGCTGGTCACGTGGATGCCCTGACTGCCAAGCTGAAACCTGTATCTAAGCTGCCTAACAAGGCGGGCTTTGAGCAGCTCGGTGTGGCCCCGTATGCCGGTGGTCTCGGTGCTACCTGGTGGGACCGTGATCTTGGTATCGGTGGTCGTGTGCTTGTCCGTGACCCGGAGTCTGGCAAGGTTGAGACGAAGTTGGTGAAGCTTGACTGGCCAATTGCGCGTGTGCCTACTCTGGCTCCTCATTTCGGATCCGTTGCAAATGGACCATTCAACCCGGAGACTCAGATGGTGCCTGTCATTGGTATTGACAACTCGGACTTGTTTGAGCACTCGAAGAAGGCTGAGACTAGCGATGTCAAGTTTGGCACCTTTACCTCAACCCAACCTGAGAAACTTGTCAAGATCATCTCCAAGGAGCTTGGCATTACGGACTACAGTACTATTGTCAACTGGGAGTTGGAATTGTTTGATACCCAACCTGCTCAACTGGGTGGTCTGGAGAAGGAGATGATCTTCGCCGGCCGCATCGATGATAAGCTCTGCTGTTATGCCGCCCAGGAAGCACTCATTGCTTCATCAGATAGCACCTCAACTGGTACTGTCAAGATGGTTGGCATGTTCGACGATGAAGAGATTGGCAGTTTGCTCCGCCAAGGAGCGCGGTCGAACTTCATGAGCAGCGTCATCGAGCGCATCACTGAGGCTTTCGCCAAGAACAACTATGGCCCCAATCTCCTCTCTCAGACAGTGGCCAACAGTTTCCTGGTTTCTTCGGATGTTATCCACGCCGTGAACCCAAACTTCCTTGATGTTTACCTGGAGAACCACGCACCTCGTCTGAACGTTGGTGTTGCTGTGTCTGCCGACTCGAACGGGCACATGACCACCGACAGTGTCAGTAATGCCATCATGAAGCGTGTTGCGGACAAGTGTGGCTCCACCTTGCAAGTGTTCCAGATTCGCAATGATTCTCGCAGTGGTGGTACTATTGGACCCATGACCAGTGCCCAGATTGGAATGAGGGCTATTGACTGTGGTATTCCCCAACTGAGCATGCACAGCATCCGTGCTACTACCGGTAGCTTGGACCCCGGTCTCGGTGTCAAGTTGTTCAAGGGTTTCTTCGATCACTACGAAGAGGTCGACAAGGAGTTTTCCGACTTCTAAACGTCTTCCCTGTGAATCGAGGTCCTGATTGGTCTTGAATTAACACCGATCACGCAATTTATACAAGCCCGCATTGGGCGGGCTCTCGCTTTTCGTTATTCGAGTCTAGACGCATCACTTTTATTCCGCCATTATCCCAAACGTTTTAAGCAATTGTCATTAAATTTATATCTGTTTCGACTGCTGTACCTCGACTATATATCCAAGAAATTCCAAACAAAGTTTAAATAAAACCATGTCCAAGATGACCAAAAAAAAGACAACAAAAGAGATTATCGACCCGACCCATGGGCCAGTAAATGATGAGTGAAAGGCAGTCCCCAAACTGCAAAAGACCGTAAAGCTCAAGAATCATGAGTAAAGAGCCTCAGGTACCAATGGCGCATATCATATAATGCAACGCACAGCACCTGAGGCCTGAGATTAATATAGACCGTAATCAAACAACCAACCCAGCACACCACGTAGCTCTCAACGTCTCATCGAATCGACCGAATCAGACGAATGCGAAGCCTGATGGCTAGGCCCGTTCGGGTCAGAAATCGAAGAAATCTGCGTAAAGCCCTTCTTTTCCTCTTGAGACCAACTCGTCCCATGTACATGACCGTGCTCATTCCTAAAGTCGGCACCGGGACCAAGCTCTAGCACACGCTCCGGGTCACCAGACCCATATTCGGGGTCATCTCCCGGTGCACCGAGGGTCGAGTCGTCTCCGTTCCAGGTTGAGTTATGGTGCGCTGTGTCGCCGTAGCTTGGGCGGCTTGCGCTGAAGGTTGTCATCATTCCCGGGAACAGGCGAGCGAGGAGGGGCTTCAGGGTTGGGAGACAGGCGCAAATTATGCCGGTGTTGCATTCCACCGCGGACCAGGCGGCGGCGGCGACGTTGTCGTCTGTGTTTTGGTTAGACCTCTGTTCTGTGGAAGTAGGGGGCTCGGGTGTGGGTGTCGCTTACAGGTTGGATCGGTTGAGTCTGCGATCTTTTTGAGGCTGGTTAGACGAACTATACTGGTGATGCAGACACTGCAGAATAAGGTTAGTTACTCGTGTGCTCTGATCGAACTGTATCATAATCGGTGTCACTCACAAGCCACCCAGGCCGAACATTAGCATCAGGGCAAACTTCTGCTTCCGAGGTAAGTCAACTGCCATCAGGGCAGGAATTGGAATGATCAAGATGGCTAGATCGGTTGCTATATGCATACTCGCGTTCGAGAACCACAGACCAGTCTTGCTCAGACAGTGTCCTTGGATTGAGGGATCCCAGAATTTGGCAACCGGGATGCAGTTCAGGAATGCACTGGTGACCGCCCATGTCCCGTAGATAGCGAGGATGCTGATCATTACCCAGCAGACGACACGCATGCGGTAAGTTGGGAAGACCCGGAAATATTGCATCAAGATGGAGGCCTTGGCGCAGAGAACGGCGGCATTATAGAAAGGAATTGTGAGCCAGAAGGCCTGTTGTGGCTGTTAGATCTTGTTTGATGTGTGTTAACTGGCAGCAGATCGGGCTTGGGCGAACTCACCTTCATCTGTCTCTCGAGGATATGCGGAGGGATATCCTTAATGTGCGTCCCCATTCCACTGAGGGCTTCGACTATATCTAGTCCCATGAAGACATATGAGTTGACCTAATATCGGCATTAGCCATTGATTTTCTTAGTCTGGGTCTGGGGACATACCAAGGCTATGATAACCATCCAGTCATTGGATTCAACCTTTCTCATGAGTTTGATCCGGGTATACATCCTGACAGCGACGAACCATGTTGCTAGACCCGTGAAGACCACGCTCACGGTGAGACCTTGTACCCCGCGAGAGGACATGAGAATGTCTGTATGATCCCGCTGTAATATCGCATCTCGAAGTTGAAACATGTTCACGTTATAGTGTCACCTTGGACTTAACGAGGAAGCCCGGAGGTAGCAAGCGTTCTACCCCAGATCGAGAATCAAAAGAATGTGGATAAATCTGGGGAAATGCAGAGTACGTTGAGGCGAAATCAATAATTAACAATGATCCGATCTCCAATGACCAGACACCAGATCGAAGACAAGACAAATCGGGACAGCAGCGAGCGATAAGAAAAGAACATGTCCAGCCTCTTGAAGAAAAGGGGGAGGCATCGAGGAAATCGCCTTATGTATAAGCCAATGTTACAAACGGGCCCATAAACAATGCAGCCAGACCCAGAATTCAAACGCCCAAGGCGAACATGCACGTCTCCGTCTCCACGACAGCCAGAATTGGTTTCATCAGTGATCTGCCAGTATTGCGTCTCCTCGCCTCCCTTGACTGGCCGGTCCTTAGACGCGAGACAGCCGCCTAGTCTACAGTGGACGGGAGCGTGTTTGCAAGGTGCAGTGCAAGGGGCTGCATATAACGAACCGGGCCCTAATTAGATCCCGAAAGAGTCGATATGTACATCGAGAACCGGGTCTCCAGCTTTTGGGTTTTTTCCTTCCTTTGTTTCTCATTTCCATCACATCGCGTGCGCAAATTGGCTCATGTTGGCGGACTTTTTTTCGTACAAGTACGAGATGAACGAGGAAGAATTAGAGTTTTTAAGGGTGTCAGACAGATCAATTGTTCTGAAACCTCTGAAAGTCACACCCCTTTTCTCTGACTGGTTCTGAGTGGTGAGCTAGTCGCTGATCATCATGGCGATCGCATCTGGAATGATCCGCCCGAGTTACCGATCAGATCTGGTATGCCTTGGTTGGTGTGCCGCCGATGGCAATTGATGTGTGGCGCTTTATGCTCTCAGGGCTATTAAAGTAACCCAAGCTGCTGGGATTTCAGAGGTAATAGTTGAAGAGATTCCAAATATCCTGTTGGGACAACACGCTGAGGACTTTCATGTTCAATCTCCTTCAAGATTGAGATGATCACATCGAGGTTCCATACTGTAGATGACCCAAAGAAAAATACAATACCGACTGTTATCGGCTTTGTGTCGGAAACATAACACACGCTCAAACCCTCATCCGCCAAACCTAATAACGACAAGTAAATACCACATTTGTACGTACATAGTAATAATGCTCAGTCTTATATAACATTAAAATGAAATAAAAATGCTTTTTGCCCTTCCATATCTCAGTTGCTCTGCTGTAGAGGGCGTCTGGCGCTTCCCTGGATGTCCCTTTGGGGTCAAGTCGATAGGCGAGGCTCGACAGGGAGGTTCCTTTCGTGTTCTCCGCTATTGCTTGTCATTATGCGGTGGCTTTGGGTTCTGTGCACAGGTGCCTGCCCTAGCAAGAGTGGTGACTAGTATCACATCAGCAGGTGTCCTGCAGAAAAGACATGCCGCTACTGACCGACGGTTCTGTTGTGCTATGGAGGAAAATCCGGATCAAGAGAAGCTGCCTTACCTCTGTCTATTTACACACGGATTAAGTTGTCGTAAGTCTGACAATGACCCCTCTTCGTACACTCTCCTGGTTTCTGTCTGCTAACATTTGACGGGTGATAATTGTGACTCTCGCTTGTCACAGCCACACGGCATTTAATACTTGGCCACTGAAGTTGAAGTAGCCCTCACTTCTGCTTTCCTTGTATCTTTATTCCATCACTCTTTGCTTTGGAAGCTATACATTTAATCGTGTAGACAAGCTCTTTTGGTACCGTTTCTTGCTACATCACTTGATGATAAGGTAGGTAATGGGGAAAAGAAATAAGTGGTATGTGACAGCCGTTGTCAAACAAGGACAAATAAATACTTGAGGCATAACGTTAGTAGTTTGGTACTGTTATCGTTTCTCTTTGAAGCAGAAGATCATTTGAACTTTTCGATATGTTCTTACTTTATGGTAGAGCTTGAAACTGAATCTCTATCTTTAACAACATGGAATCCAATAGTGGTCGCCACAATAACTAACAGGAAATACGGATGAAAATCATCAGTCCGGAGAACGAATATCCTCCGATCTCCAGCCAGCCCAACCTATATACGTACAGTATATATCAATTTAATCGTTAAGCTTGTCGGTCAAAATGATGTGTCTCCAGAAAGTCATAGACTTCTGCTATTTGGTCTTTAATAAATGATGGGCACTAAGTAGAATCTGGATCGTCGGTTCTGTCCTGTACAGTATGCGCGTCACTCCACAACACATTATATACACGTCACATCCCTACCTCTAACATCGCCACTATTCCAGTATGGGATGGACGAGGCACAGAAATGACAGAACAAAACCCCCAAATAGTGGAGAACTAAACTGCCGGTACTCAACTGCTCTCGATCAATCATTCTAATGGGGTTCAACCCCCATCGTATACTTCGATCAAGCAACGGCTTCAACTTAAATCACCCTCGCTCAGCCTCTCTATCGTTACCTTGAGAATGCAAAGAATGATGAAAGAAGGTCTCAGTCTGTCTCAAGAGTTGACAGAGGAACGATGCGCCCACATGCGCCGGGTCTCAATTTGCATGTTAGGGCTTTGTTAAGCTCGTCGTACAGGTCACTAGTTGTGCAAGGGGTGCCCCAGAACTTACCCACAAATATACTGGTTCTGAGAGAGCAGGAGCTCAATAGAAAGTGGACTCCAAGTTTTAGTAAAATCTCCTACTCGATCGGCTGAATTACCGTTCGATAGTAGCTGCATCCTTGCAAGGGATGGTCGTCACCCGCTTCTACCCCGGATGTAAACACGAAAACGCTTCACTTTTTTTGTTTCGGTTTGGTAATCTGTAGTAACGAGTAAGAACGTTACATCTAACATTCGAGATTGATTTTGGGTTTGATACAGCTTGGTTTTCTACCACTAGTATAAGGTTCCATGGTGTCGGTCACACACATATATCACAGCATGTTAGCCTGTTCCCAGTACGCTTTTCAGCCTATGGCGACATTTGAAAATGGTCTTAAGCAAAAAACCATTCATTTGACCATATCATCAGCCCTGGAGCTGAAATGTGTGGATGAAAAGAACCCCGCCAATGTGGAGTTGGCAAACAAATTTACATGCCATATCTGGGGCTGATTGCCAGCACGAATCTTGATAATTGCCAACCCATCCTCGCAGAGAGTGTTGCAGATATCTTTCTACTGCATTTTTCTGGGGATTTAGGTTCTCTCATTTCGTTGTGTGGTGGCTTTGGCGTATGCAGGGCGCGAGGTTCCTAGCCTGCATGCATACATTGCTTGGATTGCCGAGTTACTAGGGGGGCTCGGTAATTGAAAAATGTCATGGACCAACTGACCTTGCTTTGCATTATTTTATAATGATCAGCCGCAAGAAAGACAGGTTTAAATTGTTCATAGCTTGCTAAAGAGATGAGTTTACTATAACTGTGATATGTCTACTGTAGAACCTGGTGACAGACCTGCACCTGGTCCAATTTCCAATCCAATAAAGAGAGAGGCACATTTAGGTCTGGTCTCAAAGGATAAACTTGCGCACAAAAAATTGTTTGTGGCCACTCTACGGTTCTTGTGAACAGAATACGGCATGCCAGTCGGGCAGGAACAACACAGGCGTAGTTGAAAAGATCAACGTACTTTTTCTCAGCCTCTACAGATATTTGCCTGCAGTTATTTCGGTGGTTGTTCCTCTGCGTTGCTGCTTTTGTCAGTCTTATTTCCATCCTCGTCTTACCATATAGGGTCCAAACATTCCCGATTCGCAGTGCGAATAGCTCCATTTCTTTGGGTAGATTTATAGCCCATGCCATTCAAAATCTGCAGAGACCTGGAGCCAATAAGGTCACGGGATAATTCACAGCTTATATCAAAACCAAGCTGAACATGCGTATGTCCGCTAGTAAATTTCGAGGAGGAGGAAAGTAAATATATTTTCCCCACTCCGAAGTTTTCGAAGTTTTTGGATTCTAATATTGGAATGTCAGAACCAGCAAGCTAACCGACCTATTTGAATGGCCCACCTCGTAAACATTCTAAAAACCCCCCTCAATTCTTCAAAAGCAAAGAAAGAAACGCACAAATTGGGAAGACCTTGGAGGTTATAGATGCGATAAGATAGGGCCGATAAGGACGCACAGACCATTCACAGAGAAATTTCATCTTGAACATATTCAGTTCTCCAGCTTGGATTTCCTCACTCTCGTTGATCAATAGGAATAGTCCTATTACACAGGCCAATATGGCAGAGACTACCAACACAACTCCCAAGCCCATCCACACAATTGTGTTGGACGCGGGTCCGATTCTCAAAAATACCCCGCCACTCTCGACCCTCCTCGCGCAATGTGAAGAAATTATCACCACCCCCTCCGTAGTGGGCGAAATTCGCGACCCCGATGCCCGCGCGCGTGTCGAGACTCTATACCTGCCTTTCCTGAAGCAGCGCACACCCACCCCGCACAGCTTCAACATCATCAGTGAATTCGCTCGCAAGACCGGTGACCGAACTGTGTTGAGTCGAGTCGATATTGAGATCCTCGCTCTTGCATACGAACTTGAATGCGAAAAGAACGAAGGTGATTGGAGATTGAGAAGTGTTCCTGGTCAGAAGAGGATCAACGGCAAGCCTCCTGTGAAGGAAGAGCCCAAGGAAGAAACCGAGGAAGCCCAACCTGAGTCCGAGTCTGCAACTGTCGAGGCTATCACAGAGGGAGTGAAGGAGACTGTGATTGAGGAGAACCAAGAAAAGACTAAGGAGGATGAGCCCAAGGAGGAGGAGACAGTCCCCGCATCTAACGAGGACGTTGAGATTCTTGCCGCTGAGGAACAGGACCCAGATGAGCTTGCGGATGATGCCGATTCCGACGGCGGCGAGTGGATCACACCCACCAACTATAAGAAACGCCTGGCAGAGGATGAGTCTGGATCTGGATCTCTTACGGCTGCACCGAAGACGATGCAAGTTGCGACCATGACCACTGATTTCGCCGTAAGTACACACGAGACCAGCAAGTTGAACACCCCTCCCGCTAATACAACCAAATAGTGTCAAAACGTTCTTCTTCAGATGAACCTCAACCTTCTGTCTACTACCACGTTGCAGAAAGTCCAGCACCTCAAAACCTTCATCAAGCGCTGCCACGGCTGTTTCTTGACCACCAAGGACATGACCAAGCAGTTCTGCCCTCGCTGCGGCAAAGACACATTGACCCGTGTCTCTTGCACTACTACTGCCAATGGCGCATTCACAATGCATCTGAAGAAGAACATGCAGTGGAACAACCGCGGCAATGTATACAGCGTCCCCAAGCCCATCGCAGGCAGTGCGAACGGCAAGTGGAAGGGTGGTGGTGGCAAGGGAGGATGGGGCACAGAGCTCGTTCTCGCCGAAGACCAGAAGGAGTTCGTCCGTGCCAACGCTGAAGAGGAGCGCCGGCAGCGCCGCGAGCGCGATATCATGGACGAGGACTACCTTCCTGGCATCCTGACCGGCGAGCGCAACAAGACTGGCGGCCGTAGCAAGGTCGGCGCTGGGCGTAATGTCAACTCTAGAAAGCGCTAAGCAGGCGGAATAAGTTACTTCGCATCCTCGATTTCATGGGTTGGAGTTTTGGGGCATGGAAAAGAAAAAAAGTTTCGTTTCTGGTCGAAGCCACTGTGCCACTCATGGTGCCAATCGACCTGTTTATGAGGAATGACCATGTCTTATCTTTTTTGTTTTCGATCTACAGTTGAACATAGATTATGTAGCCAGTCATACGATTGTATATGAACAGTTACCAAAGGCCTTGTTGTTGACGACCTAGATCAGGTATCATATTCTCTAGTTTGTCTAGGTCAAGCCCCGACAAGAATATCCAACGAAAGCAAACCAAGTATGCACATCTTAGCCATCCGTTGACCGCAGAAAAACACCATTCGCCGAAACATGGGCTATGCCGCCCGGTAATACACTTTTCCCAGTGCTGATTGCTCTACTGAGCAGGGGTAGCTGTGATATTCATATTAGTGTCGATGAAGGGAGATTCGAAAGGAGATTCGGCCTACCGGACTGCTGGGTGAGGAGAAGACCGTAGCGCTTCTTCAGGGTGACACGGTGACTGTGGACAGAATTAGATCTCTGCAATTCCAATACCTAGCACAAATGAACCTACCGAGAGTACTTGTCATCGGGAGAGAAACGGGCAGGGTGGGCAGACTTGGTAACCTCACCGCTGAGGACCTGTAATTGACCAATGTTAGAACCATGCATCATATAGATAGATTCAGAGGGGCTGCCAAGGTGAACCCAAAAGCAGTTCCTCAAAGATGACTCCCATACCTTCTTGAGCGTGTAGACACGCTTGCCTTGGGCGTCGAGAGAGTACTATTCGTTAAAATTAGCGACCGATTCTCGGATGAAGCTGGCGATTCGTGCGTTTCGCGGTTGCGATGAAACATACCATAAGATGCATTCTGTAGAGACGAAGGTTAGCAAGCGAATAGAATCGCAAGAATCAGATCAACAACTCACTTGGTGGTATTGGTGCTTCGTTTTGACTTGACGGCGATAGTGGAGGAATTTTTTTCTCGACGGACCTGAACGAGCTCGGGCCACGGTGCTGAGTCATGCACCGCTTTAAATGGCCGAGCTCTTCCCGCAAAAATTCCTCTTCTTTCCTAAGAGCTGCAAAATAGTATCTTCATCTCTATATGAACAGCACATAGTCACTGGTGATGGGCAGAAATGCCGTGGTGACTTGAGTAATTGACTTTTTACTTTTACCAGCATACAGTTTCAAAAGGTAGGAAACCACTTCTTCCCTCTTCCCTCTTCCCCTGCACCTCACCTTCGGTGATGACACCTTTTTATTTTGCCCAGGCAGACGGCACTTTGATTTCTAGCTGTCTGTCAGTGATTTGCAGAATTGACTACAACGGTATCTGAGAAGAACCTTATCATGACGATTGAATACCTCGCATGTGGAAGAACATTCGCTAACGTCGAATTTTTCCAGGACTTTGAATCTCCATACGAGATCTTTCAGTAGTGGCTTCATAATGGCTACTCCAGTAACCAGCACCGAGAAGCCTGTATCTGCTCAGGCTGCACCTGCAGATGCTCGGCCACCTCGTGCTCCCCGTCCTCCTAGGCCCAACTTCAGACATATTCACCGGTTTCCACTTCCGGTCACTGTACATCATGTTCCTCCAGTAATTCCTCATAACCCTCTCTCTCTTATTAGTGTTGCTCTCTCGTACCTCACATTCCTTATCTCCCCACCCCGTCAAGAAGTCTACTCGGCCTATTTTGACTCGGCCACTTCATCGATCCATGTCACGGACGAGGATGCCATTAAGGCCTTCTGGCAGATGGGCTTCTTCGGCAAGGGTAGTCTAAGTCGAAGCGAGCCGAGCTGGCTGACGCGCGAGAAGAAGCGGAGAGGGTTATTGGGCGGCAAGTCAAGCGAGGAGGTTACAAGACAGCGACGTGAGGAACGACGTGAGCTGAAGCTAGAGCGTGCACGCATGGAGAAGCTGGCCATTGAGGAGCGACTCAGGGTTGAAGCTGCGGCCAGGGAATCCGGCACCACGCTCGACCAAGATGATCAGCTAGCGCCAGCAGATGGCACGGCTAATGACACAGCAACCTCGACTGAGAAGTTCTCCCTCAGAAAGGCAAAGGAGGCTCGCATGCTCGAGGCACGCAACCAAGCAGCACAAAAGGCAGCTGCAACGGAACAAACAGATCAAGCCGAGAAGTCGCCTAATGGCAAGTCGGTACGCTTCTCACCGATCGTGCAAAAGAAAGAGTTTCTTTCAAACTCGCCGTCCTCCTTGAAACTCCCCGATGCCGTTGTGGATAGCATTGAAGCGGACGAGGAACCCATCTTTGAAAATGAAGAGCATCTTCAACTTTCCAGAGAGGAGGCATTCTTCCTCTCCTACTCCCTCGGTGTCTTGAACATCTACGAGACCCCGGCAAAGGCAGGCCAAAACCAAGCCAACACAATCATGTCCACAACGTCCCTCCTCAAGCTCCTCTGCAACCACTCCTTCAATCCCTCCCGTGATGCCGCTGCCGCCCTCCAACCCGACGACCCCTTCATGCTCTCCTACGTCGTATACCACCACTTCCGCTCCCTAGGCTGGGTCGTCCGCTCTGGCGTTAAATTCGGAACAGACTACCTGCTCTACAACCGCGGACCCGTTTTCTCCCACGCCGAATTCGCCGTCATCGTCATCCCCTCCTACAGCCACTCCTATTGGACCGAGACCGAGGAACGGAAAGAATACATTGCTGCTAAGCAGGCTCGCAGTTGGTGGTGGTTGCACTGCGTCAATCGAGTCCAGGCTCAAGTCTTGAAGAGCCTTGTTGTCTGCTATGTGGAAGTGCCGCCACCGACTGCCTCTATCGATGATATTGGTGCTTTGCTTGGTACTTACCAAGTGCGCGAATTCCTCATCAGGCGATTTGTGCCTAATCGCATGCGTGATTGAGGCATTTGTTTCTCCATTTTGTATAAATTAGGGCTTCTGATACCCTCTCAGCTCGTGCTATTGCATTGAACATGATTTGTTGCATACTTGTAATATCATTGTATGATGACCCATGATATGAAAAATTTTTCTCCCCGTATTGGCTCCTCGTGTAAACACCAAATCAAGGAATAGACTTGTCGAATATCATGAATTGTAAAATTGGCTACTGTCTACTATACTCCCACGCTAGTCCATAAGAGGTAGTATTACTTTCCAGACCCACGTGACCTATATTTCGCGTCCATCTCGCGTTCGGGTGCCAGACCATCAATCTCGTTGGCCGGGCATCATTCAGGGGAAATCTAGTGCAATGAATATCTAAGGCACCCATCTTATCACACATATCCATGAGGCTGTACTGGGACTCTATGTCGCCCGAAAATGGACAGCCAGGAGGATAGCATCGATTTTGTGAAATTGAGACGCGACGCGTTGGGGCTAGTATGTACCGACCCTGCAGCGTTCTTCGCCCTCATTGGACTAATCCTCCAAACCCCCCAGCACTCTCCATCTCAGCTGTGTCACTCAAGTTTTGCAGATACTGGCCACGGTCCAAGGAACAAGCTCAGTTACACATACCAAGTGAACAGCATCTCTGGCAAAATTTCCCGCCAACCTCAACCCCCGAAAACGCCATCCGACCCCGCAAGATTTTCTACCAGAGACCAACATACCCCGACTCGATTTCGGCAGAATGAACTACAGCCAATGACTTTCCAAAGGAGCGATGCCGGGCCAGAGGCCGTACCGGGATCGCAATTCGAAACCACGGACTTAGGCGATAGTGCTCCCGGGGACACCCAAGTTGTATCGCAGTCAGTGTACGACAGCCTGATCCGACAAAATGAGGAGTCTATGCGCCATGATTACACAGAAACAGGGGCTGATGGAGCAACATTGAGGACCTTGCATGAGGGTGATAGCGGGCATATCGATCTCTTCGCCGAATTGGACACCGCACGCCACGGGATCGAACTCACTCAGTATGGCGACGAACACGATAACGCCAGTAATTCTGATCCGGAGGAATCTTCGCCGATGGCCTTCGCCCCTGATCTCTTTCCCGAATCACAACGCTTCCTTGTCGAAACTCCAGCAACGGATGTGAAAAGGGCCGATACAAACGGCGTGGCCGCCGAGACCCCGAGCATCTCACGGAACCCGCTTGCTGGGGATATTGAGTCAAGCGGTGGCCTTTTGGGTCTGAGCCAGGTCTTTCGGGCCACCCAGGCCCCATCATCTCCTCTTGTCAACCTGCAATCGGAACTTGTATCGGACCGTCCATCGCCGAATCTTCCAATTCAGCATACCCGGGTCACTCACGGTATCTCCTCGCCGTTGATGGGTGTGCAAAACAACTTCATGAGAGAATCATCGGAACCGAACCTGAACTACATTTCGATGAAGGAGTCACAGACCAAGCGTGATAGGACGTTAGGAGAGAGGCTGACTCGATCGGCGGACAATATCCAATCAGACCAGAGTGACAAAGAGTTCTACAAGGAATCAAGTTTTGTCGAACGTGCCCGGCGGCAACGGGAGATTGATGAAGAAGCAGCCGCCCAGTTCGCTGGTTTGAGAGCCCCTGCCAGATCGACATCCAACCTTTCGGCCAGGCCAACTTCTCGTCAACACTCGCCACAAGACGTCGAAATGGTGGATCCAGTTGCCAGCGAGGAAGAAACCGAGCAAGAAGAAGATAGTGTTGTACAAGTTCCTCAATCACAAGAGCCTCCTCCATCTTCGACGGAAGAGAACAAGGAGAACTATGATGGTCCTCCGATAGATGCTGCGGCTGCGGCCAGTGCCCATGAACGATTATCTCAGGCCCTTGGCTTCGAGGCTATCGAACCACCCTCGGCTGCCTGCTTAGCCGCAGAACCAGTAGACGACATCCATCGTCCATGCTCTTTCCGTTCTCAAACGGAACCACACTTTCGTTCTTCTCAAATGCAAGTGAAGGATTCTCAACCCTCACCTCAACCAACGCCTCAGCCCTCGCCGATAAGCGTCTACGACGAACCTATTCGGATCAACTTGAATCAATCTCCATCGCGCTCTCATGTGAATTCACCTTTGTTACAACGTCTTCAATCCTCTCCCCCTTGCTCTCGATCCGATCAACGATCAAGACCTTCAAGTCGCCACAGTCAGCAAGCCGGCATCGTCCCAAACAACCAGGGCATGAGTCCTAGAAAAAGCAGATTATTCTATGGCAGTGAAAATGCACAATCCGGTGCCCCGAATGAGCAACAGAACACAAGTTTATCTCAATCCAAGGACCAGGAAACTGGTGTCAACTCGTCATTACAATCCCATGTGACTGAAACACCTGTTCATCAACGCCTCAAGCATGTTGGCGACATGGCTCGATTGACAAGCATCCCTGAAACAAGCCCTAGTAACACCCATTGCCATTCTGAGGCTGGATCCACTGGCGATGGACTAAATAATGAAGATGACGATCTTCCACCAATGTTCAATGGAATTTCCAATAACAGAAGCAGTCAGATTCGTCCAGCTGGGGTTAGAGCACTCTCTTCACCACTCAAAAAGCTGCTTTCGAGTCCAGGCGGCGGACAACGCAGAGCCTTGACTGAAATTGCGGCAGATCTCTCACCGCAAGTTGGAATTGGGGGATTTGATATGGCTGGTCTCTTCACGAACGACGACAAAGAGTTCAGAGCACTCGTTGAAGGATCCCCAACCCGGCCCAAAAAAAGGCGCCGTGGCAATGAAGGTCAAAGTTATATCGCCTCCGACCCCATCATACCTTTCACTCCTCGTGCGCAGCCTCCTAAATCAGTCACACCTCTTCGCGCATTAAACCACCGACCACTGCCTATTCCAGAAGAGCCGGAGCATGTATCTCAGGTACAAGTGCCTGCAACAGATGTCCGGAGACAGTCGAAGCCCCCACGGCGAGTTCCCGAAAATGTATGGGAAGTCGAGAACTCCCCTGAGCAGCCCTTCCGCCGACGGTCGAGGATAGGCCAACGACTTGGTCAGCGGGCTATGTCACGATCACTGCGTGAATCGAAAAGCCCAGAAAAGAGCACTGGGAAGCCTGAAACATCCGCAATTACGCATCAGGGTGTCGTTCAAAATGCACCACCTCCTTCATCCTTAGATAACAGGATCGACTCGGACGATCTTGCATTGTCAGAATCAACATCGACAATAGCCTCCCCTACTACACCACGGCCATCTCAACCACTGTCAGACAACCTGCATATTGCTCCAAGTCAAGTTATTGCCGTGTGGAGAGGCCAGCAACTTGCATACTTCCCTGCAACATGCTTCGGAACACCCCTAGGGGTCCCACAAAGTCATTATTCGGTCAAATTTGAGGATAGTTTCCCCGTTGAAGTGCCTAAAGTTACCGTGAAACGGTTTGAGCTGCGTGTCGGAGATGAGGTCAAAGTCGACATGCCTAATGTTCCTAAAGTGACCCACGTTGTCCGCGGGCTCGATGACAAGCTTACAAAAGAAGAACTTTCTAAAGCTGTGGACGATGGCCTTCATCCCATAACAGATATTCATGGCCATGCTACTGTTGTCCTTGGCCCCAAGCAGCGTAAGAGCCTGCCAAATGGTGGACTAGGCGGCACTGGAAATATTATCAAGGTTCCAATTGGCCGCATTTATCTTGATACTATGCTCTGGAAAAAACTGAAAGACCGAGAGTTCACTCATCGTCTCGAGTCTATTCGGCAAGAAAGCAAGGCCGAAACGCCATCTGAACCAGCGTCTTTGCCTGCATCTCCGATTGCCCGTTTCTCTCGTAGCATTCGCCAGGTCAGCGGGATATTTGCGGGAATGGCATTCGCGGTATCTTATAAGGATGATGAAGCGTCCAAGAACCGCGTCACGAAGTTAATTGAAGAAAACGGTGGTACATTGCTACACGAAGGATTTACTCAATTGTTTGAAGCATCCTCGATTATTCCAAATGATACCCCTACAAAAGGCCCGGTCAATAATGACGCAGAAAATCAAGGCTTACGTCTTACAGCCCTAGCTGAGGATGTCGGCTTTGCTTGTTTGATTGCCGACACACATTCCCGCCGCGAGAAATACATGCAGGCACTTGCATTGAATCTGCCCTGTCTTTCAGGACGCTGGGTAGAAGATTGCATCGCACAAGGTCGCGCCATCGACTGGGATATCTACCTTCTACCCTCCGGAGACTCAACCTACCTCAATGGAGCAACAAAATCCAGAGTCATGCTTCCCACTCCCCCATCCACAGCCCGCCTCTCCGACACTATATCAGCTCGACCCAAACTCCTCAAAGGACAATCAGTCCTTTTGGTAATGGGCCGCGGAAAAGCAGAAGAAAAGCGAAAAGCCTACATCTTCCTCACATACGCTCTAGGAGCTTCGCGCGTTGAGCGAGTTCCTGATCTCGGAACAGCCAGAGCCTTGATTGACTCGCAATCTGATGCCAGCGTACCATCCAGCTGGGACTGGATCTACGTTGACGATGCGGATCAACGTGCTGCACGGTGGATGCTTGAGTCGAAAACTCAAAAGATTCATTTGACTCATGGAAGGAAGCGCAAGAAGTCTACGGTGACTATCCCTTCCACTCCTGCTCCGAGTCAGCAACAGTCTATTCCCAAGGTTGTTGGTAATGAATTTGTCTGTCAGAGCTTGATTCTTGGTCGATTGTTTGCCGAGTGAATGGTTTGCGTTTTAGTTCTTGATACCAATGTCAGATAACATACTCAAATTTCAATGAATTTACTACTGTATTTTTGGATCATTGTGAATATGCGTGCTACTGATATGTCTTTCAACCTGAGCATTAGTGAGCATGCTCGATGTTCGACCCATCTGGTCTCTCGTCTGGTTTGACGATCTCTGGCTCTTTCCCCTTTGCCTCTTTTTGGTTTGTGTCTTCGGGTAGTTCTGGCTGGATACTCGAAACTGGACGTTCGGGTTCTTCCTGAGTATGATCATGGGTCCCGCTGGAAGACTGTGTAGCTTTAACGTCTTGTTTCTCGTCCTGCACGACTTCCAAGCCTTGATCCACCACAGACTCTTGGACATTCGACCCTTGGATATTCGACTCTTGGGCATTCGACTCTTGGGCATTCGACTCTTGAACCATGCCAAGATTCTCGAACTGAGACAGTTCTGGAAGTTGAGGCGCCTGTCCTGCAACCTGCTCCGGGGCCGGCATCTGCTCAGTCAAAGAAGCAGGACGACCTTGTGGCTGCTCGCCAGAGCCTCCAGCGATGACCCCTGTAGTTTGAGGATCCGCCGGCTCAACGCCCTCCGCAGAAGCCTCACCAGCACCCGTGACAGCAAAGAAATTCCCATTCAAAACATCCATAAGCACCCCCGCCTCTGTTGGCAAAGGCACAAGCCCAGTCAACAGCTCGACAGCCCTAACCTTCCGCCCATAAAATTTCTTATTGGCACGAGGCCGCTCAGCAATAAAACCGCCTTCGACCGTCACCCCGCCATACAGACCCCGAGTCTTCGAGTAGGCGAATACCCCAGCACCGCCCTTAGCGCCCAACACTCCCCCGGCTTCCGCACTTCGACCAATAGGCCCAAAGGCCACCGAGAGATTCCCGCCCAGAGTCAGACTTCCAGCTTGCATGAATGTCTTCACTGCCAAATCGGTTGTCAGGACGAAGACAAAGTCCGTCAATTCCATACCGAATTGGCCACCTGCTCCGACGCCGCCCATTCCCATTGCCGATGGGGCAGACCAGCTTCCATCTGGGAGACGGGCGACTATCAAGCCTGAGCCGAAGCGGGCTGAGCCTAGGAATCCTGCTCGGAGCGCTGTGAAGATGGCGATTCCCTGTGGTGGAGTTAACACGGGCTATCCACACTGGACGGGGATGAATTCGTGGCGTGATACCTTTGCGCCTTTAAAGATCTTTTGAGGGATTTCTCCATCGATCTTGAGCTTGGGATTGATGAACGATTCGAGGATCGCAGCTGCTTTTTTGCACTCGCCTGTTGGGCTGGTTAGTTTAGGGCTACTGTGTGGTTGTGGATCAGTGGGGAGTCTTTACTAGATAGCGAGGCTGGCAGTGGGTTGTGTAATGGATTCTTCATAATATAGGCTACGGTGTAGCCTCTTCCTCACGTTCTGTGAGTGACGGTGCTTATGAAAAGAGAATTTGACTGAAGATTGGGGGCCAAATGTGCGGGTTTCGTGCTCAGGCTTGGGCTTCGAGTTGTAATTGTTTATTAGCAGAATTAACTAATGCTCTGGTCAGCAACGTAGCGAGTATATTGAATTGATGCGCAAGTTCAACATGGGTTGTTCTATGCTCGAGGAAGTCTAATAGGGGCTGAGGGGCCGAGTACAGTAGACCCTGGCGCACGGACATTTCGCATACAGCTTCACCTTCATAACTTCACTTATATCGTTGTGGCTAAGGCCATTGATCTGGATTTGGGTTCGCAGTCGAATCTGCGAGGCAAATCTTGATATTCCTACCACTGCTATAAGGATCTCAACCAAAACCGACCGAGGCTTTATCAAGCCCGTGAGATCTTTAAGCAGAGCCGCATATGACTTCTAGATCCATCCCGTTGACAGGCTCAACTCTCCTGCAACATGGCCGAACTCTGTGTGATACCAGTGCATGATCACAATGAGACCAACCGAGTAGAACAGTATTGGAGGAGTGATAGTCTTGGTTGTTCCGTAGTCTAATCGTCTTTCAAAATATAACTTAGGTGTCAAACAAGATTATGACAGGTAAGTGAATAGTTGAACGGCAGATATGTTGTTAAAAGGCTACGATGCAAGTAGGAATGATGACTGGTACGACCGTACAATATAGATAATCTAACAATAGATTACCGAGGTGTTTAAGTCTAGAGATTCTCATTTGTGTGAGAATCTCCTTATATACCAGAAAACTCTGCCTTAAGCTAGTCCCGATTAGATTTCCTAGGTGATGAATCACTGCGGTTGCCGTCATAGCTCATTTATGGCATAAACTATGGCCGGCCACCATAAATCTCAATACACCCCCTTATCATCTAAAGCATTTAAATCTGCTGTATTTGAAGGCGGGGAATCTTGATAGACCAATCAGGAGGTCTTAAGAGCTAATCCTTTATAAAAGGCATCGAATTTTGGCTTAGGAAGTGCCTTTATAAGGCTATCGGCGACGTTGATAATTCCTAGAATATACTCTAATAGGATCTTGCCTTCTTTCACTTTCTCGCGGACCTAGTGATAATAAGTCTCGATATATCGAGATTTTAAGAGATATTTAGGAGATCCTACTATAGTAATAGCGGACTTACTATCACTTAAAATACGTATCGGAGAAGAGGCTTTTATGATTCCGAGATTAACTAGTATCCGATATATCTATAAACCCTAGGATCTAGTATCTAATAATACGTAATACTCTACTTCTACGGATGGTTTTATGACGTATTTTTGCTATTTTAATACCTAGGAAATAGGTCCGCCTACTAGGAAGAAGACCTATCCCGTACGGCTCTTTAGGGTATCGGGATCTAACGCGAGTAAGGCGTTAACGTACCCCTATAGTTCCTGATCCTTACCCGGTATACCGTAAGTGATCGTGAATTTTGTAGTGCGTTTTGTATACTAAATTGTATAGTAGGTAGCGGAGAAGTGGATATCGTAGGGTATTAGGTTATACTTCGTAAGTATACCTAATATTAGAGAGAGATTAGGCCGGGATACTATTACGGCGTAATTTAGACTACTAGTTAATAATTAGTAGGCTTTGACGTTATAGGGGTCGTTTAGCGTATCAAATTTCTTAAGAATCGGCTCTAGCGTTATAGGGATAACTAGCCGGGGGTTATTTTTAGTAGTTTTTAATAGCTCTAGGAGCTTATCAATATAGGCTTTTTAACGTATTATTATTAAGCTATCCTTACGTAGGATTTTGAGGCTTAGATAATACGAAACTAGGCTAAGATCTAATATAGACTATTTCTTAGCAATTGCCTCTTTTATCTAAAAAAGGGATTTCTCTAAAGAAGCGGCGAGCAATATATTATCAACGTATATAAATACGATAATAATACTACCCCCTTACTTATACTTTATATAAAGGTATAAATTAGATAAAGAAGGGGTAAAATACTTACTAATTAAGAAGGATTTAAGGGTCTCGTACTAGTTAGTAGCTAATTAACGGAGACCGTAAAGGCTTTTTAAGAGCCTAACTACCCGGCTATTATAGCGCTAAGGCTTAGGCATAGTATCTAGGTAGGTTATAAACGTTTCCTCTTTAAGAGATATATTAAGGTATACGAGGTTAACGTCTAAATAGGTAGTAACTAGGGATTTTATAGTAATAAAAGCTAATAAGATACTGAAATAGGAGATGCTCGATAGCAGTCTGGTCAAAACAGACGGGTCGACAAATGGTGGCAAGAAAACCCAACAACAAGTCAGGTCTGTGAGCTCTAGACAGATGATGCCTATCAGGGATAATCAGATACTATATCAAGGAGTATAATGATCATAAATCTTGAATCAGGAAATGAGTGGCATTCTTGTAACTGTCTATCCTTCTCTACAGTCGTAGGTTGCCCATAACCCTTCCTCGAGGATATCACTGCCTGAGGCAGTAATCATACAAGTGTCGTGATTTCCCCACTACACTACTAATTACGTCTAATAGGCGGATAGTATGATTTAGCTTTTTAACGATAATACCGTGACCCTATTAATCACTAGGGAAGTAATTATCTTACCCCGAGAGTATCGTTATTTTATAGCGTAGAATAAATATATTAGTTTTACGCGGGGAGCTATAAAGAACTATCTTAGTTCTACTCTCTAAAGTTTTATCTATAAGAGCGGAGCCTATATACTAGTAGAAATCTAGGAAGCGCTCCGAGAATCTTATCTTCCTACTGTTACGCACTTGCTTCCGGGTCGTCGCTATGTTAGAAGATTCCCTAGGTTATGCTTGCCTGCTATGCTGACTTCCAACCTCAACGATCTGTCTCTCAACCGTACCGCTGCCTAGCAGGTCTTATACGGGCTAAGTCCTTTCGAGGGTATCGAGGAGCGATGCTAAGTAGAGTACCGAGTTAGTTTATACCGAAATATAAGCCTTCCTGTGGTATTGCTAAGTTATAATCAAATTATACGAGTTATAAAGGTTTCTAAACAGTAGATATAAGTAACAATAGATAATTGAACACGAAGAACTAAACTAGATATATAAGGTCCTATATATATCCTTAGTTCTTCCCTAGTAGAATGGTAGATAGTAGACTGGTAGATACGCCTCGGTAGGATCTACCCGTATACCATTATACCTATCTACTACCTATATGATCACGTGGTTAGGCTGACGTAATTCCAATATTCTTATGGGGGAGAATATATGTTTGTGCTAAGGGGGCCGTAAGTGGCTTTACCGGCACCTAGCGTCGTGGTGTAATCTTCCTGACTGTTCGTCACGTGACCCTGATGGGTCGGTTTATCGACTGGTCCATGACCGCCCATCAACAAGTTGCGGCCCTATACTGATTGGTGCCTGGTATGTCCGTAACATTAAGGCTTTAGTAAGAATTAGCTAAGGTATATTATATTCTAGAGGTAAAGGCCCTCGCTTAGACGTACTAGAAGCTTGAGTTATTTTTTATAAAGAGGTAGACTTAGTCTCCTCTATATATAAAGAAAATTGTGTATAAATATCGAGGCCGTGCTAGGTACTTTATAACTCTTTATTTATTCGCTAAACGTCGATAGAGTCTAATACTATATCAGCTTGTCTTAAAGAGGATAACGACTTTATTCTATCCTTAATAGATTATAAATATAGCCCTAGATCGTATTTAGTATTCTTAATCAATTCCTTATATTCGTATATAACACTCTGCGTCGTTCTAGTGAGATAGCTATAAGAAATTAGAAATATTACCCCTAAACAAAATCCATTTGTGCTGGCACGGCCGAAACTGGCCCCTTTTGACGCTGAAAATGGCCCCCTCGGCACCACCAATATTCGCACGCACCCGCCCGGTCGCAACCACGCACCATCCCCCCTGGCCCTGGTAACGGACGGTATAATAATGCCCGGACGCCGGTCCACTGCGGCGCTTGGATTCGTACCATCATTTCCCCTGCCCCCTCGTTGCCCTCGTTGCCTGGGTGTACTTTGTCTTTTTCCATGACCTTCCACCCAGTCACTCCCAAATCGCTACCCTTTCTTTCGCGGCGCCAGAAATGGCGACCTTTTGTCCGGCAGTCATTGGTTACGCTGGCCTACTGGTCGTCAGCCATAAAAGAACCCATTACCCTCGTCCTGCTCTCCCTCGTTCGCCTTATTTTTTTCCCTCCCGGGTTCCCTCGTTCTTCCCCACGCTTCCGCTTCACGCTGTTCTTTGTGCGCTCAAAGCGATTTCCCTTGCAATTTGAACGATAATCTTCCGTACCTCCTGTGTACCCAGCTGTGTTGTTCCTCTCGACAAGCCGAAAAAGGCATGTCCTCGAAATACGCTGACGCCGAATTGTCGGAACAGGCTTCTGAGGGTGATAGTGACTCATCTTGTGTGTCTTTTCGACCGGACTGCAGCGATAGCGATGAATCAGACGCCGATCAAGCACCAGAGTCGACAACCCAGACTTCACCTAAGCCTTCACGGTCTTCTGAACAATGCGATGGAGTCTCCGGCAGCTCCAAACCCTCCGTGTGCGGCCCGGCCCGCTCTGGGGGCTTGCCAAATTTTAGTGACGATCCAGATGATGACACTGATGAGGACATTGCAAACATTCCTCTCGACTATGGGCGTTCTGAGAAAACTAAGGTTCGCGGGGTTCGAATTGAGCAACGCTGGCACAAGTAGGCGAATCTTGTGAAACTTGCGTGTGGATGTGCGCTGACATGATCAGGTACTGTCGAGTGAAGGTCAAAACCCCTAATGCGCTTTCGAAATGGAACGATCCGACGGAGGCTCTTCGACAGGTCACTCCCAATGATGTACATCGGTTTCTCAACTACTGCCTGAAACTCAAGTATGGCGAAGGTGGTAGACATTTGAAGGGAACAACGAAAGCCAGCGCCCTTAAAGCTGATTGGAAGACTTTCCGAGGCTATTTTCGAAGAGTAACCCGTACCAGGATCAGTCCTGAAGATAGTGAAGAGATAAATGCGGTAAGTTGCTCATCCTTCTTTTCGCGACATCTGGACCTGATAAATACCAGGGGATTCGGAAACTGATCGACAAGTTCAACCTTAACCAACAAGAGCGAGGCAAAGAACCGGTCTATGTACAGGACTTGACCGAATTGAATGAGACCATTCTTCGAACCCAGGAAAGGCGGTTTCATTTTGGATACGAGCGTATTCAAATGTGTCTCTTCAGCATGCTTGGCATTTACACCGTGAATCGACTGAGTGCCCTGCTTTCGTTACAATTGAAGCATCTACAGTTCTCTATACAGAAAGATCCTCAGGGTGGCCCTCCTGTGCTTCTGGTGGAGATCAGGTCAGAGCACACGAAGCAGTTCCTCGGGTCTGAAGCAATGTACGTATGCTTCGTTCCCCACTCCAGAAGGCTCGGCGATTGATTTTCCTAGCAATACTTTTCCATTCCCTGAAATCATTGACGACCCATCTCTTGTCTTCAGCCCACATGTATTTATATTTGGTATACTCTTCTGGCTGCAAGCTTTTGAGTCTCCGGGTCTTTCATCTATGGAGAGACTCCGAAGTCTTTTTGTTCAAGGCGGTCGCCAACAGATGCCGCTCCCATTGAAACCTGAGGTCGAGGATCATTATCTTTTTTGCAAGACGGAAGTCGTCAACGGCCATCCGGTTCTTCGATGGGATCAACACATTGTTGATGTTACCATGTCCGCTCGACTCAGGAATCTTGGAGAGATTCACGGTTGGCTTCACTCGATGTTTGCGCATCGTATGCGCTATGGAGGCGGAAAGATGTTGAATAATAGTGACGCGGTCAGTGAAGCCCAGCAGAATCTGATCATGAAGCACGCAGATTCTCGCACCTTTTTAAATCATTATCTTCCTCGACATGTTGACACGGACATGCAAAATGTGATGAACGGTCGCAAATCCAACAAATCTCTCATGCGCGCAGTCACCCGCATGAGCAGGTGGATCGATACGAGGCGGCCTCGGCACCTGACAGCCGAGCAACGGGCGTCGATCTGTGAACATCCAGAGTATATCGAAGCGGTTCGCCAATTGGATGAGCAAGCTGAATTTTGCATCCATGACCCGAGTGAGGAGATGCGATCGCGACGTGACAAACTCGCACGCGAAAAGCTTAACACGTTTGGCCGGCTGGAGAGGGCATTGAGACAGAAGATTCGAAATGAGTTTGACCGCAGACAGGCGAACATAGACATTGAGCGGCAGCTTTCCGGAGCGGCTATCGACGACAAGGAAGCGAAGGACGCACTGCGAAAAGACAGTATGTTGCCAGAGCAGATCAATCTTCTTGAAAAGCTTTTCACCTGGCCAACTTCCAATTCATTGGAGGCGGAATGGAAGAGACGAAATGCAGCTGTCGTCGCAATCTCGCAATACTGTTGTCACCTTGAAGGTGGACCGCTACGTGGCCGACGCAAGCGGCCGGCTCCAAGCGAGGGGTCTGATGAAGAGCAGGCAGCAACAGAAGTGCGAAAAACGACGACAACCTCCGTCCCTCCTGAAATGTCGCAAGATGACTTCCTTCTGGAGAAGGCGGGGAAGTATATCCGGAAGGCCAAGAAACCTCGGCGATGTTTTCAATGCTATGGCGATGCCCTGCTTCCTGTTCATCGTCGAACGCAGAAATATAGTGAGTACAAGTCGACTTTGCGACACTTCCGAGAAAAGCACTTGAAGGATCGGAAATGTCATATGTGTAGCGAGGATATCCTACACGAAATGCATCTTCGTAGGCACGCCGAGGATGTTCACCGTCTTGCCACTAATCGCAACTACTACTCGAACGAAGCTACAGGGTCGGACATAGATACTGATTAGTTGGAAGCTGTGCGGCTTGGAATGATTGAAATTACAGCATTGCTTCAACTGGTTGCCTTTAATAAAAAATGAAAAGATTTCGTGATGCTCTTGAACTTGTTTTTCTGTATCGGCGACATCAAGATGGTACTAACAAACATCGGCCAGGTCGGTCAAAGTGATTACGAGCTCAGTGATTTGTGGACTCGAAGATGATTCTTTTAGTTCTTTGTGTCTGTATATTCGGGTGCAATTCAGATCGTGTCAATAGATCACTTTTGGGCATTATTTCGGAAGCACATCTGGCTCAGCAACTTAGCGCGACCGCCACACTGATCCTATCAGCTGAACGGCGGTAGACCATCATCGGATCGTGTGGCTCACCTGAGACGTTTGGTTTTTGGCATCTGCACACAGCCACCATTCGAGACGTACGTACGATCGAGAGGCTGAGCAATTGGTCTGCGAAAGGCATTGCACCAAAGTTTTCACGCAAAGAAGAGCAGATGTATAACCAGTAATATTGAGAATTTAATATCCCAACAAATGAAGGATTGGTAAAAATCGATACCTAGGCTGGAGAGTGGCTGGAAGTCACCCTTGTTAGGTGTTTGCTATTTGCTACTATTGGGTATAGGGCCGATGAAACCCCGCTCTCTTGTGGCCTTCTCACGAACCTCGAATCAGCAAAGAAATTCGACCTCATCACATCTCCCGCTTAAGAAGCAGATCACGACACAGGGATTCTAGGGGCCTTTGAAAAATATCGCGAAGCCTGCTACAGCAGCAATTGGTACAGACCATGAATTCAAATAACGATGAGCTTCTGGAGGTTTTTCGAAGAACGAGAGAGCTCAATCTTTGTCCGAACCGCATATGGGCTGTTGCAGGGGAGAATTTACCTAAATTGGTGCCGGATTTTAATTTGCTCCCAGGCGCTGGAGACAGATTTGACGAGCATGGGAACCACAACAAGCATAACGAGTGTACACCCGATTTTTGTGAATACTCTCAGCGTGATTTCACAGCGGTCAAACAGCGGCACGAATGTAAGGATGCCAAGTGTTTGAAACTGCAAGGCCAATTTTCGAGAATTATGCTGGAGAGAGCTGCGCACAATGGGCAGTCTACGGCGTGGAATCTGGCCGGAGATAACATACTCGAACCCCTTCAGCCATATATGGCCATTTCTCACGTCTGGTCGGACGGAACCGGAACTGGAGCCTGGAAAGGCGGAGAAGTTAACGAGTGCCTGTATGAATTTTTTAAAAAGATTGCAAAAGAGTTCCAATGCGTCGGAATATGGTGGGATACTCTTTGTATTCCCCGTGAAAAGGCTGCCCGCTCAAAAGCTATCCGAAAGATCCAAAATAATTACGAGGACGCTCGAATTACCTTGGTGCACGATTGTTTCCTCAGAAACTGGGAGTGGGACCCCGAAACCGCATGTTTTGCCATACTGATGTCGCCTTGGTTCAGTCGAGGCTGGACTGCCCTGGAATTGACTAAGTCGCGAAGAGTCAAGGTTATCTTTAAAGGGGTTTACGGACCTATCATTAAAGATCTTGACGAAGAGATTCTTGCAAAGAATGATGAGCTCAATAGCCCCCGCAAAGAAGCCTCTCGGATCATTCGGAACCTACGGAAGGACTTCACGACACTCAATGACCTCTTGACTGTATTGAGCTCGCGCCATACGTCTTGGCCTAAGGACATAGCCACCATCTCCGCACTTTTAGTAGATGTTATTCCACAGGAGTTGCAGCAGGACACATATAAGAGCATTCTGAAAAAGATTGGCCGGCTTTCGCACGGACATCTCTTCCACAACGCTGTGACAATGTCTCAAGGGTTTGGCTGGTGTCCGGCCAAGCTATTTGATATGCCTCTGGACTCGTCTAACGCCTCTTTAATCATTTCTAGAGATGGAGATATCGAAGGGAAGTGGCGGGTCATCCCTGTGGACGCTGAACTCGAAAATAAGTGCTGCTGGGATAGCACGCATTCGCTGATAAGACGGGAGCTCCAATATGCCCTTAGAAGCCCTAAGAAGTGTCAGCTCTTGGCTGAGTGCGGCATAGGGTCGGTAGGAAGGGCTTTGCTTGTGAGGGAAATGCAAGAGATCTTCCTATTTCAATACGTTGGTACGGTATACTTCCGTCAGAAGCTAAGGGAAGAAGAGGGCAACTGGATCGAAAGAAGTATAACAATATCAAGTTACCGGGGCAATGACAAAAAAATTGTCTCTGACCGCAATTGGAAAACAGGCGACAGGGAAGAAATTGCCCACTCAAACAAAGAGAATCCGGCAGACGGTGCTTCCGAAGCCGAGAGATTTCGCTGTGCCATATGGAGAGGGGATTACCAGACATTTCACGAGTTGATCGAAAAGACCAGTCTAGACGCCCCGGACCAACTTGGACGGCGCCCGCTACATCTTGCCGCGGAACGAACGCAAAAACCGATGGTGGAAGATTTATTGCGCTGGAAGGTTGACTTAAACGTACGGTGTGATCATGGTCAGACTGCATTGCATCGTGCTGCTTGGGGGGCTCCACTGCTATCGTGAAACTCTTACAAAATAGAGTCGATGGAATGGCGAAGGACAAGGATGGGAATACTGCACTGCATATAGCAGCGCAGCTGGGATTGTCGTCCGTTACGAAACTCCTCATCAAGAAAAGTGTCATTGATGTAAAGGGCTACAACAATCTCACCCCTCTACATCTCGCGGCCATAAGCGGGCACATCACCGTGGTGGAGTTGCTCCAAGGTGCCAACGTTGAAGCAAAAGATAACAAAATTGGTTGGACGCCACTACATTGTGCGGCTGATTACGGAGATCAAAATATTGTCAAACTCTTGATCGAGCGCGGCGCAAAAGTCAACATAAAAGACGATCGGGTAGGTTGGACACCCTTACACTTCGCGGCGATGAATGGGCACAAAGCGGTCGTTAGTCTTCTGCTCGAGAAAGGCGCTGATATCACAGCCAAAGACAAATACGACTGGACGCCGCAACAATTCGCGGAAATAAATGACCACACGGAGGTACTTGAGCTTCTGCACGGTACAGGATCTGGCAATGTCTTCGCAAATGAAGTTCGTTGGACCTCCCTGCACTGCAAGGCGATAAACAACCAGCGGGGTTTAATCAAGCAATTAATAGACGATGATTTTGAGATCTTGTTGAACGACAAAGATAAGAGTTGGAAACCATTGCAGTTTGCGGCAGAGAATGAGCTCGAAACTACGGTTCGACGGTTGCTTGATGCAGGCGCTAATATTGAGGCAAAGTGTGGCCAGACACCGCTGCACTGGGCCGCCGAGCATGGTTCTAAGGCGCTCACGCGGCTGCTGCTGGAGCGGGGCATCAACAAAGAGGCCAAGACCCAGGATGGCAGAGCGCCCCTGCATTACGCTGCTGAGGGTGGACATGAGGTAGTTGCCCAGCTCCTCCTCCAAGTTGGCGCCGATAAAGAGGCCAAATCCCAGGATGGCTGTACGCCGCTGCATGGGGCCGCAATAGGTGGTCACGGGGCGGTCGCCCGGCTCCTCCTCGGGGTAGATGCCGATAAGGAGGCTAAAGCTCGGGGTGGCTGTACGCCGCTACATAACGCTGCCGAGCGTGGACACGAGGCAGTCACGCGGCTCTTACTCGAGAATGGCGCCGATAAGGAAGCCAAAGATTCAGATAGCCGGACGCCACTGCACTATGCCGCCGCGAAAGGGCACAAGGCAGTCGCGTGTCTGCTCAAATAAATCATCGAGATTTTTCTAGAGGTTTTTCAGGGGAACCAGAACTTGCTGTAGGGCCAGACGACGGCGTATTCTACCCTTATTTCTATGTTATTTAGTACCAAAAGTCCTGTAGCTCACCATGATCTGAACCTTGATGGCTGGCCGCAGGGATGCTTCAGCACTGAGAGTCGATAATGGTCCATTGACCAAGATCATTCAACTCCCGCGCAGCTCCCAGGAATTAAAATGGCAGCACAGCACGAAGCCGCCCAAACAGCAACATCTGCCACCAGTAGAAGGTATTCTACCCGTCCCAGAAGGCACTCAAACCGCGGAATCGAATGGAAACCCTTTTTTAAATGAAAGTCAACCGACGGCTGACTAGTGGGTTGTGGCAAAAACGCGGACAGCTTTGAAGACTGACAGTGACTATAATAGAGATGAGATTGGCGTTTGAGAATCACTAGTGACGGCACTCTGTATAAAACTCTGTTTGCTCGTATTCTTCCCATAGTTTGCACTCCTCTCTATACTGAGGGGAGTAGATTGTGTGCTATTTATTCTAAGTGTAGAAAGATACAAGCAGGCTGGTATACAGGTATATATGTATGTACGTGATCCCAGCCCCCATTTTTATCTCAGTAACTGTGATATTCAACAAGGCCCCAATTGAAATTACCACTCTGGGTGAGGATCAATAAATTAGGCGGTTACCCGCAGTCCGGGTAGGGTGGAGAGTCTAGAGTGTCACCCGTGGGTGAGTGCCGTGAGATTCTCACGGCACATCGGAAATCTGAAGGAACAATGACTTGACACCTTGGGTTCGCCAGACAATGCGTTGCCGCTGAGCAGGAAGTTCGCAATTGACTCTGACGCAGCAATATTTGGAGATACATTAAGACAACCGAGATTCTTCCGGTACGGAGGGCCATACATCTATACCGTCTAGGATTGCAAGTGCCATTCCTCCAGTAGTGTGAACCTGGACATGAGAATGTAGAAAAAATGCCCCTGGGATATTCGCTTGATATTGTACAGCCAGCCAAGTTGGCATGGAGCTGTGGGTCCGTGGTTGGGGCGCTGTGGCCACAAGGCCTTTGATCCTGGGTCCCGTGATCTAGTAAAGATGACTCCAGGCCAAGTACTGACGGCCGTGGACGCAGATCCACATTGGACGTACGTCTACAGCTTTCAATCTAGGTGGGCTTTCCAGCTGTAAGTTGGCGGCTACACTGGCTTAATAACCACAAGGGCCCTTAGTCTTCTAACAAAGGTCTATATGGGTCACAAGTATTTTAATCTAGAACTCAAGTGGACCGCTGGCGCTTTCTTGGCCGATCATGACCACTGTCTCTTCAATCATAACCATGTCGTCGCCAAATTTAAGATAGATACTTGTCTTGTTCCTTGGGCAGCTTCTCTAACCTGTCTTTGTCGTCTCTTCGTGCGCGCATATTAGTCTCCTCGTCAGTCTAAGCGGAAGACCCCCGTGGTGATAATGCGGGGCTCTCTATCAGAGTGTCCTGCTGCACAGCATCTGTTATGACATGAACATGCGGCGAAGCGTCCGGTGGTACAGACTCTGCCGGGCCTGGTTCTTCTAGAGCTACCTGTTGGTGGCCCTAAGTCAGGCCAACTTGACTAGCCACAAAAGGCAACAAGAAACACATTTAATACAGCGTAACCGAGATATAACAAAGCACTAGCTCGAGTGCATGGAGAAATCAGCCTATGGCGATCCCGGCGCTCCCAGTTGCCCAACTCTGCAGGATTACACTCGCAGTAGCACCTGGAAGTAAACATGTGTATCCTGAAAAGAAAAATTGATATGGGGAAGGCACTGTGAAATTGTTTTTACCCATGCACTTTGTTACGGACCGGATTCATGAAGTTCTTGGGTAGCCCTGCAATAGAACGTAAATAGGATTGATTCATTGAGAGAGGGAGGGAGCCCCAACAGTAAATCAGTATTTAGTAACAGGTTTCGAGAAAGCCTCTTTTTGCGTTATCAGGCGATAAGTGCAAATCGTATTGCTCTTGCTGAGCAGCTGTGCGCACGACGGGAAGAAATGGCATGATATGCTTAGTGGCTTTGACGGAGATACGCCATGTAACACGCGGCTCTGTCGCAGAATCATCATGAAATATAGACCAACGAAGGCACACATTTGCGTCACCACCAGGTTCAGATACCTGCATTTGATTCAGGGTCCCAGTCACCTGAGAATAGTCCAGCCATAGGTTCTCGGCGGGACCGGAGATACCGTGGGTGACGCTTAAATCTTTTGAGAAACGGATTTTGCCGGCGAATATACCTAGGAAGTCTCCCTCGTAGATGGGAACAATCGAAGAGACGAGCAGAGACCCATCATCTTTGGGCAGAAGAGTGATGAATGCGGACTTGTCTTTTTCATCATCATAGAAAAATTCATCATTGTGTGGTATGCCTAGAATATCAGTTGAGATAGACTTCAAGCCGTATTGCCTGAAGCTTTCTTCCTCGGCGTTAAAGGCCCACTCGTTTGAAGCATTATCCCACGAGAGCTCTGGCACTCTCAGCCGCTCTAGCACGTGAGGATCGCGGAGATAGCTAAGACGCTTCAAGTCGCCTGTCTTCAATTGAGTCATTCGCATTTCCAGTTGTTCGATATGAGACCGATACTCATTTTCCCATCTCAGAACTTTATCCACAAGTGGAGTTTCCGATGCTTTGGAATAACCTTTGCAGAAACTGTCGAATTCTTTCGTACGATAGAACAGGATTTTGTCAACACCAGCCTCGCGCATGTGAAATATGTTCTTCCAGAAAATGCGGCATTGTCGCTGATTTTCCGCACCTAAGCCGTAGCCGATATCTTCCATGAATTTCTTCGTGGCAGCTTTTTCTGCCATGGTGAATCCATCAACTGGGCCCTTGGCGGCTGGCAGCGTTGCCGAGTCGATCAGCGCAGCGCACCTTAGAATGATTGGCCAGAAAACAGATTCATTGTACCTTGTCTGTACTGCCCTGCCAGTTTTTAACGCGTTGTCTCTTCGAATGGCTTGAATGGCTTGTTCATAATTGTATTGAGAGAACTGTTTGACATGGTCCCGCATTCTCTCGAATTTAGTTGTTGCCAGGACCATGCAGTCGCGTTGTCCATATTGTGCGATATCAGAGGTAGATTTGACACACTGTATCAATATTGTCGTCATGACCTTCATCTCGTAGGCAGAGTCGAGATATAGTGGCAAAGAGTTGTCACGGGGGTTCGGCACACATAAAGATTCGGGTTCGTCGACTTCGGACTAAACATGAATCATGTATCCATTAGACTTTCTTCAATCTGGAGGAACAAAATGACATACCGTTGTTTGTATTTCTGGCGGAATTGATTCCTCGGGAGTCTTATTTTTGGCAGTCCCATTTCCATCAGCAACTGACGCTCCAGGCGGTTGGTCTATCAACTCCGGCTTGTTGCTTCTTTTTCTCTTCTTTCTCTTCTTCTTCTCTGTACTGGCCATGTCGCTATAGGTTGTAGGTCCATCCTTCCCTGTCTGTTTCATAAGTCGATAGGACCCACGAATGTCATGTGGCGGAGTCGGAGGTGTTTCTGTGGTCGCTTCCTTAGGCTCGAAGGTAGGCTGGGGTAGACATCTAGCAGTCACGAGTCGAGCTTTGCGAACTAAGCAAGTGTCAATGATCCGTGGTTTCAGATGTTGGCCGGGGGAAGCTAACTTACCATGGTCGGCAGCGTGGGCGATAACCATCTTAAGATGTTCCTCGCTGTCCTCAATTCCGCAGATGGTGAAGAGCTCTCGTATCTTCTGCGCTGTCAGGCTCAAGATAGTTTCGTCCATGGCGGGCGATGATGATGAGAAAATTTGAGACCGATTCTTTCGTCCATGAAGACAGAATCGCTTCTGCAGCATTCGGGGCAACGGTTGCCCTTTGGTTGTTGGGGGCAGCAGCAGAGAGGGGAGCAGCCAATCAAATCAGCTACAATTGAGTCACGAAAATAGCATCAACCAGGTTAAGGCAAGACTTGACCGATATAGGCCCCCTCTTTTTGTAGTGTTGTATCGACCATCATACACCAAAGAAAAAATTGATCAAACCACGAATCTAAATGGTATTGGCCGCAATTCCACCTTGAAAGCCCCGAATCCATCATATTCTGGATAGGTGTCAACAGCCCATCTGAAATATCGTTTGCCCTGACGGATAACACAGGGCTTCGGGAGAGCATTTGCCCCTGAACGTCCGATTGATACCCTCCATACAATAAAGATGGTCGTTTCGGGTCTGTTCAGAAAGGGTGAGCATCCATGAAAATGAGTAACCCAGTCGAATGAATTCGTCAATATCTTGGAGTCAACGGATTAAAACCGATGCAGTAATAGTTGAGGATAAAACATGATATTTTCCATATCAAAGTGGTGAAAAGTAAGAAATGATGGCCGGTGAGAAGGACGCCGCCTTTTGGACAAGAGTGCGGTGGTCAAGTACTGCCACCAGCCCAATAAAACGTGATTACCCTCCTTGACCCGCACACTCTCCCCTGATACCTAGACACCCGCGCAAAATTAACTGCATGAAACTGTTTATGCCATGTCTCTGCGCGGTCGCACTTACGGCCTGAGAAGATGGATGGTCAAATCGGGCCAGGGTTCATTGCCACAAGGTTACCAAGGATATTAGACCCAATATTTGGCATCGGGTGGCACCGACCCGGGGGCGGTAGACACATAGCAAGAGACCTAGCAGATTCCAACGACCGCGGTCTCAAGACCTGCCAGGCCATTAGACTGCCCACCAAAGTCCCCTTCAAGTTTGAGACCCGCACAGTCTTATGTCTCAGATCTAAAAATTCCAAATTACTTAGGACATGCTTAGAGATTGACTACTATTCAGTATTTCATCATTAGGATCAATTATATCTCGAAAGGGCCCAGCCTGTATAGGCCAGCTTGCAACAGTACGGTATGAATGACAAACCAAGAACTGAATCTACAGTATCTAAGAGGCAAAATCAATTTTTTGAGGTTGCGGAAGTCGTGGTATATCTTGGGATAGAGATTGTCCCCTGATCTTTTGATTTGTGAGATTATCAAGATAGACGAAAATCGTAGTGTTTCTCATGACGCCAATAGTCCGACGGGGGCTTTGTTCATGGGAAGAGCACTAAATTGCGGAAGGATCGTGATATTTCTTACGATAGCAATGGTCGTATGTCCTTGCGGTTCGCGAGAGGGTCAGAGCTCGCAGAAACCGTGGTTTTTCCCATGATATAGATAATCGGATGATCATTTGGTTCGTAAGATACTAGAGCGTACGCAAACTGTGGTATTCCCTAGGATATACCTTGTCCAAGGATGTGTAGGCTCTCCCGAAGGTCCTAGATTATCAGGAAAATCCGTGGTTGCTCCTATGATGGCGATAATCGGAGGATCCCTGGCTTCGGGAGACAATCATGGTTCTCGGAAATCGTGGTTTGTCCTGTGATGAAGAGAATCGGATGATTTTTTGTTTCATGAGACATTACAGTCAAGGGCGCGTCAACCGACTAATGACTCCTGGCAGCTGTAGGTCCTGACTATTCTCCATACATGTCCATGATACTTGTGCTTGAGGCTGCGTCGATCAAAGATATTGCAAGCTTCTTGACCGGCGGTGTGGGTTTTAATGTGTTATTGTGGGGTTGTGTAATGCTACTCCAAGGTGGAGAAAGGAGTAAAAAGGACCAATCGCACGCTATTTTGTACCCCCGAGAAACAACGGTCTTTGTCTATTTGTACTAGGCTAGATTTTCGTGGCTAAGTCATAGCTGTGTGCTATCTCAAACAACTCTAAAGAGACAGATCAACATCAAGCGTCGCCACAATTTTATTTTCAAGAGGCTCAACGAAAGGTTGCAACGGGACTCATAGCTCCAGGACCTGTATGAGGGTGAAAATACTGCTCAATGAAACATGTCAGATAAGTCAAACATTAGAAACGACCAATTTATTTGTTTTTTGATTCAAGTGAAATGGGCGGTTTGCATGTGTGATGATAGAACTGGGTGGCACCCAGTGTAAGCCTTTGTGGGTTAAACAATTGGCCCATCAAAAGACGTAGGATAGTTTATAAAACATTGCCATGCAGCACCAATTTCTTAAAACTCGAACCTATCAAATATCACATACAGTTACGTGTACAGTACTCTACTTGCAGGGCGATTTTACTTTTGCCACATTCCCCAGGCGAAAACAGACACAGACTAAGGAGGAATATTTCTCCGCTCACCGATTCTATCATCAGGAGTAACCTGGCCGCTGAGCAATTCATTCAAAATTCTTGAGTCAGGTCAACTACAGGATGGATCGAAATCAGTTTTACCACCTACATAGAGAGATTCTTTCTCGAACACTCTTTCGAAACATGCTAATTCATTTCGGATTTGGCGCGACGTCAGGTATTGAATGGTGGTGAAAGATACAATCACGTTCTTGCCAAGAATACTGACATCTCGCAGCTCATCCAAAATTGTTCCTAATAATCGTAATAAAAGATCTCACCCCACACATAGTCATGACCTGGATACGATATTACAACTATGCAGTTGCAATTCCAGCTTTGTCATTCAGAGCAATAATTGGATTAGCATGGATAGTCATGTGCTAGAGCAATGTGTTAGAATGTCCAATACTTTGGGTTACAAAGTACAGAGCTTACGTCGGTCAAACTCGATTGAGAATCAAAATAATTCCGACAGGCGACACACATATGATGCTTTTTTATATCGTGCTGAACAAGTCCATCGGGCCTGTCAAATTGAATGTCGCAGGAGATACAGATGTTGTGCTCAGCTCCCAAATGTTCGTCAAGCTCAACCAGCTTCTCGAACTCCAATGGTGGAACACAAACATGACAAAAATGGTAAAAATGAGAATTTTGGATATGCTGTAGCTTGGCGGGAAAGGACTCGAAGTTGACTCCGCAGCAAGTGCAATAATATTGTTGCAGACTCATTACTGTATTCAAGTTTTTTTTAGCGTTGTCTTTCAAGTCTTGTGCGTATCACGTACCAGATATTATAGCTGTAGACGACGGAGATAATCTTTGTTGCTCAAACCTAGGAAAACAGGGATTCACTGTCTCTGTGATAAGAGACTAGGCGCTCTCAAATGTGGCGGTGTGCAAAAGCAAGGAATTTCCCGGGGTACGGTTAAATAAGCCACGAATACAATCTCACGTAGGGCAAAGAGATGTTTGAAATAATTTGTGCGGGGCTCTCTCGATCGCCCAATAACCTCGTAAGCCCCGCCACAACAATCACTGTTTAGCACGTGATGGGCGCTGAAAATTACAGAGGCTTTACGAGTCTGATATATAACCTATGTTTAGCCGTTACGGCTGTATCAGATTACCGCCAAGAGAGTGGTTCAGGGGAAGACTAATTGCAATAGGTAGTGGCGTGTTTCGCGAAAGAGGGTTCGAGAAAGAAACTCTGTGTAAGTGGTGAAGCTGATTTCGATCCAATTCAATCATTTCCTGCTGTGCTAACAAGTTCACACCATATATGCCATTGACCTGACATGTTTGAGGATGGTATCGCAATTTACAAGGGCCCATGTACTCCAAGGTGGAGAAAGGAGTACCGGATATCCAATTATACCGACCCGCAATAGGTCCCTACTGTCCGGTGTGTCCTTACTGTCCGGTGTGTCCTTACTCTCCAGTGAGTCCCTACTCTCCAGTGAGTCCCTACTCTCCAGTGCGTCCCTACTCTCCAGTGCGTCCCTACTCTCCAGTGCGTCCCTACTCTCCAGTGCGTCCCTACTCTCCAGTGCGTCCCTACTCTCCAGTGCGTCCCTACTCTCCAGTGCGTCCCTACTCTCCAGTGCGTCCCTACTCTCCAGTGCGTCCCTACTCTCCAGTGCGTCCCTACTCTCCAGTATGTCCATACTCTCCTGTGTATACGATGACATAGGCAGCTACCGCTACGGATCATTCTTTGTTACCGTTACTGGGAATTTCAGAATGACTCGGTAGAGATTTATTAGTCAGCGCAATGCGGTCGGAAAAGTGCCCTGAATAGACTAGTGCGCTTTATGTGAGCTCTGAAACGAGTCGACATAGTGCAGTACTGTACAGTAACCCAAGCTCCTAGGGTGGTAACTTCTCGTTCCCATGAGCTATACAATTCGCTCCCGAGAGCTGTAAATCCTCTGGGAACTATTATTCCTACTCCTGGAAGTAAGTACTAGCGTGCCTGGGAACCATGCCATAGATCCTGGGGTTGAAGATGATCCTAGGAAGTGAGAATATCGCGGTATAGAATGTGAAATTTGGACCGAGTATTCAACAAGAGCAATAAAGATGAAATGAGGACAATAAGTGTGGGTAACAGAAAGAAGAGGTGTTTAATTGGGCAACATACAGTAGAGCGGACATAGTGGTGCAAAGACACCGTTGGAAGGATGAACATGATGGTCAACGGGTAAGCAAACTTTCAACCAGTGAACAATCGGTTGTCTCATAAATCTGAGGCCAAAGCAATGAACGTGTAAACAGATCCAATCATTTTCTTGTCAGACAGTGAAAGAAGTAGGGTGTTTATTGAATGTGATTGGCCAGGCTACAGACTCCACCCCAAGTCACGCGCATTCCCTAATACCTAGGCCCACCCCCAAGTCCCAGTCTATTGCAAGAATTTATTTCAACCTTCTAGCTATATGTTGTTAGTGAAGTCCGTGACCTGCCCAACTTGAAGCCACATTTCTCAGGCCTGAAATTTTGTCTGTTACGTAGTGGACCAATCATTTTTTCCGTACTGACTAATAGACGCATTATAAGTTATTGAATCTCACAACATATTGTTCATCTCCCCAATTTTCACGAGAGCTGGTCATCGATGATACGGGTTTATTTTAATATATAAAAACCGCATTGTCACGACGGTAAACTACACAGGTGATAAATCGGCCACATATGCCACCTCGATTCTTAGGATCATCGGAACGATAAGTAGCCGTTACTTACTTCAGACCCTACTGCGCGTAGTGAATCCTTGCTCATGAAGGATTAGTCCACTCTGGAACCACAGCTCATTGGGCTTTACGCTCAGTAACTTGAACTATCAAGAAAAGGGGGAAAGAAGAACAATCAATGGTTGCTTCATGTCGCTGACCGAATAGGCCAAACAAATCATTAAATGTCAAGGTTCTAGTTTGTGGAAGTACCGCCTTCGTCCAAAGTTTCATGTACTGTATATTATTCCAGTGTGTCTTTATCAACAAATTTCAGATCCTGATCAGTCACTATTTTTGGGGCTGGATAGTAGGAGTTCTAGATAGGTTAGTCGGCTTTTCGTGAGAGACATACTTAGAAGCATACCAATTGCGAGCTGAGAAAAGCCCAAAATCCCGAAGAATCCGCTGATAAGATGAAGACTTCGCCGGTTTCTCGAAGGCGTATGCCCACACAGACATCAGCATCGCACATCTTGCTATATTCGGCCGCTTTTCTCATAAGGCTTGATTTTCGACGGCCTTGTTTTTGGCGCTTGGACTTTCTGACAGTATTAGATCGAATGGGCGGGGAAGCCATGTGAAGAGACTCGTCCCTGTGAGAAAAGACTAAATGAAACCGGGACACTAAATAATTGCAGGTACAGGATTGACCAAGTGACACTTAGGAATTCTGAAGGCTACAGACACTTATTTGTACGGAAAAATGAATTCTCTCAGGTTCATGGGGTTTCTCGTTGAAAAGGAGTGCTGCGCTCCAGAAACCGTGGTCTTTAGAGTTTGTGGTCAACTAGGACGTGAAACAGTCCCCCGGCAGGTGAGGAGTTCACGGCAGGCAACAAATCTTGCGTTCAAACCCACGACCAAAGGTGGTCGAGGAATTCGTGCTCAAGAAACTGCGGTCTTGAGAGTTCATGACTTGCAAAAATCCGAAATGGTCATTCCAGCAGGTGATCAACGTAAAGTGCGCCAGGCGATTCATTATTACGTCTATTTCGACGCCTGATGCCGAGGGACGCATCAAGTCGAGGCCTGTTTACTATATAACAGAGAATTATGATCTTGAGGGTCAACAATAATTAAATAGTAAATGGCTGCTTGGGGAAGTTCGGTCATTTGTACAGCGTGATGGATGATAACATGTAACGGCATTTGGCAGTTGACTCAACGACCCTTTCCACACCAAATATCAACAGTATGAACGGATTATTACAGTATCGACTATACAATGATTAAAGGAAGTATGAGGGTCAACGGGCGAGAAATTGGTAGTCGGTGATTATACGGTTGTCTATGGTCGAAGACAATAAATGAACGGATTTAATTCTCGCTAGACACAGAGAAAGAAGTAGTGTGTTCATTGAATATTACTGGCCAGACAACAGTCTCCACTCCAAATGACGCGCATTTCCTTATACCCAGCCACCCCCCCCCTTCAGTGTGGTGCAAGAATTTATTTCCCCTGCTACCCAAGTGTTCGTGAGGCATCCACTCTTATGCCCATATTCTCAAGGCCTCACCTTCCTGTCCTGATTAGCATGTTGCTATTCATGTTGAGGGAATGAGAATACATTATGTCCCTCTCCGATCAGTGTCTTTGCACCATTTTTTGCGCATTTACCTGACCCTTTCCAGCTGTTACTCCCGGCATTTTTATTTGCATTTTCAATTTTGATGGCCCATGCTAGATCCACTTTCAATCTCGCGAGTGAGACCTCACGTTCCTAGGATCATCTTCAACCCCAGGATCTATGGCGTGGTTCCCAGGCACGCTATTACTTGCTTCCAGGAGTAGGAATAATAGTTCCCAGAGGACATACAGCTTCCGGGAGCGAACTGTATAGCTCCGGGGAACGAGAGGTCACCACCCTAGGAGCTTTAGTTACTGTACTATTTCCATGAATAAATTTGCACAAGGACGTAAGAAACAGTAACCTCCTCACGTTCAGAAGAACCGAGATACGCTATGCGGGTCCATGTTCTCCGCTTATCATGTATGCTACATATTGAACCCTGACAAAGAGGCGGAGAGCTCCCAGGTTTGCCTGCTCCTGGGAGCTCCATATGATGCCACTGAGGGCTAGTTTGATTGGCTTGTCAGATGTGCTGTTGGTTCCCACCTCCTCAGCAGTGTGCATCCTGGCCATATCTCCGCAACCCGCGGCAGCCTCAGTGATGCGACCATATTCAAGATGACACGTCATAGCTTGTGCATTGTGTATCTGCTTGCCATATACAGCGCGATTGATGACCGCAAAACACGTTGCAAAATACCCTGCTTGCATGCATGAACCGCATCACTGTTCCTTCCCCTCACCTGAGGCTCAGCTTGTTTGCCTTGAAATTGATGCTGCAGAGCCGACGTCCTCACGAGATGGCCACGAATATATAAACCTCATTCTGTAGAATAGATCTCAGGCTAAACGGGTTTTCAGCTTTTATATCCCCTCAAATAATCTATCAAAGCAACCCCTTGCTATGCCTCCCATTGATACTTCATCTTCGGATTCAAACAGCCATGCTACCCTACCTGTGGCCAATTCTGGTAGCCTCGAAGGATTTATCAAATATATGGGTATACTGGCGTCAAGCTCTGAGTCTCAATTTGCATCCAACATGCTCGATGAGATCACTCAACAGCGTGACAAGATTCAAGCTCAGGATCAAGAATTGAAAAGCCTCCGAAGGGAAATTCTTGATATCAAGGAGACAAAAAGAACCACGATTGAAGATATGTTTGCCGCCAACGAGAATGAAAAAGCAAAGCAGAGAGACTCCGCGACGCAGATCAAATCTCTTCGTGCTATTGTTAACGAGAAGGAAAGTATGGTTGCCGAATACTCTGAGAATGCAGGAGCCATGCAGCAGAAAATAGCAAAGTTAGAATCGATTGTCTCGCAGGAGGTTGCTAAAGTCTCACAATCCGCCAAAGACATCAGTACACTTCAAGCGAATTTGAAAGAGAAAGACAAGACGGTAGATCAAATGAAGACAGCGGGATCGAAATTGAAATCGATGTTATCGTCGGAGCAGAAGAAGAACGGAGATCTAGAAGCTGCTAATGCCTCAGTGAACACAGAGCTGCAGACAGCGAAGGCTTCTCTCCAAAGGTTGAAAGAAATACCTGTTCAATCTTCGGAAATTGATGAAACTTTCGTGTAAGTCGTGCAAAAGAGTTGCAAGTATCTGTGCATTGAATGTTCTTGCGTCAACAGGTCAACGAAATTCGCGAGCCTTTGGACCTCTGCTATAAGCGAGTTATCGCCATTGCTAGAGCAAGATGTTCCAGAAGTTATTTTAAAGGTTCGATCTCAAGCATCTTTCTTCACGTTCATTACTAATACGACCAAAAGGAGAGATCCTTCTGGGAGAATCTTAAGAAGTCAGACAACATACTCTTACCACCAAGTTTTCCTCTGATTCCTTCAAATTCCTTGGCTGCCAAAGCGGTACGGTTTGCGTTGATCCTGGCTGTTTTGTTCAGAGAGATCGACCAACGCATATACAAACCGAGCTATTTTATTTCAGGGAGTAGTAGTCTTCGCGAGGCTCTCGATCATCTTACAGAGAGTAATAGCGAGAAGGAAGCGTTTTGCCGTCGCGTAATTCTCTCCATTAATCCACACGCTGAACAAGTGACTCTCAAAGCCGAGATTCGAGCTGTGGTCCAGAGAATGTCATCATATGCGGGTGGCCTATTTCCTGAAGCGCAGCAAGATTTGTTTGGTGCAAAAGTCAAGACAATAGTTCATAACGCGGCCGAACTTTGGCTTCCAATTCAGCGATCGCAAAAGAAGTTCGAGATAGACTTCGAGCCTTTTGATCCGGAGGACAATGAATGGGATCGCTTTCCTTCTGCTGGTCAGATTACAACACAGGTGGAACAAGACTCTCATGGTCTTTACACTCTTAATGTCTTTCCGTGTATCTCTTTGGTGGAAGACGGCGACCACGATCCATTGACGAAGATTGTTCAACTCCGCAGTTCCCAGGAATTATACTTGGCAGCGCAGCATGAAGCCACCCAATTGGGAGCCTCTATCATCACCAGAAGGCAATCAACCCGCCCCAGGAGGCAATCGGCTGCTGGTTCAAATGGAAAGTCTTTTTTAGGTGGAAATTCAACCAAGAGCTGACTGGTAGGTTTTGGAAAAGGGCTTGGAAGCATTAACTGCTCTGAAGACCGAAAGATAGTATAATGAAAATGACGGTGGAATTTGAGAATCATCCGCAATGTTACTCCTTTGGTTATACTGTACTCTTCCCACAGTTTGCATTCCCTAGTATATAATGATATCAATAGTAGTCTTCAGCAGTGTATTCGCGAAAAGTCGCAATTATCTTGGCAGATATTCGGCTGCAAAAGAAACACGTGGGCATTAAAGCACCAACGGGCTGAGACACACTGGTGACAAGTCGAGGCATGTGTTATAGCGATACTCTACCGATATAACCGTGGCTTGCAGATGGTGGTTCTCAGACAGAAAGCTACGCTGTCCCAGTGAGGGTTGATTTCATTGACTTATCAGCTTGCTGTGGGAGCGGGTCTCTGCAGTGGCTTCCCTTCCATTGGGTGACAACATAACAGTGCTGCGGAAGCTAAACCGTGACTGAAAGCAGAGCTTGAGCCTAGCCGATCGCTATAAAGAGGAAAAATCATATTGGAGGAAATCTGTGGTCTCCCTGCTATCCTATTATTGAATTGAACAACATCGCTGCCTGGGAGCCTGAGGGCCTCATAGTATTTATTGACTTATTTTATTGGTTCGTTCTTACTCCTTTCTCCACTTTGGAGTAACCAGGCTACCCACACTCGGAGGTGACTTGAGGCCGCCGATAGTTCTGGAACTTGAGCCTTGGAGTTTTGGGGGGCTATTATAGCCCCCATACCTGAGTTCTGGATCTTTTAGGGTCAATTCAGTCCCGGAACTTGAGCCACAGAGCTCGATCACCCAGAATTAGTTATCAATTAATGTAATTCTATTTGGCTTTAGTTACTGTACTATTTCTATGAATGAAATTGTACAACCATGAGCTAGAAATCCAAGCATTTATCCGAAATTACTTGATGCACAGTCCTTGGTGACTGTGGTCGGATGATTGGCGTCTCTGAAGGTCATGGCTCACAGGGCCTACGTTTAGTGTCATGGAATTGTAGCTGAAATTCTGCAGCCTTAGGCACCAGCCTGAGAGCATGTGATCTGGGGCCATGGGTCAAGGGGGCTTTCAGTCTGCCAATTGGCGTCCGTAGCTGCCTGAGGTCTCCAGAATTTTACTCCATATATGTTTAAAATTTTGACTTCTCCTACAGCTCCTCCTACAGCTCAGGGTTTATCGTTCCCGGGAATCGAAGACTGCGTTCCTCTCGGAATATCTAGGGAAAGGGTCTCGTCGACGGATTTTGCGTGAAAATACAGCTGGATGTACATTACATGACATCGATCGATATATTGCTACATGCTTAAAATATGTAGGTCTGTTGTAGCGACCGCGCCAAGTTCTTACAGTATACAATAATACTGTATGTATGCTCCAAGAGAATGGGAGGTCTATAATAATGATTACAGGAAGGGAGCGGAACGGAGAAGAGATTCACATGACGAATATGCTCCTGATTGGTTCCTGGTCTTCGGTCTGTTCTCACAGAGCTAATTTCGTCTCAAGAGGATTCTCTCAAGAGCCATTTCATCTTAGAAGAAAGCTTCTGGTTCCTGCGTCCCAAGCGTCATCCCTTTTTGAGACGCTCGATCTGGAATGACCTTATTGTCAATATCTTCTTGGCACCTTATCTACGAGAGGCTCTACATAGGCCAACGATAGACACAGATGATCTTTTCCATTCCGTCCAAACTCTTGGAAGGTTTCGTTTGGGTCTACATCGCTCCTGTCTGTCAACCACTCTTGTTTTGGGCCACATATGTCCATATCAGATTTGAAAGGGTATTCATAACCGCCGCCTACGATGATGTGTAATTCTATTCTTGATGATTTCTTCACGATAGTCGATCTCTGACTGCTCAGCGGCCAAGTTGACGATAATAGGATCCGTGGCCGGGGAAATCTTGCTTTTGCCTGAGGAACATGAATTCGTCATGTGCCGTCCCCAGGAACACAAAATGACACAGGATCAAAGGTAAGAGAGGCCAGGAACGGTCTGGCTCGCTCTCAGGGATGATGGGTACGGTTATTGGAGGACATTTAGCTCCCAGAAGCCGACAGCATAGATCTTAAAAGCGATTATTGATCCAGAAAGTGTACTGTATGCCACATCATGCATTGTGCATCATGCAGGTGATCTGATCAGAAGCACGTAAAGGGTGCGTGAATCCCTGTAGTCTACATTGGTGCCTGTTGAAGGAGGCTACCTCAGGCTTGATACGAGGCAAAGAGAGGTGCGACAATCTTGTCGGAGCGGGGAAAAGAATTCTCGCTGGTAGTTTGGGGGGTCGCAAGGTATTAGATGATGCACGGACATCAGAACAAGTGGAGACAAATAAGCCAATAAAATATAATAAACAACAACACCCTCCCTTTTCTGCGAAGGTGGTGATCAACTAAACAACTAAATTTCTTAGAACAAGTAAATCACTTTCACTACCGTCAACAACCTGACTCCCTACCAATCAATGGATTTCGAGTTCATCGTGTGCAATGGTCAACCCACGTCCAGCATCAACCAACCCATCCAAATTCATCAATCACATTTCTTGAAGGCCTCCGTTTCCTCACTCTGATATGACGAGAACGTTGATTCGGCCTCTCAAATCTTCAACACCGCCGCAGTTAGTTGCCATTCCCTTTCTTGTTCTGGTCTAAACTCGGCCAGCTTCCTGATTCACCTACGATATGCTGGTTTAAGAATCATCGCTCCTAGGATCGTAGTCACGGCATCTGGGAGCTTAATATCCTCTAGGAATCGTACCTGTCACTCCTGGGAGCGAGACAGATCGTTCCTGGGCTCTCTACCTTGGATCCTGGAGCCCACTCGTCCGTTCACAGGAGTCTCTAGTCTTCTGGCACTGTGTTTATGCTTCCCAGGATGCACTCTCATCGTACAGAGGAATTCTACAGGGGCAAGATGATCCAAGAAGTACATCCGTATATAACTAGAAGGTGGGCAAAGGCAGGAGCAGAGAAGACTCGCTCTTACCTCGTGGCTGATGTGATTAGCTTCTTTCGTAGCATCGTTCAGACCACCGCTGCACTTGAGTTCACTAGATACTGTATGCATGCAATGACTCGCATTCTCTACAGTACCTGGAGGACAGTGCATGAATCACTTTTCACCGTTTTTTGCGCCCTCAGTTTTGAACATTCCGAATAATGTTGCTGCTTCACCGCCCACCATTTTCCTGTCCCGCTGACCTTCAGTTGAACTCACAACTAAAACGACCGGTGCAAATAATCTCAATTCAGTGATAAACATTTGGTCCAATCAACGGAGTATCAACATTATCTATAACTCGCAAAAATCGGGGGTGGAGGGCTATACCGAGGGAGGGAGATCTCGGAATATTAGTTCGGCCGAAAGCCGATGTGGTATGAATTGGCCTATCTCAAACACTAAGAGTGCCACTAGTTCAAATTAGGTGTCTAGAGAAAGAACAATTTGTTGTTGAGCCAATAATGAACTCACCTGTGGTGAAGCCATATGGACAATGCTTCGAGCTTTGGAAATTTTAGTAGCGGTGAGTCAAGTTGTGTATTCTTAGTTGCGTTCAAGCTCAATTTGTTGTGGGAGAAGAACGTTGAAATATCTAGGTGGGAGTAGTAAAAATGAGGCAAGCAACGCGGTTCCTTCAACCCAGGGGTGTTCCACCATATTTCGATTGATGGAGAGGAAGGCCATTTCTGATCCGAGAAATCGACCCATCAGCTTTCTTCCCTTTTTGTGTTGGAAAGCTTGGCCGTCAACGCCCGCCTCAAGTTGAGGACTCAATCAAGGACTACCGCAATGCAGTAAGGACTTTCGCCTATAAATACCTCGCACGATGTCGGGTCCTCTAGGTAAGGAATCGGGGAGAACCATCGTCAAGCAAGCCCTACCTACAAATACCTCGTCACACGTCGGCTCTCATAGCATTCTTTAAGAAACCACCGTCGCAGATTTTGTCAGTGAATTATACAGCAGAGCATATTCATGATGAGAGATTCGGGTGCCCAGACAGGGAAGGTACAGACAGGAAAGGTACAGACAGGAAAGGTACGTCTCTTTGCTTTCCATGAGGCTCGTTAGCGAGTGACTGCGTGACGTCTAATTTCCAAAACTCAGAGTATACCGAAGCGTGTTCCGCTGAACAGAGGGTTCTTATTGAAGAACGGAAAACGGGGTCTCGCGAGTATTGTAATCGAGATCATGACCTCGCAACGGTGACTGTACTTGCTAAGGAATTTGAAAGACTGAATTTTTTATCTACTAACGAGACCGGTCTAGGTAATCCGAAACCGTCGAGTCGACGTATATTCCAGAAATCAAAAAGACTTTAAACGTCAAGGGGGCCAGACCGTGTTGGTGCCTTTGGTGCCTGAGGCATAGTAACATCTTGGACGCATTCCGCCCTGACGGGACACTCCCCGGCGCCAGACAGCGAACCCCTACTATGTTGACTTAGATTTGCATCACTCGACTATCCGGTGAATACTGATTTCAACAAGCGATGGAAGATACAATCGCAGAGCTGCGTTGACAGCTTGAGGAGAAGAGACAGGCGCGAGCACAAGCAGAGCGCCGTGAGGAGGAAGAGACGTGATGTGTGATTAGTCCTATCTCACTCCATTCTCCACCTTGCAGTAGCATAACATGAACCCCAGGCCGTTTCAATCGAAAGCTCCTGAATACTTTCTTTATGCAGGGAACTAGGAACTTTCCGATTACACAGACATCGATGCACACCACTATGGATGAAGCTGTCCGAATGTTGACAGGCTGGCAACATCCACTTCTGGACAAATGCAAAACGATGAACTCAACTCGCAGTTGGTGATCACTGGCTAATTCCTGGTCCAGTCTCCTTGACCGAACATATTGTATGTATGGACTCAACTTTCATGATGTTTGATATTAACGATTTGGTCAAATATAGACCCTCTTTCTCTAGTGTAACCCCGAACCCTTGTTGATAAATTCATGTGTCTTATTTTCTTTTCCTTAATGCCTAGGGATATGGGATTCTTTCTTATTGACCATTTTATTGCTGGAATTGCAGAAAGAAATGCGCGTTTATTGGAAGCTACCGCGTAGATCAATTGACATCTTGTCTTTGACCCATTCAGCAGCTTTCTTTACGGCCATATCGGGGTCATCCTTGAAATCTAGGAGGTAACTTTGGATTTCAGCTGCTGTGAACTGATCATCTGGGACCAGCTCGGCAAATTTGACAGACAGGTCCCGAATTGACTGGTTTGACATGGCTCTAGCCGGACGATCCAGCTTCTTGGCTGGAAGACTCGACGTGAACCCAGCAGATTCCCCATCGATAAAAGGTGTATAGACGAGTGAAAAGATACTGTTGACACCGATTTTATCCGCACATCCAAAGTAGTACTTCTTATCCACTCGGCCAGGGCGAGTCAAAGCAGCGTCAAGTTTGTTTGGGTGATTGGTTGTCATGATGAGAATCCGACCCTCCTGTGCTCCGACACCATCAAGACAATTCAAAAGGGCCGATAGTGAGACACCACTATGAACGGCATTCCGGTCCTCCGAGAAGCCCGTCACTTGGTCGCTTTCGCTGACTTCACGGATAGGTTGAACAATTCCTGCGTTATCGACATCCTCGAGGAGTATTATGCAGCGACTTGGCAGGTCTTGGAAAAGTTTAGACAGACTGTCTTCGTCGACTTTGGATTTATTCAGGCTGATGGTATAAATATCCAAACAGAGAAGGCCAGCAATCACAAAACACATGCTGGACTTCCCCGTTCCAGGGGGGCCATGGAACAAATAACCGCGCCGGTATGGTATTCCGCATGACGTATACCAGGCTTTTGTCTTTGGACTGAGGAAGCTTTCAATATCAGCAAGGATCTCGCTTTTGGTATCTGGAGCGAGAGCTAAGGTTGAAAGCGGACGCGGAGGCTTTGAGGAACTCAAGGCCCAACGGAGCATATTTTGCAACTTCAGGCCGCGATAAATTGCTACTCGATTGCCTTTGCGTTTGAGATACGCTTCCTGCGCTTCTTCCAGCAACTCAATCAAAATTCGCTTTCCCCAAGCATAAATAGTGACTGTCTCAGCGTCCATAAGCCAAGTATTGCTGAGACTCGGACGAGGACTGCGATAGAGGCCAATTAAATGGCCCCGATAACGGAAGACATGAAGCTGACTTTGCCCAGGGGTGCAGCTAATAGGCTGGAATCCACCCTTCTTTCTCTGGCTCTGCCAGAACAATTTCTTGTCCTTGTCAAACCTCCGCTGCTCCTCAGCAGGGTCTTCGTCCTGACTTTCTTCATCTGTGTCGTCTTCTTTCCATGGTGGGGTGAAGTTCGACTTTGTCACAGCAACACACTGTCGACACTTCTTCAATTGGACATTTTCCGCCGCCCATTTGATAAGAGGATCATGGAGCGAGCTTTCGAACTTGATATCGACGGATGCGGCAAAATACAAAATTAGTTGCTGCAAGCTGTGATAAAGCTGAGGAACAGCGAATTTGAAAAAGGCGGAGAGCAGAGTGAATAAAAGAATGTAACTAGAGCAAGTTGACACATCAACACGAGAATACAGAGACAGAATTCGAGTGAAGATGGATAAGCCGGGGATCAATAACTCGAGTGCCGATGGCAGCATCTCCGACAGGGTTTCGCTTGAATGGGCGGCCATTATTTTCAAAGAAATCAGAAGAAATACTTTAGTATCGACATAGTGAGGACAGGTCGGTGTATTTATATTAGTTTACTAGCTATGGATTTTTCTGATTGAAAGTAACATTTGATTGATCTGTCAGTTCTAAATAGGTCCCATTGCATCCTCACTTACATTGGACGATTTTTTTGGGTGTTCCAAGCTACCAGCTATAGACAGTGGAAGAGCCATCGATAATTATCTACGTATGACCCTAGGCGCCTCATTTTTATGCCATACATTTTGGAGCTGAACGATTGATTGTCCGCTACATCTCGCTTCCAAATGTACCTGTATCGAACGAACACTACCCATAAAATAATGAGAGGCTAACTGACAACTTTCTTTGCCTATCAGATAGTACATTACATTACAGAAGGAGCCTTGGCTACTAAAAGAGATCGGAAATAAAGGATCCAGAAGGGGACTGAATGGAAGCCCAGTACCCTAACTAGTATTCGGCACCCTCTTCAAGGGCAACCTTCTTTCCACCGTGTGATTGAGGAGCGGAGAAATCGGTGTATCCCGTTCTCATAATCCTGCCTTTGACAAATCGAATGTTTCCAGGGATGCGAGGGAGCATAATGATTTGGCTATCCATGTTGTCGTCTGATTGCATAGATTCCGTCTGTAATATGTCTGCTGAAAGGTTGCAGAGTGAGAAAACAATATCAAATGTTTCACGCTTTTTAGGAAAGGCTCACTATGACAGTCTTCAATTGAACTGATTTTTGACGGTTCTCCCGTCTCCATTGGCTTTGGACTGTAAATTGGTGGTGGCCTTCCGAGGCTAGATGCAGGTTTGGTAATTTCGGGCTCATATACCGCAGGTTCATTCAGAGCATAGGGACTGACAGCATTGGGAATTGTTTGCTCTAGGTTCTCGTCTATCTTTTGCTCTATTGTCGGTTTCCAAAACGCCTGCAGGCAGTTTGGTAGAAGCAATCGAAGCGAGACAGAAGATAAGCGAAGCATGAGGCGAATTTGTCAAAGAAATACAAATTGTGTATACGAGTATGTCGTAAAAGCATCATAAAGGGGTTTCAAACTTAAGCAGGGGTTTCTTTATTCGAAGCAGGTGGTTATAAAGGGTCTATTTCTACTCCCAAGATGGCCTTTGATCGCACATCGTCATGAACCTAACATCCAATCATGGTGAGTACACGCCCATCTCTCTGGTGACGATGGTACGCTCACATCAGAAGCCCGCCCCAATTCCCGATGAAATCCTGTATAGGCCGGCAAAAATTGCTTTGAAGGCAATGCTCTTTCTGAGAATTGCAACTCCGCCACCCTTGGAATTGAGGCACTCGGAAAACCTTAGCGAAGATGCTAGAAAGTTGCTAGCTGGCTGCAACACTTTGAGAAGCAAAAGATCCCAGGAACCCTGTTTCGATGAGAGAATTTCTCTCGAAAATGACGTATGCGTCTACGTGGGGGATATATTACCCGGTCTCAGTTATGGTACTGTTCTAATGCTAGCGCTTATGACTTGGCATTTTGATGCTTCATCTTCTGAAGCATCTCAGGACTTGATTGATTTCTTGAGTTGGCCTTACAACAGTGAAGTGAAGAGAATACTGGAGGGTCGATATCGGAGCATGATGTGTGAAACGGGCCCTCCAAACTTCGACTTTTTACTTGTCCTGAATTGAGCCCCATCTAGTGATCAGTGCGAGTGAAAACTGAAATGAATTATATCTGATTTGCTCAACAGTAACCGAGCTTTCCGAGGCGGTAACAAATGTCTTCGAGACGTTCCTCGTACCAATTCCTTAAGATGTTGTGGACCTCATATCCGAGAACCTTTGCAAGATTGCACCGTTTTGCATATTCCTGCAGGTATTTGGAATGCAGGCGCTGGTAACAAAGAGCTTTCTTTGAGTCAAGACCTACTGCCGGTTGTTGCAAGATAATCGGATCATCGCTGCTCAGAGGAACAAATTTCGTAATCCCATACTTCCCAAAGACCCGTGAAATGCCAGCTTCAATCACCGCAAGGTCCACTAGGAATGGCTCCTTCGTGATGCCATGGTCATCCTGGGCTTGATACTGAGCGCCAAGCTCTTGAAGAGCAACGGCGTCCAAAACCACATCATTGAGACCCTTTCTTTTAATGTCTTCCATGGGTTGAAGACCATTGGGAGAAAACCAAACTCGCACGGTCTTGTTTGGTTAGAGTTTGATTTCAACGATGAGAAAAGGGTAACACACGTGCAAACGAATCGGCTGTGAGTCTCTGGTAGAAACATTAGAGCCTGAACCAGCAGAAATTTTAGGCTGCTCTTTCGGCATATCTGCTCCCAAAAGATCACTTGACGAATCTCGGTCGGGGTCTGGACCTCCGAACATAACTGTCTCGCGTGGGTTTCTTGGAGAGAAAAGGCGGGTCATGCAATCTGAAAGCAAACGACAAAGTTTCTGTATGGTCATACAGACCATAGTGCCACTGTCACTGAGGTCCCAATTCGGGATTTAGTTGAATCTGAGGGAACAGCAGTGTCTTTATATCATGGTCCCATTTTTGTCATTTTTCCATATGTCAATAGTAGCAAATCAATTAGCGACAGACAGCCAAAGTAAGGTATAATTGCCAAAAGCGTCTCATTTTCCGATGAAAGAGCCTTGAAAGTTTCCAGTGACTAAAGAAAACTTACGCTCAGAGTCTTCAAAATCAATCGCATCAAAAATTTCGGGTGTTTCTTTCTTGAGAAAGCCATGCCATTTATTTGGTGCCCAATATTCTTCTCGTAATGATAAAAATAATCACGTGATCGACTTCTACCGGAGGGGTCAGCAAACCCCGCCATTTACCTTCATACATCCCACCTTGCTTTCTTCTCGCCTCGCTCGAGCTTCAGATCCACCCACCGCACCAAGTTGCCTTGAGACAAAAACTGTGGCTTTGCACCCAATGCGAAAATACCATGTCGCAACAGACGCCGGACAAAACACATCTCTGGGAGGACGACCTGACCGAAAGTGCGGACAAAGAACGCAAGAGTCTCGCGGAATGGGCTACTTCCGTTTCTTTCAAGCAACAAGCGGAGGATTTTGAGATTTATGATTCGGACGATTTAAGCACCAGGGTTGAGCCTTTTCTGCGAGAGCTGGGATTACTTGGCAAGGTAGACTGTTTGCTCGAAGTTAGAGAACATGGCTAATATAACTAGGGATTTTCATTGGTACAAATACCCGGACCCAAGTCCTCTTCGTTTCGGCACGGTGCAGGTGATGCATACATAATTCCAGTCCAATTACTGGACGGTACCCCGACCGTCTCAGGGAAGCCCCTCCAAGAAGGCAAAATAATATACATGAAGGCAAAACGGGAAGTAAGAATCGAAGCCAAAGTGCGCTTGCTCTTTGTATTGCTATGAAAGATGCTGCCATTCACCGGATTTGAAAACATGCCCATAGGGCTTTGATCTTGCATGATGAGACCGGTGGATTGCAAACCCCTCACAACCATGGCGTGGATGGAACTCACAGTGGACGGTGCAATTGGGATCTAGACTGGCGCTAACATCGGGTTGTGGAATCTTCGCCCAAATGAATGTCGAAAGGGAGGCTAGATCATGCGCGTGGTATTTGAATCCAAAGGGAGTTGAGAAAGCGTATTCTGTATATCAAATTGAAACCCTGAATGTGGTGCCGATCCAAACAAAGAATTGGATGTGGTCGTGACCGGGTTTGTGGAAATCGAAGCCAGCTCGTGGGGAATAATATCTGGAAATGAAAGTCCAGTGTAATTGTGTATAATATGATTTGGAATCGTGGAAAATTCAGCCAATTCGTGAGTAGCTGTGCTTTGATCTGATACGGAGCTTGGCTCCTCGAACCGGACCGTAGAAAACGGGACATTTTCATGTTGCTTTCGGGTATCGTGGACATTTTGAGGAATGGTTGAGAATGAAGAAAGTTCGTGAGGGCTCATTATTGGAAAGACTGAGCCATGAGATTGGAAGCCTTGTGCATGGGCTTCTGAGGAACTAGGGTTATTCTGGGTAGAGGCAAAGGTGTCTGCCTCTCTAGCCGTCACAATAGGATGCGTGAGATTGTTTTGAACTTGAACCTCCTGCATAGATCTTCCTGGATTTCGCGAAATCAATTGGAAGTCAGAACTTATGTGCTCGAACCACACCGAGATGTCCTTGGCTGCATCCTCGAAGACTCTTTCTTTTTCCCCCACCAGAAGTGCAACAAATTGTGGCAAATCTGCGGGTTTCAAGCTTTGAAATTGGCCGTATTCAAATATTGTGACCATCGCGACTACCCCCTCGACAGCTGCGTGACCATCTTGATCCTTCAAGGCGTCATTCGTGAGTCTTTCGAATAACAATTGATTTACACCCCTGCTGATTCCTTTTTTCAGCACGTTGTGATCTGATTCTGGATAGCCATATTCTCTGATATACCGGGCTATCTTGCCGGAACGATTGTTTCCGATATCTTGGTATTTGGCATTTGTGGAAGCTTGTTGAAGCTTGTCATATAGTTCGTCGATCTTGGGCCTCCATCCCCATTTGCGCTCCCACGCGGTGAATTGTTTAGCAAGTGAAATCTGACTCAGACCTTTCAAAAGCTTCTGCTCATTGTTTGGAGTTTTGTTGCCATCCACCTGCTTCAGATGGTCGACTCTCTTATCTCGATATTGAGTTTCTTGCTCGTCATGTAAGATCTCGGACAAGGATACTTTTTGCTTTGAGAACTTTAAAATATCAGAGCGCCGTTCTTTCAATTTCTGAAAAAGTTGGACGGAATGGCTTTTTTCGACTGTCTCTCTCTTTCGCTTCCGAGAAATATCGTGACCGGGTTTGATAGAAGAGGTAATGATGGGACACAGGAGACTTAACGGGTTCTCAGCCTCAATATGCTGTGATGAACGATTTGTTGCTGAAGACAGGTGGCTCGTTTCAGCATCAGCAATGGACTCTGGTGGTGAACGGGCAATGCCGCGTTCAAAAGCATTGATAACAGTATCGATATTCGCTGAAGTGTCAAGAATCTTCACAATATGCCGTATCGTTTTGGTTGCCAGCTCACGATGAGTCTGAATGATACCACTAGGAGTACTGCACAGAAGATTGAAAGCCGACAGAACTTCGTTTTCTTTTGAAAGCATGATTTAGATTTATTTGTGAACTCCATGGTGCGGATGCTCCTGTAATAAGGTCTAAAAGCGGGGAAAGCACAATCAGTACGCAAGAGGCAGACCACTTATAGCGCAGCTTCTGGGCCGTATGGCCCAGAAGCTGCGCTATAAGTGGTCGGATCTCCTTTGCCAAACTACCCCCACCCGGCTAGACCGTAATAAATATTGGGGCTAGCGCCTAACTGATTGAAATCCCCAAGACGCGCTCATTAGTAGGGTTAGGCGTTCACAGCATTGTTGTATCTCCTCAGTAATCCGTGAATTGGCTTTCACACTTACATTAGTTCATATGCAGCCCAAAAAATCCGATATTGCTACGTATCAGTGTATTGTTGACATCCAACACTCACTCGAGCTGCGGATGATCGCAATTACTGCATCTAGACTGCACCTACAATGAAATGGTAGATAGATCGCTCGAAACGTCCAGTCCAAATCGAGGTGGAGGCATTGTGTCTTTGTAGGAACACCTATCTGCAGGTCAGCCGCTGGCGAAAAATAAGAAACATCTTGGTGTTTACAAGCACGTCCATAAGCCGTATATCTCTTTATTGTTTTGAACCTTACAAATATTATGTAGAAGACAGCTCAGCCTCATCGGCTAAGCTGTACATGCCTTTTAACTGCTGTTGTTCGCAGAGTATCATGGATTGTAGTCATGTCTGTGGCTTGGACGCTAATGCGGCAAGGTGAGACTGTGTGCCCGGGTACACAACTCCCATCGTCAGCTGAAATGAAGCGTCAATCGAAGGTATCTTATTTGTCCGAATCTAGATGGTCACTAGTCCCTTTCCTGCCAATGAAACCGCGCTAGTCGCAGCTAATACATCAATCAAAGAGCGAGGGCCAAGTACAATGCTCGGTTGGCATTGTTTGGGTATTTATTACACCTTAATATTGGAAGAACTTCCTGTCAGGGCCCCGCATGCACCAGGACCACTCATTGGCCAGTACCTAGACGAACCTTGCAAGAACCAACCAACAAACACCTGGGCCAAAAGGCTGTTCGTTTTCTTGATGCATCACCTAGGTTGCGCTGTTTGTTATATAAAGAGCATAGTCCTGTGCTGCTTCATCCTTGAAGTTCATCATTGCTCCAGCATATTCTATTTACGGCCATCTGCTTAGCAAAGCCACAGCCCAAATCATGTCTCGCGCTTTCTCGACCGCTGCCCGTAGCCTTCTCAGGATCATCTGGAAAGGATCCGAAGCGATTCCGAAGTATGACGAGATGATCAAAGAGAAAATTCAAAGCAACCCAAAGCTCAATGGAAGAGCTGAGAGAGTCGAACTAGCGTTGGTTTTACTAGCTGTGCAGATCAAGACAAAGTACTGATAATTTCTAGTGGTACGGAGCATGTTTCGAATAAAGACAGCAAGTTACGGGTGTCCGGACAGATATATACTGAGGATGGAGCTCGTCTCACTTCGGGTCATTGGTATCATGATGGTCAAGTGAGCTATTCAAAGGAGCCATATAATGAGACAAAATAAGGAATATATGTTCATGTGATGGAACAAACAGATCTGATCTGTACGAATGGACTTAGGTCCCGATCAAAGAATCTGTCTATTAGTCCTTCTCCTCTCTGGCCAATGATACACGTGTTCTTCCTTGCTGCGAGCGTCTTCGTATGCGTCGAGGATTCTCTTTGATTATACATATCGTGTGATGGACCTAGAAGTGATACTCGTTAACTAAGGAATAAAACTTAGAAGTAAATATTATGTTGCATTGGTTTTCCGGCCGATATAGCCTGACGTAATTGTCTACTTATGTGTTTTAGATATTAAAATCCCCCGTAAACTCACGGGGATGACCCAACGTGTTGGAAAGATGGGCGCCCAGCAATCCCAATAGCCAAATAGTCTAAGCTATCTACAAAGCACACAATGCTAGTGAGTAGGGATCTAGTCGAGTCTCATTCCGAAATGGAAGCATATTTTGACGAAAATACTGATACATGAAAAATGGAGGAAAGAGAGGAAGAAAGAAGATACGAACAAAAGATCTGGGTAATGAACACAGTCGTCGCAAATTCGAGGAAGCCTACTTAGATTAAACCACGCAAGAGTGATAAAGTATCAGAAACGCAAGCAGTCAATTAATTAGTCGGCGCTGAATATTCCGTCGGTTTCTGCCGTTACTTACCGTAAATAGGATCCACATGGGGTACTTATTTAATCCCTTATCCAAGACATTATGGCCATCTCGACTTTCCCCGGCCAGACATGACGCTCAAATCGACATCTTTGAAAATGTCTCCTCTTGGATGGTTGCGCTCTACTCCATCCAAATCCCGACCTATCCCTGCCAGCGTCCTCCGGGCTTCTCAATGTGTTGAAGAGGAGCGTGCGCCTCATTATAACCCTAAGCACTTTTATCCCATGCGACTCCACGAGATACTTGCGGACAGATATCAAGTGGCTGTGAAACTTGGGTGGGGAACCAGCTCTACTGTCTGGCTGGCTAGAGATCTTCATCAGTAAGTCTTACTTCAACACGGCATGTCTTTGCTCTAACCTTCAAGGTGGCGCTGGCTTCCTCCACGTTATGTTGCGATAAAGGTCAATGCAAACAACTATTTATCAGACGAATGCGCCCGAAAGGAGTTACGAATCACGGAGCGTATAACCCAAGCAAACCCGGCCAACGAAGGCCGGTATTTTGTTCGCACTCTACTTGACTCATTCGAGTTATCAGGTCCTGACGGCAACCATATCTGCATGGTCTTTGATCCCCTATATGAGCCTCTGTGGATGTTAAAAAGGCGCTTCCAGGGAGACACTCTTCCTCCCGATATTCTAAAAACTATCGTTCAGTTGGTTACTATGGGCCTTCACTATCTTCACACCGAAGCTCATATCATCCATACAGGTCAGAATAATAACCAGAAATCCCGTTGCTTCAATTTCTAACATTTACTAGATCTGAAGTCCGATAATATTCTTATGGCTCTTCGAGACCCTTCTATACTCGACGCGGTTGTTCACGATGAAATCGAGAATCCACTGCCTCAGAAAAATGTCAAAGATCGGACGATATATCTGTCGCGGAATAACTTTGGCTTACAAGTGGATAATCTAGGGAGGCCAGTGATCACGGATTTTGGGCTTTCTGTTGAAGGAGATCAGGGACCTTATAATCACCCTATTCAGCCTAATGGATTTCGAGCCCCAGAGGTTATCATCGGAGCAAACTGGGACTACAGTACTGATATTTGGAATTTTGGCGCATTGGTGAGGTTCAATAAGTACCATTATTAGCATGCCTATATTAACAATATGATTAGATATGGGAGCTCCTTTGTGGGACCGGCCCTTTTGATTATTCGACATCATCCTCTGGTGCATCTTACAGCGAGGAAAAGCACTTAGCATCTATTATCTCCTTGATTGGGCCTCCGCCAGAGGATATGCTTAAACGCGGAAGTCAGAGTTCACGGTATTTCAACGGCAATGGTATTTCAATCACGATTTTCTCATCCCTCGAGTTAGTTGCTGATTACCCAACAGGTCAATTCAAATGTCCCGACCTTATTCCAAAAGCACGAGGACTGGAGCAAAAGCTTATGGTCATTGAGGGGGAAGAGAAGCGGTTGTTCTTGAAATTTATCTCGAGGCTACTGCAATGGCGTCCAGAGGATCGAGGAACTGCACAAGAGCTACTTTCTGATCCTTGGCTAAAACCTTAAAGATTCACCGGGAAAGACAGAGAAAAATGTATTTATATGTCAGGAAAAGTGGTTCTTCCATTGTAGTACGAGCTTGCTTGAGTTTTACATAAAACCCAAAATTTTTATTTACTTTTGAATCGCCCATTCTTTCTGCAGTAACCTCCCCTGATGAGAAAGGGATCCATTTCCGATGGAAAGGAGCGGGGCTTTGTTACGCCGGGGGCACCTCTTTGGTCGCATGAGGAGGTGGTTATTACAATTTATTTCCTGTCCCGACAAATTCGTCTTCAAACGCTCCATTATATTCTTTTACGTCGAGGCTACGACCGTCCAACCCGCGCTATTCAACTCATACTCGTCTCTATAATCCAGCAGCACCCCTATCTGCAGCGTTCTTAGGGACATTGGGATTTGGATGCATGCCGTTGATAGCTGGATTGACGACTAGCTTGGAGATCATGAATCAGTGAATATCCTAATTCGATTTTTACCAGAGGGCGCACAAGACCTATCACTTGTAAGCCATCCTGTTGAAATGAAATCTTAAGATTACTCTCTCCTGCTCAAAATAGAATTAACAGATTGAAGAACCTTTGGAACTGCTCGACTTTCGTCGTACGGAACCATAAAATATTATTCCAGATCTTGAACACAAAGGGTCAAAGACTGCCTCGAAGCCACCACTCTCGATCTCTTGGAAGTGCGACTCGCCGATGGAAAGGGGGATAGAGATCTAGATGTGTCAGGCCACAGCCGTAGCTGCAGAACGTGTAACCCTTCCGCTCTGACCTCGCTTGTGACTTCCAGTTCCTCGGCCCTTGAGCTTCGTACTATAGCGAACCTGAAGAGCACCTTTCGTCCTCCCTGGAAAATGCTTCACTATCCGATTCCACGGGAGGCTTCGCTTTTCCTTCAGTTCAATCAAGCGTGCGTCTTCATCGGGCAGGAAACGAGTAGCACGCAGTGATGGCTTTTTGTTGCTGAGCTGCATGGTATGCCGTGTCATTTCTGAGCTTTCCTCGCACGCGGGAGCTTTTGTTGGCCCATGCGGACAAGAAGGTTGCCTATCCTCCTCGAAGGTACACGAATAGATGACTCTTGACAGAACTGTCTGCCGGGTGAGAAAACCTCTGATGGGAATGGTTTGCATGTCCTGCAAGCGGGTGCCGGGACGTGGATTTGAAATTTCCTCTTCTGGAGCGGGCGAGGAAAACACACGATACGGGCTGTCACGTCGAGCCTGAGCGGGCTGGATCTTCGTTGCAACAGTTCGTCTCGGTCTCTTCGTTTGACGTGGCAACCTGGCGATGCCACCAACACCAAAATCGTTCCCGTCCGTATAGTCACTGTCGTCAGGATCATCGCTTTCAATATTGCAAGTGGATTTTGCTCGATTTTTCCTTTTCCCTGTACAGCGTGTGGAGCCGGCTCTAGTGGACCCTGTTATTGGTATCACACGGGACCGGGTCACAGGCACCACAACCGATACGGAGCACGACCTAGATAAGTCTCTTGGTGAATCCTTTCCCTCTGATCTGGAAACTGCCTGCTTTCTTTGTTGCAGCACAGGCGAGATAGGGCTTGATACCGCTTCATCGTCAAGACAACAATCTGTTGAATGGATGTCGTTGCCGTCGCTCCGCACCTCCAGGTGGCTGTCGCGAGTTGCTGAAAGGTCCCTCGGGTCTAATTGGATGGCATGTACCTCCGGAGCCGGTAGAGGACTTGACTTTCTGGACTCTGCACCACTTTCAGGGCTCCACTGATTCGCAGGCTCTGGTTCATCTCCAGCTGGAACAGGTGTGCTGGGATTAGGCGATGGGGCCTGATCACTTGATACATAACCAACCGCCACGCTGTTGACCTCTGTCTCACAGCCAAAAACGGAAAGCTGGGTTTCATTGCGCTCAGTGGGTGAAGGATCTGTAGTCGTATGATGAGAAGCGACCTAGGAAAACCCTATCACCAGATAAACTACTAACCTTGAACGGGACACGGTTCGTTCGGTGAAACGGAACCATCAGCTTCCACAGGACAAGTTGGTGCACTGGCTGCTGATGAAAGGTCGGTCTCAGCAGAGTCTGATAAGGCGGCGGTATCTTGCGGCGTAGCAGGTCCGTCTGAGAGGACCCTTATATCGTCCGCAAAACGATCGTCACTGTGTGAGGCTGTATTAAAATAAGAAGTCAGCATATTTCACTCATCTTCGCCTAAACAATTGATGCCACCTAATGGGGACCTGAGAAGCTAGAGGAGCCAGCAGATGAGCAGATCACTTACCACTGTGTTGATCATGCGGCTCCTTTCTTTGGATGCCGTTGATGTCCTCTGCTTGAGTCTCTTCGCTGCTTCCAAAGCATGATGCTGGAGTGTCCTGGCTCCCGAATTCGGCCATTTCCAAGTTGACTAATTCTGTATCAAACACATTCACATGGGCGTCGCGATCACAAGGCACAGCAGGAGAGGGACTCTGTCGACGAGGACGACAAGTTTGCGAGGACTCATGAGAAAAGCACGGGGGTCGCGAAGGTAGAGGATGGATCAGGACGGGCTGGTTTGAAGGAGGGTGGGAAAAAGAAGTAGTCAGGTGTGGCTGTTTGCAAGGGGGCTTCGGGATGGGGGGAGGGTGGTAATGGATGATGTTGTCCAGGTCGATAGAGGCCATGGTTTTCACGAGAGGCAGAGGAGAATGAACCGGCGGGTGTGAACAATAGGAAATGTGTAGTATAATCTAAAGAACTGCTTCTCTTGCTCTCACAGAAATTCCAAGGTGCCCTTTATACTGAATTGAATTGACGGAAAGCGAGCAACACATGTCTAGCATCCCTCGCCGCAGTGGGAATACCAAGACTCTTTATATGCATTTCCTGAGTCCCCGTCTCACTTCATTTCACCTCGACTTCCTATCTGGGGCGGCTGGGGAAATTTGATAGGACTGATTATCGCCACGGGCCGAAGTGCTGCCTGTCAGCATTCAGAGCAGGAATGACCAAGGGGTCAGATGGCAACGCGCTACAGCATGCGGTATTTTTCCAATTGGATAATACCGTAGCATCGCATTATCAGGTTTGACCTGATCTGTCCGTGCATGCATTTATCAGCCTTGCTTCGCCTTGCTAAAAGCGGGCCAGAGGCGAAGGATCGCCTTTGGAGAATAGCATGTCGCGGCCGAAGGCCCCTATTTAAGTGAGCGGCCAATATAATCACAGTGTTTGAGATTCTATAACGGCGTTCTCCGAGGCCGTTGTACGAGGCAAAGGGACCCGGGAACAAGTGCGAGTCCGGTCATTCTGCGCCACGGCTTCAAGACGAGGGATCGGCGAGAGAAGACCAGCCAATGGCATATATGTAGGCAAATTAGACAGCGCACAAAAGAGCGAGATTCGGGTTACGTCGTATCGTAGGCGCATTGTGCAGAGACGAAAGTTATTCAGTCACCCGGCCAACGATGAGGCACTATTGATTCCTATGTTAGAGCGACCGAGACATACGGATGAGGTGGTGGGAGCCAGCCAGCACGCGCGTATCCAGAAGCCCAATTCTCTGTGGCGAAGATTGCGGACCGGCATCTGTAGCCGACAAAAACACCAGGGCAATGGACTAGCAGACCGTGCCGCCGGCGCTCAAGCCGGTGGAGAAAAGGCACTGCTCCGTGTGTGAGGCAACCAGCTGAAACAGGGCGTCCGGTGCCGTGTGATCCGGACATACGGTATCATTTCACGAAACCCCGATCGCTAGGACCGGGCGGGCAAGAGGGAAGTGCAGCACGACGAGAGCGAGGACGTTGAGCGACGCACCGAGTTATATACTCGTGGGTGTTGGGGCCGGTCGGCGGTGGAGGACGGCAGATGCCTGTTCGGGGAAGGCGTGGGCCGCTAGACGGCATCTGGACGAGCTAAACCCAAGGTAGACGGGATGGGTCGGATACCATCCTGGGGCTAGCGCCGCGCCAAACCGCTTCTGGACAGGCTAAACCTGAACAGGGCACCCGGGGGCCCACGCCAAACCCGATCGAGGGGGGCGCCGAATCCGGCCGCGCCGGCACAAATGGTATTTGTACCGCTAAAATTCTAATAAACGTATATATTAGAATAAGCGAGGGCGATCGTGATTATAGACTTATAGCCAGAAAGTATATTCTAAAAGCTAGTGACGTCCTCGCCTATATAACGTAACTTGACCTAATCACGAATACTAGATTAGTTATCTATTAAGTGTTTAGAATACTTCAAAATTAGCGTATTAAAATCGGTATATACTTTGTAGCATCGATTAAGAGGCCGTTCAATTATCCCGCTATTCAAAAAAGGTGAAGTGTGGATCGAATCCTAAAGTATTCTTAGTACCTCCTCGAGATCTTGGAGTGCTTCTCGAAGGCCCCTAATAGCCTTTTCCTAGTTACGAAGACTCTATACCGTGCTGAACAATATGCGACTCGATTAAAGGGCTAAGGCTAACAAGCCAGTAAGCCCCGAGCTAATACCAATAATTTCGGCCATTCGGAAACGGAAGAAGATCGTACTGTTCGATATAATGAGGGAGGGTGACCAATATATAGGCGGCTTATGGCGACGTATGAAAGAAGTGAAAATGAATTGGTACGCGCACTTATTTGCGCGCGCCCTAAGATGCTTTCCAGCCAGATCATAGCGGGCGCGTATTATGCACAGATTATTGGCGTGTACTACCGACGGGTATTAGCAACTAATTACCACGTGACTTTATGTGACGTGACTTACCTGCATGATGCAGGCTGCATCACCTCTATCGCATATCACGCCTCCAATGAAGGACAAACCGATTAGATCTAAGTTTAGCAAAGTGAAGTTCACTATCTCAGAAGCCGCCGCAACTTAATTATCCGGGTTACTATTTGTTGGGAAGGAAAGCGCCTCGAAAGCGCGCACGAACGGCAGGCGCGTTGATGCCATTTGAATTAAGTTAACTTACGTTAACGTAATTCACTACCGAGCCGCCACAACCACCGAGTCGCCACCCCACCAAAAAACGCGTCAAGAAATTAAACCTTTCTTCTTTAATCACCAACCATGCCACCAATTCGCAATAAATCCTCTCAAAAACGTATAGAGCAAGAGGGCAGGATATTACTTGCTATTCAAGCTATTGAAAACAAGGAAATAAGCTCTATTGCTCTCGCAGCTAGGACTTTTGATATACCGCGTTCAACTCTACGCGACCGTCTGACTAGCTATACAAATCGCGCCGAAACCCGCGCCAATAGTCTAAAATTGACTACAATTGAAGAGGATTCGCTTTAAAAATAGATACTCTCTAAAGATTCTCGTAGAGCAGCCCCTCGCCCGTTAACTATACGAGAAATAGTAGATTTACTACTCGCTACGCGCGGATCTATACCCCCTCTTACTGTCGGCGTAAATTGGGTTACAAAATTCGTTAAACGGTATCCTCTTCTTGCCTCCCGATTCTTAAGACGCTATGATTATCAGCGAGCTTAATACGAGGATCCTAGAATCATTTCTAAATAGTTCTCTCTCGTTTAAAAAATAGTTTTAACGTACGGTATCGATGCTAACGATATTTATAACTTTGACGAGACCGGTTTTGCAATAGGTTTAATCTTAACCGCAAGGATTATTACGAGAAATAAATATTACGGTCGGCGATCACTTTTATAACCGGGAAATCGCGCGTAGGTGACTACAATTAAATATATAAACGCGTCGGGGTAGATACTTCCTCCTTATATCATTTTTAAGGGCAAAGTCTTTATCGAATCTTAGTTCGATAGCCTTCCTAATAATTAGAGACTCGAGGTTAGTCCAAACGGATAGACGTCTAATAAAATTAGACTCCGATAGCTTAAGAAGCTATTTATTCCCTCTACTACTCTTCGTACGAAGGGGAAGTATAGACTTCTAATACTCGACGGCTATAGGAGTCATTTAACCCTAAAATTCGACAAAATATATAAGGAGAACAAAATTATCGCAATTTATATACCTCCTTATTCGTCTTATCTTTTATAGCCTCTTAATATTAGCTATTTTACGGTATTAAAATACGCGTACGGTCGGTTTATCGAATCAAAAATACGGGTCAAAATCAACCATATTAATAAACTAGACTTCCTCGAAGCCTATAAATCCGCGCGTATTAAAGCATTTAAATCGGAGACTATTAAGAATAGCTTCTCTACCACTAGTTTAATACCTTTTAACCCTAGTCGGGTTCTCTCAGAGGTCAATATTCTTACGCGTACGCCAACCCCCCTATCGAGCCGGGGTAGCGAGTAGGAGCTAAAAACGCCCTTAAACTACGTCCAATTGCAAAAATAAGCTTCTTTAATAAAAGCATTATTACGACAGCGATCAAAAAGCCCCCTAAGTCCGCTAAATTCTACGATAAATCAGGTTTTAAAAGCCTATCAAATCATAATACAATCAGCAGCTATTCTTAAGAAAGAAGTAAGCGATTTACGCGCTAAAAATAAGAAGAAGAAGCGAAATAGGACTAGATCTACCTTGCAGATCTATTCTTAGGAAGGCCTTACAGTTTCAGAGGCCTTAGCTTTAGTATCTTAGCAAGAAGACCCAATTCTAAGGCAGATATCTGATAGGGTAGATCAGACTATATCTGCTTCAGAGCCGCGTACTAGGGCAGCCCCTAGGTGTTCTGACTGTAGGGAGCTAGGTCATCGAAGAAATGCCTGTTATAATAAATCTCGCGTTTAATTTAATTGAATATATGGCGTTTTGGTTGAGATATTAGCATTAAATTGACGCGTTTTTTGGTGGGGTGGCTCCTCGGTGGTTGTGGCGGCTCGGTAGTGAATTACGTTACACTAGATGAGTCATCGGTTTTAACGTAATTCACAACCGAGCGGCCACCACAACCGAGTGGCCACCCCACCAAAAACGCATCATTATTAATGCATCTATCTCAACCAAAACGCTAATAAATTCATTAAACTATACGCGAGATCCCTTATTACATGCAGTTCTCTTATGACCTAGGATTCCACAATCTGAGCATCTCGGTGGGGCTCTCGTACGTGGCAATGAAGGTAAAAAACCCTGGTTTACCTCACCTAATACTGGCGCTGAAATAGCCTGTATAGGCTGGGATATCAGGTCTGATGCCTCTTTCACTGTAAGGCTACCTTCGTAAAGTATCTGCCTTGTAGATCTAGCCTTTTTTTGCCTCTTCTTCTCGTTTGCAGCGCGTAAATCACTAACTTCCTTCTCAAGAATAGCTGCCGAATGCATTGTGATTTGACAGGCTTTTAAAACCTGATTTATCGCAGAATTTAGCGGGCTCGGGGGCTTTTTGAGCGCTGTTTTAATAAGGCTTTTATCGAAGAAGCTTGTTTTTGTAATTGGACGTAATTTGAGGGCGTTTTTGGCTCCCACTCGCTCCCTCGGCTTGAGGGGGGGTAGGCGTACGAATGCAGATATTGAGCTTTGAGATAACCCGATCAGGGTTATAAGGCACTAAACCGGTAGCACCGAAGCTATTCTTAATAGTCTCCGATTTAAACGCCGTGATTCGAGCGGTCGAGTAGGCTTCGAGGAAGTCTAGTTTATCAATATGATCGACTCCGGCACGCATTTTCGACTTAACAAGCTCGGCGTATACCTGTTTTAACACCGCAAAACAGCTAATATCGAGAGGCTGTAAAAGGTGAGATGAATGCGGAGGCATACAAATTGCGACAATATTGTTTTCCTTGCAAATTTTGTCGAATTGTGGTGTTAAATGACTACCGTGGCCGTCAAGTATCAACAGTCTATACCTCCCCTTCGTACGTAACGAAGTAGACGGAATAAAGAGCTTTTCAAGCCACCGAAGGCCAATTGCATTAGACGTCTATCCATTCGTACTAACTTCAAGTCTCCAATCATCCGGAAGGCCATCGAACCAAGATTCGATAAAGACTTTGCCCTTAAAGATCACACACGGAGGAAGCGCCCACCCTAACGCACTTATACATTCAATTGTAGTAACCCACGCGCGATTTCCGGGTTGTAAAAGCGATCGGCGGCCATAGTATTCGTTTCTCGTGACAACTTTTGCGGTCGCAATTAAGCCCATTGCAAAACCAGTCTCGTCAAAGTTATAGATATCAGCGGAATCGATACCATATTGAAGGATAGTCTTTTGGACGAGAGAAAACCACTGAGACATAACCCTAGGATCTTTGCATTTGGCTCGCTGATAGTCGTAACGTCTCGAGAAACGAGACGTAAGTGTAGGATGCCTTTTTATAAAGTTTGAAACCCAGTTTTCGCCGACCGTAACAGGGGGTATAGATCCACGCGCCGCCAGTAGTATATTGGCTATTTCTCGTACAGTTGACGGTCGAGGGGCTGCTCCACGTGAATCCAAAGAGATAATCCATTTTTCAAGTGAATCCTCTTCAATCTCTGTCAATTTCAGACCATTGGCGCGTGATTCATCGCGAGAAACGTGGCCAGCAATACGGCGGCGGAGAGTCGTACGAGGCACATCAAATCGGTTTGCTGCCTCTTGAATTGAGACAATTTCTTGCTTCTTAATAGCCTTAATAGCTAGTAAGATCCTACCTTCTTGCTCTGTACGTTTTTGAGCAGATTGAGTACGAATTGGTGGCATAATGGGTGATTAAACAAGAAAGGTCTGATTCTGTGACGCGTTTTTTGGTGGGGTGGCCACTCGGTTGTGGTGGCCGCTCGGTTGTGAATTACGTTATTCACGATTTATACACCCTAAACCCGCGTTTGGCGAGGTCTAGTGTATACCGAACAACATACAGTCTTCATGTTGATCATCATCATGGGGAGACCAGTGCAAACGGGAAAATATCCTAGAACGCGTGAGGAGCGTGACTCTATGTTCCACTAAATTACGTCTAGCATCAT